AGATATTATATTTAATATAATAAAGCTTTTATTTAGGTTCTTTTTAATATAGGTCTTTATAAATTCGAGATACTTCTATAATATTTTATATAATAGATAATAACTAGATTTATAATTATCTAATAGCTCAATCTTATAATCGATATCTAGACGACTTAAAGATAATATATTAGACTCTTTTTTTAAGAAGATATTTACAAAATTGTGATATTCCTTAGAGATACTTACTTAAATAGTATCTAGTTTAATAGCTTTATCTTCTTGTTCTTTAATAATATTAATAACTTTCTAGATTTCCTTAATAGAGATTATAAAGACCTTTATACTATTCTTTTTCTTTATAGTTCTATTAAATCCTATTTTTCTAATTTAAGCAATCTCGAAATCTATTAACAGTTTTAATAAAGACTACTCTTATCGCTTATACTTTTAGTAAGATTCTTTTAACTCTAGCTATTATAACTCTCCTATTAAAACTTAGTATATCTTTAAAAGGGTCTTATTTATATAGGAATTATTATATATACGCTTAAACTTAGGCCCGTTAGCTACTATTACTTTTTTTATTGTGTTTTCTCAGTATTTATAGTCTTTCTGGTGCTCTTTTATAAGTACGGAGTCTAGCTTTTTTAGAATTATAATAGGAATAGGTTTTATCAATTAGTTTATAACTTTTTTTTTTATTTTCTAGATCTTTATTATTAGCGAGGATAGAGAAGGCTAAGTTATTATTAACTCTTTATAATTAATCGTTATATTTTAATCTACTAATTATAGACATCTAAGAATCATATTATATTTCCCTATATTAGCAATTAATATAAGGATCTCTTTTTAATAATAGCTTTTAACGATAAGAGGAATTAATATTATATATATAATTAGTCTAGCTAAATAGCTATTAAAAATAGTAACTACTCTAGACTAGTTTAATTTCTAGATCCTAAAACTATATTGCCTTAGTTTCTTTACTACTTGAGGATAAATTATTAAGTAAATATCTACTTTGTTATCTACTAACGCTTAGATATAGAAATAAAAAGAATTTACTAATATTTATATACTAACTATAAAACTATAATATAAAAACAACTTTTTTTATTCTTTGTAATTATAGATAGTTTATAATCTAGAAAGAAGACTTTCTTTAAACTTAATTATTTCTTAAATCTAACTTTTCTAGTTTAATAATTTAGAGATTAAGCTAGATAATAGAGATAATAATAAACATAGTTAAAATCGACTTAATAAAACAATTATAATTTAAATAATCATATTTCTTATAATAGAAATATTTATTCTCTTTAAATAAAACAACGTACTTAATAAAAAGAAGATAAAGATTAGATATTATAAATCCCTCTTTCTTAACTACTAGAGATAAAAAGGTCTTTCTAGCCTCTATATTTTTTCCATAAGATTAAAAGATAGAAGAAGAGCCTTAGCTTTAACTAAAATAGATCTAATTATTTTATATAATATTAATTTAATATATATTTTTAATATAAGTATTAATTAGTTATTTTAATATAGTATTATTATTATTAATTAAACTTATTATTAAGTTTTGAAATAAGGATAGGAATTTAATAAAAAGATCTTCTTTATAATTTATTTTAATAATTTTAACTTTTTTTACTAGCTATAAATAATTAGTAATAAAATTAATAAAGGAGTCTTTAAACTTCATTTATAAAGTATAGTAAGCGATAAAAGCTTCGATATAATAATTCGGATTATAAAAAACGGTTTTTAAATAAGTAATTATATTGTCAGAGTCTATATATAGTTTTTTGAACTTAAGATCCAGTTATCTTTCTAGATAAAGATAGACCCTATCTTTATAGTAATTAGTTATATAGATCTTGTAAATAAATAAAATTAGATAGTAGTTAATATTAATCTTAAGTTTTTAATAAATCTTAATAACTTAATATTTGAAGCGGACTATCTTTTTATCGCTAAGTATAGAAAGATTTAGTATCTTTTAAATCTTGTGAGAAATAGTTTCTATAATTAGTATATCGCTAGCTTATTGCTCTATTAGATATTAGATCTTAACTTAAAACTAAATAATCTCTATCTTATAAGCTAATTAAATAACTCATTTTTCGTCAATTATATTATTTATATAATCTATAATAGCATAAAGTCTATCTACTTTATCCTATTCTTCTTATAATATAATCTAGCTAATTTTATACTTATTCACTATCTACGTATACATTTTAGCTAGTTTAACAACATACTTATTTTTTAAAAACTTCTTTAAGCGATTTTTGATATCTCTATCTAGATAATCCTTGATATACTCGTACTTAAAGATTAGACCTAAAATAGGTGATCTAAAAATGAAAGGAGTCTTTTCGTGTATATCTTCTTCTTCTTATATATCTCTTTTCTTAGCTAGATTAGTAGAGGTATTTTGCTAACTCGATATATTTCTAGTTAGTCTAGTCTAGTCTAGTCTAGTTTACTTTAATAAAATCTTCTAATTGGTCACTCGATTAACGTCAAAATAGGTATCTGTAAGCGCTTGCTATCAAGTATAGAAAGTTAAGGTGAGTTCTATTATTGTGTTAGATAGACAAAGTATAAAAGAAAAGATCGCTTTTATGGTCTAAGAAATGACGATAATAGAACTGAGGAAGAAAGGAGAGGGAGAGAGAGAGAGCTAGTAGGATCTATGTAAATGGGAGTACTACCTAAGGCAGACATATTAGGCTCCCGTCTCTTCCTATGCAGGGATCTGGTCCTAAGATCATGGGTTTGAGTCACAGTCCTGTCACTTCCTGACAATTTATTATCTTGTACTTTTTAAAAAGATAGCTAATATAAATAGCCTATTCTTATAAGTATTATCTATAATATTATATCTATTCTAGCTACTAATATAGATATAAAGTAACTATTCAACTCTATATATAATATTTATTATTATTAATAAGATTCACTAAAGCTAAAGATAATTTAGAATATTATAATATTTATATATATAATAAGATTTAATCTATAAAAGAACTAGTAGTTAATTCTCTAAGAGTATCTAACTTCTTAAGAGATCGTAGCTTTAATAGAGGTAAGTAATATAGATACTATCTTATTTAAATTAATTAGTGATACTAAAGAAGATATGATTAAACAAATCTAATCACTATCTATTTTACAACTATCTCTAAATATTATTCTCGAAAGGAGATAAAGAAATGGCTTATTAAGTAAAGATAATAAGATATAATCTAATCTAGAGAATAATATTAATAAAGATAGTAGACTTCCTTTTCCTTAATTATCTAAAAGAGTTCAAAAGATATCAAGAAGGCTTAATGGATATATAGTAGATAGAAACTAGAATTAAAATTATACTTAAAAAGCTTCTATAACCTTGGAATATTGTATAATCATAAAATATTCCCCAAAGAAGGTCAGTCACTGTAATTGAGATACTTAAAAATACAAGGCAAATCTACATAAATTATGCATGTCACGAGATTTGCCTGTTTGTCCTGTTTGTGGACCCGCGGGTGACCCTGAGGTTCACCCTCCGAGGGTCCAACCCCTAGGTGGACTACCCTCAGGGTCGGAAGGTTGGACCCTCGAACCGCCCCAGTGGCGGGGCGGTCCGAGGGTCATGAGGGTCACCCGCGGGTCACTGCCAGGTCTACCTGTGGTCGTATGTGCTGGAAATAAGAGTTGATAGAGTCATAGCGTCTCTAAATTGATACCGAGTTTGGGCTGTGAGAGATTCCAAGGTTTGCTGGACTGCTTATCCAAACATACTCCGTACCTTGTCATTTATAATTACCTGAACGGGCAAGTAACGGCGACATCAAGTTGACAAGACCGCAAGTGGTTGATATCGGGCGACCAATGAGTGTGTCGATCCAAGTCGAAATTTCTTATCAATGGCAGTGCGGCCTTTGGCGGAGAGCGATTTTCGCCGAGGCGAGACTCCTTGTCGAAGTCAACTAGTGGAGATCCTCGGGGGTTATGGGGCTTGAAATCATACCAGTGTCCACTACGGAGTGCGTTGTGGAGCATCATGATCAAACCCCATCTCAATGATACGACATGTACTCCGTACGGAGTACACATGTGTAAACATTGCCGGGATAAAATGATCAGAATTTCAACTTAGCCGATTCCAAATCGATCTCTTCATGACTATGAGCCGAAACATTTAATCTAGCTCGGTGCACTCCATACGGGAAGCGGCATAGAAAATGGCTCATCCGGCATGTCAATGCGGTCTTCTCAGACCCAGCATGCCGACATGCATGACGCACATATGCAAGTCCGAGGGGTACGGAGTATAGACACGCGGATCTCAAGCCGGGACATTGTTCACCCGACGAGTAACCGAATGGGCCTCAGCGCGATGATGTCGGGGTGTCTCATTTTGAACCACTCGGACTGGCGATCTCGGGCTGGGCAGTGATATCGGGCTGCTAGGTAATGCTGTTAGATGTATGGGAAGGCTAAAACGCTCTCCGCTCCGAGCGTATCGGTTGAACGAGGGTGATCTCGGGATGAGCATGGTCACTCAGCATACTCATTTCGCCGCTTCTGAGAGAACTTTGGTGGTTGGCGGCGGGGGTGAGATGTGACTTTGAGGTGTGGAAAATGGTCTCCGAGACGGGAAATGGTGTCCAGGTCGGTGACATCCCGGGGTCCCACGATCAATTGGCGTTCCCCGCGTTTTCTCAAGCTCGTGGGGGGTCGATGGCGTCAGCCACCGAATATCACGCTCAGTCACTTTTTGAGAGGGAGAAACCGGTTACCAATTAGTTTTATCCTTATTGGTGCGAGTCAATAGCAAGCTAACATTCTTACCTATCGGTTTATAGTCGGAGCATGTCCAGCGCACAGGCTGCTTTGTGGTTGCTTGTCCATTGGATACTCAAACCTTGTATACGATAGCCAATTGCTTATTTCCCACTGCCCAGGCTTCACAGCCCTACATACCTTGACTACATACGGACTCTTCAGATAAGAAAATCATGGGCGACAAAAAGGCGTCACCAGAAAGCGAACACCTGGAGTCCAATCTGAAGGAAGACCCCTCTACTTTCATTCCAGACCCAGGACAGGAGCGCCAGCCCTACGGTGAACAAGGTATCTTACCATTGTTACCAAATTTATCTCAAAGTTCGAGTAAATGCTAATCTCTCAATGCAACAGGTTTAAGAGGTGTTGTGACGAATAAATATGTGGCGACATGTGCAGCGTTTGCAACACTGGGAGGAGCCATGTTCGGCTACGACCAGGGCGTTGTATCTGTGACCCTCACCATGGAGCAATTCCTCAAGACATTCCCAGAAGTTGGAGCAGAAGCGGCCGGGTCCGGGTTTCAAAAGGGTATTCTTACAGCAATGATTGAGCTAGGAGCGTTCCTGGGCGCCATGAATCAGGGATGGATCGCAGATAAGATCTCAAGAAAATGGTCAATCTTCGTTGCCGTGTGGATCTTTGTCTTCGGTTCCGCTCTGCAGACTGGAGCTATGAATTTCCCGATGCTTGTGGGGGCTCGTTTTGTTGGTGGAATCGGCGTCGGCATGCTGGCAATGGTTGCGCCATTATACATCTCAGAAATCGCTCCTCCTGAGATTCGTGGTACATTGCTGGTTTTACAAGAACTTTCGATCGTCGCTGCTATTGTGGTTGCGTTCTACATCACCTACGCAACGCGGTTTATTCCTAATGAGTGGTCATGGCGGCTTCCTTTCCTTATCCAGGTATGGATTTCTTGTCGGCTGGAGTGAATTCCAATTCTCACTATCGGTACAGATAATCCCCGCTCTTTTCCTCGGTGCCGGTGTTCCCTTTTTGCCTTATTCACCTCGTTGGCTCGCTGGCCGAGGGCGGGATGAGGAGGCGCTACAAGTCCTCTGCAAACTTCGTGGAGTAGAGGCTACCGACCCACGCGTGCTTCAAGAATGGGTTGATATTCGGTCGGAGGCAGCTTACTGCACGGAGGTGAGCATTGTGCGGCATCCCAATTGCCAGGATGGAACTTATTCCAGTCGAGCCATGCTTCATGTGTGGAGCTATCTGGACTGCTTCCGCAAGGGATGCTGGAAGCGGACCCATGTTGGTATTGGACTCTTGTTTTTCCAGCGTGAGTGCTTCCCACAACAATCGCCTCTTTCTCACCTTGTTTGTTATTAACGTTTCTATTTAAAGAATTCGGAGGTGTCAACGCTCTCATCTATTACTCACCCAGCCTCTTCGAAGGAATGGGCCTAGACTACGAGATGCAGCTGAACATGTCAGGTGTCGTGAATATCTGCCAGCTGGTGGCATGCTTGTGGGCGTTATGGGGAATGGACAAATTTGGTCGCCGGCCTTTGCTCTTTGGGGGAGCCGCTTGCATGGCAATCTCTCATCTCATCATCGCCGTTTTGATGAGTCAATATGAAACAGACTGGCCATCTCACCCTTCTCAGGCATGGGTCTGTGTTGCATTCCTCTTGATCTTCATGCTTACTTACGGTGGAACATGGGGTCCAATTCCCTGGGCAATGCCGGCTGAGATCTTCCCGTCTGCTCTTCGTGCCAAAGGTATGGCATACTCGACAATGTCTGCTTGGCTTAACAACTTCATAATCGGGCTGATTACACCACCCCTTATTCAAAACACCGGGTACGGAACTTACGTGTTCTTCTGTCTTTTCTGTGCATTCTCATTCGTGTGGTGTTGGTTCTTTGTCCCGGAAACGAAGGGGCGTACACTGGAGGAAATGGACGCAGTTTTTGGGGACAACAGCTCGAGCGACGAAAAAAGACAACGCGCCCGTATCGAGGCTTCCATTTGGGCTCTTGCCGATAGTATGCCTCATGGTGGACTTGAGGGCACACACAAAATCACTTAGATTTTTCTGTTAGTAAATAGAGAGCGTTTAATGTGAGGAATGCAGAGCGTTGGAATTTATCAAGCAAAAGAGAGTGATAAATGCGGAAGCCACTGCTTAAAGGCCTACTCTTATGGGTTGATTATTTAGCCTTGGGAGATTACAGGTGTGAAAATTATGGAATAAAAAGTAAATGATATGTGCTGGCCTATAAATGCAAATATAGATATCACAAAGAACAAAAAGATTATCCAGTAAGACAGGTATTTCCAAATCCACGCTCAAACACACAAGACATGCGTATATAACAAATAGTAAATCATTAAACGTTCCATGGTATCAGAGCACATATTAAACATCAGCCTTAGCACCGACGCTCTCGTGGTGAGTAGCACCCTCAGCGCGCTTCTCGCCAGCGTCGATCTCAAGCTGAGCAAGGTCACCAGTCTTTCCACCAGCGACATCGCGAACATCAGTGTAGTTGACGGAAGGGACCCAGCCAACAGACTTCCAGGCACAAGAGACCTTGGAGTAGAGCTCATCGACCTGCTCAAGGGAGAGACCCTTGGTCTCGTAGATGCAGGTGTAGACGAAGATGGCGCAGATGAAACAGAAGCCACCCCAGATGAAGAACACCTTGGACTGGAGGTTGGCGTTGCCGGGGCCGCTGTTCACCATGTAGGGGGTAGCGTAGGCGATGGCCCAGTTGAGGAGCCAGTTGGTGGCGGTGGTGATGGAAAGACACTTGGCACGAGCCTTGAGGGGGAAGAGTTCACCAGTGACGACCCAGGCGACAGGACCCCAGGAGCAGGCGAAGAAGAAGATGTAGATGCAAACGAAGGCGATGAGGACCTTGTTTGAGACATCGGAGTCGATGGCAGTACCGACGATGGCGACGATCAGCTGAGAGACACACATGCCGACAGCACCGAACATCAGGAGAGGACGACGACCCCACTTCTCGACCATGTAGAGACCGGGGAAGGTGGAGACGACATTGATGATGTTGGTGATGAGGGTGATGACGAAGGAGTTCTGGATGCCGGAGTTCTGGAAGAAGGTGGTGCCGTAGTAGAAGATGAAGTTGACACCAGCGAGCTGTTGCAGACCCTGGACAGCGCAACCGGTAGCGAGACGCTTGCCAAGAGTACCGCGGAAGATCTCGAGGTAGGAAGCATTTCCAAGGCGCATCTCGAACTCGTGGTTAGCCTGGATCTCAGCCAGCTCAGTAACGATAGCAGGGTCGTTCACATCCATGCGGCGGAGGCGAGCGAGGGCCTTGGTGGCCTCTTCGTAGCGGTCCTGCTTGATCAGGAAGCGAGGAGTCTCGGGGAGAATGATCATGCCAACAACGAGGATAATGGCCCAAGCAAACTGGATTGCGATAGGGATGCGGTAAGAGCCAGTGTCGTTGCGGTCCTTGGTAGCGTTGTTGACGATGGCAGCGAGCAGCAGACCAAAGGTGATAGCAAGCTGGTAAGCACCAACGATGGTACCACGGATCCACTTGGGGGAAGTCTCAGACTGGTAAAGGGGGATGGTTGCGGAGAGCAAACCGACACCGAGACCAGCGAAGAAACGACCAGCAACGAAGAGGGGAATGGAAGTGGCAATGGTCTGGAGAATGACACCGAAGACGAAGACGAAGCTCTCCATGATCATACCCAAGCGACGGCCAAATTTATCGGCGATGGGAGCAGCGAAGAGGGCACCGAAGAAGGTACCGGCGGAAAGGAGAGACACGATCATAGAGGACTGGGAGGAGGTGACATCCTTCATGCCATCTGCCTTGTTGACGTAGCCGGTGGAGAAAGTCTCACGCCAGTACTTCATGGCGAGGATACCAGAAATAGTACCTGTGTCATATCTGAATGATTGTCAGAACAGTTGTAGATGCGAGTAAAGAAGTGGTACATACCCGAAGAGAACACCGCCAAATGCGACGAACAGGCCGATCAAGATGGCCGGGGCAGCAGAGCCCACGGCATCATCGGGTCTTTTCAAACCGAGTCCCATTGCAGTGAGAGAAACTGGTTTGGTTGATTGAAGTGTAGGTATAGGTATAGGTGTGGGTGTAGCGAGGTGTAGTTGGTGTTGGTTGTGTGTGAATATAGAAGAGTAGATCCGATCAGTAGAGTATAGAGAGTAAGTCGAAGTAAGATTGATGAGATAGAATGTGTGATGAATGAAGATGAAGATGAAGACCAAAACTCTCGAGGATGATCCTCCTATTTGTAGTTTTTCCCCCAGAAAAACTCAACCACATGGCCACCCACAGTCAGGCCGGGCCGGGGTAGACAACAAAAGCCGAAAGCAGCGAGCGCGCGGGGGCCAAGGCCGAATTCTGCATCGTGTCCAATCTCAGCGAGGCATTCGAAGACTAGCGTTGTTCGATAATTCCGTGATTTTTGTTGGTAAATCTAATTTGGATGTTTCGAGCCTGGGGATAGGGTTTAGGCCGGTCGTGGGGGAGCCAATGCGGTCTGGCCGTGCTGTGGGTCCACTCAGCCCCCGGCGAAATCCGAACTGGTCATTGGTCACACGCGCAGATTGGCTCAACACTGTGCCGAGGATTCGAGAAAAGTTTGCCCTGGGCCTTGCGTTGGACTTGGCGCAGCTACATTGACCTACAATTACTTTTCAAATGCCATTGTACATCTAACATTGTGTATGCTACAAATTGAGATTGTTAGTTCTCGGTGTTTACCGAGAATGTTAGATCGTGTTCTAGTGCGATCGGGACGAAAATAGCCATGTGTATGCACATGACAGGAAAAACGGGAGATGCCGAAAACAGGCCCGATCGGCAACGGTCTCCCGCATCGGGAACTTGCCCAACGGCCTGGAATTTTCCCTGGCGGCCTTCTCAGGCATCTAGGGGGTTCCATGAATTTTCTGCTTGGACATGATAAAATCATTGTTGAGATTTGATATCAAATAGTACATTGTAAAGCATCGCGATCTAGATTCTCACTAAATAATCATAGCTAGTAAGTACCTCCAAGTACGGAGTACTCCGTACGTACCGGCATATTGATGCAGATAGTGAAACTCATGGAATTAATTCCAAACTCAGTGTTCGTCTCCAGGTTTTCCCCTCAACCCAGCGCATCTTTCCCCAGGTCTTTAGGGGTCCGAGTTGTCTGGGGAGACCAATTACCAACTTTCCTCGGCCGTGATCCGCAGCAGATGTCGTAATCCACTATCGACTGCCTCCTAACCCCAGGTTGAGATTGTTCACCGGAGGCCAAATGAGAAGAAAAATAGGCCAGATCAGAACAGGTCCCGCACTCTCGCGTGTCATGAACATTCTGGGGATGGGTAGGTTTGGGGCCTAATAATATCCCGGTCTGATTTCCCTGCTTTTTGACTTCGGCTCCACTTTCATACAGGCACTTTGTTCCCCCTCGAGACAGACAGTGTAGTAAAATAGAAGTTGCTCAGACTTGTAGTTGTTCAATTACTAAATGTTTTTACATCACATACATCGTGCCCGTACTCAGGAGTTTGCAATACCAATTGAATCCTTCTCAGAATCTCACGGCCCGCACCATGATCTTGGCGAAAGCCTAAGCGTGGTATTGCGCTATTTTTCCCGTCTCCCGGATTGGGCCAACAGCCCGAGGCTTTCCCGAAAATAATCCCACCGGACAATCGTCGGAGGCTCACGACCGGGGTCGGGATCTCGGGGAATAAAAATATCCCGGTCAGCAGGGCAGAAAAGTGGCGCAGCTCGGGAGCTAGCAGTCTTGTTTTCTGGGGATGAGAATAGATATCAGATGATCAATGGATTTCTTCAGTAGGCCAAGTCGGCTCGGTCCGATATGCGTGTCTATGGTCTATGCTCGCTGAGTTGAAGAGGGAGAAAAATGTCGGGAAAATGCAAGGAAGGGTTAGACCCACTCGGACTAGCTACCAGCGCCAGATTAGGATGAAATAGACGATCAGCACCACTTGCGCCACATGTCGGATGGATGAGCTTAATTCACCCACAATCAGGGAGAATCGTGACTGTGGCTGTGATGACGCTGGACGCCATCCCTCTTTACCTTTGGGCGAAGGGTCCATGTCATCATCTAATCGGTATGATTCTTGTGGAGATTTGGTACCGGGATAGCGGGCAACTGCTGAAGGTCCACCACGGCTGGCCAAGCCGCCCGATGATGTAGTAGAGCTGGACGCACCGAAAGTGTGGGCTTGATAGGTGGCGCGTCGGTTTTCGGTGAGGGGGAGCACAGTGTCGTTGAAGGGGTGCGACGCGTAGATCGCGAGGTAGATAGAACGGAGAACAAGAATGGAGGTGCTGAGACCGAGGATGGTGAGGTAATATATGAAGATTCCCAGCTGGTCTGGGAGGAGGCAGAGGTGGTTTTGGATAGTTGGGACTCCTTCTTGAAGTGCCTTGCCCGTCGTAGGGTCGATCGGGTGCCAGAGACTTGTGAGCACGAAGCCGGGACGGCGAACTCCCATCGCCCAAGAGATACTTTTCACTGTAATTTCGTTCGGCGAGCCATTGAACTCCCGGTGAGAAACTTCACAATAATCATGGTCATCTCCAGAGTAGACCTGCACGACGTTGGGTCCAGCTTTGGATACCACTTCGGTCGAAACAGTCTGCGTCAGGACGTTCTGGTACTGGTATCCACCGGAAATCTTGAGCGCATTCGGCTCGTCATTCTGCAATTCCTCGCCTGGAGAAGATGGTGGATAATGCTCACGCAGTGGGCCGCAAGGGGTCCCAGGATTGCGGTGGAGAGGAACGTGAGTCAAGAGAATAGTCGGGAAGCCGGCGCTCACTGGCTCTGGCTTGTAGTGAATTGTCGGCTCAATGGCATCGACAACGCGGTATTGGAACATGTGCCCTTCACTCTGATTCCTGAGCATTCTCAGCTCGTCGTTCTCCGCCTTGGCCTTGTGAATGGCCATTTTGTCCAGAAATTCATCCGCCTCTTTCCATATAGGACGTATCGCGCGGCCCGTATCACTGGATGTCGGTGAGCTTCCTGTCAACGGGTCAGGCTGGTCCATGGCGCTGAGCGAGACCGAATCGACGGATACAAAGGTATGATTGCCGATCACGTTGACCTGGTTGGTCTTTCCGAAGAAGCTCTCAAATCGGTCACGGACAGGTTCCTGCACTCCATTCCCGAAACCCAGATCATGGTTCCCAGGTAAACTTGCGATCAACCTCCGTCCTCGCCCATCAACAGGCGCGGTATTTGCTTTTTCCCATGGATCTAAGAAGATCTTGGTGAATCGCCGAAATTCTTTCTTCCAATAAGAGTCCTTGTAACCTTGCCAGCGAGCTTCAGGGCTGGTAGATGTTGCGGTGGCCCATTCTCTGCCGCCATCGAAAAGATCGCCAAGCAACAGTACTGAGTCCGGCTCAAGATGTTCCTGGATTAAGGAGAATGATCGGCGCATATATTGGTCCGTGTATCGCATTGTCAACGTCGACAGAGGCCAGGGTCGTCCGGGGTAGGTATGAGGATCAACGAGCTGGGGATCGGCGATGAAGGCAATGTGATGTGGAGTTGCGTCTTGAGGCTATTGGTAAATTGCATTAGTATGTGAATTCTTCGTACTTGGGTCAATTGCAAGAAGCAGCCATAGGCTACTTACCCAGTCTTCCCAGCTGTCCCAAAGACATTGGTTTATATGGTCCTCGAATACCCTGCGTTCGCCCCACCGAATTGACAAAAGCCAAAGTATGATAATCGCGTTTGGAATCGTAAAAATACTCTTAACAAAATTGACAATTGTGACTTTGAACCCCGCCTCTTTAGTTCTCTTCCATCTCCGATGGGCAGCTCCGGTGGAAAGCCATTGCTTGGCGACTGGTGGTATTGAGTCCGCAACCCGATTGAGAAAGTTCGGGGATTTTGTGCGTTTGGGGGTATAAAATGGAAGCGAAGAAGGCGAGGACGCGCTTGTGTTGCGCGGGTAGGCGAATGTCATGTTTGGCTCTGCTTGAGTTCAAAATAACAGGGTGGCTCTACCCCGGGGGCAAGACAGAGGTCTTCAACAAGATTAACGACAGTTCATGCTCCACTAGCGTGTGAAGATGCGAAAAACAAAATATCAAAGGAATGATTGCGCGAAGCTGTGAACGGTGACATTTGGAGAACCAGAAGCAGGGGGGTTATCGATTAAGCTCCGGGTCGAGATGTGTCCACAGGTCGGTGGGTCCGATCACGTGTTTGTATAAAGATAGAACTACAAGCATACGAAGTACCCCGGCATCGAATACGGATCATCCGTATTTGCTCCAGGGCTAACTACGAGTATTTTGAGGGCTCTCCAGGTATGGCCTTGAGTTATCTTCATCCTGAAAAGTTGAGAGGTCCACAAGCATTTTTGGTTAGGGATAGGTAAAAATACATGCAGCATAAGGTAAGAAAAGAGATACAGCACATGTCTGACCTGGGGATACAGTCTTATTGCGCGTCATGCTGTGTGCAATGCCATGTGCAATGCTGTGATTCCAAGGCGCAATTGCTCCAGGTCACTTCTAAGTGGGTGATTAATAGGTATCAGGGATGTGTAGGGTGGGCTTCTCCGGCGCAATGATGAGAGGAAGTGGATAAGAGGGTATCTGGGTAGGGAAAATCGACGATAGTGATGATTTTGAGGGGGGGTGATGACCAAATGAAGATTACATGGTCTATGTGAGAGGCCGCGTGAAGGGTTCAGATTCACTTCTTAGGGCAGCACTGGCCTCCACGGGCACAGTTCTCGTCGCACTCCAAAAGACATGCCTGAGAATCACCATCCCGGACACTGGCAGCACGACTGGGGACAGCGTCCTCAGTGCCACGAGAGGAAGAGGGCTGTCCGTTGTCTTCGACATCACTCTCGGGTGCGAACTCGGGTTGGATGGTGGAAGAGTGGATGCCGTAGGCATGGAGACAACGTCGCACCTGTCTGGCAAGACGCATGTAACGCTCCGATCCTTCGCCCTTGATCTCCGTGTCTACCTGCAGGTGGATTGAGGCCACAATCTTGGTGTCACTCAGTTGCCACACGTGCAAATGATGAGAGCCAATGACACCGGGCAGGCGTTCAATGTCCTCCTTGATGTGATCAATGCTCATTCCGGGTGGAACAGCCTGCAAAAGGATGCGGGAAGCAGCCTTGCACAGTGGAATAGCAGAAGCAAGAATGATCAAAGTAATCACAAGCGAAATACCAGGATCGACGTAGAAACGCCATTCGTAGTCCGTGAGCCAAATAATCAGCGCTGACACGATCACACCAATGTTTCCGAGAGCGTCGCCCATGACGTGAAGGAAGACACCGCGCATGTTAAGGTCATGGCTGTGGCCCTTCTTCTGGTCCTTGGATTTAGGTTGAGCATGGTTGTGTGACTTGTGAACATCTTCATCCCGGTGATCGTGGATCTTGACAGGAGCTCCCTCCTCATCGGTGTACTTGGCTGCGTGATCTCTGTGACGCAGAAGCCCAGAGCGCTCAGTTGGGATCTCGTCGTCATCGCGGCCACCCTCTGAGTCCGAGGATTGTTCATTGCGATATTGACTTGCTGCGATAATCCCTTGTCTGAGACGCTCTGGGAGCACTGGGATATCATCGGCGCTGACGAAACCACGTCCGTTCGGGGCGCTGTAGCCCCTGGAGCTGCGAGTAGTGTCTCGGCGCTTGCGGGAAATGGGGGATCCGGGTTCGGTGGTAGAGTAGGTCAGGGTGTTTTCGCTCTCGGACGGGGCGACCGGGGTATGGTCATGGTCGTGATCGTGATCGTGCTCGTGGTCGTGGTCACTGTATCCTTCGGCATCGATAGCGTGCTCTTCATCGTGGTCATGGTCATGGCCGTGGTCGTGGCCGCCACCGTGACCGTGAGAGTGGTCATGGAAGAGGACCAGGCCAATGATGTTGGAAGCAAGACCAAAGCAGCCAACAATGCAGACGAACCGGGGGTTCTGCACTTCCTGAGGTTCCACCAATCGCTGAGTAGCCTCCAAGAAGATCGACATGCACAAGGCAACTAGGAAGACACCATTGACCAAAGCACCGAGAGTCTCAGCTCTTTGCCACTGTAATTGAGGATCCCACGATTAGACAATGTTTAACCCTTTGTTAAATGCGTACTTACGCCGTATGTGTAGGTGTTTGAGGTAGTTTCGCGGTTTGCGACCTTGACGGCCCATAATCCGACACACAAAGACAAAACATCGTTCAGCTGATTATCTGGTTAGATTTCGTTTCTTTCGCGGGGGCTGGACATGCGCACCATGTGGAAGGAGTCGGCGACGAGGGCAAGTGAGTGAACGGCATAACCTAAGGCACAGTTAGAGATTGCCGGCACGCGACGGAGCTGAATCACACGAACCAGTGATCAATTCAAGCAGGAAGAAAGCGGTATCGATGACCAGCAGGATCAAGATCCTGTTCGTCTTGGAAAGCCCCATGGTGTCAGGTTCGCGCTCGATGGCGCAGGGCTCGGGGTGAGAATCAAGGGATATGGAGTCAGCTCCGGGTAGTAAAGTGAAGAGTCTCGATCAAAAGAGCGGAGGGAAGAGGGGTTTATGTAAAGGACAAAAAATGGGTTAAAGTCGATAGCGCCGGAGAAGGTTGAATCCGCTGACGCAGTGGACCTGGAAACGTCCAGGCGGAAACCCCTCCGATCTGGTCCGCAGTGGCGTTACTTTCTTTACTACTCCGTACACAAAAGGACCTTTCGAAACTCTTGTTTATTTCCAGTTTATCAAAGATTTTCAGCCGAACAAACCCCATCAACTTCATCAAAGAAAAAAAAATTGCGATGCAATGCAGCAGAGTTTTCGATGTACCTCGCGGATGATCTCCACACTGGGGCATCGGTCCACCAGAGCAAATCTCCCATTGGGACTTGCAGGGGCTTAGGCCTTCGCTTTATATAGACTACTTGTCTACATAGAGACACGTCCATTTTGACCTTTGCTCAATATTTCATGTTGCTGTGCTAATAACTATCACCTCTTGCTAATCTTCTGTCTGTTATATGCTACATCATCGCCTCGGTTTTTGCATTATCAGCAGGACAACCCGCAGACCCAAAATGTGCTACATGAGTCAACGAGAAAGGCAATCATAACCCTGACTGACCTGTGTGGAACAAGCTACCGCCACTGCACTACTGTAGGTACGGAGCATTACTATGTACAACTACTCCGTCTACAGTACTTTATGTAGTATCGTTCATTTCCCGCCATATCCACTCATGTTTCTAACCCCTAAGGTCCTCACTTTGCTAACCGCTTAAATAGCCTTGTCGCCGGATTCTCGCACAAATTACAAGCCCTAGAGTGCAAGTTCAATTTGCGTCGGCATTTTTAGCGCTAGATTGCCGACGTGTGTTTCTTCTCGGCCAGACGTGGTTAGTGTTCAGCACTTACTCTTCCATTCGGCGACTAGAATGCTCGAGTTGGAAGACACCGGTTCAATTGTCGCGCAAGTTCGGCTTGGCCCCCAAGCCAATGCCCCACGGTTGGCTAAACGAGCAATCGGACATCTGCCGAGGTGCCACCGAATTCTCTCATTCATGCCTCTATTCCCACATTGCTGAAAATCACACACACCCTCATTGGGTGTTGAGACAGTCATGTCCCATCGCTTTGGGTTTTGCGCTTGCTCTAAGCGAGTAGTGGGACTTACGGTTTAGTACCTATTATAGAGTGTATTCTTACAAGTTGGAATCGCGGATATATATTGCCATACCTGAATGTTGTCCACGTATATCACCGGTGTGCGTTCAGGTTGTCCATGAGGACTCTACCTGTAGTGAACAGGAAAGTGGCGCATCACAGGCTTCCCACATGGGCAGCTTTCACAATGGTCGTCTCCCGAAATATGCTACCTCCATGTCATTCATAGAATGTTGTACGATTCGTGCGACCTAGTTTTGCCAGATACGACCTTAACTTGGAATTGCCGCACAACCTTGGAACCCGATGTTGTGATTTGAGGTACTCTATGAATAACCATGCAGATCGAGTTGAGAATCCAGAACGATTTTGGAAAAAGTCAATTTTCAAGCTTTAGTAGCACCTGTTGCACTGTGTAGTCAATCAGTTACTAGAGCCAAATGGGGTATAGTGCGTGATATTTCACATTTTCCCCTGATCATTCATGAGACCAAATATTTCGAAGTTTTCCATCGAACAGCACGAGTAGCTCAGCGGCTCGAGGCTCCGATGAAGTGGGTCGATATCCAAATCGCCCCACTTTACGGCCGGCTGGCCCAATGGCAAGGCGCTTGACTACGAATCAAGAGATTGCAGGTTCGATCCCTGCGTCGGTCATATATTTTTGGCTCCCTGGGATACGTTCCGGAGGTCAGCTCGCTCAAATCGATTGATAAGTTGGGTAGATGGGCCGGATCTACGGACACTGGAGATGGTTAGATAATATTTTTGAACAGAGGACAAGCAAACCAAAATCCACACAGTCACGAGGTCATTAATCTACACGATTCTTGAGACATAGTTGGCTGAGGGCCATGATCGGGAGACAGTCTTGTTCACTTTACGGCATTCTATCCTGTCTCCCGAGCCTCTGACCTAATATATCCGCGGTCATTTTCGGCCTTTCCATGCTTTGGAATCACTGGTGACAACAGCTTTAAAGTTGCCGTCAGAAGTGGAAGACTGCCGAGCTCCAAATTTGGTCCTCTTACGGGGCTTATATATCCATCCGATTACAGCAACCACACCGAGAAACATAAACCTGAAGTTGTATCAATCAATCCTAGAACCTTCCAAGGTTGGAACCTGCGTTTGTTTGTGTTCCTGATTTTGACGCAGGGAAGATGGAAACGGCCCCTGATGATTTGGGGAACCCCACAGTCTAAGCCTCAAGGGTAGCTCGCACGGTGCTCAACCCGTGGAGCTTACCCGATCGAAGATGCAAGGCTAAATCGCTATACCCAAACAAGCAAGCTTTCAGTAAGGCTCACACCGTTGATTCACATTGATTTGCCCATTTTGTTTGAGCCCTGACTTCAATTCCCTGTATCTGACGATTGGGGTTAGAGCCACATCTTTCCCAGGGCCTCAAGGACTCAATGGCCCACTGCGATGGCACCTGAGACGGCCCCAAAAATTATCCGAGACCCACCCATCGAGAGCTATAGAAGAATTCATACGAGGAATTCGAGATGAGCCGCAGTTAAACCATAACTTACATTCAGCCCTGCACTGCCTCCGACGTTTCAATGTTCCCATATATCATGCTACTAACTTTCACTTCTATATGCCATGTCGATCTCACCCTTCATATATCCTCGAAATATTGAGCTTTGATCCCCAGGACAACATGGCTGGGTGTCTTTCATCTCGCACTGGCGGCAGCAGATTATTCCTCCGAATTTTATGCTTCGCAATTGGAATTGTGGCAATCATTTGCCTGAGCTTGGCTGTGGACTATGTTGGAATCGGATTGGTACGAGGCTCATGCAATACGACATAGGGATCATACATCTAATCTTTTACCTAGACCGCAGCTGCAGTCTTTTGGTCTTTGGTCCATATCGCCTTTCTTGAAATTAAACAGGAAATTCATCCCGCGTTTTCGATCTTATTTGATTTCATCGCCACGGCTATTACAATCGTTTACGCTATACTTATCATTGTAGCTATGGTCGGATCGGGGTCGACTGGGATTGACGACGCTTACACGGGCGCAGTAAAGGTTGGAGGTGGATCATTGATGATACTCACTGGGTATGTGCAGCTGAACAGCATAACAATTGACGGGACTCATACTTCTGCTGCAGCTTATTTCACTTCACATTCTTTGTCGTTGCCTGCTGTGACCTTCACAGCTGAGACCGTGATCACCACGAGGTTTCAGAAAAACAGGCCGTTATGATCTAGATAACCTCCTTATGCCCGTGCTACGTGGTCGACCTTCAGTGGAGTGACCTTGAGTGACGAGAATACGATAGCAATTTTCACGAAGATAATGATATTTCATACCTATCTCATTTGTCTTACACCCGCAGAATAATGGAGGACGCGGAGATATGCAGTCTTGCATAGCCAGGTCATACCTCGTTAAATGAAGGGATTTGTGGTACCAAACATGCGGTGAATTGACATCAACAGGGGTCAAGGTTGAGCTATTGACCATTTTCACGGCAAACGCGTAGCCACGTGTATGATCGGCGCACGACCGTTTTTTTCTCCCGGTGGAGCGAGGAGCAGTTGCTTTATGCGGGGCGAAAGTGGGTTAGTTACAGCTTAGATTTATTTGATGAAGGTAGACCATCGCATGCCAGTGAGCTCAGCCTAGGTATTCACTTCCAGCCCAAGGCGTAAACTGAGAGCCACATTCAGCTACAGGTTCAGGATTACCCTAATGCATCTGATGGAGAGAATGCACCACTGAATTGGTGTGTGATATACGTTATGCAGTTCAATGTAGCAGAGGAACTCGACTGGGCGGTCAAACGTCAAGCATGGTAGAATCCGGAACCTAGACCAATCAATTGCACTGAAAGATCTGCCAAAGAGAGAAAAAGTCCGATAGATGCTTGTAGTATCGCGTGGCCCACGATCCCGAGCCCCACTCCCGACAACTTCCTAAAAGGGAAGCTCAATGTCGAACTCTTGGCGCTAGACTTTTCGTAGAGAACTGCATTCAACTCACCCGCGAATCACCTTAGGTTCCCCATAAAAATGGCGTCTCTGTTTTCCGTAAATGGGCACTATTCTTCAACTAAGACTACCTCAATGGGTCCTCGCTGGGTCTTTGGACCATCAGGTACAGGGGCGTCATTGCTTAGAAATTAAGCCACTAGTCCCTCGGTTGAATATAAATCGCTTGGTACGTCTTTCAAGTAACAGGTAATTTCCTGATGGAAGCTTTCGATCTTCGAGATTGAAAATATCCCACAAAGCTCAATGGGAGTACCGGACACGCTTTCTCCCCATGATGGGGTCTTGCCACCGGACCCGGAGCAGGCCAGAATAAACCACGAGCTTGCAGACTTGGAGAGACTAGGAAGAGAGCGACCAAAATGCTTTGGAGGGGCTTGGTCAGAGATCTCATTTTGTCTTTCAATTTTCATGTCCCAAATCCTTGCTGTATGTCACCCTCTACTACACTGACACCGGTGGCAAAGATCTAACACCTCCCCAGGAATACTACATCTCAGGCTCAAATGTGCTTCTTCCAACTCTCGTGAAAGAGCTCGACCTTCCCGAGGCCTCGGCAATCTGGCCATCGACTGCACTGTCTTTGGTCGTTACTTCGACACTGCTCATTTTCGGCAGGCTAACAGATATGTTCGGGGGATATGCGATCTACAATGCGGGAGCTATATGGCTCACAATCTCCTCCATCCTGTGTGGTGTTTCCCAAACATGGTTGATGTTGGTGATCTGTCGAGCGTTGCAAGGCTTCGCGCTGGCGGCCTTTCTTCCATCCGGCATCATGATTCTTGGCAGCACCTACCGACCCGGACCGAGAAAAAACATTGTCTTCAGTATTTATGGAGCATGCGCGGCTTTGGGTTTCTTCGTGGGAATCTTCTTTTCTGGTCTTTCCGGTGAATATCTCACCTGGAGATGGTATTTCTTTTTCGGCGCTATTTTGTCCGCTATCACCGCGGCCCTTTCTCTTTGGTCCATCCCCCGCGATTTTGCCGAAAAAAGGAACTCGGGTGTCAAGATGGACTGGCCTGGTGCATGTCTCTCTGTTCCGGCAGCCGTACTGATCGTCTTTGCCATTGCGGACAGCTCGCACGCGCCTCAAGGCTGGAAAACACCATACATCCCTCTTTTCCTTGCACTGGGATTGATTATCCTTGGCGTCATGGTTTATGTGGAAGGATGGGTTGTTAAGAACCCGCTACTTCCTGGGGATATCTTCAAGGTGAAGTATATGCTCCCTCTTGTGATAGCATTGCTTTTCCTGTACGGAACATTGGGCACATTCCTCCTCTACGCCGTGCTTTAGTAAGTGTTGCCATGAGCTAAGCAACATTGAGAACAATACTAACCTGATAATACAGTATGTCCGATATTATGGGGGCATCCCCCATGCAAATTGTGGCATGGACCGCGCCCATGGGAGTCGGCGGCCTCATTCTGTCCGTTGGAGGAGGAATGATATTCCACAAAGTGCCGGGAACCATCTTGATGATAATATCTTGCCTTGGATATGTGGGATCTGGGCTATTATTTGCCGTAATTCCCATCGGGGGCAATTACTGGGCTTACGTTTTCCCATCAATGATCTGCGGCACAATTGGTATCGACATCAGCTTCAATCTCGCCAATGTCTTCATCACGACAAATCTTCCGAAGGCAAGACAAGGACTTGCGGGAGCATTGATCAACTGCACTCTACATATGGGAATTGCAGTCATGCTTGGGTTTGCAGACATAGTGCAGACTGAAACGGTTGTTGACTCAGGAACCCGCGAAAGTTACAAAGCGGTGTTTTGGTACCAAACCGGGTTAGCCATTCTGGGGCTTATTATAGTAGTCCTCTTTGTGAGGATCCGAGAGGCAAAGAGCGAGTTGACACTCGACGAGCGAGAGGTGATGGCGGCCACTGCAAATGAAAGGACTGGTGAAGTTTAATATATTAGATACCCAAGTCGCCTTATGACCCACAAGATGTGGCATTTTCAAAATAAAAATTATGAATTTAATCTGGCTGATGCGTTTATCCATAGACGAAATTGATCCCTGTAGCCAAACTCTGGTTGCCAAAGGGTCTGCTCATCATTGAAGGAGACATAGAAACCTCCCTACGTGTGCCGGGAAATTCGTTTGTAGCAAGTAGGGTATAGAGGAGTCTGTCTGTAGTTATGGAAAGTAGAGAGAGGACCATTTGGAACCTCTTTTAACCGAGTAACTGCAAATTTGAGGGTTGTGAATACTTCAAGAAAGGGCCCTGGACATGTTTCTGTAGTTCCGAAAATAGAATGCATCCCATTGGTTAAAGCAACCCGTAATCACATGTGCCGGGACCCAGTCCCTGAGCACATCACGTGACTGATTGATTCCGAGGCTTGGCGTACACAATCCGTGGTAACACAACAGTTGCTTAATTGATCAGTTTGACCCTGATCTTCAATTGTCATTGTCTGGCTGAAACGGCTTCAAGATGACCCATTTGCAAACGGGCTGAGAAGTTCTACGACCATGTCACTTTCAGCCATACCTCTACAACCCCTCGTGTCGACGGCACGTGCGGACACAAATGACCACTCCTCCAACGCCGGTCCAGCCCTCCGAAGTCATGATTCCGCTACAGTACACCCCGAGGAAAAGCATCGCTCAAGCATGGAGATAAGCGATCGCGATATGCGCCCCTCCATGCGGCGGGGTCCCAGGGGACGGACGCCAGTCGCAGAAAAGCAACAACCGTTCGATCTGAGCTTCTTAACGGCCAAACACCCGCTCTTCCCACCTATGCCTTCCTACGGACCCCCTTCTCCCATTCGCCGGATACAGGGCTGCATCCTCATGCTTGTCTCGTTCTTCCTGTCCCTGTGCTTCCTGACGTCTATATTTGTCGGGGCCCTTGTGCGCACTGCCGCAGTCGCGATCGCGGACACTCGACTACGAATGACCGGCCACGACCCAGATACTCGGAGATCATTCTTTGAAGAAGAACGCACTCGAAGGAAAGCACGGGCCGAGTCTGACCGCAGGTGGGATCTCCGTCAGCACAAGAGGGACACCGAGGAGGAGCAGTTTCTTGAGGAAGGACATTCATTAGAGGGGGGCAAAGACCCTATTATCTGTGATGTTTCATACTATGCTCGCCGCGTTGGTCTCGATGTTGAGACGTTTCGCGTGCAGACAGAGGATGGGTTTATCATTACTCTATGGCATGTTTACGACCCTCAGGAGTATACGGCGTTATCGTCTGAGGAAAGACGTGAACGTGGACCCCGGGTTTTCACAAAGCCGAAATTGTTGCACTCTTCTGGAGCACAGTCCCAACGGCGGTACCCCGTTCTTCTGGTCCATGGACTGTTGCAAAGCGCTGGCGCATTTTGCACCAACGACGAAGATAGTCTGGCATTCTACCTTTGCAAGTCCGGGTATGATGTGTGGTTAGGCAATAATCGCTGTGGGTCACATCCTGAGCATACAACACTCTCGCCAGATGATCCTCGTATGTGGTCTTGGGATATCCGGCACCTCGGAACACTGGACCTTGCGGCCCTTACCTCCCGAGTTCTGTACGAGACCGGGTTCAACAAGCTAGGTCTGGTTTGCCATTCGCAAGGCACCACTCAGACCTTTGTGGCTCTGGCTAAAGAGCAGCGCCCCGAACTGGGCCAGCGTATCTCCGTTTTCTGTGCACTGGCACCTGCTGTGTATGCTGGGCCCCTGGTTCACCGACCATACTTTCGTTTCATGAGCCTTCTCTCCCCAGCAATGTTCCGCCTTGTCTTCGGCATCCACTCTTTCATCCCTTTCATGATGACCGCCCGTCGTCTGCTTCCACCCCGGATATATGGCACTCTAGCATACTGGGTGTTCTCATACCTATTTGACTGGTCTGATACGCGCTGGGAGCGTGATCTGCGGCACCGCATGTTCCAATTCGCCCCAGTATACGTGAGCGCTGAGTCCATGCGTTGGTGGCTCGGTAGCGATAGTTTCGCCAAACACAAATGTATTCTCGCTACGGAGGACGAGTTGCGACGTGAGGCTACTTCAACTGACAGTCTACCCGATGAGACTGTTGTTGAGTACGGTGATGATCCCCGTGACGCCTTTTTGGGAAACCCGGCCCCGAGCCCGTGGTATGGCCCAGGAACGCCCCCATTTGCATTTTGGATTGGCGGTTCCGATGCGCTTGTCGATGGTCGCCGACTGATGGATCGCTTCAACAGCGGCCGGGAGCCCAATGCGCGTCTTGTCCATTCGAAAATCATTGAAGAGTATGAGCACCTTGATGTGCTTTGGGCCATGGATGCTATCGACCAAGTCGGCCAAGAGGTTAAAGACGTCATCTGGAAGACCATGCCCGCCGATGCCCGTAATGTCTGCCGAGTTCCTCGGGGCGTAGATGAGGACTTTGACCAGGCATTACTGTAATATTTGCATATTTTTGTAAACCTTGACTTGTCCATAGGACCTTTACATGTACATACTATCATTTCGATGTTCTGTCCCTGAACTATAAAATGGGACATGATAATACTACGCACCATTTGTTACCACCTGGATAACAGAAAATTAGGGTTTTTTTTTTGAAATAGTGTTCCAATCATCTCAGGTGTGAAACGGAGACATCGGGCGGTTGGGTGCGAGGGTCCGATACATCCTCCGACCTTTGTGCCATCCTTCCGGAACCGGCTCCAGAGAACCCAAATCAATCCGACCACTCTCAAGCAAAGCCTTCTTTACTTCAAAATGACCGAACGTTTCGACAGTCTCCACTCATGTCTCCGCAGGAGCCTGCATAGCCACACACGTAGAGCGTGCCACCGGACTTGGCCTGAGACTGACCCCCGCAACTACGTAGTAGAAAGCCAAATGATTGTCTCCCCGGAGAAACCACCTGTATCAGATTAGCAACTCTGTATGGACGGGCTATGAACTAAGCGGGCCGTCCCACCCGGGCAGCCAAAGAAAACCGCACTGAGTGGTGGATTAATCTGGTAGAGCACGAGGGTCTGCGGGGAATATTGATAGTCCGGAGGCTGCTTCGGCCACCGACGCATCGCTTCACACCTGGGCAATGAGGACGGATGGATGCGAATGGTTACTTCCCAGCGGGGTTGATTGCCTTGTGCCCAAAGGCTCGTTGTTGTAATGGCTGGGCAGTCTTGGAAAGACATGAAGAAATGTATTTAAGAGGGATTGATCATTACATCAATAAGTCCAGCCAGCATCGAGAATCGAAATGGTGCGCATCATCTCCTCACTAATCAAGACGATTGTCTCCTTCGGGGCCCTCGCCTCCGCATTCACCAACCCCATCCGAAACCCCGGGGGCAGCGATCCAAGTCTCGTCTACTCGGGTGGATACTACTACCTCCTGACGACGACATGGACAGACGTGCAAATCACCCGGGCGACCAGCATCGAGGGTCTGAAGAACGGCGAGAAAAAGATCGTCTATTCGACCGACGACGCCTCGCGATGCTGCAATAATTGGGCTCCGGAGTTACACTGGCTCGGCGATAAATGGTATATCTACTACACTGCTGGGACTGCGGATAATTTGGATGGGCAGAGGTCGCACGTTCTAGCTGGTATGGATATCCATCTAGCCCCTTCCCTGTGGCCCCATCGATCTTATTCTTTTATGTAACGAGAGGAATATTGAAAGATTAACTATGAGGTACAGGAGGTAGCACCCCTTGGGACTCCTGGTCCTACGGCGCCCAGCTAACGACAGAATGGGGCATCGACGCGACCATCGTCCGCTTCAACGAATACGGCAACTACCTTGTCTTCTCCTGCTTCCATGGCGTCACCTACCAGTCGCTCTGCATGCAAAAGCTCGGTGACGACTTCATTTCCGTTACGGGCGATATCACCGTCATCTCGGAGCCAACCGAAGACTTTGAAATCCACGGCACCCCTGTGCAGGAAGGTCCCGCGGCGTTGTACACAAACGGTCAGACACGAATCGTTTACTCTGCTTCATACTGTTGGACACAATACTACTGCCTAGCCAGTCTGACCTGGGATGGCACGACGAACCCCACCCAGGCGAGTGCGTGGAAGAAATCAGATGGATGTCTACTGGCCTCAACCAACGGGAACTACGGCACGGGGCATAATAGCTTCTTCCAGAGTCCGGATGGAACGGAGGTGTGGACTGCATTCCATGCGACCACGAATAGTGCGGGTGCATGTGATGATAGTCGATATACGATGGTGCAGCCGGTGGGGAGTAATGCTGATGGGACACCGAATTTCGGAGAGGCCGCGCCGTGGACGCAGGTGTTTGAGGAGCCGAGTGTTTAGTGCGCACTGAGAAGTATCTAAGTTACGGCTGGCTGGGGTGTATAGATGGCCTGGACAGTTTTCTTGGTGGTGAGCGGGTACCTTGTTGTGATGTGTGTAGGTATCATGTCATTTTATGAAAAAAGAAAAGGGGTTGCAACATCATGGATCAGTAGCTGCTACACATACGCGCACACTCAGAGCTTTATGCCGCCCCAAGAGAGTACCATTCAAACAGAGAAAGAGAGAAGTGAGAAAGAGTATTTCACATGATTGCTATTCATCTGATGCACACTATTTGTCGACTGGTGTTGATCTATATTCATGTGCCGCCCATTAAATCATGAAAGGAGCAGGTCCAAACGACCTCGGGATGAATGAGAGATCGAGCTTCTATATGGAACTTCCATCCTCAAGTGCTGTTGCCCGCAACAACGTATTGCTTCTCTGTCTTCAACTTGCTGAGTGTGTCATCGTCAAGGTTCAAAGTATCCGCAATAATCTGTTTGGGGGTGGATGCAATCCATTGGCCAAGGGCAACATCTACAAATCGTCAGCAAATTGTTGTGCTACCACCGGGAAACAACTCATACCTGTAAACATAGAAGCTTGAAGAACCTCTACAAACACGAGGTCTTGATCTCCTGTGTTCTCGATATAGTGACTGTTAGACTTCGGGAAGTAGCCAACATCTCCAGCGGTATAATCAAATGTAGTCGCAGCGTTCGGTGCTGTAAACAGGGTAGCGCGACCCTGACCAGAAATGAAGAATGTCCATTCGTCGCTAGCAGGATGCCAATGGACTTCACGCATACCACCCGGGTGAACTGTCACCACTGCAGCTGAGAAGTTGGCGGCGATGGGGAACGTCAATGGATCGACGATTTTGACCGAGCCACCTGCAACTTCGTGGGCGGGTTGCTCGGAGAAATGGTAGGAGTAACTTTGGCCACGCGGCACAATACCGGAAGAGGTTGTTACGTTTTGTTTCTCAATGTCCGCAGGTGCTGGTGTGCCCTTGAAGATGTAGAGTTCATCTTCGGGAATCTTATCGAAGGCTGATACATCGAGACCGAAATTCTTGGACAGAACTTCTTTCTGCTCATTGTATTAGCAGCTGAATTATATAAAAGAAAGGGATACAAGAGCCAGATATGCCACCTACAGGAGTGTGAAGGAAGACTTCGCTCGCTAGGAACGTGTTGTCCTCGCTAAAGTCACCGTCGTCGAACACTAGAAGGAACTCAACTCCGTCGTCGAGAGCTTGGATTGAATGAGGAACACCGCTAGATAAGGTCAGCCATTGACAACCTTTGGGAGTTTAGATGATGCGCAACACTCACGGTGGGAAATACCAGACATCTCCAGCAGCTACGTCATCAACGAATGTCTCTCCGTTCTCATTCACAGCCTAGTCTTGTAAGCATTTTCTCTCGAGGCATAGAGACAGTCGAAAATACCTGAATTCTGCAAGATCCATTCAGCACCAGAGACCATTCGGCCGCAACGTGCCAATGCAGCTCCCGATAACCGGCAGGCTCAAGGCGCATATCCACTCCCGCCATCAATGTTGCATCCGGCATCACATTCACGTTTTCTTGGCGAGCCCAACCTGCCCCATCCTGTCCTAGTCTTCCAATTATCAGTCTTGTCATTTGTTTATTTTGTTCAATGATAATCACCTGTTGTGGCTCAATCCTGCAATATCGTTAACTCTGTCTGTTCCCCACAAAACTAGCGAACTTACCCATCGGCCATTGCGCATTGATTGTTTGACCATGGTCAGTTCCCGGAGGTGCAAGTTTATCACTGTTAATCCTATCGTAATAGTAGTTTCCTATAAAATCAGCATCGGGTATTTTACTAAAGAGCTTGAGGTGCCGCAAACGTACTCGGGCCGGGGTCATCGGCACCCGTGGAACCACGGATCGGCTGGGGATTGTCGGCTTTCTGGAAATCAAGATATGACCCAATTTTGGGGTCTTCCTTCTGCCCGGGGAGAAGAGTGTATTTGATATCAGGCGGAGAGTCGCCGCCACCCTTATTCGATGACGAATATCCAACGAGTGACCCGCTGCCTCGAAGGGGTGGGTTGTCTGCATCCCTTCGAGCAGGTGCAGCACACACCACGGGCAGAATGGCCGGGATCAAGGTTGTAAAGACCCCGAGCTTCATGTTTGAGAACTCGTGCTTGCAGAGAAAAGAGAATAAAGAAGACTCGTTTGTTAGGTTGAATCTGATTCTGCCGTCGTGTGGCAGAGCCCTATTTATATGTAGGCCCACCTCAAGCTTGGGCCATCAATTATTCGAGGCTGCATCATAGGAACCAACGCTGTCGGGTGATCAAGTCCAATGTCTAGAATACCAGGCGTACCACTTGTTACCAGATATTACCAGCATAGACCTCGGTGTTTCTAACCCATTTTACCGGTGGTCTCCGCATGCGACTCGAAGCTCTCCTCGGCATTTAATTTTGATGAGCATGCTTCTCAGTGCCCAAAGCCCTGTAAAGCGCTGATATAATTGACCTACATGGCTCCAAGATTGAATCAGTGAAATAAAGTAGAAGCTGCTGGTCAGGTCAAGTTTCATCATCCCAACGTCGTCATTAAAATTGTCCAGTGGAAACACTATAGCATCTTCAACTCAAAGTACGGTGGACTGATTTGAGTTCACAACCCTTCATACTATGCTAGTGTCCCCTAGTTTTGATTCAACATACAGAGCCGCTTTTCCCCGTCCCTGGCATTGTGATTATACAGTCTAATGAGATTTTCGGCACTCGAAAGGAAAATAGAACCCCGTAATAGAATACAGCCTTACCAGGTATATGTCGGCAATGGATTATACAAGAAGGCTCGGGGAAAAGTATCAGCCCTACAAAGGGCCAATGCCTTCCAAGGTTCTCCTCATGCGATGTCATTCATTCCAACACCCTGCGGAGCTAAGAGAGTATTTCCCCTCATCGCCATGCCAAAAGAGGCAAATAATAAGGGATCGGTCCTTTCTCCAACTACACATTACTGGCTGTGATATCCGACGAAGAGAAGCCTAGACAGGAGCGGGGACAATGGGGAAAGGGGTGATTACAGAGCGAATCATCAATGAGGGATGGAAAGATTTTGATTATTCCATCACCCCTCACCGGCATCAGCGGAACTGCGCTGTAGGTATCGGCATTGCCCAAGATGAAAGTAGAGCATTTCACTGACATAGCCCTATACATAAACCGACTATTGCAAGGTTCAACGCGCACCGGAGCTGCCTTCCTGCATGGCTCTAAATTTAGCTGACCAACTAGAACAATGCATCAGATTTACATTGAAATTATAAAAACCGATTACTGCTATACAGCAAGACATTGACGAGGGCAGAAGCAAACCTTACTGCACACAGTAGTATTTCACTCCGTCCTATGCCGCCTGCAGTCAAATTGGTTGAGTCCCCAATATAAAGATGGAGAACAGACAGGGATATTCAACAAGCACAGAAGACCCACTCTGCACAAGCAAGAAAATCGCCCCGCGAGAGTAAGCTACCGGGGTGAAAATGCATGTCAGACTATATCAAACTACATTGGGTAATTGGTTTGTAGCGCGATGTATAGAAACGGGGACCAACAAGTCGGATCTGAAATTCGGATTCATCAATAACTCAGTCTCTTCCAAAGGAGTTAAATGATCGAGATGATAGCTACTAGAAGATTTGTTCACTTTTTGAGAAAGAGCTAAGCTTCTCCAGCCAAGATAATTGAAACAGACTAGTGAAGGTTAGACCACAAACATTCTGTCTGGTCGGTTGGGTCAGAGCCTTGTGGAGACCTGCACCTCGACGGTCCTCGATAGGTGGACCCCGGATTCCCCACTTGGCTTCTGACATAGGGCGCCATGGAATTCACCGGTGACAGGTACCCTCTTAGTCAAGAGCCAAGCTCCAAAATGGGGTTGAGGTTGACTTCTCCCATATTCTCCATTTTCAAGGGTGGTGAAAATTGCACCGCGACAAGTATCGCCCCTGGGTCTAACCCTTTGGAGATTGAGGACTTCCTTGTCAGCGCATTTATTGCTGTGTTGTGTTTGCCCCGTTGCTGCATGCAAGGCAAAGCTCACATGGATGGAAATGGGGGTATAATGCAGGCTTGAAGGGGGAGGAGCGTGCACCGGGCGTTGGCTCGATTGAGAAATCATCCTTGGAAGTTGGTAGGTAGGGCTGGGTGGCAGTCATTCTGTGACCCCGCACGCTATTTATACGCTCCAAGGCATATGAAAACGGGAGTTTAGTGACGGGATATATGAATCAGTAATCAGATATACAAGCTCTGTTGTACGTGAAAGACACAATGACTAGGCTGAACAATGGCATGCAAAACCCCGGGGTCTGCAGATGCCATGACTCTTGGCCGCACGACTCAAGATCGCCAAGTTTCGATCTTATTATTGTAGCTTGCCCCACCGCCCTTTAATAGAAAGCAAAACAAGCACGGAGCAGACTTATCAAAGCTTGTCAAGAAAGGGCCGAGCTTGGCGGGGTTACGCCTTAGCTTGGACTAAATATCGGGATCTTACCAGATTCGCAATGAGCATACGCGTTATTTCAGATGGCATGAAGACTGTTTCCAGGGTAATTCTCTCACTCTGCGAGAAAATTACTTGAAATTGAATTTTAGACTGCAGTGAGAATGTTCCAAAGTACTCCGTACATCCATCGCGGAAAGCCCCTGGATGGTGCCCCGGAGACTCGCCCGGCCCGTCTTACGTGTGAAAACTTGCCCAGCCCTACGACGCCAGGGGTAATACTCAAATATTGAACCAATGAGTTGCGTACAAAAAATATGACAAAATCTGCGTCATGGAAACGAGGATGCCTATGGCGTGAGGGGTACCAAAATGCAGACATCTGACCGAAACGCCCCTCGATAGCGCTACAAAGCAAGGGAGGCTCCGTATGAGTGATTTTGTCGGCAAAAAGAAGCCGAGAGAGTTCGCCTCATCGTGATCTATGTATTTTGCGCACTCAACGCCAAGGATGACCGCCCGGGGGTGAACTGAACCGCCGTTTGGATTCCACTTGAGATGCCGAGTAGTTCCGTATTCCAACATAGAATGAAGTGAGATCCCGAGAAGTGCCATTCATTACCCCAGATATTGCAGTGCCAGATTCTGATTCATAGCATTTCATTTTCATGTCGCAGATCCAAAATTGAATAAGAAGCCTCAGGATTCCCAATTTGATCCACTATAGCCAAAAATTCAACTGGGGAAATCCCGATGTTGTCAAGGAGTTCGGCGCTCGGGATCGGGTCTGCAGCGTAAGACGAATGAGGGTATCCAAAACCAGAAATATCATCCAGCGCCATATCATTCACAGAATTCCCATGTGGATCTTTCTCAGCTTCCACCTCTGCCTTGACGTCGCGAGAGGACCTGTCACCCTCTTGAGTCGTGTGGGAAAGAGTAAGAGGCTGCATTCCGTTGGTCTCAGCGCGGGTTGCTACCTCCAAGAATAAACTTTCAATGTAAACCAACTCATCTTTTCGAACCTGGGCTATCTTATTGCCATTGTTGATCATTTGGTCCAGGATAGAATGAGCATCAATCACAGAAGCTTGGCCATCAAGTGCCTCTGGAAATAAAGCGCTCGCCATTGCCAGATGAATCGCTGCTGCATATGTAAACTCGAGATTGTAAAGTAAGAAAACCTCTGGACTATTGTCAGCCAATACAGTTCCTTTCTTGCATGCAAATGCTTGGCTCACCGAGAAGACTGTCGCTGTGCGATAAGATTTGGAGGGTTTTAGAGGCAGACTTGATGCCTGTATTATCAACGTTTTTGTGAGATCCAGAGTACCCCCGACATCCCAATTATTGCTGTCAAGTTTGAGCAATCGCTACATGAGAGCAGAGAGGAGAAGAGGGCGCGTTGCGACAATAACACACTGCGTGAACCATGTGTTAAAAAAAGCCCAGACAACAGGAAAAAATTACAAGAGTGACTAACCTGGTGATAAAGTAACGTAATATGCCGTGTGCCTCTGGGCATTGAATCGACTGAATTGCGGAAAGTGGCATGTATGATATTTTCGACCTCTTGGGCGTGTCCAGTCAGTCTCTGCAAAATTGATCTCGTTGTGTCAAGAAAAACATTTACCTGTGTTTTCTCTGTTTTGTAAACGGCTGGATCGAGGTTCAGTCAATGTGGGGCATATGTAATAAGTTTGAGGAGAACTCACTGGTTAGAATCGAGGACAGTAAGTGAGATAGTTTGGCTTGTAGACTTAATGCTACATCCCGATGAGAAGCTGTGCAAGGCTCGATTGGGGTGCTGATATCGCTGTCTTGAGCAGACATCGGAAGTCCAACAGAATATGAGAAATGGCGGTCCATGATGTACAGGGTCCACCATAAGTTACGACATCGAGCCACCACATCTGTGCCGAGCTGTTCTTCAGACAATTGAGTGTGAAGTCCTTCATACTGTGCAATTCGCATGGCTTGACCGAGCTATTAAGAAATATCAATGTCAGAAGCGTGTACTACCAAAGGCGCTGCTCGTACTCACGTAAATATATGCAGACTCTCTTTGATCAATTGAGTACAGATACAATCCAACCATGGCAAGTACCTCAATCGCCAGCAAACTATCTTTCCACAGTGATGAGTGATTTGGCATCAGTGACATCGCACGAAGGAAGAAGTGTGATCCCGGTGGGTCGTCACTTTTCGTACGGGAAAGGAATGCTGATCCAAATGAAAGGACTAGGAGATACTGTATGAACCAAAGTCGCTGCTCGCTCGCCATCCTTATCGGATCACCATGGTAGAACTCGTTCAAATTTTGGATAAATTGCTCTTCATCGAAGAATCGATAGCTCTGACCAAGATGAAATTTGACAGTATCGAAGAGATACAGGGCGTAGTCGAGAGATGGCAAGCCACTAATATCGGGCCGTTCTTTAGTAGCATAACATTCCCATCTCAGTGGATATACTTCCTTCTCTATCAGAGTCGGAGCGCTCTCTGGGTACTTGTAATGTAAGGTCTCGGACATCAGAATGGACAGCCGAGTAGTAAACGACCACATGGATGAAGGGGCAAGCCAAACTATACGCATATTTAGCTTGGGAACCAGAACAATACTTTTGGTAACGGACTCCAACTGCGTCTGTTCTTTTTTGTGTTCTTTATGGTCGTTGAAGGTAAACTGAAGGGACTCGTCCATATACTTGGGGTATCGCTTATCGTCGGTGTTGGCGAGGATTCTTCACTTGATATCCCCACAAACTCTGGGATATCAACGGCAGCATCGGCGGACTTTTCGGGACTGAATTCGTGCTGTTCCCCGGAGGAGTATTGCGGCGGAGTTGCCGCAGATCTCTGTGACGCGACATGGGTTTGCTGGCCTCGGACCTGTGCCTCTAATTGTCGAAGATACCTGCAACGTGACTCTAGTCAGCATACCAGCCCAACAATGTCTCCAATGCCACAACCACGGACCTTTCGGATACCACAACGCGATTTGTCCCTTCATTGAATTCGCATTTCACCCCTCGCCGCTGGCAGTTGTTGCACGGATCGTCGCCGGAGCACTTGATTTTGCTATGCCGACAGGCAATGCACCTACCTCAAAGCCGATCAAAAGGATTCTTTGTAGCCCAAGAGCTGTAACCGAGTGTCGTTGAGCGAATTCAAGGCGGGCCATCAGATCGAAAATGGAAGGAGCCCACAAGATGGTCGTATTGCGGGGAAAGGTACGAAGTAGTTCAAGTTGCCCATCAAATGAGGATAGTGGACCCGACAAACCCGACAGATCCGATAATGCCGAACATGCCGAACATACTGAGCCGAAATCCACTCCTTTTTAAGATGGCAGACGACCTTAGGTTAGCCATTGAGAGCTTCTGAGATATCACAAATCAAGATTAAAAAGGTCAAAGCAACATTAAGTCGCCAAAGTATTGTCACACATATGAAAGGGGCATGCATAGAGGCGCGGCTGAAGTCGAAAGATTTTGGCCTGACGTTTGCTTTGTATCGAGGGAAGCGCGGAGATCATGTCGCAAGGTAATGTAGTATTTTTGAGAAGAGGAGAGGAAAGAGGTAATGGAGATGGGAAGAGAGAGAGAGAACTCAATGCACGGTAGCAACCTGCAGAAGCCTGACAAACAGGGCACCCACGGGCACTGGCATCTTGACACCTGAGATCTTTGCTTTCTCTCTCTTGAGAGCTAGAGTAGGACTAAAATTATTTCATCATGCGAATCTTAATCATTCTGAAAGTGATGCCCTTGATAATCTCTGAAATGTCACTATGAGATTCTGATATGGAGATCGCAGATTCGGTTGATACGTTCGTTGTGAAGGAGATGCTAACAATTGTACTTGCAATTAAGCTCACGCCACTCAAACGATGGAGATATTGCTTTTATGTCCGTCCATAATCTTTCAATTCTGCTGTGACCCCAGCCTGGTCACCAAAGTACGAGCTAAATTAAACCAACGTATCCTGTAGAGTACTCCGTGTCGTGCTGAGAATGAAACTGCCGGAAACGCGAGGATAAAAAACACAGGTAGCACCATTAGCTCTCGCTTCTCGTCTTTTTCTTTTCTCCGGCTATTTTCGATTTAGAGATAATTTATAAACAGACTCCTGCTTTTTGTGCCGTTGAAAACAATCGATGGAACGGAGCGAGAGTGAGAACCGCAAAACACCCATGGACAAAGAAATTGTCTAATAATTTTCTCCAATACTCCGTATGTCAGTTGGGCATAGCCCTGGAGAGTATGGAATCCAGATCGCTTCCACAAGCAGGCAGACACATGTGCAGAGACCCAATTACCCAATGAAACCAAATTTCCACCCCTTTTGACTTGACCTCCGAAAATCAGTGAGCTTATGAGTGGCCGTCACAGCTGCTATCATCATCATTTCTGTATCATAGGCTCATTTGGCCAACCGCCGCCACCAAATCTCGCATTGGCCCTAGCGAGGTCCATGGGGTGTGACACATCCCAAGGTCTTCGTTCACTTTCATTGCCTCGGATACTCCGTAGATTGAATTCCTAACCAATTGACACGTTCGGCCTTTATTCAAATTCAATTATCATCTGCCACCTCGATAAAGCACCATGTCCCAGGGTCACTCATCAGGCCACCCGAAAAGGAAATCTCACACACGAAACACAAATGCGGGGTTGCCAAGCCCCTAATTTGTTAGCGCATGCACCCTTGACCAGTGAAGCCATCTAACAGGTCGGAGGAAGTACAGTGACGACTACTGAGTAAGAAGACATTTATGATAGGCCAACCTCGATTGGTGTGTTTACACCACGACGGGGGGCGGACATCGTACAGTAGTACACAAGCGGGAAGGAGCCAAGTCAGGTTCTGATTTCTCTCAAGTGGAGATCAAATGGATTCTTCAGCCGAGTGGATCTGTCACTTTTGTCATTTTACTTTGGGCGGATTGTTTGTTTGTACTTATACTTCCTTGCAGACCAAAAATCATAGTGCTTGGGCAGGTCGCCATACAATTTGTTTGGAATGTGCTTGTACCCCCTGACACGTATCCCTCCTTTTTCGTTCCACACCCCCTATTTAATGGGTGCATGGCATGATGATCATTTTTGACTATGCTGCCTGAGTCATTTTGGGAGTCCTTGGTCTATTATCGCCCCTTCCTGCCTGAATTAGGGTTTAACCCTGGATCACAATGTGTCTCATCTTTGAATCCATCATCATCACCTAGCAACTCAGAGCAATCAATGATTAGCCGACTCAGCCGACTCAGCGAGGTCATCCTGACAAAGCCATCTATGGCTGGCATATAATTCTCCACAAGAGCACTGCTTAGATCAAAATATCTCTGTCTACCAGAGCACCTAGGAATCTTTAGAGCATGTAATGCGAGTGTATTGAAACTATGGGTACAGTAGCCCTAATAAAAACAAAACACCGGTTCTGTGTTGTTTCCTGACAACAATAATAAAGACCGACCGAACAAACAAAGTAATAGAAAACATAGAGCGCCAAGACATGGTGAAAGGATAGTATGGGGTCATAAATGGCCAGCGAGCAAGCCCAGCGAGCTCGTTGCGAGACATGTCGTTAAGAGAAGATGGACATGAGGACGACGGAATGTCTGCGAGGTATATGGAAGGGTTGGTCTAGCGAGCCACACGCTTGAGGTATCGCAAGGTGAGATAAACGGCGGCCATGCTGGTGTACATGCCACCGCCAGCAGTGACCCAAACCGGACGATGGACATTAAGGGACGTTCGCAGGAGGTTGGCCTCCTTAGGCTGTCTCTCTCCTACAAAGGGTGTGAGCTATACTGAGTCTCACTGAGTCGCATATATACAGTCAGAAAAGGAGGGGGCAATGACATACCTTGTTGGAATAGACGTTGACGAAGGTTACTCAGACCCTGTCTCGAGCGGGCAGGGAGAGTTGCGATCTGTTGAAGGATAGGGCCCATGGGTGCAGACATCGTGGATGCTTCCTGTGAGATAGAACGTGAATAAAGATAGTCGAGTAGATGAAAGCTGAATCAGGATCTGAGTGGAGAGTTGGGTTGCACACGAAGTAGCAACCTTGAAGACCTTATATACGTGAGCATCAGATGACACAATGCGGGGTTAGGAGTCAGTGAAGACTGACTGAAGGGTGACATCTGGGACATCCCCTGCACGGTGGCAATCCAGTCGTTGGGCTGTGGCATTGCCTGGGTATTCAGGGGATATGGGCGCTACGACCGTGGTCTGGACTGAGTGTCGTAGTGATGAGGGATAGGGCTCTTCCGTTCCATGGTTTGGAATATATGTGCTTTCAGGTACATGCTACATGATGCCAAAGCAATCTACTCGCTCAGGTGGTATTGAGTCTTGATATGGGCTTACATTTTGAAAGCCCAAGAGTAGTGGAGACATTAAATGGAGGACCGCACTAGTCTAGGCTTGTCAAGGCAGTCTTGGTTGACCTACCATTGACTACAATTGGTAACCCCCGGAGGCGCCAATGGCAAAGGTACGTAAAACACGAGCCTGCAAGTACATTGAGGTATCAGGGCTTATGTAGATTGGTACAGATGTACCTTCAAGTACCCGCATGTACAAAGCAGGTGGTGACACACAATGGGCTGATGGCTGGGTGACCCCGACCTATGTCTGCAGAAGTGGATGATTCCTTGATCTCATAGTCGTGAGTTTCTTCTTTATCTTTCTCAAGCAACAGCACAAGAACGCCAGGGAACCAGAGGCCTAACAGTTGTGGGTCATCGGGTATCCACAAAATCCGGGGATTGCGGGGGAGTGGGACTAGGCTGAGATCCACTTCTTACTCTTCTGATTTCTCTCCCTACTACGTACACTTGACAGCTTCTCCGAAGAAATGCAAGACCCTGAGAACGCTCATTCCTTGCAACGAATCATTCGCTTACGTCTGTGCATGTTCCTAAATCTGATTTTAGGGCAAGGGCTGATGTACGACGCACCCCTGGCGAAGCACCCCAGCCATCACGACGCAGAGACCAATCCTCTCTCTCATGGAACCTGGTCCCTGACAGCTGAGTGAGCTCTCGGATTCTTATTACAGCCCACTGCGTGATCCCACTGTGATCCCTCCCACCGCATCGCGACGAAGCAAGCGAGACGATACCGACAAGTCGCCATCAGACGCACAAAATCAACTGGGCCTCACGGACAAAAGGAGTGGCACAGGTTGCGAGGAAATGTGATCGTGCGGATGGATTTGAAGGGCTTTGAGAGAAATCATTGGGAAATCCGTGTATTACCCCATTTCTGCTTCTGGGCGTGCCATTCAATACTGGCGCCCATTCGCCACGAGAGAGAGATATCGCTCTCATCATACGTGTACCGGGTTCCCATGCGCTAACATCTAATATTATGGTTGGTGACTTGTTGCTGACCCCTAGGTACGCGTTCGCAATTGGCCAATGACCCGGCCGCTGGGACTGTCCGAGTGCCCCACCGTTCTCACAGAGCTTAGGCTCCACTCAGTTTTCGGATCTAGTTCGATGAATGCCCTTTATATATGCTCAAAGGCTTCAAGATTGAATAAATGACAAGCCGCATTAGAAGCGCGGGATCTGTCGGCACCATTTTTGATCATGGTGAATTTTCGACGACTGCCCAAGAAATTCTTCCGTTCGAAATCGTACATCTGGTTTGCCAAATATTTTGCCCTATAATCACCTGAGTGACCTGACAGAAGGTGGAGAGGGAAAAGATACAAAAAAAAAAGCTTGGAAACTGCCAAACTCGCCCTGCCCCTGGGATCGAACCGGAGACATTTCTGGGGTTGATATTCAGTTGCCCGGGGGCGACCACAGTGTAACCAACCCCAACCCCACGAATGCGACGGAGCATGGAGTGGGGATAATCCCACTCGGCCATTTTGGCGGCAGTTATAATACACTACCTCATTAGGACTTAAATACATACTCTATGCCCAGGTGCTTCTCAACACAGGGTCAACAGACCTCACATTCCCCAGCTGAGCAGCTTTGCTTAGCTCAGTTGGTTTTTCCAGTCTCGCGACTCCCCATATATATTCTTCGGTATCTCTGAAGTCACCAGGTCAATATCAAAAGCCGACGAGAGGAACGAGCCAAAGTCGATGGCCATCCATTTTTCCTTGTCCTACATTTCCAGACAGACTGCTCTGAAGCAACTCGTTTTCATCAATTGTGACCATTCACCAGATACCATCGGACATATCCTGGTGTTTCCCAAACGGTTGACTCAATTCACAACGAAATAACAGTCGATCTTACCCACATGCTGAGATGGATGTGCTCAGGTGGCTGATTCCCTAGATTAAAATATGTGCTGCCGGCACGACAGACACCACACTTCTAATGTGATTTGTCATTTATTCAATCCTGAAGCCTTTCCAAAGGTTGGGAGATTATATCAAGGGCATTCATCAAACTCTAAATGAATGGATACAATATTTTACTTAGAATCTGAAGGTAGCTGGAACCTTTCAAGGTTGGAATGAACAAATCATCAAATTATTACATTGCTATTATGTAGAAGAAAGGACTGTACTTGATCGACAAAGGGGAGCAGCAACTTGCACTAGTTCAAATAAACTTATGCAGTCTGACTTGACCCAAAAATGCCTCTGGAAAAGCTCTGACGAAGCTGATTTACTTCAAATCCGCGCAGCCAAGAGCCACGGTGCCACCCTGTGATGAAAATTAGTACTGCGTGGCAAATTTGTTCAGCTCTGTCGCTTACCAGAAGGTTGGCCTCGGTACAGCATTGAGGCTTAGTCTCACAGCTGGAGTCATAGCCATGGCCTGTGAAATGCATTAGCAACAAGCTTGACAAGCTTCGATTAGGGACGGTAAAGACATACAAGCAAGACCGACAGATCCGACAATGTTGGCGGCATCAACGCCGAGAGCCAGCAGGAGCGGGTCGACGGTGGAGTCGAGGGGGTAGTGAGAGTACCACAGCAAAGCAAGGGTCCCACACATTCAGAGGTATCACCACGCTTGAGGGAGAGACTCTCGCTGGGGCGAGCAGACACCATGCCGGCGCCAACCAGAGAGAGGACAGAGAGAGCGAAGAATCTCATTTTGATGATTGTTGTGTGGGTGGTGGAAATTGGAGATTTGGTTGCTTGTTTGGTGAGAGGTTGCTGATGAGGAACGAGAGTCAAAGTCCAGGGATATGAGCGGCCTTATATAGCTTCCAGGAGAGGATCACCTAGGACAAAGATTGCTTCTAGATGAGAATTTTAGTCAACCGCTGTGTACTGTTATCACCGATTCAGGGTGTCAGCGACAAAGATTTGTGAGCTGTCGACCATGGGCCTACCGAGTAGTATTCCATAGAAGCGAGACATATGATCTGCAAAACTTTAGATAGGATTGTACTCCGTACCAAAGCAGGCTCCAGGGGGTCGACCCTGGACCGAGGCACATGCATGCAGGAACAGTATACCTTATGCTTGGTGTACATACAGAACGGCTGCACAGAGGGCAGATACCGACACTCTCCATTTGGAAAAGGCCAAAATGGCCCCCAGGTGAACTGGCTTGGCTGCCGATCTGACTTGGCTTATGTCCATTATCATGAAAAGCGTTGCAGTCACTGGCCCAAGGTCGATGTACCAGTCAATTGGCAATTAGCGAGTGGAGCACTTTGACCAGTTCCTCTTCTCAATCCTGCTCTCCAGATGGGAGGGGCCTTATCTGCGGAGCCGATAGCCGGGCGATCTTTTCAGTGGCTCTCGAACCAGGGCCGCTGAGAGGCTAATCCACTGCAAGGTACGCAGAGTATGGAGCACTTGGAGCTCAGTGCACCCGCCTCTCCAGCTGCGGCAAAAGTCATTTGACCATGAGCCAACTGTAAGCTTGGGCTCTTATCCAAAGTCTATTCCGTATATGAATGTTATGTAGTGATTTGTCACTGGTCACATTGTCGTGTATATTGCAGCAGTGGAGCCGGGCACAAATTCTTCCCGAGATAAGCCTCGCGCCGTTGATTGAACAGTGCCAGCACCGGCACCACGGGATGTGACTTCACTGCCGTTCCATGGTCTTGGTAGCCTTCGATCGGGACGGGAGTTAATCGGCATATATCTCTAACCGAGAGAGTGGAATCAAGGGATGGTTCTTGGCTTCTGCCGTTCGCGTCGATCTTGATAAGTGATGTTGGAAAGAGTTACGTGAATCAATTGAAGCCAATCTCGTTCACCGACAGGTCTCGGTTGCTGTCCAGTAGCTGGATTTTTTCAAGGCTACCAGTGTTAACCTCTTCAATCTCCAAGGTTCAATAGTTGACAATAGTCATCAGTCAGATGCGCCTGAGCACCTGGGCAATGCCAATGCCGAGAACTAAGACAAAGATAAGACGATGTTTTCATGAAGGATTGTAAAAATTCCTCTTGGTGGAAATAACCTGCTGAGACTCCCTGCGGTATGTCATCAAAAGAGAAGCAATGTAGATTCACGGATTATTTGGCAGAGCCAGCGACAAGGCCCCAAGGCAGAAAGACATGGGACAACAAGACGTGTGGCGGTGTGGCGGTGCTCTTTGTTCGCACCGCCACAGCCTCGCGACACAAAAAAACTTCCCTCAATTAACCCGCACCACATTCCACGGGGTTATCAATCAACCAACCCCTCTACATTTTTGATTTTTGAGCAGTTGCTTAGCGCAAATTGCCCTTAGATCATCACAATGCCTTCCACTTCTCTCGCAGACCTGGTGGCCGCCCTCCCAGCGGAGGACACCTGGGGCCCCTCCACCACCGCTGACAACATGTTGTCCGGTGTCCCTTACGCTCCTTTCTCCAAGGGCGACAAGTTGGGCCGTATGGCTGACTGGACTGCTGAGTCCAAGGAGCGCCAGAACCAGCGCCCTCAGTACAACCGTGGTTTCAGAGGTGAGTGTTTGGCCTTTTCCTCCTGCCCCTCTACCGCTTTCCGAGTCGGCGGGATCACTAACATTCTTCAACAGACCAGCAGGTTTACGGCGCCGGCTCCTCCAACCTCTTCACCGTCGCAACCGCCGAAGACGAGTCCTCCTTCTCCGTTGTTGACAACACCCGCACCCAAAAGCGCGCTTTCGGCCGTGGCGGTGGCACTGTCTTCCGTGGCCGCGGTGGCCAGCGCGGTGCTGCCAACCAGCGTGGTGGACGTGGTGGCTTCCAGCGTGCCGGTCCCGGTGGCCGTGACCAGAACAAGTCTGGATACAACTACGATACCCGCGGTGGACGTGGTGGCCAGCGTGGTGGCCGTCGTTTCGGCTGGAGAGATTACGACAAGCCCCAGCGCATCCGTGAGCCCTCTGTCAACATCCGTCCTGAATGGACTATGCTGGAGGAGGTTGACTTCAGCCGTCTTTCTAAGCTGAACCTCGATGCTCCCGAGGGTGAGGACCTCGAGACTTACGGTTTCCTCCATTACTACGACAAGTCTTACGACAAGGCCCCTGTCAAGAACGCCGAGCGCAGAATCCAGGCTCTCGACCGCGCCGCCTACAACGTCACCACTTCCCAGGATCCCGTCATCAACGAGCTCTCCGAGAAGAACGCCGCCACTGTTTTCGCTACCTCCGATATCCTCTCCATGCTGATGTGCGCTACCCGCAGTGTCTACTCGTGGGATATCGTCATTGTTCACCAGGGCGACAAGATTTACTTCGACAAGCGCGACGGTGCTTCCTTCGACATGGTCTCCGTGAACGAGAACGCCATTGACGCACCCCTCGAGGCCACCGAGACCACCGGCAAGCAGGACCAGCTCAACACCCCCAACGCTCTCGCCATGGAAGCTACCATCATCAACCACAACTTCGCCCTGCAGACCCTGACCGAGTCCGACAAGTCGAAGGTCTCCTTCTCCAAGCCTAACCCCTTCTACGACGAGACCGAGGAGACCGAGCCCCTCGCCTCCAAGGGTTACAAGTACCGCCGCTTCGACATTTCCCTCGAGCGCGACGAGGAGCCCGTCTCCATGGTTGTCCGTACCGAGGTCGACGCCGTCATGAAGGGCGGCCCTACCGGTGGTGAAGACCAGCAGCTGATCATCAAGGCTCTTAACGAGTTCGACCCCAAGGCCCAGGGCTCCGGCGGTGCCCTCGACTGGCGCAGCAAGCTCAACTCCCAGCGCGGTGCTGTCCTCGCCACTGAGATGAAGAACAACTCTGCCAAGCTTGCCCGCTGGACCACCCAGGCTATCCTCGCCAAGGCCGACGGCATGAAGCTCGGTTTTGTCTCTCGTGTCAACCCTCGCTCTGCCGCTGGCCACGTCGTTCTCGGCGTTGCTGGCTACAAGCCCCGCGAGTTCGCTAGCCAGATGAACCTGAACCTCGGTAACGGTTGGGGTATCGTCCGTACTATCGTTGACCGCATTCGCACCCTCGACTCCGAGGAGCCCGCTGAGAAGGTCAAGAAGTACGTCCTCATCAAGGACCCCAACAAGTCCGTTCTCCGTCTGTACAGCGTTCCTGCTACTACTTTCGAGGAAGATGAGGAGGCTGAGATTGAGGAGCCTTCTGATGAGAAGTCCGACGCTGAGGAGTAAACTGATGACTTGAATGTTCCAGATGTGCATACGTACTCTACCTAAAATTTGACGCTCTTATACTCTTGATAGATTTGATCATAATCCTTTTCTTCATTCAATTCACTCAAACGTAAAGTCCTAAAACTGGAGTTCAAGCCTCACTGGCACGTATACTTTCGACTCCATCACTGCGCCCATAGAGACATATCCAGGGCAACTGTGTAGCCCGCCAGACTGGCCTACGTATGTCTTCTTTGAGCAATCTCGGGAGTCACCACAGACCAGTAAACAGAGCCTTGGATTCAATGCCACCTTGGCAGGATCTCGGGATGCTCAATGTACTGCCCAGCTGTGGCCTGAAACCCGTTATATGCCTATAGGGTTGCAACCCTTGATATTTCCAGACACCAACACTTTTCAGAGGTACGACGGTAATAAGAAAATACCAAGGAGAATTCACAGCAAAGCGAGCAAGCCAATCAATTTCCAATGTGGACGACCTTTGGTGCATCACAAAGATAGAAGAAAGCAAAGGGATTTCAGCCAAAAGAAGCTTTCTGGTGAAAGCTTCACGTATGTACAAACAGATCAAACGCTAGCAATGATACAACCAGAGAACTCGGAAAAACCAGGTCATAATGATTTCCCCCTGTCTCACTCAACTCAGCCATACATCGACTCGTCGGCTGTACCAGACATGCCGAGATCAACCTTTGTGCCAAGCACGCTGCTAAGACAATCTATCAACTCAAAGTCCTCGACCACGGCTCCAAAGCCGTAGCATCGGACCTTGGTGTTTAGTGTGTCGATGATGATCTTGACGTCGTCGCGACGGAGAGTCGGGTATAGCTCGTGGTTCTTCAGACACTGGAGTGCCATGATTGGTGTGATTTGGCCCTCTGTCACAAGCTGTCGGCTGAGATTGAGGAGGGTGCTTAGGTTTGCGTGAGGCAGATCCGGCGCCTTGTGCGGGTATGGTTGTTCGTGGGTTGTCTTCTCGATATAACTTGGTGGCGGGCAGGTAGCCATCAAAGCATGCCCGGAGAATGGCATGTCTTCGTCGTCGGCTTCGGTGACGGATCGTCGACAGAGATAATCCGTGTGTTCGCGACAGGGTCCTTCTAGCCTAAACGGTGTCAGTATGCTGTGCGCGTGGTGTTCGGAAAGGGGCACTCACGTCAATATGAAATCAACTTGAAGCTGGGGATCTGTCTCGAACACGCCGCGGAGATTTTGCATAGGCACGGGCGGCATAGGTTGCATGGAATCCACCGGCGTAAATGACGAATGATCCATCGACATGGATTGTTCACCAGGGCTAGTCTGGTAGACTTGCTGACCACCATATCCGATCGAGGGCGAGACATCGGAGTGGTCCATCCCATTAGCACGCGGGCTCATGTCGGAGAGGGTGGTCGCCGGGGTCGTATCATGGTTGCTGACTGAGGTTGTACGAGGCACCGATTGTGATGCAGTGCTGCTCGCAGCAACGGGACTGGAATCGAAAGGCATGGGCGGGCGCTCCGCCCGTCGTCGCTCGAATTCGGCTTCATATTGAACTCCGTGTGCTGCCAGGATCTCCTTGAGGATCTCGTTCTCCTCCCGTACTGCATGAATCGCGCCCTTTTGTTGGTGAATCGTGGCGTTGGCATCTGCGATCTCCGTCGTGTATGCTTCCCGTAATCGCGACACCTCGGTCTCGAGTGCTCGCATGTATTGTTCCTTGCGCTCGCGATGCGTCCTAGCCAAAATCAGCCCCATTCTTCTAACCGGTGACGCTGTGGTTCTACCTCTGTGCCTGGCGGTTCAATTCTTGTCGCCGAGTCAACGCCGGCTTGCTGTCGGGCTTCGGTCCTCGTCGCTTGGGCTGTTGACCATCTGGGGAGGTCAGTGGTGGAATATGTGACGAGCGGGGGCTGAGTGGGTGCTCACCTCGAGTCGCCTTCTTCTGGGCATTCGCATTCTGATTCTGGGCGCTGCCATTACCTCCAAAGATTTTGAAGATTTCGGAGCCAAAGCCTCGAGATGATGGGGTTTGTGGTTCCTCTGCGATGGCTTGCACCGTGCACTCCGGGGCCGTGGGCCGAGCCGGAGAGACATCGGCGCGATAAAGTCAGCGATCGAGATCTCGAGATTGCGATCGAAGTTGGGAACCGCTTGGCGTTGGATCGAGACTCTGAATAGCTTCCGAGACAACACTCGAGAGCTTCCCCCGAAAGCCGACGGAGTGCTTGCGGATTTCCCCAGCGCCAAGTTTCCGATCGCAATTTCACGAGACATCGCACTCACCATATTGCATGTGGTCCATGGGGTATACCCCGCCGCTCATGATGAAGACAGGGGAAGCAAAAGAAGCAAGGGAGGGAATGGAAGGGAAGAAACGAAATGAGTCGAAAGTGTAAGTGTCCGGTAGGAGGAAGAGAGTGAAAGTGAAAGTGAAAGTCAAGAGTGGAGGTGATAACGTGCCCCTAAACACTTTCTCGTTTTTTTTTTCGGATTTTATTTTTCTTCCCGTTCTGTTCTTCATCTCCGTTTGTTCCTTTGCATTTTTTAAAATTACTGAGATCCTCGTTTGCTCCACCTTTTCAACGGCGTCGGGAGTGGCATTTTATTGTATTCCATTCATTTATGGGGTACTCCTTCGTACGGAAGTCTTCGGTTGGTAGAACAATACCTGAACAAGGTCATTACGGTTAAATCCTCCTTTAGAGGGATTGGTACTCCGTAGGCATCAGACCCCGTATACTCCAGTACAAAGCGATTGTACGGAGTATCGGAGCCCAGGTACTGATGAGGTACTTCTATCCTTTGCCACCCCACTCCCACAAGGCAAGTATCCGGCAGGTATTGGGGAGATGTGACCTGTCGAAAAGAGTCTAGAACCACCAATGATTGAAAGGAACTATTCACGATTATTTTCTTGACAAATTCCTGCAGATCTCTCAATAGTCTGTGATCAGAAAGTTCCTTGTTGTTGATCTGCCACTATTGCTTTTCATCACATCTAAGCCTTACCCGATCGACCGTCTGATTGGCCCATCGCAAAAGAAGAGATGTCGGGTATCGTGCTGGTATCTGACATCACCATAGTGACATCAACACATTCCAACATGGATAATATACAGTTGTACGACCTACTTCGGGGTTCAACTTCCTTCACAGAGTGCATTGCATGCAATGGCCCCTAAGAAAGTCGCCATCATAGGCGCCGGTGCCGCCGGTATGTCCTGCGCCTCGACATTGGCCAAGCACCCACAATTTGCCGTCACTCTAATAGACACGGAGAGTTACACTGGTGGCCAGGCCACATCAATCACTTTGGATGAAAGCAAACACGGGGCAAGCTGGCTGAACGACGGCGTTCAAGGGGGCTCACAGATCTTCCGGCATACCTTTCAATTCTTCCGTCGCTACGGCTATGAGCCTCAACAGGTGAAGCTTCAAGTCGCGTTCGGCAAAGGAAAGGACTTTTGGACCAATGTTTTCCCCAGCCAGTTGGTTGATGAGCATTCTGCGGAGATTAAGAAGTTGTCCCGGGTCCTGTCCTGCATCAAATACCTGATGCCCATCCTCGGTATCATGCCCGTCAAGATCATTCTACGACTGTTCCGCTTTACTAGCGATTTTAGCAACAAAATGGTTCTGCCATTGCTGGCCCTGTTCCTCGGCACGGGCAATCAGACCCCCAACGTCTCGAGTGTCTTGCTGGAGCGCCTGTTCAATGACCCGCAGATGAAGCTCTGGGAGTATGACCCGGACACACTTTTGCCCAATCTCCCCACCATGTATACCTTCCCAAACTTGAGCAACTTCTATCGAGACTGGACCCGCGACTTGCGTGAGAAGGGAGTCGAGTTTCGGCTCGGTTGTCGCACATCTATCCTGAAGCGAGATAAGAAAGGTGTTGTCTTGCAATTGCAGGACTACGATGGCGAGAATCCTAAGGGGGACCCATCTGTTCACGAATTTGACGATCTGGTGATGTGCTGCCCGGCCGATGAAGCAAAGAGGCTCTTGGACCGCCACGCGACATGGCGCGAGAAATATGTTTTGGGCGGCGTCAAGTTCTACAACGACATTACCATAACTCACTCAGACTCGGATTATTTCCAGAAGATTTTCGAAATGCAGTATGATCCGGAGTTGGTAGCGAAGCCCACTTCGCAGACACGAAAAGACCAAATCGCGTTTGCAGAGCAGCAACCCCTGAGTCAAAAGGATGGTTGGCTGGGATTCAGGCCGATGTACTTTACACGCTCCTACAAATCGGACCCGGGGAAGATAGAGATGGGCTTCAATTGCACTCATTACCAGCACCAATTTCGCGAAAACCTTGGCACGGACAAACCGCCGCTGCCGGAGGACCAGCAGGTGTTCCAGACAATCTTTTTGGTATGCTTCTTCCTTGAGACATATTGCTGCAGCTTTTCCTGACTCCGAAATTCCTTCTTTTAGAACGATCAAGAAAAGGATCTATGGACGTGGAACGATATTGATCCGTCGAGAATTATCGCGTAAGTCTTTCGGAATTTTTTTCTCACGATATGCGAGAATTGCTATTAATATTTCGATGCAGTCGGAAATGGTGGCACCAGTTCGGCCATCGCTGGCAGCATTATCTTCGGGTGGTCGCGGGAATGATGTTTATCAATGGTACTAACCGAACACTTTACGCTGGAAGCTGGACCATGGTGGTGAGTCTATCTATTTCCACGAATCCTTTGCGATGCTGACCTCAAGACATCACAGAACATGCACGAGATTGCTTGTATTTCCGGTATTGCAGCAGCCTACCAGCTTGGGGCGACTTACGAACCATTTGATGACTTCGCAGAGGACTTCTTCGCCAAGTACTTGCTAGTGTGCCATGGAACGAGATACAAGAAGGCCAAGGCAAAGAGCACATGAAGAAAAAGCCGTGGATCGAATGTCCATATTTGGAATTGACTAAACTATCTCAAAGAACGTATCGGAAACTTTCAATCTCGTGGTCCGTCTTGTTCGATATTTCATCTTGTAGCTCTTCTCTCTCCGTCATCTCCCTTGGAGATCCATAAAGACGGTCCCGACGACGGTTCTCAAAGACATAATACACGTAAAGGCAGATCAGGAAGAATATACCAAAGGCCAGGCCGGACATGGAAGCTTTGATACCCGTCTATCGAATGTTAGCAGCTGGCCCGTCGCACCGGCACGGACAAAAGGAGACTTACCGGATATGATGGCTCCTCGGAGGGAATGAAGAACTGAGGTCCAACAATGTTTCCAATGCAGTATGCTGCAAACATGACAGCACTGACTGTACTTTTCTTGGTGAATCCAGCAACGTTCGAGCTAATCAGACTCAGCGACAAGGGGATGTTGGCCGCAAAAACACCTCCAAGACAAAGACCCGTCATCTTTCCGGCTCGGTTATCATCACCAAGCTTCCAAATTAGAAGCATGCCAACCATCGAGACTGCAGTGTTGAAGATCATCATGAGGATTCGAGTCTTTGGAACGAGCGAGGCGACACCCGAACTCAGGATGAGGAAAACAAGCTGTGCGCCACCAATAGGCATTTGGATGAGAAGAGCCTCTAGATGAGGGAAACCAAAGCCGGTGATAATGATAGCAGAGAAGCTAGTGAGACCTCCGTTGCAGAAGTTGACGCACAGGGTATATAGGACCAAAAACCACATCTGAGGATCTTTGACAGCCATCCAAACCTGGTTCCATTTGAAATTTCCTTGATCCATAACTCCAGTCTTGTTCTTGAGTGTTCGTTGCACTGCGATGGCACGTTCATGTGATTTGAGGAAAATGGCTTTGGCGGGCGAATCAGGTAAAGTGAGGAATAAGAGGATGCCGTATGCAGAGGTAACGGCACCGAGAACGAGGAAAAGCAACTGCCATTGGGCAATAGCTTCAACGTGAATATTTCCAATGCCATATGCAATCAATCCCTAATTTCATATTGGTTAGACCAGGACACAAGAAACGGAATACGGTACGCCCTCGTAGAGTGTGGACTTACACCGAGAAGGACAGCAATCGAATTTCCGCAAAACCATGCTGCTTGTCGAGCAGGCTGCTCCTCCCTGGTATAGAACATGCCAGTGATCAGGGCAAATCCTGGAGCAATAGATGCCTCTGTTTTTCGAAAGTGAGTTAGCATTTGGATTGAAAGTATAGGGAAGGAAGCGAATACCTCCGACTCCAAGGAAGAACCGTGCTGCCATGAGTCCACCCCAGTTGATGCATGCAGCATGAACCATAAGGCAAGCCCCCCAAACGCAAGCAGCTACACCAAGGTATTTTCCTAGAGGAAGCCTGACTGAAGAAATGGTTAGGGACATGTCACGCTAAAATTCACTTCGTTGCTGCAGGATTGATACAATCCACACCAACAGAGGTCTCTTAGATGATATGAACGTACCGACCAAGTAAGAGCTGGGCCTAAATTGAAGGTTTTCTGTCAGTAGGAAACTCGAAGGTAAAATATGTCCAAGTCCTGAGGTGGACATACCAGCTCCATGCGAAATATCCAAAGTAGAAGATGGCGGATGCCCAGTTGTACTCATTGCCTTTAAGATTCTAGCGTGTGTCAGCGGAATTTCACAGATACCTAGATTAATGCAGGATCAAAGGGGCTGAACGAACCAAGTCTTGTCGAAGGTTGAAAAGTGTCGCTTGGCTGATCGCCAACTTGTCAATATACTGCAACATATAACAGCCACCCATCAGGGGTATCAAAAACCAGTCCAATTTTCTCAAGACTTTCTTTTCCATTTCTGGAGTTGTTTCAGCGTCGAGTACTTGGCCAAAGTCGATGTCCCGCATGATGGAATCATCGACTTGTAGCTTCTCGGCGCCAGATTGGGCGTCCCCGGACGGAGGTTGGTGTTTCTCCATGATATTGTTGGTCAAACTAGAAATAAAACAAGGCAATAGAAGTGGAATATAAAGCTTTTGGAAGGAATCCTTTAGAAATATTGAATAATGCGCGTTCGGTTAATATATGTCGAGTTTGTGGGAATGTTAGGGGTCTATATGACTCCCAACACAGTGAGGCCAAGGTATAGCCCCCTGGGCACGGTGGCGTAATCGAAGACAAGATACCATCTGATAGGGCAACAATATTCGAGAATTCTCGTGTCTGAAAAGTCATTATTACGTTGCTTAGATGTGACTACTGGTATTGGTAAAGGCGGGGGTCGGTGTGATAGCAATTGGCCTCAACACGGGCAAATTTAGCGGCAACGAAAGGCGACGGTAGTCAATTCTAGATGCCGAAGTATTTACCACAGAGTCAAGTTATCGTCAGCTGTTGCTGTTTGCTTTGACTTTGCGAGGAGCAAAAGATTGGCATCTATACATCGGCAGTCTGGCGAATCAGACGAGCGACATAGCACGTCGGCAATCATCCTCATCGGCAACCCACTTTCCCTATCGTACCCCGCGTTGAACATCTCAAGAGATAGCGAGATGATAAGCAAACAGAACAAATGTAAAGAAAGAGAAAGAAACAGGGAAGCAGAGCTCGGAATCCGAAAAGCCAAATTCGATATCCAGAGAACACCCGCCTCTCCTCCAACATTTGGCATGACATCTCTCCACGTGACGCAGCATAGCCCCGGAATAATCTGATGGGTCCAAGGTTCAATGCAAGTTTGTTGTTACCCCGGATTCCACAGGTCTGTGCAGATTGCCGAGGCATCCGACATGATAGGCCAACTCGTGGATCGCGGGATGATAACCGTCATTTCCGTCCATACTCTTTCTAATGATTTCATATCGACTCCAGATAATATCACCAGCGATAGGTCAAAGACACTGAGTTCATGACACATCTTTTTCACTCTCCGCGCTCGCTATATCGTCGGCAAACGCCACACCAATGCTACCTTCAGATCTCCATCTGCCTCCGACTTGGCAAGATACCAAGAGTTAAATATCCCTTGGCTGGTTCGAAATTATAATCATACACAAAGCCACTTTCCAGGCGACAGCTCTATTCAGCAGCAAAGTTCAAGCAGATATTTTGTCACCATGACCGTCACAGCAATCAACATAGAGGAGGTCAAAGCCTCAGTGGATGCTACTTTGAAAGCAATAAACAAGGAGCTGCGAGAGTTGAACCATAAGGTATTCCCCCCAACTACCCTCATTTTTTTCCAGGAGACTGATCAAGCCGTTCTTTTTATCAGATCTGGTCAAATCCCGAGCTTGCCTACCAGGAGCACGGTGCTCACGATGCAATCTGCGATTTCCTCGAGAAGCAGGGCTTCACAGTTACTCGCCATGCCTACGGTCTTGGTACTTCCTTTGAAGTCTTGAGTGGCAATGGTGGCCGTTTAATCAATTTCAACGCAGAGTATGATGCTTTGCCTGACATTGGCCATGCATGTGGCCATAACCTCATCTCAACCAGCAGCGTTGCTGCTTTCGTCGCTTTGTCATTGACCATAAAGAAATTTGGTATTCAAGGGCGAACCCAGCTACTAGGCACCCCGGCAGAGGAGAATGGAGGTGGCAAGGAAAAGCTCATCGACGCCGGGGCCTACAAAGGGGTCGATATCTCCCTGATGGCGTGAGTTGAAAGCCACCCAAGAGGAAGTCGGAATTCAAACTGACCATTTTCAAAGTCATCCTGGACCCCAGAAGATGTATCCCGACCAGAAGTGCTGTGGAATTGCCGGGACACTCATGAATGCTAGGAAGAATGTTCATTGTAAGGAATTTCAACCGCATAAGTTTCGTCCGCTAATCGCTATATCTCATTGCAGGTGAATTCACAGGACGAAATGCGCATGCGGGTGGCAATCCTTGGGAGGGTATCAATGCATTGGACGCATTGATATCGTCCTATAACAACGTGGCAGTTTTGAGACAACAGCTGCTTCCAGACCAAAGAATTCATGTTGCTTTCTTGGACACACCCAAGGTTGCGAATGTGATTCCTGCGTACACAAAGGCGTTTTGGCAAGTACGGAGCCCTACTTTGAAGGGATTGAATACTCTTATTGGCAAAGTACGAAACTGTATTGAGGCGGGAGCATTGGCTACAGGTTGTCAGGTCAAGATTGAGGAGTATGATGCCCGTGCCTGTGACTTACGTTTACTTGACTGACCACTTCTATTTCAGAGATGAGCTATATACCGATGTCCGGCTGAATGATATGCTCTGTGAGCGATACCAAGTACACATGGGACGCTACGATCGTGATGTACTCAAGCGACACGAAAAAGTATTGACGGGATCATCTGATATCGGTATGTGATAGGTAGTGATTCCATCTTAACCAACGAGGCTAACTTTTTGAATAGGCAATGTCAGCTATGAGACTCCTACTCTTCATACCATGTTTGGCATCCCTGCACCCGAAACATCGTATCCTCATCACCCGACATTCGCAGCTGCAGCTGGAACAGATGAAGCTCATGTTGAGGCAGTCATCGTTGGGAAGTCCTTGGCTTTGATTGGATGGGACATGGTCACTGAAGATGCTTTGTATAACACAGCACGGAGCCAGTGGCAAGAGGAGATTGTTAGGGTAGATTGAGTTCATATATAATGTATTATGGAGATTCCAACAGTGCGGACACATCGCAGGGCCCGAAAACGTTATGGGTCCAATTTTAGGGTGATGATGCCCAGGTGCAGATTGCGTAGAACAGAACGTGCTCGAATTATCAACCGAATCCATCGAGTTCCACAATTCAGCAGGATCGAGAAGCTTAGGAGCATAAGGTTTAGCGTTAAACGCAACTCGGACTCGAAGTATAAGCCGAGCATGCGACAAGAACATGGTCGTACATGGGTCAATTGGTTTGTAAGAGAGAATGTTGACCTAGTATGGCCTGCAAAGCTTTCAGATGTTGTTATAGAAGATTTTTGTCCAATCTAGCCCTTCTTGAATGTCAGTATAACCTCACGCAAAAATATCTGCAACCCTTTACCCAAAACAGCTAGCGGACGTCATGGAGAGATTAGGTCAGCGCTTCCCCGCGTTATCGGCAGCTTATCGTTCGGCAGTTGACCTTTTCGATGGAAGACCCGTCCTCATCTTCAATTCTTCCTTTTCCGCCTATGCCTGGTTGATCTCGTTAGCTTCAAAGGGGGAATTGGTACTTGAATGTCCATGCAGTCCGGACGCAACGGCCCCCGGTCCAAAAGCGGTATTACAACCCTCTCGGCTTTTCCCACAGCCGGCTAATCGTTCCTCAGGCTGTAGTACCTGCCGCCGCCGCAAGGTTAAATGCGGTGAAGAAAAACCAGTCTGCAGGCGCTGCTCTTCTCTGCGTCTCAATTGCGAATGGGGAGTCCCTGTTAAAAGAGGGCGCAGTACTCAAATTCGCAACCTAGAACCCGCTCCAATCGCTTCCGAGTCATATCCGACGTGCCCGGCGCCGAAAGTCGAGGAGCTCGTCGATTTTCAACCAGATGTCTTTTTTTCGAGCCTTTCGCCAGTCTCATGGGCTGGTGATATCTTACCGCTAGATGCGCCCCAATTACCAACGTTCTACCCTCCCGCGACCATCGCGTCCCCTATATACCCTTCGTTAAACATTGATAATATCGCCTGCGCAAATTCGTTGACGCTCAACTCCCTTGATCGCCAATACTTCCAATACTTCCCGTCCTCCTCTCTCGTTTACTATTATATGAAGGGTTGGAAATGGAGCAGTTTTTGGTTAGTTTGTTCCAGAGCGCTGCGGGCGCCTTGGTCGTCCTTTTGAGGCCCCCACTAATCGAATACCTCGAACCAACAGTCACCTATACGAAGGCCCTGCCTCATCCAACAAAGTGATCATGCGAATGATACTGGCAATCGCTGCCTGCGACATGCACCATAACGGACTGGCTGTGCGCTCCCCGGGCCGACCAACCGCAGATAACCATGGGCGATACCACTATGGCTTAGCAGTGAAAGAATTCAGGCAATTACTCGAGACCCCACGCCAAGTCTCTTTGGATGAGGTAGAAACGGTTTTCGCTACAGTTTTCCTGATGATTGCATGGGAATGGCAGTTCGGACACTCTGTGCGCCATGTAAGACGACGAAGAAACACTTTCCCTCCCGATCAATAGACTAACAACCTCTTTCATTTTAGCTTCAACTTCATCTTCAAGGGGTGCGATCCCTTTTAGAAACACACCCGCGCCTGTTTCGCATCAAGAATGTGGACGACATGTTCCTATACCCCGGAGTTCAAGGTTCATCCAATGGGAGCTTAACAGTGAACAAAGTTTCGTTCATACCAGAGCAGTTCCTCTTATGGATTCTGTGAGTTCCCCCTCCTGCGAGTGGCCCACCAAATACTGATAAAGAAAATAGATACATTGACGCTAGCTCTCGTCCAACGGGACTAACAGAGTCACTTAACGAATATGTCGCCCAATCCGGGAATCCTGCGTTACAGCCAGATCATCTCCACCGCTGTGCTCGTCTCTGGGGCCGCTGCTTTTGGGGCGAGCAGTACCCCGATGAGGAGATCTTGGATGATATTGAAAATTACCGAGCCTTGGAGTTGTTACATGCTGGATTTTGCTTACGCCATAAAACTTGGAAAGTCCTGGTGGAGTCAGCGGCTGGTACCGTTGATTCGAAGGAGCCCCTCCTTCGTGAGATTCTTTCAATACGAGAGGTAAAGTTTCCTCACATCATATGTTCGCAATGGAGCTAACCCCGCTAGAAATTCTCCGATCTCTTTATCACAGCAAGGTTTGCGGGAAGTGTCTCCGCTAGACGTACTCTCAACACCATCTACATGGCCGTTTGTACATTCTATGCGCAGGTCCTGCTTTATCGTCGCCTGCTCTGTGTCGACTCTCCTCCTACAGTTTCCGATCACCAAGCTACTGCCGCAATCATAGACATCTCACAAAAGCAATACATTTCCGACCCCAAGCTCTTGAGGAGACTGCATTGGCCGTTGCTGATGGCAGTGGTTGAGACTGGCGATCTTACACACCAAGCATGGCTCCGGCAACGTCTTTGGGAGCTTCGCGATTTCCACTCCGAATTTGTTTGGGCGCATGAGATTGCCGAAGAAATTCTCGCCCAGCAAGACGTGAGCCAGGGACGATACGTCAACTTGGCAGAATTGCTATTGCAGCGTATCCATGCGACTTGAATAAAGCCTCCTGCTTGTATATATTTACCCCACCTCTTATAGATTAACCTAATGTCTTATGCCTTATGCTTGTTCCATTGCCGGCCCGTGTCTTGGCTTCCCTGGTTATGGGCTATTTTCCAGGAAGTATGCATCATAAGCTACTTCACCCTTTGCCCTCGTGGCTCGCCCGACAATCACGCGGTTGTTCATCCATTTATAACGCTCATGTCCGGTTTCAATCTTCACATGAAGGTGGAACCAATACTGGCTGGGATCTACCGGACCACCTTTCATCAATGCTTTCAGTACCTCCGGGGGACCTGCCCGTGTTCCTTCGGTTCTGTTGGTCAATTAGCACAGGCTGCTTGTTGTTAACTAAGTTAGAGAACTACCTTATGTAGAGAAAAGCACCATCATCGCTTTTGATCATATAATTGGTGTTCACATGTGTGGTCTGATCTTCCTCGACCAACCTGCGCATGTGTTAGAGTCTGATTGTGTCCATTTTCTCTAGGGTCATCTCTTGCATGAAGTCCGCGCCACCTGGCACCACCTCGCCATTCAGATAGTTTCCATGTACAGAGCCAGACTTGATTGGAACACAGCGTCGTCTGCCATAGGGACCATGACCGACCTCCATTGGCGCGTCTACTGCGCAGCGCAAAGTGAACAAATGAACGAGTTTCGGTGGCGCTGATAGTGTATCCATGTTGCCAATTCTCAACAAGCAAATGAATGACGAAGTGCAAGAATAGAGATCAGAGGAGGGGGGCAATCGGGTATACGCTTTCTCCGGGATATCCGATTCGGCTGGACCTCGGATAGACCTCCAGAGCACCGCCTAATCAGACTGCACATTAAAGACAATGGATGTCGCTGAATCTTTGCGCCCGAAAGAGCAGGTCAAATTTCTAGAGTCAAATACCTAGCTTGCCTCAATTCACTCATGGAAGTCCTCAATAACTAGCAGGAATAGTCATGATTCACCCAAGGTACCAACACATTATACGGTACAAGCCTCAGTGTCGCACTCACGCGCGGCCAAAAAGACGATGATAGTTGCTTATAAACAGGAGCAGTTATGTATTGGCTTAATCTCATTTGTCGATTGGTAACGGAAGAGAGCTATCATCAACTTCGGGACCTTTTTTTAACTGTCTTTTTAACTGTCTTTTTAACTGTCTTTTTAACTGTCTTTTTAACTGTCTTTTTGACTGTGTTTTTAACTGTACTTCCAAGGCTCCAATTAATTGTCGAGTCATCATGATTGGTCGATTAAAGGAAGCCTTGGCTAAGCCGTGAACAGAGAATTAGGGATTGGGGAAATGAGCCAAGTCCACTGGTATGTCCACCAGGTGAAAATTGAATATTCTTTGAAAGCTTTGCGTTTGATTGAATAGTAATACACAGCGTAGCCTTTCTTGCCTTGGCTAACATGATATGTGCAGATATGTACAGACAGAATGTACACGAATACCTGGAGAAGTCCACGTCATTCGATATCGCCGAGTACCATCACAGTCTACTGCCTACCGGGCTAGGAGTCTGAATCTCGGCGGCCATGCTGTCCAGTACAGTCAGTCAGATTATGTTGATTTTTGTGGAACTTCTCAAACGGACCTACGTTTGACGCTTAAGAAACCCAGCAAAGAAATTGCCAACCTGCTGGTAATCCGCCAGGTCAATGACGGCAGAGACGTCTGTTTAGGAATCAGTAACTTGGTGTCTCGAAGGCCGGGCTTCTACTTACATTGATCTGGCCGAGCAATCACGATGGCACCTTGTGCTGGGTCGATTCCCAAATGCTCGTATGCATGGCCGTGTCCCATGTTGTAACTATCGTCGTCGTAATAGATTTTGTGAAGATCTGATGAGACAAGTCAATATCAAAGTGGGGCAGAGTTATCATGAGCCTGTACCTCTGGTCTGATTCTTGCCTGAAATTGAATAGAAGCACTTGGGAATGTCATCTAGTTCCACGTCGTGTCGCTTTCCATGTCCGATAACAATTGTCTCGATCAGACTATCGACATCTTGATCTCGCGGGGTGAAACTGTGGATCGGACTGTCGGCTGCGTCCAAATATTCACCAAGCTGTACCATAAATCAGACAAGATCCACTTCCACCTAAGAGCCGAACATACCTTGTTTAGTTTTAATTGCTGTCCTGGTGTAGCCAAGTCACCCACAAAGGCCATGATGCGCCATCTGCCATCCGATTTGAGGGCTGTCATGAGCTGTGAAGGCTTGGAGTCACAGAAGCGCACGACCTGTGCGCTGGGTAGTCGCATTCCGACGACCACATTGCAAGCTAGTTGCGTAGATTCCAATGCCGAAGTAATGGGTGAAATGTCATACTTGGCTGTCAAGCCAGCAGTATATTTTCCAGACTGGATAAAGCCCTTCTGAAACTCAGCAGCAGATGTTTGGGCTCCAGATGAGAACAATTTTGAGAAATAGCGGTCGAAGTTGATGAGATCAATGGCAACCTTCTGACGTTCTACAACGTAAGTCTCAAGCAGCGATGGACTGGCCAGACCGGTCAAAACTTCACCAAGTTTCCAGCCAATGTTGTATCCATCTTGCAGACTGACATTCATACCCTGACCGGCCTTGGGCGAGTGAGTATGGCAAGCATCGCCGGCGAGGAATACTCGGTGGTCCTTGTGGAAGAAATCAGCATGACGCTGTCCGATCGCGTATGCCGACCACCAGACAGTCTCCACAAAGTCGACTTGATAAGGATGTAAAATCCTCTGTGCCTGTTCCTGCAGGCTTTCGAGTGTGACTTCCTTTGGGTTTGTCCCGGCAGGAAGTTCAATATAAAATCTGGTGAGATTATCGTTCTCACCCTCACGAGGAATGATCAAGATATTCCCAGCCTTTGAGCGAATAGTGGACTTCTTGCGGATGTCTGGGAAGTCTGTTCGGGGCACCATGTCCATGACACCCCAGACTGCATCGCTGCTGTCTCCAATCATGCGATACCCGAGGACTTTGCGGACGATGCTGTGTGCCCCGTCACAAGCCTGAACCCAAAGTTAGATGTCGATTTATAAAAAATGAAAACAACTTACCAATGCATATTTGGCTGCAAAGACTTCGGTCTTTCCATCTTTCTCTGCGGTGACTTTGACGGGATAAGCGTTCAAATCGTCAGCAGTGGCGCTGTCCACTTCAACGTTGGTCACATTGTAACCATAGTCGATTTGCTGATCGTTGGTCTTCTTCATCAACTCGAGCAAGAGCCCATTGATTCGAGCTTGGTTCAAGATAACGTGAGGCTGGTGTGATAGACCAGGCTGGGTATCTGCCGTACGGCCAGTGCGTTTGATGCCTGTGCCATCATCGGCCCAGAAGTTGACTTCAAGGACATGATAAGCTTCGCGGAGGAGCTCCTCGCCAACACCGAAGCTTTCAAATATCTCCACAGTCCGACACTGCACACCATCGGCCTGGCCCATCTTCATAGGACCATCCCTGCGCTCCAATACCTTGCATCGGACACCATATTTGGCAAGCCAAGTAGCCGCGCAGAGACCCGCGGATCCGCTGCCACAAATCAGAACGTCGTATTTTTCCATTTTGTCAAAGTTGGGCTTCAATCCAGCCCCGGGGCCGTATCTCGGACTTAATAAGGTGAATCCGGGGTGAATCCCGAAGTGTCCGGGATGTGTTCCGGGATCAATTCCGGGAGCCGCGGTCTGCCAAGGATGATTCCCCACGAAATACTCCCTGCTTTGGTGGGGGATCTGTCGAGTCTTGTGCTCAACTGCCGTGCTCTCTGCTGTTCTCCCATATGTAGGCTCATCCGGGCTGAATTTCATGTGGCGCTCCGTATATGTCTAGAGGACTTTACTCCATTCGAGTACACAATCACACGACTCGAGGCCTGTGGTGAATTCCCGTGTCAATATACGAGGCGTATGCATCATTAATTCTGGTCTAAATCATTATAAAATGTTCATCCTGCCACCCCAAAAACCCAACCGAACGCCAGCGCCGGTGCAAAACTCGTCACACATCTTACAAGAAGTACTCGCTCCGGCCCGGTCGCGAGGTTGGAACGTGCCGCTGGTCGTCACTAACTGCACTAAACAGCTTGAAGGTAGGGTTGAGGTCTTCGCCGATCTCACACACCGACGCCAGGTTACCGCAGCGGTAACAGTAGTTGGGCGCACTCCAGACCGTCACCACATTTTGGTTGTTGAAGTGATATTTGTATCCTTCGTTAACCAGTTGATGTGCACGAGCAATCAAGGAAAGGTCGTTGACATGGCAGAACTCATCGGCTACTCGGTCTCCGAAAAGCCATCCTAGGGAACAACGTCAGCACGATGAAGGGCAAACTGTATTTGGTGTATCTTACCTGCTCCTCGGGGACTGACTGCCCATGTCTCGACATCATCGGGGTCAGACCAGACCAGATCACAGAAGGCGCCCTCGTGGGGGATCTCCTGTGCACGGGCTACCACGCGGACTTGATCCAGTGTGCGGATCTCGGGGCTCAGACCACCGTGGACACAGAGCACCTTTCCGTCGATGATAGCCCCCAGTGTCATGAAGTCAAACACCTGACAGCATGCCTTCCACACTGAAGCGCTGCCGTATTTTTGGAAACATTCCTCGTAGAATCCGTAAACTTGGGTAATTTGTCGTGACTCGTGGTTGCCACGGACCAATGTAACTCGGTCGGGGTATCTACGCGGCATGAAATTAGCAATGCACATCCCACAAATCCCGGTGACCAGGACTCACTTTGCCTTGAGACAGAGCAACAAAGTTAATGTCTCCAAACTGAAGTATCCACGATCCACGTAATCGCCGAGGAACACAAAGTTGCGGTTGATCTGAAGGTCCGCAGAGGTACCACTCGCCGAACGACTCCTTGTGCCTGACTCTGCATCCTCATCTTCATCATTTGGGTTCGTATTCGGGCCACCGAGCTTCTTGCGAATTTTGGGGTCTGAAATGCTGGAAGGGGGTTCGATATCGGCGGATGTGATAACAGAGGGAGAGGTTTTGGGAGAGTCGAGCTCGGTGCCATCTGGCATGCCCCCGAGACACGGAAAAGCTCCAGAAGATCGTAGAATTGGCCGTGAATATCACCACAGACCGTGACGGGTGTGGAAACGGGTTGAATATTCGACTCTGTCGGAGATGGTCAGCGTGAGTAAAACAAACTAGGCTCAATGATTCCGGTGTAACCCAGGTTCCGATTGCTCACCTTCCATCATATATTCCTTTACAATCTCACAAAGCTGTTTCATGTGTGGCTCCGAAAGATACTTGCAATCTTTGGCGGCCTCCAGCCATTCGTCGGGGCCCGCATTGCGCTTGAGTTTGGCAGGACCCGGCTGAGGGATCTTGCTCTCAGGCATATTTAGAATGAGAGCGTGCAGGAAGGATGAAGGAAATGAGAATGAAGTTGTGGAAGAAGAGTGCAGTGTGTTTCCCCGCAAGTGGGACTTCGCCTTTGGTCTTTCTGGGCCGCCGAAGTTATTCAGCTTTCAGCTGTCCTCGACCCTTGGGACTTGAGTCTCCGAAGCAACTGATGTTGTTCATGAGCAATCGAGCCTTGGATTATTTGCACGCTGGACACGAACTGACCACTCACATATCATTCTAGCCAGAATCATGCGCTGAGTGCCCATCATACGTCCACATGACATCCTCACGATCTCATCTCACGATTCCAAAACCATACCCATATCGCGATTACGTTCATTTGGGAGCCTACAATCTTGCCATGATATGCCATGGTAGTTCTATCTGCTTACACCAGACTCTGGGTCCCTTTTTATCCGTCCACCGGCGTCAAAACACAGGATATCGCCACTACGTCCGAAAACAAACCCTCGGTCAAGTTGATTCATGACATCTGACCGAAGCGACAAACGGGGAGGATGAATATGGAGAGAGAAAAGCAACAGATTCATCAGTCATTTCTCTATGTAATCATGGGGATATCAAACATCTATACATCAGTCGTAGAAATGCAATCAACCATCAATCTTGCCCAGGAACTCGGTAACAACATCGGCAAATGCCACTGGCTGCTCCACCATGGGGAGGTGGCCGGCGCGGTCAATGATCTTGAGCTCGGCGCCGCCACGCAGATCAGCAGCCATCTTCTGCATAGTCTGTGGTAGGACACCGTCATTGGCACCTGCCACAAAGAGTCCCGGAACGGTGGCGTTGGCCATACGCTCGCGGATATCGTAGGCACAGAGCGCCTGCACGCTGTGGGCGAAACCCTTCAAGCTGTTGGTACGCACTGCCTCTTTGACGGGCGCAAGAACCTCGGGCTGGGTCTCGTACGACTCCGGCACGAACCAGCGGCGGGTGGTGACCTCAGCCAGCTCCTCTCCAACAATGGGCTCGTTGGTTTGAGAGTCAGTAGAGCCTTCCTTTTCACAGATGGCGACACGGTCGCCCCATGCTTTACGGTTGGATTCCGGTGCAGAAGAGTTTGTATCACATGCGATGAAAGCTCCAACGCGCTCGGGGTGGAGGAGGGAAGTGTTCAGAACAGTGACACCACCCAGGCTGACTCCGATGAGACGGGCGGCCTTGGGTGGCACACGCAGAGCCTGGAGGAGAGTTGCAAGGTCAGAGGCCAGCACATCGATGTTGACCGGCTGCTCGCCACTCGCGGAGCGTCGACCACGAGTCAAGTAGCGCACGACACGGTAGCGCTGGTTCTGCTTGTGGGCGAAGAATGCATCGACGAACCGATCCCAGATATGCCAGTCAACCAAAATGGAGTTGCTGAGCACAACAACTGGCGCGTACGGGTCGGTACTACCCTCCAATCTGTAGGGAATTTCAACGCCGTCGGAAGTAGTCACGAAGGACTCGACAGCCGGGCGAGAAGTAGAAGGGAAAGTGCGAGTGCGGCCGTCGTTGGAGCTCCAGGGTCCAGCCACATCTGGTGCGGCGAGGGAGGTGAGCTCACGAGGAGCGGGGCCGAAGGTGTAGTACCACTCATAGACGCGGCGGTTCTTTGAAGTCACGACTTCGCTCATGAGACGGGCTCCCCAGGGAGTGTTCATGGCGGCCTTGTGGGCCTCGCCTCCGAGGCCATTGACAGGGGCATACTCGTACAAAGTCAGGGACTCCTGCGGGGCAGCGGAATCAATTGCCGCCGTGACGAAACGGCGACTACGGCGCCATCCAGGCACACGGGAAAGCATCTCAAAGTGTTCCTCGCGATACCATTTATCCAAGTCGGCCTGCTTGGCGGGGTCGGGGTGGGTGGCAACTCTAACGGCGATGAGGACGCTACCCTGGGTCTCGGCATCTGTGTCGGCTTGGTGTTCCAAGGGGCGGAAGTCGGGGCTGCTGCGCTCATCGATCAAGTCGTACAGCAGGCGCCCCACGTCGATCTGTGCCATCGTTTTCTTCTCCCGCTCGGTCTTGATCAAATCGGTCCGCAGGTCAAGGTAGGTCTTGCGGGTCAATTCGTCCATGTCGGTGATATCGTACAGGGCCACATATTCGGGCTTCTCGCCATCGGTCGCACGGAATCGGAAGCCATTGGTGATGAATGGCAGACGCAAACGCAGCGGACCATGTTCAGTGTTGTACCAGTCGTGGAATTGGGTGTCCGGCAGCGAGCCCTTAGGCTGCATGGTGACGTAGAGGAGGCCAGGGGTAGGCATAATGAATTTGAGGATCAACTGACGAGACTCGAGAGAATACGTAGTCGACGAGACTGAGGAATCAGAAACGTACTATATGTCATGATGAGTCCCGGCATTGCGGCGGGTGAAAGCAAAGCGCAGCCGAACTCGACTGCCGATGTTCCCCAGTTTTTGCCGTCGCATTGGGCAGTTCCGACTTATCGCCCTTTCACTTTGGCGGGGTTGTCTGATGTGCTAGTGCGCAGTGTATAGTCTTTTTATTTTCTTTCTTTCCTATGTGCATGAAATTCTATTGGTTTTGCATACTACTTTACTCATTAATCATACCAAATGGCGTTCATACCGAATCCTTGCTCTGGAATGTCCACACGCGCCACGCGTGCCAGCTTCTCGTCGCGCCAGCGGTACATCTCAACGAATCCAAGCTGGTCATCGCACAGGGCGACCCACTCGTCGGTGAAATCACAGGGGCTCACAGCGTTGGAGTGACCACCGCTGGTAGATGTGGGGTTGATAAAGAGCTGGCGCTCGATCTCTCCGTTCGGGCCGAGCTTGAAGGCGGTAATGTAGCCAGTGACATCGAAGTGGTTCGAACGGGTGGTCGCGAACAGATACTCGCCGCTCTGGGTGCAGAAGGTGACATCGCCGCGGTACTTGTTGCGGGGTGGAAGGCCTAGAGATTGAGCAGTTAGCATTGACTGGGGTCGCATATATAGGACAGTGCCATTGAACTCACCAGAGGGCAGCAGTGGGTAGGTGATGTGTGTGAATACGGGCTTGTGAGTGCGCTCATCAATGACGTAGACTCCCAGGCGGTTGCCTGCCTCCATCAGTACGTACAAGTACTTGCCGCTGGGGTGCATTTCAACCCAACGAGGGTGGTCGCCAGCATCGGGGGCCTCGAGACAGTCGACCAGGGTCAATTCGCCTGTCTTGGGGTCCTTGAGGTGCGTCCAAATCTTGTTGGCTGTGAGATCGGCGGAGTACAGATAGGTTTCGGTAGGGTCGAACACCATGCCGTGAATACCAGTGTTTTCGACATATTCATAGTTCTGAATATTGCTGTCTAAAGCTCCGTCGGGCTTCACGGAGAACACGTTACCGTAGCCAGCGTATTTATAGAAAGGGTTGCCGTAAACATTGTATGGGGGCTTTTGAGCGGCCAGCACAAAGATAGCACGGGTGTTGGTCTCGCTGCTAGGAGCCAATTCTATTCTCCAGTCAGCACCAATTGATCCCAATTGTTACATGTTTCCAGATGTCTAACTCACCGTGACCGGCGACTGGGTGTGACACTTGGTGTACAATGTCAGTGGGGCTGTTCACGGCGAAGCTGTTCCACTTCTTCATGGCAGCGCCATAAATGGCCTTCTTATCGTGGGAGAAGGTCATCCATGAGATTGGCTCCGCCTCAGGAATGTCGGTCTTCTTCAACAAGTCGAGGGTGAGAGCCTCATCGTCGAACTGGACGGTATAGATGCGACCGGGCGCAGTCCAGGTACCGACCATCAAATGGTGCTTCATGTTGGCGATTGAGGTTTGTGAAAAGGATCGAGATTGGGGTATAATGGCCGATGCCCGTGAGAAAGCAGAACGGATCATATGTAACAGAAGGTCGATTCTACCCAAAAATTATTGCGGGGAGACAATCGGCATCGGGGGGGCGGCACCGGCAGTGTACTTTTCTCCCGCTCCCGACCCTTTTGCCCCGTCAGGGACCGGGACAACGTTAGAGCTTCAGCCATGACACAAAATCAGGTGGATGAATCTCATAATTCTTTGGCAATAGTTTTGTCGAAAAGGACTTCAAGATCATTCAGTAGAGATCAGTTTGTGCTCTTCGATATACATCGGCGCAGGTAATGCGACCAATTTGAAACCTAGGAATAGACAGCAAAGCTTCAGGTATCTAGCTATATCCATGGATGGTGGGGTCGAATCCATGTAGCCTTACCAACGTCCATGCATGGAGATTCTGTTACACATAATATCTTTGGGCATCATGGTTGGCGTTCTATTTTGTAGTACAACTACACGTAACACCCGCTCCAGGCAGAATATACAAAGAAGCATATACCGGGACAAACCTTGAAACAACCCTAGAACTTTTGATATAGGTCTAGGTGATTCCAAGGTAATGCAATGTTGTAATCAAATTTCGCAATTTGATCACCAGTATCTCAGCATCTCCAACTCGATATGAAATAGTTCGAACTGCAGTAGAGCTCAGTTGCCGGAGAAACCCTTCCCCCCGGGTAAGTCATTTCCCGTCAACACCGGGCTCGGTTGCGATCAAGCCGAAACGTGGGGTATTCTTGTGTCGCTATTCCGTGCATCGCAGGATGTACTTGTGTAGAATACCTCTGAGACCAGCATCAATCTTACCAGCCCAATCAATTGCAATCCAAACACGCGCCATGCGTCTGCCATACGCCCCTTCTACTCCGCCCGCTGATGCGCCGGCCGACACCGCCGACATTTATGCCCGCATTGCCGCGCGCAGGAATCCTCGTCCCTTGATTCCCCTCGACCTCTCCCTTCTCCACAGCCCACCCGTCGCCGATGGCTGGAACAGTTTCATTGGCGCCATTCGATCGCGTACGCTCGTGGACTCCGGTGTGATGGAGCTGGCCGTTTGCCGTGTCGCCGTGCTCAACAATGCCATCTATGAATGGAACGCCCATGCGCCCTTGGCATTGAAGGGGGAATTAAGCCGGAGCAACTGCAGGCTGCTCGTACACTACCTTCTACCGCTGAGGGGGATGTTGCGGAGCTCGAGAAGAGCGCGCTGACCCCGCAACAGCGCGCCGTTCTGCGCTACACCGACCAGATGACTCGTACCATCACCGTTCAAGATGCCGTTTTTGCTGAGCTGAAGACGGTTGGGTATGATGATCGGGAGATCGTGGAGCTCACAACTGGTATCGCGGGATACAACTGTGTGAGCCGGTTCTTGGTTGCGCTGGACGTCGGCGAGAACAACGATCGTGAAATGAAGAGTGTTGAGGAGCTTGTTGCTGCTTTGCAGTAAGAACAAAATATACTTTGGAAATTCAACAAAAGCCAGGGAAATTGTCTGACCTGGCGGAAGAATATCACGCGAGGCGAACCATTTATGGACCTGGGCTACGCCTACGTAAATGATATACTGGGTCGACCTTGAATAATGAGTCATGACAATCTCAAAGACTGCGTTGATAGCTATCATATATCCACCTCAAACTATTGAGATCCATTTCACCCTGCTGGCACTCATCATCATTGCCGAGCACCCTAAAGACACTGTGAATAGAAGTCATTTTGCTTCTGGCAGGTATATGGACTGGCACACGTTGTAGCACCCGACCAGCTAGACCCGCCACACTGTGCGTAATGAGCAGCTCCTGTGGCAGTCGCTCCTGTGGTGGTAGTCTTGGTCGTTGCAGTGCTGGTAGTGGCAGTGGCGGTAGCCTTGGAAGTGGTGACTGCAGTTGTTGTCGTGGAGTCACCAGACCCTGGGAAGTAGTTCTGGAGAAGGCTCATGTAGTATGTATAGCCTGTCCCCGATGGGGGCTCAAAGCTGTACATGTAGTCTCCCCACCATGGCCCGGCAGACCACCAGGCCGCACCTAGCCAGACATCGCTGTTGGTCTGCAGATAATCAAGCATTCCAGCCACAGCGGTTTTGCAGACAGAATTGGCTCCTCCAGCAAACTCACCCAGGAACGCCCGCTTTCCGTTGTCCTTGAGCCATTGTGTAGCAGCGACCACACGCTCTTGGCCGATGGTTGAGCTGACACAAGTTTCTGAAGTACCAGATCCATCAGAGTCAAGGTACTGATGCAGCTCGTAGATGATCAGGTCTTGTGGGTCTGTCAATGCCTTCATGTTGTCATTCACGGTCGTCCATGTCCATGCTCCACTCCATGAGTTTCCTTCCACGAAAATATACTGGGATGTCGCCCCCGTTGCTCTGATGGCGTTGATGGCTGCCTGGTTGAGGTTCAGAACAAGTGTTTGATCCATGGTATGATACTCGTTGTCTATATAGTCAGCGGACTGTCATTGCAACCTCCAAAAGTTCAACATGCTTACTTGTATCGAATATGACCTTTTCATTGGATGCGAACTCCTTGGCCACAGTTGTCCAAAATGCCGCAAAGTCACTAGTGGACGTAATGACATTACCGTAGCTGAATCGAGTCAGCCAACTGCGTCTACGTTTTATGAGGCACATTTGCAACTCACTATCGCCCAAAATTGTGAGGATCAAGAACAGCATACGCACCGCTGGAGGTGATGGAGTTGACTGTCTATATCAGTAGTTCTTGTTAGTATGACACGCACTTGTGTGAAGTTCTGTGTAGGGTCAAACGACGTACGCTTTTCAAGGAAGCCAGATAAGTCGCATCTGCACTCGAGGTCATGGTGCCAGGAATCAAGCGCTCCATTGAGAAAGGAATACGGAATATGTTCATTCCAGCGCTGCGCAGAGTCTGCATCGCTGAAGCCGATGGCCAGATGTAATCTGTATTCAAAAGTCCAGGGATGTTTCCACTTCCAAACTCTGCGCCGGCCTCATTGGTGCCAAACCCTATTCAACCGCCATTAGAATTAGACACTGAATGACACTTGGAACACGCACAGAGAAAGGAAGATGCCCGCTTAGATAGCGATTGCCCTGGTGCCGCAAAGGCCAGGCCGGCGGCACCGGTGAGGGCAAGCAGGTAGGTGTATCGCATCGTGAATAGATCTAGAGGACGGTGGATACCTGTGATTGAAGAGACAGATCATCAGACATGAAGAGTTGCAAAAAGGTATAAATACTGACTTCTGATCACATCGATGGGAAGGAGCTCTGCTCCTGATCACACTTGGGCAACGGCTGGTTAACCCGCATACTCCTCAATTGAATTCAAAACTTTGATTGGGGAAATTGATCATCCTGCATGATTCCCAAGTGTATGCTGGATCTCAATTCGGTCGTTTCGGACCGGCATCCGCGTGGATGTTTCCCGCTTGAATGTGAGTTGAATGCCCGATGAAGTATACCAATATGTGAAAACGATGGGCTGATATCTCCATTGGACACGGCGGGGACACGGCGCCATGATGGGAGTGGCTCTTCTGCCGAAGTGAAAAGTCCCCGAAAGAGAGCACGGTTTTTGGAAGTCTTGGTGTGCATATAAGATTCCACATTTGGAAGATGAAACATCACAACAACTCAATTGGCTGATCAGATATTTTCAATTTCGAGAACCAAACAGGAAAGACTACTTGTCTGCAAGGGAATTCTGTCCTCCCCGATAAAGGCGCAGTACATTACTGTGGCTTTCGGCTATTCGAAATTTGGGGCATCGCTTCAAGGGCATCCCTGACAAATGGGACCGCCCAGATCTTTAATCAAAAATCGCACCCCGTGTACCCGTGGCTTTCACCAGTGGAATGAAACAGACTATAACAAGGGCTATAAGACTCTAGAGAGAGAGTGGTTCGCGTAGTAGCATGATGGCCCTTACGGAGTTCCAATAACATCCTGTAGATGCTCTATTTCAACCATGTCCATCGATTCAAAGTACAGCCGAGCTTGCTCGAGATTAACCCATTAACTGTGTAACATGCGCACGATGTGTCCTGGTAGGTAATTTCCTTCGGGCCAGTAGAAAACACTGTCTTCTAATTGTGACAAGACTCCGTGTACGTCATTCTGCATACCATAATTGGTAGGAGAAAGCAAGCGCGTAAGGTACACATGACAAGTTATGTGGCTTGACTAGTCGGAGATTTCTCCGCATGTCAATCAAAATCAGCTGGGTTTCTTCAGCGTGGAAGAAGTAGCGCCCAGGTAAAATGCGCTAGTCCCGGAAACCCATTATGCCGTGCAGGAGCCGTTGGGTTGCATGGCCTAACGTTAGCGCTGACCCCGGCTGCAGGGGTTCCAAGGTCGTGGAGAGACGTACATTGGAGCTCGGGAAAGATCCCCTTTTTCATAGACCCCTGTTCCTTGTACAGCCAGAAGTTACCTTATTTCATGGCAAAGTGGGTTTACAAAGAGGACATCTACAAGTCTAGACGCCGCGTACAGGTAGTCAAGGCAGACTCGCAATGTGATAATCGATCTAATCATCAAGAACCTGATGCTTTGCGTGGATGGCGGCAGTTACCAGTGATAATTCAAAGCCGAGGATGAGCAGATACAGATTGAAGAGTGATTAAACGGAACAAATTGTTTCCATTTCGAGAATATCAAGGCAAATAAACTATTCCACGAAAGTACCATGGCAAATTTCTCCTATCATGTTGTCCTTGCTTCCCCCTGTCTCTCTCCACTTCGTGTACCGAGAATAATCGTGCCACCGGTCGAGTTTCTGACCGATCGCTTACAGACACTGGGAGTAGAAGTCATTTTGCTTCTGGCATGTGTATGGGCTGACACAAGTGGTAGGACCGGTCCAGCTAGATCCACCGCATTGTGCGAAGTGGGCCGCGCCTGTGGTTGAGCCAGAGGTAGCGGTGGTGGTAGTAGTGGCCTTGGTGGTGGTGGCGGTAGTGGCAGTAGTGGCCTTGGTGGTGGTAGTGGTGCCAGAGCCAGAGCCAGAGTTACCCGAGTTGAAGGTAGATCCGAGCGGACCGACCTTGATGTTCGAGTAGATGACATAGGCATCGGCGTGGTTAGCCTCTACATCCTTTGGATCGCCAGAGGAGATGTCACAGCTACCGCGGGCAGCACCAGGGGTGGTGGAGCTAGCTGTTGTGGGATAAGTGCCGTCGAGCCAGAGCATGTTGGCAGCGTGGTCGTCCCAAAGACTCATCACAAGAACCATGCCCTCAGCAAGACCAGCGCCCATGCCTGCCATGCCTCCATGTTGACTGAAAACGTCGGTGTCTTTGAAAGCGGTCTTCTGAGCAGAGCAGAAGGAGTCGGTGATAGAGTTGCCACTGACAGCGCTGATGGTAGAGACCGACTGCGGAATGGTCTTGCCATTCTGTACGTAGAAGCGCTTGATTTCAGACAGAGTTCCGGTGGAGGTACCGTCATCAGTAATGAATTGGGTAACAACAGTGAAGGGAGACGTGGTATCGACGATCTTGCTCGGGCCATAGAAGGACTGGTTACCCATGCGGTACGGGTTGAAATCACAGCCGTCAGGATCACAAGTACCGGAATAGCGATCGGTGCTGTAAGTTCCGCCACAGGCGTCACCCGTGCAGAGAACTTGGGTCGGGGTATCACAGGGATGCGGAGTCACCGCATTGGAGATCGAGTTAGCCTCCCAGATATCCATCTCCGCACAGCAAGAGCCGTGGTTTCCAGTTCCGGCGTTGACATCGTTGTCGGATGGCGTCCATCCTTCGACGTTAGCCTGGCCGTTGATGAACTTCAGATCGCGTGGGCATTGCGAGTCACAGTATCCAGTTCCATACTTGGCACCGGCTTTGTTGGCGGGATATCTGCCGGTGCCTCCGTCCTCGTCCATGGAGACAAAGTATAGAGCACCGTTCAGACCACACGGAAGCTTCGACACATCAACGTCGAAAGTAAACTCTTGGTTGAGCAACTGGAACATCTCGTATTTGCTGTCATCCTGCATGAGGTAGAGACGGGAGCCAATGTTCTTCTGGTATGCCGTAGTGATGAAGTTCAAGCGCAACGAACTGCCGCTAGCTGTAACACCGTAGGTGCCAGGATAGTCAGCACCTTCAAGGGCGCAGTTGGCGGCACAAGTTGCGTCGTTCGGGCAGAGAGTTGCATCCCAAGTGTTGCCGGTGTAGCAGTTGGTGGTGCCACTGGTGGAGTGGACCCATCGCCAGTTTGCGTCGATAACGACTTTGCCGGATTGCGAGGTGCAGCTGCCACTGCTGGTACACTTTTGCCAAGTCAAGGACGGATGAACCTCAGCAGTGTTCGTGCCAACCTGCTGGGCGGTGCTCGCCCCAAGAAGGGCAGCGAAGAGTAGAGCACTCTTGTAGATGTTGAACGAAGCAATCGAAGCCATTGTACCCAGTGTTGCTGTCTGCTTGATTGGGGTATGAGCTGTCTGGAAGATTGGTGAAGATCTTAGTACAAGGCCGAGGGACAGGCCTTCTTATATCACACCAGACTTCGAGCCAGAGCAAAACAAGAACGCATCCAGATCGATGTCACGGCGCCACGGTCCGTATGACCGTAGAGCCTGAGACTTTCTGATTTCCTAATGGAGGTCGACAAGCCAGCACTCCGGGGACACGGAGGATGCGCTCGAGTTCCGCAACGGGGCGACAAAATGGATAAATTCAATTCAGCAAGAATAGTACCGATATGGGCTGGGGTACTGTGGCGTGGGGTAATTTGCTCGTCCGCCAGACCCAATCTGCGAGCGACATGCATCTCTGGAGTACTGGCGGCTAAAAGAACCATTCTTCAACTCATATAAACAAATTTTTGGCGACTTTCTGTCCAGTCATATTGCCAGAAGGCAACCATCAGGATATCCATATTAGGTCCAAATTCCAGAGCCGTGACGAGGTGGTCACTGCCCGGCTTCTGCAGGCAGGTGGAATCCCTGCACGTTCTCGGTAACTGGGCTACGCACTGGCGCGTGGTTGTGCAGGGGTTGCATTAGCGTAGCACAAATGAGTGAGTGGTCACATTGCGGGGGCAGTGGCCTAGTGCCGAGGCCAGGAGATTATTATCCACGCGCAATGACCCTGCTGGTTAGTCCGTAATTGCTTCTAGGGCATAGTACGACGCGTTAAGGACAATAATCATGCCATGGCGAAGAATGTCGATAAGGGGTATCTATGCAAATCACCCCGAGCGGAGGATTCAGAGACACAGAGTAATGCTTGCAGGACCAAGAAGAAGCGTAGGAAGTAAAGAAACAGAAGAAACCTTACGGAGTAGACCCAAAGGATAAACATGGGATCGGCGGATCGGCGGCTCACCGCCTTAGGCCGAAAGCGGCAAGTGGGACACACATTTCTTTCAAGCGAAGCAATTGAAGCCTTTGAGTATATACGGATTCAACACCGATACAATGGCCAGCTTCATCCTCACCCTGTCGGGCCCCGACCGCCCCGGTATTGTCCATGCCGTCACTGCCTTCCTCGTTCAGAATGACCTCAACATCATCGACTCGTCGCAATATGGTGATGCCACCTCCAAGCGCTTTTTCATGCGCACCCACTTTGCGCAAGCCAATGGAGATGTTGAGACTCCCGACCTCGAGAAGTTGCACGCCGCATTCAAGCCCACCGCCGAGAGCTTCGACCTCGACTTCGAGATCAACACTAGCGTGAAGAAGCCCCGCGTGTTGATCATGGTCTCCAAGATCGGCCACTGCCTTAACGACCTTCTGTTCCGCCAATCGACCGGCCAGCTCAGCATTGAGATCCCCTTGATTGTGTCCAACCACCCCGATTTCGCCACCCTTGCGGCTACCTACAACATCCCCTTCCACCACCTTCCCGTCACCGCAGCCACCAAGGCGGAGCAGGAGGCCCAGATTCTGGAGTTGGTCCGCGAACACAACATCGACCTGATCGTTCTGGCTCGTTATATGCAGGTTCTGTCGCCGACTCTGTGCTCCGCCATGTCCGGTCGCATCATCAACATCCACCACAGCTTCTTGCCCTCTTTCAAGGGCGCTAAGCCCTACCACCAGGCCTACGACCGTGGTGTTAAGATTATCGGTGCCACTGCCCACTTCGTCACCAGCGACCTTGATGAGGGCCCCATCATTGAGCAGAATGTCGTTCGTGTCAACCACGGTATGAGCCCCAAGGAGCTTACCCACGCTGGAAGCAACGTGGAGAGCAATGTGCTTGCTGCTGCCGTTAAGTACGTGACCGAGCGCCGTGTCATTCTGAACGGCCACAAGACCGTTGTTTTCAACTAAGGGCCAATGGTCTTGAGTGTGCAATTGTATTGCATGCCTTGGTTATGACATCATTCCTTTCAGCGACTCTTTTGTGATACCTTGGTGGTCAATATTCTAGACCATGAGACCGCTGGGAACAAAAGGAAGACAAAAAAGAAGATATCCGGTCACATATAGAGCCAACAATATATACTTTCATCTTGGTTTGTAAACTTGCGTGAAGAGGCCCTGTAACCTTGGAAGATCATACCTGGGCACTTTGAAAGTTGCGCCTGTGGGTAGATCTCGATAGTCTCGTATCCGGTATGAACCCTTCAATGCTGGAAAAGCCACAAAAGCACTAGGCAGACACGAGATGTCGAGCGGGTAAGTTTTGTGTGATCGCCCGGCGGGGAACGCGAAAACTGATCCTTTGTCAAACACACCGAGTACATGCGCCTGCCCAGCATCATGACTTATACTGTCGCCCCCCATCTTCAATATTTTGCCGTGCCTCTTGCGAGCTTCATAGCTGCCAGGCCGGAAATGGAAGGCTTTGGAGTCGGCGCGTACATCTTTTCCCGCGCCGATCATCCTCCCCGTATCCTTCTTCTGCAGCGAGCAGAATCGGACTCAATGCCAGGATGCTGGGAGGGGCCTGGAGGTGCATGCGAACCTGATAAAGACGAAACGTTACTTGACTCTTTGGTGCGCGAGACTTTCGAGGAAAGTGGACTGCATGTCTCTCGCGTTGTTGAGCTTGTCGCAGTCAACTGCTGGGAGCATCATCGCCGCACAGGAGGCAACATTCGACTTGTCAAATACTCCTTCATCGTTGACATTCATGAGAGCCTTCACCTTGATACAAATGAACCAGTGCCAGCGGCTCAGATCCCCGTTCAGCTGGAGGCCACGGAGCATCAACACTATGACTGGGCAACGGAGGACAATGTGCACATCTCCATCAAGTCTACCAGTGGTCCTTATAAGTTCCCATATCTTTCGATGGGGCACCAGGCACCAAATATTCTGAGGGCTTTTGAATTACTCAAGGATTGATGCAACAGGACGCAGCTCAGGAGCGCTGTATAGCTTGGGGCACATGGCAATGTTCAATATTTCTCATGCTGTGGGGATCGGTTGCTTCCTCCCAGGGCTTTTCAAATCCGCTACCAGATTGCGGTTTGCAGTTTGCTTCCAATGAACATACAACATTAATCAGCGGACCAAGCAAGTCATTAATATAAACATGAAGATGAAATCAGTGGTCATGAAACACAGGTCGTGATAGATTTTCATAAATGATGTGTATATACACCCTCAACGCGTTTGCACTTCAAATGACTCCCAAGGTTACTGCGAACTTGACTTGGATGATTTGGTTTCCTCCCCTGGGAACGGCTTCCGAGCCCACACTCTGCGTCTGTAAAGAGAATTAGTCTCTGAAAAGCCAATGGAGTCTATGAACTTACGCCGTGTGATAGCCATGGTAGTAAGGGTTCTTCAACTCGCGCCGAAGTTTTGCGCAATAAACGTGCACTTGGTCCTTTGTCCAAGGCTCAGGTTCACCAAATTTGGTCAGCAGCCACATACACCATCCTTCCATACCAGTCATCCAATGTTGGACATTAACGACACCAGCCTCCTTCAACTTTTGGTGCTTTGGCCACGGCCCCAGAGGCCATTTATAGGTATTCTCACGGACCTCCACAAACCCAGCCTTCTTGATACTATCAGACATGGTGTAAAGAATATCACAAGAGCGACCTGCTAGGTCACCGCATGCCTGCATCATCGGACCCCACTGCGACATGGCGGAGTCTGGGGGGAGGGAGCCATCATCACTTGTGACAAAGGGGCCAACCTCGAGCTGCTCAATCCAGCCACCGGGCGCCATGTTTCTATTGAGTCAGATAAGTCGGACAAGGAAATTGGATCAAGTCACCTACTTGTAGCATTGCTGATAGACACGATCCCATTCACTGGGGTCGAATGATCCTAGCATATTGCGCATGTGAATGAGATCGAACTTCTCACGCCAGGTCCACTCTTCAAGTACGTTGTCAACTTCAATGACACAATTTGGTGGCATCCATGTGACTGGTGGAGGGAACAGGTCCACTCCTCGTACAGTGGAATTCGGAAACATGTCGGCAACGTCGCTGGGCATTGTTAGAATGAAAGCCACAGGTCCAAGCAGATAATCCACGGGACTTACACGGCCCAGGTGCCCTGACCGGTGCCAATATCGAGAACCTGGAGAGCCCGGTCCCGATCAGCGCCAACTGGCGAGCGGAACAACGGGTTGGCCCGGTCGGACTCTAATATGAGATCTACGAGATGACTGAGGTTTGCGAGTATCAGTATGGTTTAGATCAGAGTTTCCAAAGTTGCATGCATACCCGGCTTCGTATGTTTCGAACTGCAATTCATCGGATGGAATACTACCAAATCAGCCACACGCAAAAGAGCGCCTGAGGGAAAAAGCGAACCAGTATTCTTTATTTGAAAGTGATTGATAGCTTCGTAGATGTATAAATTAGCTCGGAATAATTATTTCAGGTACTGACTGGGTCTTACCGTCTTCCGTTGTCTACCAACCCCCGATACAATGAAGAACCGATCGATGTAGTTTCCCTGTTCCCCCACGATCAGTCCGTGCTTGGGATGTTTTGAAAATGACGAGTCACTCACGACTGCCAATCGTCGGGGGTGAACCGCTGCCTCCAGGGGCGTACAGATCTGGGTCCACGGCGATAGGATCCGGCTCCATGGCGAAAACCCCTCAACCGTTAGTTTTTTTATTTTGTGGGGTTTCTTGATCAGTCAAAGTGACGCGAGGAAACATTGGGAGAGGACCGGTGGAGGGAAACGCGGGTATAAAGCTCTGCAGAAAGGGCTTAATGGGCTCAATGGGCTGCACGGGGGGAATGGGGCAACATTTTCTTCTCCTTTCCACCTTTTCCACTGTGAATGTATTTTCCGAATGCTGATTGGTTACGGTAATACGAGTCCTGCTCATCCGCACTTGGGTCTTTCAGACTCAGTTCCCCACACGGAAGAAGTGTCCCTTTCCCCCAAGACTGTTAATTGGCTGCTGCTGGGGTAACTGGTTTCCATTCGTAAATCTACCTTTCAATCTTTGGTTGGACAGCGGACGGTATGCTCCCGTGTAGTATCCACTTAGATCTACCATTCGTACGAGATCTCTCAAAAGGGCATACGCGTACTTGCTTGGGAGGTCAAAGTCCTCAAGGGGTGGTCACTTTGACCCCGTTGTTATGTAGCTCATCCTGTGTGGATATTCTTAAATTGAGCTTGGATCAGATTCTGGTCTTGACGTTCTAATTTATGCACTTGGATCTCTTGCGGATCACCTTGGCCGTTTGCCGCTAGTGGAGCAGCAGGAACCCTTATGACAGCATGCCCGATACGAACGTGACGGCTAGATGAGGCGGACTGCAGATTCTCTTGCAGCGGATCAGGATCCGAGCCCCGCTAAAAACAAAAGGACGACCACCAGTCTATTCCTCGATTGAAAATGCGTAATAAAAATGCCATTTTGATCACTGTTTATTTAGGAACATGGGGCCACGGGTTTCGTGCCAATTGTAGTCACACTTAGTGCAAGGCATGTTGCAAACCTTGGAAATATTTGATAGCCACCGGGATGGAGCTTTGGAATAGATCCACCGGGCCGAGGTCTTGTTTTGCATGGAAGATTCCCAAAGTACCAAGATCATTCAGATAAAACTTAGACCCTCCATTCAGATCGTCGATTCTAACACACCACTTCGAGTATCCGAGACGTAAATTTATCCGTGGATCAAATGTGCCAAATAAAAAAGGGTCGGAAGAGCTCTGGAGCCACAAAGACCTCAGGAGGACCGAAAGTGGAATGAATCCCTCGAGGTCTGATGGAGGGTTTCTCGTAATTATTTGCCCATACCTTCTTTCCAGTTTTTCAAGTCATGGACTGTTCCCGGGGCTTCAGATCAAAATGTTAGTCATCCCAAGGTCATCAACCTCGGAACTTTCGATGCATGATAGTCGAAAGATTGATACCGTGAGTGCGATCTGGGTATATATCGTTGTTTGGGCCGAGGTTGGTTTTGGAGAGAACTCCACATCGCAGGGTACTACCTTAACACTTCCTGATTTCTTTTGCAGAAAACCTGTGGGATGGAGTCTAAATGTTGACCTCAAAGTCCGGTTTGACAAAGAAAAACAGGAGGCACTCCAAGGTTCCGGACACATCGCAACGGGCGGTGATTGGGATGTAGCCAAGACCCGCCATTGAGCTATGACGGCAACGGAATTCTCACACTATCTTTCCCAAGCGTGTCAAGGCATGACTAGATGCAATTGGAAGGTATCTGAGCCTCGGGGGACAATCTGAAGTTTGCTCTAGTGACATTGAATATGCTAAATCGCAATTCGCAGCACATCGTCGGTTGCTCGGAAGAGTCGTGAGATGGGACCGTGGGACCTCGGGGACGACAAAAAATGTGAGAGTTGGAGTAAAAGTCAGGCGATAAGCAGAAAAGCGGCTGATTACTCGATAGAAATATAAAATCATGGTCTTAGAAGCTCCGATATCTTTCCCCGCGGGGAGATGACGCCACAAAGGCGGGGAGGCACTGGAGTGAGTTCCACATCGGCCGATCCCGACGGAGTTAAGGGAATTGCCTACAATCGAGGGGTAAATTTCCATTCACGATGCACTTCCTGCTTTGCTGTGGAGATTCAAGGTCGAGCCCTGGTGCATCTGAGAGAAGAAATTCCAAGGTTTGGGTTTGACACCAACCTTGGAAGTGGCTTAGAATAACCTTGGAAAATTTGAATGGATTATTCAGTTCAATCATGTTCATATTCATCATATAGTTCATGGCCAAGATTCAAGATGCTGAGATAGTGACATTCGTCTAAATAACTGTTGAGAAATTCATTCTCAGGCGTCTTCAATCTTCTTCTCTCCCGCGTCGGCCATATGATCCGGCTCATATGGTACCTCATTCCAGGTGTCACTCGTTCCAGCAATGGGAACCAACCAGGCCAACAACCAGTAAATTGCACCAGCGACAATGAAGCCTGAAAAGTAGTTGACCTGGTAAATGTACTTGGCTCCAACAGGAACATCGACACCGACGGCGCCCGCAAACCCGACTATGTTGATCAATATCCCACAGAGGTAGGCCGCATATCCATGCCAGGAAACTCCATATGTGCCATAGTACATACTGCCCTTCTCTGCGCTGTAAAGTGCATGTATATCCAGATAGCCTCTGCGCACTAGATAGTAGTCGCTAGCCATCACACCCGCGATAGAAGCCAGGAACACCGAGTATGCAGATAGGTAGAGAGTGAATTTGCTGGAAGATGCAACTAGTGTCCACTGTAAACTAGCATTAGTATACCTGGTGAGGATTCCGTTAAAATTCAACTCACCGGACACATGGCAAGACCGATTGCCGCACACAAGTAACCGCCACGTCGAATCGTACAGAATCGGGGGAGGAGGGCTGTGAGGTTGGTACCAGCCGACACTGAATTGGCGGCAATGTTCGTTCCTAGCTGTGCCAAAGCAAAGCCCGCTCCGATAACAAAGATACCAAAACGCTCAGCAGAGCTTGCATCCTTCAAAAACATGCCCAAGAGGGTTAGAGGATTCCACACAGCCTCACCAAAGATGACACTCGAGGAAGAGGAAACGATGATCCCGATAAACGAAGTAACCGCAAATCCGACAGGAATCGTGATCAATTGCGGCCAGAATGCATCTTCCGGCTTACGGGCATATCTAGCAAAGTCTGGATTGTTGATAACCAGTGCGGCGAAATTGGCAATGCAGTTCATGATGCTTTTCACAAACGCCCACGCTAAATCACTGCCTTGCGCTGTATTCGGCTGCGTTATGATTGGGCCCAGACCATGAGCCCGCGCGATTGCCCATCCAAAGAAGGCAATAGCACAAGCCGGAGAAAAGTACGCCTTGACTGTGAAGAGGTGGCGGATCTTGTAGATAGGGAACCAAAGGGCCGGCAAGGATAGAAGCCAAAACAGAAAGAAGCTGACAAATTGCTTCGTTGTGACCCCCGAGGAGACAGGGATTGTGTTTGGTAGATTGTTATAGCTTGGCCAGATAGCAGCAATCATCAATGTGACGCATTCGCCTAGTGACGACAATCAGGTTAGTAAAAGGATCGGGGCCACTGTTCTTCCAGGAAAAAAATTACCTCCGAGATAAGTCTATTGTGGGGGGAAATTAGCATTCGGTACAAATAAGAGCCAATAATATACGTACCTGGACTCCATACCAAATCACAGCCATTGCCGCACGGTTGATAATGGGCCAGAATGAGCCCCAAATTCCAAACGATGCACGGTTGGTAACCGCAAAAGGGATACGATAGATCGTTGCAATCCGACCTATGAGGTATACGAAGATTGCTGAAATGGTGTAGCCAATCCAAACACATAGCCACGCTTGCCACCAGGAAAGTCCATCGACAATCATGGAAGAGGAAATCATCCACGTGTTCTAATAGGTCAAGTCAGATAAGCCCGACTACTCGAGCTTGTGACCTTTCCAATTGTTGGCCTTGGGGACCTGGTGACTATACTCACGACATTCAACGAATCTGCAATCCAGAATGCAACAAAGTTGAGCCACCCCCATTGGCGACGCTCGGGGTCAACTGAAGACAGAATCAAACACCAGAGATTAGCCATTGGGCAATTGAATAAGGGTATGTCTCATAAGGGGTATGGTGGGGAGCAAGCAATGGAACAGAGGAACCTTGGAAGCGGAATGATTATCATTACAGACTTACCTGGTCGAAGGTCATCGTTCGTTAGCATTAGCTGAGCTGTCGTTAAACCAGGATCCTGTGGGACCTTGATCTTCTTGCCCAGCCATTTGAGCTGGTTGACAATCATGTTGGCAATAGCACGGGGCACTTTGTGCAAGGAAAAATAGTGTGACTTCACAAGGAGAACAGGGGTACAAGTAGGCACGAGGCTTTCAACAGCCCGATGTGAGGTTGATGAGAATGAACTTCCAAGGAGTCGGCTCTTTTATATTCAAATAAGCCTTTATCCACGCTAGAAAGTCTCTGTTGTAAGCACATAGAGTGTAGATCTCACACTCAACTTTGCCGACGGGCAATAGCCCATGTGAACCTTAACCCCGCATTTTGGTAGATCTGGGGATTTTCACGACGAAAATACCCCATCGAACCCTGCAGGTGGGCTTTGATTCACTCCGATAATCGCTGCAGAATAATTGATGTTAGGTAATTTCTTCCCTTAGAAGAAATTTGTTATTCTTGGGTACTTGAAGGTTGGCCTCTATAGTTCACAGAAAAGCTTGCGGTTGAATGATCCAACAATTCAAAATCCACCACGTAGAATATTTTCACTTTCCGCGGAGTTTTGTAAATACTCGTGGAAATGGATTTCTCCATTTTCCAGATTTGCCAATGGCGTGAGTTGAGTCAATTGAGCATCGTCATGGGTACAACAGATTCGAGAATTTGCTCACACTTCTCGAAGTTGAAGACCCGCAAACATTTCATTCAAGTATCGGTCGATTATTCATTCAAACACCGCTTGCGCAGACAGGTGATGTTTCATCCCCATCACCTCAGCTGTTGATATGCCTTCAACTCCAGTTGATAGAGCGGCTGAGTGAAAGACTGACGCAGAGGTACCCTTACGAAGCCGCGACATGTTTGATGCCCTGACACCACCCCCAACAATTATTTTTGGGATGATCTGGTCCACAGGCTGAGATCTTGCAACTTGATCATCTTTCCAGCTGACCAAAAAGGCCAGCTTATCCACACAATCAATTGCGCTGGTTCCAGATGGACCACCGTTGGTCAGTATTGATGCGAATCCACAGTCCATGATGTCTCTCAAGGCACCTTGCCATTCAGACTCAGAGATGAGATCAAATGCGCGATGGAATGTGCAGGGAAGGCCTCCCGCCAATTGAACAAGCTCCTTGTTCCGGGGTACGTCAACCCGGGGAGAAGGCGATTGATCCGTGCCCTGCCTGTATGGCATCAGAATTCCGAATACGAAGCCATCGGCTCCGCGCGATTTTAGATCGACGAGAGTTTCCTTCATTGTCTCAAAGTCTGAATCTTGATAGCAAAATGTGTCAGCGTGAGGCCGAATCATGACGTAAACCGGAATGGTCAATTTGGCCTTCAAATTCTCAAGAACAGCAGTGTCCGGAGAAAGGCCCCCGGAGTCATAGTCTTTGCATAGCCTAAATTGGGGTAAGCTGTTGATGGTGCGAGCTCAGATCTTGGGCCGTACTCACTCTATACGATCAGCCCCCGCGCTTGCAGCGAGTATCGCTGAATGCTCATCGAAACATGCGATCTCCAACAAAGGATGAGGGCCATTCAGAGGTTGGTCTCCCATAACTAATGTATGCGGGCTCGTCCAGGCAGAGATTGATTCCAGAAGCCACTGGAGAGAGTGGGGAGAAGTAGCGCAAGTGGGGGCATGGGGGAATTTAACGGCACCACGTCACTTCCATTTCGCACTCCCGGACACGCTCTTGAGATCTTTGAAGTATTCCAATCCATTCATAATTTCCTCAAATTACAGACATGTTGTTTGGATAGCTGCGTGAGATAGGGCGGTCTGCGGCAGAATCTCATTTCCTCCCCTTTACTTCCCGAGGTCTTCATCTGGATATGCTCTCTTACTCTCTCGTTCTTCAATCCGTCTCTTGGAACCCCACCTCTCATTGACACGAGCCATTTGTTGTATCTTAACATGGACTCTCAGAAAACTGATACTTCTTAGGTTTGGGACCTCACGACACAGGCGGCGTGGGCGTGGGGTGCAGGCGCCGGTACCGATAAACAGATGCGAAGATACGAAGATGTCCACACAGCAAAGAGAACATGCTCGTTGTCGTCATGATTACTCGTGAGCCGTACAAAAGGTGAAGCGCAAAGAAAGGCGCCAATTACCTTGCTGGGACTTTCCGAAGCCCTCCATCAGCGCCCATCTCACAATCCACAATTCCAATCGACGTGAACTATCGGGTTTTCGATTCCAATGGGGTCCGACCCTGGTCTCGGCCTTTGTTTACGGCTATCCAGACAACCAAACGACCTTTTCGAACCGAATTGTCGACCTTTCCAAATACCATACCCTCCCTCATTACACCCACATTGCGAGGAAGGCCACAGAATGACGTTCCCTCAGACGAAAATGTCCTTGACGGCAACATGACGGGCGTTGATTCAGCAGTACTCTTACGCCACCTCGGTGTTGAAACAGCAGTGTGGAGACATTGCTGGTGGAGTGGCACAGAAGCTTGCGTTTCTCCGCCAAGAAAGGCTGTTGGGTCTCGTCATATTCAAGACACCAATATGGAGTACTAGGCATCGTGATGCATTTCGTACAATTTGATCAGCAGTAACTGTCACGATGATGTTCGCTGGAGTTCTTTCGTGGAAAGATCCAGCGAGAGTGAACAGAGAGCAGCGATCGTGGATCGGTTTACTTGAGCGTGTGTCCCTCCCAAAAGTGAATTGACCATGCAAATTCAGAACGTCGACAGCAAGACTAGACATAGTTGGGCTTGTCACATCATTCAGGCATGGCTCCAAACTTTAGATACTGTCTGTCCAATGACCTTCAGCAAGGAGTCTTGGACAGTACCTGCCAATGTCTTAAAGTAGCGAATTTGAGACTTGAATTTTCGTCTATCACAGAAACCTTTGGCAGAAGAAATCGGTAGAGCTTTGCTTCGGGGGGTTCGGAGTAGTTGTTTCTGCCAAAAGCGGGGAAAGTAAACTGACTGTGGTGATTCCCCCAAGCATCCTTATTGTTTTACTCTCTCAGTGTTCGGCGACATGACGATCAAACGGATACCCCCGCGTCCTGTCATCGCGATTGCTGGTCTTGCTTGTGAAACCTCGGGCTTCTCTCCAGCTCGCACAACCAGTCGCGACTTCCATCCGCGGCGTGGGCAAGAGATCATTCAGAAATACAAGTTTCTACACCAAGGCACTCCATTGGCAGATGCAGCGTCGTGGAAAGGCACACTCATAGGCCATGCGCTCCCAGGAGGAATTGTTTTGCGGGATGATTTCGAAGACCTGGCCAACGAGATAATAGCCCGGTTGGAGGAGATAGTTACTTCTACGCCCCTCGACGGACTATGGTTTGACATTCATGGAGCGATGTGTGTGGAGGGGCTGGATGATTCTGAAGCAGAGCTACTTCGCCGAATTCGAATGGTCGTTGGCCCAGATGTTTTGGTTTCATCGTCGATGGACCTCCATGGAAATGTCTCCAGAAATCTGGCTCATGGGACTGACTTGATAACCTGCTACCGCATGGCGCCACACGAAGATGCCATGGAAACAAAAGAGCGGGCTTGTCAAAACCTAGTCGATGTTTTGACGGCTCCTTCACGCACAGGAAGACCGACCAGACCTTTGAAGGCATGGGTGCCAATTCCCATTTTGCTACCTGGAGAGCAGACTTCAACACGTATGGAACCAGCGAAGAGTTTGTACGCCAATGTTCCAGCTGTTACTGCTCTTCGGGAGGTTCTTGATGCGGCAATTTGGGTGGGATACGCATGGGCAGACGAGCCTCGTAACCATGCGGTGGTGATGGTCACTGGGTGGAACGAGACTACAATCACTGAACAGGCAAAAAGACTTGCTTTGAAGTTTTGGGAATCCCGCGAGGATTTCCATTTCGTGGCGCCAACCGGTTCCCTAAGTGAATGTCTTGATTCAGCGATCTCATCCACCAAGAGACCATTCTTCATCTCTGATTCGGGAGATAACCCCACCGCAGGGGGCTCTGGAGATGTTACGTCCAGCTTAATTGAGCTGTTAGAGTGGACAGAATTACAGCATGAAACAGGCCCATCGGTGATATATGCCAGCATTCCAGGACCTGATGCCATCAGTACCATAGTCCAAGCTGGTGTCGGGGCTATGGTGACGATTACCGCCGGTGCGCAAGTGGACAACATGCACTCCGGACCAGTGACAATGACTGGCCTTGTATTCTCAATCAAACACGGGGATATCAACGCGGAGGTTGAAGCAGCTTTACAGATTGGAAGGCTTTTTGTCATCCTGACAAAGCTACGAAAGCCATACCACCACGAGAGCGATTTCACTGATCTCCAACTACGTCCACGGGAAAGTGACATAGTGATTGTGAAAATCGGATACCTCGAGCCAGAACTCTTTGACATGGCTGCTGACTGGATGCTCGCATTAACACCCGGAGGAGTAGACCAAGATCTACCACGCCTAGGCCACCATCGGATTCACCGTCCGATGTGGCCCTTCGACAAATCGTTCCCTTCGTCACCAGAGCTTCTACCAGAGATTATTCCGTCCTCCGATGAGCCACTAAAAGTTTCAATGAGTAATGTATGGGCTGCACACTGTTTGTCAAATGTCATGGATGTTTAAAATTCTTTGGGTGTTGCGGGACCTGATGACATGCAGCCTGTGAAGGTACACCGCTGCCGCTTCAACAGCAAACACTATGCTAGTAATTGATATTCAGATGAATGGGCTGACTAGAATTTGAACGAGGTTGGAGAAATGGCGGGGAGACGAAACCCGAAACCTTTTATGTTCTTATGTTCAATGGTCAATTACCAAAAGCTGGAGTGAAGGGCAAGGACATGGACAAGGTCCCGATGAAAAGTCTCTATTCGGTAAGCAATGAAGGCCATGGAGGTTGAACAACGGTTTTGGCATGCTCATAGACGTTTATCTAGCAAGAATCGAACCAAGTTTAGGCGACTTCTGGATCGATGAGTGATAGAACTGAAGGTCCAGGGATGGAAATGGATAGCAGCTTGGGATATTTGCGCATGCAAAAGACGCGTGCTAGTCTTATTTGGGCCTAGTGCATATTTGGGTTGGCGTCGCCTTTCCTCCCTGGTGCTTCGCCTTCGCACTCTTACGGTTTCCAATGATGCTTGGCAATCAAATTGGCCCCCATAGGTTGTTCAGCGCTGCCTGAGTTCATGCGTCTACATTGCACATCAATGGTATGAATGGTCTTCCTAAATGGGCACCAAAAGCCTCTCTCAATTTCCCTCGCGACGAGACGCGCCACAATGACCAAGAGACCCGAGTACGTACCACTGGGAGAGTACAAGCAAACCAGCCCGGATCGGATGATCCTATCGCTTCACCGACGTGATTGATAACCATTTATAACCATCAACATATTGCAACGACTTGGGTCTTGGAGAGTCTCATCTCTAGGCTCCCCCGGCATAGCTGTCGAACGCGATCTGTCGCCGAGCTGAGCTGTGTCCATGCGGTATGGATGCACGATTGCCGTCGATGAAGTTTCCAGTCCTCACTCATGACCATCCCTTTTCTGGCCAGCCCAGCCAGGGTGATTTGCTCGATGTGGCCTCCATAATGTGGAGGAATTCATGACCTATTCGTAGCCGGATTTAACACATTCATATTGGCGCACATCGCTGGTCCATATGACACCTGCAGTATTCTCCCATTTGAATACTTGCTTATCAGGCGTGGTAATTCTCAAGCTTGATCATCGGGGATTGGTGTTATCAGCGAGTGTGTTCCGCCGGTTAAAGATGCTGGTTTCCGCTGGGCTCTGGACGGGCCGTGGACGGACCGGTGATTAGCAACATGCGCATGTCGGATTTGCCAACCGCGAGCCCCTGCACAATATGTTGAATTGCTGCGAATCCGGCCACAATGAGCATTCTGTCATCATTTCAAGGCTTTGATCCCAGTCGTTTTCCGCAGTTTGAATTGCCAGGAACACCCTTCCGTGTGTCGTGAGCCCATGATTCTCGGAAATCCCTTACCTGCTGAAAACTCCAACTCTGTCCTTGTTTACATTCAATTCAACAGAAATTCAGAACTTCAGAAATAAAAAGAAAGAGAAACAAGCCGAGAGGGAGTCAGTGTGATGCTACCAAAGCAGAGATGTGTGCCCGGATCCATGTGATCGGCTCGATCGGAACCCCGCCCGAGACGGACCGTCTCTCGGGGCTTCCGTCCATCGCGACTCATAGATAACTGGGGTTCTGGCCTTCCAGTTTTTCTCTGTTCCCAAGAATATTTTACTCAATTCGATCACGGTACAGGCTTGAATTTGCACTCTTGAAATTGGTTTCAGCATGGCCTCCACTTCCCCCTCATACCTCATCGTCGGGGCGGGTGTGTTTGGTGTTTCGACAGCATACCACCTTATTCGGAAGTACCCCAATGCATCAATTAGTCTGATTGATCGAGATGCGTACGATGCCGAGTCGCGAGTAGCTGCGTCTTGGGATTGGAACAAGGTCGTTCGTGCGGACTACGATGACAAGGTCTATTGTAGACTGGCTCTCGAGGCGCAAGAGATCTTCAAGTCCGACCCTCTCTGGCAGCCCCACTTCCACCAAACTGGTGTTTACTGGACATGCCGCAGCGATTATGCACAGAACGTGATCACCAATCACAAAGAGCTCGGCCGCCACGATGATATCATTGCTCTCCCTGTTGCAGAGGCTCGCAAGCTATATGGCGGAGTCTTCGACAACGCCGACTACACCGGTGTCAAGGAAGTCCTTGTCAACAGAGCCAGTGGCTGGGCCGCTGCTGGAGATTCTCTTCGGGCGGTGACCCAAAGATGTGTGGAATTGGGTGTTAAGTATGTCACTGCGCCTGTCACTAGCCTTGAGTTTGATGGGAAGGGCTCTTGCACAGGCGTGTCGACACAGTCAGGCGAGAAACTCTCCGCCACACATGTCATTGTTGCAGCCGGTGCTTTCACGCCTACCCTTCTGGAGTGGAGCGCTGCTAAGAGTGGCAACGCTGGTCTACGAGCTGGAGAGCGCATTCTTGCAGCTGGTATTACGACTGGCATGGCACAGCTCAATGATGAACAATACGCTAAATACAAAGATATGCCGGTTGGCTTCCAGGGTTACACACCAGAGGAAGGTAAGTACTTCCGTTCATTGACATGGGCGGTCCTAACTCGGTACAGGCAAACCCTTCATTGGTAGCATCCCACCCAACAAGGATCGCGAAATGAAGTGGTGGGGTTCCAAGATTTTCACAAACACAAGGGAAATCCTCCCAGGACGTCACATATCTTCACCTCCGCCTACGCACGACTATAACCAGTGGAAGGTTCCAGGACCTCTCAAGCAAGATATTATCGAGTCCCGAAACCTATGGTATGGGCCTGAGAGTGCATCTTGGAACATGACAAAGCACCGAATCTGCTGGTGAGTACCCTTTCGCTGTATAAATGTCGTCGCCCCAAACTAACAACACCGACCAGGGACGCTTTCACCACTACCTCCGACTTCATTATTTCTCCTCATTCTGCCTCAAAGGGATTATACATCGCTTCTTGCGGCTCCTTCCACGGCTACAAGTTCTTCCCTGTTCTCGGAAAATACATCACCGAGATGATTGAGGGAGAATTGGCACCCGAACTAGTACAGAAATGGGCATGGGACCGACAACGGCCGGATTCCTCTGAAAACGTGGAATATCCCAATGCCGAGATGAAGCACCTATTGCAGCCTGCGGCCAAGCTATAGTGCTTCAGTTTGACTCTCAACTTTTGTTTCGAAATGAATAATTCGGTTTAACCAGCATGAGGAAGATGGCCTTTTCAGGGATTTGAGATCTGGACAGAACGAAGGAATTATTAGAGATGCCACGAAGCCCGTGGCTTCCAAGGTTGTTCTCCGTTTCGATGATAACCTTGGAAGGGATGTACACACTTAAGCGCATTTGATGAATATCATGAATGATTTACCTGACACTTTCTAAGTAATGCCATCTCAATAGTCAAGCCAGGGCCAAATGAAGTAGCAACAATATGCTGTCGGTTGCTTTGTGAGCGAATCTGATCCAAGACAATCAAGACGGATGCACTGGATGAATTTCCCCTTGTACGATATATTTCTCGTGTTGTTTGAAGTTGTTCCTCCGACAGCTGAAGCACTTCGCTTGCGCCATCTATAATTGCTTTTCCCCCGGGATGCAAGGCCCAGTCAAAGTCGCCGATTTCCAATGACCTAGGCACTTCCTTGCTTGGTTGCCCCTGCGGCTGTAATCGTTCCTCGTATGATAAGAGGAGTTTATTAAACATTGGTCCAATCGCGAGAGTGGTGTACTCAGGAATATCTCGGTCAAGTGTAGCACGATAACCTTTATGTATCAACGTTGATGCAACTGATTAGCTTTGCCTTTTCGCACTCAGCAAATGAAGATCAACTAACCATTTACGTCAGCATAGAATGACATGCGATCCACGGTATCCGGAATCACGTCACATCCCCATTCCAGAAGCTCAAGCTGTGGGATCGATTGCTGATCCTGGGCCACGGCATACTCATTGCAGAGCACAAACGCTGCCGCAGCATCTGAGAACAAAGCACCTGCAATGTTTGCTTTTTCGGAATTCCCATTTTGCTCCGCCAAGGAAAGATAATATCGCAGATTTGGTGTGCATAGTTCACAGGCAAAAGCCAAAATGCGGGCTGGTTTCCTTCGCACACTAGCTCCACCTGCGAGCTGTGCTGCTGCTCGCAATAAAGATAGACCACCAGCACACCCGACCCCATGCAGTAATGTTCGATCGACGCTTAGTGGGAGATCCAGCTCACGAGCCACAGGAAGATCGTATCCTGGATTACCTTGATTGGTGCATGTGACTCCAATCGTATGGGTGATCTGCTCGGGTGCAATGTTTGCTTCTCCCAGAGCTTTCTTGCATGCTTGCACGGCTAGGTCGACACCAGCTTCACGGAAGAAGTTGTCAATATCAGCGATTGAAGGTTCTTTTGAGTCCGTTGCAAATCCCGTGTCATATTGTCGGATTGCGGATCTGGTCTCGATGCCGCTTGACCGGTTGAGCTGAAGTAGCTTCTTTATTCTGTATCCTGAATAAGAAGACAGTCTTCGCCGCAGAGTGTAAAGTCTTCAACAGCTCACCCTGACTTGGTCACATCATAATATCGCGCCGCGAAATTTTCGAGGTCGTGAGGCGCTAGCAGATAGGGAGGATACTGTGATCCGAGTCCTGTGATGTAGAGCCCTGGCGCTGGGAAGCCAACCGCCATGTCGGTTATGAGGAATAAGTCTTTGGAAAACAAAAGGAGAGCAGGGAATGGCGGACGCCTTGCGGCTGAAGGAGAATTGCTCGCTAGCTAGCTCCTTGGCATTTTGTTGTGCTTGACCCGGCTGCCGACCGTCCTATACACGCTCTAGACCATCAGGCCGAGGTTGAAAAATCTCAAGAACGACATAACCACAACGTGCTAAGTGTCTCCTTGATTGGTATCAGCAATGACGAAGACGAAATGGAGCCAGGGAGAGGGAGGAAGTCAGGGAACCCCCGCAAGTAGACCCATCGCCTCACTACCACTTGTGCACCCCCGACTTGATCCAGGAAGTTGTCACTTCAGGGCTCCACTTCGGGAGTTTCCGACACTCAACTCCGAATTAAGACTTACAAGCCTCAGTGCTGCACTCATGCGCGGCCAAAAAAACGAGGGTAGTTGCTTATAAACATGAGTAGCTAAGTATTGGCTTAGTCTCGTATTGCGATCAGTGAAGGAAGAGAGCTATTATCAATTTCGAGACCTTTTTCAACTGTCTTTTCAACTGTCCTTCCAAGGTTTCAAGTAATTGTCGAGTCATCATGATTGGTCGAGAAACAGAAGTCTTGGCTAAGCCGTGAACAGAGAATTGGGGATGGAGGATGAGTGCTTGATCATGAAGCAGTTATCTTTATGTCAACCCTCAAATTCTTTGCGAATCAAATTTTCTGCTAACCCCGCTTGGGCACTATGGCGCAAATGGCGATATTCCCAAGACTAAAGAGCAAAGCACCTTTCAATACTATCGGCGTTGTTCCCCCACCAATGCGCCATCTTCGTGCCCGTGGTCCCCAAAAAGATGAAAATGAACAGCAAATTAGCATTGAACCCCGTGTCCAGCGCCGCTCCACTGATGTAGGCCCACTTATTCCAAAACACCCTTCTATACCGGTACAGGTAGAAATTGGTGAAAGTCCCAACAAGGAAGGTGGTGAAAGGCCCGGTACTGAGGTTTCCATAGAAGACTGCAGCCGACGCGAAGAAAATTGTGGTATTCCAAAGGTCGAAACGCGCGCGGGGGAATTTTTTGTGTAGCAGCCACATCACGCAGGGCGCAAGTGCGCCGGCAAGGAAGCCCCAAAGAATGGGCTTGAAGAAAGCCGATGCAAAGAGCCTCTTCGGTCCCACGAGGGCGAATTGGATTCCCGCTGTGTTGTAAGACTTGAACTCTTGACCCGTCCACTGCCCCAATGGGTCTTTTACTTTACCGCTGACATAGTCAAATTTGCTGGCGATCACCCACCGCATGACGCCGTAGTTAATGGGTAGGGCGAATATGTTGGCCAAAATTTGGATTCCGATGACCTGGCGGGGAGGCAGATGAAGGTAGTGTCCGATCTAATACCGTTTAGTTTGTGGCATTGGGGTGAGGTGTCATGGAATGGCAATCTAACCTTTTGGTCTTCTAACACAATCCTTGCGTCGTACCATACATTGCCCGAGATAATACGGTAGGCAAGCTGGCCCAAGGGGTGTCGTGAAGACCCTTTTGCGTCGATCATGTCTAGCAAGATAAAATTGTCAGTCGAGATTGGGTGGTCACACGGGGTATGGAAACTCTAACATCCATATATAAGCTCGTTGAAAAATCCAACCTTGACCGAGAAGCCTGACAAAGCGTAAACAAAGCTCATCGGCAGCATTGCTGCGGCACCAAAACCCAATGCGACAAAGTATGTCCAGATTGGCATATAGACCGTTTTCGAGACGACTATTCCAAGTAGCATTACAAAAGGTATAACAGTAAGTGCAGTCCACTCCCTGTCATTTATGTTAGTTGAAAACTCCCAACGAAACGTGAGATAGGTAAATTCACCATTTTGTCAGCCCTGGATATTGGTGGACAAGTTGACTAACCAAGGTCAATGACAATGTTTCCATACTAACAAACCGAGTATTCATACCTGAGTTTATCTTGATGAAAAGCTTTTGACTGTTTTCTCGCTTTCCATAGTTTGTGGATCTTGGAGCCGAAAAATAGTGCGCACCAAATGTAGGAGGACATATACGAAGCCACCCACTGCAGAACAGTTAGCGAAAATAATCAGTAGGGAAGAATCAGGGTGGAGTCTACCATGAAGATCTGCCATGTATATTGAGCTCCCGAATATGCAAGGCCCACTTCGTCATACTTGGTCCCGTTAACATGTTGCACACCACTAGCATCCACATAAACTTGAAGATATTAGCAAATGTCTCACGAATGGGCAGGGGAGACTTACTCAGGTCATTCAGTGGATAGACTGATCCATTCTTCTGGAAAACTTGATTAGACATAATGTCGTAAGTGGGCGACCCCCAAAGCTTCCCGAAATAAGCGATGGGAATTAGGACCCAACACTGCAAAGGGTTAATAGTTTGATCAACCAGAAAAGAACATGAGTGCACTCACTGTCATGACGAAAGATGAAAATATGATCACCTGCACACTGTAAGGGTACGTGATCACGGTGGAAGTGATATTTGACCAATCGAGCGTTATATTCAGCAGACCCATGCCACCACGGCCAGCTCCTATAAAGTTGACTGTATGGTTCTGGCTAGCGAACCAACACAGAGGAGCTAGAGACGCCACAAACGGGAACAGATATTCTGGCAAGAACTGCCAGGCAAATGTACCAAAGACTAAGATCCAGAATATCTAATGAAAAGGCTCAGTTGGCTTCATTCAGATATATTATCTGTGAGCAGTCGAATGACATACCTTCATCTGGTCACGGGCTCTAGTAGATTCCGATTTGTTCCTGCTGTCCATACTTCGGTAGAGCGTGACTTGTTGCAATGACAGCGGGAAGATAAATTCAGGATCATCGATAAGGAGTGGCCGAACTAGAGCAATTGACTCGGTTAGATTATTTCTTTCAGACAAGAGAGGGTCTGGAAGGGCGTACCCATGGCAGCGAATGCAAACCCGAGCAAGGAGCAACCCTGAATTCGGAGTTAGTATGGAATTCGAGTCACTGTCAATTTGGAAACCTACCCATCCAAAGAAGAGCGCCACCGCCGGGTTCATAGTAATGCCATAGTATAAAGCAGCGTTTGTAGGAAGGAAGGCTTTGCAGGTCAGTTCCATTCGTAGATATATCTAATCGGGATCCTTACTAGCCCACTGGCCTTGGCTTCCAGAATTAGCAGCTAGACCGACAATTGCATGTTCTTTGGTTGACCATGGACCTGGATTCAGCGAAAATGAAAATCTTCCCAATGGCAACCTGTAGTCGGGTAAGGTCCGCGCAAGAAATCGACCGAGAGGATCCGATGCCAAAATGACAAAGAACACCGGGAAAGGCGCGTAGGTCGTACGAAAGCTAATAACACATGAGCAATCATGCTACATTAACGATGTGCGACCAAGAGGGCCTACTAGGACAATTGTGAGATAACGCTGCCAATTGCGCAGAATACTGCTGACAGGAGGACGGAGCGGAAGGTTATCACTGGCAGCGACGGATCGTCCTCAAAGCTAACAACATTTCTCACTAACTCGGGAATATTCTTGAACTCGGGGGACTCGGGGTCATATTGGGACTCATCAGAAAGGTCACTTTCTTTTGTCTCGATAACACCCAGGTCCTTCGCATCCGGTGTGTGCACTTTCTCTGTAGAAAGTTCTTCGAATGGCGGTTGATGGTTAGCCATTGCGATTGAATAACACCCGTGGCATAAATACAACTAGAAGTTTACTTGACTACTTATAAAATTCTGCTTATCAGCCTTGATTTCCTTGCCAACCTAGCTTAAAAGCATGCAATCCTTGGCGAAAATGGTATGGACTCACACTTTCAGGGAATAAAAGTCTCCTTGCGAGATATCGCTACGAGCGTGCCGGCTACGAGCGTGCCGGCTACGAGCGTGCCGGCTACTCTCAGTCCATTTTCTTTGCTGGTAGTCTCAATCACCGGAGAAAGACCAAAACCCTCCGAGTTATCTACAATGATAGAAGTGGATCTCGTAAGACTGGGGTCTTGGTTGGGAACAAGCTCGAATCATCTGGCGATGATAGGGATGAAAGGTAATCTGGAAATGAAACTAGACTGCAAATGGGCTACCCTAGGCTTGATAGAGGTACACGCAGCTGTTCAAAGCCGCTTTGTCTACCGGTCTGTACCAATCCACTCGGCTGTTATTGCGATGCGGAGATATGGCGTATAAATCGATCAAAAGGTGCGCTGAGGGGACGAGCGTTAGGGCCGGTCGCACTACGGAGTATAGATTAGTTTCTCATCTCAAAATCATATCTCATCATCGGTCGCTCCCATTATTTGAGTGCTGAGAGGGGTATTTTGCCCTGTAAAATAAAGCCACCGAGGTGATCCGATCGATGAAGATTCAATGCCTTGTTTGAGGCGAAGAGGCTTCTTCAGCGATGTGAAACTATAAGAATCATAGAGTGTTACTTGAATTCAGGCTCTGAGATGCCGAAGACCCCGCGTGATGGCGCCATGGCCGTTAATAATGAGCTGCGACGTACTTCTTGTGCGGGACGCAGGGGGCTGATTGGGGGTATTTGCCCATTTTGTTTGAAGTTATAGATTTTGATCACTGGAATAATCTAATTCTTCTTTCATATCTCGCCATCGCCATTTTTGGGGGCTAGAACTATCCAGACGGCATTGCAAGTTGGACTGCCGAGATTTCGTCCTCTCCGACCTTCCCCTCACGCGGAATCTTTAAATATTCAAAGATCTTTTTATCACATTTATCACCGTGGCCCAGCAAGCATCTTACCTCTAGACACGGCACCCAAGGCTTGATGCTCATATAAACACCATGGCATTGTCCCAGCTGTTGCTCCTAGCCAACCTTGCCGGTGGCTCGGCTTTCGTGCTACCCTTCTTCGATCAAACTCCCATGACACTCGGTCATTCAAGTCCTGAGTTTACATGCGATTTACCACCTGCTCTGGATCCTGCCGGAGATGGTCTGCTGTCGGCGAAAAATTTATTCTCGTCAGATGAAGCGATCGAAAGACAAGTCAAGCGCCACCAGGCGATTGTGCGCGTGCCATCTGTTTCCTATGACGATCTGGGCGAGATTGGCGAGGATCCCCGGTGGAACACATTCTATGAGCTTCTTCCGACTATTGAAGCATCTTATCCCACTCTGTGAGTCGATATCCCACGCTGGAGGATCGTGTCAAAGTTGACTGGTGTAAGTCACAAGCGGGCACGGTTGGAGAAAATCAATACGTTTGGTCTACTCTACACCCTAGAAGGCTCTGATCCTTCTCTCAAGCCAACTGTCCTGCTCGCTCATCAGGATGTCGTCCCTGTGGCCGACCCGACAACATGGACATATCCTCCATTTGATGCACACTTTGACGGTGAGTATATCTGGGGCCGAGGTGCGTCCGACGACAAAAACAGTCTCACCGGAATTTTATCCGCCGTTGAGGGTCTTCTTTCCCAGCCGGACTGGGCCCCGAGACGAACTTTGGTTCTTGCATTCGGATTTGACGAGGAGGTGGGCCTCAACCAAGGTGCTGCGCAGATCAGCAAAGTCGTTCATGAAAGATACGGCGACGACAGTGTTGCCATAATCCTTGATGAGGGAGGTTTCGGTTCACAACCTCTCGACGGGGATACCGTTTATGTGCATCCCGCAATCACCGAAAAGGGTCACATCAATCTCTTCTTCGAGCTTCACGCCAAAGGTGGTCACAGCTCTGTTCCTCTGCCACATACGAGTATCGGTATTATCTCCGAACTCGTTGTCGCTCTCGAGTCCAACCCATATGGACCGGTGATCACCGAAAACAGCCCCATTCATAAACGCCTGTTGTGCCAAGCACGTTATTCGCCAAATACCCAGCCTGAAATCGAAGCACTCCTGAAAGTCAATGACTTTGAGCGGCTCGCAGTTGAATTTGCAAAGACTTCTCCGTTGAACCGCTTTGTCGTGCAAACCTCGCAGGCTGTTGATTTGATCAACGGTGGGGTGAAAATCAACGCCATGCCCGAGGCCGTTACTCTAGCTGTCAATTATCGCGTTGCCCATCATCAACGGCCCGTAGAAGTGCAACAGCAGGCTATCAAAGTAATCGCAGGTGTCGTCGAGAAGTATGGCCTTCAGGTCAATGCTTTCGATGGTGACAAAGAGTATCACGATCATATCGCAGGGCTTTATCCTGATCATTCCAGCTATGGCAATAATTTTTATCCCCAGGATCAATTCGACGTCGAGTACAACGGTACTCTTGTTGTGCGCGCTACAAAAGCAGATGCAGCACCCGTGTCTCCCGCTAGTGGACCAGTGTGGGATGTCTTCTCGGGAACAATCCGACACACCTTTGGGTCAGATGGCAAAAATGTCGTACCGGTCGGGGATATCATGACTGGCAATACCGATACCAGGCACTATTTGAGTAAGTTGCTCCTTGGTCGACACCCTGTTACCTACCTGAGCTAATGGACCTGTTAGACCTGACTCGCAATGTTTATCGTTGGACACCGGCTGTCGGCCGTGGACTTGACAACATTCACACAGTTGATGAACGCGTGAGCATTTTTGACCACCTGAATGTGGTCAAATTCTACTACGATTTCATCCGCAACTTCGATGTGGCGGATCTGTAAGGGGTTCCATGATATACTAATGGCTACGAAAGAGGAAAGAAGAACTAATGGAAGACTCTTTGTCCCGGCACGCAATGACCAGGGTAATATGCTGGATTTCGTTGCAACCTTTGGAAGGCCACACTACACGGATCTCGTCCTAGCGCTGGTGCAGAAGTCGAGTCTACCAGTAATTTATTTCTTGACGGCATCAACAAATACTATGAGCTTTTGTTATACGAGTACACAGATACAAGTCTTCGATCGAAGTAGATCTGAGAACCATATAACCTGATAATATTGCCTGATAAACCGACCAACCTGAAATTATGGACACTGTTGCTTATTCGACTCAACAATCTTGATGATCCTTTATCATTGCACCCATTTCACTCATAATAATTGTTTTATTGAAAAGAGGAGATTATTATCTAGTCCATGACATCGAAAACTCCCGTAGCAGAGAGTCCAATCTGTGAGCCGCGTGTGCCGCACCGACGCATTTGCCGCAGACTGCACATGCCGCGCAGGCCGCGTCGACATCGCCAATCCCTAAATCTCTGTTCACGGCTTAGCCAAGACTGCCTTTTCTCGATCAATGATGATGACTCGATAATTACTTGGAAAAGTGGAAGGACAGTCAAAAGGACAGTCAAAAGGACGGCCAAAAAGACAGTTGAAAAGACAGTTGAAAGAGGTCTCGAAATTGATGATAGCTCTCTTCCTTTACCAATCGCAATATGAGATTAAGCCAATATATAACTACTCATATTCAGAGGCAACTATCCTCGTCTTTTTGGCCGCCCGTGAGTGCGGCACTGAGGCTCGTCACACATATTTCCCCAGGGACGGCCAAGCAACAAGCTCACTTCAACGTCGAAGTGCCAGGGCAGATGCTCAATTAACTACACCGCGTCGGCTTCTCATTCTCTTATATCGAAAATATCGAGCACTATCAATAGGGTTGCAAATGGAAAAAATCAATACCCGTCAGTGGTTATATGCGCTTTGAAAATCATAAGTCTCCAAGAAGTTGAATGGCGGCAGACTTGTGTGAATGGTCTTGGAATGAGAAGATTACGGGTTTCCGTCAAGTCTTTTGTCTTCCAAATCTGTTGTTTACTCGTTAATCAGTCTTACTGCTGAAACGAGAGATCCTCTCTCTATCTGTCTCTGTCTCTGTCTCCTTCTCCCTTCTTCTCATCTTCTCATCTTCTCTCCCTCTCCCTCTCCCTCTGAATTTGGTGTGCCTAATGTGACATGGAAGAAAAAATCCTCAACCCTCTGGTTTCAGTGGGTTTGAAGGTTGGGTTGCCTATCAGTGAGATCCGTATACGTGCCTTCTCATAGCGGCCGACACTCACGTTTTCCAAGAGGTCCCCGCCAGTCTACGCAACCATACCGCCCTATCTCTGCATCCGAGCTACATACTCGACATCCTCTGCCGGATTGTTTTAAAGGGGAACTCAGATCCTCTCTCCAGCAGGAAGAAGCCTTTCTACTCTTCCTCACTGGCTACATTCCAGGGGCTCAATATGTCGAATGCCAAGCTGACGGCAATGCTTTCCCCTAGTTTGTTCAAGGCTTAGCACCTGAGAGCCTAGTCATATGTGCCACCTGTTGGCGGATGTCTGGCGAAGATACACATTGCTCGATTATGAGTGCTCTCAATACCCTCGTCACTATGATGCGATCTTTTAGAGCCCAAATGCGATGATTGACAATCCTGGACCTCGCCGCGCCATCAAGGATCGGCTTTAACCCCTTTTCACAACCGCAGCAGAGCGCAGTCAGACAGCCCTGATTCATGGGGCAAATTCCAATGAGGCTACCAGTGCTGCAATCCAAAGCATGGTAAACGAAGTGAGCCAGCTTCGCGCATTCTCCAGTGGACGGCAACGCCAGGGTATTTAGTGACCATTGTGCAGCCTTTTCGTCGGTTGTTTGTTTTGCAAAGCTTGTCGCAGATAAACTAGCGTTTGGAGAAGAATAATATTGACATGAAACTTCCAGGTAAAACCGCCCTTTCAACAGTGTAGAAAAGGAATTGCGTCCTTGAAGCCGTATGTTCGCCCGATCATTCAAAGTCACAATGATTCCGGTCGGTGATGGTTGACCCAGACTCAGCATATTGTTGACTTTCCCAAGAGCCTCGATCTACAGCTGGTCGTGCCAATTACCACCAGTCCATGGTCTATGACGCAGATTGTTTGAGCGATGGGCTAGAATGCAGGGTTGCCGTCTACGCATCATCACAAGAAGTTCAAAGTTTCATGACATCTTCCATTGGCAGAATTAACCTGCTTCATATGCTAGAAGAGCAATTGCATCGATCACTTAAAAGCATCCCAGGCGCTCAGCTTCCTCGAAGATCTGCTGTGCCAGAAATTGCTTCTGCAAGGCGAGTCTCGCAGCGTGTTCCTGATCCTGAGGCTCGATGCTGTCAATTGACTTCATCAAGGCAAGCATCTCGTTCAAAATCCCATTCTGTGGCGCCAGGCCTTGCTTCTTCTCACCTCGGTTGGCGAAGGTGCACTTCCACTGCAAATCCCAGGTGCAACTGGCGCACTCATTCATGCCAGGAACGCTAACGCACGCGTTGAACTTGCCATTCAGCGACACACAGCGCTCACAAGCGTTGTCGGAGTCGAGTCGTTTTCCCACAGCTTGGCCAATCAATGCATTGATCTGGTCCTTATGACGACCGATTTGGTGATCAAACTCTTCTCCGCTGAGTTTGGCTCGCTTGCGGTGTTCGGTGTCAGATTGGAGGATCGGCTCGCGTTGCAGTGGCATCCGGCTGAGACGGTTGAGCAAGGTGCCAGGCTGGTGGAGATCAGTAGCTCCAAGCTCCCATGAAGCCTCGGCAGCCCACTTTGCCCAGAAGCCAGGCTTCTCGTCTGCCTTGTTGAACTCGCCATAGGTGGGATCCGGGTAGATTGGAGTTTGAGTTCCCTTCTGGGCTTCGTCCTTGCGATTGGCCTTTGCATAATCCTCGATCACGACAGCATTGACCGTAACATTGACTTTCGGGCCCTTAGTCCCTGTGAATGCTAGTGTTAATGCCTGCACACGAGTGTCACGACAATGCTTCATCATGCACTACTTACCAGAAACACGTTTCTTTGAGAAGCTGGCAGATGCTTGTTCTTTGTTGCCATCAGGCTCAGTGGTTTGAAGCTTTGAGGGCTTCTCACCCTGGGTGGCTTTTCCCCAGAAGGGTAGATCTTGATGCGGAAACATGGTCAGTGAGGCTTTGCAGTACATGCTTTCACGACTCCTACTCTTTCGCGGCATGGTAGCGATTGAAGGTAAACGGGTGTTTCAACGCCGACGAAGGATCAAGAGCACAAGAGGCTAGTTCTGTGCAATTGACCTGGTTCAATCGATTGGCGTGGGAAAGAGAAAGAAAAGAAGAAAGGAAAAAGGAGACAGAACAATGAATTGATAAAGCACAGGCAGGACTCGAGACGTGAACGCCTCTTCACGTATCAACAATACGGAGCCGCAATTCTAAGGCCTCCATCACCTAGATTTCCAATCTATCTTTCAGGGTTATGCATCAGACGTGGCCCTCATCCTACTCCTCGACATTTATGTTTGATCTATATTGCACATGACGTGGACTTGACAAAGCATGGACTCGAGGTAAGACAAGCTAAACAGTTATTCCCCTGAGCTCAGTTCCGACCAGTTGGAAATGTAGCCTAATGAAACGTCTCAAGGCTTTGCAGGTAGATCCATGCAGGTCATTCGCGCATCGACGGCCTTTGAAGGCCCATTTTGAACTTATCTCAACACCTGGCAGGTGTCGATTCTCCCTTTATCATGAGTCTATCCATGGATCTGGGAGGAGCTTGCTCAAGCCTTTGCAATAACCATGAATTACCGCCTCAATGGGACATCTGGAACCCCAACCACCTGGGCAGTTCTGAGATCTTCCCGTAGTCTGATCAACCGCTCTGGAATCGACAGTGGGTAAGATTTAAGAGGTATGGAGTAGCCTTGGGGAAGAGAGGGAAATGCATTGCCAGCAAAGTAGAATCATATATTGAATGGTATCGGTAAGAGTATCTCTTCTTTGTCTGTATATATACACGCCAGAAGCATTGTCATCAATTCTATCACGTGAATCTTGACTCCTTCACAAGAAGGCAAACCAAAAAGATGATAAAAACTTCAAAACATAAATTAGGAAACATCCAGTGTCACATATTATCATCACCTTCAATCACAACTATAGAAAGTCCAACATGAGAAGACGATCATTTCTCACGGACTTCCTCGATCTCGTGACCACTGTCACTGCTGAGACCAAGCTCGTTCTTCTCAACGGTGCTGTGGTCGTTGGTGTCCAGGCCCAGGTCACGAGAGTACTCAGTGATCTGCTCAAAGGTGAGCTTGGGCAGGGCGTTGGCGACCCGCCATGGCATCTTGCCCTCGACGTGAGCCTTGGCGTAGATGATGTCGACTTCCTCAAGCTCACGGCCGGCAGTTTCAACGTAGAAGAAGAATCCGAAGATGAGACCGAGGAAGTTGAACAGCGCGAAGAAGAGGTAGACACCCCAAGGACTCTGTCCAGCGAAGAGAGGAGTGAACATGACAACGGCGAAGTTGCAAATCCAGTTTGTACAAGTCGAGGCCGCGGCACCAACGGTACGGGTGCGGAGAGGGTTGATCTCCGGGGGGTAAATCCAGGGCAAAGGCAACAGAGTAAATGCGAAGAAGACGATGAAGAGGAAAATTCCAACAGCAGCACCCTTGGCGTTGTTCTCGTTCTGATCGATCAAACAAGCGAATGTGATGACAAAGCTCAGACCCTGACCGAGGAAACCGATCAAGTACAGGTTGCGACGACCAACCTTCTCAATCATGAAGAAGGACGGGATGGTGGCGATAGCGTAAACGGTGGCGAACACTCCACCCATAATCAGAGACAGGTAGTTTGGCAGGTGCAAGTTCTCCTCGAAGAGGAGGGTTGAGTAGTAGATAGCCGCGTTACAGCCAGTGAATTGCTGGAAGAACTGACCGGAACAACCGATAAGCATGCGCTGGAACTCTTGGGTCTTGCCGCGAGTGAAGACGGTCTTCCAGCTTGACTGGGTGTTCTTTGAAGATTCAACATCGGTCTTCAGGAAGTTGAAGTCGTACAGGACTTGGTCAGAGTCGGGAGAAGCACCCTTGAGCTTTCCAAGGACTTCACAAGCCTCCTTATCCAATCCTCTCTTCACAAACCAAGATGGCGAATCGGGGAGAAGCAAGGCACCAATGGCGACGATCAGAGCAAAGAAGATCTGGAGCGCCACAGGGAATCGCCACTGGACACTGCCGGCGGCGTGGGAGAGACCGAAGACAGCCCAGTAAGCAATGAAAGTACCGCCAGCAATCATGGCGCCCTCGAAGCAGACCAAGAAGCCTCGGTTGTGGGCACCGGAGCACTCTGATTGCCAGACCGGGATAGTGGCTGTGTTCATACCATTTCCAATACCTGATACAACACGGCCGATGACGAACTGACCGACCTCCCAGCTACCGGTGAAGCAGACGGTTGTAAGGAGGGCGCCGACGATGAGGGTGCTGGCACCCATGGCGATGAGGCGAGTACGGCCCAGTCTGTCACCGAAGAACATGGAGAACATCGCGCCGAAGAAGCATCCAAGCTCGTAGCAGGAGGTGACAGCGCCGCGAATGACATCGATGTAGTGTTTTTCCGAAGCGGTAGGCTCTGCGGGCATGGCGAGAATGGGGAAAGAGCGCACGAACTCCTTTCCGTTGAGTAGACCAGCCATCATACCCTGGTTGTATCCGAAGAGCGAGAAACCCACGACGGCGGTAAAGGTGATAAACAACCGGAGCGGCCGACCACTCAGGCCGCATGTGGACGTCCACATATTGACGGTTCAGACAAAGTAAGATCCGTCAGGTTGTGGGGGGTATAACAAAGTTGGGGAAAGCGTAGTACAGAAAGGGAACAAGACCGTGGTCCGGGGGGAGGAACTGTCGCTCTTATAGCATGCACCTCCATGGGGGCTGTATTGAATACGGTAAGTGAATTATCCGATTCATGCTGCAACCATGGTCGGACTCCAAACGGGAAAGTCCAGCGAAGGCTCTGCGGTTCCCGATGCGGAGAGACGCGGAGAAAGCCTTCTCCTTGGCTCTTGGCGGGGGACGCTTGGCGCTTGGCGGGGGACTTGGCGGGGCCCACGGGTTGTCGCGCGGGCTACCAATTCGGACACATCAGGTCCAATTTTTCCAATTTTCCACTATTGATTGAGACAGGTTACAACGTATGACAGCCGCATTATCCCAAGTTTTTCTCTCACTCATCAAGATTTCATTCACATCTGTTTGACAGGGTATGTACATCGTGCATATGCTTGATCCTATCACGGCGTGCTAAGAGGCGCCAAGATATCTTCGCCCCAACATGACGTCGCAAGCTTTTAGCCCCAAAGTGACGTCGAAAAGTTTTCGCCAAGTGGCTCAATGGCGTTAGACAAAGTTTGCGCCGCTGCATATGTTCAAGGGTCGAACCAATGACACCTAAACCCATCGCGGCGCGGCACAGGGCACACGGACCGGTGCAATTTCGCTAAATTGCTTTTTTGTGTTAAGTCGGCTTTCCGACTCACGCGGGATGCTTAACTAGCAGGTGAACCGACTCGGTATCGCCATACCCTGCAGTGCGTAATTATGGAGGAATTACGCCAAAATCTTCCTATTTGTCCGAGTATATATTGAACAAACGGTTTCTGGGGAACTGTCATATTTGAAAGGTCCGGAGTCTCCAGGAAATTACTTCGGCCCTGTCCCTTACCAACCAGTAGTGTACATCCGGGATACATACTAGAATGAGTTCCTGGAGCTTAGATTCTCGACTCTTGGCTTCAGTCTTGTCCCCACGCCAAGAAGCAAAAAAATCTCAAATGCGCCCGCTTTTAATCTCGCCTAGCATTCATTGTGATTATATTATGGCAAGATTGAGTGCATTTCCATGGGCAGCCAAGTTCCATTCAAACGGCTGAGGGCTTTTCGATGTCACAGATCCCTTCCTTTGTCATGTGAAACCATGAGTAGTCGGAAAACGCCCGGGCGGTTGTACCTGAATAAGCAATGCCGACAACTACGTAGGAGTCACCAAGGCTTACAGCCACTGGACAAGATATTGGCAATGACATCAGGTTCGCTGTACTTTCCAAGAGCCCTTTGTATCTTTGATGGTGGTTTGATCCCATACTCGGAACTCATCCTTTGTTTTAACCACAGAGAAACTACTCCATTTACTTGAAGATATACCGAGTAAGAAAATTCTAGATCGTGTCTGCAAATGCTGAAACTTGCACAACCCCTGATTATCACTTCACGGGAAATAAACCGAATTAGACAAACATGGATTCGAGGATTCCGAAGTTTTGTTTGGATCTTTGGGTTGGATTGAAAGCCCCTTTAGGAAAGTGGGGACTTTCGCCTAGTGTTAGTAACTGCCTGAGACAAGAAGGAAACGCGTGGGATTTTGCTGTTACATTGCTTAAGGTGACCAATGAAGACGTTTCAGGTTACAAAATCGGACATTAAAGGCGCGTTGGTCTCGGCTCACGCGTGGACCTCCAGGTGCGCCGCCCACGAACGACGTGTGGAGTGTGGAGTACTCCGTACTTAATACTTCCCTTTCTCAATTGCTTGCAAGGCATCAGCTGAGTTGTGCATTGTTCGGCGTTCCAACTTCTCGGCAGCCTTGGGTCACCCGTTGCGTATGCTTCACCCAGTTTCTAATTGAGCATGTGAGATCTCAGTCCCCGATCGGCGTCTGGGCGGGTGCGGTGTGGCGCTGCGGGAAAAGGGCAAAGTTGGCCTCACCCAGGGTTCTTGACGGTGCAAACAAAGAAAGTTGGAGCGGGAGCGCAAGCGGCGCAAAAAATTGCTTGGAGGGCTTGAGAGGGCTTGATTAGCCGTGCCAAGAATGACGGCAGTGGCGGAGCTCGGTGATCCGGGTGAATACGGCCCCGGAAGCGTACCTTTCGAGATCTTGGCATATGCGGGTCAGCCACGAGTGCGTCCACGCGCCGTGTAACGGCCGGTATTACTTCCCTGTAACTATTCTGCTATTCTTTACCGGCTTCTGTCTATGGAATGGCCTTCCGTGATTTTGTCCAATTAAAGCTGGGTATTGGGTAAGAGTGGACCCAACTGTAATTGATCCGGAAGGGTCCATTTGTATGCATGTGTACTGTTACCACTTTTAGTAAGAGGCTTAAGGATCGGCGGCAAAGGTTTTGGCCCTGGGGTACTCCGTACTCTCTACTCCATGTTGCCTTTCAGGAGGTACTTGCCAAAAAAAACGCTCGACTCATCTGCGGTGGAGTCTCGTTCTCACTGAGATCGTAGACCACATGGCCAACAAAAGATCGCTCCATGATGCGCCCCATTGCTCCGTACTCCATACTATGTCAACGGTCACCCCGTCTACAACGGGCACCGTGTGTTACCACTGGTCAAACAGGTCACATGTACTAGATAAGCGTGTGCGCTAATACTCCGTCTCAAGTCTGTCTGTTACTGGTGCGTCTTGTATCCCCGCATGAGCCTACAGCCGGAGCACTTTCTTTGTCCCAATGATATGACTCAAGCATCGGCGAGACCGCTGCACTGCTAGACGTTGAAATGCAAGATCAACGCAACCCCACTACGGAGCAGTTATTTATTTATTAAGCAGATCGAGTGCATGATGCCTGAGAGCGATCCGGATTTGTACTCCGTGCTCGAGGCTCGTCCGTCATCTTTCTCGCTTGGTCATATTCCCGAACCATACCAGGTACAATGTCTTTTTTTTTTTTTGTGCTCAGTGAAATAGATGCAGCATGGCCCCAGTGTTGAAGGAGCCAAAAATACTTACGGTCAAGATTACTGTCCTCCAAGCCCGGGATGGTCAGGGCTCAATACTGTCCAATGGCTTGTTGCCAGGGTGCAGGCCCAATCGACGCAGCAATCTACCGCCTACGGAGACATAAGCGCGAGATCCAGATCGATCACGAGAGTATCTGCTTCTCACTGAAGACCTACTTCGAACTATCTGCACTCTCAAACATTTTCCCTGTCTCTCTCGCTCTTCCCTCTCTCTTCTTTGTCCAGGTCCTAGTCTCGATGGCATCAATAAGTTACTACATTTCTTCTGGGAGCCCGTGGCTGTCATAGAGCCAGTCTCCCCGCAGGTAGATAGTCGTAGATCCGGAGTTTCTTCCTCACTCACACACTGTCTCCTTCTATCCTGGGGTCTCCCAGAATACATGAAACTACGATTCCTTCCTGTCTTCGTGCTTCCGACCTTTCTTCTCTCTGTCTCCGTCAACAGGTTCTGGGCCCTTCTTTGGATCATTTTATTTTTCGCAACGTATCGTTTTCAATTCCAATAGCTCGGGGAGGGCAGGCAACCCCAGGGGCGGCCCTTGTCCCCGAGACGCCCCACAAAGTAGAACCTCCGGGGGGAGCCACGCTATTGACGTGCCGAGGACGGGGATTCCCACATGTCAACCTACATTCGCGTCAATGATATGCACCCACATCCACGCTTCCAAGCGTTACCTAGATATTCATCCCAACTTACATCAGCAAACCGAGCTTCGGCATCCCGAATTAGATTCGATTCATCCGCGTCGCCGAGGCATGTGCTTCACCACCGATAGCAAACCAAGCTCACGTAAACAAGTACATCACCACTGAAGAGTCATCGAGATCTATGACGGTCTTCGATCGCATTCTCAATGAGGTGGCATCCGTATATGGCAGCATAACTCAGCTCTATGGGCTTATGATATATGTATGGATCAACCAAACGTTATGGTCGAATAAAAACATTGCATATCATCATGTCTTCCGTCGAGCGTTGCTTTTCCCCAAAAGCCTTCAATTACCCACAGTCTCGCTGCTATCTTCGTCTCTTGATGCTCGCCCTTCAGTTCCAACTCTATCCCGCGATCTATGTGTCGCGGTAATAGCCTGCTCGAGACGCGACAGGGAGGATGCACTCAGCGAAAAGTCCTCAAGGGCAGTTTCGTTGGAGAATTTATTGTTGGCGAGTTCCACGAGCCTTGACTGCCAGAAATCCCATCTCTGAACGCTGTGTGGGGAAATGTCCTGACACAAAGGCCCAGGCTTGACAGATGCCAACTCACGAGCATCCAATTCTTCAGTGGAACTTAGGTCTTCGAAGAGAATGGTCCCACATTGGATTAACCACTCCGTCGCGACCCAGATTTTGCACTCAAACACGGTTGCGTCTTGTGGAACAGTCTCCAGGCCGCCGGCTATCTCCCAGTAAGCAAGCACGATCCACGACTGAAAGTCATGAGAGACAAGGCGAGAAGCAAATGAGTTGAACCGCTTCCAGGCTTCAATATCCTCGGATGAATGGTCGTCGAGATCTGTGGGGTCTTCCTTGATGTTAGAATTGCGCGCAGAGAACAAACTTGTGGCTTTGAGCTTGCTTACCTGCCCATTTGTCAAACAGATACATGCTTAGTCGAGGTAGATCTTCCCATTTTAGTGAGGTCTGTTGACACAAAGATGTCAGCTCACCATCGAGTCGCCTGTTTGGTGGGGATTGTTACTCAAATCGCTGCCCACAACCGCCCCACCTTCCCCTCGGAGATCATCAACAGCTGCGATGAGGACCTCATGCAACGGATGATCGATATGTACAGTGCACACAACCTCCAGTATTATGGCCCATAGTTCCCACAGAGCTGCAGAGGCGATTTTTGAAGATTCAGATGCCTGCGAGGAGATGTGCGCCCGCAGGGACCTGGCCAGACATGCCGATGCCGCGGCGGGGTCGACTAGAGATGTCAAGGCCTTGTTCAAAATGCGAAAAATATCCGCTTCGCTCTGTGTCAAGTCTGATCGCTTCGAGGGATCAAGGTCAATATTCTCCATCGGGATAGAGGAAATAAGTGTATAGGAGAGGCGTCCTGGCTTGGTAAAAGCAGTGTGACTTCGGTGACTGGGTTGATTGCAGACAGAAAAGATGAAAGTTGCGAAGGGATGGGAGAAGCGCGTTGTCAATCTAGTCGACAGATGGCCGGGCAAGTTCACCCGCCACTACCCAGGCTGAAACACCGCTTGGGTGATTAAGCGCCAGGGGATGGCTGCTGGCGTTAACCACGACAACGCTGGAATGGTGTTCCATTGTTGTTGATTTTCCATTGGTAATTTCCTAGCGGGTGTCAGGGTGGTCACTTTCTTGCACCCAGTTCTTAACAAATCTCAGACGATGTCGCTAAAGACGGAAGGCACCCAGGGCTATCATCTGACTTTCACATTCACCCTTTGACTTTCCTACACAACTTCCATGGTTTGAAAACAGATCTTCTTCCTCATCATAGGGTATCCTTCACTCTAAAACAAGAATCCTCGTCGTGAAGATGCCTCTCCCAGCCTACAACCAAGCCGCAGCGTCTTTCAAACATATGGTCAACTTGGCCCTTCGGCAAACGGACCTACATCAAGCAATTTTCTCATGGGCTTGCCCAACATTCCATAGCAAAGGTGGCACAATCAAAGAGCCAGACAGGTTATGGGGTCCACGACGACCACCCCCTAATGCAACTAAAAACCCTCTGCTCGGTAGTCTTACAAGTCGCATCGTCAGAGACTTTCGCAAGGCTTCGCCTTTGGTGTCCACTCCTGGGTAAATCCAGCGCGAGGACAGGCTGAAATGTCCATCGGAGTGAAGGCTCATACCAAAAAGCTTCAAATCACAATCGAGCAATGGGAGTGGAACTCTCGGCTCTATGGACCCATCCAAAAGTCACACTTGACCTTAACGAAATCCGACGGCAAAGTCTTTGATTCCGATCAACTTACACCACAGCTCCTGATCCTCTTTTGCCCTTCAATTAGACCGCTCGCAAAGAATGACAGAGAGCACGACAGTGTTTGCGATACAAGAGCAATCATAAATTCTCGATGATAGCTTTCTTCCGTCACAAATACATTCTCAGGTCTACCCGTGGGCTCAATGCATATAACTCATTGTCCTATGGATATTCTCGGATGTTACGGGCCTCTCTCTTCTTCCCACGGGTAGGTCCTATGCCCCCAAGTCGGGAAAACATATAATGATAATGGAATGTTCGTGCTTTATGAATGTGCCGAATTGCCGGAGGCGCCTTAGGTATATTGATCGACCTATGTGTGGGGGACGACAACAAGAATTTTGTTCGGGCTTTACACAGAATGGAACCAGATGGTAACCCTCCTTCTCAACAAGGAGAAATGGACAGCCGAAATGGCCAAGAAGGCTTTATCATTAATGAGATGAATTCCTTTATTCGACCAATTATGATTACTCGACAATTAGTTAGAGGGACAGTTAAAAAGACAGTTAAAAAGTGAGTTAAAAAGTATAACTCTCTTCCGTTAACAATCAAAATATAGGATTAAGCCAATAGATAAATAATCCTGTTTATAAGGTACTATTATGGTCTTTTTGGCCGCCCGTGAGCTCGATAATGAGGCTTGTCGAGTGTACTTGGGCGGCGTTGGGGTTTTTTTGGATCCATGCGCGGGAACGCACCACTAAATGCGCTAAACCCTTCTAAGACACTTTTTCCACAAAATTTTCATCCAACATCCGATATGGTGTAGTGGCTAACATCGTCGTCTCTCACACGACAGCCGGGGGTTCGATTCCCCCTATCGGAGTTCTCTTTTTGTCTTTTTGTCTTTTTGCCCGAATGAACAGCTCCTGTCATTCCGAGGAACAGGGGCCATGCTGTGCATACTGAAGAAGGGCGCGTTTGGGTGCGCTCTCAGGTGCACGGATCAATTCAGCCATGTAGGAGTAAGATATCTTAAAACCAGACATATAATGGGAGAAGATCCGGGAAGCCCAGTCCGAAAGGGAAAGAATGGCTGGATCATCTGAACTAGGGGCAATATGCATGCTGCATAGCGGAACAAACAGGGATAATGGTTTATGTAAGAAAGTCGGGGACGGAACAACGGAGACTTTTAGCAATGTAGTAATCTGTACTGTTGACACTCTTCTTACTTCGGATATTTGATCTGACAAATTGCACCGTAAACAGCATCAAGGAGGTCGCATTTGCATTGTGCCTTTAGAGGATTTTCGCGGTACTGATATCTTTAGTCGTCTCCCTTCATCATTCGTAATTAATTTCTCTTCTTTTCTTGCCGTAGACCTCCTGCCCCATCGTTACATTCAGAATTCAATCCAATTTACAATGAGCAGTCCATCTACAGAAGAGAAAGAAACTGCATTGCATCCCCCCGGGGCCCCGTCATCTACTCAGGATGATGGTAAATAGCCTCCAAATTTATCCCGAAACCCCCGAAGGCCTTTTTGCTTCATCAACTAACCTATAGAAATTTAGGTATAGGTTCCGCACAGACTGCAAACGATGAATACATATACATCGCTGATAGCTACAGCTTGGTACAGCGGACCATCTTCATCATGACGGTGTGTGCGTCTATGTTCACCAATCAGTTGGGCTTGTGCAACAGCCTCACAACTCTCGAAATCATCGGAGAGTCCTTTGGCGTCACCGATCCCGGCAAACTCTCATGGACAATATCTGGCTACGGCTTGACTCTGGGTACATTCGTCTTGGTCGGAGGGCGTCTGGGTGATGAGTTTGGCAACAAGGCAATCTTCATCATCGGCATGGGCTGGCTTGCCTTGACGAGCATGATGGCAGGAGTCTCTGTCTACTCCAGCTACCCCGTTTACATCCTTGCTCGCGTCCTACAAGGCCTTGGCCCTGCCTTGACTGTGCCTAATGCACTCGCCATCATGGGAAAATGTTTCTCTGAGCGTCCTCGAAACATGGGGTTTGCATGCTTTGCGGCATCAGCCCCAGTTGGTGCAATGGCAGGTCTCCTCTTTGGGCCCCTCTTCGCCATGGCTTGGTGGCCATGGATCTACTGGAGCCAGGCTTTGGGGGTTACTTTTCTCTTCGTCCTCGCTATCTTTGCAATTCCAAACATGCCTATCGAGAATGGGCAAGAGCAACGACGAACGATCCGCGAAGTTTTGGACCGCCTTGACGTCCTGGGAGGCGCAAGCGGTGTGGCAGCTCTGATTCTGTTCAACTTTGCATGGAACCAGAGTCTAGTTACTACGTGGGACGAGCCCTACGTCTACGTTTGCCTGATCCTCAGTTTCCTGTTCCTGGCGGTATTCTTTTACATTGAACTTCGCATAGCTCGCTATCCAATTCTACCAGTCGCTGTCCTCACTTCGGATATCGCTTTTGTCTTTGGGTGCACCGCAGCGGGCTGGTCCACATTCGGCATCTGGGTAAGTACTCATCTTGGCCCCGAAACTATGACAAACTCACGATGTGCCTAGCTTTTCTACGTCATCCGAATATGCCTCAATATCGGTGGTCAAACTCCCATTCAGCTGGCTGCTTGGCTTTCTCCTATCCTTATTACCGGTATCGCGACAGCGTTGGTCGTGGGCAAAATAATCAACAAGGCTCCAGCCTCATCCATCATGTTGTTTGCAATGCTTTGCTACTTTCTCACTTCTCTTCTCATGGCCTTGCGACCCGTACACTCGACATACTGGACCTATTTCTTTTTTGCCACTATCATTGCAACTTTTGCAATGGATTCATCGTTGCCTGCTGCCACGATCATTTTCGCGAGCGCAGTGCCTCGACAGTACCAGGGTATGGGATCAAGTGTGATCATGACAATTGTTGTCTACAGCATATCGTTGGGACTTGGTTTTGCTGGTACTATTGAGCTTCAAATTAATAATGGCGGACGCACCGAGGCAGACTTGCTCCATGGTTATCGGGGTACTCTTTGGTTCTCTGTCGGGTTGACAGCTCTCGGCACTATTCTCGCTTTGGTGTTTCTACTCAAAGATACTCGAAGACGACAGTTGGCCAAGAAGCTCGAGGAAGAGGAAACGGCTCATCCAACGAAGGTTTGAATAGTTAAAGGATCTGTTGGAGCAGGTGCTTGCCTGGTTTACCAGGCTCCCACCAGTTGATATAACTAGATAGAGCTTCCCTCTCATCCCTTCATCTTTTTCTTCTTCTCTCCTCGTCCCACAATACACTACTTTACCGTACATGTCTGCTCTTCTTCCCTGTGACGAAAATGATCGGTAAACCATCAGATCCATCAACCTGTGAGTATCCCCAGTCACGTAATGAACAAAGGACGTTCCCTAAGGTGATTTCAGCATGAAACTGGTACTAGAGTTTGGTGCTATCTTCAGACCACATCAGATAGCTAGGTCAAATTCATGGATGCAACCGACTCTCTAAGCAATGGAACATCAAGTTGTGGTCTCTCCAGCCCAACAAGTTGGCTGATGTTGTAGTGAACAAATGGTTCCACCGGCGCCGTAGCCTCGTCCTCAAAGCACCACAGTTGGGAATATTGTAGAATCAATTTTTCCTCCTCATCATATGAAGCCTGAATGATTCTTCCGTGCTTCTGGCCCATGTAAGAGAGAAGCAATAACTATAGATAGAGAAATGGGGTTAGCAAGAATGAGACTGCAATTCGACGTGGTACGGGATGATTACTGGATGAACGGGGTAGTTCCTGAACGGCCTGTGAGATGTGCGAATGACCAGCATGTTCACGATAGCTCTCAATTCATATAGGGTGAGGCTCTGGGGCTCAAAGTTGGCGGGGACATGTGCGATGGTTGCCATAATCGCATGCGGTAAAGGGGGGTTTTCGTGACTATTGTCCAACAACCGCTTCATCTCCCAGACAGGCCCTCCAGAGCGGACCTCAGATGTTGGAGGATCGGCTTCGATGGTTCTTTCCTTTGTGATATTTAACACCTATACTCCGGGTCCTGAAATCATCAATGTCCACTTACAGCGGAATTCGAAGGGATCCTAAGTCAAGAAGCGAAGACAATCCCGGTCGTCCCTTCCGTGGGGCTTTGTGCACCCGACTGATTTAGTATTGCGTTTCGTATGCATGGATCACCCAGTCGTCCGGCGACCTCACCAACGCACATTCTTCATACTTCTCTCTTGCGACTTTGAGAGGGTCTTCCGCATCTGGGTACTCCAAACGAACATTTGCTAACATAGAAGCAAATTCAGGCTGATAGTAGAGCTCTAGCAGGCCCTCGGGCAAAACTGAAGTGTCAAGTGGGTATAATTGAAGGACTCTCTCCGGGTAAGGCCGGAAAAAACATGGTTGGAATTGCAGAATCCCGTCATCTGTTATATCCACTTGAGAAGCCTGAATTCCAAGATCTTGAAGGCTGCTAGGGGAGAGAAAGAAGGACTCGTGGTTTTTCAATCGTCGGTAAAGAAGCTTTAGAACAGGGTGCCGCGTAGGTTTGGTTCGCGCATGCATCTCGAAGAAAGAGCGAGATGAAGCGAAGTTGGAAGATGGAAATGGAAAAGGAAAATGGATGGAGAACGAACTGATGGCAGTCACAGGTAGTTCGAATAAATGAGCATGAAGGGGGAAGAGGGGAAATCATCACTGTCCATGGGTAGTAGAAAGGTTGACCGAAACAAAGTGACATCTAGACGTTCAAGAAATGACGTAATATCTGCCTCTCTCAAGTGCTTGAAGGGAATCAATAGAGACAGACCAAGATAAGAGGGGTAGCAGTTTTTGCGACATTACTTCTTGCTGTCGAAACCCCCCGTCTCTTTCTTTCCTTATCTTTATCTCGGAGTTTTTCCATCGCATTGATTTCATTAGCTTTCTCATCAGTTTCGCTGTGGGTAGAGGTCAATTGATCCATAAGTTTCCTTCCTTGTTTTCGATCTCAGGTCGCCCATAGCAGTGCTCATCTTGTTATGGATTCTTAGGAGCAATATTGAATGTAAAATTAAACCTCAAGGATGTTGGGATGTCAATACAAAGACTGGAGCGAGCCGGTGATCATAATATAAAGGCATTGATTCCCTAAAAGCTAAAGACAAGCAAGAGGCCAAGTAAGAAGAGAAGTTAAAAGAGAAGTTAAAAGAGGAAGGAATAAGCTCAAAAACGTAACAAGCCTAGAGAATTGGCTAGACTTTCGTTTTCCTTGTCTTCTATCTCAAGGGCCCTTGGGTGTCATCCATGGCTCCAATCGTTCCCGTGTGGCAATTTTTCTTATCGACGAAAAGAACATCGTAGACATGTACAATAGCGTAAATTGGTAGAAAGGGAGACGAGGAGAAGAGAAGAGGGAGAGAGAAGCTCTCGCTCTCCAGATCTATCTACACCTGGGAGGAGCCTAGCAAATAGGACAAACACCGCCAAACAGTTCTTCTACCACCTCATGTTAACTGACGTGGGCTACCCCGAAGCCGATTGATATCATCAGTGACTTGCAGACAGAAGTCCATGATGACTTGGGCGAGGTGATGCATATTGCTTCTGTTGTCGATTATCTCTGGCCCGTACTCAGTCATCCTCAAGAAGGATTCTGGCTTATCGTATCTCCTTGTATTGAATCGCCCCTTTACCTCCACGATGGCAAACACTTCCAACGTATGGGGTGCAACGAGATAGCCGTCCGTGTATGCAATCAATCAGTTCAGTCATCACCGAAAGACACCGCATCAAACGGTCTCCGGCCAGAGCTCCATCGACAGACCACAGATGGAATACGCATTGTCAGCATCTTCAGAAGGTTCATCAACGATTCGTTCACGATTTGCTCGTCCGCCGTTCTGATTGGCACGGCGTAGTCTGCATCGGCTGCAGCTGTAAGAATTGTCGGGACGCTTGTCACTGTAGAAGCGACGCTCACTCCTGAGCTTTGGGCGAGCCCAGGTCCCACACTTGGGTGGCTCGCGCCGGATTGACTTGCGCTAGATTGGCTCGCGCCGGTTGGAGAGCCAGGGGCCCGTACGACACGGGCTGTACGGTAAAGTAAACTATATCCTCAATCCCTAATTCTCTGTTCACGGCTTAGCCAAGACTTTCTTTTCTCGACCAATCATGATGACTTGTCAATTAGTTGGACCCTTGGATCGAACCTATTCAGAAGTTGGACCTGGAGCGCGTCGGCCGCTGATGTCTCGACCCAGTCTTGGTTGTAGGGTCGAGGGTTATCCCCTGACATTGTCCATTTCTCCTGGCTCATAGGATCATGGTTGGCCGTCAAGCGACTCTGGAAGCCAGCGAGCTGCCAGACGTACACCAGTTCGCATGAGTCGTTGTCGTGTAGGAGCAGAACGAGGTGGTTGAAATCCTGGATGGGGGAGGTGTCGGATTGGACGTCGACGATGAGTGCACAGTCGTCTTGCAGCATGCTGGGGGAGGCGACTACCGTTCCGAAGTGGAACTCGGCGACTGCCAACTTTGAGGCCGGCTTAGAAGGGAGAAAGAATATGATTGTATTGCTAAGCTATCTGGCAAGGAAAATCGGGCACTACACGTGACAGGGACAGCCAAAAAGACAGTTAGAAAGACAGCTAGAAAGACAGCTAGAAAGAGGTCACGAAGTTGATGATAGCTCTCTTCCTTTGCCAATGGATATATGAGATCAAGCTAATACATAACTACACCATCTTGTAAGCAACTATCATCGACTTTTTGGCCGCGTGTGAGCTCGGCACTGAGGCTTGTCGAGTGTACTTGGGCGGCATTGGGGTTTTTTGGAACCATGCGCGGGAACGCACCACTAAATGCGCTAAACCCTTCTGAGACACTTTTTCCACAAATCTTTCATCCAACATCCGATATGGTGTAGTGGCTAACATCGTCGTCTCTCACACGACAGCCGGGGGTTCGATTCCCCCTATCGGAGTCTCTTTTTTGCTCTTTGTTTTTCTTTCTTGGTTATTGGGCTTTCTACCAGGAAAAAGTACCTCAACATCCTGCTTGGGGCAGATGAAAATGTAATCTGAATCGAGATCACGAAGCGTTATGTGCCCAGTCCACCTGACACCAATCAATCATGGGAAAGGAACTCTTGAGGTCACACATGATCAACATGCTTACACTTCCTGGGCAGTGAATTGCTAACTAACCCCAGCTTAATTTCCAAGGTTTTGGGTGAAGTTGCGGTAATCAAGGGCTCTAAATGAATTGTCATCCTGTGATATACAGCTTTCACAATTTGAAAATTTCCTTCTCGTTTCAAGAGAGTTCTTGATTTTTCCTCGAGCAAAAGAGCACGGTCTATATATAATATGCAAAGCGAAAGACCAATAGGTCAACATATGGTATCTAAATCTAATCGAAAATGGAAGCCTTCATGGAGTTGGGCTGAATGTACTCCGAGGCATTGCGGAAGCTAGTGAAACCCCAGCGAATCTGTCCGGCCATAGCAATCTCGACATCCAAATCCTTCGCGAATTGCCAAGCAAGACCAGTATCACGCTGGAAAGCACGACCAACAAGAATGACATCAAGATCATCCTCGTTGAGGATCTTATCAGCCAGGTTACCGTTGTTGATCATTCCGACAGCGGCGACCAACATCTTATCACCAACAGCCTTCTTGACTGCGGCGGCGAAAGGAACCTGGAATCCGGCACCGGAGGTGATCTTCTGGGCGGGGTGCACACCACCGGTACTGATATCGATCAGATCGATACAGCCCTGTGCGGCGAGGGCCTCGGCAAACTTAATGGTATCCTCGAGCTTCCAGCCCTTCTCGCTCTCCACCCAGTCGGTAGCAGACACGCGGAGGAAGACGGGAACATTATCACCAACAGCCTCGCGAGTCAACTGAGCGATCTCGAGAGAAAGACGAATACGGTTCTCGAAGCTGCCACCGTAGTTGTCGGTACGCTGGTTGGAGGAGGGGCTGAGGAATGAGGACAGAAGGTAACCGTGGGCATTGTGAATCTCGATGAAATCGCAACCGGCAGCCATAGCACGCTTGACAGCAGCAACCCAGGCGGCCTTGACCTCAACGATGTCATCCTGGGTCATAGCAATGGGCATAGGGTCACCCTCAGCGAAGGGAATGGCACTGGGGGCCTTGACGTTATCGGTCCAGCCACCAACGTTGTTGTTGGCGACAACACCACCGAGCCAAGGAGCAACGGTGGAAGCCTTGCGACCAGCGTGAGCGAGCTGGATACCGATCTTCTGGCCCTGGCTGTGGGCGAACTCAACGACCTGCTTCAGAGGGGCGATCTGAGAGTCTTTCCAGAGACCAACACAGCCGGGGGTGATGCGGCCCTCAGGCACAACACCGGTGGCTTCAATAATCATGTTTCCGGGGCCGCGCTGAGCGATCGCACCGTAGTGGGCAATGTGCCAGGCGGTCATGTGTCCATCCTCAGCACTGTACTGGCACATGGGGGCCAACTATGAGTCTGTTAGATATGCATCTTGGATATCATTTTGACACTACTTACTCCGAGTCGGTTTTGGAATGTCACACCACGAACGGTGAAAGGCTTGAATAGCTTGGGAATGGGCTTTCCACTTGTTTGGGGGTCACGGGCAGTGCCTGCCGGGGGACTTTGGGCAGGGGTGAAGTATGAGATGCCCTCGGCGGGCTTAACGGAGACGTCGGGCCAAGTCATTTTTGAAGTATATTAGTTGAATATTATGATCAGAGCTGTAGAGCAGGGGGGAACATGCTGGATTTTATGGGTTGATCTACAGTGGGGAATTGAAGACTTTGATTTATCATCTGGAGACTTTTTCTGTAACTATTCGGTTTCACAGCAACGGCATGAGGCGAAAACACCCCCCGGGAATTGTGGTTCCGCCCAGGCACCGCACGCGCGTATTACAAAAATTCTCCAGGGGAGCCAATTTGTCAGGACGACCAGAATAAAAGTCAAAAGAAAAGTCGCCGAATGATATCCACCCGGTTGAACAGGATCCCGGCTTAGCCAGCCTATCAACACTCAACCCCTGGACCCACAAGATGGTAAAAATCATTGAAACATGAAACGTTAATAACTATAGACACGAAAGTAAATGTTGAGTGTGCTGTTTGTTCACTGCCGGCATTTGTGTCGGGGTGGACTCGAAAAGCACGGAAACAACATAGGCCGCCAGTGTTAAGCTGGCCATATGAAGAGGTATCTAAATGAATGACTGGAGCTTGGTACGCTGCTTCGAGATCCAACTGGAGATGGAAGTGTCTGAAACGCCAGAGAAGTCGCTGCGTTCCGTGTCGGTTGAACGTCGACGCATTGACTCCACGAATTTGGGGAAAGTGTTTGTTAAGACAAGATATTTGATGTGATCTTGAATGTGGTTGAACACATCCATGTCAAACCCGTCGGGTATCTCACCCGTGTAGACGCCTCGATCAGCGACTGCTTCGTGTAGAGGTGTTGAAGTCACATCACTTTCAAAAGGCGACGTGTGGTTTACCTTCTTCTCTCCAAGTAATGCTCGGGTGGGCTTCTCGAAGATGGCCTCGAGATGCTTGAGATCTTTCGAAGACAGGTTCAACGGGAATTCGGCATCATGTGTACTGATGAAGTCCGCATAGATCCACAATGCTTCGTTGAAGGTATCAGATCGTTCCTTGGCATAATGCGTCTCAGACCAGCGTGACTTCCAAACCTCGAGCTCGCTCAAGAAAGCGATGTTCTCTCCTGAAAAATCGCTCAATGCAGCAAATTCTTGTAGCTGAATTGGGTTCTTGCTCAGGACATGCTCGAGAGCGTCCATTGTATACAACCGATCGCTTTCGCTGTCGTCAAAGGAAACGACCGATTGGTCCTTTTCGCCGAGTGTAGAGGAAGATTCATGGCTCCATTTAGAGGAAGGTGGTTTCTCAGTCACGGTTGTCATCGCGCTGGAGCCATACTTGGCAATTGAGTTGCTTGTTTTCTTCCTCAAAGACCAGACCCTGATGACTTGGAAGATCGGAACAAACACCGTGAATATCTCCCACATCATGATGGAGAGATGAATCCTGGATTATTATCAGCATTTGAAACAGCTCAGATTGTGGTTGACGCTTACCATTGGCTAGGTGTGAAATAAACATTGACTTTGGCAAAACTAGGCACATAGGATGCGATCAAGAACATCGGTGTCGCATGAAGACTGGTTGGAAGAACCGTTTAGTCGGATACATTTTCAAAATGTGGAGATGACATACCTGGAAAGGCAACAGGCGATGGTTTGGGTACGCCATCCCATCGTATCGCGGACTCCCCAAGCTTTCCAGATGAGGATCGGAGCGGCCTATAGCACCGGCAATGTGTAAGCAAGCATATATGAAGGCAAATATTAGAGTACCTACAATCCATGTCCAGATCACCTGCCATAACATGGAAGGCCACCATTCCCATCCTCGGCCCAAAAACACGATCTGCTCTGGGACTGTCGCGCCCTGGATCTCTGTTCCTGGAATTCCATATGTGGGGTGGTACTTTGCACATGCCAACCACATCCCGACTGTGATGATAAACTATTTGTTTGATAAGAGGTAAGAATCTGGGCTCGGAGGTCATAGTAGCTGAAGTCATACCTGCAATACCATGCCGATGGTAATGAAGCACAAAGTTCTCTTCATATAATCCATATTCCTGAGCCGGCACAGCCACGAGGTCTCAGCGCCGTTGCACTTTCGTTCGATTCGGAGTTCGGGATTGGCGAATTGTTGCTTCTGCATTCTGGCGACGTGGAGGAAGCGGAGGTTGGAGGCTTGGAACAGTGCAATACCCAGCGGAAAGTAGACACCCATGCCGAAGAACTGGACATCATAAGCCAGGACTGTGGGCATAGTTGCGCCAATCGGATATGTGATCTGGCCCAGAATCCAGTATACGTGGAGAAGAGCAATGGCCGAGAATGATAGTGGTAAACCGCGAACCCTAAGGATAGGAACTCGATGATTGACTGCGCAGAAGACCATACCCGCAACCAAAAGAGTGGTCCAGGTGATACAAAATGCGATGTAAAAGACTCCCACGCGATCCCAGTTTGGGGGCGAGGGTGGCATGTTGTAGACCGTGAGGCCGGCCATGCCAGAGGCCATGTTGAAGAGATGCAACTGAAAAGACTGAATGTAAGGACTGACAATGTTGGTCTGGAGATAGGAGAGATAACGACTGTATCAGAGAGATTTGCCCAATTCCCTGCGCAGAGTATACCGGCAGAGATTGCATTTAAGAAGTTGCCTTGCCATTTCTGCATCGCAAAGATCTTCTTCCCCGATCGATCGGGTCTTCGATCGGTGCACGAGCGCCAAGATGATCGCCGCGCGGGCAACTTTCCGGGAATAAACGGAGAAGGTGAGGATCAACACGACCCGTGCGAGGTTGCTGGAATGTCTCAGTCCCCGACACGTTGTTCTTTGTTAGAGTGTAGAAACTGCTGCGCATATAACAGTCTCCATGTTGTGACCTAGCCCGTTGGATATCCAAAAGCACGAAATGAAATGAAATGTGTGAACGCCCGCGAAGTATCAAGGGTGGAAGGTATAGTCCCGAGAAACAGAATAAAGTCCCCTTCAAAAGTGGGTACTAAGCGCATGGAAATGCCAGCTAGCGATTGAGGGCCACGCTACCCATCGTTTTTCAATAAAAACCCCCGCCACCAGCCCTTATGTGGAGATCATACGCACAAATCTCGTAGAATTCAAATAAACGGGACCCGTGCGAATCTTTTTAGATCCCTCTCGCACAGATCATCTACAGAAATGGAGACAAGACGAATCTATTTCAATAGTCCATGGATCTCAAATGCATGAAATCCTCCTATCACTTCTACCTAGTATAAGCGAGAACGAGACTCTGTTCCAAATCAATGCTATTGTGATTTTTTTACGTGATTTCTCCATGACTATTCTCCCCGGCCCTGAAAATTTTGCCAATCCATTAGTTTAGCATCTCAGTAACCAAGGTCAACCCTGTAGATCTTTGGAAATTGAGAGATAGTAGGCTGAGGCACAACGCAAGCGAGGATATGAATTGGTGGTAAAGCCACCTCCTCTAGCCCGTACAGATAGCCATTAACCCACCCACATCGCCAGAAATGATCAGCACAACTCCTCAATTCGAAATGCTCTATTCAATAAGTTCATCAAATTAAACGCTGCCTTCGTGTATTTCAGAGATCAACCCCACGTTGACCTTGGCATAAACCACCCGTGGACTCTTTCGAGTGGGAAACCCATGGTTCGTAGACTTAAAGTTCTGACCTCCATACTGCTTCTCTGATCTATTTGGAATTCCTCGTATTTCCAGGCCGAAGTTAACATTTTACACAGCGTAGACTTTGATGTGGTCTCAAATTTCAGTGCCGACGAGCATAGCGCCATTAAAAATGAAAGCACCTCCGTAGTGGTGAGTGCAGGTAGGCTCAGTCGATTTTATCTAAACACCAGTGACGCTTTCCCTGCTGAAGGCCTCCGGCTGGTGCTAGTCATTGGGTAAATCGGTCGCTTTTGCCTACTTATTCACCATGTCCAAATTGCACTCATTTAACCTTAAATGCTCAAGTAAACGCGGTTCGCTGTTTAGCCAATTGCAAACCGTTAGCCATTCTGTGACCTTGGAGCCACCTGGGCACTTCCAACCTTCCAAGGTTGGAAGGCTGTTACCTTCTAGGTCGACGGGTGTCTTTTAGCTAAGATGCTAAGATTCTACTGGCCTCGAAATCAGACAGGTATGTGATGTGGTCATAAATATCAATTAAATAAAAGTCTCGCTGTCTTGGATATATAGAGTTCGTAAAGAAAAGGAGCAGAACACAGCAAAAAGATACATAAAAAGCCCGAATCCCTCATTCAATCGATAACCTTTCCCTGTGCAGGCTGCGCGGGTTGTTCTTTGGGTGGCTCGATGTGGGCATCTCTCCCCGACCGCATAAAGGCCGAGCCAACCAAGTTGAGCGGGTTATTGACGCGCATATACATGCAATGACACAAAGTCAAGCCGACAACGACGATCTCGTCCATGGCCGCAGTATCATGGGCCTTTGGTCCAAGGAGCTCAATTTTGGCAAATCGCTTGACAGCCCACACGTTGGCGGAGAATTTTGCGACAGGGTTCTGGTTCTCGTCGCAGCAAATAAAGTCCCAGGTCTTGAAGCCACTGTTGCTTGTCCAGGACATCTTGGCTGGACTCCCTGTCTCGGAGAATACGTGGGAATAGTGGGTGTACATAGTGCGCAGACGGCTCTTGGCGCGGAGAGTGCCCTTGGAACCATGAAGTTCGAAGTCAGGACTGATAGATATGGCGTGGATGGTGCCGGTGCCGACTTGTCGGTCTTGTTCAATAGATTTGAACTTCAGATTCGGGGCTAGAAAGTCGCAGTTGACATCGTAGACAAGATTTGGGTTGGAGTTTTCGGGGTCGAAGTCTGTGACATAGAAATGCATCTTGGACCACATGAAGTTGACTGCCAGGCTGCGAGACTGGACGGCAGCCATGTGGCTGGGAACTTCTTCGGAGGATGAGTCCATTGTTGGTAGGAGAGAAGTGAAGATAGAGGATAGAGTTGGTGTGGTTGTGGTTGATGTAGAGTGCAATGGATTGTTGTTGTAGTCTGAGTCTGCATCGAGGACTGACCCGGAATATATACTTCCTCTCACGCGATGCTAAGGCTGAGCCAAAATCTAGCTTAAAATGGCTGTACGGACCGCCCCCATAGCCGCAGAACGAGTCGCAGCGCCATTCCGTCTGCCAAGCGCAAGTTGATTGGCTCAGCGCTACATTGCGCCAGATGCGGTTAGATCGAAGGTCGATCTTTGTCAGCTTGGACCTCAAACACGAGGTGTCTACCACTCCTGATTGGGGCTGTGGTTGATCTTAAACCGTGAAAAGTCGAATCAATCAACTCAACCAAATCCGCTTTTGGGGGCAGGGCTGAGTTGTCAATCTTTTTGGCCCCATGACGTCAATCATAACAACCTCAGGCGGAAAATGATAAGCTTCTTAGCTTCGAACTCGGAAGACCATTGGCTTGTGATAGGATCTATACAACTCCCATTCATATTCGACAGATCGTCACTGCGTCGTGCTGGCCATGCTGTACGCTTTGCAAAACTTCGCTTAGACCAGCACAGCACTTTTCTGAAGAGGATCAGATCGCTTGTCATTCGCTGTGGCGTAGCGATCGATCGACGCTTCTTTTCGTCTCAAGAACATATAACGACTTAGAGCAATCATCGCATAAACTGCCCCAGTAGCAGAATAACAGGCGTGTATCATATCAAGTTCAAACGGCGTCAATAACTCTGATCTCCGTCATGATCTTGTGTAACCTGGTCTCTCCAGCCACACTGACACAGACTTGCCATTCGAAAGAGTTCTTGTGGCTGATGCGGTATGTGTTGAATTCAGGATAGATCTTAGCGAGCGGCGTCAAAGGTTTAGTGCCAGAGGATAGCCCCTTGGGCGAAAATGTAAGTTGAAACGTGTTTCCAAGATGAACCGGCTCGTTGAGCTTTCCCGTGGATATCGTCAAGGGGGAGTCCATATTGTGGGAGAGTCTCTGTAGGCCTGTGTCTAACATCATTGTCTCTGAATGCTCGACGGGTTTGTCGTGCAGCCGTTCTGGGTGATGTTTCTGTGCGTTGTGCTCCGTATGCCGATGAATGAGCAAGTTGATCCAGTTAATTTTAAACTCTTGAGGTGTGTCCTTGATTATTTCGGTTGTTTGATCCCGACAAGGAACTATCTGTAGTGAGACCGGGAGGGGCTGCGGGTCGTCAAGTTGGATCACGCAAGGTATTGTGATCTCCGCGTCGTAGAAGAGCTTTGGTACGCTGGAAGTATGCAAGAACTTCTTGAATCCTTGTTTGAGGGAGAGGCTAGCATTGTCCATCCCGGGGAGCAAACGCTGGCTCCGGAGTGATTTTTGGGATCTCCAAGCTCGTACGGCATAGCGGTCTTGACACTCTGGCACGATATGGCGGATGTTGATGGGCCATATTGCTTTGTGCTCGCGATCACGACCGAATTTGTATCTCAAGATTGCGGTGAGTGAATATTCCACTTTGCACTGACTCCCGTCCTGGTCTGGGTTGGAATAGAATGATCCAGAAAGAAAGGGTTGGGGATGCTGGAGGCTGTTTCGAATCCGCTCAGCGGGCTGCGTCGGAATCGTCACTTGGAACGGCCAGTTAAGTGTCTCGTCACTGCCCTCTGGCAAATGCAGAGGTCCTTGGTACACCACCTCCGGTGCCAAGTCCAACAGCTGGAATTCGGAGCGATATGTTGTTTTGCTACCACTGCTACCGGGCGGCCCAGAAGAATTTTCGTACCGGCAGACTTTGGTCTTCACCCGACCGGAGAGCGTCACGGTGAGTTCGGCTTCGGAGGCGACAATCGGGCTGTGGCGTACCACGTTGCCGATGATGGTGTCGCCAAGGGCATAAGACCATCCTCGCGGAGCAGCAATGTCAAATTTGAGGTTTGGACTCCCTTCTTCTGCGTTGAAGTGCATCGTGGTTTGAGCGCGGTTGGCCTTTGGGGTATTTTTCCACTTCATTGCACTATTTTGACGCTAAGCGGGTAGACAAAAATCCTCAATGGGGCCAAAAATGGAACCAACCCTTTTGTGGCCCGGATTCACCGGTATCATAGTTTCTGCTGTGATTAACTCAATTACTGTATTTAGTAAGCCTAAGTCACGCCCACTGCTCTTCAGGGAGCCTCCTTGCTTTCTCTCGAATGTCCAACACATCTACTACCCCTCTTGATTTATCATCGTTCACTGCTTGCTGGAGCTCATCGAGTTTGACAATATCCTCGAGGAGTTGCAATGCCACAGAGATGCCCGTATTCTGTCCAATTTCTCGCATACGACGAATGACCCACTGGCGGGTTGGACTTTGAACCACCGTGGACTGTCCGACCGTGTAGAGACACCAGGTTAGGAGATAGCTCCCGGATACATTAGCCGGCGAGGAATGCCCAATGGCAACATGTGACTGAGGACTCGATGGGATGTATCCCAGGGCCTGAGGAACAGTGGCCAGCATATCATTTTCTAGCTTGGATTGAATTTGCAACGTTTGCTGTAGCCGTAATGTCGCATGCGTCCGCAAGACCGGTGTGAGGTTCATGGTCAGACTCTTCGTCAGGAGAAAGTATATGATGTTGCATACTATCATTTGAAGCATCCTGGCGTTGTTCCAAACCCTGATTGCCCAGCTGGACGGGTAAAGATCATACCGACCGTTGTAAATGATCTCTGGGTCTGCGCCAGGTTCTCGGATGGTAGAGTAGGGCTCTTCTATGGCAAGGGCCCCCAGAAGACGTTCGAAGTCTAGTTGAAGAGCCGTGGCCTCTTCAAGTAGAGCAGTCCAATTGATTCGCGGGTCATTTTGTCGGACCTTCCAGAGCAGATTGACATGTCGAGATGCCAGCACCCCTAGTAGCCAGAAGGCACCAGAAGCAGCCGTGTGCTTCACAGCTTCTTCTTGCAGCTCGCGCAAATCTTCTGGGAACGGTTTATGATCATGAATACAGGCAACCACCATGTCAGCACGCACTTGATTGAACATCAGAATGGCCGCGGTGTTGGTAAATTGGCTTTTGCCCCGAGCAACGACGAGCGCCGCAGCTCCTTGGACATGGCGGGCCCACGATGGGAAATTAGACACATTCTCAAACACCCCCAGGGAGATGACCGACATCAGGATATCATCCTTTAGTGACTCAGTAGGAGACATCAAAGCAAAATTGACCTGTTGAATGGCCTCCGAATATTTAGCCCGTGCGTGACTGACGAGCCCGGGCTGCTGAGCCGAATTCGCTAGCGCGACGAGACCAACGGCAGCCATACTGGCTACCAAAGTGGGGTGTCTCTCATTGGAGCGGTAAATCGTCGAAACATAATTCAAATGCCCGCGAGCGGAGGAATGTCCACCAGCCACAAAGTTATTGACAAAATAGCTGACGCCAATGTCGTCAATGCTGGGGATTGGACTGCGAACCGGTGGGGGTGTGGAGATAGCCTTGGCTGACGCTTCTTTCTCTTTAACTCGCGTTATTGTCTGACTCGTCTGGTCGCGGAAGTGTAGGTCCCATTCGTCTCGGTACCCAGCGCATGCATCATGCGTACGGATGCACTGTCCACAATGAGGTACCTGCTTATCGCACTGCGGAGACACGTAAATTAACAAGGACGCCACAAGGAAGCTCTAATTCTGGACGTCACCTACTCGACGCTTGACAGCCCGGCAGTTGGCGCAACTTTTGGAGACCCTGGGACGTGTTTGACTGCAAGGCGACATTATAGCTAGAGAGAAGAGATGCCCAGAGAACGAGCAAGGAAGGTATCATACGATATGACCAAATAACCGTAGGGCTGATGTGCCAAGATGATGAAAGGTTAAAGGAAACAAGCTCGGCTCCAAGACTGTTGCAGCTGAGACAATCATCTTGGCGGGGCTTGTTGGGGGCTGAGAGTTTTGGCCCCAGGGCCCGCACGCTGCACGCTGTGCCGTGGCATCTCGCTGTTGGGTGGTCAAATGCAAGGTGACATCATCCCGGGCGTGGAAAGGCAGCGTATCCTCGATATCATAGGCCACTGGGATCTGTCATCGGCAGTTCCGATCATCGCTTGGCTGAGGCTGAAGGAAGAAGTAGCGGGAGGAGTTGGGCGAAGCACGCACGCTGTTTGGGGGCCATGCTAGTCCCAATGGGGTAGTCCAGATGCTCGGCCAAACAGCTGTCGCGAGCTTATGCAAAAAAGTGCTGATCTTCACTCTCGAGCAGATCAAGCTCTTTCGTGTTTTTAGAAACGTTTAATCCTATTTGAGTACACGAGTTGTTCTACCAATGTACACACAACATGTCGGGCACTTTGACACAGCTCTACTGTACTAGATGGAGAAGAACTGGACAATATAAAGGCTGCCAGGTCCCAAGACAGATTCCTTGACTACCAAAGCTCAAACTTGCAAAGACAAGCTCAAAGAAAACGAAGCTCATTCTTCAGAGAATCTTTTTTATACCTCGCCCAAGTTCATATCTCCCTCTCTGTCAGGCGCCAATCGACTTCGTGTATACTCAATCATCACCAACAATGGGATCTGTCACTTATAGAGATGGCATTGCTATCCTTCAGCTCATCGTTTTTCCTTTCATCATTGCGGCATCTCTATTTATCTGGAAGAAAACTGGCTGGAGAGTCGGCAGCAGGATTTGGCGATACCCTGCCACTTTATCCCTCATCCGCATTGCTGGCAGCATCTGCACATTGTTGACAATCACCGACAAATCTCGCAATATCATTATTGGCGCATACGTTTGTGAGCTGATCGGTATCGCGCCTCTACTCTTGACCTACATTGGAGTGCTACGACAAATGTAAGTGATATCAGCCACTTCAATGATTGGGACCCATTCATCCTAACCTAAATTGTTCTTGTAGTGACACGGAAGAGCGAATCCCTCGTCGGGGGTCAAACCTGATTGCTATTGTCACCATCATTGGCCTCATCCTCGGTATCGCGGGTGTTAGCGAAGCCGATGATAATGGAGATTACAAGAACAATCTCACAATGGCTGCGATGGGCATTTTCCTCGCCGTCTTTGTGATCTTCGTCCTTATGACCATTTGGCTCTGGCTTCAAACTCACTATAACCTGAGAGTGTTTCAAAAGAAGCTGTTCCTCGCTGTTGCCATTTCTATTCCCTTCGTTTTGGTTCGTGTCGTCTACTCCGCGCTCAGTGACTACAGCGACATTTCTCGGTTCCAAATTAACAGCAGCGATACTGTTTATTTGTGTATGTCGGTCTTGGAGGAGATCGTTGCCATGGTCGTCACCGTGGGCTTGGGAACTTCGGCTGTGCTTCAAAGAGATTTTGTCAAGTTTGGTTCGTCGGAGCAGAGCTCTGAGCCCAAGATTGATGCAGTTTAAGCGCAACTTTGGTTGTGTCGCGGGTGTTTGTTGATTTCGTGTGATATAATCGGTCCTTTCACTGTTTTTCTGACAAGCGAAGCGATGTTCGTTTTATAATAGAGCGCTACCCAGCCGCAGCCGGGAAACGATTATTTAGTTGCTGTTTATCATTTGTTATGCTTACTACCTAAATAACATTTCCAAGGTTTTTTTGATAAGTGTGGCACTTGAGATGATCTCTTCAGCCTCCATACCATACCATAGATCAGAGATCGTTGCATCAAAATAACATTGTGAGCCAGCAGGCGCTCATAAATACTGCTGGGTATGCGTTAAACCATTAATCGTGTCTATATGACATTACATGAACATGAAAGTGGCCGTAGCCAACGCCGCTACCAAAGCCATGATGCTCTTGGTCTCGGCAGACTCCTTCAAATTTCCACTAGCAGCGCCAGTGTGGTTTGCAGAGCCATTTACAGATGTTGGCTTAGTTCCAACACCGCCCGGCAGTCCCTGGTAACTAAAAGTCACGTTCTGGGGGATAGAAGTGTTGTAACACTCTCCCTTTGCCAGATCCAAGTTGCTCAAATCATCTGCATGCAAGAAGAACATGTAGTTTGACTGGTTGAGAGACTTGAAGCCGGAGGTGTCGTAGGGGAACTTGTCACCCGTGTCCGTTGCGCTGGTGTTGCGAAGCCAGATACACTGGACTTGGCCAGGGAACTCGGTCGCCATCTGAGGGTAGTCGCGCATGACATCGCTGTTGCTGGTGTCGGCAATCAAAATGAACTTGCGCTCGGGGAAGGTCTCGAAGACTTTCTGCAGCAAGAACTTGCGAATCGACAGAGTGGCAGAAACATCGCTGAAGTTGAGAGGGCGTGTGTCGAACGAGCCACCGGGGAAGTTGGCATAGATAAACTCCATGTAGTTCCGTGTTATCTGCTCTGGGGTCGTGGTGAGGTAGTGGAAATGCATGTCAGGGAGGCTGGTAGACCAGTTGCGGTAAATGTCTGGCATGTTTTCCCATGCTGTGAATGGACGAGCGAAGGAATTAAGCAGCCCTTGCTCAGGCTCGTAGATCTTGGTCACACGCAAGATATCATCGATATCAGAAACAATGGTAAGACCAGTCGGGGGCACAAGATAGGCCGTGCTGTTTCCAATGGTTGCGTTTTTGACGTGGACGTCCAGTCTCTGGATCGCCGAAGTTTCGTTTCCTGCGGTGAGTCCCTTGCTAGCAATTGGCAAGAAAGTATCAAAGTCACCCTCGACAGTAGTGTTGTAAGGCAAAGTGATGTCTTGTGCGCCACCGGTTGTGTTTGACGATCCACCACCGCCAGGCTGTCCGCTAGATCCCTGGCCCGCGGCAGGTTCCAGGTGAATCGTGTTGACGGCGACTTCGGGCTGTTGAACAATGAAAATCTCGGCAGTGAGATTACGAGCTTGGTCAGCCTGGGACTTGGGAAGCTCTGAGATACTGGTGTTGACCAGGAAGACGTCGGCAAGCTTGTTGAGGGTTGAAACAGAGGTGTTGGGTTGTTTGTAGACATTTCCGTGGAAACGTACGTTCCATCCCGAGTTGGTCCAATTGGCATAAGGGTCAATATTCAACACGTTGGTTGGCAGTGCTGCTAAGTCATCATCATTCAGTCCGAGGGAGCTCGCAACTGCGTCTCCAGTTGGGAATCCCTGGAAGAAGTTGGGCACTCCAGATGCGACCCATGAGGGCAGGCCCGACCCAAGATCTGAGAGCACATTGTTGGCATCTGATTCAACATCGCTTATAATGTTTCGAGCAACGACCGGAGACGGATAATTTTCAACTGGCGAAGCTGTGACGACAGGATCGGCGGGTGCAACATTAACGAAAGCTGTCGGAGCTGGGGAAGCCAAGGCAACCGAGAAAAGCGAAGCCTTTACAAAGGCTGAAGTGGTGAAGGACCTCATACTTTCAGCAGAATGCAACAAACCCGTAAACAGAAGTGCGCGGATGTGAAGATCAATTTAACGCGGTTTAACCTGACTGACGTCATCGGGTCCCCATGCATTTCCAAGTTTGTACCGCGAAATTAAGGGTCTTTTAATCTATACACCTGCGTCATGGGTAATTTCCGAAACCAATTTTATTTTACATCTTAGATCTCCTCTAAGAATAACCACTTTTGGAGCGCTTCGTCAGAAAGGCTGATAACTAAGTGACTGTCTGACTGTCCATGTGTACACATACTGCTAGAGAGCGCCAAGAGATATACAAGATTGCGATGAAAATTAAGGTGCGACTTGAATGCTGCTGGCTTGTTAAGACCCTCGCTTGGTTCCAAAAATAACCATATTACCATTCCCCCAGGTACCGAGTTTTCGAAGCCAATGGATGAATCAGTCGCTACACTGTGTTCACCCCATAAGCCCTGGAGAACTCACGTCCCCACACGAGCGCTGAATGGTTTGTTGAGAATCTTATTTCTACGCTATCCATGGATCTGAGAACAACCTTGGAAATTTGGCATCAATATGGTATCTAGAAGTCAAGGCAAAGGATCAGCTAGCCGGACCACAAAAACGTGGATGATAGTAATGTTCCCTGTAACCAAGGCTTCGACAAAAGTTGAACGACACTTGCGTTCGATTTGTGCAAGGTCAAAATTAAGACATGGTACAACGAACTCCCGAGGGCTAGGCTCCAGATTCATTTCAGCGGCGTATTGTACACCTGGGTAGAAATAATTCCCTGTTTCAATTGGAACTCTTCAATCCTGTCAGCGAGGTTGGGATACTAGCGCACACCGGTAAGAGGCCTATAGCTATACCATAATTGAATGTGAAAGGGATGCATTCGTGTTAAAAGGCCTTTGAGGCATTTTTACTATTAAATAGATGCCGTGCTCAGTTACTCCAGATCAAGGCTACATAAGAACCACGTCTAGTCCAACAAACCTATCCGGCTCCGTGTGATCCAAAGCATCAATACTAAATCACGATTGCCTTGACACTGTAACCTTCCAATATAGATTGTTCGGGGTAACTCGATAAGCTACGTCTTTTACATTAGGCCAAAATTTTCCGGCTGAACCAATAAGTGCATGCAGTGCAATCAGGGGAGAACCTCAATGCCCCTATAAAATTTGATTTGATCTCATCACATGACCTTTCCCGATTGCAACAGTCGACTTGGCGGTGTCCCAGTCCAGACTCAGCACAGATCCTGAGAAAGGTCACTTTCGCTGTACTCCGTACTAGAAAGACGGTGTAAGTTATGATGAGAGCTCTCAAAGGAAGGACCAGACACGTCAAATTCAATCTTTGAAATGTTGGACGCGCTTTGTTGAACAGCCGATCATGCAAGTACAGAAAAGGCCTCACTTCGACCCGTGGGCGGATCGGGTAAGCCTAATGATCCGAACCACACATAAAAACCCCAACCTCCCCTGAACCCTTTCTTTCTTTTCAGAGACCTCCGACATCACCATTCTGGAGTTTCGTCCAACATACAGCAGTCCTTGTGACTTGCTACATGATGGCACGGAACAAATAGTCGTGAACGAGTCTCCCCCTTTCCCCCGCTGCGTCTTGGCGGGCGAATTGCATCAAAGAGTCTCCCAGTTGTGTTAGACGTACCAAGGCTTGAACATTGTTCGCCCGTCACATCTGTGGACAGAAAACCAGATAAACGAGAGAAAACGTTATTCCTCTAGCGAGGTTACGATTTGGCTGCACGGCAATGTACCACATCCTTGGTGCCTGACCCGGTTGATATTCCATGCTGTATCAGTCCGACGGGTATTCATTGATGTTGGTCGTGATCCGAAAGTCCAAGATATCCCATTGAACCCTCATTCCGCTCAGGTACCGACGAACCAGGCTCTGTCTCCAACGAGCAACCTGATGGATCCAGTCGTGTGACGGCAGCCTCGCTTGCGAGGTATGAATGCAGGCTGGTGATAACTCTTGAGATGAAAGGGCGCTTGTCTGAGGATCACGTACCTGCAGCCACGTATTGCGATTTGATTGGGAAAGCGAGAGGGCCAAGAGGAAGCGAGGACGACCCCCTTCTGTGAAACTGGTATCCTTGACCACCCATCGTCGCCCCTAGAGTCACGGAGTAGTGCAGTTTCATCTGCCAAGCGTTTAGTGCTTTGTTGAGGACGCAGCGATATACCACAGGAACGTCTGGAGCAATCCTACCTGTCGACAATCGTTTGCAGATCTCCATCGCCATCAGAGTCAGTGCAGTTCCATCTGCCAAGAGTTTGTGCTTTGTTGAGCATGCAGCGAGAGACCACAGGAACGTCTGGAGAAATCCTACCTGTAGAAAATCGTTTGCAACCCTCCATTGCCATCGAGATTAGTGTAGTTGGACAACTGCCGATTAGATCGCGTTTTGTTGGAAAACAGCTGAATCCGAGGAAGTGTCCATTCGCTTCTTCACAAGGAATCGCTGGCGGACCTCCATCGCTCATTGTGTAAGTTCAGTTCGTCTACCAAGAAGATTACGAATTTTACGCTCTGTTGGTTGGTCCGGCCGATGAGGGTGAGCGCGTCAGCCCCTCCAGTCCGCAATCGTCATCGTATACGAGAGTCGCGCTCTGTTGGATTTGGCAGGCAGATGAGGGTGAGCGCGTCAGCCCCTCACAAGCCGCTGAATTCCAATACCCGTACAGTGGAAACATCGGAAACATCGGAAAATCGCATGTGCGACGGCGTGCCTTGATCTTGCGGTCTTGGTGCAGCCCCTATGCGTCTTTTCTGCCGTCCTCGCAAGAGGCTCAGGGAGAATTGTCTTTTTTTTTTTTTGCTTTGTTGCTTTTTTTTCTTTGTTGAGAGCCAGGTGAGATTCTCGGATCCACTGTTCTATGGCCTCTTCAGCGTCCGTTGAGGGCCATGCAAATGGTTCTCGGTGTACGCTGAAGACTTCATACGACACTGTATCGGATTCTCTCTGGTTTTTTGGAATGTTTGAGCCTGTTCTTGTCGAAGTCTCTTGTCTCGGGTGTTATCTTTATCTATGATGTCTTGATCAATTTTGCGTGCATTACAAGTATATCAACAAATTTCACATCGCCTCTGATTTCCAATTCTCCCAACCGCCATCGGTATTTTCTCTTCATTGTGTGGTCTAGTCCCAAAGTCATGTTCATCCCGAGCTGCTGACCATCTAGTCTCTATTCTCAAGGCAAAACCTCCTCGCCCTTCCAGTCCCAACACCGTCCTCTCCCTTCCTTCGCCCCCGACGAGAACCCGACGAGAACTTCCAGTAACCTTCCAGCTGCGTCGGCCGGCTCCAGCATATCCCTTCCTCCCCAGAAATCCTTCGTGAACTCCGTCCGAACAGTCCCCGGATGCAGCGCCACTGCAATCGCCCTCTCCGCACTTTTTGTCCGCAGGTATAGATCATATGATTTGGCCAACTGGAACACCGCTGCTTTACTCGCGCGGTATGAATACCACCCGCCCGCAGCGTTGTCGGAGATCGAGCCCACGCGAGCTGCCATCATGGCATAGATGGCATGTGATGGCAGTGGCAAGGGGTTTCGGGAGTCTGTTGTATCGGACTGCGTTGCAAACGCCGGTGCAGTCTTGAGTGGGACAAATTGCGACAGGTGTTTCATGAGAAGCAATGGACCAAGGGAGTTGACTTTGAAACTGTCCAGTGCGTTGGCAGAATCAATTTGACTGGGTGATTTCTCCACATGCAGAGTGCCAGGGATTGTCAAGCCCAGCCTCAGGGGTGTGTCTGGGTACCCCTGCTTGATGGTGTCCGCCATTGCGGATATCGTGGATTCATCTGCGTGCCCGGTCAGTTCTATCCTGTCTGGGATGTCTTGCATGTCGACTCAGGGCATGGGCTGCTTTACCTGTGACATCGACCTTGAGAACACGTAATCTCTTTTCTGAATTCTGGGGCACCCCATCGCTTGACAGCAATTTCTCCTGGATCTCTCCACAATCTTTGCGAGCTGTTGCTATCACAGGGAGATCGGTGCGTGCCAGAAGTTGCTGTGCAAAGGCAAAGCCCAGTCCTCTTGATGCAGGAGTCACCAAGGCAAATCCTGCTGTATGAGACATGCTAAAATGTCACAATTGATATAATATGTGGTAAAAGGTTGCTGCAGGAAACAAGTACAAGCACTCCTGTGATGTCTACTCTCAAGTGACGTCACCCATCTCCTTGACGCATTCCATTACGGTGGACGACTCGCAATGACTCGCAACACCAAATATGGTTGTCCAACGCAAGAAAATATTCATTCGAGTGATTTTCTCGATCTATGCTATCAAAAGTGGTACAGTTGACTCGAGCTGTCATCAAATCTTGCCCTCCAAACCAGTGAAAAACACCCTCCCAAACTCCCCACTGCTATCGTTGAACCGAATCTTCTTGTTGATCTTCTCGATCTTCTTCATATCTTCTGGGCCTAGCTTGAAGTCTCCTTGTAGATTAGTTCTTATTCTCGAGGGCGTCTTCGACTTTGGCAAAACAGAATGGCCCTGCGAGACTCCCCAGGCTGCCACGCAACCAACCACTTAGTACCAAGTGTGGAATATCTGGAGTGATACCGACTTACCAAGAGCAACCTGAGCGGCTGTTTTGTTGTATGGCTCACCGATCTGCGCCAATACAGGCTCATCAATTAGCTTCGCGGCTCCTCCTTTCTCCCCATAGAAAGTGTTCTGGTTTCCAAATGGCGAATAGTGTGTGATGTGGATGCCATTATCCCGATGCCACTTTGTGAACTCAAGCTGTTGCAGCCAAGGGTGACACTCCATCTGGTGCACTGCGGGAACAATCGAGCTGTTCTTGATCAGACGCTCCATCTCGGCCTTGTCAAAGTTTGAGACGCCGATCGCTCTGGCTTTCCCATTCTTGAGAAGCAGTTCCATGGCTTTCCAAGTCTGTTGACATGTTAACTTTAGCCCATTCTCGCAGGAATAATACAGCAGCATACATCGATGATGTCGATATTCTCCATCACGGGCTGACCATTCTGCTTTGGGAAGAGCTCCTCGCCTCGTTTCCAGGCTACTGGCCAATGCACGAGGTACAAGTCCACATATGTCATCCCTAGATCATTGAGAGACTGCTGCATTGCCTGCTCTACATCATCTGGATGATGCTTGTTGTTCCAGAGCTTGGTCGTGATGAAGAGATCCTGGCGCGGGATACCACTCTTCCTGACTCCTTTTCCCACGGCTTTCTCCGTGCCGTACCTTTGGTCGATTAGCTCTGCAAACCAAACATATCTCTTGTAATTATAATCTGCCGTGGCATACTTACACACGCGCAGTGTCGATGTGACGATATCCCGCCTTGATCGCCTCTGCTACGGCATCCTCTTGTTCACCCGCGTCTTGCCAGGTACCAAAACCAATGGCCGGTATCTCTGCGCCAGTGTTGAGATTAAACTTTGTTGGCATATTTCGAATATTGCGATCGTGATTGAAGTCTGCAGGTTTATTGTCTCTAAGTTGCCTGATCGCGGTCTGGTTTGGGCTGGGAGATCGAATTTGCACGTCAGTATGACGGATGCATATGGTTCATGGAGCCAGTAACTTGAAGCTCGTATTGAATGACGCGGTGGTGAGGTCTTCAAGACTCCCTGATGGTATAGATTGATCTGATTATACACATTGCTTGCATGCTGCGATGGGCGAAGCAAAGGTTATACGAGAGTAAAGCTATGGATCCTGCAATTATGGACAGCAAAAGCACGTTTTCAGTAGCGGTATTGATCTTGCGCATGGCGAGTACCAATTCCTCGCCAGCGACCTTGTAAGGTTTGTCACCGGCATCTTGTGTAGCTCCGCAAGACGGACGATGCCGCGTGCCCAGATGATATGTCCACGTCCATGTCCTCTGCTTGGGGCGGTTGTTCCCAGCTTCCATGCTAGAAACATGTCGCAGGGAATTGCTCTGAGTATCATAGGGCATTGGCTCGATTCTGTTTGTGGTTTTTGACACCGCATGAGAAAGCACGGATAGCCCTGGGTATCAGCCCAACTGGCTCACCATTGAGCAGCGTCGCAAACATGTAGGAATTGTAACAACCCCCTGATCCGACATTCTCTACGATGAAATTTCTCATGGCATTCGAGCCGGGGTTCAATGTCGAATCAGGTGGAAGTAAAACCACTGTTCGTGTGCAAAGAACTGTGTGCATGGCAGTGTGGCTCAGGCACCAATAAGGACATTGTATACATGTTTTTCCTTGGGGTTTTTCATAAATCTTCGTAATATGTCTTTGAATCCTGGCTCATTGAATCAATCTTGTCGATCTGAGCACACTTCCAAAGTTCGGATGGGGTGGAGGCTTTGGGATGTTTGATGCCAAGGCAAACAGCATTAAAGGTCCGCTCCGATCACCGTATCTTACCGCCTTGGTTTATATAGCGAGCTCCACCCGCAAATTTTTTCTCTTCCTCTCTCATGCTTGCAATTTTCTGGATCAGAGCTATGAGCTCCTCCTTTCTTTGTTTTTCTTCTCAGCATGGACTGTGTCTGATGATGGCACATGTCCTCGCTTCCCCCTCAGGCCCGATCTAGATATCGGGACACTATGCTTTCTTCTCTAAAAGGTAAGAGTGACTTTTTTCTTTCTTTCTCTCGCAATCCCAACCTTCCCTGGGGATGATTACATTCTAGACATGCAAAGGCATTCCTCAAGCAGAAGATCCATGTTGAATCTGTCATATTTTTAAGTTTCAGCCTTGTCTGACCCAACACAACAACCTTTTCACTTTATCAAGGCATCATTTGAACGAATTTTGAACTAACAATCTCTCGTTCAGGTAAATCCAAACACAACTATTCCTATCATTCCATTGCGGCTCTTGTCTTGCATGAAGAAATCTTGAACGAACGGGCGGACATAAATGTACCTGTCTTTCATGCACCCCTAGAAAAACAGAGCGTACAAACTCTGTGGGTGTATGCGAGGTGGAGTACTTGTTGAGAATTCGTCACCTGAACCACTGCTTGCCCTTTTCACAACTGCTTCATGTCACATTGACAAGTTGAAAACGGTTTTTCTAACAGGCATTGCAGGTAATTTATCTCTCATCTCGCTGTCTTTCTTCAACATGGTCAATTTTATATGATGAATGTGTTATTCACACTGTTTGACCTGGACTTCGGTCCGGGAATGAACATTTATACAAAAATCTGATTTAATGAGGTATGCTCTTGCCATTGACGAGATCTTTTTCAACTTTGCTGACTGACTTCAAGCCTGACTTAGTTACCATGTCATGATTTTGCTTTTGTCTCTTGCATATTGCTTGAATGCCATAGCTGACTCGACATACAAGAAACCCAATAGGAACCTCACTGAGGATGCTGTTTGGCTCGTTGACCGTGAGTTCACTCCCCTTGGTTCCAATTCACCAGAGGAATGAACTTTTGCTAACAAGCAATACAGGAGACCATCGTCCACAGTACGAATCAATGAATATGATGAAATTTCTTGCACCTTTTTCTTTACTTAGTATTGCACTTCGTAGTCGTAGACTTTATTTTCCATAGGTTCTTTAGTAGCCATTTCTCGACTTCAAATTCAAGGCTACTCGACAAAAAATCCGTGTCTCTTGTGCCACTCTTCAAGGCTGTCCCCGCCATACACCGTATGCACACTTTTCTTGCCTTCGGGCCATCGTGCCCATGCCGGCTTCGAGCTTTCCATGATGCATACCATCTCATCTGGAACTGGTAGTTCTGTGTCAATCGCTGATGCAAATGGGTGGATTAACTCAGGCCAGTGGTGATCCCACACCCAGAGCATGGTACTGCAGTTTGAGCAAAAGTTTCTCTCAGAGGAACAAAGCTCTTCATTCGGAGTGCCGCGGTCTTTGATCGCACAGTATTTCCTATCCATACGATCAGCTCATCTCAATCAAATCGTGTGCCCAGGTGTCGCTGCCCAGGTGGGGGCTAGCGTTTCGTACTTAATGATGTCTTTTCCCTTGATGATGTTGAGGCTGTCAGCCATGCCACCCAAGTTCACGCTCCCGAGGTGTCCGCCAACTTTGCGACAGATGCTGCACGCGCATAGCTGGTATGGGACCGGAGTTTGGGAGTCCAAGGTGAACTCAACACCGCCGCATTGGCAGCTTCCTTCCAATTTCCTGGTCACTCCATCAGTATTGATTGGGGGAAGTGGGTTGTTCCAAGGTTCTGACTTACATCGGCATGACGGCGAGATTTTGATAATACCGTTCTAAGCTCGGTGATCAATATCGGTTTACAGGGTACAGATATTGTTGGCCTCGACCAAGTTTCAAAGTTGGAGTTGAATGCGAATGTCACTGGGATTGAGGTCGATATATAGTTCCAAGGTTTTGAGGCGGGAAGGCGAACACACCTATAGAATCACCATGCAAACAATATACGTAATTGACTCACTTGAAATGGACATCTGCATAATCTTCATCCAATATTAATCTCACGATTAAAGGTACCAAGTCCTGTTTGCCCTTTGTTCCGTATCCGCGACACATCATCGACGTGATCTTGCACCTTTCATTGGCCGAAGAGGTGTTTGCATATTTTGTCTTGTTTGCATCCCGGAGGTTCGATCTCGCCGACATTCACGCATCGCGCTACTTTCTCAGCACAAAGCAGATCTTTGCTCAATCGATAACTCAAGCTCACAGACACCCCGAACCTTTCAGAATGAGTTTCGGAGCTCCCGGAGGTGGTTCAGTGAACTACAAGCCCACGCCGTGAGTCGGAGCCGAACCCTTCACCTTTTCGCATTCACCACACCATTGACCGAGTGGATATGGAAATTTGGCTTGGAATTGCTGCTAATCTACAATCTTGATCACAGGCCTGAGCGTGGTAGCTTTCCCCTTGACCACGAAGGTATGCCGATTTGCAGATGCAGATGCACCGCGCTGATCCGAGAAACGAGAACCCCGGGAATACGTGCGCGAACAGTGGACTGACTACGACGTTGGATTATACAGGAGAATGCAAGCACATTATTTCGGGATACTTGAAGTGTATCAAGCTCAACAGAGGCACCAACGACGAGGCGTGTCGCAAATTGGCCAAGGATTATCTCGCCTGTCGAATGGACAAGTACGTTGACCTGCCCCATAGAGGGATCGGATCTGTTTGCGTGGATCTAGATTCCACCTAGTCAGTACTGGCGGAACGAATTGCTGATTGTGTCTCTGCAACTTAGGAACCTCATGGCGCCAGATAGCTTCGATAACTTGGGCTTAGTGTTCAAAGGCGACGAGGGGAAAGACCAGAATTCCGCCCCACCAGCCACCAATACGAATCAAACGGAAACCAAGAAGTGATAAAGGATTGGCGGATGAGACGTTGCATGATATTGTATGATATGGAAGGGAAGAGTGGTGCGAGTCCATGAACCCCGGGTAGTGCTGGCATTATTGAAGGCGTTGTACATATATGTATTTGAATTCTAGAACCCTAGCAGATAAATGAACTCTCAACTGGTTGTAAACTTTGGTATGTGTGAGCGGTGGCATCGCATTACTACTTTCCGTCCTCCGTACCCGTTGCGCTCTCGCCCCATGCGGGGAAACTTCCGCCCAGCCACATTTGACGATCTCCAACTCCTTCACGGGGGGTACCAGGACGCCAAATGTCGTCAATCGCACGGCCTCCAGATCCATGCCTCGTGGCAATCATTCTCATAGTACGTTCGCGTACAGGCCCGCGCTTGGTCTTCCACTACCCTCCGAACCCCCTCAGCGAGAACCGTTTCAAAGCCACGACCAAGGGCGGTCGCCGCACCTCCCGCACTCGCACTCGACAAGGCTCCAAGAACACGGATTCAAGCTCGAGTGACGATAGTGGACCGAGCTCCGACGAGGACGAGGAGGAACGTGAACCACAAAGTCAAAGTCAGAATCAGAATCAGAACCTGGCCGCTAGTCATGGCAATGGTGCAAGCTCTATACTGGCTGGCCGTCGCGCGAGCAATTTCGCCCTTGACGAGCTGTTGTCAAATGCTACCTCTCCTGCGGCCGGCGACACCCAGCGACCTGGCTCGCTAGGCTCCGGCCGCGGTTCGTCAATGCGCAAACGCGGCGGTGCGGGCTCCGACCCTGAGGAGGACGGAGCAACATCTGATCTACCCGATGATGGCCCCGGAAGCTCTAGACCGCCTTGGGAGTCACTCCTAGGGGTGCCTGGAAGTGTATGGGAAAAACTGCTAAGTCCTTCACGCTCGTGGCACAAGCGGCGCTTTGAGGTCGGGATCAACGACCTCGCGCTCATTGGATGGCCTGTCTTTGTGCGAGAAGATGGTTCATGGCGCAAGCAACGACGCAAGAAGAAAAAGAAGCCCCGCGCCGATTGGGATGGGGGCGAGCTGGGTCACAATGAGAACCCCGAGGACGGTCAGAAGGATGAACGCTTCGTGATGTCTCCAGACTTGGGTGCTAGTGTTGCTTCCATTGCGGACTCCGTGATATCGCCCACAGAGAGCAAACGTGGGTCGACCAGTGGGAGACCTGGCAAACCCGATGATGCCTTTGACCCCGAAGACAAGGATCATATGACGATGTTCAATGTGGTTTTCGTCGTCGATCCGCCTTTGTTGGAATACTCAATGCGCGTCAAGGAGATATACGATAATATCATCAAGAAGTTTGCCAAAGCTCTCAAATGGGAGCAAGCTCGCACCGACTATGTGTGGAAAGAGTCCCAGCACATCTTACAAGTCAGAAGAAGAGCCAGGGAGACCAAGACGTCGACTCACAATTTGTACTCTGAACTGATCTCCCAATCCTCACTGGCCCGCGCAATCTACACAGTGTACAGCAGCATATCGGCATCCAAAATCGCATCTGTGTCGCTGAGCCCCGATGTCTCGATCTCCCTCCAGATCCCACCACTGACCTCTACCCCATGCCTTGCTGGCCCCATGGACAAATCATACCCGGGTCTATGGCTGACAACAGCAGACAGTGCCACCCCGGCTGACGATCCCGGGATCGACGAGAACAACAATCCCCATCAAGTCCTAGCAAAGCACTTTGCTTTGCTCTTGCTGGACAGCGAAGCTGCCATCATCAAAGATGTCGAAGCCTCTGGTGGAGCGCTAGCACCCGCACTTGCGCACTACATCCGATGCTCTAAACCAACCAAGTCATTTGCGCAGATCTCAGTGTCTTCGGGGATTCCCCTCTCGCACATCCAGATGCTCTCAAGCCATCTTGTGTATTGGCGACGCGCTCGGGCCATTCCTCCCATCCACCAGAGAGATACATACATTGTTTCTCCGAACTGCGATCTGAGTAAGCTGGAGATAGCCACCGTTGCTTACCAGACAGCGTTCCCAACATATCCGAGTCTGCCGAAGATGCTGTCTACTCTCAGTGGCACTCCGCGGCCGTACAGTAACTTTATCCCCAGCAAGGACCACAAGGAGATATACTTCACCATTCTGGCATGGCTATTACGTGGTGGCTGGGTAACCCAGCTTCGTACCTTTGCTCGCATCAAAGTCTCACCAGAAGTTAAGATGGCCGTGGAGATGGCTTTACGAAAGGAAGAGGTCGACCGTTATCTGGCTAAAGGTGTCTCGAACTCCCTCTCGGTCGACGAAGATAGTGACGACGAGGAACTCGGCGACACGCACTCTTCCTCGTCATCTTCCCTTGCAAGCCACGGCAGCGGAGAAGAAACACCCATGCCCGGCCGAGTCGACCCGCACGCGCAACTCCGATTCTCCCACAAGCTCCTTGACCGCTCGACCGCTCTCCGGCTGTCTTCTTTCATTCTATCTCCACACAGGGCATCTCCCCTGGAGTCTCGTTGGCTTGATGAGATTGTCCGCCGATTCCCAGACAACCCCAAGACTGACCAGGATGAGGAAAATGCCAGCCCAGACATTACACCTAACGATATCCAGGCCATACATAAGAAATACTGGCCGGTGTTCCTCAAATATTTCAATGGCCACGACGCCTTGGAGAAAATATCTGTGCGCGAGAATCTCAAACGCAAGTTGGTCTGGCAGGTTCTCATGCGATTGGGGTTGGTGACTGGTCCACTGGGGTCGATCGATCTCGATGCGCGTGAACAGGTCTTAGTCAGTGTACGTCACTGGTGACGGGACAAAAAAAAAGGGGGATGGCGAATGGTGTTTTCAGCTGGACAATGATAGCTCACTTCCTATTAGAGCGGAGTTCATATGGTAATTTTTATAGATCAAGCGACACCTGAGGCATAACCCTGTCGCCAGGGTAATACACGCGTATTATGATTACATACCCACACCCATTCCGATGGTTTCCGCGTGCCCTCAGCCCTAATCTCTGCCGAAAGCACAACTTTTCACTGGGAGGGAAGAGTGAAATTAATGAAATTAGTTGATTCAATTGGGATATTGGAGCGGAATGAGTTGTATTAATTCATCGAAATGAGGTAGAGTGCATGTAAGTATCCAAGTAACACCTTGGTAGCCTGCTCACGTGCGCACGGTGTACAATATCACATTCTTACGTCGCACAATAATTAGCAAAGGCAGTGCTGGGTAATTTTTGTTGTTCTTCCCGCATATTGCAGGGCAACAATCTGTAATATGTAGTATTTGAATACCCCCAAGAAACACAATGTATTATATTACCTTTACTCCGTACCCCGTAGCCGGTTCACATATCCGAACATTTAGCGGCCGAACTTAAGCCCTGAAGACCCTTGAATAACATGGTTACAAAGCCACGGTACGCTTCAACGGGAAGAATGTATAGGTGTGAGATTGGTGCTACATTATCGCAAGGTAAAGCCCTGGTCATACGAAGACTCGACTTTTGATCGGATATTTCATTGTGCGCCAATGGCCGGAGGGGCTCCGGTGGACCCCGCGATATTCAGATGTAATTTTTTCCCTTTCTCACGATGACCCGGCGAATGGGACTGTGTAAGCTGTATGCCGCCGTATGCCGGCGTGAGATACTGTATCTCAACCAGTGGAATTGTTGCTATCCAATGTAGGAGCTTCAATTTGTCCAGCTATAAGGAGTAGAGCTGAAGGTTTAGAAGAACAAAGTCATAGTTGGTGTTATCCAATTGGCTGGAATTAGAGGCTTTAGACCTCAGAACTCTGAACTATTGCCACTTGACAGCTACTTTAAATTGTCCTATCTTTTATAGATATAAGAAAGAGACTATTCTATTTTTTTTTTTTTTTTTTTTTTGTGTATATTTCCACCAAGGTGAATAAAGTACTGGTTACGGAGTAGAGACCGAGATGACCTCGGCAAAGAAGGTACTCAATTGTGGACTTTGAAAGAATTCACGCAGGGTATGCTGGGGACTCATAAGCTAGGAAGTACAATGACTGTAGGAATGATCAAGTTTTAGTACAGCTCAGCTTAAGATACCCAAGATTGTAGGTAAGGATGCAAGGTAAGGTATGTATCCCAGAGGTACCTCCGTAATATGCCTCATTTGGAGCACACTCAGCCCAATTGCTTATAATTTTGGGTTGTTGGACAAGTCCATTCCAAGGGGACCAGAGTAAACCAGGTGAATAAAAAAGCAAATAAAAAAGAGAGATCTAGCTGAAGGTGAAAATGGCAACCAATACTAAATAGTAAAAAAATCAAACCAACAGGGCCTATTAATTACGTGTAAAGAAAAAACCCCGCTACCAGTTCTGCCCTGAACCAAATAATTTTGTGTTCTTGACTTTCTCTCTTCCACCCCTCCGCATCGGGCTGTTTTCCCTTCTTCTCTCGCGCTCACCTTTCTCTTCCGTCTTCCTTGATTTGCGATACCTCTTTGTCTTCGAGAGGACACTGCGAATCGCTTCGTATTTTCAGCTTTTGCAACCCGCTTGGATTTCCGTGCATCCCGGCTTACACGAACGCTGTTCAACCTCTTGATTAGCGCACATTGACGGGTGCTTTTGTAGCGGGAAATTTTTCCACGGCAACACACGGTTTTGATCTGTGCGCACGTTAGCTACGGTTGATCCCTCCCTCCACCTCCGAGAAACCGACACACCCCTCCGTTTCGCCGAAGCGATTTAATCCCGCTCCGACACTGCCTCTCTGAAAGACGGGAAGCTACACTTCAATTTGGGTCTCAAGACGGTAGAAATACTCCCTCTTGTTCCCTCATAGGAGACGTCACGCCAGTCGGCGCACATTGAGATCTCCGGAGTCGACAACGGTCATTTGCGCACGTTAACTCGCAACCGCAGTCAGACTCGACTCTTTGTCTTCTGTTTCTATCTTTCTTCACATCGCTGTCACGATCAGAGCTACAATCAGCTCTCCATCCGACATGTCTACTTTTTCGTATGCACAGGCTGCCAAGGGCACCTCCGGGACACCGGCCCCATCCAAGACCCCGTCAGAGCCCGAGAAGATCGAGACTCCACCGGTGGAGCAGACCGCCACTGAGACCACAACGGAAACCGCACCAGCTCCCGCTGAATCCGAGCCCACCCAACAAACTGAGAAGGCTGTTGTTGTTGAGGAGGAGAAGGATGATGACTTCACCACTGTCACCAGCAAGCACGCTGCCAAGTCCAAGGCGTTGAACTCCCGCACATCCAGCCCGAACGTCCGCACAGGATCCAAGGCGCGCAAGAACAAGGATGAAGATTCATCAAATACCGCGAATGGCACCGCAGATGCCACCGAGAAGCAGGCTTCCACCGATGGGCAGACTGAGAAGACCGATGGTGCCACTGAGAAGTCGACTGAAAAGACCGACGATTCTGAGAAGGACGCACCCCCCAAGGAGCTGAAGGCCGCTCCCCTTCCCTCCGTCAACATTTGGCAGCAGCGCAGAGAGGCTCAGGACCTCAAGAAGACCGTACCTGCCAAGCCCGCTGCTCCCAACAAGGCTGCTTCCACCAAGGTCGCCTCAACCGCGGATGAGAGCCAGCAGGACTCATCCAAGGCCACCAAAAAGAAGGGCGCCGATGGCGCATCCGAAGGCACCAAGGAGCGCAAGAAGACCGAAGGTGGAAAAGCACGTGATGCAGGTAAGAAATCCCAACCCATGTTCTCAGTGTCCATCAGTCATACCGGCAATGCTCGCTACGCCTACATACCGAGGGCTTGAACATACTGCGAAATTGGAGTTTCAAAGCTAACTTATCCTATTAGTCCCCTCAGTTGAGGATTCTACCGCATGGCCCACACCCCAGGTTGCGATTGTCGAGGAGAAGAAAAAGACCCAGGAGAAGACTGACAAGAGCCCGGTCATCAGACCCCATGGCAAGGAAAAGTGGACCCCTGTTCCATACGTCCCCACTGCTGTCTTCAACACCCCCCTCCCATCCGCTGGTGGTCGTGGAGGCAGACGCGCCACCCGTGGTGGCCGTGACGGTGGCCGTGGAGCCCACGGCAACGGCACTGCCGGTGTTGACAAAGCTGCCTCTGGTCAGGCAGCTCAAGGTACAAAGCAGGCATCTGGAGAGCGAGGACGCCAAGAGTCTGGCACTGGACGTGCTGCTTCTCTCCCTGCTCAGTCAAGACGTTCCACAAGCACTGATACCGGTGCCGCAGCCGATGCGCGCAAGGCTACCCAAGCCACCGAGCGAGGCCGTGGAGCCCGCAACGGAGATGAGAATGTCAATGGTAAGCAGGTGAACGGTGGTGAGAACATCCCTCGCTCCCAGCGCGAAGGCAAGGCCTTCAACCGCAACCAAGAGCCTCGCCAGAAGGGCGGAAACCTGGCTGTTGACTCCCAGGCCGCAGCCCGCTCTAATGACCGCCGCTTCGAGGCTGGCTCCAAGTCTGCCGATCCCTCCGGCTTGAATGAATTCAACCGCGAGCGCGGCGAGTTCCGCTCCGAGCGTGGAGGCCGTACCAACCGCGGCCGCGGTGGCCCTTACTCTAACTACGGTGGCCAGAACGCCCAATTCGGCAACCCTGCTATGCCCAACAACTCTTTTGCCGCCAACAAGGCCTTCGGCTTCAATGACCGTCAGCGCGCCCAGCAGCAGCAGCACGCTATCCCCAATGGATCTCAACAAGGAAACCGTATGCCCCTCCGTTCGCCCTCTTTGCCCAACTCTGGAAATGTTTATGGTGTTTATCCTTTCCCAGGTGACATCAATACGATGTACGGCTACCAAGCTGTCAACCCCGCCCCGATGAGCGCCGTTCCCTACCAGCCTTTCATGGAGCCATACGCGCTTCTCAACTTGCTCTCCATGCAATTGGAATACTACTTCTCGGTCGACAACATGTGTAAGGATATGTTCCTCCGCAAGCAGATGGACTCCCAGGGCTTCGTTCCCTTGCACGTCCTCGCCAGCTTCAAGCGTGTCAAGTCTCTTACCGAGGACTTTGAGCTCCTCCGCCACGTCTCCCGCCAGCTGCGCAACGTTGAGTACCAAACCGGTGAGGATGGTGTTGACCGCCTGCGCCCCAGAGAGAGATGGCAGCAGTGGGTCCTCCCCTTGGACCAGCGTGAGCCCGCCGCTCAGCACGATGGAGCTGCCCCAACTGGAAAGACCGATGAGAACACCCCTGTCAACACTCACACCGAAAGCGCCATCAACGGCTCCGCTCCTCAGTTTGTCCCCAACGGTAGCGCCAAGACATCCCTGTCGTCTACCGCCCCAGAGTTCATGCCCTCGCTGCCACCCACGGCGGCGAGTGAGATCACCAATGTAGGATACCCCATGGAATCCCCTATCTCCCCTGAAGATTATCCCGCGTCGTCCGCGCCCTTTCCCTGGGACCACTCAAATGTTGACAACCATCCAGCGCGCAGACTAGACCTGCCATCCGAACCGTCCCTACCCTCTGATTTGGAAAAAAGCGTGGGCTCGATGAGGTATGTTCTTCACTCGGAAAATTTTAGGGTCAATGAAAGGTAACTGACTCGGATGATAGCTTTGACGAGGATTGCTTCTCACGTCGAGCCAGTACTTCTGATGATCTTCAGGCAGCATCTTCCGTCCAAGCGAGTCACCCGTGGCCCAATCCACAGGGGCAGGGTCGTCCATTTACAGATACACGCATTTATGTTCCAAAATCTTTCAGTGTTTCTCGCGGTGGATATTCCAGCAGCCGAGGTGGATCGGTGGGCAAGGGATCTCGTTACAACAACTCTCGGCATAACGAACCCTCGTCATCACGCTTGGCACCAAATTGCGATTCCCACTTGTACAGTGATTTCAGGCGTTCAGCCGTTGATGAACTTTTAACACGACATGTTGACACCAGGTTCAACGAGCTTATGGAATTCTTTCGGGCAACTCTACTTGGTCCTGACTTGATCCCTACCCCGATGATAAACGACATGGTTCACCTTTCTCAGGAATGGCCAAAGTATCACCATATTGTCTTGCACACGGTCCATGAAGCCCTCGCCAGTGGAAACATGAGCACAAAAAACAAGAAAAAAGTCAACAAATATTTCAATACCCAGCACGGCAAGACGCCCGAAGAAAAGTTATCACGTTGAGCCCTTTCGCATCTCTTTCTCAATTTGCTTTTTTCTTTCTTGCGACACATCTCCTCTTCTGTTCGTTCATCCATCATGGCCCGCATTCTTTCTCGTTCAAACGGTTTTTGCATGCATATTCGCCAACTTTTCTAGAGTCCCAATCAACCCTACCTTGCTGCAACAAGGGTTGGCTTTTTCGGTTCTTATGAAGCCTCGGGGTTTTATTTTCTTTTTTTTCCCTGCTTTATCGTTTATTGCTTGCTTTGTCATGGGAGGTTTCCAAAACGTTCCGGCGTCTGGTCATGTTTTTTCTTTAACCTGGCAGTATCTCTCTTTCGAGGCCTGCCGCTACGGCGTGCCGGTCAACAAAAATTGTTTTTTATTTCCCTTGACATAGAGATTTGCACGTGTTTCATCTTCTAGGGGTGTGATTTTTCATTTATCGATCCAATGCATCCTCGACTCGTTGATTCGACATGGATCCTAATCAGTATCAACACGACAAACCCCCAGGAAGAAGCAACTCTCCGCGAGTTCTTTCCTAGGGCCACTGTCATCTTTTTCTTTCGCCATGCTATTTCACCGGTTCTTCTCACCGGAAACCGATCGTCCATTCAGCCCTACTACTGGTCGTGTTTCGACAAAAGGATCCCCGGCTTTGACAAAGAAATTGGCTCAGCCAATTCAATGGCGTCCTTTCCTACTTTTTGCAGCGTTCGCTGCGCAGCAGAATGTGTTCTTGATTACTTTGATCTTTGCATAAACAGGCTCAAGGTCTTTGTGGAGTACAACGATTGATATGCATATTATGAGCCAATTGACTCTTTATTATCATGGATTGGTCGGCAAGGGAATTGCATTGTAGTCAACAGCCTGTTGTTTGTATTTTATTAGCTGTAGAATTATAGGTGCGGATGGGTGTAGAGTGTACTCCGTATAGCTCGTAGCTTATAGGCGGCCTGACGCCTCAGGCGCCAAGGCCGTACGACCAAACGGAGCAGACATAATCAATTCCGAACTTGCCCAGTCTACTCCGCAGCTCCCTCCTCCAGCTCGGCTAAACATCAACTCGCGTGCCATCCGTTCTCATATCAATATGGAGGGTGTCTCTCGTCAAAGCTCAAAGCTTCTCAGGCCCCGTGGTCAGCTGCCCCAGCGCCTTCCGCGCACCGCGACATCCTTTGTCCAGCCCCAACGCCGAACGCTGTCATACTCTCCCCGAAACCTCGCCCCCGAATCAATTTTCTCCAACCTGAAAGCTGGTGGTCCCTACAATGAAGGTCCCACAAGCTATTTCTCCAACCGAACGACCCTCCCCGCAAATACCGTCGTGCGATTCGTGCCCCAGCAGACAGCATGGATCGTCGAGCGCATGGGTAAATTCGACCGCATCTTGGACCCCGGTCTGGCAATCCTGGTGCCCTTCTTAGATCGTATCGCATATGTGAAGAGCTTGAAGGAGGCCGCCATTGAGATCCCCAGCCAAACCGCCATCACTGCTGACAACGTCACCCTCGAGCTGGACGGTGTGTTATATACCCGCGTTTTTGACGCATACAAGGCAAGGTGAGTGTGCCCAGATCACCACTGTTAATGACTTCTACGCGTGGGAAGCAGTTTTGTCTAAAGAATTGAACCACTGACGTCTCGTTCATTGCAGCTACGGAGTTGAGGACGCAGAATACGCCATTTCGCAACTTGCACAAACGACCATGCGATCGGAGATCGGTCAGCTCACTCTTGACCACGTTCTGAAGGAACGCGCCAACCTTAACGTCAACATCACAAAGGCTATCAACGAGGCCGCCCAGGAATGGGGCGTTGTCTGTCTTCGCTACGAGATCCGAGATATCCACGCACCCGAGAAGGTCGTTGCTGCCATGCACCGCCAGGTCACTGCCGAGCGATCCAAGCGAGCTGAGATTCTCGAGTCAGAGGGTCAGCGCCAGAGCGCGATCAACATCGCTGAAGGTCGCAAGCAGTCTGTTATCCTGGCTTCCGAGGCTTTGCGCGCTGAGCAAATCAACCGCGCCTCCGGTGAAGCTGAAGCTATTCAACTCAAAGCCGAGGCTACTGCTCGCGGTATTGATGCTGTGGCTCGGTCTATTGAAGAAGGCGGCCAGAACGCCCACAATGCCGTTAGCCTTAGCGTCGCCGAGAAGTACGTCGCGGCTTGGTCGAACCTGGCTCGTGAGGGTACTGCCGTCGTTGTCCCTGGAAACGTGGGTGACATGGGTGGCATGATTGCCAATGCGATGGCTGTCTACGGCAAAGTCAGTGAGACACAGGCTCGCGGTCTAGCGAAGAAGGCTCTTGGAGCCGAGGCTTCTCAATCGCCTGAGGTCGCGCAACAATCGGTGGATGAGAACGCTTCTGTCCAGACAGAAACGCCCGACGTTGCGTCACAAACTGTGACTGAGGGATTTGATGCGGTTCGCGAACACAAAAAATAAGCTGTCTTGTCTACATCTCACCCAATTGAAACGAGCATGACGACTCCTCTCTTCCTGGCTAGTGCCACTTTTGTTATTTTGAAACCTTTCGACAACCCAATGCTCTACTCAGACTTTGTCTGACATGTGGGCTTGGTGCTCACCACTCTGTGCTGAGGATTTCAACTATGTCTTATCTCTAAATCGCCCTCCTCTCTTAGCATTCCCTTGTTCTCCTTTCCTTGCTTTCGAATCCTCAGTCCCTTTTCCTTCCATCACCTCCCTGGCATTGTTCGGAATTGTTTTCAACCCACATGAGCCCCTCTATGTATGTGCTTTTGAAACCAGCCACCAGGCATCTTGTATGTGTACATAAAGGAATTTTTATCAGCCAGAGAGTTTACGGAGGAAGGGGACTGCTCAATGTACAAGTATCAGTATGACCATTGCTCTACTTTGCCTGTGAGCCAGTACTCACCAGATCCTCAGCCCATTATCCATGACGAGCCCGGATACTCGCACAATAGAGATGACATGTCTTATTTGATTGCTTGACTCTAGTGGTTGAACGAAGGTGACCAGTCATACGGCCAGTCTTCATTGGTAGTCTCAAGAGCAATTGACGTTGAGATGTCTGCTACTCGCGTTGTCAGTGGGAACCTCCGCAGGAATTTCAGCCACATTATAGAGGGATCAAATTCCGTTTCCTGAGGATGACTTTGACATTGATCCTGCGGGGTATTGATCTAGATCTTGAACAAAGAAGCCGCTAAACTGACTATACAACAAAGTACGAAGGAAGATGAGTTGATCGGTCAACCATTGCTTCCAAACCATGCGGCTTAACAATAGCCTACCTTTGTACTCCGTACTCCGTTAAGCATCATGTTCTAGAAGCAATGATTTACACTGACTCCTCAATGCTTCATGCAATTGAATTCAATTCTAGATCTTACCATCACATCACAGCACAGAACCGCTTAGTTTATACTCCGCACTCCATATCATGCGGAGTGCATCCATGGACTAGTCCATAGAGATATTGAGCACCCATATCTGATAGCCCGCGGTCTTCCGGGTGGTCCAATTGATCAACAGTCGATACATCACATACTCGTGTTGTACTCCGTATCCATGGATACACTAGACATATCAAGTCCAAACACAGCGCCATCTCTGAAAATGGTATGGTCTTTCCGGAGTATCACCGTCCTTGTGTATCAACAAGCACTTAAACGTCATTGTATCCAAATCTAGCAGTGGTAACCGTGGATCCCTCCATCCCGCTTCTCCCCTCCCTCGGTTTTTTTGCTCCTGTAACAATTTTCAGAGATATCATCGTTTAATTTGAAGCTCAACATTCCTTCCGGAAACTACACTACTAACAGCTCTGGCACCAACAGCCAGGTATGTTCCCGTGTCTCCCCTCCACTCCACGAGACGTGCCCCTGATGCCAGGTGCATGTTACCAAGATCATACACATTGTTGAATAGCTCAGCATACACTCCATCACCGTGCTAGTAATTGATGTTAGAGTAACCACTACTGCTCCCGCGACTACGGCTCCAGTGCCTCAAACTCCAACAGCTACCACTACTCCAACACGTAAGGCCTCGAGGCAACACAGCAAGCGAAGAACGTGTGCTAACTACCTCTTATAGAAACGGCTCCTACTACTACTCGAACCCGAATGGCAGCACTTACTACGACAGTGGGTCTGGAAGCTCTAACTACACTTCTCCTTCCGGGGGATCGGGAAAGAAATAAGTGGTGTGCCCTGCGGCTCGCTTGTTAGCACTCCGACTTGGCACATTGAGTTATGTGGTCAGCTAACAATATGAATTCCAAGTTTTCTTCTTGATTTGATTAAGCGTAGTATAGTGGAACAGTAGAATCTAAGACCACCTGGGCAGTGGAGGGTGGGTGGGTTCAATTCCGCGAATACTACCTGCCCGTGGACGCTTCTTCGGCACTCAGCGCTGAAGTATAAGAGTTGATCGTGGAAAGTCGATTAAATTCAAATGTTAAGCCTTAGAGCCGGTTGGAAAGGTGGATAACTGCAAACTTCCTACCTCCAAACTCCCTACGGCCGTGGACCTGGTCAAACGGTGGCTACAACCTGTAGATGTATATACCACCCATTTGAACATCGAAATGCCAACTTAAGCCATGTTTTGGAGCCTACGATGAGTAGATTGAAAATCTCCAGAGTTTTTCTGTATTTTGATAGATACTAGCAAAAATGAAGTTCTCTTGCCAAATTGTACTACCCAAGTATGAATGTTCGAGGTCAACACTCCGTCCTCACCAGGGAAGTCGTTGCGGGTGACCAAACTATGATCACTCAATAGGCAATTAACTGTGGAGAATATATTCTAGTATAGTTGTGATAATTACAAAACACAAAGCAATAGTTGATTTCAAGCACTAGACAACCTCCCAAGTGAGTAGATAGCCAGTAGCCCTAGAGGCATCGTTGTGTACCAAAGTGATCTCCTATCAACGCGGGAGCTCGGACCAAGCAAATCCGGAGATCGCGACTGATGCATCGCGCCCTTTTTTATTTCCCCGACAACTCTCGCTACTGCCTTGTGCTCCTGCGACACCCCAGGTCATGTTCGATACCCTTTAAACCCCACCGTCGAATCGCAAACGCCAAGTTACTACACTCCACCGTGCCGCACTACCCAACTCGAGGCCATCCAGGGCTCCTGATCACAGAATTGCGCGGACTGCGCTAGGCCTGGCGCCATGCATATTATCAAGCCCGTCTGGCTCACTCACGGAGGTATAGAATCTCGTCCACATTGGTTTGCCTTTCGCTACATGGGAGGGCCTCGCTAGGACCCTGGGGTTTGGGACACTGAGACACCCCCAGTAAACATCTTAGGTTGGACTTAGCTAACTCTACGGGTTTCGCACAGGTGAACGCAAAGACTTCGAAGTCTATAGCTGCGACGTATCCCCGGACGGAAAGCGACTTGTGACAGCTGCTGGAGGTGAGCATCGTTCTTTCTGCTGTGGGCTGTAGGGCACCTCGGTGTGCGCCTAAAAGCCTGATAATGGATATTCTGACTGGAAAAAGATGGATACGTTCGAATTTGGTCAACGGAGGCCATTTATGGCACCGGAACTGCCGAACTCGCTGGCAAGCCGAAACAACTGGCATCCATGAGCAACCACTCCGGCACGATCCACACCGTACGATTTTCACCAAACGGAAAATATCTGGCGTCAGGCGCAGATGACAAGATTGTTTGCGTTTACATGCTCGATTCCAATCCTCCCACACACTCGACGTTCGGTAAGCTTCAGACATATTGGGCGGACAAGGAATTGGACACTGACATATGTTGATAATTATAGGCTCGGACGAAGCACCACCCGTTGAGAACTGGCGCACGATTCGCCGCTTGATCGGTCACGATAATGATGTTCAGGATCTTGGATGGTCATATGACTCTTCCATCTTGGTGTCCGTCGGACTGGACTCTAAGATCGTGGTTTGGTCTGGTCACTCGTTTGAAAAGCTGAAAAGTATCTCAATTCACCAGAGTCACGTAAAAGGCATCACGTTCGACCCGGCGAACAAATTCTTCGCAACCGCTAGCGATGATCGGACTGTCCGCATCTTCCAATTTACCTCTCCCGCTCCCAACTCCTCCGCGCACGACCAGATGAACAACTTTGTCCTCGAGCAGACTATCACAGCACCATTCGCCAATTCTCCTCTGACTGCCTACTTCCGCCGCTGCTCATGGTCGCCCGATGGAATGCATATCGCTGCGGCGAATGCCGTCAACGGTCCCGTCAGCTCTGTCGCCATCATCAACCGCGGCTCTTGGGACGGTGATATTAACTTAATCGGCCACGAAGCTCCGGTAGAAGTCTGCGCGTTCTCTCCGCGACTATACTCAATGGATGCGCCTGGCAAAAAGCAAGCCGATGGCCAGCCAGTACCACCAAACCACATCACTGTCATTGCCTGTGCCGGTGGTGATAAGTCTCTCAGCATCTGGATCACAAGTAACGCTCGACCCATCGTCGTTGCCCAGGAGATGGCAGCCAAGGCAATCTCTGATCTGGCATGGACCCCCGATGGAAAGTGTCTATTTGCTACAGCTCTAGATGGCACCATTGTGGCTGTGAGATTTGAGGACGGTGAGCTTGGATGGGCCACAGAAATGGAAGAGAACGAGAAGTCGCTCAACAAGTTCGGTACCAACAGAAGAGGCGCCGGCATCACAGAGAATACCGATAGTTTACTATTGGAGGAGAAGAGCAAGGCAGGTGAAATCAAGCATGTTGAAGGAAGGATGGGTGCATTGATGGGCGATGGCGCTGAGCCTACTGCGAATGGAGAAAAGCCTTCTCGCCCTTCGAATGGGAACACGCCTGCTCGTGCTTCGTCGCCTCCTTCCGAGACCCCCAAAACCCAGCCCAATGGGTCCGCCTCAACATCAACCGGCGCGGAAGCCGAGAAACCGGATCCTTACCAAGCCAAGTTGGAAAGACTCAAACAACGCCCGACATACACCAAGGAAGGAAAGAAGCGAATTGCCCCATTGTTGGTTTCTGGTGCTGGTGCTGGCGAGTCATCTCTGCCCCAAGCTCGTCTAATGGCCTCCGTCAGCAATCAAGTCAAAGCCGACGCCCCAAGTACGATTGTTGACTTGTCAAAACCCTTCGATGGTTTACCAAAGGGTGGCCTGACGACTTTGCTACTTGGAAATAAGCGAAAGCTAGCTCAAATCGAGGGCGACGAAGACAACAGCGTGGAAAAACGTGTTGCCTCTGCAAGCCAAAATAACGCAACCCCCATTATGGCCAACACCATTGAAGGCCTTCTGCCCGCTCAAGTGCAGCCTGCGACAACCGGTCAACAGCCAACTCCAGAGTTCATCCGACCTGCCGTCATCAACCCCTGCATGTCAGTCAGCCAGCTTCGTTTGGCAGTCCCTAAAATTCGAAGCCAGATTCTTCGCGCCCTTGATTCAAGTGGAAAGCCCACGGAGCCACCAGCTCCTGGTGCAGACCCAAGCACTACCAAGGGTCGCGTAGATGTGGTCTTCGAAGCTCGGAACCCATCGGCGGCAAGCCTGACCGGCCGCGCCGTGGACCGTGAGCCGGTGCGTCTCACGCTGTTCCGTGGAGACCAGCCATTATGGCAAGACTTCTTACCAAAGTCCGTCCTTCTTGTGACGGGAAATCAGACCATGTGGGCGGCTGGCTGTGAAGATGGATCTATCTATTTATGGACACCGGCAGGTCGTCGCTTGGTTTCTGGGCTTGTTCTTGAAGCACAGCCTGTCATTTTGGAGTGCAATGGACCTTGGATTCTGTGCATTTCTTCGGTAGGTATGTGCTACGTTTGGAACGTGAAACACCTATCCTCTCCCCATCCACCTGTCTCCCTTCAACCAGTGCTGGATGCTGCAATTCACACACCTGGTGCAAACCCCACCGCTGCTCCTGCGGTCACGGATGCCAGAATCAATTCCGAAGGCCGAGTCGTGGTGTCTCTATCCAATGGAGAAGGTTACTCTTACTCTCCCTCCATGTTCACATGGCAGCGGATCTCTGAGGCCTGGTGGGCGGTTGGTAGTCAGTACTGGAATACGACCGACGCACCAGTTAGCAATTTGCAGGCCAAGGACGCGCAGCCAGACAACAAGGATGCAAAGGCAGCCGTCGCAGCTGGTATCATCCCTTGGCTGGAGCGCAACACTACCAACGAGACTCTCCTTCGTGGAAGAGCCTACTTCCTTCAGCGTCTCATCAAGGTGCTACTCTCCCGTGAAGGCTACGAGACCTTTGAATCCAGCGTGTCAATCGCCCATCTTGAGAACCGCCTTGCTGCTTCTTTGTCTCTAGGCGCCAAGGAGGAGTTCCGACTGTACTTGTCAATGTATGCCAAACGCATTGGCGCCGAAGGACTGAAGCTGAAGGTCGAGGAGCTGCTCAAGGGGCTGATGGGTGGTCTATTCGACGACGAAGATGATGCTAGCGAGGGCGTCAAAAGATTACAGGCCAATGAACGCGATGGCCGTAACTGGCGCGAAGGATCCGACAATATTTGTGGCTGGCCGCGAGAAGTCCTTTTGAAGGAAGTCATCCTTGCTCTTGGTATGTTTTTAATCTGCTTCCCTCTTCTTTCTTTGCTAATGTTTCACTAGGTAAACACCGTGATCTTCAACGAGTGACGGTGCCTTATGCCAAGCTTCTTGATATGGTTGACACGGCGTCTGATCAAGGTGACGCGATGGACCTTTAATGACCTCCCTCTTTCTTTTACCTATACCTTTTTATTTGTTTGATGTCCACCGGCGTTCACCGGCTCGGGGTGGTTTTGACCTCACAAAAGGGGCTTGCGATGTTTATCTCTGAGGCGTTGGAAATCACACCCTTCCCTTCATGCTGTGTATTTATAGATTATTCTATTTGCTGGCCTTTTGCTCAATTGAGATGAGAGAGAACTGCAAAGACAGGTATAAGAGTAGAGAAGCTCTCCACCTCTACAGGGCTGTAGCGAGAGCTATAAATAATGTTACCTAAGAAAATAAGATGACGTCGTCCAGGGCTTCAGCCTCACGTGGGCGGTCACTTCTCTGCAGGCAGAAAATTCGATGACATCTGGCGCGAACTTCAACAACTTTGCTCTCAATCTGCAAAACACGCGCTCATTTACTCCTTTTTTTGTCCATTGATTGTGCCCACTGCATTCGTGGGCAGCCGCCATTACGTCTTCCTCCCCAACCCTCTTCTTTCGTATCGTCGATCGATCCGCAGCTGGTTCTGCATTTGGCGCGCTCCAACCTTTCCGCTTCCGCCTTCAAACATCCCCCCCACCTCCCACCTCTCTTCTGTCGCTTCTACTCTAGCAAGAAGAAAAAATCCAATAAAATGCCTCCCAAGAAGCAGCAAGTCCAAGAAAAGGTTCACCTGGGTCGTCCAGGAAACAACCTGAAGAGCGGTATCGTATGTGAGCGAGGCCCCCACCCTTTTTTTTTTTTTTTTTGCACACAGCACAGTCCACTTTTTAATTCCACAGAAAAACTATTTAAGCCCCCTTGCCCCCTTTCCTCCCGACTTTTTTTCTTCTTCTCTTCCCATCCATTCTAACAATGGCGTGATTCTAGGTTGGTCTTGCCAACGTCGGCAAGTCGACTCTCTTCCAATCTATCACCAAGTCCTCCTTGGGTAACCCGGCCAACTTCCCCTATGCCACCATCGACCCCGAGGAGGCCCGTGTCATCGTTCCCGATGACCGGTTCGACTGGCTTTGCGACCACTACAAGCCCAAGTCTAAGGTTCCCGCCAACTTGACTGTGTACGATATTGCCGGTCTGACTCGCGGTGCCTCCACTGGTGCTGGTCTCGGTAACTCTTTCTTGTCCCACATTCGCGCCGTCGATGCCATCTTCCAGGTGGTTCGCTGCTTCGACGATGCTGAGATTATTCACGTCGAGGGTGATGTCAACCCCACCCGTGACTTGGATATCATCAGTGAGGAGCTGCGCATCAAGGATATCGAGTTCGTCGAGAAGGCTCTCGATGCCCTCAAGAAGCAGACCCGCCGTGGCGGTCAGTCCCTTGAGATGAAGAAGATGAAGGAAGAGGAGGCCACCACCGCCGAGATTCTGGAGTACCTGAAGTCCGGCAAGGACGTCCGTTCCCGTGAATGGAGCCCCAAGGAGGTATGTTTTAACCCTGAAAAATTTTTTCCTCACTCCCCTTTTGCCCACCACCACCTCCTACCCTGATGAATAAGAGCACTGCTCGAAATTTAACCCAGCTCTTCGAGTGCCCTCATATATAAACTCACGAAGAGGGCACCTTGAGAAAAACAGTTATAATCTGAAATTTGGAGTCACTTCATTATCATGTCACTCAATACTTCTTTTGAGACATTTTGCTAACCAATTTGGTTATAGGTCGAGGTTATCAACCCCCTGTTCCTCCTCACTGCCAAGCCTGTTGTGTACCTTGTCAACCTGAGCGAGAGAGATTACATCCGCCAGAAGAACAAGTACCTCCCCCAGGTCTTCGAGTGGATCAAGGAGCACTCCACCGGCTCTCCCATTCTTCCCGTCTCTGCTCAGTTCGAGGAGCGTCTCACTCTTATGGGTGACGAAGCTGAGGCTCTCGAGGAATGTAAGAAGCTGGGCACCAAGTCTGGTCTTCCCAAGATCATCACCACCATGCGTACGGCCCTGAACCTGGCCTCCTTCTTCACCACCGGTGAGGATGAGGTTCGCCAGTGGACTATCCGCAAGGGTATCAAGGCGCCCGCCGCTGCCGGTGTCATTCACACCGACTTCGAGAAGACTTTCATTCAGGCCATCGCATACAACTACAGTGTGCTGCGTGAGCTCGGTGATGAAGGCGCCGTGAAGGCTGCCGGAAAGATTATGACCAAGGGTAAGGAATATCTCGTCGAGGACGGTGATATCCTGCTCATCAAGGCCGGTGCTGCTAAGCACTAAGTGCAAATATGTTGTAGACAATAGTTTGAATGATACACTAGTCTTGACAAGTCTATTTGATTTCCTTTGTAATCGTTTCGTTCGTACCTAGGTAACCTTCGAATACTTTCATCTCGGGCTATCACTGAGACAAGGTTGTACGGAATGATGCTGCTGTCATCCACCTGGGCATGGATCGTCTTGACCTGGTTGCACACTGCAGGATCTCCGCGGCTGTGATGCTATGCGAGTAACTAGCTTTCTTTACTCTGTACCTAGGTATTGCTTTGTGTATCTTGTCTCCCGTAATTTTATACAATGTCCATGCTGTGCATCATGCACTGAAAAAAATCCACAGGGATCTACTCCTCACGTGACTAGTCCCCGCGCATCCCACCTGCGTATCAAGAGCTTCATTGACGTAGCATCACAGACTCAAACAGCACCATGTTCAAAAAAGAGTAAGCTCACAGCTCCAGAAATTCATTGCTCTGAGATGGACTCCCATTTCAATCCCACCCAAGCCTTCTGTATGTCAGATGGGCCCGTAGCTTCTGCGGGGCATTACCAGGACCGCTAGAGCTACTGAACACTGCAGAAACAAGCTTACGAGCTGATAATTGGGGATCAACGCTTGACAGACCTTTCCGGAATTTTTGCTAACCTTTGACTGCCAGTATTCCCCCAAGCAACCGGTCGAAGGTCAAGTCCTCCGTGCAGCGCGGTCTGCGCCAGAAGCTCCTGGAGACATACCCGGGCTTTGAGCCTTTCATTGAGGATGTTATGCCTAAGAAGGCTTCCCTGGAAGCTGTGAAACTGTAAAGATCCCCTTTGTCCTCCACAGTCTCACCATTCCCGGCGACGTCATTCCCCTTCGCCATACACCCTTTGTGCATTTCCACAGACCAAAAGCTCATACTACCTCCTATAGCCCCGAACGTGTCACACTATACACAATATACTCCACCCCTCTCTTTTTCCAGCCCATCGACGGACCCCCAGTTCCCCACCTCCGCCTGGTCCACGCCTACCCCTCCGCCATCCCAACAATTCAGATTGACCGCGGTGCCATTCGCTTTGTGCTATCTGGCGCAACACTCATGGCCCCCGGTCTTACCTCCCCGGAGGCCGCTTGCCCGATGCTGAGAACGCTCTTGAAGCTGGTCAGATTGTCGGTGTCAAGGCCGAGGGCAAGGAAGAGATTTGCCTTATCGGTATGCTGAAGGTTGGCACCGAGGAGATCAAGAGCAAAGGAAAGGGCGTTGTCATGGATGAAGGTCATTACCTGGGTGATGGTCTATGGAGAATGCATTTGGATTAAGCGGAATCAAAAGAAGCATTGAGGTGACTCGGCTTCAGTGAGGCCTTGGGATGCTATTGGCCGACACAATATACGTCCATACACGTTGAATGAAATAAAATACCATGATACCCGGACCTACGCTGAGATTCAATTAAAGAGGATTATCTTGTTAGGTGATTATTTCAGTGAACGACGGCCCCTGGGCTTTATGCTGGGCTTTCTAGGGCTGGCTACCTACTTGCTCTAGGATCCTGAAACAAAGCCGACGTTGAGACTGATAGAAAGACAAGACACCCAGTAGCATTGTCTTTCATCTTTGATAGAGGCACAAAGGATCTGGATAGGGAGGTAGCTACAAATAGATTGAACTCTATAAGAGCAGCCATGCTTTTCATTCAGCGACAACCTTGGAACCCTCTGATGAAAATGAACCTTTTGTTGTTCATTAATATGTAGTGCCACAGCTTGTTTGGAATTTCTACGCGGACAAAGCTAGAGTAAACATAGCTCAATCAAGCCCATAAAGACTCACAACGGCATTGTTTGCATAGAAAACCTTGGCTATGTATGGCTTAGTAGTTAAGAATACACTCAGGCCTCGAAAGAAAGGTCAATTGACCTTTAAATGCCCCTCAAGCCCTCGATCGAATCTTCGATTTTCCATCAACATCTGACTCTTGTCTCTCATAGACCCCCCCAAAAAAGCCAAAACAACCCCAAGCATCACAAAGTCCAAATATGACCGCAGCCATGTCTGTATTCCGAACGATTTTCCACTGCGAGGGAGTCCCTATTCTAGAAGAGAACCCCTCAGCCAAGCAATGGATAGCATTGCCTATCACAAAGTACGAAGTCGGATGGTATTCCGACGAAGAGCTAATGAACTTGGTGATTGAGAGTCTCCATTTTGGTCATTATGGTATTGAACCCCTAGAAGAGAAAAAACTGCCACAATGGGTGTATTTTCCAATTCCAGACAGCGCACTCGACCGCGTGCAGGGCGTTCATGAAGCCATCACTCTGGCCGAATTCTATAGAGAGGACATCATTGATGGCAAGATTGCTATTGATCGCGAGTACCTTACTAGAGCGGAATAAACAAGCCGAATTCGATATCTCTGGCTCTTAGGTATGAAATTGTGATCTCGATATCTTCCAGGTTGGTATACCTGGATGGATTGTCAGATTGGACTAGGATATGTCAACTACATGTCAACTTTGTCCAAGAAGCCCTCTAGGGCTGAAGATAGTTTTGTTTATAGGTAGAAATCTTGGAAGTGCTGCTACTTATTTGCTCATGTATTGAATGTTCATCTCAAGATCTAAATGTCTATAAAACACTTTCCGAATATGATATTGTTCTTCGATGTTGGTACGTAGTTTTTATTGATCACAAGCTCTCATAGTCCCGAAGTAGAACAGCCTTGAGAGATATGCCTACCTGCATATGTTGTACATCACCTTTTGCTTTGGCGGCTCACTATGATATCCTCATTGGAATTACTTGCTCCCATAGACGCTCATTATGATCTTGGGGTGTCTGCTCATCTACTGGGCTGACCTATGTGTCTCCAGCACACTGCCTCCGAGGGCTCTGAATGCTTCAACATCTACTTGATCTGGTCAACTATCCATCTCGTCACCCGAGTCAACCAAAACTCAAAGTTGTGTATCTCCCAGGGTTGTAAAACAGCGTTCTGCGTGCGAGTGGAGAGATGGTGAAATGTCAGGTCCTCATACCAGCGGCATAGAACACTGGGAGTCCCTGGCTGCCTTTCTTTTCGTTTCTTCCTCCTCCTTCTCTCTCTTTCATCTTTCAAAAAACCATTCTTCGGATTCTATAGTGGATTCAACACTTTTCCATTGCATCTCTTTGCGGGTACGGTGGATTCTCTATCATTTGATTTATCCTTCTGTCTGATGCGAAAACCTCCACCACCCAACGCATATTCGAACAATAATGGAACAGCCAGAGATATTCCGGATGCGGGAAAAGTCCCAACCTCCTTTAAGAGGCGTTGGTACCCTCTGTACACGTGGAGGAAACGTTTCTGACAAATCGGAAATACACAGGACGAAGAGGGTCATATTGGGCATGATGCATTCGGAAAATACACCATCTACAGAAGTGAATTTGTAGATAAGGTAGGTAACTGCTACAGCAAATGAGTGTCACGAAGCTCAAACTTTTGACTAGGGTGACTGGCGATGTGTTCATGTGTACGGTGACAAACCAAACCAACGGTCTGCACGCCACTACATCAACAAGTCAATGTTTCGAAGACTCTCACAAGCTATACTCGTACTGACTCGGAAGTACAGATCGGGCTGGTATTACTCCTCAAACCCCGACGGAAGCGCGGAAAAATTGCATCCCAAGACAAGAGAAGCCAAATATCGCTTCCCAGATGCGCGTTGGGACGATTGGCGTGACGACAGTGAGACGATCGACTGGGACTCTTTAGCAGAGAAACCAGATCCTTGCGTCGCGGCATGTACTCGCCTGAGCCCTGAATTTTGGCAAGGGATGGAAATGCGGGGGAAACCAACAAGGCCCAGCATCAATATAAGATGACAAGAATCCAAAAGGCAAAAGGTAAGTTCGGGATAAGAAAGCTTCTGGAAAGAAGTTTCTGTTGACACCAAGAAGCCGCGAGAGAGATGAGATATCGCCAATGGCTTGGTCGGCATTCACCGGCATCCGTGTCACCAGCTCTTGTGGAAACATCACACCAGACATATCCCGGTGCCCACGAAGCAGACTCCAAGAGTGAGGTCAAACAAGACACAAGGAAGAGACTCAGAGTCGAAGAGACACCCGAAGAAGCGAATGAACCGAGCACCAAGGCAACGAAACACAAGGATACTAACAGCAGCGCAGGCGAAGAGACAAGTTGAGGAGATGGGAGGCTTTGATCAAGGATGTGAAGGGCGTGGGCTCCCAAGGTTCCCAACAGATGGAAACAAACGCTACATAAGATGCTGATGAATCGCCGCGCCTTTCAATCCGAGATTGGAGGACCCCAGAGCTAACAGATTTGGAGCCTTGACCATGTTTTATGCAACGTAATCCGTGTATGCACTGCAGGCTTAGTATTCCAGGGCATCTACCTAGGTATCCCGCGAACAGAAATGACGTAGCATTTGTTTTTCTTCAAAGGGCAATTGAAATCTAATGGCGGACTACGATTGGCCCGTGAACTGGAAAAAGCTATTCAAAATGCAAAGTTGCGTATTACAAAATATCGTGACATCAAAAAAAAGCATAGCTCATGCATGCATCGTCCGGCTACCTAGTGTACATCCATAGATGAAGCCCCGAAAGACCTGCTAATCAGCCACAGCCATATGTATCAATTACCATTCCTCCATGAGATCAAATATCTCCAATTCTCAAGTCCAACCTGTCCAAACCTAGTGATATCATGCCGGCATTGCGCGACGATTCAACACTTAGTTGCGATTTACAGGTTAAGAGCGAGAGCACCGGCGATGGCACCAACGAAGGCGATGGGCTGAGCAATGAGAGACATAGCAGCACCGGTGGAGGGAGTGGGGGAAGCGGAAGCGGAGCCGCTAGCAGTGCCGGAAGCAGAGGCGCTGGTAGCGAGACCAGTCTGGGTGAAGGTACCGGTGGTGGTGCCGGTAGCGGTGCCGGCGGTGCCGGTCAGAGTGGCGACGCTGGTGACTGTGGAAGATGTATTAGTACTATGCTTGCTGGTGGATGTGCTTGTAGAATTTCCAGTGCGGGTTCCAGTATGGGTTCCAGAAAGGGATCCGGTGGGGATACGAAGGGAAGAAGTACCGGTAGTGGAAGCCTCGGTGGAAGAACCAGTGGTGGAGGAACCAGCAGTGGAAGATCCAGTAGAGACACCAGAGGTAGAAGCAGCAGAAGAAGAAGAAACAGTGGACGATGTACCAGTAGAAGTAGCGGAAGAGGAGCTCTCAGCAGCCTCGGTCACGTTGAATTGCTGGGACTGGGCGAGGATGCCAGTGTTCTTCTCAGAGGTGGAGAGCAGGTTGACCTGGAAGCCGGAACTATACGCATGTCAGTTTGATGCGCATGGGGCAAGCGCGTGTTGTGGACTTACCCCTTGGCGATATCCTTGAGACCGGAGGCAGTGTAGGAGCCCTTGGAGGTGTCGATGTCGGAGGCAATCTTCTCCTCAACGGAGGGGTAGATGGCGTTGTTGACAAGGACGATGTCGACAGTGGAGGCATCGGTGCTGTCCGGGGTTAGTATTGGTGGAATTGCATGCGCGCTTCTAGTAAACATACTCGACGCTGTCCCACTTCACAGTGAACGACTTGGAGACATCAACCTCCTCACCCTTGGTGGGTTCGGTGACCTTGAGGGCTGGTGGTAGAGTTAGATCGTGTTTCCTCTTGCGGAACCAATCAACATACCGGCAACGGAGAGAGCCAGAGGCAGAGCGAGAGCGAGAGAGAAACGCATCTTGTCGATAAACGAGAGTGGATTGATTAGAAGTTTAAAGGTTGAAACTTTTGAGAAAGCGAATGTATGAAGAGGAGTGAAATAAAGAGAAGGTGGAAGGTTAAGCCAACGTCCAAATATAAGTAAATCCCGTTTGATATCAAACCCAGCAGTAATGTCTCCCACAAAAAAAAAAAACACCGAGGCAAAAATACAGATGAAAATAGAACTGACACCAAGTTCCCAGTTTTAGAGCCTCTAATAATATCTAAATCATTTTTTTTTGTTAGCCCACTACGTCCGGAGTACGGCATTCAGGGTCTGCGTTGGGGGAGGGTTCCATTCTGGAGAGCTGATCATCGTGGTTCGACCTGGAGCTAGTTTCAGGGCCCGAGTCCCGCATTGGAGACATTCCATAATTCCATAACCGTATAAGTCGAAATAAGTTGAAATTAGATACCAGGACCGCATTACCCGGGCAGTCATTACACGAGATGTGGCTATAGGGCCGATAAAGAAGACACTAAGATGTCTTGGCAAGCCACTAGTCGCTCCTTGGCACCAACGGAACCTCGCGCCACGTTTTATTACTCCGTTGGTCGTGTTTTCCCCTTGCACCTCTTTGTAAGCAGGTATTTTTCAAATTTGCAAATTCAGACTGTAACTTACCTCTTTTACCCGGAACCGTATTGGACCCTGATCTGCTTGTAATTTGTAATGCAAATCTATACGAGGCCTATCTATTCAAGCCACGTAGATAAGCTCGTGGTAACATAATGTTCTCCTTTTTCACTGCATACAATGAGGCAACAATATGCAGCACACAAGTATGTCTTGAGCCTGCATTAACACATTATTACACACCGTATGGTGTGCTCGTTAAGATGGAGGAATCAAAATTTTCTGTCTCATACCAATCCCAAAATGGCATTGTACGAGATGTTTCAAGACCCACTCGCGTACAGGTCAAATTCTGATTGAGACATTTCATGTTGTATACGCTAACATAAGTAAAATTAGTGTCTCACCGAGAATCAACCGACAATTTTTAGCCCAGAATGATGCGATTTGCCTTGATGCGCCACGGAAATACTACCCATAATCCATGTCTGCCCGACGTCTTTGTGTACAATTTATTGAATACGAGAAGGACATATGCACCAAGAGTTATGTTTTCCCAATTAGTATGTACCTGGCTATACTTTCCACATGTTCAAATGTGTATCTTGCGCCCCAAAACTCAACCATTAAGTCTTGTAAATATTAACGTCGCTGATAAAATGTTAGCCTCATCCAGACACCCCATAGAGATACACCAAGCAAAGAATTGTACTTACAAATCCCTTATAATCGAATCCCGGTTCGCAGCAGCGGACTCAACCCAGACGCTAGCACTCATCGCATTCACTGCGAACCTCCCGTATCCCTTTCTGTTGATAACAACAGGCTTCATATCCGGATGCAATAGATCGATCCACTCCTCGTAAGCGTGGCGTTCACCTACATACATCCTTTGCACAGCCGAACCAGAATTACTGATAACACAGGCCAAACCAGACAAGTGACGGGCGTTTCCGTAACGAACGAATCCTATTTGGGGCTGTCAGCTCTGCCAAGACCCGGTACTTCGCACGGGGGGGGCTCTGATATCCACTGGATGCATTTTCCATCGAAGTAAGGGACGTGGGACTGACCTATGCAGTTTGGTTGGTCGAAGTAATCTTGCTCTTCACCGTTCGCGTAGAGTTTGCGAGCTTGCATTAGGATGGGTAGGAGTCCGTCGCAACTCGGTGTCATTGGGTTCTCCACATTGGCTCGTATTCCATACAGGTCCCCGTAGAACACGCATGGGTGGCCCCCTTTGCGGAGGAGGATCAGGGCGTATGCGAGCAGCTTGAAAGATGGGGCAACCGGGGTCTGTGGTTTTTGATTAATCTGCAGTTCTTGGAATTGGATGTGGATCTGGGCGTTCGACTTACTTCGAGCATTTGTCCTGCTTGCTGTGGCTGGGTTAGATTGTTGCATCATAGTATTGGCTGGGCTTCTGTCAGCTTACCGTATCGTGGTTCGACACAATTGTCTGGGGAAAGTTAGTGTTGGTATCGCTGACTGGGTTTGAGAAAGGTAACTTACCACAGCGTGGTCCGGCCGGCAGTCGACCAATGTATCTTTCAAGACGCGACGGAGGTCTGATCCCTTCGCGTGCGATATCTTGGAAAAGTTCTCGACCAGGGGGACATCGTATGCAGTGAGGTTATATTCCACCTTCTCAAGATATCCGAGCAGAGACGGCAGGTGTCCAGTCCAGTATTCTCCAATAGCAAAGAAGTCCGGATTGGCTGTTTTTCTGACATGCTGCACGAAAGCCATCTGAAACTCGGTGGAGAAGTGTTTGGCGGCATCAAGTCGCATGCCATTGAGGCTCAATGACTTCGTGACCCAAGTTCCCCATTGCAGAAGATCAGCGCGGACTTCCGGGTGTGTCAGGTCCAGATCGGCGAACATCAGATAATCATAGTTCCCGTTCTCTGTGGATACATCTTGTGCCCAATCTTTGTTTGGTGCCACGATCTTGTAGATTGCGTTTTCCTTGCTCTTGTCATCCCAGTCGATTCCGCTGAAATGCTGCCAGTGATACTTCATCGAGCTGTACTTGTCACCACGCCCAGAATATTCAAAGCCTGTCCAGCCACTGACTTCGACTGGCTTGGATATTTCCAAATCTCTCCCTGTCAGGGTGGTCAGCGAAAATCGTTCTCCTCAATGGCAAGTTTCTCGCGGTCAAAAAAATAAGGGGCGGGCTGAATCTCACTCTTGGGATCGACTTTGACAGCCTTAAAGGGCTCTGGATAATCTGCACCGGCTTTGTGATTCAACACTGCGTCCCAAATCACACAAATCTCCAAAATCTCTGCTTGAAGCACCAGATCTTCAAGTTCCTGCTTGGTGCCCCATTTGGTAGGGACCGCCCCCTTTTGATCAAATTCACCCAAATCGTACAAATCATAAATATCATAGCCATTGCCATGAGCATCCATGCCTTTGCACCCGGGCGGGATCCAAATTTGATCAACACCAAGGGCTTTGTAGCCAGGTAGCGCATCTCGTAGCCGGCGCCAATGCGACCGGTCGGCAGGGACATGCCATTCAAAAGTTTGAAAGATGAGCGAGTTATCAGGTGCATTCCATGATGGCTGTCGCTCTATGTTCGCCGCTTTTTCTGTACGGGGGGTTAAAAATTTCAATCGCGACGCGTTGGGTTCATTGACGGACCTTCGATCTGTTGCCTCCTGAGGGCTTTCTGACTGGATCCACAACACCAGAATACCATTGCGAGATGTTGCTATGTTGCTATCCCCAGAAACCCCGAATATACTTAGAATATATGCGCAAAACGTGCGGATCCCGGAAATGTAAGAAAGTCTCACTTAGGAGTGGGGGCCTGACCTATTTTCGGGAATGCAAAGACCCGCCTGTACCTGGTGATTTCTCGGCCCAATTATTGTTTCTAGAAAAACTCTTCATTTCCAAGTGGAGTTTTCCTACCAAACTCCACTAAATCTCGCTGTAGAATTCTTGAGCTCTTGAATATTAAGAAAAAAAAGGACTTCGAGCCATAGTAGATGCAATGCCGTATCACCCTCAAAAACAGAAAAAAAGAAACCAAAATAAGTATGCTACAAGAAGGGATATATGTGCGAGAGAAGCCGAGCGGTCAACACGTCTCGTAAAAGAAACAAAAAAGAAACAAAAAAGAAACAAAAAAGAAACACACAATGCAAAAGGAGATGTGGCGTTGCTAGGCACGTCATAGGATCATCACATAGCTCATTACAGCAGCCAAGAAAGAGATCAGAGCGGCACTCCCCAGGTTTTTGGTGCCGACCGATGAGTAGGAATTTATGTCCTTGCCTGTTTTGATAGAGGCCAAAGAGGCATTGGAAGCAGCGAAGCCGCAAAGGCCACTGCCATCCATGTACTCCGTGGGGAAGAACACCCGAGGTTCTCCCTTGTCCATGTCCACCTCGAGCAAGCCGTTGTTGTCAACTGTGTAGTTTTTGCAGTTGAGCACATCCAGGAGTTCCACACCGGCGTTGTAGCTGTACGGTAACCTGATGGTGTAATATGTGCTGGTGGAGGGCTGTGATGACAGAACCATGACGACTTGGCGACCCTCCACACCTTTGGTGAAGGCGAGAACACTGCTGTCCTGGTAGATTGTGTGGGTTGGCAGTTCGAGGTAGTCTCTGCTGAGAATATAGGCGTGCTTGCGAATTTTGTTGAGAGTGGCGGTCAACTTGTAAAGCACCGCGTCGGTGTTGTACTTGGTCAACCAAATAGCTTCTCGTTGTTTGGGAGTCCCGTTGCCGTCCAAGTGCTGCTCTTGGCCTTGGTAAATCAATGGAATGCCGTCAAACAGCATGGTGAAGACCAGGACATTTTTGGCGATCTGTCAAGTCAGCAACGATAATATCTGGGCGGGCGGTGTCAAACCTACCGAGATATCTTTCACTTGACCTGCAACACGAGGTTGATCGTGGTTTTCAGAGAAAATGGTCATGGCATTGACGTCCGGCAGGCTTATCCTCGAGTTCTCGACTGCCAATGCTAGTTGGGATGTGTTCCCCAGCAATAAAGCGTCGCGGATTCCGTAGTACACGGGGTAATTTGGCATGCTCCCAATGTAGTTGCGCTGATAGTCGGCGATGGTATCGATACTCCCCACAAGGACTTCACCGGTCATGAAAATGTTGTCAAGGCCCTTGGAAAAGGCCGGGAGGAATTCCGCGTTGACGTGCTTGGCTGCGTCAATACGCAGTCCGTCGATGGAATAGGTATCAATTGACTTCTTGGCCCACTTGATCAGAGCATCTTGAACCTCTTTGTGTTCCGTGTAGAGATCCGGTAGCGCAACAATGTTGTCACCAGTCTGGCAAATCTGGGCGTTAGTCATGTTGTCCCAGTCCGTGATTTTGCAGTAGTCGTGGTAGTAGTCGGCGTTATTGAAGGGGGTCAATTTCGAATAGTCAATATGGGTGGCAGGACTACTTCCATTCGTAATGGAAGCCATGTTGTTGACGACAGTATCCAACATCAAGTACATGCCTCTCTCGCGAAGGGCAGCTCCCAGATCGAGCAAGTCTTGATGGGTTCCAAAATGAGAGTTGATGTTGTTGAGATTTGATGACCAGTATCCGTGGTATGCTTCACCGTACTCGACTTGGCCTTCAACGTTTTCGACGATTGGGGAGATCATCAAGGCGTCGAATCCCATGCCTTGGATGTAGTCGAGTTTGTCGATGGTACCGCGCCATGTACCTCCACAAAAGAGACCTGCTGTTGTGTTGCATGGTGCTGTTGTTGATCCGTCCGTGCGAGCGAAACGGTCAGTCATGGTTTGATAGATCGCCCTTGACTTCCAGTCGGCTACGCCCGCGGCTGACGTGGATACGATCAGCCCTGTGAGTGTGCAAAGGCCTGCCCAACGGCGAAGCGACCATGATGACATCATGTGATTTGTGCGATGAAAAGGAAAGTGAGAAGATGGAAGAAGGAGCGTGGGCTCTCGGAGAGCAATTCAAAGAGGGGAGGGCGACCAGAAGAGATGAATGAATGACATGTGGACTAGAGCCGCGGGAAGATGAAATGAGGGGAGGCAAAGAGCGAGCGAAAATAGGAAGAAGTCGAAAGCAAATTTGGGGAAACTGGTTCGGCAGGGGGTCAGAAATGGGCCCTAAGTCAAGTGGCACTCTACGTCGATCCATACACTACGAGTGGTGCTTCTTCCATAGCGGATATAGTACCTTGATTAGACGCTTGATTAGACGTGAATGGACCGATTTGTCCTCAGCATTCTATTTGTTCCCCCGCGATTTGACAACTGGACTGCACCAACGGTGTTTCCTACTATAGGACTCTCGTGACAAGGTATAGAGCACTTGGCGGAATGCCCCGGGATTCCAGCCAAAAAAGACTTTGAACCAAGGCTTGACCTCGGTGGAGTTCCAAGCTAGACATACATAGAGCGGGGACTGAAGAATCAAGTTTATTTTGGATTCCTGACCCATCTTGCACACTAACCAGAGACAACATAGCACAACGAGGACAAGAGAGACAGCCTGCCAGGAACCAGTTTAGCTTCAGGTACAGAGCACACTCTCATGGCAATTGTAGAATTCTCCTCCAAAAGGACTTGAGTGGCTGAGACATCTACTGCCCTAATTTCAAAGAGCGCAGTAGTCACATCCCCCATCACCGAGCTAGAGGTGACAAAGTTCGGATGGGCCAATGATCCGAGACAACGGTCCATAGACCCAGACTAGTGTTACTTCTCCAATTCTCCACACCCCATTTGCTATAGATAATACTGTAATATCGGAGGGGAAATCCTTTGGTAATCGCACGTCAATTGAAAAGTTGGATCGATGCGACTGTATCTGTAAATGCTCATGGATCGAGAGAAACGGATGATCAGGATTTCGGAGACGGGTGGTCGACTACTACCGAGGCCAGGGTTTTTCATTGCAACCTTGAAAGCCCTCGGACATGTCCAGGCGTGAGCAGGGCACGGACAGACCAGTAGTTAAGCCCAATCGAGCTAGCTCGGATAGGAGTCGACGGATAAAGACTTGTCGATATGTTGGCACAGCCTTATTCACACGGAGTAGAGGATACGGAGTAGATGTTTATTCAAATGCCGGGTGGCGGCAGTGGCTTCACAATGATTTATATGAGCCTGTACGGAGTACGGAATACGGAGTAACGAGGAGCATATGATGAATGTCAAGACAACCCCTTATGTCGCATAATTGGATACAACCGTGGAATGTACTCCGTATGGTTTGTGGCCGAGCCTGTGGGGACACTGGCAGAGATTTTCCTTTGCATTGCCTTGGCTTAGTTTATTTTCTCTTATCCGATAGATGTGCCTGGGCAAGGCACCAAGCATCCGAAGATGCAGTAATCCTTATCATATTAGCCAATATTATGCAACCTAATCATACCAATTGTACTGGCCGGAGTACTCCGTACTTCCGCACACTATTCGCCATACTAGCTGTGTCTAAGCCGGTAGACCGTGGAGCTAGAAAACCGGACTCGAAAAGAAGGCAAAGAAGCAGGAAGAAGGAAAATACAAATGTGGGCAAATTCAGATTAATTGGCTGGGGAAGCCCGAGATACCCGGGCAACTTTCTAATTGGATCTAATTGGAGGCCGAATGTATTTTTGGACCGCCAAGCCCGCGCAGGCACCTCAGGAAAACGTCCGAACGAAAAAGACAAGCGCGGTATTGTCAGATCAAAACCACGCTAGAGTGGATAGGGTCTCACTTTGCAGCCCAATCGGTGAGGTCGGTAGGGTTATCGGCCGCGACCTCCGATTACAGAGTGTGGTCCGTGGCCCGACCAACTACATCTCTCGGCATCGCCATAGGCTGATATTTACGGGGCCGTAATCCAACAAACACACAAGTCACAACGTTGTTACGTTGTTAATGTCTCACAACCTGCAGGGTACCGTGAGACGATTGTGCTCCAGTGCTGGTGAGATCAGCTATAAGAACCCGGCTTCCAGAGTGGAATCAGCCGTTGGAAAAAAAGGAGTCGCGAAATATCACCCATCGCTCTCGTATAAATCTTCCGAAATCTTAGCGAGATCAGGGTCCAAGAAGATATGGGTCGTATTCCAATAGCGTACCAACAGCGCATGAATCGGGTAGACCCGTTCTGGCCGAGGTTCCATTTAATTATTATTATTTTTTTTTCCAGAACACCGAGCACGGGTTTCTTTCCTTGTTTCTTTTTCCATTACCACGGTTAAGTTTTCCCCAAGTATTGTGGTATTGGTTGAACCAACATGTTCATGCAAAAATGTATGCCAGGAACCACAACGGTGAAGACCGAGAGGATGAATCAGCCCCTAAAAAGGCAATACCAGCTTTGCATTCAGGCAAAGCGGCGAATAAAGAAAAAAAGAGAGAGAAAAAGGAAGAATCCAATACAATTGGAAAAAGGAAAAAAGTAAGCATTTACCCCAAAGGGGAAGGGCAAAAATACGGGAGACGTTGAAAACCCCAAGGCTGATGTACTTCTGATACTTTTGATACTTCCGTACTCCGTACTCCGTGTGATAAATGCCAAGACTCGTTCTATAATCGGCACGAGCCTCAGCCTGTCTCATTTACTTTTTTTTTATTTTTAACTTGAGCTTCAATGCAAGCCACTAGCTTTTTAGCTCTCGTTTATGTGATCCCTTTTCCAGCTTTCTCCTTCTCTCGCTTCATCTCTCCTCCATCTCACTCGTTTTCTGTCTCTCGTTATCGCATTTGGCTTTGTGGCATTTATTGTTAATACGACCTTCCCCACACACTTTCCACCCCATGGCAAGTGAGATCTGCACTTTTACATTTTAAAGATCTGCTTGCTTGAGATACCCCCGGAAGGCGCCCACCCTTCACCATGAAGTGGTTGCTCGCTAGCGGGTTGATCTCGCTCTTTGCGACAACTGCAACCAGTTGGCCTTACGATACGGATTTCCTCCAGTACAATTTGAACGAAAACAAGACCGCTACGGACCCTGCACATTATTGGGGAGAATGGCCCAACCATACCTATCATCCCTCCCCGAAGAATTGGCGATTCCCATTCTACACGCTTTTTATGGATCGCTTCGTCAATGGCGATCCCACTAATGATAACATCAACGGAACACAATTCGAGCACGATCTCGATTCGACTCAAATGCGCCATGGTGGCGATGTGGCTGGCCTCATCGATACCCTGGACTATCTCCAGGGCATGGGTATTAAGGTTTGTCTGACCCGTCGACTTGACTGCGGGGAGGTATGCTGATCGTATACAGGGTCTTTATCTTGCAGGAACATCCTTGTTGAATCAACCGTGGGGTGCTGACGGTTATTCCGTCATGGACACCACTTTGCTCGATTTCCACTATGGCACACTCGAAACCTGGCGTACTGCCATTACCGAAATCCACAAGCGTGGAATGTACGTGTTGTTCGACAACACCATTGCTACGTGAGTGATACCCTGGTACAAAAATGGAAGCCGTTTCTAACCGATATATTTGCTAGAATGGGTGATTTGATCGGATTCGAAGGCCACCTCAACACCTCTACTCCTTTCTCCGAGAAGGAATGGAAGACCCAATGGAAGACGGATCGCCGCTACGTTGACTTCGATATCGGCAAGGGTGATTATAACGCCACCTGTGATTACCCACGATTCTGGTTCGAAAACGGATACCCTGTCAACCAGTCCCAAACCGCTGCGCTGGTCGGTTGTTTCGACAGCGATTTCGATCAATACGGTGACATTGAAGCGTTCGGTGTTTGGCCTGATTGGAAGCGTCAGCTGGCCAAGTTCGCCTCCGTGCAAGATCGTCTTCGTGAATGGCACCCCACCGTGCGGGACAGATTGATCAGACACTCTTGTATGATTATTGCGTCTCTGGATATCGACGGTTTCCGTTACGATAAGGCCACCCAGGCCACTGTCGATGCCCTTGGTGACATGTCTGCTGCATACCGCGAGTGCGCCCGAGCCGTCGGCAAGGAGAACTTCTTCATTGCTGGTGAAATTACCGGTGGTAACGAATTCGGTAGCATTTACCTTGGTAGGGGTAGACAGCCGGACCAGTGGCCCGCCTCGGCTGTTGACACCATGAAATTGACAAACGAATCGGCTGCCCAGTACTTCCTGCGCGAAGCTGGCGCTGAAGCAATTGACGGTGCTGCTTTCCACTATACCACATACCGTGCCCTGACTCGATTCCTTGGTATGGATGGTCAGCTTTCTGCTGGTTACGATGCTCCTGATGACTGGGTTGAGAGTTGGAACTACATGGCCCGATCCAACGATCTGATCAACGCCAACACCGGAGAATTCGACCCCCGACACATGTACGGTGCTACCAACCAGGATGTTTTCCGCTGGCCAGCTATTGCCAATGGTACACACAGGCAGCTTCTGGGTTCGTTCATTACCACCCTAATGCTTCCTGGAATCCCTCTTCTTCTCTGGGGTGAAGAGCAGAACTTCTACGTCCTGGATGGTACAGCGTCCAACTACATTTACGGACGTCAGTCTATGTCACCTGCCACTGCTTGGAGAACTCACGGATGTTTCAACTTGGAGTCATCCCAGTACTACAAGTGGCCCGTTGATGCTGCTCGCTCCGGCTGCAAGGACTTGACTGTCGCTTACGACCACCGTGATCCTTCTCACCCTCTGCGCAACATTATCAAGCACATGTACCAGATGCGTGAACAGTTCCCGGTTCTCAACGATGGATGGGCTCTTAACAACTTGTCCAAGAACGTCTTCGATGTGAAATACCCTGGTTCTAACGGAACTGTTACCGTGACTGGAATGTGGTCTGTCTCCAGAGATGTGAACACCGAGGTCCAGAAATCGAGTTCTGGCGATGACTACCAGCCGGTGTGGTTTGTCTACTCAAACATGAACGACACCAATACTTTCAAATTCGACTGCGACAGTACCAATGATACCCTCACCTTGACTGCGCCGTTCGATTCTAAGAGCACGGTCAAGAATCTCTTCTACCCCTATGATGAGATCACATTGGAGACCGGTGCCCGCAAGCTCGGCTACAACGGATCGACTGAGACCAACGGTTGTCTCTCTGAATTGAAGTTGAAGGCGTATGAATTCCGTGCTTATGTTCTGAAGAGCAAGCACAAGAAGCCTCGCCCCATGATCACCAAGTTCAATCCAGGTCACGATCACCCGCAATTGTCCAGTGTTAAGCCTAACCAGGACGAGAGCGTGAAGATCGAGTTCCATTTCTCAGAGAAGATGGACTGTGACTCTATCACCAACAATCTCACTATCACCTCGTCCACTGAGAATAACAAGGTCCCAACCGTCAACAGGAATACCGTCAACTGCACCACTGTTACCTTGCCACTCCAAACCAACTGGACCAGTGAGATCCGCGGTGAATTTATTTGGGCAGCAAATCTCACCGGTGTCTACAACGGTATTCATCGGTTGACCTTGAACAACGTCACCAATTTTGCTGGAGATGAGACCACGAACGCCATCGATCACTTCCTTCTGCGCATCGGCCAGTTTGATAACCCCATGGTCCAGGACACTGCCAACTACTCTAGCAGCTTGCTGCACAAGAGGGATAATGGCGAGCTTTTCATCCAGCACCACGCTGCTGGCGCTGATAAGTACCGTTACTCTACCAACTGGGGAACTAGCTTCTCCAAGTGGATCGATTACAAGGGTGGTAACGACACCATTGACAAGCTCGCATGGTCGGGAACCAAGAAGCAAGACTGGAGCGGTGACCACGTGCGAGTCGAGTACTGGAGCAAATTGACCGGTAGCAGCGATTACGTGCAAGAAGGCGATACCGACTGGAGTGGCAAGGCGTCGCGTCGCTTCCCCCACGCGTTCTTCAACGGACCTTACAACCAGTATGGTTACGATGGAGGTCTTGATAACTCTATCAAGTTTGACGAGAGCACTGGAACGTGGTCCTTCCATTTCACTTCCGAATGGCCTGCCGTTGGACAGCTCAACATCTGGGGTATGAACCCCGATGGAAAGCCTGATCAGAGTTGGGTTTTGGGTGATGCCGACAACGATACCATCCTGGACCGCATGCCTCCTTCCTCTCTCTCTGCAACCCTGATCAATATTACCCGGGCACCTGCTGCGGGATACTTGTCGCACAAGATCTACATCAATGATGCCTCTCTGAAATTCTGGCTCGATCCCGTCGGACGCCAGTCATACCAGATCATCATGTTTGTGCTCTTCTGGATTATTCCCTTCCTCACTGCTTCCGCATGCGTCTACATCTTCATGAAGTCGTTCTACAAGGTCAAATTCAACCAGGTCGGTGTTAGTGAGAAGCAATCCATGATCCCACTTGCATTCTGGAAGAAGATGAAGCCTTCTCGCTCTGGAAAGGATGCTTCTTCCAACCCGCTGATGCGCCTGGCCAACAAGTCTGGCTTCATGCAGAGCACCACCGCTCTGGGTGGTGCCATGGCAGCTGAGAAGCGACGCATGGTCCTCATCGCTACTATGGAGTACGATATTGAGGACTGGGCCATCAAGATTAAGATTGGAGGTCTCGGTGTCATGGCACAACTCATGGGTAAGACTCTTGGTCATCAGGACTTGATCTGGGTCGTTCCCTGTGTTGGAGGAATTGACTATCCCGTCGATCAGGCCGCTGAGCCTATGACCGTCACCATTCTCGGCAGCGCCTACCAGGTTCAGGTTCAATACCACGTCTTGAACAACATCACATATGTCTTGCTTGATGCACCTGTCTTCCGCCAACAGTCGAAGACTGAACCCTACCCCGCTCGTATGGATGATTTGGACTCTGCCGTTTACTACTCAGCTTGGAACCAGTGTATCGCGGAAGCCATTAAGCGATTCCCCATTGACGCCTACCACATCAACGATTACCACGGATCCCTCGCCCCTCTCTATCTCTTGCCAAACACCATCCCCGCTTGTTTGTCTTTGCACAATGCTGAATTCCAGGGTCTGTGGCCCATGCGAACTCTCAAGGAAAAGCAGGAAGTCTGCTCCGTCTTCAACTTGGATGAGGAGGTCGCTCGCCGTTACGTTCAGTTCGGTGAAGTGTTCAACTTGCTCCACGCCGGAGCCAGTTATCTTCGTGTTCACCAGCAGGGTTTCGGTGCTGTCGGTGTCTCCAAGAAGTACGGAAAGCGTTCTTACGCTCGTTACCCTATTTTCTGGGGTCTGCGTAAGGTCGGCAACCTGCCTAACCCCGATCCATCTGATGTTGGCGAGTGGACCAAAGAGCCTACCAAGGAAGAGGACATTACCGTTGATCCCACCTATGAGGCTGGCCGTGGTGAGCTCAAGAGACAGGCACAGGAATGGGCCGGACTGGACCAGAACCCGGACGCCGATCTCCTTGTGTTCGTCGGTCGTTGGTCTATGCAAAAGGGTGTTGATTTGATTGCAGACGCCATGCCTGCAGTTATCGAAGCTCGCCCTAACGTGCAACTGATCTGTATTGGACCTGTCATCGATCTCTACGGTAAATTCGCCGCTCTCAAGCTCGACCACATGATGAAGGTCTACCCCGGCCGTGTCTTCTCCAAGCCTGAATTCACTGCCCTCCCGCCCTTCATTTTCTCCGGTGCCGAGTTCGCCCTGATTCCCTCTCGTGATGAGCCCTTCGGTCTTGTCGCTGTAGAGTTCGGACGTAAGGGTGCCCTGGGTATTGGTGCTCGTGTCGGTGGTCTTGGTCAAATGCCAGGTTGGTGGTACAACGTGGAATCCATTTCCACTTCCCATCTTCTCATCCAATTCAAGCTTGCAATCGAGGCTGCGCTCAATTCCAAGACCGCTACTCGTGCAATGATGCGTGCTCGTTCCGCTAAGCAGCGTTTCCCCGTTGCCCAATGGGTCGAGGATCTTGAGATTCTGCAATCTACTGCCATCACCATTCACACCAAGGAAGCTACCAAGTCTCACACCCATCTCGGTGGCCTTGGTGGTCAGACTCGTCCTGGTACCTCATCCGGAAACAGCACTTACAGTGGTGTCATGGGTGGATTGCCTTCCCCTGGAATGAACTCTCCCTTCATGCACTCACGCGAGAGCAGCTACTCCTTCAACCAGATGAACGAGAACCAGACGCAAAAGAAGATCAGCTACAGCGCAGACCCTGCTCAGGATGAGACAGAGAAGCCTAAATCAGGACTGAGCCGGTCTCTCTCCCTGGGTGTTCGTTCAGGTCCTGGCCACGCTGCTCGTCGCAGACAAGCCAATGCTGCCGCCGGTATCCCAGAGAACGAAACAGATGCCGATGTCGAGGATAGCAGTGACGAGGATCCTTCACACGATCTCTTCGAGGATGATGAGTACACTCTTACCCCGGCTCAGGTCGAGGAAGGAAGACGTGCCCAGGCCGCCCAAAAGGATCGTGCTCAGGGTCTTCCTTCAAGACGCAACAGCCAGGAGTCTATTCAACCCAAATTCATGATTCCTCCCCAGAGTCCTGGACTTCCAAGCCCCCTTGGAAGCCCGCTCGGCAGCCCTCTCACTCCTCCCTCTGCCGACAACCTTCTCCTCCCTCCCCGTCCTCTTGGTGAATCCAACCGCTACAGCAGTGCATCCGTCCTCTCGCTTGACTCTGTTGTCGGTAACAAGACAGACTTCAAGCTGCAGAAGGTCGATCCCTTCTTCACTGATAGCACTGGTGAATACTATAAGACCTTCGATAAGAAGCTGGATGCATTGAACGGCAGCAACTCCGAGTCGCAATTGTGTATTGAGGAGTTCCTGATCAAGAGTGAGCAGCAGTGGTTCGACAGGTTCCGCAACGCCAAATTGGGTCGCAGCAAGTCTCCTACCCCCTCCATCCGACTCTCATCACGAAACAATGACTCGCCTACCCACTCCTTCTACAATGACGATGCTCACTCGCACATCGCGAGCAGCGATGACCACCCCACGGACGATGAGTTCCTCCTTGGAAAGGACTACGTTGCTCCTACCGGTCTCAAGAAATGGATGCAGATCAAGATTGGCGACTGGCCTGTCTACTCTATCTTCCTCGCCTTGGGTCAAATCATCGCCGCCAACTCGTACCAGATCAACCTGCTCACGGGTGAAGTCGGTGAGACTGCTGAGAAATTGTACGGTATCGCAACAACTTACGCCATCACTTCCATGTGTTGGTGGCTCGTGTACCGCTACTTCAAGTCTGTTGTGTGTTTGTCGGCTCCGTGGTTCTTGTATGCCATTGCCTTCATCTTCATCGGCTCTGCTCATTTCGTATCGGGCGAGTTCGCTCGTGGCTGGGTCCAGAACGTTGGCAGCGGCTTCTACGCTGCTGCATCCTCCAGTGGATCCATCTTCTTCGCATCCAACTTCGGTGACGAGGGTGGTGCTCCAGTGGAAACATGGATTTTCCGTGCTTGCGTTATTCAAGGTATCCAGCAGGCATACGTTATTGCGCTCTGGTTCTGGGGTTCAACCTTGACCAAGGCCCAGTCTGAAGGTCTCCTCACTTCCGATAACTCGATCTCCAACACTTGGAAGATGAGTGCGATCTGTTACCCCATCGCAGGTTTCCTCATCCTTGTTGGAATTATTTTGGCACTTGGACTTCCCAACTACTACCGCCAGAAGCCCGGCAAGGTTCCATCCTTCTACAAGTCCCTCTTCCGGAGAAAGATCGTCACATGGAACTTTGTGGCGGTTATCCTGCAGAACTTCTTCCTCAGTGCACCCTACGGCCGAAACTGGAGCTTCCTCTGGGGTTCCAACCACACCAAGCCATGGCAGATTGTCCTCCTTTGCATCCTGTTCTTCGGTGTAGTATGGTGCATCTTCCTGTTCTGCGTCAGCAAATTCTCCAAGCGCCACAGTTGGTTCATTCCCGTCTTCGCCTGTGGTCTGGGAGCCCCTCGCTTCATCCAAATTTGGTGGGGTGTCTCCGGAATCGGTTACTACCTCCCTTGGGCTGGAGGATACACTTCCGGAGCCCTGGTATCCCGCAGTCTCTGGCTGTGGCTGGGCGTGTTGGATTCCATCCAAGGTCTCGGCTTCGGTATCATTCTTTTGCAAACTCTTACGCGAGTCCACATGTGTTTCGCTCTCATTGCATCCCAGGTGCTTGGTTCCATTGCAACCATTTGCGCCCGAGCTTTCGGCCCCAATGCCACTGGCCCCGGTCCCATTTCTCCTGACATGACGCTTGGCGCCCATGCTTTGGCTAATGCCTGGTTCTGGGTGGCTTTGTTCTGTCAGCTTCTCATTTGTGCTGGCTTCCTGCTCTTCTTCCGCAAGGAGCAGCTTGCCAAGCCTTAAGCTCGAATTTTGGGCATTCCTTTTTGTTTTCATCAAGCGACTACGGGCATAACGGCGAACATGAACGATCTTTAGATAATCTTTTTTTGCATACTTGAAGCATGTTGACATCTCTCTGTCATTTCCCTTCTGTCTGATACATTAATTCTAATACCATGCTTGAACTACAGGCTCAAGTCTCAAGTCTATAAATTCAATACAGCTTCAATGTGGTATCCTGATTTCTTTCTTGTATGGAGTAGACAGGTAAAAAACTTAAATCAGGAGCACGGAGCAGTGAAGCAGGTCATCTGAATGGTTTGCTGCAAGGGGTAACTGCAGTTTCCGAGCCCATTGTTCTTCATGCAGATTACTCCGTATTCCGTACTAATAACTGGATCGCTTCAATTTAGTCAACCCGGCGACCCTGGATCAGAAGAGTATACAAACCACAACATCAGCCTCTGTTCCACTCGCTTGTCCTACGGTCATCTCCATTTAGAGACGGGTTGGGCAGACACTGCGCCGGGAAAGGACAGGCGGAGGGAACGGAGGCCGGTGTTGTGATTGGAAAGTATTCTGATTCAGGGTCGTCGGGTTGACTAAATTGAAGAGATCCAAGGTTATTTCTTTCAATCAATCGCAAGTGTTTCAAATGGAACTCCAATAATTTGCGGCTTGGCATAGTCCTCTAGAACTCACATGAGGCATCCACTCAGCCGCAAGTTTCAATGATCATCTCTCGGCTAAATGCACGATGTGTTCCCATTCCAATATGGAGTGTACGGCCTATGGTTAGACAATTGAAATTGACCCGAGGTCCACATGACCAAGCCATAGCTGCTGATACCCGAGACTGATGTGATCTAGACACGATCCAAATAAGCGGGCTGAAGACACTTTGCCGGCCTTGCAGATTAATGGCACATCTTTCCCAATTGGTTGTGTCACATTCTGATCAAGTGACTGTGCTTCATGGCCCGCAGGATTTGGCATGCTGCACGCCGTATGAGCCTCCGGTCAACACGGGAAGGATATCGCTTAGAATGGAGACAACAGAAAAGACCAGGTCTATACCGAGCCGACTATGCCGGGCCGGGACCCAGCAAGCTCGTTCCGACCTGCCGTGGAAGTGGAAATCTCGGGAAGGGTTGCAAGTGAGACTCAATCTCGAAAATGGGTCATGGGGTCCAGGGGAAAGGTATATAAGAAAAAAAAGCAAAGTGGTTAAGTTGAGATAAGCCTCGGGCCTCAGCTTCCCTCCCTGGATTGAAAGTGATGAGTCAGCATTTGTCTTGTTTGCATTGAGGGGTGAGAGTTATGATAGGCTGTACAGGGCGATACCGAACAGTACAGATGATACACTGCATAAATGAAGGAGAAATGTGCTGAGAGGGAGCAGAAGCTATCAAGATGGAAATTACAATACATAATACGCACACAAATAAATCAGTTGAGGTCATAATGACAGGATTCCGATGGAGCTTCATGGCTGACTCTGCTTTCTCACTCTGCTTCAATTCTCCCCACATCTTCCACTCGTGTTCCAGTCATGTTCCATAGATGTCCATATATTCAATGGATCGACTCCACTCCCCCCATATTTTCCAACCTTGGAAGGTTGAGCCCGCATGATGTCAACTGACCTGGTGGCTAAGTCAAAACCAGCGGTGTACCCCCCTTCGTTTCTCTCCTTTCTACATACTTTGCATACAATACAATCATGGCACTGAAGCTGAACAGCACAAACTTGTCCCAAATCGCGGGCGACCAGGTCAAGGTCCCTACCTACCAGCGCGGTGGCGCTGTCAAGGAGGGCATTGTCCACATCGGTGTAGGTGGTTTCCACCGCGCCCACCTGGCTGTCTATGTCGATAAGTTGATGCAAAACCACGGCATGACCGACTACGCCATTTGTGGTGTTGGTCTACAGCCATTCGACGCTACCATGCGTGACGTTTTGAACTCTCAAGATCATCTCTACACTGTTATCGAGCGTTCCGCCAAGGGAAGCCTCGCCAACGTCGTGGGAAGCATCAATTCCTACCTCTTTGCCCCTGATGACCGGGAGGCTGTCATTGCCAAGATGGCTCACCCAGAAACTCACATTGTGTCCCTCACCATCACCGAGAGCGGCTACTACTATAACGAGAACTCCCACGAGCTGCAGAGCGAGCACCCCGACATTCAGCACGATATCGACCCAGCCAACGAGAAGTCCCCCCGTACAACCTTCGGTTTCCTCTACGCTGCCCTTGCCCGCCGTCACCAGCAAGGCCTCAAGCCCTTCACCGTCATGTCCTGCGACAACATGCAGAAGAACGGCTCTATCACACGTCACATGCTTGAGTCCTTTGCTCGTCTCCGCAACCCGGAGATTGCTCAGTGGATTGCTGAGAAGGGCGCCTTCCCCAACGCCATGGTTGACCGAATCACTCCTCAAACTTCTGCCAATGATAAGACCACACTCGCAAGTGACTTTGCCATTGAGGATGCTTGGCCCGTTGTGACCGAGCCCTTCATGCAGTGGGTCATTGAGGACAAGTTCTCAGACGGTCGTCCCCAGTTTGAGAAGGTCGGCGTCCAGGTCGTGAACAACGTCCACGATGTTGAACAGTTCGAGAAGCACAAGCTGCGTCTGCTTAACGGCAGCCACTCGGCCATTGGATACCCTGGCCAGCTCGCTGGCTTCCAATACGTACACGAAGTCATGGAGCACCCACTGTACAGCAAGTTTGTTTGGCAGATGATGCAAGAAGAGGTCAAGCCTCTCCTGCCCGACATTCCCGGTGTGAACATCGACGAATACTGCAAAACCCTTGTTGAGCGATTCTCCAACCCCACAATCATGGATCAGCTGCCTCGTGTCAGTCTTAATGCCTCTGGCAAGATCCCCCAGTTCATCATGCCTTCCATTGCCGAAGCCATCTGGGTGACCAAGCCTTTCCGTCGCCTGTGCTTTGTCGCTGCCGCTTGGTTCCGATACATCCTCGGTGTTGATGACAATGGCAACACCTTCAAGGTCGAGGACCCCATGTTCGAGGAGCTTGAGGCCAAGGCCCGCGCTGGAGGTACCAAGCCCCACGAACTGCTTTCTATTAAGAACCTGTTCGGTGATGACTTGCGTAATGACAAGCGTTTCATTGACGAGATTACCAAAGCCATGGAGGACATCTCCCGTGATGGTATCATGAAGACCATGCCCAAGTACGTTGACTAAATCAGTCAACACTTGTTTGCACAAAAAGAGTTTATACCTTTGCCAGCGATATTTGTTATTATTTTATTGGCCGTTTTATTTTATCTTTGGTCTCACGAGGAAGTGAATTACGAGAAAAGGATATAGAGCTAGATTAATCGGATAGAGAAAATTCATAAATTCTCACTTCAACTTTGGAATATGTTCACAGGTTTCTCACTTGTGCCCAGGGTACGGGGTAATAGGCGGTAAACCCAGGGTAGATTAAGGTCCTTCGTGGTTACGGAGTATAGGATAGCAAAGTCAGAGGATAGCAAAGTCAGAGGATAGTAAAGTCAGAGGATAGTAAAGTCAGAAGTGAAGCCTCTAGGTACTCAGTATGAGAGCCTTAGAACCCGATTGAGGAACCCGATTGACGCGAGCACAAGAAAGTTAACCACTGTAAATTTCGTCTGTATTTGTGGAGAAATTTTTTCAATTATCTAAGTCTTCTGCCGAGTAAGAATTATCATCCGACACTTCACCCTCCCGCGTAGTTGGAAGAGGCGAGAGAGTTGAGGTTGGAGAAAGGGACGACCACGACGGAGATCTCATCGGGAGATTGAGTCCCAAGCCCTGGAATCCAGCAGCACCGAATCGGCCCGTCGGGGCATTGAGGGATCCTTTCGTAGAGGACCCTGGATTTGATCGTAGGCCTACTCGGGCGATTGCACGCTGCAGCATCTCACCCGACGCGTCCAGAGCAATGAGAAAACGTGCAAGCTCAGCACAGAGTTCCCAGTCACCTTTTTGGGAGGCTAAAGCAATCAGACGGACGACGTACTCTTCTATGCGGCCATCGTGTTCCTGTTCTTCGTCTTCGAAGGCTTGGAGTACAAGCAGGTATCCGACTGCTGTCTTAAGCGCATCAAGTCTCAAGGCTTGCTCGAAGAGGTCTTTGGGGGAGGGAGATAGGCGAATAGTGTGCGCCATGATCGCAACTCTGTCTTCCGCGTACATTGCACAACAATGTCTAAATACTCCCTTGCCGGGAGTGAGGCTTGGAGGAAACCAATCACAGTTGGTAGAATTGGTTGTGCCCGGTCTTGAGGATTTTCACTCTTATTTGCCCGGCTCTCATTGTCTACCTCGTCGTCTAGGACGTGATGTAGCAGGATTTCTAGACCATGGGCAAAGTAAGATAGGTGGGAGAAGTGGCGACACAGAGCGAGTGCCGCAGGCGTTCCAACGTTGGTCAGACCATATTGGAGAAAATAAGGGAGGAAAAGATGTGTCTAATACACATGTTAGCATGAAACAAGCTTCATCGGAGAGGGTGACTTGCCCGAATCGCGAATTTCAGAACAGTGAATGTGACATCGCGCCGTTGCATCATTTCTGATTCAACACCTAGCACGATGCCTTTGTTCAACAAGACAGAAAGTGGGTAGAAATCCAAGGGTATATTGAGCGGTGCCGGCACCGTCCCTTCTCGCAAAACGTCTTCGACGTCGTTCCAGGCGAGTAAGTCTTGGCCTCGGAACATCCAAAGGGAGTCACTGAGAGACAGGCTGTTGTGGGATGGTTCCAATGCCATATCAGCCGAAGGGCTAGCTGGAAGAGCATCGTCGACCTGAGGAGAAAAGTTGAAGGACAGCTGGTCTCGCATCAGGATGTAATACTCCACTTCATGGGAGATAACGCGCATGTCATATTTGAGATCACCCGCCTCTGAAACTGTGGGCTGTAATAGAACTAGGTTTCCGTCGACGAGAAGAAGCACGGACGCAACTTTCACGTCTTGAGATGGATCACCATTTCCTTTTGGCTGTTAGCAATGTTTCGACGAATCGTTCGCAAAGTGAGAAAGGGAGACTTACGCATCTGCTCTTCTGGCAAGACCCAGCTGATTGACCGAACACGAGTGGGCGCCCGAACAATGCCATTGAAAGCAATCTGTCCAACAGGGACAAGAGTGATCTGAGGCTGCGTGGAGTTGATGATATAATGGTAGAGGATGTTGTCGTAAGTATAGACCAAGAGAGAATCCTCTCCAGAAGGCCCAATGAACACCACCGGCGAAGGAAGATATTCTGTGAACATGATGGAATTATTGTTCCCAAGAGAGGCTTCGCGCGAATAGAGGCGCACCTGCATTTCAAGTCAGTAGGTGTTGAGATGAAAGCCCGTACAGACTGCCTACCTCATAGGACCCATCGCTTTCAACAGCTGCAATCAGTATATGGCCATACCAGCACATGCCTCCTCGCACGGCAAACGAATTCTCGGCCTTAGAGTCTTCAAAGACCTTCCAGCGGCCACTGTTGATGCTATAATGCGCGAGACCACGCCGGCCTGCGATCGCAACATACCGTCCGTCTTGTGATACCACACAGGACCGAATGGGCCACTGGGAATGTAGATATGCTGGGGGATATTGGGCATGATGCCACAATGAATCTTTTCCTGATATTGTCATGAGATCCGGAAGATCATGGCCACGGTACAGGATGAATTCGGTCCCAGTCTGGAGCAGCCCGCGAGCCAGGTTTGCAGACGAAAAACAACCAGTCAAAGCGCTGCGGGCCGTCTCCAATACCCAGAGGCGACGGTCGTTCTGTCCCGTCAAAATTATGTCTGATCCGCCGCCGATCCAGCATCCGTTGGAAACACCAGTCAGCCAATCTTCAGCATTGGTCGTCGCGAGCGCAGGGTCTGCCGAGAAGCTGTTTCCTCCGGGCTTGCCAAAGACACTCCATGTAGTCCAGCCATTTTCGAAACCAGCAAAAAGGCAATATCCATCGGGAGAATAGCTCATGAAAGTCAAAGCACCTGTTGTCGTTGGCGAGGCCGGCAGATGAAGCTTATGTGAAAAAGGAATATTTCCCATGTAGTCTTTCGCTGTGTATACCAAGACATCGCCATTGGAGCAACTCACGGACAATAGGGAGAACCGTGCATTCACTGCTACCTTTACGGCATTCTCACCATCAGTCTTCGGATCATGGAAACAATGTCCGTGAAATGGCTTCTGGGCGGTTTCGGGATCCTGGTGTGTGCCCGAGTCTCGCTGCACAGCGTATGCCTGACCACTGCTAGTGATCCAGATGAGAAGGTTCATTGCGCGATCGTACACCATGTTCTCAATGGTGACTTTCTTGGGAACCGCAAGAATGCGACTCAAAAGCTCTGATGTGGTCTGGGTCTTTCCTTCCTCGGCTGTCCACCGGATGCATTGGATAGCTGGGGGCTTCAAGGTGGCGACTACAAGTTCCTGATCCAGCGCCAGCGCTTTGACGATCCCAGACTCAATCTTGATTGCCATTCGGAAACGTATCGTGATATCATCAACCACGTTGGCCTCCTCCGCTGCCGAGAATTTGGCCACCTGTTGACGGCGATGGTGTGTAGAATGGTCATATCGCTGCTGATAGACTCGCGTCGCTGGGTCAGATGCCACGGAGTACGTGAGCAAATAGCCATTCAGGGTCTGTACAACCAGTATTGTTGAGTCGGGGTGCATGAGAAGTGATACATTTGGGCCGTAGGTGTTCAAGGAGAACTGAGATCGAGCTATAGCTGTTACAACTGCGGTAGGCTGTTGAATATTTTAGCAAAGCTGTAGGTCTTCCTCGCAAGCTACCACAGATCGCGCCCAACCTACCCTAGTCTGCCAGAGAACAATTGATGACTCGGAAATTGTAGCAAACATCTGGCCAGAGCGCGAGACACAAACACTCTTGATGGCTTCATTCTCCCACTTAGGTTTGCTCGTATCAGGGGACCGCTCGGTTCGCGACTCATGGCTCTTGGTATCTTGGCCATGCTGGATATCATTCTGGCCTTCGTCGTCTCGTGTGTTCAATGATTCCGCGTCATTTATTGGAGGGGTATCAGGTATATCGCGATCCTGGTCGGAGGAGACGTAGGCAATATCGGGCCCATTGACCGCATAGACCCGGGGAACTCCATGGGGCCAGTACATGGCTCGGGTCGATTCAGGGGGGTTGCAATTAAGAATGAAGCTCACATGGAGTCATCCCCAGCCGATAAATCTCGAATTAGCCACAAGAGGCCCTCGTCACTAACACAACACAACAAATACGGAGGAACTAGAAGTTCCAACAAACACCGGGGAGGCCGATAAGCCGCGATCACGTGGAGTAGAGCTCTTCCCCCCGCATTGCCTTGTTTTTTCTTCTCTCCTGAGTGTTTGATTATCCATTTCACAAAAGCTATTGATCAAATATGGTAAGATTGCTGGATGCAATTGCTGAGCAGTGACTAATTTCATGTTTAGGCTCCCTCCGAAAGCAACAAGCGTTTGGCTTTGGCCGTCATTGATTTCCTGGGCTCCAGCCTGAAAGACGGCACCCTCACCGCCGACGATGCCGAGTCGATCGAAATCGCCCAGTCCTGTATCGCCGATACCTTCAAGGTTGACCCTACTGATGAGGCTGCTGTGAAGGATGCCGTGGGTGGACAGTCACTGGCTGGAATCTACAGCGTCTATGAGAAGCTGCGTGGCAAGTCCGCCCCGCAATCCACCGGCGCAGCTCAGCCATCCCAACAGGAGGCCCCCAAGGCCGGTGTGCCCACTCCGGAATCCGATAAGTTGAAGTCTGAAGGAAATGCTCTCATGTCCAAGAAGGATTACGCTGGTGCTATCCAGCAATACACCAAGGCTCTCGAGATCGCCCCCGCCAACCCCATCTACCTTTCTAACCGCGCTGCTGCCTACTCCGCTTCAAGCCAGCATGAGAAGGCCGCTGAGGATGCGGAGCTCGCTGCCGCGGCGGACCCCAAGTACTCCAAGGCTTGGAGCCGTCTCGGACTCGCTCGCTTCGACATGGGAGACTACCATGCCGCCAAGGAGGCTTATGAGAAGGGAATTGAAGCAGAGGGCAACGGTGGCAGTGAGGCCATGAAGCGTGGCTTGGAGACCTCAAGCCGCAAGTTGGAGGAGGCCACTCGCACCAGCGAGCCCCCATCTGAGGAGCTCGACACTGCTCCCGGTGCCTCCCGCGGTGGTGCTGGTGGCATGCCCGACTTGTCTTCATTGGCTGGCATGTTCGGCGGCGGCGGTGGCGGCGCTGGTGGCATGCCCGACCTTAGCTCTATGATGAACAACCCCATGTTCTCCAGCATGGCACAGAACTTGATGAGCAATCCCGATATGCTTGGCAACCTGATGAGCAACCCTCGTCTGCGCCAGATGGCCGAGAACTTCGGTCAAGGCGGTGGTATGCCCGACATGTCCAGCTTGATGAGCGACCCCAACCTTGCCGATATGTAAGTTGGATTATAAATGATATCTTGATTCTTCAAAGCTAATGATGTTTCACGCAGGGCTCGCAACATGATGGGCGGCGGCGGCGGTGCTGGTCAAAACCCCAAATAAATTGCTGACTCCTTGAGATTGACGTTATGAAAGGCACAATCTGATATACCATGTAGCAACCTCGTGTTTTGGGGTGTTAGAAAAACACCTTTTTTTCCATCTCTCTTTACCTAGTGGACCAACACAGTAGTAAAATATCTCGTGGACTTTAGTTTCGATATTCAAGCATTTGAATGTCTCCTTTGCTACATGATTTTAAGGCACTCAAAACTCAAGTCAAGAATCTGTTTTGGTATATTTACATGTTTTCCAGAATTTCCGATTTGAGGAAAACTTTCTGGGCTTCAACCTCACGGAAAAGCCCGAGATGAACAGCCCGACAAAGCACTCAAGTATACACGGTGGCGAGGGGAGAGTTGAAACAATGCACTAGGACGCCAACCGAACACCTCAGAATCCAAAGAACTGCCACCAGATCGAATCCGAAGCATGTTCTCAGCTAAGAAAGAAACACCAAAGAAGTGTCACAACCCGTGCAGTTGGATATCAGACCGAAGGAAGCATTAATACATGAAAGAAAAAAGAAAATCTGATTAACCAGCGAAGCCACGAGTTGGCGGTCACTGGAAAAGGCAAAACCGTAAACAGGTGCCAGGCTCACCTGGCTTGATATCAAACAGTCATATGGTACAATTGGAATAGGTAGGGGTCAAGATGCAAAGAGCCGAAAGTCCCATAAGATCGGCGACAGAATGCGAAGAGGTGAAGAGGTGATGTAGATGAAACAGGTGATGCGCTTAGATGTAATCGCGAGCAGCCTTCTGCAACTCGATCAATCTCCATCCACGGGTTTCGGGATTGTTGACTTCTTCAGGGATACGGGTCAATCCAATGGCGTAAGTGACCAGTTGCACCTTGTCGTCCGTACCGGCGGCAAGCTCGCCAGTCTTGGCCTTACGGTAAACGTGAATCTCCTGGGTGCGGCAGGTAACGACAAACACGGGGATGTCACCAGGGTCTAAGATACGGGCGTGTGAAATATCAACACCACGGATATCCAGAATCCGGCCATCTGATTTGAGACCGGCTGTGGTGTATTGCTGGGCAAGAGCAGCATAGACGTGGTATTGAGCATCGGAGAGCCAGAGCTTCAAGGTCTCGACATCTCCCTTCACATAGGCGTCGAGGACTTCGGGCAGCATGTAGTCACGCATTTCCCGCAGGAAAGGTTCCATCTGGAAGTTGGGATCAATCTCCCGGAACTTCTTGATGACCTGAGCGGTCTCGTTCTCGGCAAAGAAGCCTCCAATCTTATCAGAGATACTGCGGGCTGTGCTGATGAGCGGGTTCTCGGACTCGTTGTATGTTTCCTTCATGGAGAAGAGTCTCTGCATCATGGGATTGGAGTCCTTGAAGTCTCGCCAAGAGTCCTTCCAGGCGGCATCTTTGTGGACAGTGACATTGGTACCGGCACTATAGAGTTACTTGGTCAGATACTTGCCAAACATAGTAGTTCTGTGGCGCAACTTACTCGGGGTTCTCAACTCTTTCCTCGACGAAATGAGTCTTTCCAGCCTTGCGATCGAGCTCCTCGCGGCGTTCGCGCGCCTGGCGACGCTCCTCCTTCTCAACCCAGCCACCGTAGCGGGAGCTGCTGCCATCATCAATGGCATCCTTCACACTCTTGTACGCTTCAGTCTCTCGAACAGGCCTCGTGGCCTTCTCGAGTCCCTCTCCGGTTGCGTTAACACCCTTGCGGACACCCTTCACGACACCGGTGTTCCACGTCCAAGCAGCTCCCTTGCCGATGACCTGACCAGTTGTCTTAAAGGCGGTGGATGTTCTGGAGGTTGTTGCGGTTGAGGCAGCCTCGTAAGCGGCGCGCGCACGTCTCACGTTCTCGTTCTCAGAGAATTGATGGGCGGAGGATGCCAGTGCCTTGGTTGATTCCTCCCATTCCTTAGAGGCCTTGAACTCGGTCTGCAAGGTCTCACGGAATACCTGCCAGGGAGACTTGTCTCCGTGAGGTGGGGGCGGAGCCTTCTCTTCCTTCTTTTCCTTGCCTTCTTCCTTGGATTCTTCACCCTGTGAGTCAGACTTGGGCTCTTCTTCTTTCTTTTCCTCCTGTTGCTTTTGCTGCTGCTGTTGCTGCCAGAGGGATGTTGCGACGTGGAAAGAACGGGTCAAAGGGAGAGCGGCAAACGGCGACACAGCTTTGAAGGCCGAAGTGGAAGAGGATTGAAGAACCGCTCGGTTGCTGTTGGAAAATGCGAGCTTTTGCGCAGAGACAGATGAGTATTGAGCAGTCCTAGTAGACAGCCGTTGGGATGATGCTCTGAGAGTCGGTGCTTGAGACCGCAGGGAAGCGGCTCGTGCCGCAGACATCTTTGTCGGAATCATGAAGAACGTTGGCAGAGATGAATCCGAGATGAGAGTTATTAATGTTGATGAAAGGGGGAAGATAAGAAAAAAAGACGGGGATTCCAGCCCAGCCTGGACGCGATATGAAGAGGTGATGAGAGGCAAAAGATCGGGGAAGGGAAAAAGTGCAGGCGCCAAGACTTCGAAAAACTTCCAGCATTTCCCTTCGGTCCGACAACGGCTCTGCACCCGCCATCGTTCAACGCGACACTCTACAGGATCTGTGTCGTGTTCAATTGCACGCACTTATTACCTTTCATATCTTCGTCCTCGTTCCCTCTTCTGCCCAGATTGCTGCACATCCGCCTCTTCGCGATGAGCTCCTTTTCGATGAGCGCGCTCACCAAGGCATTGCCGTCGGTATGTCGCCAGTCTCAACCTCGAATTGCCTCCTTGAACATCACACGCCCTTTTTCGATCTCAAGCTCCCACCAAGCTGCTCGCCGCAATGATCGTGGTAGTGATCTCGAACGGCAGATGCTGAGTGGCGGTCCGGCGTCGTCTTCCGATAAACCCTCGGGGCTCTCTGCTATCACAGAAATGATGCAGGGTACATCTTCAGGCTCACCTGCTCGCGGCCCCGAATCCGACACAATGTCCAAACAAATTGAGGCTCAAATGCTCAGGAACCCTTACGCCGATCGAGCTCCTCCTCATCACCTCCACGTCTACTGCCACAAGCACAACACAATTCTCACCCTGACACGACCAAATGGCAACCCTCTCATGTCCATGGGATGTGGTCAAATTGGTTTCCGCAAAGCTGGTCGCTCCGGATTTGACCCTGCCTACCAATTATCTGCCCATGTGATGTCCCAGATTCAAGACAAGGGCCTCCTCATGGAAATCGAGCGGCTGGAGATTGTATTCCGTGGGTTTGGAAAGGGCCGTGACGCATTTGTCAAGGTTCTCCTGGGTAACGAAGGACGAAACCTTCGGGGACTTGTCACGCGGGTGACTGACTCCACTCGAGTCAAGTTCGGTGGTACTCGCAGCAGACATGAGCGTAGGTTGGGTTGATTTGGCTTGTGGTTTTCGATCTCCTCCTTCGCCTGTTCTCTTCGAAAAAATACCTCAAGGGTTTGCTGCTTGGTGGCTTATTTGCGGCACAGCTGTGCTGAGCTGCATGCTGCCAGAACCCACGGGCAGCACCCTTCATCTTGTGCTTCTATCTCACGTGGCATGTCTGTCTGTCGCTGTTTATTCTCTGTATATTAGAAATCTCATGACAGAATCACCAGAGCTTTATTTGAGTACCAGCCTCGAAACTGCATTTGGCAACATCCTTGCGATCAGTGCAGATGAATTACAGGGTCGTAGAGGGTGCTTTAAACGTCAGTACTAGGGATGAGCTTAATACAGTCACCCCATTCACTCCAGATTTGGTTATTTTCTCGATGTCAACATGCTACTTGATTTGGTATTGGGCGCTTTTCCCCTTCTACCCCAAAAAAAGTCCATGTTGAACAAATGCCTACTGCCGAGAGACACGCTATATATTCCAAGGTTCCCGAGGTCCGATATTCTCACACATTGTAAACAAACAATTCGCTCCAGTGACGAGACAGACCGATTTCTATGATCATGACCGGACAAATCCAACAACCACAGATCAAAAGCAAGCAAAATATATCATCAATGTACCCCAGAGACGAAGTGCAGTACAAGTGGAGTTGCAAAGGCGAAGTATGCGGGAGATCCTATGCATTACCCAAAGGGGTATAGCGTCCATCAACTCGTCGATCACGTTCTCGAACACATGCGTCTCAGCTTCATCTCAGTATCTCATTTGATGTTTTTTTTTTTCGCGATCCAGCATTGTTTTTTCTGTGGACTAATCATTGACGCGCTCTGAAATCATCGTTGGATGCTTCCCCGCAAGATCAAAATCCCCCTGCGGAGATCTGAAACGGCTTGATGATTGCTGCAGTTCTTCGACTGGGCCGTCCAAAACCGTTTGGATGCACCCTCTAAATCCCTTCCTCCGTGCCTTCTTCCGGAGCACTGTTCCGGGCCAGTGTGTACCGGTCGAGAATCATGTGCGTGTTGTGAATCTACCCGATCATCCGGTCGAGCTAATTGGTGTGCCCCTCAGGTCTTGCTAGTCCCCACGACGGACTCCCTCATCAGTTCGCGCGAAAGGGAGTCCAATCTCCTATATTCGGACCTTGTCGCATCAGAGGAGTTCCTAGGTAGCCATGTTTTGCGCGTCCCGATCCATACCGGCTCAGCGAATTCTAAAGAGGAGAATAATGTTCGGGACAATCGAGGGAAGGCGAAGCAAGTAACGACCTTCAACGGAAGAACCGTGATTATTAAGGAGAATTCAGTGTACAGCAACAAAGGTGAGAGGGAACTCCCCGGAACGGCGCTTACACGACCGTGCTGACCATGGGTATCTATCAGGGTTCAAGTCCCTCACGCAAGCCCAGCTGTTGTCCGACGCGCTCTACTACACTTCCTCCTCTGCCAATGAGTCGCGACCATGGCTCATTTACTATATCTCTCGCCCGCTCATCGGAACATATGACCCCGCGAGGGTCATTTCCCGCCGTGGTCCCCGGGACCGAGTTCAACGTGGCTAAACCAACGAACACAAACAAGAGTTACAGCAATGGAAGTTCGATCGGTACCCCGCCCAAACAAGAGATCAAGACCTTTGGAGAGCTGCTCGCCAATTTCCCCATGATCGCCAGGCAGATGCAGCCGGGCTTGGAAAGGCTGTTTCGTGAGTTCGGAAAGGAGCTGGGAAAGCCATTACCCCCGCCTCCCTCACGGTCGCCCTCCGCATCTGGGAGTGATCGCATAAACCAGTTGTCTCGTACTGAGTCTTGGACGGATGACACATCTTCCATTCGAAGCTGGTCGTCGCGGAATAGAGGGCGTCTTCCTTTCAACTCCGAAGAATACTTTGAAGACGACGAGGATCTAATGCGCCGAAGTCTGGAGACAGCTGTGACAGCTGCGATTGACCTATTCCGCCTTGTGGACAAACAGCAGTTGTCGCTGCTCGGTGCTACCACAGACCTCACCGGTCCATTGGTTGAGCGGCTGATAGAACGTTATGTTGCCGAGCAAGTCCATGAACCGCTGCTCTTCCCTCGCCTTTGTGCTTTCCGCCAACCAGAAGACACAGAGCTGGACTCTCGTATCAGGCAGATGGAAAGTATAGATGTCTCTCAAGTGGGAATCTCTGTCGAGGGCGGACGTGGAGGGAAGCGAGAATTGATTCGCCGACTTGGGCGGGGTGTGGAAGAGTTCCGAAAGATAAATGATGCGCGATGCCCACATGATATGCTCAGCACTCTTCTCGCGACAGTGAAGGTTGTATCATATCCCGGAAGTTATGATCAAGTCGATGGCCCAACTTCCGAGAAAGGTACTTCATCTGTTACGATCAACGCAGATGTCTTGGTATCACTGCTGCTGGTTGTTGTGATTAGATCTCAAATTCGCCATCTCCAAGCTCGGTTATTGTACATGCAACACTTCATTTATATCGACGACGTGGACAGCGGCGAGATGGGCTATGCTCTCAGTACCTTCGAAGCTGTTTTGATGTACCTTGTCACCGACTCCGCAGGGCTCCGACGTGCAAGTGTCCGAAACCGACGCCTGTGGCAAGCTACAAAAGCAGGCAGGATATCGGACATGAAGTCCATATTGGAACCGAACGGAGACCACGAATCCATAGACGACATCACTCCGCCAGAGCCAGAGCGGAAATCGGTTTTCTTCCAAACGGATGAAGTTGATGATACGGACGACCTCCCACTGGAGAATTCCTTCACTAGTAGTGATCCACAATCAGATGAAGCAGTCTTCGACGCACCGCCTCTATCACACGTGTTTCCATTTCAAAATTGGAATGGTAGTTCGCATCATGAGATTCACCGTCCAGCCAAGAAAGTTTCGATGGATGTCCGGAGCTTGTCCGAATCATCCGCTATTTCATTCATCTCCAGAACCACAACTCTGAACTCGATGGCCAGTGGAATTGAAGGCGATAGCTCAATTGAGACCTTGACTAAAACTCAAGACCCTGCTGGCCACTCGATACCGATGATGGCAGTCGAGGGTCGCCAACCGGACGCTTTGAAGTATCTGTTGACCTTGGAAGAATATTACCCCCTGGATGAAATTCTGCAAGATACCAATGCCGAGGGGACGACTTTACTGAACGCCGCCGTGCAGCTCGCACACAATGACATTGTCAACATCCTCTTGGACTTCTTATTTACGAAAACAGATGCCAAAGTGATTGCATTTTATTTGACCAAGTCCGATGTTCATGGTCGCACTGTTGCCCATTATATCTTCAGCACGCCATCTCTACTGGCTAGACTGGGCGCACTCGTCCCCTGGAGACAGCGAGACAAACATGGACAAACACCATTGTTTGCGCTATGCAGATCATATGATCACCCCGAATACAAACCTATGGTGCAGGCTGCCTTGACAGCAGCGCAGCGTGCGCAAGGCGACAACAAGCCGCTCCAACTGGATGATCATGTTGACGCGAAAGGAAACACACTTCTACATATCGTTGGTGATCCAGAAATCACACGGCGCATTCTCCAGGATAGTGACTGTGACCCGAACGCTACCAACGACAAGAGATTTACACCATTGATGATGGCGAGCAAGTATGGGCGAGTTGACCAAGTTCGCATTCTTTTCCTCGACTCACGAGTTGATGTACATGTGAAGGAAGCTCGTGGATTGACGGCAGTGGAGTTGGCCAAAGACGATGAAGTGCGAAATCGAATAGACGATTTGATATTGCTTTCTCACCCTCCATTGGCCTCTGGTGATCCCTCCGGTCGTGTCACAACGGTTGTGCGGTCATTCTTTGTCGAGGATGCAACAGTGCGATTCATCCTCAAATCTGGCGCACCCTATCCTCCTTCAAAGTCCATGGAATCGTCACGGCCCGGATCAACAACTTATACTGTGACAACTTGCCGACGCAACTTTGCCGACTTCCAGCACTTGGCCAAATGTCTTGCTGTGGAGCATCCGGCATCGTACATGCCGTCTCTTTTGGATTTCCGCAACCCGTTCCAAATTCACTCCAAGCCGTCGCGGTCGGTGCTCCATGATCTCCAGGAGAGACTTGATCGCTTCCTCAAGACGCTTCTCACCCACCCGACATTTGCAACGCACGAAATGTTATGGGAATTCTTCCTAGTTCCAGAGTTGCAACCTGAATTGATGGCTGACCGTTCCCACCGTAAGGCTGCTGTTCTTTCTGAAACCATCTCGGATGAATTCGCGCCGGTTTCAATTGAAGGAATGCGCGACACAGAGCAATTTGTAACACATGCCCAGGAGATGGTGCGCGGAGTGCACGTCAATACCCGCAGTCTCATCCGCAGAGGACATGCATTCCACAACGGCACGTCTGACCTCGCCGACGCGGTGATGATCTGCTCCTCAGTACTTGCCACCCTTCGACAACCGACCAACGCACTTCCACTCTCACACATCGAGGCTTTCGCTCGTTATGCAACTTATCTTTCTACTTCCCGTTCTGACTCCTCCCCTCTCCTCCAATATCTTGCTGCCCTTTCCTCCATGGACAGCACAACCGCCGCAGTACTGGAAGCTCTCTCCCGTCCACTTTCCCTCATGTCCTCTCTATCATCAACAAACCGCCACATCGCCCGCTCTCGATCATCTCTCTTGTCCTCCTCACTCCCTCGCAAATTCAACATCAATCTTCCAGGCTTCGAAGAATCTCGACAGAGATCCGTCCGCGATCTCGAGCAAAAGATCCGCGACGGCGAAGTCGAATCCTCCCGCTTGGCAAAGGAAGTCACATGGAACAAGGATGTCGTTGTCAGCGATCTCGCTGGCTGGACCTCTTGGCGAGAAAAGGTCGGCCGCGACGCCATCCGGGCGTTTGTGAAGGATACCCTTGTACGAGAGAAAGAGCGCGGCAAGGGCCTCGAGCGTTGTTTGCGCAGTGTCCGCGATATGAATTCATGACAGCGAGGATATAGCTGGATAGACGTCTGTGTCTTCTTTTTTTGATGTACATTTCATGGCGAACATGTGTTCGGATTTGCTGTTTAATCGAGCGTTCTGGAATAGCGGCGCGGCGGGATTGCTCACATCTTTTTCAATAGTTTTTCGAAACACATTACTGATTTATCCTAGATCGCGCTTAACCTTGTGACTTGATAACTACTTTGAAGCGATTCAAGCTACTGAAACAGATCTACTCGTAAGAATATCAGCGCTAACCCTATGTCAGGGTGTATTTCGACACTTAGGGGCTATAAGTACACCCCTGTGAGTGCTATGATTATGATGGATCGAAATAATCGGATTGATGGCGCTGTAGCAGTGCCAGCGTAATATCCGGTTCTTTGACAGAAAGTCGAAATAGGTCAGGGATGGACACCCTTTCATTGGATGAAACAGAAGGATAGAATCAAAGAGACGTAGAACAACATCATAGAAAGTCTCAACCCACGCAGTATCGAATGGACAAGATGTATGGACAAGAATAGATCCTGCATGCCAAACCAACACAAATGAGGAAACCCTAACGATAACCTCGGCTCTATCAGATATTCAAACACAGAAAAAAGAAGCGTGTCAATGTATGGCTAAGCCGGAGAAGAACGTCGGAAGGGTGATGAGCCCGGGGTACGAGTGGATGACGATGAAGTCTGATTTAACTCCGAGGAAATATCCACCAGTATCGAAGGCACGATGAACGGCGGACCAATGACGCCCCGACGTGTTTGCTGAGAAGCATGAGTCCTACCGAAGGGTTGTGGATCAGACCGAGTGAGACGAAGGCCCGGAATTGGTAAATTGGCACCGGAGCTTCGCGAGGAGAGAGGGCTGACGAGGTCCCGCGGTTTGTTTTGAGAGAAAATAGAAGGAGACGAAGTTGGGCTCAGATTCGAGCTAGTGGGTGTGCCGGGAGAAGTTCCTTCCCCTGCCCGAAAAGAGCGGACAGTCTGATCCAGCGATATGGAAGCCCTCGGTGTGGGGCTTGAAGACCGCACTCCGGTACTGGCTTCTACCACCATACTTGAGGTTGAAATACTTGGTCCGGAGTCGGTAGTTGCGATTGGAGTCAGGGTGTTGACTGGGGTCAGCGTCGTGACTGAACTCGAAACCGAGGTGTCATAGCTTGTCAAATAGGGATGAGGAGGTGAATCAAGATAGGATTCTTCGAACACCATCGTGATGGAAGGAGAGCGTCCTCGTCCGCAGATGATCGATGTGCGTTGGGGTGGAACATCGGTCATGAGAAACTCATCCAAGGTCTTGCCTGTATCCTCTGCTAGAGACACGGCCGATTGACTGAACATGTCATGCTCTTGAACTTCTTGATGACGGTGGCGAGCCTGCCGCCGTAGGAAGTACCAGATCAGCAAGTAACCAGCCCCGGCGAATGTCAAGATCGAGAGGATGACGATTGCAGCGATGGCGAGCTTCTCGTAGCGCCAGTGCTGGATGGATTCACGTTCGTAATGGAAATTAGCAATGATTGAAGGGGGTGAAGTCGTCGACATAGTTGATAATCGAGTTGAAGCAGCAGAGTGAGGTGTTGCGTGGGAACTCGGCAGTTGACCACCCACTGCACCTTCTCGTCTTCAACCTCCTTCCCCAAATTGACGAGCAACGCACGACTTCTCGTGTCTGCTCAGAGCTACGTTGGAATGCTGCTATTATCAAACACGTATTTGGTGCCAGTGATCGATATTGCTGTGACAACGAACTATCCAAGGCTCTTAAAATGGCGCATTTGTTCGGATCAGTATTGAAAGAACTATCATCATCGTAATGACAAGTGAAGAACAATGAATCCACGAGATATAAACTCAAGCTCCCAGTCCCCGACAAGATTCTCATTAGGGAGAGGGACTTCACACGGAGAGAGGATATTATACAATACTGCACTTTTTGGGCAGTCCACACGGCCCCTCGCTCTTCTCTTTTGGAGCCTGTGTAGCTTGTTGCCCCTGAGAAGGCTGATCGGGCTGGGAAGATTGAGCAGTCTGAGCTGGCTGGCTGGTTTGCTTTGCAGCCCCCTCAGCAGAGGTAGAGGTTTGGGGCTTCGACTGGTCGCTACCCGGGAGTGATTTGTGGGCCTTCGAGACAGTCTCGAAGAAAGTTCTACCCTGAATTTCGGCAACTTGGAGCTCAAGAGGAGTAGGTTGCCGGGATCCATCTCCTGCCTATAGGGACCTTTAGCTACCATCGGTAGGGAACCACAGGGTCAATACTCACAGCGAATGTACCGGCACCCCAAGCGCTACCACCCCGGGTCTCATCAAGGTTGCTCAGCTGGCCGAATGTATGCTTGTATCCAAGAGGAACATATAGAAAGCCATGGCTGGGTTATATAGGGTTAGCACGAGCTGTTCACAATACCAAGGAGCAGCGCGGTGAGGCACAAATTGAGTCAGACATATTACTTACTGGGCTAGAGTGCTCATAGAGGCAAGGGGTGTCGACTCCTGGCCACCACCCTGGGTACCAGTAGAGACGAAGAGACCTGCGTGCTTGCCTGAGTATCCGCCAGAGCCCCAAATATCGCCAGTCTTGTCCCAGAAGGTTTTCCACTGAGTTGGAAAGTTACCATACCGAGTAGGGATTCCGAAAAGAACGGCATCGTATTCTAGGAGGTCATTGGGTTCAAGGATGGGATATTGGGATTTCGCAGGGGCATGCATCTTGGTGAGAACTTCCTGCGAAAGTGTTTCGTTAATCCTCGTCATGTTGTTAGCAAGCAGGCCTTATGGGATGAAATGCAAAGGAGAACGCACTGGAAGATCTTTGCATGACCACCTGCGGACTCAATTCCCTTCAGCTCTGCCTCGGCTAGCTTCTGGATGTGGCCGTACATTGAGTACTGTTGGGCGAAAGAGAGTCAGCTTTGACCTGGTAAATTCAAATCACATATGAAAGTTCTTACGAAGACAATAGCAACGCTGGGAGCCATGATTAGGGTACTAGGGACAAAAATATGAGAATACAGGTGAGGGATGGTGTGTTGGAAGAGTAAGTGGGTAAATTAATTGGGAGAGTGAAGGGAGAAGACGAGCTTTCCAAAGTACATCACTGGTATCCAATAGCGTAGGCCCCCCAATGCAAGCATGAATGTGCCATAGTATGGACCAGCAAGAAAGCCGGACCCTTGGGCAAGCCCCGGGGGAGTTGCCTTCAGATTCGGCCAGGTCTCATTCTCTGCTCACACAGCCACATCCAACACACATAACTCCATAGCTTCGGACGAAACCCTTGTTGTGCTAATCAAATTCCTAGTAGAGGCTGGGAAGAGGGTTGTTATCGGGGATAGTAAGCGTCATATGACGTCATTGCACCATAGTCATGATGCAGCATTCTGCGACTCCCAAGACCCTCAGAAATTCGTTCAAGTGTGCCTAAGCACCCGGGGAAGATCCCCAATCCCTAATTCTCTGTTCATGGCTTAGCCAAGACTTACATTTCTCGACCAATCATGATGATTTGACAATTACTGTAGTTGGAACCTTGGATGGACAGCCAAAAAGACAGTTAGAAAGACAGTTAAAAAAAGGTCCCGAAGTTGATGACAGCTCTCTTCCGTCAACAATCGAAATATGAGATTAAGCGAATATATAACTACGCCTGTGTATAAGCAACTATCGTCGTCTTAAATTGACATTTCTTTGGCATTTCGTCCCACTCATGGACACTGGAAAGACCAACGTATACCTGCTGAAGTTTCTGCCAACACATCCTAGTAAATAATTGGATCAAATTCAACATATCGATGTTCACGGTAGCCCTTGAGCTTATATTGCATGGCTTAGAGGGGCGTTAAACCACACCTAGGACACTATTTCTTAAACCATCATCTATAGTTTCAAAATGCTAAAAATACAAAAATTAGAATTCACTATTTCCCGAGATCGAAAACCTCAACCTTCTACTCCCAGAAGCCTTGGAGCCTGATTGCAGAGCAGGCTAGTGCCTACAAGGCAAGAATCTTGGCGACGGCGGCCTCGGCCACGACCATGATAGTGGCTTGGATGTTGCCGCTAGGAAGGTCGGGGTGGATACTTCCATCAACAATGAACTATAGCGAAGAAATGTCAGTATTGATAGATGCTTGAACGTAGAGCGGCAGATTGGGATAAACGGAACTAAACAAGAAACTGAGATGGAATAGCAACCAGATACATACCAGGTTGTTGGTGCCGTAGACCTTAGTATCAAGATCGACGACGGATGAGCCACCAATCTTGCGTCCATCATCAGTACCGATCTTAGCGGTGGTGGTCCAGTGAACACCTTGGGTGTAGTTCTCGATAATGGAAGAAGCATTGGTGTAGGTCTCGAGCTCCCATCCGGCAGCGTTCACATCGTCAATCAGGCCCTGCACAAAAGTCTGTGCTGCAGCTTGATCGCCCATGGTATTGAGATAAGGAGATTTGAGGAATATAGTGTTGCCGTCAACATCGAGACCGAGGGCACCGGAGGAGGTTGCGCTGTGGGTCATATAAGCGGTGATGGACACAGTATTCTCGGCAGATGGAGCGCATGATCCCTGGTAGTAACGAGTCTGACCGTCCACGTCGTTTGACGTGAAGAAAATCATGCGGTGCTTGCCTTGTGCCAATAAACCATCTCCCTCGGCATAGAGTGAGATATCAGTGGTGTCTGAGCCATTCACAATAGCGGCATAATCGGGAACATTGAATGAACCATTGGTCTTCACAACGAAGGGGAAGATGGGGTGATCCTTCAAACCCTCACCGACGGGCAAGTTGATCCATTCCTGTTCAGCTGGGAGGCTGACTCCGCTCTCCTGCGCAACCTTGATTTGCTCCTTACGACCAATGCCTGAATTCCAGAGGACGCGAGGAGTGGACAAAGCGCCCGCAGAGAGGATGACACGACCGTCCTGGGGCAAGGTAATGATTTCCGTCTCGTTAGACGGCAGTTGCACTTCGACACCGGTAATCTGACCACCCGTTCTCAAAAGTCGGAGAACCTTGGTACCCATACTGAGCTGGAAGTTGTCACGTTTCTCGGCGAGAGGTAGGTAGGTGCGTACAGGACCAGCGCGCTTCTGGTTCTCAATATTCCACGCAGGATGGCTGTAGACCTGGTACTTCTCATTAGGCTGCTTGCTCATATCAACCGAATTCCATCCCAGGTTGCTGAAGAATCCCTTCATCGTAGAATACAAGCCCTGGTCATAGAGCTTGCCATCCTGCGATGGCAAGGTGGAGCCGGCATTCCGATCATACAAACGGCCAGCAGCCGACTTCACATCGGACCACTTCCATCCCAGAGGCCATTTGTCATTGAAATCGCGCTCGGGGGGATGCACGAAGACCATATAGTTCACTGTAACACCACCACCCAACACACAGGCTGCTTGACCAGCGGTATCTGTGCAAATGTATTCATTCCATTGAGGGAGACTTCCGATGTCACCGGACAGACCAGGAACATCAATTCCGGTGAGGGTGTTGTTCCACACCAGGGTTTCATTAGAGCCGGTAGAGACAGTTGGGCCATAGCCGCGTTCAATGAGAAGAACCTTCTTTCCGGCTTCTGCGACGCGCTCGGCAGTGATTATACCAGAGGGACCACCGCCGACGATGATGTAGTCGTAGGTGCTGTTTTGGAAGGAGGAGGCCGAGGTGGTGCCAATGGCAGCCACAACCGCTGCGGCGTGGGACAACTTCATAATGCCTGCCAAGAAACCGGCAACGATAGATTAGAACTGAGTGGAATATCAGCCTTAGTCCGGATGCGAAAGCTCCGATCCTTTATACATGGCTACATGTGAGGCGGAAATACATGCGAGGCGGAAATACGGGTGTGTGGAGTGTTATCCACCTTCAGATTTTCTAGAACACCTTCTTCTAGCATCAGTGGGTCCCACGGGATGTTGTATCCTTCATAGACAGGGCTGGAGAGCAAACGAAAAAAAAGGCATGCTACACCAATCCTGGAGATATGCCACATACAGAGTAGACCACTCCGGTAATGAGCAAAAGTTGGCGGCACAACCTTGGAATCAACGGTGTGACTGTCATGAGATGGTGCTTCATATCCTTCACTTTTGCAAGTATCCCCACTTACATGAGGATTTTTTCAGCGCTAATATTTTGTCAGGCTTGGAAATCAACAGCGTTTATTAAACTATGTGGTACAGATGTTGAGAGCCCCTGAGATTGGCCAATCGGAACTCGCGGCCCCACGTGGGAAAGCTGACAAGAATTTTAGTCATTTCAGCGCTAGTCCGAATATGGTAATCGGCAACAGAATGGCAAAGGCTTGTTCCGGGCCGATCTCAACTACACATCGCTCGGTTAATGGCACTATTGAAGCATATCAGCCTTTGACGAAGCCCTTTATCCGAGACGATGGAGCCGTAGAAGGAAGTGGAAATACCCCGTGCTGCGAGTAATGGCGAGTTACCCTTGCAGCATTGATCGATCCTTTGGCAAGTTTGGATCATCGGTTTGTCCGGTCCACTCCAGATAAAGTGTCCCACCGCCTTCGGGCGGCTTCGCAGGTTAGATCCTTGCGCAACTGAGCTAACCGAACTTCGTGACCTCGGGACTGTTTTCTATCAGGCGCATCCTGTGGCCTCCAGTTGCGCGTCTCCGCCAGATCTCCTTGAATGACCTCCCAATAAGCAATACTCACGCTCGTTTTTCTGGTTACGCAAATCCTCATCTTTTTCGACATGAGCCGTCACTTCTTCCGTCGCTTGTTGCCAAAGCCGGTAGCCAATGATGGATCGCAATTGCGCGATCACCAGGCTAATGAGCGGACATTCCTTTCTTGGAACCGAATGGGACTAGCTTTCGCCGCTATGTCTCTTGCCCTCGCCCGACTCGACATCATTGACAACATCTTCAATCGCAAATCCCGCGAGGAAGCTGTGAGCCCATCAGTGCAAAGCGCTTCCTCTAGCGAGAAGCCGCGTTCAGGGACAGACCAAGGATCGCCTTTTCTGATTGGCAACTCAAGCGACCGCACAGCTAGCCGCGTTTGCCAGGCTATCAGTATCTGGTCATTTGGGTATTCTTTTGCTCGGTATATGTCTACCCGGCAGAATTTGTTGCAAGGACGCTACGTCCCTGCAATCTGGGGACCATTGTTTATAACATGCGGCTCCCTCGGTGTTTTTGGAATGACTCTCAAACTTCAGTCAGATGAGGGTCTCGAAGATGGTGCCTTGTAGGCAGTCACTTAGTGGTCATTAAGGATTGCATGCTGTGTGATAGCTATGAACGAGCTGGTCTTGTCTGTACAATAAATACAATTAGAGCGTACCATCAATTATGGGCGCACAAATATGCCATCGAGGCAAATAACAATACTCATTAGACAGAAAATATGGCTCCAGAATCGCGCTACTAAGTGAATACTGAAGCATGCCCTTTCACACACTCATCCGTTCTCTGGTTATCTTTTGCCGCTTTCAAAGTTGGCGATATAGCAGCCTAAGGTACCAAGAACAGTTTCTTTGACGGAGAAAAACCGGATTTTTCAAAGTGCTACATATAGTCCTTCTAAGAGAGTGACCAAGCCCTTTCAGACCCCGGCCATCGAAATTCAAAGGGTATTGACACAGTCCTTGTTTCAAAGGAACCATTGAATGGGCTCAGTCGTTGAGCGGAGAAATAGATATAAAGACCTCGAAGGTGGCATATTCTCGACGAACCATCATCGGCTTCGATACCACTCGCATTGAATTGCTTCTCACTTCCCTCATTCCAAAAGAACAGACGCACAGCTCTGACCGAATTTTGATCCATACTCATCTTCCTCTATTGCTCCTTATCTGTGGCACCCCTAAAAGACTCGCAAACATGACCTTAGAGTTAGATATAGACATCGCTAGTCAACATCGTCGCATCTTGGACTTTGTTAAAGTGCTGGATGATCAAGTCGAAGTTCTTCAAAGCACTCATGTGAACCGCGACGCGGTTCATGCTGCCCTGCTAGAACTTGCCTACGATGTCGTTGCCATCGGATATCATGCGGACACCGAGAGTGATGGGTACGATCCTCTCCAGATGCATTGCAAAGATGTGTCTTGGACACTCATTGTAACTAGTTTTCGCTTCACTGAGAACCCCTGCCCTACTACTTACTTGAAACATGCTGCTACGCTCTCGAACCTCCGTGACAGCCTGCAATTCTAGATCCCTGTAATTGAATTGAAATCTTGAAATCAAGAGGATTATGTTTCTGCGTACCCTAGCTTTGTAGTGTGTAAGATCAAGCCGAGAAGTTTGACTTTGAAAACAGTAGTAGCATTCACTTGTAGGCCGACAAATCGACGCAAATTTCCGACGACCCGAGGCGCCTAAGTCTGATGATCTTGTATGTTTGATCTGGTTTCCATGCGTTGTTGCGCTTCAAATTTGCGGAGAACAACTTGGCGACCAATTCTTCCCTTATCTGTATGCTCTTCCGTATACTTCCCTGCTCTCTTTTGAGCTTCTATGATTTTTTTGCGAGTCTTTGAATGCGTTGCGGTATATAGGCTTTTCATCATCCCGTGGGCTGGGTACGCTACCAACCCCAAGGCAGCTAGAACATTCTCCTGCGTTAGTTGACCATGAGCTGATCAAGATAGAGGTCAACGTACCGGATGAGACTTTGGTGGTAGCTCCAAGAGTGCCCTTGGCTAACCCCTTCATCACACCCCTGGCCCCTTCTTCCTGACCACCTTTGTAGGGCTGGGTCCATAGATCACTGAACCCTTCCGTCATTCCATGTGCGAAGTTCTTACCTGCAACTGTGGTTCCAGACTTCCAATCCCGAACATCACCATGATCTTTGACTTCGTCGCCATACAATCGCGGGACTGCTCTTAGCCCCTCACTCACAGCCAAAGGCATGTCGACAAGCATGCCTTTATAGAAGTGGCCCATCACTTTCCCCAAGCTCTTTGTTGAAGAAGCCATAGCGACACCTGTGGTTTTCATTTTTGAATTTCTTTCACTATTGGCAGTGACCACCGAAGAGGCGACCGAGGAGGAGACGCTAGGAGCACGACCGCTCGAAGGTTCAGTAGTGACATCTGCCGACGGGCTATGAGGACGACGACGGAATTCTTGATATGGGAGGAGGAAAATATCGCCTGTGGCTTTCACTATATCGGTGCTTGTGCCAATGAGAGAGGAAGTGGTACCTGTGACAGGATCCCATCGACGATTTTGAATATAGATTGGATTGCTTGCATAACTGTTTTTCTGTTAGCGAGATCAAAAAAAGAAAGAAAAAAAAGCAGGCTGAGAGGAAAGAGGAAAGAGGAAAGAGTCGATCAAAGCTGTGGACTTCACTTACGGCTCCAGGTCACTTGACTTCAAACGGTGGTGCTCGACAAGTACCTCCGCCGCAAGCCGAGACAAGTGCATTGGCTTTGAGGCCTTCTTCAATTTCCACACCGCTGGCTCTGATGTCAACAAATGACATCGCATACGATCCAAAGGTAAATTGCGATGGAAAGACGCCACTGCGGTCTTGACTCCAGTTTCATCCCGCATCTGTCTAGCCACATCTCGAGCTGCGGCCTGAGCTGAAGGTTGAAGACAGAATTGAATGGCCTCTGCTAAGTTTTCCGCAGTAAGGGATTTGTGAGGAATAGGCTTCGGCCCAAGCCCGCGAGAGGCGATCAAATTGCCCCAGAAAAGTTGACTGAGTGAAGTCAGCATGTCTCAGTCGCACCAGATAAAACGAAGTGGAACTTACTCCCCAAAGAATGGTATGATGGCTGTGGACTTTCCGAAAAGCAATCCACATGCCGTGGTTCCTGCACCACCGTGATGGACCACAGCAGAAACGTGCTGGAAAAGCCATTCGTGAGGACAATCATCGAGATAGAACACCTGGTCGTTCGAGGATTCTTCGCCCAATCGGCTCCAGCCTCGAGACACTATTGCACGAATACCTAGCGTCTTGATTGCCTGGAGTATCAACGCCGTCATCCCAGCAGAATCTTCAATAACAATACTGCCAAAACCGATATACACTGGCGGAACTCCATTTCGAAGAAAAGCATCCAGATCCGGGGGTGGTTTGTAGTCTGGTTGCGAGCGAAAGAAGAACCCACAGACATCAATGTGCGATGGCCATTCGAGTGGCTTCGGCATCAAAGACGGAGACCAGCAGTATGTGAAAGGGATCCGAAGAGTGTCGCATAGAGACGGGCCTTCGGTCGCCGGTATAGGTTCCAGATCTAAAGTCGCCCTCCAGTCATTGATCACATCGCCGAGACTATCAATGTCAGTACCCAGACTGATATCCGTTCCCAGGGAGAAAATCATACCCTTGCCATGTCATCCACTCAACAATGCCATATGACACAAAATTCGCAATTGTCGGTTCCGTGTTTGAATATTTCAAGTTTGCCAATGGATGGGGAAACGATTTGGTGCTGGTCCAGGGCATAGTAAACATCATATGCAAAGGAATCGAGAGAGCCTGCGCACAGTGAATATGTGCAAAGCTCGGAGGGTTGGCGATTATGGCATCGGCAACAAACGGGATGCCACTGATCGGATCGTCATTGATGCAGGATTCCCAGCAACCCGTCAACATCTCCGCCACCATTGCCCTTTTACGCTGGATCTCCCCGTCACGCAAAGTCTTCATTTGGGGGATCAAACCGGGATTTTTCACCATATATGCCATCAGCTCGGATGGGTCTCCTCCAATAGGGTAGAATTCCAGGCCAGACTTGGCAACAAAATCTTCGAATATGTTATGGGTGGCCAAACGCACGCGGTGGCCGTGCAATTGAAGCTCATTGCCCAAGGCAATAAATGGTTGCACATCACCTCGGCTTCCGACAACTTGAATAACAATATTCAAATGAATGTCACAAACCCCACTTCCGGGGGGATGTGAAAGATCAGGTTCCTCGCGCGGCGCCGGAATTAGCTTTGTGAGAGTCCGGCAAAGCTTGGAGTCAAGATCCAGTCTTATACGTCCATCATCTAGAAGATCTTAGTATTCGCTGAATTGAGATGACCTCTTAGAGTAAGTTGATCGATACCTTGAACGTGGGGCTCTTCTGGGGGCCATCCGGCCGCCTCAAGCATGGAGTATCTGGGCGGCTGATCATCATTAAGCTCTGATGACTGAACCGCAAGATTAGACATTTCTTGGCGAAACCCGAATGCGAAATAGCAATTGATTCCAGATAAACAAGAGAGGTCGAGGATTGTTGTTGGAAGACCAGTCGGCTATTATGAATTATGAGACACCATATCAGCCCTGAAGGCAGCATGCTATTGACATCAAACTCAAAAAAACTCTTCAATCAATAGTAGGACAATCTCGCAATTTTTGATGCGCTTTTAGGCACTCATTTTCCACTAGAAACATCATTGAACCCGACTTTTGGCATCTATACGGACAGACTAGCCCGGATCGACGAAGGAATACGATTACGATTTTAGCGCCTGATGAAACAGCCAATGAGAAGCTTTCGTTGGCTGTTCGGGTTTGATCCGGTCTTTATTGGAGCCACGAACTGAACGTAGATCGCAAACATGATTATCAGGGACCATTGAAAATCAAAATGGTCTATGGGGTATAATGTCAGTATGGTACAAAGTCCCAACAAATGAGATAGGGGGGGCTTCATCCCGACGTGAAAGAATTTGCACAACCCATTCTATACGCGTATAGCTGTGGGGTCAGTAGAGGTGACCACGTACAATCAACATTTGCGTACGGAGTATATCGCCTCGCCGTTTCCCTCGTTTCTTCGTATTCTCTTTCACTTCTGTTCTGGCTGCGCTACTCAGAGATCGCGCGTGCATGTCGCAGAATGTGGTAACTGGTCCCTGGCCAGTGCATTCTGTCACAATTCTTTCAGCCCCTTATTGGTTACTCCGTACTGCGCCCCCTTTCGTGCATTTCTCTTGTTTCCGTGGTGGCTTCATTGCCAGAGTATGGTCTACCTGCACGAAGTCATTACGAAGTTGAGCGGTATGCCTGCCTCCAATCACGAGCAAATGTCTAATCACCGAGGGAGAGGGAGGATATGCTCTCTTTTAAACAGAAATGTGCGGTTCTATCCAGCCAAGCCTTGGCACTCTGCCAATTTCAATATTGGCCACGGCCTGATTTCGGTCTCAGGCGTTTTGAATTCCGCCGGATCTTCATAACAACCGTTACCGGCCTCGGAAACTCACTTTGGGAGCATAAAACCCGCTGAGTCACTCAAGGCTTGCGAGTGCTTGTTTCACTGCGGCCCACACCGGACTAGACCTCCAAGGAAACTTTGACACAATGCCGGATACGGACACGGATTTTGTAGGGCTGAGCGGATCACTGAAGCCCCGTGATAGGCTACCGATCTTGTTCTACGGTGTTCCACGGTGGTTTGACTCTCATTACCTGAAATTATCTGGAACCTTTTTGGCTCTAGTGGAGATTCATTGAAGAACAAGTCAAGACCGGGGACGGGATACCGATGACCCGACTCCGACCCTTGACAAACCTTGGCGGGACTCAAATGAAAATTCTACACAGCACTTTGAGTCGAATTTTTCTTGATCAGGCAAAAGACAAAGGAAAATATGATCCAATCAACAAGGATTCAAAAGGGGCTCAGCCAGTAGCACCGTTTGCATCCAGTCGAGTTGAAAACCGGAGCTTGGCACAAAGACAATATCCGGTCCACCGAAGAATGCGAATACGGCAGTCTATTTTCGCTATTCTCCACCCGAAGATTCCGGTATACTAATTATTATGCATATTACAGAGTTTCTGCACAGGAAAAGAAGCGGAGGTGGGGGAACCTTGGAAAGGGGGAATATAGACAATTCTTTTTGGCCGGCTATTGGAAGCCCTTCATATTTAATCTCTCGTGACCTCGTTTCCAGAGAGATTTCGGCCTATCTTCTAATTATAATTTCACCTTTCTTGTCTCAATTTCATTGGCCAAGTGCGAAGCTTCTTGTGAAGTGTTGCGCTACATCCAATACGTCCAGTATGGCGACTAGCAACCTTCATGTCCGCGATTCACCGGACCTAGGCAAGCCGCAGCTGGCGTCTCATGCATGGCTGGAACCTATTGTGAGTCCATTCTTAGGGGGATAACGCACAACAATCGCCGTTGATTTTAATACGGGCATTGATAGGTGGTTGTGAGCATCATGGTTGGGTCCTTGATCCTCAATCGTCGTCGTGATTCTGGCAGAAGCTCGACAGCATCGAGTAACTACAACTACTCCCTACTGGAAGATGGAAACGCTTTGAACGACAATGACCTACATGCGAAGACCGAAAATGTATACGGCATCAACATCAAGAAGCTCGACTCATCACGTTGGGCAAATCATATTCACAGTAGAATCTTGCAAAAGTTTCCTTTTTTGGTTGAAATGTTCTACTGGGCTATGAATTACCTCTTTTATTCAGTCACGAAAAGCACAGCACAGTGGCTATCACCAGCTCAAATAGGCGTTGTCCAAGTTGCACGCGATCATGCCACCGATATCCTCGACTTTGAACACCGGACTGTATCTTGGATGTTTCCGATAAAGGAAGTGGATTTCCAACAGTTCTTTATCAACAGTCACCCGGGAATCCTCACTGTTTTCAATCGGATTTACTCCCTGGTCCATATCCCGGGGACCGTGTTGTGAGTATTTCCATCACCTTTCCTGGTTGCACAAGATAACTCATCAACTAGGTTCCTTTCATGGTACTATTATTCTGCAAAGAACCATGCATCCTTTGCCGTGGCTCGAAGGACCATGACCCTCGGCAACCTCGCCGCCTTTTTGGTGTTTTGCGTATACCCCTGCATGCCACCGCGACTGCTTCCCGAATCGTATGGATTCTATGATACTGTACGGCAAGGGAATGCCGAGAGTGTCTGGGTTGGTGGGAAGTCTGTGAATCAATTTGCGGCTATGCCAAGTCTGCACTTCACTTATGCTTTCGTGATTGGCGGCACCTTTCTGCACTATTCCGGCGTACTGCAACGGATTCGCGGCCAGTCACCATCAAAGTCCAAGATGACCGAATTTGGATTCCTGGCTCTTTCCATTCTTTATCCAATGCTTGTTCTAAGTGTCATTGTTGCCACAGCAAATCATTACTGGCTAGATGCTGTCGCAGCAATTTTTACAGTGACTTTGTGTTATCGCTGCAACAGGATCCTTCTTTTGCTTCTGCCAATCGAACATGCTCTTTGTTGGGTCTTACGTCTAGCAAAACCCATACCTACCACAGGCGATAGGGGCGGTGCACGTGAGAATTGGAGCTGAATGCCGCAAATGGCTAGGTCATGAAGTTTCAACCTTGGAATGCTACAGGGCTATGTTGAGGCTTGAGTGTCTGTTATATTTTAGGATCGAGCTTACATCGACAGAACTATGAGAGCTATAGATACAGCGCATTGTGGGCGTATATAGTGTAATAAACCACAAGTACAGAATTTACCGCACTCCGTGAGCATTCTGTCCCAGCGATACTCAACATATAACTAGCGTTGGCTGGAATGGGACTAGAAGCTAATAATATAGAGCGCCTGTTGAGCTGTCTGGTGAGTCCACTTTGCCTTTGCCACTCAATTCAGTAATTCCCCGGCACAACAGGGGCCCGCAACATGGTTAAAAATCCATGATCTCCGGTGCTCTAAGCTCGCCATGATTCCCGAGGTCGCCCGGCTTACCGAAGCGAAGCCAAACAGACACTGCTTGAGTCCTCTCTTATATTCCTCTCGCAGGCCCTGTGTCTGTTTCTTCGATGCAGGTGAGATCCATGATAATTTACAAGACCTTAGGACGGTAGTCAACATTAATGAGACTCTTTTTCCTCTTCTGATTCTTCTTGGTCACTGCCTTCTTCATCTTCGCTATCGCTCCCTTTATCAAAGGGCCACAGAAGATGGTCATCTCCATCTGGGTCACCAACATGTGAAGCATTGGGGATAGTCTCCTCAATCCCCTGAATCTCCTTCAATTGAGACTGACCTGACTTCCAGAAATCCATCAAACCATCCATCTGCTCATCATGGTCTTGGCTTTGGCCCTTCTCGTATCCACGGATGCACAGATACTCCAGAGAATCGGGCAAGCAGTCTGCCAAAATTGCCCTGTCTTTAATCTCATCGGATGACCCGCTAACACCTTTAGCCAAGTACAACAGAAAATTCACCCCCAAGCTCAATCGCCTCAAGGAAACAAATTCCCTCAAAGATCCACTGTTTTCCCAAATTGCTTTGAGAAATTCAGAATCATGTTCATCGGATCTGACTTCATATGGACTTCCATATTCGTTGAGCGAACGCTCCACGTCTTCGACATCATCATAACCAAATGCGGCTATGTCATCTTCGACGTCAATGTCAATGACTTCCAGTGTTTCCTTGTGATCACAAATGGCTTTGATGAATGATTTGGGATTAAAAATGAAATGCCCTCCGTCATTGCTGGCTCTCCCTCCGATGGAATAGCGAATTTCTTTGAGAGCCTTGCGCGACCATATCAAGCGCTCCAAGTAAATCGATGAGACGGACGAGTGTTGTATAGATATCGAACTGATGTTGCAAGATTTCTTGTTGAAGTTGAGATGCTCGATATCACTCTCTTCCATCGCATCGGTGCTGACTGCCTCGATGGATGGCAGATGATCGAATAACCTCGTGAAATCATAAAAATCCATTGCGACATAGAAGCGCCCATCCTCCCACGTGCTGTCCGTTTTGCTGATCATATAAACACTGCGGAGATTGCGAAGATAGGGTGTGGACTCAGTGCTGCTGTTTGCCTGGCGGAGAATTTGATCAAGCGGAAGGTCAATCTCGGAAAACCTGCAATAGGGGTTCGTGGTGGCTATTGACACAATGTTTGGCGATACTGCTATGATGATGGCCGCCAGGGCTTGTGTGACAAAAGTCGCAAAGACATCTCGTTCTCTGTTTATAAAGTCAGTATAATACTTGAGGTATCGAAATTCCACAAATGGCCTTACCTGTAACCACTGAATTGATTGAGCGCGTTGTCCATCCTTTGCATCAGCATATTAACCACTCGATCCTCTTTGGCTCCTAGAAAGCCTCCCATTCTGACTGCTTTCCGAACGAGTGTCATTTCTTCTGCGCTTAGTTCCCGCATGGGCTCAGCTTCTTTATAATCCATGTTACGTGTAACGACAGTGTTATTCTCAAGATGGCGCACATAAAGGGCCAGCTCAGGTCGCTTCAAAATGTCCAAGAGAAATTCAAACGCAGTGTCGACACCGGATTCGCCCTCGGCAATGATGATTTGGTGGTACTTTTTGCGAGCTGCCATGTCACACATGGAGTGAAGCGCGCGGCATTGAATTGACAGGGCAGCCACATCGCGATTGGAAAGGAGGTATGATATGATTTGGCAGTGGATCTCGAGGGGTAGGGCCAGAATAGACATTGTGAGATTCTGACAGTCTCTTCACGAGAAACTTGGAGGTCTTTATCTGGTGGTTTTTCCTCGCCCGAAGAGGATTAGCCCAGGCACCCGCTGTGCTGCCTGGGGACTTTATCTTGGCATTCAAGACATCTGGCATCTTCAGTCCTTCATCATTTGGCCCAATTTCCGGTGACCTTGGTCACAACAAGATAATCGAACAATGCAGGGTTTTGCGAGAAACATGGGAGGTTAGGGTAGTAAAGGACAGAGCAGGGACGATCTGAGATGAAGTGTGTAAAACAAACTAGTCTCAGTTAGGAAATGAATCAGGCAAAATCAGGCCACAATCCTCCCGAGGCTCCGATCTCACTCCGCAGTCGAGATAAGCTCACGGAGTAAACAACCTTGGAAATCCCCGTAGGAGCCTCTGTCACCGCTTGCGTGTGGTCTTTTAACACAAAATACCGGGCAAAAAGACAAACAATAATAGCAAAAGTCTTCTATTTTGAATTAGTTCTTAAATACTACCTTCTTGATCTTTTCATGGTCAGTCTTGGTTTCCCATATATTTTACCCAGGCTCCTTGGGCTTTCGCATCTCTTATTTTATGGTTAGTATCACACCCGAGTAGGTAGTAGAAGGGAGGGGTCGCATTTGCTACTTATCATATAGTATGTACGCCGTCTTTTGGTTGTAAAATTGTGTCTATCTTTTTAATTTTTCACATGGGTATTCTATGGAAAATTGTCAATACGTCGCTGACATGTCTCAACCTGCTCAATATCAAATTGCAGCTGTGGGGAGCCATATGATCGGAAAAGACATATTTGTGAGATACGCTTCACACCTTGACCAAATGCCCCTAGGATAAAGCAACCAACCATCTTTCCTAGCGCCGTGCCAAGTAAAGCATTATACTGCGGGCTTGAGGAGTTCCAAGTAATCACAGCATCACGCGGGTACTCCAATTCCGTACCAGCTGCGTATATAAATTTATTGATGAACCTGGCGGTATCGTGATTCTGGATATCGGTCACCCAAATATGCTTCAGGTCTTGGAGATTGAATTTCTGAGCATAGACAGCGTGAGTTAGCTCGGAAATAAAGGGATCATCGGAGCACTTCGCTCGTTCGACATTGTTGATAAAGATTACACCCGGTCCAACTACACCAGTCCATTGAGTCAATGGCCCTTCGCTTTTCATCACCATTGTTCCCCGATAAACTGACTCTTCGCTCGTCTTGTCGACACCGGTCGGGATTCCAACGCGCTCCAACCACTTGTAGTGTTCGGGTTCCAAATGCTCGGCTGAAGACGCGATATCCCAGTCTGAGCGGTCTGGTGACAGGGTATCTAGAGTTAGAGTGATCCTGGCAACTTTGCACCCGGGCTCACTTGCATTTTCCATCCATTTACGGATCTGGTTCCCGGATTCCTCCCAGGGTGGAAATGATGACATTGTGTTCTGTCCCCGATCCCGACTGATTCTATATCTCATCTCGTTACGAAGTCTTTGCAATTAATTGCTGGTGGTAGGGGGCTGGCGAGATAGACTGTGTTCAAAAGGGATTTCTCTGATAATCGAACAACTACATACATCGTATATATTACATGTCCACTGAAGACAAAGATCATTGTTTCTGCGCACATCAAAGCCATCGTGTTGGACCGACAAATTTAGGCACAAAGGGAGATAATGTCTTTCAATCCCAAGGTTGCTAAGTTTGGCCACAGAGTTTGTAGCAAGCGCCAGCCATGCCTTTATTTTATGTTCAAACGCCAATGCCGACAAAGAAAAACACCAAATAGCAAATGTGGGAATTTTGCGATGAAAAAGATTGAAAGTGGTACCGCGCTGTGTAAGTCGAAGAGGCTACATACTGTGAGCAATCCACGGGTAAAACTCACAGGCGGAAACAAATTCCAGGAGGAAGACTAAAGGCAGTCGATTGACAGTTCAGCTACTCCGTATACCACAAGAGACTGACCAGGAATCGGTATCTATTCCGAGAAAGCTAGGGTATATTTAAAACAGATTGAGATTATCGGGGCGAAAGTAAAATGTGTGGTGTTGTGTCCGGCAAGCCGAGTCAGACGCTACCTTGTCCGATAACATGCGATCATCACGACCCGAACCATTCGGGTGAGCATGCGACAAACAATTCCCTCATATGAGACATCTTGCAAGGAGAAACCTACGAAACCGGTTTGGTTCAAGCTGCAGCGATCGACCGTCACCTTGAAAGTATCATGTTCTCTGCACCTCTACAAAGGGTGGGCGCATTACGTTCGAGGCTTGAGTACTCCGTACGGAGTATACAGTCCCTGAATTGAGTGACGCCATCGAAATGGACTGACGGGAGCTAGGGGTAAGGGGCTGTGGAAAATGGCAGTGGGCAGTTGTAACGAGTCAGGCGATAGTCGAAACAGGCAGGTATGCACGTGAATCGCGAGACACGACTCAGCGAGTGTCGGGTAATGATTCCGCACAGATTCAAATCAAATGAGCTACTCCGTACCAACCTTGGAATTTGATACATTTATAAATGTGAACTATATTTTATTTAAACCATCAAAAAATTAGGTAACGAACCACAGCCATGGGCTGGAAGATCCGGGGAAAGCTATCGATCGAATAGGCTTTCATGCAACCATGGCAATAGTTCGAATTAGATTAGGCTTAATTCGCCAGGCGACTCCATTCTGCTCCGTCCTACAGGGCACAATCGTGTAGCGCCCGATCTGATGGACGTACGTAATGAGTCGATCTGCAAGGAAAAGGAGAAGAAAAGCAAAAATGTAAATATGTGTATGCAAGAATAATGCCTCATGAAAAGAATGACAGGTCTAAATCACAATGTATGAGCTCATTCCACATTCCACGCGATCGCCAAGCCCACTCAAGCCTTTTCCTCAACGTTGGGAACTGCAGGTTGGGACCCGAGACGGGGACGCACAAAATCCTGTCTGTACGCGGTAGAGCGAGGCATAGAGAAACAAATTATTAATAGCAAACCGACGCCTTACACAAGTCCAGGTGCGGTGCGGACAAGGGGGTCCAATCACCGGGAAGAGATCAAATCCCTGGATTCCGAATTGTTTCTGCGCTGATGTGGGCAGTTCCCTGAAGAGTACTCCGTCGAAAATAATCGCGCAGACCGTGGAGAAGCCAGACCCGGGATAAGTAATCAAACCCCTGTCGGCGACCGAGAGCCATTCAGGCTGCAGAACACATCGCCAACGCAGCGGATTCGAAACCCAAAGGTCTCACCGGTGAGTTTCCGATCGGAAGACGCCTTTCTGTTTTTTCCCTATCTGCCGGATTATCCTCGCAAATTGGGAGTGGGCAATTTAGTACGGCAGGCTCCGTCGCCGGCCTCCGCAGTCGATTTTCCTTCCAGAAGCTCTTTTGCCCACAACCCAATCGGGACAAAGAATAAATAAATCCCCAAAAGAAACACCGAGCTTAAGACTCTTGGGGTAATAAGTGGGTCTGCATTCGGCACTATCTGCGGCTCTGGGAGCTCGTAGCTGTGGATTGCAGTCGCCGGCGGTGGTTGAGGTGGAGATGGTGGACCCCTTCTAGGGCCGATGGAGACTAGTCTGTCTCTATTTCCTGTCTCCCCGGCTTCTTGAACCAATCAGCTTACTTTCGTTAAACACAAAATTTCTTTGCGACTTGTCAGCTCCGATAGTTTCAAATCTACACTGTACATGTCTGTCCTCGATATCTCCAACTTTCTGACCCGAGTGTCCCCCTCATGCTGCAATTGCTCGTACATTTGTTACCGTGCAGCTCTCAGTACATAGCTGGAATGAGGCATAAATCCCGCAACCCTGGACTGTCCACGTCAAGTCGGATCTCCGCATTTGTCGGAGTCGGCGCCCCCCGTCTCCACAGACGGCGAGACTCCTCCTTACCTGGATCTGCCTTCCGAGCAATTAATAGAAAAATAGCAAAATAGAAAATAGAAAAAAAAAAAAAAACCTTTCAGGATCCAGATTCCAGAATTGCATTCACGCAAAACGGTTCGCTGTCAACACCGAAATGGAATCCACATGGGCCCTTCCGTGGCCCTCAACCCCATCCACGTCCGAGTCTTCCCGACCTCAAATCATGACTCTTTCTTTACTATACCGTGTCGCCTGGACACGCGGTCCCGGTTAATTATCTGGTCATCGCCGTGTCTGTGTCGGAATGTCCTGGATGATGTGCGCACGAACGTCCCAGGGGAAATTTAATATGCTGCCTCGTGTACATAAAAACAGACTCTCATCTGCTTCTCACTCTTTTTCTTCTTTCTATCATTCTACCTCTTCTCCATTGAGCAAATCTTCCACAATGGCTCGATACCCTTCATTGCCTACTCAGCAGACCCGGATGGTGCATGCCACCCCGGCGCCTTCCGTGAACCACGCCTCACCAGCGTAAGTCCCTGCTGTTCTTGTCGCAAGAGCTGCGATTCAATGCGACGGCGGTTGCTAACCCAGCACCTCCAGTGATGCCAACTACGATACCGCCAACCCTTCATATATTCGCAAGTACCTGCGCACATACGGCCTCACTCCTCCTCGCGCCGAGGGTTACGAAACCCAAAAGACCCGCTGCCTCGCCCAGCTCGGTCTCAAGAACACCCCCATCGACAAGTTCCTCTACCTCAGCACACTTCGCAAGAACAATGTTCACCTGTTCTACCGTCTGGTGACCGACCACCTCAGGGTACGTTAATATCCGAGCCATGTGATTGGACCGGGAAAAATTGGAGATTGGAGATTCACGAAAACTAACCGCCCCCGCAGGAGATGACTCCCCTCATCTATACCCCAGTTGTGGGCGAGGCCTGCCAACGCTGGTCCGAGATCTACCAGCAGCCCGAAGGTAAGATCTGGATGATCCCCACGAATTGGAACCGGAGACGCTAACCCGCCTGTGCAGGTATGTACCTTAGCTGGGAAGATCGCGGAAATCTGGCTTCCGTCATCGCCAATTGGCCCCAGCCCTCCGTCGAGATCACATGTATCACCGACGGTTCTCGTATTCTCGGCCTGGGTGACCTGGGCATCAACGGTATGGGTATTCCCATCGGAAAGTTGGCCCTTTACACCGCTTGTGCGGGTATTCGTCCCGAGGCCACCCTGCCTCTGACCCTCGATCTGGGTACCAGCAACAAGGCCCTCCGGGAAGACCCGCTCTACATGGGTAGCCGCCGTGACAAGATCTCCCCCGAGGAGGAGCGTGAGTTCTTGGACGAGCTGATGACTGCTCTTACTGAGCGTTGGCCCGGGTAAGTCGCTTCCACGGTATCACATGTGGATCATTGGCACTAACAAGCTTCTTTTAGTATCGTCATCCAATTCGAGGACTTCAAGAACCCCTTCCCCGCATTGGAGCGTTACCGCGACACTTTCACCTGCTTCAACGATGACATCCAGGGTACTGGCGCTGTCATCCTCGGTGGTGTCATCAACGCTGTCAAGCGCTCCGGTCTTCCTTGCAAGGACCACCGTGCCGTCTTCTTCGGTGCTGGCAGCGCCGGTGTCGGTGTCGCCCGCCAGATCGTCGAGTTCTTCATGCGCGAAGGCATGACTGAGGACGAGGCCCGCAACTGCTTCTACCTCGTCGACACCAAGGGTCTCGTGACCGCTGACCGCGGTGACAAGCTCGCCGACCACAAGGTCTACTTCGCCCGCCGTGACAACGAGGGTGCTCAATTCAAGACTCTCGATGAGGTCGTCGACCACGTCAAGCCCTCCATCCTGATGGGTCTCTCCACCATGGGTGGCGTCTTCACCCCCGAGATCCTCCGCAAGATGGCCGACTGGAACGCCGCCCCTCTCATCTTCCCCCTTTCCAACCCCTCCTCCAAGTCTGAGTGCGACTTTGAGACCGCCATCCAGAACACCGATGGTCGCTGCCTCTTCGCCTCCGGCTCCCCCTTCCCCAACTGCACCTTCACCAACTCCGCCGGCGAGACCCGCACCTACTACCCCGGCCAGGGTAACAACATGTACGTCTTCCCCGGTATCGGTCTTGGCAGCATTCTCTCCAAGGCCGTCCGTGTTACCGACAGCATGATCTACGCCTCCGGCGAGTCCCTCTCCTCTGCCCTCACCGCCGAGGAACTCGAGCGCAACCTCCTGTACCCGGACATCACTCGCATCCGCGATGTGTCCATCGTCGTCACCCGCAAGGTCATCCGTGCCGCCCAGGAAGACAAGGTTGACCGCGAGATTGCTCTCCGCGCTCTCTCCGATGTCGAGCTTGATAACTGGATCCGTGCCCGCATGTACGATCCTCACACCGAGGTTCGCGCTCTGGAGCGCGAGGTCGGCCATCTTCTCTCTTCCCTGGGCACAATCTCCCCTCCCCTCACTGCCAACGGCTCCCCCACTGAGGAGAAGAACGGCGCTAAGCTGTAAGCATGTGCTCGGCAACACAAAAATACCTTCTTTTCCAGCTTTGGATCTCGACGTGATTGACTCACATCGGTTTACTTTTTTTGGCTTCTTTCCAGCGCACTTGCACTTGCACCTTTCCGCCTTTTCCGGGTCATGACTCCTTGTTTGCTTTCATCTTCATCTTTGCCTCTTTTTTTTGATAGAATACCCATCACTTTCTGTTTGGTCACTTTCGGGGCCTTTGCATTTGGGAATAGTTAGCACCTATTGTCAAGAATGAACAAATTAACTAAGAACTACTTTTGTGTCTTCGTAATCACTTCGATTCCAACCTCGGAACTACTGTATTGTATGATTTGTCTGACGTGTAACGGCAGTCTCTATCGCTCAGGTCGGGCCCGTTTCCCCCGACACGACTCCGTACATATTTGAGGAACAACATGGTAATCAACCGTGCCCCACTGCCCAAGGGGAGAACGGATGAATTAAACACCCGATTTGCCTCCCAAAATTCGGTCGAATTTCGCACGGAGCGATCAAACCCCCCGATGACTAAGATTCAGCCGAGGTACCTCCTGTGGAGGCGATTTTCACAGTTTGGATATTGAATACATAGGGGATGATCGGTAGCTTGGGCTATTGTTCAGATAGAGAGATCAATTTAATACTGCACGGTTGGATTGAACTTCGAGGTCTCCAATTGCCCGACGCAGGTACAAATCCTTGAAGTAAACATTGCATATGCACGCCATGCCGTCTCCTCTTGCAGACCCCGTTAAGCTTCCATGCGGTCTAGTACTGCCCAATCGACTCAGCAAGGTAAGCATGGTCATATGTAAGCATGGTCATATTCATGCTCGCGAATAAGCATGCTTGCGCTTTTCTATCGCTCCCAGAAGGCTAATTCCACTACAGGCTGCAATGGCCGAGTTGATGGCCAAGAACAACCATCCGACAAATACTCTTGCCGATGCCTATGAACAATGGTCGGACGGTGGATGGGGAAGTATTCTCACAGGTATGTCATGAGATACCTTGTTCTTTGAGAATCCATAATCCCTAACAATCCACAGGAAACGTCCAAGTCGACGTAAACCACATGGGCAGTCCTTTCGACCCAGCCTTGCACAGCGAATACAAGAGCCCAGATAGCAATGCCGACCTCGTTGCTCAATGGAAAAAATATGCCGACGCCTGCCAAAAGCACGGTACCCCGGCCATCGCGCAGATCTGTCACCCAGGTCGGCAATCATTCCGCGGCGCAGGCCACAGAGGCCTGTTTGCGCAGACATTAGCGCCCAGCGCGGTGTCTATCAAGCTTGGAGATGGCTATCTCGAGCGGCTGCTAGCCTGTTTGGCCTGGACGTCACCCAAGGAAATGACATCCCAAGATGTCGAGCGTGTCATCGCCCAATTCGTTGATACCGCTCGACTCATGGCCGACGCCGGTTTCTCGGGCATCGAACTGCACGGTGCTCACGGATATCTGATTGGTATGTATAGCTCGATGCATACTCACGCCTCGCGCTGACCTTTTCTTCATAGATCAATTCCTCAGCGGAAAGGTAAAGTCATAATGCGACCGACAGCACCAATGGTCATAAAACTAACACAGACAGACAAACCTCCGAACAGATGACTACGGCGGCACACCCGAGAAGCGTGCACGCTTCGTCCTAGAAATCCTATCCCAAACTCGCAAAGTCGTGCCTGCGACCTTCTGCATAGGCATCAAGCTTAACTCCGCAGATCACGACTCCGCAACCTTCGAAGAAACAATGACTCAGATCGCGCTTCTCGCTGACGCCGGTATCGACTTCATGGAAATTTCCGGCGGAACGTACGAAGACCCCTCGATGATGGGGTACGCCAAAGCGCCCCGGAAATCCGAGCGCACAGCCGCGCGCGAAGCCTTCTTCCTCGAATTCTCGAAGGAAGTTCGATCCCGGCATCCTGGGTTGGTGCTCATGTTGACAGGTGGCTTCCGCACGCGCGCTGGTGCAGAGGCTGCTATTCGAGATGGTGCTTGTGATCTCGTGGGAATTGGGAGACCTGCAGCTGTGAATCCGAAGTTCCCGCGCCTGTTGCTTGATGAGGGTGTGAAGGATTCGGAGGCGCAGTTGCCATTGAATAAGGCGCCTGTGCCGTGGTATACGCGCTTCTTGCCGGCGAACTTGATCGGGGCGGGGGCTGAGAGTGTAAGTTGTGTCTGTGGACTGGGATTTAGGACTTTAGGACTTCGGCTGACCTGTTCTTAGACTTATTATGCGACACAGATTCAGCGCCTGGCTAAAGGGCTTGTTACACTTGCACCGCCATTGTAGGATTGTGTGGAGGATATGCGCGAAATCAGGTCATAATATCCGAGGACTGTGAGGAGTACCTAGTAATAGATCGGCATGAACAAGATAAAATCACATAGTATATCGTATTGAATCAAAAACCTCCATGTATAGTATAAAGTACCAAGTTCGTGCCTGGGGTGATTGGTGTAGTTGTGTCGTCATGTGCGCGGAGAAAACAGGTTGTGTCGATCCCTCAAGCTTCCTCCGATCTACATTGGACATGCCTGACAACCTCTGACTTAACAACCCGAGCATCTGGCTATCACGCACTTACCAAATTCCATAATCTATCTCCAGCTCTAGGGTTCAACATGCCCTCCGAGACTGAACCCCTGCTCCCTCGCTATGAGGATGACACCTCCCGGCAGCGTCGCCTCCACCAGAAGCTCCACAGCTACCAGATGATCCGCGCCATCTCCGAGGGATATCTACCAACCACCGAACAAACAATTGCAAACCTCCGCACCCTCCTCGCATCGGATGTCCTCAATCTCCGCAATCAAGATATCGGCAGTGTCGGTCGCCAGCTAGTGCGCGACACACGCTTGTGGATTCAAGTCTTCATCGAGTTCCTCCAGCAAAAGAACAACCAGGATCAACTACAGGAGTTCCTCTGGCGGCTGGCCCGCTCGCGCGTCCACGTAGATAGCGACAGAGTCTCTAGACAAGCTGCGAATGTGAAGGCACGGGCTGATACCAAAGCTGGTGGGTCGATACTCCCCCAACTTCCGGGCTTGGCGCGTCTGCCTGGTTCGCGGGCCGATCGCTAATATCATCTCTACAGCATATGACAGTTTCCGTACCATCGGTGGTCTCCTATTGACCAATGCCGATTTCCGTTTATTCGTCGACGATATTGTTACCGTTGGCCGCCAGATCTTCGCCGACACCGCGGAGTCCCTCGCGGAATCTTCCAAGCTTGTAGCAAAGCAGGTGCAGCCATCTGCGGAGGAAGAGTCGGCGCTCAATGGGGCTGGTGCCGATGAAGGACATGAATTGTCGAAGGATGAGTTGAAGGAGGATGCCGCTCAGGTAGCGGAAGCCACTAGGGAAGGGCTTGCCCACACGGGACACGATGCCGTGCAAAGTGCGAAAGAGCACCTATCTGGCAGGGAGAGAGATACTCTTCTCTTCCGACTGAAACAAGCTGTTCAGAAACTACGTCAGAGGACAGACTACTCTGACTCGGTCGCGACGCTTGCCAAATTGCTGCAGCGGTACGCTAAGATCTACGCCGAGGTCGCGGAAAACACTACCTCGACCGCGGAAGAAGATTTGCAGGCCAATGCTGACCTCAAATGTGCGGTCGATGAGTTTTGGGTTCTCTTGCGATCATTTGGCAACGCGGAAGAGTGGGACAAATTGCAGGAGAAATTCCACAATGTCCTTCGACATGCTAATAAAGATCCGGAATTTGACACTCTACTAGGGCAGACTGGAAACTCACTCCAAGACATGTTGACTGACCCAGAATTTTTCGACTCTGCTCCACAGAAGCTCGATGAGCTCAAGCAACAGTCCGAAAAGGTGGGCACTGAGACTAGTTTGCGCAAGGATATGGACGACTTCCTGGCCCAAACTAAGCAAACGCTACGCACTGTACCAGAAGATCCTGCTGTGTACAAATTGATCAATGCCACCAAGAAAGTCTACCAGCACGCATGGACTGCCTATAATGATAACAAGGCCGACCTTCCAGCAGACCTGGTCAACGTCTTCCTCCCTGTCCTCTTGCGCACACTCCAGTACATTCCCATCCCGCGACTGGAGATATCTGCCCCAGAAATGGATCTTCTCATCGAGAATTTAATCCTTGAACCCGGCCATACAGTCAACTTTTCCTCTTTCCTCCCGTACCGCATGCACCTCCTCACGCGCAACGACATCGACGTTGTCAAAACGCACTCTAAGCGCACCGAAACTTTCATGAAAACAGCCTTCACAATCACCATCCAAGGCCTGAACATCAGCGCCGAGGACTTTGGCTACTGGTTCCGTACGCATACAGGACTCTTCCACCTCAAAGATGAGGGAATCGCCAGCTTCTATCTCGACCGCCGCGGAATAGACATCTCACTAGATGTTGAGGTCGGACGGGGCAAGCTCGAGCAAATATTCTCACTGCGAGGCGTCCGCGTCCGGATCCACAAACTCGACTACCAAGTCAAGCGCAGCAAATGGAGGTTCCTACTCTGGCTGACCAAGCCATTCCTAAAACACCTTGTTCGCCGCGTCTTAGAGAAGAAGATCGCCGAAGAGATTGTTGCGGCGGCATTCACGCTGAATCGCGAATTGGTATTCGCGCGTGAGCGTCTGCGTGCTGCGCGCATTGCCAACCCGCAGGACTTGGCTACCTTTGTCCGAGCTGTTCTTGCTCGCTTGAAGCCTGCTGATTCGGATGTCGAAGCGCGGATTGGCCTTGAGCCTTTGAAAGATGGTGCTTTCAAGGGTGTATATGCGCCTGGGAGTATCGTCAAGACATGGCATGATGAAGCGACTCGCGCGCAGGAGGCTATTGAGGATGGTGATGAGACTCATGGACTTGGCCATACATGGCAGAACGATATCTTCAATGTTGCTGGGCATTAATGTGTCTTTCTTTCTGTCCTTTTTCAAGCGGTTGGATTTGATGTTATTTTTATCTGACAGCTATTTCCTATCTTGAATTTACGATCTATACGAACAGTTGGCAATGTGACCTATTTGGCTGCAATACTTCATCTTCACCAATCTTCTTTCATTTCTGCAACAGGAATAGTCACCGTGATCCTTGGAATTTCTTCTCATCGCTACGACTCCACCCGCACCCGGGCAGGCAACACATGCCAATAACACTCTCAGTCCGAGGGCAGTCCACTCGATCTATATTGTTTCAGATATCGTATATCCAGCCCCACACCAGCATATGGGTACTTTTGAGCCGCCAACGGGGTCTCACAATCCGAATGATGCCCAAATGAATCCAAGGTTGCCGAAAGGATTGTCGCAAGCGTCACGTTCCATGGCCTTTTACATGCTTCTTGGGTTGGTTGTTTAATTCCCTTGACCTCTGGAACCTTTTCATCCTTCCATGCCGCAAGAACGCCAATCAGTCTATCTAACTGCCGCAGTCTGATACATCGGACAGAATCCAATCAAAGGAGCGCTACACTTTCAAAAGCGACTATGCCCCTTCCACTGTTCTTGCGATGACTATTTGGGCCCAGAAATAAAGCGCGTAGCCCAGGAATATCTCAAGACATCCACGACTCTTCGACGCAACAGATTTTCCGAACGCGTTCTTCGCAACGAAAAGATCGCTCACAACGAACATCGCAGCTCCAACGGCTCGCGAGTGCAGCCAGTCAGACGGCACGATTGAAGGGGACGTGGAAGTCGCGGCAGCAAACATGATTCCAATGATCACAGCATAAGCAGAGACCAGTGGCTTCATATCTGGAGCAACAGCAAGGTTCAATACATTGGATCGAAGTGAGGAATTTGCCTGGGGGTATATAACACCCAGCCACTTTGCAGCGCCCAGAGTCGCAGGGAACGTAGCGGCAAATATCGACCACGAGATTTCGCTGGAATCTCGAAAGAAGGCCACAGTGTAAAGAATGTGAGCTATCGCGAAGGCGACGATACCAAGTTGGAAGAATCTCGATATCTCTCCCTGTAAATCCGATTTGCCGGAGATTGAGACTTTGGCGTTCGAGCCGTTGAACTCACGCCGCGAAGGGATGAGACAAAAGTCGCCTAACAAAGAACACGCAAGACCGGCAGTGATGAGAGAGCGATAATCGGACCACTCAGTAGAGGGAAGTAAAAATGGATGGCTGAGGAAGGCTACTGAGCAGAGCATTTTGAATACTGCCGTGCCCGTATGTGATTTGGAGTTCCACTCTGAGAGAACCAGCAAGGGCAGCGATCCCAGTAAAAGGCATTCCGAAGCTGGGAATGACATGTTTTTGGGCTTAGACAGATCGGCCTGATAATGGCTGAGATGAGGTGTATCTTCAACAGGCGAGATAGTTGAAACAGTGACGAATCTCTTTTTTCCACTACGAAGATGATTTCTTGGCGGTAGGCCGAGGTAATATGAGGTTTGCTTGTGAGACCGAGGTTTCTATTCTTTGGGTATTGCCAAATATCTTCGTACGTTTAGAATTGATACCAGTTCCATTGAAGACACTAGGGGAAAGAATCAACGGTTGTGCTGGCTTTCAACGAATGACCTGCCATCTTTGGAGAATGGCTTAGGGACAAACAATGGCTCAAGGTCCCCAAGGTATTATCTTTGTTGCATTGACTTGATGATGATAGCTGCCAAGGTGGTATTTTCGGGCTATACTAGGCGTGCTTTTCAACTTCAAATCGAATACATCTCACTGCCGACCCTACTGCAGGGCTACAGACATGAGAAGTTAAGCCGATGCTCCCAGCTCGAGTCCAGTGATTTCTTTACACGCTTTGACAATAAGCTCTTGCAGACTTTGATCTTCGGCTGCAGCCAGAGGCTCAGCAAGCTTCTTTTTGGGCTCGTAATAAACACCAGTCTGGCTTTGGTCGTAGTCACCCTCGGCCAGCATGACATATGTCTCAACGCCGTCTTCCAGTTTATCGGTGGCACCTTTGCCTCCAAGCTTGGTGGCAACGTATCCAGGATGAACCGATATGATAGATGTGCCCTTGAGCTGTCTCGCTGCCGCATTGGCAAGGAGCATGACATGAAGCTTCGAGTCGCAATAGGCTGGGAAATCCTGGAATCCCTGCTCCCCGCGCTCGAGGAAGAAGATATCTTTAACGTCTGTATCGGCTTGCCTGTGCAAGATGGAAGCGATATAAATAAGACGTTTCGGCTGCTTGAGCAGACAGGTAAGAATATAAGGAGCGATGACGTTGACGAAAACTAGAGCCGGTACGCCATAGTCTGGCGTTTTGCGGAAAGGACCGTACAACAAGCCGGCATTGAGAATGACAGCGTCAAAGACACCAATTGCGTTCGCTTCGTTGGCCAATTTGCGTGTCTCTGCCACACTGGTCAAATCTGCGACCAGCACGCCGGCAGCTCCCGGGCACTTTGCCGTGGCCTCAGCTGCGCGTTCTTCACTGCGTGCATGGAGATAGACGCTATGGCCACGCTGGACTAGCTGGCGGGCAGCCTCCAGGCCAAAGCCATCGGAGGAACCTGTGATCAGGATACGGACCATATTGCTCGAGTTTATGAGATCGAAATGAAGCTGCTGGCAGGGAGCTCGGAGGGAAGAAGATCGCCCAGAGACGTTCAACGAAGAAGAGATTGGTAAGCTGATAAGAAGGTGGAAGAATGGAGACGTTCAGTCCTATGAAGTCAGACTAGTACGTTTTGTGGGTCGTTCCATCGCAGGCTGATTCGACGACGCGATGATGTGCGGATTTGGAGAGTTGCCCTCGGGGACATGCCGCCAGAACCCGTCCTCCAACGGCCTTTTCTCGGGTGAATAACTTCATTTGGCTTGCCTGGACGGAGCACTTCGCTCTTTGATCCGATTCATTGTAGCAAGGCTTCATCTGAAAATTAAACAAGACTGTTGCCTGGTCAATCTTGAGACTTAGGCCTTGGGTCCGACTCTACTCACAACCACCTGGACTCAATGCGGATCAACTGTCCGGGATTCAAACATGGCCTTCCCTTGGATATGGCGGCATATTCTGGAGGATGAGGCATTGAACCGATAAGCACTTGGCCTCAGGTTGCACCGCCAACTGGTCAATGAGCCATATCACGTGGCCACACGTGACCAGTCATAGGCCACCTAATGTAGATCCAAAGAGACAGCGAAGCCACCGTCACTTTCAACTTTATAATAAACGGCTGGTGCAAAGCTCCGTGACGACCGCACTATACCCCCATGTCGCTCAATTAGCCGCGTCAATCCCACACCCACAGCCCGAGAAGCTCACGAAGCTTTGATCGCGAGGTCCACACAACACATAGTGTAGGAGCCACTCCTCACACACCTCCACAATATGCAATTACTACGGCTCATGGTAGCACTGGCTATTGTGCTATGCTCAGTCGTCGTTATCGCCGCTGAGGATTACTACAAAGTACTTGGGCTTGACAAGTCAGCTTCGGAGAAAGACATCAAGCGCGCCTACAGAACGCTCAGCAAGAAATACCACCCCGATAAGAACCCGTGAGCAGTCCTTTCGTCCCAAATGAATCGCGCAATGTGCACATGGGAGAACAAGCCAGCTAACGCACCCGCAGCGGCGATGACAATGCGCGCGAAAAGTTTGTCACAATAGCAGACGCCTACGAGGTTCTATCCACCGGCAAATTACGCAAAGTCTACGATCAATACGGCCACGATGGTGTCGAGCAGCACCGCAAGGGTGAAACCGCCGGCGGCAGCCACGACCCATTCGATCTCTTCTCGCGGTTTTTCGGCGGCGGCGGACACTCGGGACACGCACCAGGTCATCGACGAGGACCAGATATGGAGGTCCGGGCTGCACTGCCATTGCGGGACTTCTACAATGGTCGGGAAATCAACTTCCTCGTTGAAAAGCAGCAGATCTGCGATTCTTGCGAAGGAACTGGATCGAAAGATCACCAGGTTGAGACTTGCGATCGCTGTTCTGGGCGCGGTATGGTCATACAGAAACACATGCTTGCGCCGGGGATGTTCCAGCAAGTGCAGATGCAGTGCGATAAGTGTCACGGACAAGGGAAGCAGATCAAGAACCCATGCCATGTCTGCAGTGGCACTCGGGTTGTTCGCAAGCAGGTTGAGACGAGTGCGACGATCGAAGCGGGAATGGGCAAAGGGACGAAGCTGGTGTTTGAGAACGAAGCCGATGAGAGCCCTGATTGGATTGCCGGAGATTTGATTGTTGTCCTTGATGAGAAGGAGGCAGAGCTCGGGACTGAAGATGAAGAGAGAACAGATGGAACTTTCTTCCGACGGAAGGGCAAGGATTTGTTCTGGAAAGAGAGTCTCTCATTGCGAGAGGCGTGGATGGGTGATTGGACTCGCAACATCACTCATCTCGATGGCCATGTTGTTCGTCTCGGTCGTGGGCGTGGCCAGGTTGTGCAGCCTTTGGCTGTTGAGACGGTCGGTGGAGAGGGCATGCCTCATTACTCCGAGGGCCACCTGCACGACCACAATGAGAATGACGAGCCCGGCAATCTGTATATCGAGTATACTGTTGTTCTGCCCGACCAGATGGAAAGTGGTATGGAGAAAGACTTCCATGCGCTTTGGGAGAAGTGGCGCAAGAAGATCGGCGTTGATCTGGCGAAGGATTCTGGCCGCCCGGTGGTGCCTCTGCCGGAGGAGGGGAAAGATGAACTGTGATACCTAGCTCTTGTTTTTGATTCCCCAATTTTCTGTTTGGAGTCACCTTGTACATTTCATGTTGCGGTTTTGCTGGCGTGCATCAAGGCTATGGGCTGCATTAGATCAAACCCAGCGTCGTTCCGCTCGAGTTGAATATGAGCGCATACAATAGATCCCTTTTTGACAGACCCCAGAGCAACCTTGGAAGTAGAGACAGGACCTTGAAGGCATATGATCCATGTATCCGATTGGTTAACAGACAACTTTTGGAAGCCCAGTGGAGCCGTCTGTCTGGTCTTGGGTTTTCATGAGGTCTAGACACAGCTAGAGCCCCTACTCTATCTCTTTCAAGTTTCCGGAGTACACGTTGTCAACACATGGCGAGATTGACGACCGCTTGTGCCGCCGGAATGATGTTCAAAGAAGGATCAAGATATAGATTCCGACCAATCCAGAAGGCAAGACGACCTCTGGCCTTCCTCCAATCCCGTTTAGTTGTGATGCATATACAACATGTAAAAGAGGCTGGGTGGCGGTGGATTTAAACAAAGAGAGATATGTACAACGCAACGATCTTGGGGCTGAACCCGCAGCCTTGGTGGTATCTTTGATATCCCGACGGGGGTGTGAAAACAGGGTTTAGGGCAAGGGTGCTGGTAGGCGATATAGTCAACGCATGGAGTATGAAGGCTTTCCGAGGTTTCTTTGACGACACGTATACATGCAATTGACCGTCTTTTCGTGCCCAGGGAGACAGCTGGAGTCGTTTGAAACTTGTGTTTAGGCCACAATGTGCAAACAGGCTAGGACAGATGTAATCGTACATGCAGGCTCCGGTTTGGGCTGCTTGACATCGAGATTTCTTTTCGTACTATATGATCATCCCATGCGCTACGCAATTTATTACTGGTTGGCATCGTGTTGTTGTTCTTGGTGTCCTTGATTGGTATAGTTTTGAGCGCCATATTTGAGAGCAGGGAGGGGAATTTACCAATCAAAAGCAATAATTTATGCCCTAGGTAATAGTTATGCAGTCTTGCAATGTCCGAGTTAGCGCCTGAGAGGCTGTATACTGCGTTAAGTCTATGAAGGTGTCGTTGATGGCGTGTATAACTAATCTCCCATGCCTAAGTCAAAGATCCATCTACCTTGAAATTGTTGGTATAGGCGATCTTCCACGATGCAAGTACTAGGACCGAAGGCATAAGCTGCTGTCGGGCCATAGTATCCGAATGCATAAAATGTCATATAATCCACATGTTCGCTGTACGTACTCCGTACTCTCTATGAACATGATCTGCATACCTGCACGAAGCAGGGAAACCCACAACGGGTACTTTTAGCAGAGCACAGAACTAAGGATTGAGTGTAACCTTGGCCAGTCAATATCTTCCACGTTAGTTCAGGCATTTACAATCAATGTGATTAGCAATAGACTCGAAAGAAGAGGGGGAAACACCATTTTTCTTATACTTGAACCAATAATAGACGCATGATAAGTAGCAGGGAAGGCAAGTTCGCGGGGAAAAGAGCCCCAAAATAAGTACCGACGTACAAAAGACGGTTTATGTGTCACAAATTGTAATGTACAGAAGTATGGGTACATCGTGCCGCAGAGTCAATCCTAACGGCAGTGGTGGAGCCCCTGAATCATGATCGTCTGCACTAGAAAAATTCTGCGATTGATCTCTTTCCTCAATAAGTAATACCCCGATCCCACGATGCAAACCGATCGTGGGGCTTTTGGTCATTGCGGTGTAGGACTGCGCTAGGTGTTCCTGATCGATCTCCAAGTCAGGCGTGCTGCATCTCCACTAGGCCGCTAGGGAAAAGCACTAGCAGGGTAATTCGAACTGGAACGCAAATTTTATCCGACACACTTTTTTCTAGATCATAAACCTACAGATGCCCAGGTGAAATGATTGGATTATGTCAGAGCGGTGATCTGCCGATCAGAAGCTGGTATGAGCTTCTACTATTGGATAAATAGTAGTTAATAGTTCGACAATCTTAAATCCCGGAGCATTCAGAATCAGGCTCAACTCCGTGGCCAATGAAAAATCCTGGAATTGACCAGGACCCCGGCGAATTTCCGGACAAACCATTAAGCCAACGAATCAACGGCTTTTCTAGTGGCTTCTGGCGCGTAGAAATCAACGGAAACTGAATTTGACAGCGATCTGCACTGGTCTAGCCATGGCTCCAGTGTGTCGACACTCGTGGAGTACTCCGTACTTGCATCGGACTAGTTCGGTCTTGTTTTGCTTACATGTAAGAATCTCTGGCTGCATAGAACCAGCACTAGGGATGCAAGGCTGGGGAAATTCCAGTGTTTCCTGCATTTTCCGGCTCCTTTTTGGTTTAATGAGGAGGATTCTTGTACGACAGATCCACCTGATTATGCGATGAATACATCATATCATGATAGCCCATGGAACAACCCTGGAGCCAATGGCTCGGAAGATCGGCGCAGAGATTGTATGTGGTCATGCACGTGGAGACAGCATGCGCTGTATTACTACTCCGTACGCTGGTGAGCGAATCCCGAAAGGGAAATCTAGATGTACAGAGATGCTGACGCACGGTTAGACGGGCTTGATCAGGCTACTCTGGAGGCTGCTGGCTTTAGCGCCTTCGCAGATACCGGTCTCCCCGCTTCGCTTCAAAGTATGCTCGCGTCGAGGTTCGCGGAGGTTCGCAATATGGGTTTGGGGTAGCGTTTGCTCGATTGGATCTACTTTATAACCCTTCTCTTCCGTCTCTTTAGGGATCAGTTTGTGGTCCTCGCCATTTCTTTCCTCTCAATATCTTTGCTCTTTCCTCTTTCCTCTCCAGAGCTCATCTCTTTTCTTTTCTCCTCAGGCTTCACTTGCCCTCATTCCGTGGATGAGCCGGAAGACCACATCATTCATCCCATCCTCTAACTTTATATAACAATCCGGATCCTGCATCTTATAAAATTTCGGGTAACTAGTGATATCAGCGCAAAGATACACTAGAAACAGAAGTCATGCATCCTCTTTCACTCCCAAGCAAGACCAGCGGCGATGGGTTTGCATCTCATGATGCTTTGGAGCCAATCGCCATCGTGGGTCTAGCAACCCGCTTCCCTCAACAAGCCACGAGCACAGAGAAGCTTTGGGAAACACTCTTGCAAGCCAGGTCAACCTGGTCTGCCATGCCGAAAGAAAGGTTCAACCCGGACGCTTTCTATCATCCAGACCGCGAGCACGGGGGAACAGTAAGTGACCATCGCCTTCCGCACGCCATTGGAGAGCCAGCAAGTTCCTGACCTTACCTAGTTCACTGCCACGGGAGGGCATTATCTCTCGGAAGACACCGCACTTTTCGACAGCTCATTTTTCAATATAACCAACAAAGAGCTCAGTTCAATGGATCCGCAACAGCGGCTTGTGTTGGAGAATGTCTACCACGCATTGGAAAATGCAGGAATGCCAATGGCCAATGCAGTAGGGTCCAATACCTCCGTTTATGTCACCGGTTTCAATCACGATTACCTGAGGATTCTCGATTCAGACCCGGAGGTCGCGCTCAGATATAAACCCACCGGTACAACCAACTCAATCTTGTCGAATCGAGTGAGCTGGTTTTTCGACTTCAAAGGTCCCAGCATGACGGTTGATACCGCGTGCTCCAGTAGTTTGGTGGCCTTGCACTTGGCTGTACAGAGTCTCCGATCCCGAGAATCGAATATGGTAAGCCAATCTGACAGGTAGGCAGATATTTGTTCAGACACTGACGGTTATAAAGGCTATCGTAAGCGGTGTCAGCATTCTCGAAAGCCCCAACGAGTTCATAGGAATGAGTTACACCGGTCTCTTAGGACCCCAAGGCCGATCCTTTAGCTTCGATTCCCGCGCTGAAGGATACGCCCGTGGAGAGGGCGTGGGCACAGTTGTGGTGAAGCCTTTGCACGCCGCTATCAGAGACGGAGATACCATTCGTGCAGTCATTCGCGAGACCGGAGTCAACCAAGATGGCCGGACCCCTGGAATTACCGTCCCCAGTGGAGATGCCCAGGAAAGATTGATTCGTGAAGTATACTGGAGAGCCGGACTAGACCTTGAGCACACTCGATTTGTGGAAGCCCATGGCACAGGAACACGCAAAGGCGACCCAATTGAGGCCGGAGCCCTAGCGAGGGCATTCAATTGTCGAAGAGATACCCCGCTATATGTTGGTGCTATCAAATCCACCATTGGTCATTTGGAGGGTGGATCCGGTGTGGCAAGTCTCATCAAGTCAATCATGGTCCTTGAGTCCGGTATCATCCCGCCGAATTATGACATGCAGTCTGTCAACCCTTCCATCCCTGCAAAGGAGTGGAACCTCGCTTTCCCTACAGAAAACCTCCCGTGGCCGTCGTCGGGCTTGCGAAGGGTTTCAGTCAATTCTTTTGGAATCGGAGGCACCAACTCTCACTGCATTCTTGATGACGCCCATCACTACCTGCGTGAGCGCCAAATCAAAGGCAATCATCGCACTGTGGCTACAGCCCCAACGACCCAAGAGATCGAAAACCTCATTCTCGGAGGAAAGAAAAGTCAAGGCATAACCTCCTGTATTCGGGCTACATCTGAGGATGGCGATGCCTCTGGAGGCGAAGACCTTTTCGTCGATACTCCCATCAGTGAGGGGGGCCGCGAGTCACCACAGTTTAGTATGTCAACGGCCACTGAGTGGATAGATCATCCCAAGCTTTTTTTGCTCTCTGCCTTTGACGAAGAAGGTGTTACGAGAAACGCAGCGGCACTTGCAAGTTACCTTGATAATCGGATCAATGAGACAACTACCGATGATCATTTTCTCAATGATCTCTCATTTACGTTGTCTAAGAAAAGATCTGTGTTTCCCTGGAAAAGTTTTGTCTTGGCCTCCTCTGTCAGAGAGCTTTCATGGAATCTGTCAGAGCTCAACTTCATCAAGCCCTCGAGAACTGCCACATCCGAGCTGCACTTTGTGTTCACTGGCCAAGGAGCCCAGTACCAATTGATGGGCCGAGAACTCATGACTTATGCCGTCTTCCAAGAGTCGGTGGAAGATGCATCTGACTACATTCGTCGACTGGGCAGTCCATGGTCATTACTCGGTAGGTGCTTGCAAGCTGAGATACCTCGTGCCAAAATGCTGATCTCAGACAGATGAGTTGTTGACAGAAAGGGACTCACCACGGGTTCACCTACCCGAGATAGCTCAACCCCTATGCACGGTCTTGCAGATCGCACTTTTGGATTTATTGGCTAGCTGGAATATCTTCCCAGCACGTGTGACTGGACATTCTGCTGGTGAGATCGCTGCTGCTTACTGTGCAGGCAAAATCTCACGCGAAGCTGCCTGGAAAGCAGCATACTACCGCGGTTACGTGTCGTCTAAGCTGCTCTCTGCAAATGGCACAATGATGGCTGTGGGACTGAGCGCATCTGAGCTTGAGGGCTACATAGCGCAAGTCCGAAGCACAAGTCCTGGTGAGCTTCTCGTTGCTTGTCACAACAGCCCAAAGAACAATACGGTCTCTGGCGACGAAGCCATGGTCGATAGCCTCAAGAGTCTGCTTGATGCCGATGGGGTCTTCGTCCGGAAGCTTCAGGTTCAGAATGCGTATCATTCAGCTCACATGAAGACGGTCGCTGGTGAGTACCTCAGTCTCATGGGTATACTTCCTCATGGGAAACGACTCGTGGCTCCCCACAAAGTTTCCATGTTCTCAAGTGTGACTGGAGAAGTGATCAAAGAGGAACGCCTGGACTCTCAATACTGGGTTGATAACATGATCTCACCAGTTCGGTTTTCAAGTGGATTGCAGTCAATGGTTTTCGAAACAGACTCGGGCTCTGGTCAGACTGACTCGGATCGCCTGTGCCTCATTGTGGAGATTGGCCCTCATTCAACCCTGCAAAGTGCAATCAAGGAAACGTTGGCCGCAAGAGATGCTGAATTGAACTTCAAGTATCTCTCAGTTCTGAAGCGTACAGAACGCAGCCTCAGCACTCTGCTCACTACAGCTGGAACTTTAGCCTCAAGTGGCCTGGCCGTGGATTTCCACCGCGTGAATCGAGCCATTGAGTCTGGCAAGGTGAGACGATCGAAGCTTTTGGTGGATCTCCCATCGTACAGATTTAAGCAAAACGAGGAAGTCCTGTTTGAAGGGCGCTTGACCAAGAACCTTCGCGCTCGCAAATACCCCCGCCACGATTTGTTTGGTGCACCAGCCACAGACTGGAACTCTATTGCTCCAAGATGGAGACACTTCTTCAGGTTACACGAGAACCCTTGGCTTCGAGACCATATGGTAGGTCGATAGTCTTTTTGCAACATAAGTCGGGCTTTTAACATCCTCCAGGTGACCGGAAACTGCATTTACCCAGGTGTCGGCTACCTGATCATGGCGATTGAAGCATCTAAGCAACTGGCTGGGGATGTGAAGATTACAGGATTTGAGCTACGTCGAGTCCATATCAAAAGGGCCATGATCATACCAGACAGTAAGGAGGGTGTTGAGGTGTCGCTGTCAATGGCAGTCGTGGAGGACCCTGATTCTGGATCGAGAACATGGCGCCGCTTCCATATCACTTCTTACAATGCTTCAAGCGAGGAGTGGACAGAACACTGCACTGGCCTCATCACAGTCAACCACGAAACATCCCCGGATTTGGTCGACAATGGTCGTGCAGCGGAAGAAGAAAATCGACAGTGGAAAGCCGACTTTGCTGATGCAAAGGAGGCTTGCAATCAACCCATCAATTTCAAAGCCAGTTACAACAACCTCGAAACATCTGGTCTCAACTTCGGTACTCTGTTCCGCAATCTTGACGAAGTCCGAGGAAGCGGCAGAGGTATTGGAAAAATCATTGGGGCCGTGACTGTACCCAATACCAAGGATTCCATGCCCAAGCAATACATGCATTCCCACCTGATCCACCCTGCCACAATGGATAGCATGATTCACATGATGATCGCAGCCCTTCAAGACCTTACCGGGCGGTCCTCACTAGACCAGGTTCGACTTCCCACCTTCATTCGCAATGCCTGGATTTCCGCAGATTTGAATGCAGCAACTTCACACAAGTTCACTGGGCATGCATCTGTGGGAGAAACCCAATCTGACAAGCTTGAGGGCCAAATTTACATGCTGGATGAAGGCTCAAATGCTCCATGTGTTCGTATGAATGGCATCGAGCTCACTCCTTTGGAGTCGGGCGTTGCCGAGAACAATGAGCGGAAGCTATGCAGTGCAATTCAGTACAAACCTGACATCCACTTCCTTGAATCCCACGCTGCATGTGAGATGACTCCACTTGCCAACACCGACGAGGCCTATGACCTACATTGGGTCAAACGACTTCAACTGGCAACTATGATCTACGTGACGGATGCACTGGATGAATGCAAAACCATTGACGTCAAAGGTCTTGACTCACACCTGCAACGTTATCTTGACTGGATGAAGCACTTCAAAGAAAAGCTCATTCAAAATGAGATTATCCATCTGCCTTGCATCGAGTTCCAGAAGGCCATTCGAGATGAGACTTTGAAAGAAACCATCAGTCAGGAGCTTGAAGCACACAACGCTGAATGTGCCATCACTGTCAGAATGGGTCAAAATATCTCACGGGTGTTGAAGGGGGAAGCAAATCCCCTGGATCTCATGTTTGGACAGGACTCCGTTATGGAGCAAGTTTACAGGGAGGGCCTTGAGATTTTCAACCTCCCTCAACATCTACGAAACCATTTGTCTCTCATTCGTCATCAACGTTCCGAGCTCAAGATTCTCGAGATTGGCGGCGGCACTGGCAGCTTGACTGCCGAGGTACTGGGCATTCTGTCTCCAGATCCAACCAAGAGCAAAGGAAACATCTCCAGTTATACATTCACCGACATTTCATCTGGCTTCTTTGATAAGGCAAAAGAACGTTTCCAGTCGTGGTCCGACATATTCAAGTTCCAAGCATTCAACATAGAGCACAATCCTGTTGAGCAAGGACTCGAGGCAGGAACGTACGACCTGATCGTTGCCGGGAATGTGATCCACGCCACGAAGGATTTACACGACGCATTGAAAAACTTGAGATCGTTGTTGAAGCCTGGTGGTCAGCTCATTATGCAGGAAGGCATTCGGCAGGACTTCCTCTGGTATCCTCTTGTTTTCGGTCAGCTCCCTGGATGGTGGCTCGGTGATGAGCCCTGTCGTCAGTGGTGTCCATACATTCAGACTGAGGAGTGGAATGGGTATCTTATTGAAGCCGGGTTCTCGGGTGTCGACATTGAGTACCCCAGCTCGAATAACCCGGACCTGACATGGCAGAGCATCTTGGTATCGTCAAACCCTTCAGCTACTCAAGATCTTTCGACAACAAGCGCTTTGATTCTTACGACACTTGATTCCAGCGCCGAGATTCTGTCCCTGCAACAAAGCCTGAAGAAGATTGGCTACAGTCGTGTTGAGGCTGTTCATCCCTCAAAGTTGGCTGGGCGCACATTAGAAAATGTGCATTGTGTTTCGACCATCGACCTTGAATGTCAATATCTCACTGAAATGAACGAGGCTCAGTTCCATGACCTCAGAAGGCTTCTGACTGAAATTGAGAATTTGCTCTGGATCACCACACAGTCTGAAATCAACCCACATTCTAGCATGATTATGGGTCTCCTTCGCACAGTGCGTTGGGAGCGAGACTCGGACGACTCCAACATTATCACTTTGACAGTGCCACAACAGGAGTTTTACGGATCGAACCAAGCACGGCTTTTGGGTGACATCAGCAAAATCATCAAGCATCAGTTCTGGAACAACTCGAAGCTTGATCGCCATGCAGAATATCTTCTGCAAAATGGCATCATCCACATTGGCCGTTTGGACGAATGGTCTGCTGGTGACCAATTTCTTGGTACAAGATCTTCGAAGCTATATCCTAAGACTCAACGGCTCGATAAGATTGACTATCCAATCGAGTCACAGAGAGCTGTCAGCGGTGACAGTGAAATCTATTGGATTGCAGACCTCCAGCATGAGAACATGCTGGCAGACGATGAGGTCGAAATTGAAGTTCGTGCAGTGGGCCTCAGCTCTAATGCCTCTGGCTACCTGTCGACTGAGGCTGCTGGAGTTGTAACCCAAATTGGGTCAAAGGTTGAGAGTATACTCCCTGGTGATAGGGTTGCTTACATCTCTCCGCTGTCGAAGGGTGGTCGTTGTCGAACACATGAACGAGTCACTCAATCACTGATCACTCAAATCCCGAGTGACATGTCCTTTGAGATTGCGGCTCAGCTAGCGTCGGTATATGCTACGTCTGTTCATGGTATTCTCAATTGTGCTGCGTTGACTGCCGATGATACAATTTTGATTCACAATGGTGCACTGGCCGTCAGTCAAGCGGCAATTCAGTGTGCCCAAATGTCTGGAGCAACCATTCTCACTACTGTGGGGACCATTGAGGATCGAAATTTGCTGGTCTCCGAGTACAACATTCCTGTGGACCACATCTTCTCAAACAAGGATCTTGCATTCGCTAAAAGTGTCATGCGTTGCACAAATGGCAGCGGAGTTGATGCTGTCTTCAACACTATGACCGGTGAAGCTCTTCGGGAGACACTATCATGCCTTGCGCCACATGGTACATTCGTTGACGTCGCACAAAACGAGGTACGAGTTGATACTACCACCGAGCTGGCTTCTCTGTCTCAGAACGTGAGCATCCACAAGGTCAACATGCTCTCAATGGCCGATACAAGACCGAAGACGGCTCGCAGCCGACTCCATGAATCATTTGGCCTGTACAAGGACAGGAAGATTGGTCAGATAAGAAAATCTGTGGTTTTGAGTTTTGCACAGATTCAAGAAGGGATTCAAGGAGTCCAAAGTGGAATATATGCGAAGGTTGTCTTCATTCCGAGTCCCGCAGACGTGATCTCGGTGGCCCCGAAGCCAATCACAGCATACCAATTTGACTCTGACGCTACGTACGTTCTTGCTGGCGGATATGGCGGTTTGGGTCGCAATTTGGCCAGATGGATGGCCACTCGTGGCGCGAGGAATCTACTCATGCTGTCGCGCTCTTCGGCATCAAGCGCCGAGAAACGGGAAACAGTCATCGATCTTGAGAAGATTGGATGCAAAGTCATTGACCTTGTCTGTGATATCTCAGACCTTTCTACCTTGAGCGCACTATCGGATGGCCACCTTACACATCTGCCTCCCATCAAAGGGTGCATCCAAGCCTCTATGGTCCTGAGAGTAGGTTTCTCAATATCCAAGAAAACAAGGTTAATCTTTACTAACAACAAGTTCAGGATGGTGCCTTTGCTGGAATGTCTTTCGAAGATTGGAAAGTAGCCACAAAGCCCAAGGTTCAGGGCTCTTGGAACTTGCATAAAGTTCTACCAGATGACATGGACTTCTTCGTTATGCTCTCTTCCGTGGCCGGGATTTTGGGCAACCGCGGCCAAGCAAACTACGCAGCTGGGAATACCTTCCAGGATGCACTGGTTGCCTACCGATTGTCCCAAGGAATGAACGCATCAAGTATCAACCTCGGTAGTGTATCCAACATCGGATGGGTAGCGGAGAACAGGAACTCAATGCGCACACACACAGCCACGCTGTTCGAGATGCTCCGCGAAGAGGAGGTGCAGGCCGCCGTGGAGTTCCTGATTGACCCTCGACTCAAAGATCGAGATAATGTCAACCCATGCTCTCAGCTCGTTCTCGGTCTTCCAACGGCAGAGATGTGTCGCCAGAACGGCGTTCCGGCTCCCACGTACTTGGAGTATTCGATGTTTACGCACCTCCGCGGCACTGCTATGACCAAGAATAGTGGGGCTCTCGAGCAGAAATCTGTCAGCACGAGTAGTCTTTTGGCAGCGGCCTCTGGATTCGAGGCTGCCGTTACAGTTGCAACAAATGGGTTGGTCGAAAAGCTTTCTTCCCTGCTCGCCACCCCTGCTTCTGAGATTGATGCTCATCGCTTTGGTTTTGGGGGTATTGATTCTCTGGTTGCAATGGAGTTCAGGTACTGGATTGTCAAAGAGTTGAAGGCCGATGTGTCCTTGTTGGATATCATTGGCTCTGAGAATATCAAGACTCTCGGCGTGAAAATTACCGAGAGAAGCCGTTTGGTTGGAGGCACTACATAATTCCAGGGCTAACACATCACCTGTCACCACAATGTAGCATGTTGTGGTATATATAGGGTATACGGATGACAGAGCACGATGTCCTGTCATCTGGGCATGTCATGCCTTTTGGAAGTGTTGTGGCGTGTTTCAGGTTGGCTTGTTATATCTTTGGTCCAACCTTAGAATCAAGAATCAGTTGAGTTCGAAGGTGAAAATAAACTCCATTTTCTACTGAGAATTTCCCTCGTCCTATCATGCCAGAGCAACCTTGGAGTCACCTCAAATTGCGACGAAGACGCCCCAATCCAACAAAAGCCAAATCATAAGTTCCATTATTCATTACGTTCATAACAAAAGCATAACCCCTCTACTGAGACTGCGCCATATAGCCGTGCAGACTTTGGCCGGCAACACAAAGAGCCAACTTTGGCGCTGCGCCCGACCGCTCATGTCGCCAAGCCCGCTCCCGCAGAGCCAGGTAGACAGATCGGAACGGTTGGAGATCGCCGGGCAGCCTCGCAGGCGGGGAATTGGGATCGAAGCCCAGGTCGAAGAGCTGTGCCTCGCACCAGCGCATCGTGTCTGGAGGCATGTACTCATCTGTGTCGTATCCCGAGTAGGTCTGCTGCATGGCCTGGACGGTTGGGGCATCGACTGAGAGACCGAAGTTCTCTACTCCCTTGGGTGGGTGGTGGTAATTCATGTAGGGTTTTCCAGGGGCGCGCTCGGGATGGTCCGCTTGTTTGCGGATGTTGTGGATGTTCCATGTTTGGACGTATGATTTGATGTGGCTTCTGAGAATGGGCATGTATATGGCGAAGAGGGCCACTTGTTCGGGTACTACTGATGCTGAGAAGAGGCCTTCGCTGTGGAGTTGGCGGAAGTAGTTCTGTGTGCCTGAGTTAGAAAGCTTGGCATGAGAAAGTATTCTGTTGAGCTTACATGGTAAAGAGTTACTACTGATTTAGCAAGCTGAGCCCACCAAGATTCAATGCGGTGGGTATCATTGGCTCGACCCGGCGCACAGCATTGGTCGCGCTGAACATCTACATCGCCGACACGACGAAGCGCAAAGTGAGCATCGGCTAGAAGAGGAACTTCGGATTCCAGGTCAGATCGGAGAGTACGCGGTTGGCGACCTTTGGCGGTGACTGTTTCAAGATGGTGCTTGAGAACGCCCGCTGCCGTGTGAGCGTCAACACCAACATTGATCCACAGAACGTAGCGAGAATACGAGTCGATCTCCGCGTGAATGCGGAATCCAAAATTAGCCAGCTTGGTGTACCCATTGACATGCCAGGTCAGATTAGGGCCGGCCAGGATCTTAGGCGGGGGAGGACGTCGCTGAAAGTCACGCGTGCGGCTCTCCACGGTCTCAGGACGAAGCATGCGGTAGACATTGTAAAGTCGGTCGCGAGCAAAAACATAGCCCTTGCTGCGGAAGTGGTTGTGCAAGAGCTCCTTGCCATATCCCTCAATAGTGCCTTTGTCCATTTCCTCAGTCAGTGCGTCGAGAATCTCCTGTACCTGCGCTTGCTGCTGTGCGGGCGAGTCAAGACGCAGCCGTATGCCAAGCTGATGGCGTAGCCTGCGCAAAGTCCGCTGAGAAACATCGAAGCCTTCATCGTTCAGAACCGTGACAATCTCTTGGTCCGAAAGACCCACCTCGAAGAAGAGGTGCTTGATACGTGCATGGAGCTCTTGGTTGGATGTGTTGTTTTCCTTCTTCTTTTCCTTCACTCCCCAGCGCTGCAGGCGTTTCGTCAATGTTCGTGCGGAGATCTGTATGTCATGCTGTGCTTTCAGGTGTTTGCAGATGTCCGCGCTCGACATTTTCTTCTCGTATAGCGCGATGATTTCGGGTTTTTGGGCCTCCAGATCCACACGTGGACGACCAGAGGGTCTGACCGGTGGTTCTGCAGCCGGTTCTTCCATTTTGCGATATCAACGTGATGTTGATCAGGAATAACTTCCGAGAGGTACAAACAGTCGACGGTTGGGGAAAGGCGGTGGGGCGATTGAATCTCGGCAGAACCCCACCGCCCTGATAACCCAATTTTTTTGTTATCGGCGATTTGCTTCACTCGGAACAGGAAATTCAAGACACTCACAAATTATTGTCGTGATCCAACCGAGTCGCTACAATGGTCCGTGAACTCAAGCACCACGAGAAAAAGTACGTTATCCAGCTCGAACCCGATTCCAACCCCGGTGCCATGGCACTTCGTCCAACAGAACCCAGCGATTAACCACTCACTCAGGCTTCTCCGGAAGGTCGACTTCCACAACTACAAGTCCGATGGCAACCACCGCGAGCACCAGATCCGTCAACGGTACCTCCTCCAAGACCCAATGGACTACAAGAAATACAACTCCCTCTGCGGATCTCTGCGTCAACTCGCCCACAAGCTCTCTCAGCTGGACCCCGAGTCCGACCCACTGCGCAAGAAGCTCGAATCCGAGCTCCTGGACAAGTTGTGGCGCATGGGTATCCTGAAGCAGTCTCGCGAGCAGGGCGCAGGTCTGTCCAAGGTCGAGCGCGAAGTGACTGTTTCCGCTTTGTGTCGGCGCAGATTGGCTGTCTTCATGGTGCGCTCTGGAATGGTGGAGACTATCAAGGCTGTGAGTACAACGATTGGAGATTGGAGAGATTTGAGTATGTTTTGCTAATTGTTTTAGTCTACGACTTTCATCGAGCAGGGCCATGTTCGCGTTGGTACGGAGGTCGTCAATGATCCTGCGTTTTTGGTCTCCCGCAACATGGAGGACTTCGTCACCTGGGTGGATTCCAGTAAGATCAAGCGCAACATCCTGCGTTACCGCGAGAAGTTGGATGACTTTGATCTGCTGTGAGCGGTCATTGTGGAGGGAAAGGATGAAAAGAAAAGCATTTTGGGTTTTTGTCTTTGATATACCCGGCGCTTGTGCATTTTGGCCTGTTTCAGGTTTGGCGTACTCATGTTTTATGAAATTCTATCGATGTGCACCCTGTGGTTGATTCAATACATAGGGAATATTCGAATGCAACTGGATCTCAAATATACAATCATCTCTTCCATGGGCGTGGGAGGGCCTCACTCACGATATTGACTGTTAAACAGACTGGCGGCAATTTCACCAACATGGAGTTTTTTGTGACCTTCAAGGTTATGCCATCAAGCTCGACGGGCACAAGCACTCGCGGGGACCGAGATTAACTGCAAAGCAACTCAAAGGCTACTAAACCTTGTACCAGACCTAGGCCAAATGTGTCTATATTCAGTGCACCGAAAGCGGAATTATACTTAATATGAATAGCGACACGAAGGCCGATTATGTACCAGAGAAAAGTATGTACACATACTCGAACGAAGGGTATCTCAGTCTGAAGGAAGGGACAACAACAGACAATGCAACGAATGCAAAAGCGACTAGAGATGAAGAAGCCAGCGATACACCGTTCCACGGGAACGGCCACTGGATGCAAAAGCAATGCAAGTTTGTCACTCGGAATCGTGGTATCATAGGGAGGGAAGAAGCCAGCGCAGCACCAGTGCTACTAGGACGCAAAAAAGAGGAAACGGCCAAGTCAGGCGTTAGGAAGTGGAGACGTCTTTGATCGAAGACAAGTCCAACGGCGTCGAGCACTCGGGCTCAAGACATTTGAATGTCCTTTACAAGGCGCATCGTCAGGAAGATCCATTCTGAATCGACGGACGCTCCCTTCACGCTCGGGCTTGCCTTCTTCGAAAAACGGAACTCGAGCATCCCGAGTTTGGAAACAGCGCGGCGCTACACGCCGCCAGAATCCTCGCACTCCACTACTCGCTCGGTCGATCTTCTCATACTCTCGCCGCCGGGTATCATCCGATGTCCACTCCATGACTGTCGCCGGGACATGGATGGACGAGGACGAAGGGCTGATAGTGGGCATTGTGTTTGAGCGATCTCTTTGCGAGAGGAAGTGCGGAGGCTGTGTTGGTGACTCGGGCTCGAAGCGGAAGCTTGAGCGCGATGATACGATTGGGGATGATGGGGCGGAGCTTCCCTTCTCAGTTGAGGAGCGGCTTTCTCGCCGAGCGCTTGTAGAGGCCGCTCGTTGGAGAGCTGGACGGCTTGTCTCCGTCTCTGTCTCTTGGAAGAGACGGCATGATTCCCGGTGCAGGGCGATGAGAGACTCGCGCCGTTCTTGTGGAGGGATACGGGTTGAAGGGACGGGCACGATGGCACCGTTGGGAATTGTCCGACGTGTAGAGTGTAGGGAGCTACGGCGACTGTTGGGGCGCGAGGTGGTGCTGCGCGAGGCTGAGCGAGAGTGCGTTGTGGAGGTGGAGGGCTGTGAGCTGCGCCTGGGTGAAGGTGGGTCGATACGTTTGACCTTGGCCATCTCGGATGGGGATATAGGTTCACATCTCTCAAGTTCGGTGATAATAGGTGATTTTGTAGAGAGGGTTAAAGAGGGCTGTAGAGCCAGACATGTGACGGACGCCATCAGAGAGAGTTTGGAACTGGCAGGTGCCCTTGCAATGCACCTTCGCAGTTCACAAGTTCAGCGTTCAGGACCTGCTGGACACCGTATAGTTAAGAGCCGAGGTGCGGTGTCTATGAGGATTCATATATGCAGTTTGACTCCATCTTGAAACCACATGGAACCCCCCCAAAAAAAGATTAACAAAAATATCCAAAGATGAAACAGAAGCCTAAATAGAATCAAAAGACATGAGATTCCTATTTATTCTCGCGCACACCGCTCCTCATTTATTTTAGCGGAGTGGGGGGTTCGGCGTCTAGAGTGTCTGGCCGGTGATCGTCCTATAGAAGCGCCAACGCCCCTGCAGTGACAAATGCAGAAATGCAGGGGTTTGTACTCTGTATGCTACCTTATTACTCGGTTCTCCGTATTATGGCGCTATAAAGCTATTAATCTATTAATCTATATTAATCTACCCAGAATGGTGGTACAGAAAGTGGCCTGCAGGGCCTGCAGAGAATCCGGAGTCACTTGAATGGTCCACATGGACAAGCAAAAGTAAACCTTGCGTGGACGATCAGTTGGTAAAAGATGTGCGGTGCGGGAATGGAATTTTAAGTGAGTGTTCACGCTAGTCCACCGTGTGATGCACGTTGTTACTTGCAGAGGGACCCTAGCAGACCCCAAACAGGTTGGACAGGCCTACTAGACCCTAATAGACCCTAATTCTCTTAGTGTGTTGGGACACCGCCCTCAACGATCTACACCATGACGATAGATGTCTTAAACACTTTCAAATCGGGATCAAGTCATAATTCGTAGTCCTAAAGACTTCTTACCCCTAACATGTAAATACACAAAGTAGAGAATGTACAAATCAAAGAGAATACAGGAACTCGGGGTTCTCCCGATCCGTCAAATCAAGCCACCTGCGAAAGCAAAATTAGTGAGAAGCTAAATTTCGGCCTGCATGCCGAGTCTGAAGTCGACAAAAAACTTACTCTTGATTCTCCAACCGCACATAGTCCGGTCGGGCAGTAAACAGAAGCTTCTTCTGATTCTGTCGACGATACCACATCCACACTCCGACCAGCAAAAACAAACACACGCCCCAGCAGACGATGATGGTGACTTCGGCGGGGACATAGCGGGGGGGCATCCTTCGGGCGGAAGGTTTGTGGGCCTACGACAATGTCAGTGCGCACGTTCGACTGTCGATGGCCAACATTGGGCCCACTGCACTCACCGATGATATTCCCTGCACAGTATCCAATCAGATATAAAGCCGCCACGGTAGTCTTCTTCGTGTATCCCGCCACATTGGAAGAAATCAGCGAGAGCAACGCGACAAATGGTGTCGGACTGGCTTGCGTGAGATAGTAGCCGATCAAGCGACCGACGTTGTTTCCCAGAGGAAGTGCCACGATTAGCAACATGCCGACGATCGAAGCGACCAGCCCGCCGAGACTGGTCAGCACTCGCTGGTTGGTGATGTGGCCGATGTAGCCGTTGAGAAGGAGGGCGATGACTTCCACCGCGCCGCCTGGGACGCCGAGGATGAGACTCTGCTCCTCGGTGTAACCGAACCCTTTGATCTGGTACAGATATACACCGTCAGCGCTTCATATTGAGAAAAAGGATTTCCTCCAGTGTTCTCTGAATATCATACCAGTTGACTGAAGAAGTTGGTGATACCGCCATTAGGGATATCCGCGATAATCGCGTAGAAGAAGAATGCCCAGGTCATGGGATCCAACAGCGCCTCTTTCACTTGATAGAGCTTGAAATGCTTGTTACCAATGCCCTGCTGGTTAATGCGAACACGAGCAATCGCCAACACGCGATCTTCCTTCTTCAACCAGCGCGCATTGAGCTGGTTATCGGGCACAATCCACAGGAATACCACGCCCAGACAAACCGTCAGCAGGCCAGTCACCATGAAGACGATCTTCCAAGGCTCGATAGAAGACCCGTGCTTGGCTGTGCCGACGGCAATACCGTAGGCCACTACACCACCGAGAATTTGGCCTACGCCATTGAAGCTGAACCAGATGTTGACTCGGATGCCTTGTTCGTATTTGGTGTACCACTTTTGATCATGAGTATGGAGTCGGGACTGCAGGGATTTCCGTTTGAGAAATGAGTGGTCTGGTACATACCTGGGACGTAAGAAGGGCAAAACCAGGTGTGACGGCCGCTTCAAAGACACCCAGCATGAAGCGGATAGCGATGGCGCCCGGGTAGTTTTTAACAGCCGCAAAACAGCATAAAATCGCTCCCCAGATGAGGATACATGCCGCCGAGTATTTGCCCAGTGGGAGGCGCTGCAGGAGGCGATTGGTTGGGTATTCCCAGGCGAGATATCCTATCAACACACATTAGTGCTGTCGCGCGAGTATAAGGGAGAGACATCGGTACCGAAATAGAATAGACTGCCGAGCCATTGGTATTGATCACCCTCGAGACTCAGATCTTCTTTGATACCCATGACACTAGCGTAGGATAATGTTGTCTCTGTGCTGCGTTAGTTCTGGTCTTGATCAGGTCCTGGTTCAGATGTAGAGTATACTACGTACTATCCAGATAATTCATTCCATAGATAAAACACATGATTGGCATCATATGCCAGTCAATAATACTCAGCAATCGACGGTTCGTCGCTTCGTCAAGTTCTATCGTCTCTCCGTGCATCTCGTCGATGGCCTTCATGGCCTCGTCGGCATCGTGCGAGTGTTTTTCGATCGTTGGATTGACATGCTTGACCTTTTCGATGTCGCCATTGTCCACGCCGGTGGAAAGACTGATGGATTTCTCAGCCATGTTGAACAAGATCCCGGCTGAGAGGAGACCTTGAAAAGATGTGGTTCAAGTGAAAATTTCAAGGGAGTATAGATTATGACTATAGCCAGACTCGAGCAAGGTTGGGAAGGAGAAAATGGCCCGATATAAATAAGTAGACTTCACGAGTACAGGCAATGCGGGGAGATCAGTATCACATACTGCTATCTGCCGTACACTGCCGCGCACTACGTACAGTGTCCATATAGGTCGGGTGCTATCAAGCAAATGCTGAGAGTGGATTCGATAAGCCGATGTATCTGGGGTTGAAATCTCCAGCGATGATTGGCTGCGAAGAGAGGGGGTGGGATGATCGGCGGACACAAAAAGACAAGATCCCGGTTCGTAGGCTGGGCATAACTTACTTCCTGGGCATTGCTTCTGTTGTGTACTCCGTACTCCGTACAATGTGATGCCTCAGCTGTAGACCCGGTGTGTACAGAGGTCAAGATCGCCACGTGAAAGTGTTGCTCCACTTGAATTATGCTTGAAGCCTGAGGATGGAGTATAGTGCTTGGGAACTTCGGAGCCAGATCTAGTCTCCTATCCGGCCAAAAGTACTTGGTTATCAGATAGCCGACCCGTTTTCGGTTGACAAGTCGATACTAATTGACACTTATCTTGCTCTCTCCACATCTGCACCTGTGAAATATTTTACACAGATACTGTAGATAATACCCCGAGAGAAAAACTTACGAAACAGCGCTCTCCTTGCATCCCTTGTGGCAAGTCTCCTTACTCCGTACATAGTCGCGCACCAGACTCATGCACCAAGATCAAAATTTACTGTACAGAGTATATAGCACGCCATGAACTTCATTATGCAATGTAACTCTTACCGGGTATGTAGGTACACTCTATTGCGCAACACGGGCCAGGTACGCATCCCAGCCTTGTTGCTGGTACTGCTTGGCAGCATCGACCGGGTCGGCCGCGGCGTAGATGCCACGACCGGAGATAATGAAATCGGCACCACGGCCGACCGCCGACTGTGGAGTCTGATACTGCTGGCCGAGCTTATCGCCCTTGGAGGAAAGGTTGACGCCCGTGGTGAAGACAACGAAGTCCTCATCCTGCGCGGGCGCAACGCTCGCGTCGACCTCGCCCAGCGAGCGGGTTGACACAAAGCCCAGCACGAAACTGGGGTACTTGCGGGCGATGTCGACGGAGGCAGAGGTGTAAGAGCCGGTAGCGAGGGAGCCCTTGGAGGTCATCTCCGCGAGGATGAGGAGGCCGCGCTCGGAGCCGTAGGGGAAGGAGGGGTCTTGGGCGGTTTGGGCGAGCGCTTCGACGATGCCCTCACCCGGCAGGATGGAGCAGTTGATGATGTGGGCCCATTCGGAGATGCGGAGGGTGCCGTTGTGGTATTGCTTCTGGACGGTGTTGCCGATGTCGATGAACTTGCGGTCTTCGAAGATAAGGAAGTTGTGCTTAGCGGCGAGAGCGTTGAGTCCGTCGATCGTCGCTTGGCTGAAGTCCGAGAGGATGTCGATGTGGGTTTTGATCACGGCGATGTAGGGGCCCAGGCCTGTGGGTGTTAGGTGAGGGTTTGAGGAACCTGAGAAGTTTAGGGGAGTCATACGATCAGCGAGATCGAGGAGTTCTTTGGTGGTGGTCACGTCGGCGGAGACGGTCACATTGCTCTTCTTCTCTTCGGCGACCTGGAAGAGCTTGCGCGCGAGGGGGTTGGGGTGCGACTTGGCACGGGCGCCGTAGGTCAATTGCGACTTGGAGGACATTGTTAATGAGGGGTTTATAAGTCTGAGACTGGAATCAGAAGCAAAAAAAGGTGAAGCGGAACTTTTTCTGCCGCGGGGCAAAATCCCCGGAAGTGAAGTGGGCCTGTGGCTTTCCTAATGCAGAAGTTTTATATAAATATAGTATAAAATACCCCATACAAGTAGTCTGATATGATCTATGTGTATACGTAAGTGTGAGTACTGTACTCCGTATGAGCCTCTGCTACCGCTTGCGGGATCCTCTTATGAAGAAACTAAACAACAGCTAGAAGGACAGCTAGAAACATAGGTAGAAAGACAGCTCAAAAGACAGTGAAACCGAACCAAAAGGTAATTAGCAAAAAGATAGTACAGCCATTGGACTCTAAACTATCGTTGGACTCTCCATTACTCGTCTTCAGCCTTAATATTACATATTTCAATCAGGTTTAGTTCCCACGTTAGCTTTAATATTATGGTTTGTTACACCCAAGTAGTGGAAGGTTGTCCCGGAGGAATGGCCATTTGCTACTTAAATTAACGTTTAGAGAGAGATCAGAGACCGTCCAACACCGAACACACTCAGTCCCCAGAGTGCGCCCTGCACCAGCCAGAAGAAGCTACCAATCATGCGGCCCTTACCCTGCGGCTTCCCGGAGTAGACGTAGCCGTAGAGGAACAGTACTCGGAAGAACACCCACAGAGCACCAAGACCAGCCGCATACTCAGGGTACTTCAAACCAGCAACGAGAGTGAAGAGCATGGTCTGCGAGGAGTTTTCGAGGAAGTTGGAGTGGGCACGCTGGGCGCAGTTGAACTGTTCTGCCTTGGCCTGGAATTGGTTAGATCTCTGCTTAGTGCGATCTTCGGGGATAACGGAGTACTGACATTCTCCTTGGAGAGCTCCATAGAAGCATAGCTGTTGGGGTAGGGCACCTTGGCCTGCTTGCGCAGGCTGCCGGTGACGATACCGTGAACGAATCCGAGGACAGGGATAGCGCCGAGCGCCACGCCAATCACGGCACTGAGAGGTGGTTAGCGGCGCATTCTGGTTTGGGCGATTGAGGAGCTTTTTCTTACCCGTAGTTACTGGGGATGATGAATGCGACCATTGTGTAGTTTTAAACTGATAGATGATGTGAGAGGGTGGCTTGATGTTGTGCTCCTTTATAACCGCAAGGCTCGGACAGGTTGAGCGCCGAGCTCCCGTCGGGGCAACTCGTTCGCCCGTCCCATCCGGCGCTTTGGTCCCCGCATTCTTGAGCTCCACTTGCTCCGTACTCCGTTCCTTTCTGTTGTTTAAAATCTCTCGGATCTTTATGTTCTCATGTCCTATTGTCCAATGCTTTTTATATTGCAAAATATTTCCACATTGTCCCACCACGAGGCGCCAAAGTCCATTTCATCTTCTATGCAGTCGCCGGCAAAGGAGTCATGCGGCTCACACTGCCGTACTTGGCCTGCCAAGCGAAGAAGTACAGCAAAGCTCCAAGAGGCTGACCTACAAGACAGAAGCTGACCCAGAAGATACAATTACCGATCACCTTGCCGGACGGCCCGCGCATCTTCTCCAAAGGCGTGGTGAGCGCGATCAACGGCAACTGGAACATCATACCAAAGAATGCCACACCTGGGAACGATCAGTAAAGGGCGGGGGGGTGACAGCAGCGGTGACATACCAATGAAGTTGTGCGTGGGGATCCCAACAAGCATTTCGTGGAGAACGGCGGAAAGCGCGAACACCATCCCACTGGCGGCCAGGGGGCTCCAGCCACGACCCACCAGCGGCGAGAAGACATGGCGCTTCATGAACAGATACACGGGCCGATTCCATGATCGCCAATAAACACCGAGACTCGAGCTGTTCCACCAGTCGGTGTAGAATTCACGGTCTCCAAACTGCATGACCTCGGCCAGGGCATTCAGCAGTGCCTGGAACAATGCGAAAAACCCAGCCAGCCAGATGATGAGCGAAATAGTAGAGAGCTTCATGACTCGCTCGAGGATCGAAGCAATGTCCATCACCGCGATCTTGTCAATTGAGTTGCGGAGCACTGGGGCCGCGTACTGCGCAGACAAGACCCAGATGAACATGGAAAGACCCACGAACTCGGCCAGACGTTTAGCGACAAAGGACCACCGGATGGAAGGAGTGCGCGGGTAAACAGGCTGGTAGACGAGGGTCGGCGCCAACCAGAAGTATCCCAGGTTGCTGATGGTGATGTTCCTCGGGTATGGGCACGAGGAGTAGATTTCGGGCAAGCCCGGGTCCGCAGAGGGGTTCAGCAGTGCGAGACGAAGGTCTCGGTTTGTGAAGGCGTAAGAGCAGTTTTTCAGCCACACAATGATGGCGTGAAGCTGGCAAATAGTGCCAATCCCCGGGTGGTGGATGTAGAAGTAGACCACGAAGCTGGTTACCGCAAGGCACAACGTCGCGTTCAGCGTGTGCAGGAACGCAGTGTACGGCCAAGTCGACTGGAACTCCTTCTGGTCACGCTCCTTTTCTTCCTCGGTTTTCTTCTGGCGGCCAACTGTTCGCTTCGCGGCTGTGGCTGCGGAGAGCTCGATGATGTATGCAACGAGCAGGTGACATGGCACCGAAGCGAACAATATAGACCCCAGAACAACGTCCTGCCTACGGTAGTCGTGGCATTTGATGCAGATCAATACACCATACTAAAGATCGATCGTACGTTAGCAATGGTCGATAATTGCGTCGCGCAACAACCCACTTTCATGAAGTTCTCAATAATCAGTCGCAAATTCATTGCCACTGTTGAAACATCAGTCTATAACTCATATTGAAAGTTCAGGGTCGATCATACCAAGCACCAGAACCATCAGGTTTCGAAATCCCAGGAAATTGGGCAGCACATCGGCCTCGCGACTGAGGCTCGAGTGCTGCAGCTTAGAATGATAGGCAGCTATATGACGATACTTGCTGCGCTTCTTGGGAGGAGAACGAGGCTCATCATGGGTGTCCCCGTTGGCCGAATTGGCCTCCCATTCGCTAGCCATGGCTTCTGTGCGAGAAGTCATGACAGCTTTGCAACCTTGGCGGTGGTGCGAGAGTGGAAGGGTCTAAGCTCCCGGAGCTCCGACGGCAATGTAACGATTATAGCAAATCACCCTGCAGCATGGCAAGACACAAAGGGAGAGGGAGAAAAAGAGGACCAAGAGAAAAAGAGGACCAAGAGAAAAAGAGAAAAAGACAAAAAGCGACCTTCCGAAATCCCAACGGTTGTTAATCTGGGCTGGACTGTCTTGACATGCGGGGAGCATCATAGCGCTTGCAGATGGGCCCGCAGCCAATGAGCGTCGCAGGCCGCCAAGGGATCCCGAGCTCGTCGACTTTCTCTGTCCTCCGAACTTTTGAGATCTCGCGTTCATCGTCGTCATGGCCTATTTCGAGGACCACGATGGAGGCCGTTTCGGGAAGAATTTCGATGGTCCCGTCGGACCTCGCAGACCACGTATGTGCTTCCTTCACGTTTGGCTTTGGTCGCTTCTGTTCCCTTCCGGTACTAACAACGCTGTGCGATAGGTCTGGTCACCGATTATGGCTCTTCAATGGTACAATGGATGCGAACTCGCCAGCCGCGATACAAAGGAGGACATAGACTGGAGACAGAGCGACCAAGTCCCAGCTTTGCAGTTGATGTACCTTATCGATCACACCTGCGCCGTCGACAGCAACTGACATCGCACAGGTCCTTCCTCCGATGGCGCGTCCTTTCTCCGCCGTCGACACGATTCCGGTACGACACCTTCACCAGTCTATCGGAAAGTCAAAGAAACCTATCGTCGTCGTGCGATGGACTCCCGAAGGAAGGCGATTGTTGACCGGAGGTCACACGGGAGAATTTATGTTATGGAACGGAACAGCTTTCAACTTCGAGACGGTCATGGACGTACGTGTATCAAAGCCTGGTGCATGGGGGAGCTTGCTAAAGAAATGTTTCGCAGGCGCACTACGATCAAATACAGGCCGGTGTCACTTCACTGGCATGGGCTCATAGCCAAGACTGGCTGATCTCCGGTGGACAAAGAGGAGATATTAAGTATTGGCGACCCAACTTCAACAACGTCGAGACGATCGACGACGCCCACCACGATGCAGTTCGCGATCTTTCATGGGCCCCAAGTGACACAAAATTCCTGTCCGCGTCCGACGATACGACACTCAAGATCTTCGATTTCGCTACTCGAACAGCCGATACTACCCTGACCGGACACAACTGGGATGTCAAATCCTGTGACTGGCACCCTACCAAAGGATTGATTGTTTCCGGATCCAAGGATCATCAGGTCAAATTTTGGGACCCACGCACTGGGCGATGCTTGACCACACTTCACAGCCATAAAAACACGGTCACGTCTACGCGCTTCTCTCGAGTGAACAGCAATCTTCTCGCTACATCTTCGCGCGACCAAACCGCACGAGTCTTCGATCTGCGGATGATGCGCGATATCTGCATTCTGCGAGGCCACGAAAAGCCAGTTTCTTCATTGACATGGCACCCCATTCACAGCAACCTGATCTCAACCGGTGCCGAGGACGGCTCTCTTTATCACTACCTGCTTGACGAGCCGAACCTGCCCGCCGGCCATGCTCCTACCGTGGCCCCATACGACAGCCCGGACCCGGCTAATACTCCGCCGCAAGTTATTTACCCCGCCCATCGGATTCAATATGCACACGGAGCTACGATTTGGTCATTAGACTGGCACCCACTGGGTCACATCCTGGCCTCTGGGTCTAAAGACAATTTCACTCGATTTTGGTCGCGGACACGACCGGGTGAGACTAGTTACATGAAAGATCGATTCCACATCGGCGAAGAAGCTGCCGAAGCCCAGGGAACATGGAGTCGAGGCTTCGGTCGCAAACAGATGCGCGATGACGAGGAGCAAGAAATTCAAGACGAAGCCGACAGCCTGGTCGACCAGCGCCGGCCAGGTACTTCTGCTCTGCCAGGTATTCAAAGTGCGCCGCTGGCCGGCTCCCAGAACGATGGTCCAGGCTTGTTACCCGGCATTGGCAACGCACCTCCTCCGCCGCCCAGTGCTATGAGTGGGATGAATCCAGAGCGGTTGGCTGCGCTCATGGGCCAACAACCGCCACCTCAGTCAAATCCACAAAATCCAGGAATGCCTGGATTTGCTTTGCCTGGAATGACCGGCACCCCGCCGGTGAATATGGACATGGCGCAACTGCAAAAGCAGCTTCAAGGATTCCCCATGCCCCAAAATTTCAATCTCCAAGCTCTGGCGAATACCCCTGGCTTCCCTGGTGGGTTTGGCGGCCTGCCTGGGTTGGGTGGAATGCCCGATGCTAATCAGAGACGGTGATTGATAACCCGTTGTTTGGGATGTTTGTGCAATCGGTCTGGGTTTGGCGTCAGGATTTAATTTTAGCATGGCCACTATGATGCAGGGCAACGGCGCATTTGAGATATCAGTTCCCAATTGTATCATAGCAAGTTTCGGACATTCCAGCTTCCTCGGGCGTTGTAGACGAGCGAATGCCGTAGGTCGACATTCGGGCAGTTGGGTGCATCGTATGGAGCTTATATTGCAGCGTGCTCGTGGCGACTTAAAGACCACCTTGCATGGGGAAGCTAGTGACAATGAGGAGCATCACGTTGACACCGCCCCATATCATAGGCAGCCAAGTCGACATCCTGAAGTTGCCTGCCTCGTACACTGCGCCGAGACTTGAGGACAAACAGTCAGCTATCACTCCATAGGTTTGAGGCGATGCTTCTATTTATCCACTTACACAAGTCCAACTATGCTCCCAGCCAGGAGCCCCTCAAGGGCTGCGATGAAACTGTACACCAACGGTATGATCCATATCACAGTCCAGTTACGGCGCTGTGTTATCATAGCACATGCAGCAACGGTCAAATGTGTTGCAGCGTAAAACGCCAGTGTCCAGAATAGTGTAAACCGCCATATGTCCTTCGTGTAGTAGAGGTAATATGCCTGCTGGTGATGCGACGGCAGGGGATCGTATAACGACGGAAAAGAAGGAACCTCGTAATTGATAGGAACGCGATTATTGGCCATCGAGAGGTAGCTGCGACTCAGCAGCGGGGGAAACAAATCACCAAAGCATGGCCTCCATGAATATGAAGGAACAGTATAATCCGCAGCTCGAGTCCGACGCGTATCTAAACGGACAATTTTGGAAAGTCCGGAAATGACGATGCTTGTTTGCACTGTTTGCCTTCGGGCCCGGACCTCGGCTGGTCTGGGGTTCTCCGCGATTGAATCACCCTGAGCAATGTGAGCTTGCGGGTCTGTATCCCACCCATTCTTTCAATGGCGACCGAACGCTCTTTGGCTACCTTGCTGCGGTCGCTTCAGACGACTTCCAGCTTTCAAGATGCGGCTACGTAAGTGGTTCCCCCGAGTGCCTCGGAGTTGGGCGACGTGAGGCTAACCATTCGCAGTCTTCTTCCTACGGCGACCAGTTTCCTGTCTATGTTAGGAAACCCTTTGAATTTGACTTTGCTCTCGTCGCAACTCCTTACTGCGCCCTCCCTATGGAGTCACCCTGTCGATTTACAAGCGTGCCGTAAGATCCTCAGCGTCTTCAACACTGCTGCCATCGCCGTCTTGCACAATGACTCCATCGACGAGCCCCGAATACCGTATGGTCGGAATCGAAAGATCGAGTGCGATGCGTGGGTGAAGGCTGTGGCCGAGGGTGCAGACGATAAATCGCCGCGGTGGAGACACATGCTTCTGCTGGGTGGAATCTTGATGGGATTCGAGGGCCAGAACCGGCAGGGTCTACCACGACATATTCGAATCAAGCTCGAATCTGCACTTTCAACGGCAGCACAATTGGCGCTACAAGAGCTCGGTCCAGACATCGGGATCGATGGCCAGTGTATCACCATGGTGCTGAACTATACGTTTGAACTCTTGTCAGATTTCGAAAGGAGCAAGCTCGATTATGATCGCTTACTCCCAACAATGATCCAATCGGCGTACCTTTCGTCTGAAGGTCTGGAGGGTGGGTACTTTTTGGGATCTATTGATCAGGACGTCGTGGAAGCTCCCAACAAACAGTTCAAGTGGTCCTCCAACTCCCCGACATTTGCGATCGTTTCTGCCGTGTCTGCTCGTCCGCTTGTGTCAACACTTGGTCCGCTATCTCGTCTGATTGCACATTCTATTGACAATGTGCGAGACCCAAGAATAGTCGCACAGACTGTCGATTACCTGGCGGACTTTGTTCGTACTCTCATGGTGCAATGGCGGCAGAACAAGTTGTCGGAGATTGATGCTGCAGAAGAAGCCGAGTTTCTGGACGCTGAATCACGAGAGGTCACACTCCCTGCGCTTTGGAAGATGTTACGGAACTGCTTGTATTCCGTCGTCATTGCCTTGAGGGCAGTGCTAGGGCGAACGATCAATGATCCCGCTCTCGCTGCTAACAGCAGTGAGTTGCCTCACTACAACATTGATGACCTTGGAACTAATTAGAGTGAACTAGGCGCCCCTTACCTCTCGATGCAATGCCTTCATATTCTGCGCAATTTGTACTTCATCTCGTCTCGAATCGGCCAGAATGCCTCCTCGCAACAAACGTTTGTGCTATTGGCAGCCATCGATATCCTTTCACAGTACCCTGTACTGGCTGAGAACTTCTTGCGAAGTATCAAGCCAAGCGACATTGGACAGATCCCCGCGCATCCGGTCGAACGATGTTTGGACTTGTTCTTCTTGAACGTCGCAGAGCACTTCCCTCTTGTCCTATCATCAGAAACAAGCGAGGAGCTGTTTTTGTCGGCAGCGTTCCCATATCTTGCAGCTGGAGCTAACAGTCTCCTGTTGGAAATTTTCGAAGCTGCTCACAGCTTGGTCTTGGTTGCCTTTGCCATCCCCCATAATTCCGAATTAGCCGCCAAGCACCTTCCCTTCTATATTGAGAACCTCTTTGCGGTATGTCGTTTACTTGCTGATGTCAATTCCGTTTCTAATTAGCTACAGGTTTTCCCCAACAACCTCTCCGCGCGTCAATTCCGCCTTGCTTTCAAGACCGTTATACAAATCACGGCCCCACCTTCTCCATTAGCGAATACCCAACCCATTCTCCCTTCCATTCTCTTAGAGGTCGTTCACGAGCGTGCTTTGAATGCGTCCTCTACTCCAATTCCTCCGCAGGGTCCCAGCCCGGACATGAGCCAGAGTCCACCTCTTTCCGAACAAGCTGTTCTAACACTGGCTCTACTCGATTCACTAGCTTTCCTCCGTGTCGACGATCTGAAAGAGTGGCTCCCTTTGGCGGCGCAGCTAATAAACGCGATTGCGGATCGGAACATGCGACACATTTGCATTGACCGGTTCTGGGAAGCATTGGCTGGCGGCGAAATGGACGTCGATCGCGCTCACTGCTGTGTCACTTGGTGGAGTACCGAGGGCGGTCGTGAACTTGTTCTGTTCGGCGCCGAAACTGCCGACGCAGCTCCAGGCGATGCCGAGGCTAGTGGGCCCTTTATGAGTGGTGCAGTCGGAGAAATTGCACCGGAAAGTAAGCTCTAACGATGGAATGTGAATAATACGCAGTGAATCTATGTACTATACCTACGGGTGTGCTCAGATGATCACGTCTACACCTTAAATATCTTGTTCTTGTTCATAGAATAGAATTGAGCCCAGCTCGATGAATATTCAAACCAATGTCTTTGCAAATCACCACTCTGTATATGTTTCTCATTTGCAGTTCAACTAAATCCCGGGGATTCCCACTGGGGTGTTTGTTCTGTATTGAACATACTCGTCGCCAAAGAAAGAGATCAAGTAAGCCTCCTCGCCTATTGTCACAAATTAGCAGAGGCCTCCGTGCCCGGTAGATAGCCAACTCACGCTTGATTCTGCTCGAGAAGAACCGCCACAATACCAGCGCATACCCAACAAAGCATACCGCATTCCCAAGCACCAACTGAGTCCCAAGTCCCCACCAGAAGAACCCGAAATAACTCGGATGTCGCAGGTAGCCGTAGAGACCACTCTTCACCAACACATGGCCCTCCTGATGCTGACTTTGCACATGATGGTTGAAGTTACTAGCAGCGGTCGCCATGGCGATTGTGCGAACCACCTGTCCAACAGCCAGCAGTATAAATCCGGCAACGAGAAGCAGCGAGACCTCCCTCCCAAACACAGGCTCTGTCACTGTAAGCAGTCGACCGAACGACGTCTGTCCAGGGAAGAAATAATGCGAGACGATACACTCCACAATTGCAGACCCATGCGCAACATTATATGCCCACCCGTTCGACGACAGTAGGAACGCAGAGACTGTCGCATACCGGGTGTTGTATTGCGCGGTCACCCAAAATTCCAGAAAGTGAAACAGACTTAGCGAAGCCACGAAAAACGGTGCCCGCCACAGCGGCGTCGAATAGACCGTGCTCAGGAGCAATGCCATACTGGAGGTGAGCCCGAGCGAGGTTCCAAGCAGCATTGCGCGCAGTGAGATGCCCGCCAAAGACATCTTACCCGATGGATATGTGGAGACTTGTACGATCGGCACATCGGAGTCACTATCGTCGGAGGATTCGGAGACGAGGTTGTCGTTGTCGTGAGCGCGAGGGCGAGCCCCAGCGCGCTCTGCTTCGTTGGACGCAATTCCTGGCATTTCGTAGCCAGTGGTCATGATGGAAGGTGGGGGTGACATTTCGGAGTTTTTTCAGATGGTGGACATTTTCGAGGATGTCGGGCGTTAAATACACTTGGGGTGGAAAGGTTTCTTTGTCTAAAGAACAATCACAACCGTTGCCATTGAAATGTTTACTCGGGGGTTACGGGCCCGGGCCCCGGGCTCGGATGACACATCCACCCCCACACGCCCGTGGGGCTTGAGCTTCCTCTTCGGGACTATATGGAATGCATTGACTACTTCTCTTTTGCTTTCCTTTCTACTCTTTTCAACTGCTCATACTTACAGTTCTCGTCTACCAGGCGCCGATAGCTACACGATGGCGTCAACAGAGCGAGAGAAGATGCTTCGTGGGGAGCTCTATTGCGCCTTCACCCCAGACCTGATTGCTGCTCGAACACGCTGCAAGTGGGCCTGCAATCGGTTCAATAGGACCGATGAGGCACCTCGACGTCAACTTGTCGAATTGTGGAAAGAGTAAGTTGGCTTGACTTCCTAACTCTGTCTTTTGTCTGATTGATCCTACTGGTACATCCACTCTATATCGTCGCATACACCTACTAAGCCATGTCTACAGCATCACCGAAGACAACACACCTCTGCCACCACCACTGGATGATCCAGTTGCCGATGCTGCTCTTCTCGAACGGGAGCCCTGGATTGAAGCCCCCGTGAAAGTTGATTACGGGTTCAACGTCAAGCTTGGGGAAGGTGTCTTTATCAACTTCAACTGTGTATTCATCGATACCTGCCCTATCATCGTTGGCGCTCGGACTTTGTTCGGCCCTAGCGTTCATATATATTCTGGGACTCATCCGCTGGATCCTGCGTTGCGCAATGGCCTACAGGGTCCAGAGAGCGGGAAGCCCGTTGTGATTGGGGAGGATTGCTGGCTGGCCGGCAATGTTACTGTGCTGCCTGGTATCACCATTGGGAGAGGATGCACGATCGGTGCTGGCAGTGTGGTCACCAAGGTATGTATCTGCTCTGCGTTAGCCCAGGCGTGTCTGCATTTGTGTCCCCTGGGTGACTATCCTAATTATTCATTGATTTGGTGCTGATTTCCTTTTCAAAGGATGTACCTGCTTTCCACGTCGCTGCTGGTAATCCGGCTAAGATTATCCGTCGCATTCAGACAACAATGACGGAATGAATTTGACCCAAAGATGATGAGAACACATGCAGGAAGTGCTCTGGATTCCTACCTAATTTGGGTTATAATAGAAGTTCAATGAAGTTATGTTACATGTATACCGTGCAGATATGCAGGCCTAGTTCAGTCGACGATATAGAAATAAAATATTGAACAACGTTGTTAGTCCTTGCTAGTACCTTTATCTCCTTGGCTAAAAAGCAACCTTGATTGACCTTCACCAGGGTAGAATATTGATATTTGTAGGTTCATGCATAGGTCGCATCTGGGGCTGTGCAGTCAACGGCCACTCTAGAGAGACCGGGGTATACTTAACAGGATTTGAAAAATACTAATAACATAGAAGAGATTGTAGAACATTCATTCATATTAAATATTAAGCATCTTATTTCACCCAGAATAAAGAATTGCCGAAGAATCAAAGAAGTGAACGGTTTGCAGTACGCGTGGAGAGCTTTGAGATCAGCGGAGTTCTTCAAACGTCACTGGTTTCTGGCGCGTCCCCAAAAAAGCTGTCGACCGCTTTACCTTTCAACCACCTTTTCTTCGTTCTCACCTCTCACTCTCTCCACACCACAAATTTGCTCCTAACTTTCATTTGACGCGTGACTACGACCTGTCATCACTGCGGAACGCGAAAAATGCCATGGCTGCACCCCCGCCAGATAGCTCTTACGCCCCACCAGACACTCCCGTAAATGAGACACCTTTCCTTGACGACCCCATGGAAGATCTTGATCCTCAGGCGACTCGCAAGCGCCCACGTCTGGACAGTGGAAGTGGTGTGAGTCCCACTCTGTCCCTGGATGGAACATCTCGAACTGCCTCCGTTGCACCTGCCTCGGACATGGACGAGGCCTCAGATTCAAGTCGCGTTGCCAGCAAAGTCACGATCAACATGAAATCTCCCCTTCTCCCCGCCCATGACTCTCCCGAATCGCAGCTCCCCGCCCACCCTTCAAAGCTCCAGCCAGACGCTGATGGAGCTCCCGCCGTCATCACTCTTTCCTCTACACCCTCTACTCCCGCGCAGCCCCGAGATCGAAGTCGCGGAACCGGAAGATATAGATCAAGATCCCGGCTCCTCGAACTGGAGACCACTGGAGCATGTCGTGCAGGATCAGGACGACCTCGAGGTCATCGAGATCCACGATGCACCCACCCTCGCCGATATCTTCCCGAAACTTGATGAAGATATGACCCACCGAGAGAACTTCAAAGCTCTGGGTGAAATGATTGAGCTTGGTGAGCAGAGCATGTATCCTACTCCATGCATCATGCGGAATACTAATTTCAAATTTCTAGGCCACCAGCGAGAAACTCAGGCGCTTTTTGCAGTCAAGCGCTGGATGACCACATGCACCCAAGAGCTGGACCGACTTACACTTGAGGAGTTTACGGCAGATCTTGAGTTCTGGGAATTCATGCCTCACGTCGTGGAGTGCCTGCTGCGCAGACGACCCCAGCTGGACCTGGAGAGGGTTGAAGATCCTTGGGCCTTCTTTGAGGAGTTATTGCTTGATTTCTCACGCATTGTGCTCCACCTCGTTCGATTAGATACCTCGATTCTCAGCCGATTGAATGGGCACTCCGGTATTGATCCACCCATGAGCACTTCTCGCCGCTACCTCTCAACCTTCTCATGGGTGTTCAATAGCCCCCTTGCTCCGTTCTTTTCCACCCTGAACGACCAATACCACCTCGAAACTCTCAATCTCATTGCCCGTCTGAAAGATCAAGTCACATCACACCCCTTTGACGCACCCGGTGCACTTTTGCAGTACATCTCCCATGTGCTCGCTTTACTGCCAGAATTGCCATCAGTGTTTACAAATATCGCCATCATCATGTCGAATACACTCCTCTTCTTTCAATTCTGGTTCGATAATTCTAAGAAGGGTTTGCCTGGCTCTGTCGTCACTGTCCCCAGCGTTGACGTCAATCTCCAGACTCTGTACGAAACTACTCAGGCAGTCGACAAAGCATATCAGGCAATGGTCGCCAAGAAGGTGCAAGTGATAACCAGCGAGTTGAGCGCCCAACTTCTAGGGGTTCTTTACCGCACCTACGAATTCCTTTGCAGCACCGAACCCGACTTTATGTTCGAACTTGCAAGAGATTTGGGAATGGTGCTGCCAACTGACACAGATTTGGCGCAGACCCAGATGTGTGTGATATCGACATGGAAAGTTGATGCGCTAAAGAAGCAGATCATGGCAGGTCGCATGGAGCTGCGTGTCAACGGCGTCGAATCCTTACAGTCAGATTTGGTCAATCTATGGACCAATCAGTTCTCCCGTAACGGAAGTCTCCAATTCATGCAATACATGGTCAAGCTCCTGCGCGAGATCAAGATTCTGGAATACCTCATGGGCATCGACTCCCACCCACAGCTGATTGCCCGCGCCAGCAACGTCTTCGGATTCTTGATCGTGACCGGTGACTATGATAACTACATCACAGATGTCATCTGGAAAACCGTCACCGACTGTCAAGATGATCGAACTTTCTCGGAGGTGATTGCCATGCTCACACGTACTGTGAATATGCATCCGTCTCGATCCAGTGCGTTGGTCTATGTGTGTGAAAAGTTGATCGAACTCCCACTGCAACGGTTTGATGCGCGCATCCTCGAGCTCTGCCAACAGCTCTTGCTCCGAACTCAAGAGAGCCCCTATGACCTTGATTACCGCGTCATAGCGAACCGTGACAATGAGACCATTCCATTGAAGCTTTGTGTCAGATTGGTTCGCGAGAGTGCCGCAGCTGATCTTCCACTTGAGAAGAAGGAAATGCTGCAACAGTTCGGCAGGCAGCAGCTCGTCAAATCCGCGAGGACTGGCTTAAGCGAGGAAGACAAGACTGATACATACACAGGCTGCATCCAAGACATCGCAGCGATGAATTCTTACACCGCGGGTAGCATTCAAGTGCTGAATGCTCTTGTGTCCTGTGAAGGTTCGCGCGAACTTGGGAGACTTGCGAATGATTTTGATTTGACGCATTTGGTCATTACGGAGCTTCGCCAGTTTGTTGATCAACTTGATACTATTTCCGACAATCTTTCCTTGCAGCATGCGTTCCATTCACGGGTGGACCTCTTGCAGCGCATCATCGAATTTGCCCCGGAGACCATCACCCCAGAGCTTGCTAACACCGTCTGGAAAGAGATTCTGATGTCCGACAAGTTAGCACACAACGAGCGCCTCATTATTTGGAAGATGATGCAAAATGCAACGAAGACTTCAAGAGCCAATCCATTCATCGAGCGTTGTATCAATGAGTATCTTCCGGATGTGCTCCCCAAATCCTATTCCCATGAGATCTTGTGGTTTGCTCAGCAGTCTGTTCACTACGATATCCGTGTTCAGGTCCCTTCGCCTGCACACGAGGACGAGGTGATTGTTGTTCCTGGTATGGATCGCATCTGGAATTTCATTCTGACTGCACCCCCAAACACCATCGAAAACGATGCGATCAAGTTTGCGATCAATTTATATTTGGATCACGGTATTATGGGCAGATCCCCAGCATCCGCTGTTGATGCGACCCACATTGCTCTGGTCGGTCGTTGTGTAGATCAGCTGAAGTCCGCAGCGTCATCATTGAAACCACCTTGCAATGGAGTGGCCACTACTGATGGGCCAATGGACGTCGATCCTTACAATGAACGACTCGGCACCGAGGAATTAGTTTTCAGTCGATCCTTGGAATTCTTGCGTCAGCTCCTCCATGGACTGCGAACTCGTCCGCAATTCTCTTCTCCTCGGAGCGAGAGTGGGTCTCCGCCTAGCTTCAGCCATCTTCAACCCAAGGGAGAAGTTGTTTACATCCGTTACCAGTGCTTCGGTGTAGCTGGACAACACGCGCAGAGGACGATGCAGATCGGTGACCTTTCAACGGCCGGTGAACTGGTGGATAGGCTGACCCAGTTGACCCGTTTCTCCAAGTTCATAACCATCTTCGGTGGACAGAAGCTGGACTTGCTTCAGAACCCGAACACTTTACTCAAGGACTTGAATCTAGGGTCAGGATTGCTCCTCGTCAAGAAGAATGATGACGCTGAAATCATTACCCCGACTCCCTGGAACAGACCGATGACTGCCGTCGACAAGGAAGTTTTGAAACACTTTGATGAGCTGTATGATCTACTTGGCCTCAAAGATGACTTGGCTAGACAGGTGCGTATCCCTTGACCGAAGTCTTTGACATGCGATGCTGAACTCTTTTTCTCCAGATCATTGATTTCTTAGTCGCCTTCCCGCCTCAGGGGCAGGCTCTGGAGCTTGTCAGATCGACGAACAACTCAGAGAAAGAGATTTTTCCGTTGAAAACACCGTTCAAGGCCCTCTACTCTCTGAACACATTGATGACATGCTTGCGTGAAATGTCTCTTGCCGTGGAGGTGAGTGTCACTGTTTTACAACCCGCCCATGCCGGTACTAACAATCAACGTAGATCAATTCGGATTTTGTGTCTCATAGCATCGAAGTCTTGGTCGCATTCCTAACGATGGATGAGTTGTTGAATTCACTCACCGGTGGTTCAATCACAATGGTGCTTGCATCTAGAGCGATCGAATGCTTACTGCTGGCGATACCTGGTGCGTCAAGCTCTCCATATATGCGTATCAATCGCTCAAACTAACCATAGTTTAGTTCACCACCCGACTGAGACTAGTGCTGTCCTCATTCCCGACATGACGAGCCTTGTTCCACGTGTTTTGAGTCTGCTCGAAATCGGCCGTGGTGAACATGCTGCTGGCCAGGCCACCCTCTTTACCAGAAACTTGGTTTGTCATTCCTTCGGAATTCTGATTGAGGGATCACTACGTGACCAAAACATCTGGAACACCGTCAAGGCGCAAGTCAATTTTGATTCTCTTGTTTCCTCCTTGCTACTATGTGAAAACGACAGACCAGTCCGGAGGGACATCGTGGAACGTCTCAAAATGCTCGCTGGTACCGTGAAATCAAAACAAATGCCAGCGAGCCCTTCTTCCGGAGAGCTTCCAACCAAGGAAAGCCCTCTTCGCATTGATATGCTGGCCACGATTTGGAGCGCGTTTGTAAATAACATACCCCAAACGTGTGAGGTCGCCAACCAGTCGGAGGAGTTTTTCACAGCTTCTTTGTTCATATTCAGTTCAGTCGCAGAGAGATCGCCACGTGATGTGGTGTTGAGCGAGTACATGAAAGAGTGGACCGCCGTTTTACTCGAGCATGAGACGAAAGAGGTGATTACTCCACAGCCTGTTTGTGAGGTCTTGCTTTGTTGCTAACAAATGGCAGTATGTGGGACGCGAGACTGCTGACGCCCTTGTGCTCGGACTTTCTGCACATCTCGAGTTGTGCCTTGAGCTGGCTATCAATGCCAACGTTCCTTTGGAATCCGAGTACGTATCAATTCTCCGATTAAATGGAGATAGCGATTATGCTGACATGCACTGTAGACACATTGCCGAACAGCTATTGAACAAGTACCTCTTTCCGGACTTCATGCCCGAGGGAGGAAACTTTGCAGACCTCCGCACTCCGATGATGCATAGCTACACTCGGCAACGACTGTACCATGTTGTGACCTTGCTGTGCCAGCAGAGTGATGAGACTTACGGCCGAATAGTTGAATTGCTCGACAGCATGGTCCCCCGAGGTATGAAAACCCCTCAATTCACCATTATCGTAAACTGACCCGATTCTATAGATTCGTCGTATATGGAAAACTCGTTTGACAGGCATATGATGATTCGGTCCCCTAAGGGATATGCCGGTCTCAAAAACCTATCAAACACGTGCTACCTCAACTCGCTCATGACCCAATTGTTCATGAACGTCGATTTCCGTGATTTCATCTTGAAACTTCAGATTGCCGACCCCGTGTCACAAAAGCTCCTCTCTGAGACCCAGAAGCTTTTCACCTGGATGCAAGAAACTTGGAGAAGAAGCGTTGAACCGAGTGATTTCGTGGAAAGTATTCTGACATACGACAATGAGCAGATTGATGTCGGCATTCAGATGGATGTTGATGAATTTTACAACCTTCTGTTTGATCGATGGGAAGGCCAGATTCTGGATTCAGAGAAAAAGAAATCCTTCAGATCTTTCTATGGTGGCCAGTTGGTACAACAGATCAAGTCGATGGAATGTGATCACATCTCCGAGAGAGAGGAGCCATTCTCTGCTATCCAATGCGAGATCAAGGGCAAGGCTTCTTTGGAGGAAAGTCTACGGGCCTATGTGGCAGGGGAAGTGATGCAGGGTGGTATGTTCATCAACGGCCCAGACTGAAAGTCATAGCTGACACAACTCAGATAACAAATACTCGTGTACCTCGTGTGGCAGACATGTGGATGCCGTGAAACGGTGAGTACTGCGCTAGAGGTGGAAAACAGAAACGCTGACTTTCATTAGTGCCTGTCTCAAAGATGTGCCCGACAATCTCATCTTCCACCTGAAGCGCTTCGACTTTGACATGCTCACTATGTTGAGAAGTAAGATCAACGACGAATTCAGATTCTCTGACCTCATTGACATGGCGCCCTACACCGTTGAGCATCTCTCACATCCCGATCAACCTGCCGAACCAGATATGTTCGAACTAGTCGGTGTCCTTGTTCACAGCGGTACCGCTGAGTCCGGCCATTATTACTCATACACACGCGAACGACCCTCGTTGGGCCAAGAAGCTTCTTGGGTCGAGTTCAACGATTCAGAAGTCTCCGAATTCCACCCACATTCTATCCCAAGTCACTGCTTCGGTGGCGTCGAGCAACCCAAGTCCATGAACAACTCAAGGGCCAAGCCGTGGAATGCGTACATGCTGTTCTACCAGCGAGTGTCAGAGACCGAGGAGTCCAAAGCGGCCCAAAAAACCCCGAAGCCGCGTGTTCCCGTGCACGTACCAGTGTCACTCTCCATGAAGAACTATATTGCCATGGACAACGAACTGCTCATTCGAACCTACTGTCTGCTGGACCCCCAGTATGCCTTCTTCGTGGACGGACTGCTTCGGCGGTGGTCCAACATGGCCCTTGGGGACAACAAACTCAAGGCGGAGTCTTTCGCTGTTGACGTTGGTATGGATACTATGGAGCAATTGATATCACGAACCAAGGATCTCCATGGGCTAGAAGATATTCATCGGAGCTTGAGTGATATGGTCACCAGCAGCTCTGGCGCGGCTCAGTCTGTCCTTCGGTGGGTTAGTGATCGCGAGTCATCAATGCAAAACCTCATGACCAAGACACCTGTGCAAGATGTTCGGACCAGGCACTTTTCGCTGATACATCGAGCCCTGGGACGTCTTCATTCCTTGTCGACTGACCCGGATGCTGACGACGATGACCGGCTCGGATGGCGCCTTGAACTGGAAGCAGCCGTCGAACGAATTGTACCACTCGTGACAGAAGTGTGGTCCACCGTCCAAGCTTTGCCCCGATACTGGGAGGACTTCTTTGGGTTCTTGAACAAGACCTGTACCTACGGACCTTCGGTTGTGCAAATCGTGCTCGACCAAGGTGTCCTTCTTACGTGTTTGCACATCTTGTGGATTGACCAAGAGGACAGGAAAGGTCTTCAAAACCGGCATCCCAATTACGTCCGAGCTATGGAGAAAGGCCGTCGCTTTTCTTATTCGGGACTACTATCCTTGTGCTTGACTCTTTTCAAGCATATTGATCTGTCACTTGAGCCGTCTTCCATTGGCGAGAACCGACAGATGTTAGCCGAGACCGGCAAGCTTTCTATCAGGGAATGTGAATTGGAGTTCATCACGCCTCTCGATCCAGATGGGTCCTTGTCCCTGCTGTCAAAGATCTTCAAGCACTGGTCTGTCTCTCGAACACCCTACGCTCGAGGTATTCTTGCTGTTTTCTTGGACGGAGAGCCCGAAGCTGGGTTCCTGAATGTCATTCAGAAGTCCTTGGAGAATGGCCTGCGAACGGACCCTGCGATTCAATGTGTGTCTTACCTGGAGGCAACTGTGGTATTCTGTCAGCACTGCCCCTACCAAGCACGAGTGGCCGAAATGATCAACTTCGTTGCCAACGGCATTGATACTATCGACAGCAGCGGAGGTCAAGAGCACTTGGATTTCTTCATTCAGGTTTGTGATATCACCAACCGTCGGCTGGGATTGGGCCGCCGAGATTTCTCTAAGATTTCTCTGAACCATCTCCCGACATTTGCGCCCACCCTGCTTATCGACATGGGAGAATCTGTCCGACACAACACTCGGGCTTTTCTAGATGAAGTTTTCGCAGGAACCAAGGATGAAGCGACTGCCCACATGGACAATGAGCTGAACGGCGAAGCCAATGACTCGGGCAGTCTGTCCAATATCATCGTGGGAGAAGAACGCATCGCCCTCGGCCGTCGCCTTCAGGTTTCCTGTGCCGACCGACTTCAAAAGTCCTTTATGAAAGAGGGACTTCGCCACATTGATCACAGACAGCTTGAGTCCATCCTTGCCATCATCAACTATTGCCTGACTACATTCTATGGTGACAGTGAGGATGACATGATTGAAGTCCAGAAGACACGCGGTATGTTCAAATGATGGGTTCAAGCCTTGAGTTTTCAATTGAAGAAGCTTTGCTGACAGTGTTCATTAGACCTGCTTTCCGACCTTCAAACAATGTCCCTCCAGGAAATTCAGGATGACCCGGCCTCTGGTACGACCGAACTCCCACGCTCCTTATGCTCTAGGACCCCAACTGACCCCATTTTCGCAGAGTCCGACGTTGCCTCTGGCGAGGAATGGGAAGGGCAATCTGGAATGGCCTCAGACTCAGACATAGGAGTCCGAGGCTCTCCATAGACGAACAAGATCCTCACATTGATTGTTCTCGGTGTTTTCACCTATTACGTTTCTTTTGCGATATCAAGACATGAGCGAGCGCGATATGTGCCTGCGCGGCTATTTTTCCTTTCAGTCACGGATTTTACGAATTTCGCTGTCAATTTTCTTTTTTACTATGATTTACCTCGGTGTTCCTCTGCCGACAATGGATTGGCCGGAGTTGGGTTGTTTTTACGTCCCTTTGACGAGAAAAGAAGAGGCTGGGATAAGCCGTGCATTTTCAGTGGCCACCTCGAGATAGAAACCTAATGAGTTCTGATCTCCATGTGTCTCCATGCTCAAGCCAAATTTGTAGGAATCAACAATAATCAACAATAATTAGTTCAGTGATCACGGCTTGGCCATGACTTTTGGCTCCACCGAAGGGATTTTGGCGAATCATATTTATCTTTTTGATTTCAATTACGGAGTATATTTCAGTACACTTTTATCATCAGTACTCTGTACGGAGTACGGAGTAAAGATTTCTGTGTTCACGGTTTAGCCAAGACTTCCTTTACTCGACTGACGATTAGTTGGAGAGACAGTTAAAAAGACAGTTAAAAAGACATCCTGAAGGTGGTGAAACAATGTCATGTAGCCGTAGCTTTTCGTTTCTAAATTATCGAAATTTTGTGAGCATATCTGCAAGACCATGCATCTATCTTAACCCTCCTCTTCGCCTCCAACTGGGGCCTTGCCCTCATCATCCGACGCGCCCTCAATGGCAGCGAGTGCCACCCGATGGTCGCGTGTACCGTTGCGAGATCTAGCCCCAGCCTTGGGACTGCCAGGGTCGTGAGGCGCAGTTGCAGTTGCAAGCTTAGCAGCTGAGATGCCGCCAGAAGTGACGTAGAGGAAGTGTTCGGCAGGGAAGTGATCAATATGATTGAAGAATGAGCCAAAGCTGTGATGAAGGTCAGTGTTGTTGGCACGAAAAATAGCGATCTCAATTCTAGGACATACCCGGCACGCTCCTCTTCCTCACGGAAGATACGATCATAGATCTCCCGCTGCTTGAACTCGTTTAACTCCGTCTCCCAACGTCCGAAATCAAGAGGAGAGCGCTCATTGCCCTCTGCCTTCTTGTTGTAAGCGTCGAAAATAGGTCGCTCAAGCAACAACCCTAGACCTGGTGCCTTGGGGATAGCGATACGATCGGGTCCGTAGGTCTCAGGAATGCGGTCTGGGTGACAGCCTGAGCGCACGACCATGGTCGCCATAGCTACCATCTTGCGGATCTGATGCATCATGAAACTCTGGCCATGGACCTTGAGACTGAGCCATTCAGTGCCATTGATGATGATAGGTGTCGGGTTGACCTCGAAAGATTTAATGTGGCGCTTGGCAGAAGGGTCATTGTGGGCCTTTTGGATGGTGTAGTTATGGAAATTGATGGTGCCGACGTAGCGGGAGAGACATTCCTGCAAGCGTTCGACGCGGGATGCCGGAGCGCGGTAGGCCCGTCTGGCTGCCAGGTAGGCCGCTTTAATGGATTTGATAGCGTCGACAGTGGCTTTTTGGCGAGGTTCCATGACGAAAGGTTCGGATTCTCCTGACTCTTCGGTTTTCTGTTCGCTCTGCTCAGTCTCTGGGGCAGGGGTCTCGGTTGCAGGCTCTTCAATGTCTGCAGTGGGATCAAGACCATCACGGGGCTGGTCATCCTGGAAGAGGGACTTTTCCACGATAGTGCGAATATCCTCAGGAAGACCAGAGAGGATGGGCTTGATGTACTTCTCATCAACCTCCTCCCAGTACGTTGCGACCTCTTCCTGACGGGCCTTGACATCGTTCAAGTCGCCCTTCTCTTCGGCGATCTCAACAATCTTCTTGCCAAGATATGTGCTTGGGTGAGGCGGCAGAAGACAGTGGCTTGGCATCAAATATTCGTAAACGCGTGAATCACACATTTGGTAACAGCTGAAGCTCTTGCTGGTGACCTCGTAACCCCAAACGCGGATTTGAGGGCTCAGCTCGTTGTTGATTCTTTGGATGATATCGTCATCCTCGACAATCATTTTCAAGGACACAACGTTGCCAGCAGCATGAACACCCTTATCTGTGCGAGCACAACGGACGAATGAAGACTTTTTTGGGGTCTGCCGCATTCGCCTTGGAAACCGCACCGACCTTAACGAGAGCCGAGAAGAGATCGCCTTCGATGGTGCGTTGGTTCTCGTTCCTAGAACGAAATCAGTCAGCGAAGGAACTATTGAACAAAGCGAGAATCCACCAACAGCTGCATCCCAGAGTATCCGGTGCCGGAATAACCCATGAGCAACGCGACCTTCTTCTTCGGGCGACGCTCTTCATTGTCGATCTCCTCTTTGGAGAATTGAGTGGCGTAGATTGGTAGGCTGGCCTCTTCGCCATTCTCGATCTTGCGGCGCTTCGCTTCGGCCTGCTCCTCAAGGCGCTGTCGCTTGTCTATTCCTTGGCGACTGGATTAGTTAGCTGACAATGCGACACACGAAACTGCCATTGACAAAACATACCTCCACTCAGCTCGTCCCATATCGCGGTTCTTACGCCTTCCACCACCTCCGCCTCTTCCGCCTTTGTTGTCGGCCATTGTATGCGCTGGAAGATCTCTGACAAGTCTGCACGGGGTGAGGACGGGTCGCGCCAGAAAGAGCGGGCAAACGTGCGGGGGACGAAGTTTCGGTTCCGAGCAATCAAGCCAACGGGGTGCAGGCTCCTTGGTGCAGTTAGAATAACGGATATGTTCCGCTGGCAAATTGTCGAGGCACGCATGAAATCAATGTTCCGGGGAAATTTGACTTGATCATCATCTTTTCTATATCGTCACTAGGCCGAGAGGGGGCTAGCGTGATGTCGACCGAGCTAACCGAATATGGAATGTTACTGCCTGAGGTGTAAATCGATTTGCATGTGACGTGAAGCTCATCTTCGAATGCACGACCTGCGCGACTTTTGTTCAATCCGAGCTTGGCGCTGTCGCTCAAGTCCATTCATTTCCCTTTCACCCACACTCATTATTGGCCATCAAAGCATGCTCGACTTCTTTGACACTTGAACCTCGTGATCTGACGCCTTGTGCTCCCTCAAACCAATCTCTTCCAATTCGCGTTTTGCTCCGAAGGCATCCCCACGATGGACCTTTCCAAAACGCTCATTCGGACGGTGGCGCGTGCCTTTTATGAGACCCGGCACATATTGGTGGTTGATGCGCTGTTCCTGCATTCAGTGTACGAGCTTGGTTGATCAATTTTGAAAGCGACCTTACTGACCAGCTATAGCCTTCATGCCGAGGACCTTGCCTTTTTGATGGGCATGCAGCAGAAGGATCTTCGAAAGCTGTGCGCCAGACTCCGCGAGGACCGTTTGATCGGAGTGTACGCCTCATTCATCTGTGATGGGATTGAGCAACAAAGAAACTAAACTAACAATTCTGGCCGATATTAGGAGTACACGCGCTGAGCTCCGTGATGGCTCTACTCGCCCTGTCAACCGTGAATACTACTACATACCTCTCCACCCCGTTGTCGATGCGATAAAATACAAAGTCTCTAAATTGACTGCCACGATCAAAGCGCAGTACACCCCAAGCGAGGAGCGCAAGGAGTACATCTGCCTCAGATGCTCTAAAGAATGGACGGAACTGGATGTGCTGAGTCTGGTGGGAGAAGAGGGATTTGAATGTCAAAATTGCGGGGCCGTGCTGGAACGAACTGAAGATGTCAAGGGACTCGAGGGCGTTGAAAGTACGGGACACGAGAAGAACAGCAAGCTGATGGCACAGCTAGACAACATGCTGAAGCTGCTGAAGCAGATTGATTCCGTCGAGATCCCGCCAAATGACTTTGAAACGGCTTGGGATCACAAGGTGGAGGTTGCCCGGAACCATAACACACATCCAGTCCGGGCTGCGATCGCTGTTCCACCCAAGGCACAGGACATCACACGCCCCAACGCGAAGACAGATGCAAGCGCGTTGGAAATCTCTCTCACCTCTAGTGAGGAGAAGAGTGCAGCTGAGCAGGCCGACGAAGCCGCTCGTAAGGCGGCAGTCGAAAAGCAGAACGCTCTTCCAGTTTGGCACACCCACTCTACGGTCGATGCGAACAACTCTGGAAATACTCAGGTCAAGAATGAGGCTGGCCAGTTGGTGAAACCCGAGCTTGCCGATGAGGACCAGAAGCCCAGTGTAGATGCATTGGACGACAAGGTCGCAGCATACTATGCGGAGATGGAACGTGAGAAGGCACTCCAGGCCCAGCAAGATGCCAGTAGCGCAGACGAAGATTCCGACGAAGAGGACTTTGAAGATGTTTCTGGTCCAAGCGGAGCAGGGACGCCTGCTGCTGCCGGTGGACCCACGAGTGCCCCCGTCCCGTCTTCTGGGGGTGTTGGCATAAAGCGCGAGCTTGACTCTGGTTCCAGTGCGCCTCAGTCTTCTGTTGGAACTCCGTTCACCCCTACAGAAGATGGCCCATCAGCGAAGAAAATCAAGGTCGAGCCAGAAATCAAGCCTGATCCTGACGTCAAGACCGAACCTCAGATCAAGACTGAGCCTGATGCAAACAAGGATGCTGAGGAATCGGATGAGGATGAAGAAGAATTTGAAGATGTTTAACGGAACGGCTGCATTTTCTTCAAAATACAAAAGGCAAAAACAAACGACAAACATTGGCGCTGGCGCCAAACATAATCAAACAGAGCCCATGGCTCCTTTCAAAAAACACCCGCACCTTTAGTCTCATAGCAACTACTTTAGGTAGACTCTCAAGTCCTCGGAATTGACAAACCGTCAATTTAAAGGTTCCCAGAGTTCTCGAGGTCATTGTTTGATCTAGATGCACCAAAGGTCTAGGGTCGTGATAGCCATGTATACCTAGCCCTACCTGTGAGCCATAGCTATGGACAATACCCACATAGCATGTTTCGATTAACAAGACATCATTCTCATTTTCACTGGTCATCGACCTTCTAATTTGCCTTGGCGTGATGCTCTCGATCTTTCAAATGCCCTCACTTCTCTTTCGTGCCAACTCTCCCTGGTCATCTGCCTTCGTTTTCAACCTTGGGCCCTGAATTTCTTTCAATTCTGCATTCTCCCACCATACCATCATGCCTAACGTTCTCGTACTCGGTGCCACGGGGTACCTAGGACTGGCTGTTGCCAATGAACTCATTCGATCTGGAAACTACCATGTCTGGGGCCATACCCGCTCAGTCGCCAAAGCCAAACTGCTTGAGCAAAATGAGATCATCCCGGCCACCGGAGATATCACCGATCCATTCGTCCTCATTGAAATCATCTCCTCTTGCCGCATCCATGTCGTGGTCGACGCGACCTCTACCGTCGACGAGGAAGCAAGGAAGATCATGGAGGCCGTTCTCCGCGTTGGTAAATTTCAGCAAGCTGTTCTCACTGAGATGGAAACAAGTGGGCCAAAGCTTGGGTATGTCTACGTCTCTCGTGCAGGTGTACACGCCGTGCCAAAACTTCCTACTTTCAGCAAGGCACATTCAGACGACTCGGTGCAACTTCAAACAATCAAGGCCGCCCCTCGACGCCCTGACATCGAAAACACGATTTTGCTGGCCCGAAGCATACTCGACGTTGCTATCATCCGACCTCATCTCATCTACGGATACGCATCTCCCATTCTGGGACAGCTATGGAAGAATCTCGTGGATGCCGATTCACGAAGCACTACCCCCATCGAAATCCCTGCCGAAGCAAGTCTTCATGCTGGAGTGGTTCACCTAGAAGATGTCGCCACGGCCTTCTATATTGTGATTGATCGCATTCATGGCCAGCTGAGCTCCTGGCCCGTGTTTGATCTATGGACAGAGTCGGTACGCGTGGAGGATATGATGGAAGCCACCAAAATGGTGCTGGGATTGAACATGCCTTTGACCTATGTTTGCAACGCCAACTACCGCGCTTTCGACACCTGGGTGTTGGAGAATATTTCCGATGTCTCTACAGCAAAGAGCGTTCTCGGTTGGAGCCCGAAGAGGGTGAACCTTTTGGCAGACATGCGAATGAATCTTCGAGCATACATCGCTGCCCAGAGCGAGGAGATTCGGGGCGAATAAACATTTTGATGGAGACTGAGGCAGCACAGGGAGTTTTGAAGGGGTTCAAAAGGTATGAAATCCATTGCGTTTTCACGGGTTTCATTTCATCATGCCAGCCCTGAGAGCAGTGTGCGGTAATAGACAAACATCACATACAAGTTCATTTCAGGTGCTCTCAGATCTACTAGAGAATCAAACATCCTTATCTTCTCTACTTCCGTGGTACCATACCGACTCAGCTTAAAATTGATGAGCTGGCGTCTGGTAAGATCCTCTACATGACCCATCCCTTTACACAATTATGGTCTCAGTACTTAGAAACTTGCTTGTTAATACCTGATTCTTTACTCATGTTTGAGATATTTGAAGCCCAGGGAGCCTTCTCTTCAAGGTCTGTGATAACAAGCATAATGTAAAAGACCACTTATAGAAAACACCACTGAAGAGACAATCTGAACAAACATTTAGAAACTGCCCAGGTGATATACCAACAGTCTTGATCACACACAATTTCAGACTTCAAATGCCTTTCGATTGACAGGCGTCAAAGGCTCCCCCACAAACTCTCCATTTTCTCCAACCACAGCTAAAATGTTCTGCATGGCGTTCAACTCGAAGTTGATTCTGGTATCGAGTGCCCCTCCGCCAATGTGGGTTGTCAAGGTGACGTTTTCCATCCCGGCCAATACTGGAGATACCTGAGGTTCATGATAATGCACATCTAACGCCGCCGCCGACAAATGACTAGAATGCAACGCCTTGATCAACGCCTCCTCGTTCAGAACCTCCCCACGGGAAGTGTTAACAAGTCGACTTCCAGGCTTAATCAAAGAAAGCGCCCTGTCATCAATGAGATCAAGTGTGTGAGAGTTCAGTGGTGTATGCAGAGAAATACAATCAGCAACTCTTAGCAGATCATCCAAAGATTCGTGATATATCGCATGCAGTTTTTCTTCAACATCAAGGTCTGCGCGCACGATGTCGAAATAGTGAATTTCCATTCCTAACGCCATATGCGCCTTATACGCAAGCTTCTTACTGATATTCCCAAACCCGACGATGCCCAGAATATGACCACGAGGATTCTGCGAGATCGTGGCAATGAGTTTGTGCGTCGCCGTGAAGATCTTCGGGTCTGCTGTTCGTGCCGCAAGCTGTGCACGTGTGAAGTTTCGAAATACGCTCAGAATCATGTACAATGCAGTATCCGAGACGGCTTCGTCTGATGCCCCTGCGCCGTTGGTATACCAGATCTTATGCTTGCCGAGAATGTCGACGTCTGCCCAGTTATAGCCTGCACCCGCGGATGCGAAGATTCGAACACTGGAAGGGAGGTATGATATAAGCTCCTGGTCCCACTGGCCCATGAACCCACCCGTTTGGAAATGTGGGCGGAAGAGAGCCGAGAATTGCCCGTATCTGAGTCCATGTAAGCGCGGGTGAAGCCTCTTGGTTCACTATCTTACTTGCTGCTCTTTAATGCTTCGATGAAGGATTCTCGATCCGTTTCTGTTGCTTGGACAACTTTGAACCGAGACTCAAAGTCATTTCGAAAGAACGTATGGTTATATTTAATCGCCTCCCCGAGGTGGAGAACGACCGGTTTCGATGTTGCGACTTCCATAGGTGTTTGTCTCTTGTTAGAGAAGCGATGATTGCAGAAGTTTACATAGAACTATGGATCTACTGGTGTATTTATACCTGCGGATAGCCATGTTTCCGCGCTTTATCCGGGCTCCGGAGGATTGTCGAAGAATGCGGAGAGAAACCCGAGTATACACCTGCAACGGCCCGGGGGTAAGTAGATTCAAACCACGAAGAGTCAAAAGCCTTCAAGGTTGAAATCATAATGTTTTCCGGTGGTTGTTTCGTCCATTTCAAATGCTGGCTGTAATGTATAATTTCAACTGCTTGTTTTGATCACCTCACCAATCGCATGAGCCACGTAATCGATGTTATCCTCATTCAGCCCACACACACTCATCCGACTCGACGGGAGGAGGTAGACGTGGAATTCCTTCTGCAATCGAGAAACATGCTCCCTTGTCAGCCCCGTATAGCTGAACATGCCAATTTGATTTTCCACATGTGTCCAATCATGCAGCGTCACTTTCTCGAGCTTCTGTCTCAATAGACTCCTCATTCGGTGAATACGTGAGCTCATCGTATCCAAGTCTTTGTTCCACTGAAGTTTCAGGCCCTCATCTCCAAGAACGGTCTCCACAATGGTCGCCCCAAACCGGGGCGGGTTGGAGTATTCCGCCCGTGAGATCAGCATGAGCTCAGATAACGCGGCATGTGCGGATAGTTGCCGCGGCACAATCAGATGCAAAGCACCTACGCGTTCGCCGTATAAGCCGAAGTTCTTAGAGAAGGACTGCGCGACGCAGATGCCCGGATGCGTTTTTGACGCAAGCACTGCTTCTGTAAAATAGCGCACAGCCCATGCATCGCCGTCGACGTCGCCAGTTGCAAAGCCTTGGTAGGCGCTGTCGAAGACAGTGAATAGTCTCTTTCGCTCGACCAGCTCAGCTACCTGCTTCCACTGAGGCTTTGACAAATCCACGCCAGTGGGATTATGAGCACATGCTTGCAGGATAACCACATCATTGGGTTTGGCCTGCTCCAGACATTCCAGCATCCTGGCGATATCGACTGCCTTGGTAGAGGGGGCGTAGTATGGATACTCCACGATTGGCACCCCGGCCATCTGCCAGATAGATTTGTGATTGATCCATGTTGGAGAAGGAATAAAAACCTGGCTTGGATGCAAGTGCTTGGCTAGGAAGGTGGCTGCAACATGGTTTGCTCCGGTCCCCGAGACTGTTTGAATCGATGCAGCGTTTGCTTCCAGTCTGGATGTACTAGGTCCGAAGATGAGCTCCTTCGCCAGTTTGATGAATTTTGGAGAGCCTGCTATTCCAAGGTATTCGTGTATTGTCTCAATGAGACGCTTCTTTGCCTGTCATACCAGTTATCTCCTGTTTCACTGGATGAATAGGCTTCAACCGTACCTCTTTCACGCTTGGCAGAACCCAAGGATCTCCGTTCTCGTTGCGGTATGCACCCGCAATCAATGAGACTTTGTTTGTGTGATTGTCCACTTCGAAATCGGCCATTAATCCAAACGCAGTGTCTGCGGGGGCAATCGGGAGGTTAAGATACTCCGCCATGTTTGTAGCTTGGAATTAGGTTGAAGAGTGGATTGATCTGCCTGATAGCAGTGAGCTCAAGCAATAACTTTGCAGCTCAAGAGGATTGAATATAATAGCCAAGTCACACTGAAGAAGTACTCTGGATAATCTAGGCGTATGTCATATACGAGGAGTGATTTATCTTCAGACCTGTGATATAACACAAGGCTAGACCGGCGTAGAAATGTGTTGCCGAAACATTGAGCCCGGGCAAATAATGTCGCCACCAGCAACAAGCACTTGGCGAGAGTAACCTTTCTAACCCAGAAAGACCTCCATTTTGCAAATTTTTGAAGACCTCACATTCATCGCGGTGGTGGAATTGAGGTCGACGTGGGCGCGCTCGAATCGGGGAAATGGTGCTTTGCCGAGACCTGCTCGCAAGGTGGGATTTTTGCCACCACAGACTAAGAACTTTGCTCTGCGCTGTTGTCCCGCTGTATTTATCCATAGATACACCGGTATCTTATGAAGTTGCCGAAATGATGGAAAAAGATTCAAAGCTTTCTTTGCCGAACGCCTCAGTCAGTCCACGAACGATGTTCCGACTATTTGGCCACAACTCTGCATATAGTTCGCTCGTCCCTTGAGGCTTTAATTGGATCTTTCGTCGTTCAAAACACTTTTTGTTTTCTCTCTGAACCCATCTCACGCTACCCAAATCAGCAAAATGAGTCAATCAAGGATTCTGGACCGGCTCTCGGCACTCGACACCAACACAGTTTCAGATGCCCTGGACTTCCTGGGCCTGAAAGGAGCAACATACGGCTTACAGCCGCTCTGGGACTGTTCAAAGATAGTTGGTCGCGCAAGCACTGTCAAAGTCGGACCCAAAACCGATGTTGCTCCCGCGAAGCATCTCCTCACACCAGTCATTGACGCGGTAACTACAGACGACCGCATTCTGGTCATCTCAGGTGGCTTGGAGGGCGTCTCATGCTGGGGTGATATTATAGCGAATGCCTCGAAGATGAAGGGTATTCGCGGAACCGTCATTGACGGCATGAGTCGTGACATTGATGGTAGCCGTGATGTCGGTTACCCTGTTTACGGCCGAGGCGTGACCATGATCAGCGCCCGCAACCGTGTTGTTCAATATGATTCTGGAATTCCACTGGAGATGCGAGGTGTTACGGTGAATCAGGACGACTACGTGATCGCGGATAGATGTGGCACAGTGTTCGTCCCAGCCGAGCGTATTGAAGAGGTCCTCAATCTGGGCGAGCGTATCGACAAACGTCAGAACCTGATGGTTCAGGCCGTTCGCGCAGGACATCCTGTCTCCGAGGTCATGCATGATTCACAATTCGAGGCCATTCGCTCGGATACTTCGTCCCCTTCTGACGGTCCTGCCGCTTCATCTTTGTCTTCTTCTCGCAATCCGAAGCAAGCCAGTATTGAGGACCAGGAGCTGGTTGCGCTATTTGCCGACTCAGATACGCCGGGTGTCTCTGATGCACTCGACAAACTTGGAATCTCCGGCCAGGCATTTGTTATCATGCCGTTGGCCGACTACAGCAAGGTCACAGTGGGCCCGGCCTTCACAGTTCGCTACGTGCCAGCTAGTGATCCACCAGGCAGCGTCGGTGACTTCATCGACGATGTGGCCGTTGGAGATGTTGTCGTGATCGACAACGGTGGTCGGACAGATTGCACTGTGTGGGGCGATATTATGACCCAGTATGCCGGCATACGGGGAATCGCTGGATCTGTCATTGATGGTGTTTGCCGTGATGTGAATCGTGCGCTCACCGATGATTTTCCACTTTTCACTGCTGGGCGTTGGATGCGGACGGGTAAAGATCGTGTCCAGGTTGGAGGCGTGAATGAGGCGATTGGCATTGGCAAGGTGCGGGTCGTTCCACGCGACATTGTTGTTGCCGATGCAAATGGTGTTGTCATCGTGCCGCGGGATCGAGCTCGTGAGGTGGCTGAAGTCGCAAGAAGTGTTGAGCAGAAGGAAGCTGGGATTCGCAAAATGATTGCTAATGGGGCTACCATTTCTGAGGCGCGAGAGCAGCTCGGTTATCATACCCTTCAGCGTAAGGCGTAAACATGCGACAATCTTTGAAAAATGAGACGCCATTGTTCATCTAGTTTAGACTCTTTCATAGCAAATGTTCTACTGTTTATTTTCGTGATTCATCCTGAAAGTCCCCGAAAAGATATCTGTGGAGTCTCATTTAGATTTCGTTCCTTGAGGCACCCGTGGACTACACCGAAGAAGAATATATCCAAAGGTAATTAGAAGTAGGAACATTTGACTATTATCTTTAATGGTTGTCATTGCACTGCGTTGTTTCTTTCACTTTCTTTCTTGTGCTGTCTTTTTTACTGTCTTTTTCTCGTGTTGGAAAGCAGACATTGCGATTTCTCTAGATACAGAATGATACTTCATGAGCGTGCAGCTTCCAACTCCGCAGTATACCAATTTTGAATAGCGCGGATATCATAACTCAGTGCCACGGTGTCAAACACTTTGAGGTGCTCTTTGCACACAGCGCCATTATTTGAGAGTCTAGCGACCCATTTCCCATGCCTTCTGGCCGCGGCAACAATCTTTTGGATCGCATCAACAAACTCGGGTTCATCTCCCTTGGCCGGAACATATCCCAGCAGTGACAGAGCAAGGTCATTTGGCCCAATGAAAATCATGTCTGGCTGAAGATTAGCAACTTTATTGTGACGATCAAATTTGACAACGTACCAATGCCAGGTACCGCACAAATTGCGTCCACGTTTTCAACGCCGGCTTTTGATTCGATTTGAAGACATGTGATGATTGTCTCATTCGCCGTTTTAAGATAGGTTGGGATGTCAACCCCATGGGAGATACCCGGAAACGCAGATCCCTGGCCACGAAGCCCTTGTGGAGGGAACTTGGAATAGGCGACGACAGTCTTAGCTTCTTCCGCAGTGTTTATCTGTGGCACAACAATACCGCTGGTCACCAGTCAGTCGGGTAATTTCAAAATATGAATTTCTACTCACTGTGCCCCAGCATCCAACGCCCTTTTGATCAGGTCTGCGTGGGTCATTCTGAGACGGACCAGCGGCGAAACACCCATAGCAGCGATAGCGGCAGTGGAGCTATGCATAGCATCATCACTGATATTTCCGTGTTCACAGTCGATAATTATTCCCTTGAACTTGATCAGTAGAAGTTCATTTTGACAAGTATCCAGTGGAGATACCTACGTCCAGCCCCGTCTGTGCCACCATCTGGGCTGCGCGGAAGGATGGCAACCCCAGAAAAGTCATGATAGGTTTAGAGTTCGTTTGTAAAGCATTCAGCAGACGTAACTGAGGGTTCTTGATTGACGTTGTTATAGCTGAGATGTATGACATCTTGTCTTTGAAACGTTTCGCTGGTAGATCAGAGTAGAAACACAATCTATAGTCTCTACAAAGACTAGTTGGAAGGTTGAAATATATGCAGGATCAAGAGATGGAGAAGAGAGCCCTTGGACAGATATGATTGGAGATCACAGAGACAGATCAAGTATATAAACACCGAGAATAACCAAGTTAGGACATCATTTAAGTGACCTCGGAAGCTGGCCATACCAAATATTTTGTGTCGGGAAGACAAATTTACACCGAGCGGTGCTTAAACCGCCAACCCCGAAATCCAACTGGGTGAACTTTCTAGATTATGGTTCTGGGTGCATATGTCAGCTAAGACGCCCTTGTGTACTTTTTTCTCCTGAGTAAAGTATCTCCCCAGCCTCGGAACACACGTGTCGTGGAGACTTAGGTCACCTGAAGCCAACGAGATGGGTAGGGAGACCCACGGGGCTTAACCTCGAACCCTCCGGGAAGATGAAAAGGCTTCCATTTTGGTTGATCAATTGAAGGGGGTTTCCGAATCAGGCTGTCTATTACCTCTATATATACTTGTTTTTGTCATTTTCTATTCTCCCATTCAAGCTAATTTTTGCAAAAAATCCGCAATCCGGCGCCACATCTCAACCGGATTGGAATACATGGGGAAGTGCCCGCTCTCGGGGATCTGCGCCAATTCGACACCCTCCTTTTCCAATCGCCCGAGATATGACAGTCCGCGGTTCTCATCCCCAAACATGAACATCTTTGGACACGGCAGTCCTAGGAACATTCCTAGCAGATCACCACTATCCGATAGTTGCACCATCGACTCGAAAATCGCACGTACGGCACCGGCGCGTACTCTGGCGCGCAAGGTGCTCGCATATAAAGGGTTGCCGAAAGACTTGGTCTCGCGAGTGCGAGTGATAAAGGCATCGAGGAACGCCTCTGGGTCATCAGAGGGGACACTGAAAATTTGCCGACTCAGGAAGCAATCTTCCGATGCCAGATTGCCCTTGATATCCACGAAGCTCAAAACCCGATCAGGGTGGCGGTGGGCAAGAAGGAGCGCAGTGAGTCCTCCCATAGAATGACCCATCAGGTGAAATTTGGTAATTTGGAAGTGCGACAGAATTGCCTCCGCAGTTGCGACGAGGAAAGGGATATCTGTGGCGGAGAGATTGTCACTGTCTGAATGCCCGCAGCCTGGCGCGTCAAAGGCGATAAACCCATGATGTTGCAAGCGCGGGTTGACGACAATGTCGGCTAGATCTTCTTTGCAGGATCCAAACCCATGGAGAAATAGAATTGGAGGGTTGGTATTCAAATTGTGAATTGTGGAGAGGTTGAGGCTGACGCCTTCAACTTGGAGCGGGATTGTCGCGTAGGTGAGCGACATGGTCAAACAAGGTGTGTGAAGAAACAAAAGTCAGAAGTCGATGGTCAAGGGGTGTGATGGGCAATTGGCCTGGAGTTATTAATCGCAAGATATCTACGAGCTGGATGGAAGAAAGGTTAAGTGGAGGGCGGGAGGCAATAGAGTGTCGGCGAAAAGTCCCCTTGCCGAGATGATCGAGACAGATTCTACACTGCAAATTCTGAATCTTCCACAAAAAGGTCATACTAACGTATGACATAATGGGATTCCATGCTTTGAAATCGATCAAAGTCACTTTCCCCCAGGAAAGCTTATAAGAAGTCGTAGAGAATCGACACCAGTGTATATCCATGGAGCTTTTATCGGTGACGTCACCCGCAGACGCTCACGAGCCTGAAGGCTACAAGTGCAATGGCTGCTGGGTCAACAATACCGATCTCAAGGGTTCCAAAAAGTCAGCAAAAACAATATAACGCTTTAAATCAAGCTCTAGGATCGTCCAGATTCGAGATAAAAAGGCCAGCCTGATTCGGCATCGAATGAAGATTCACCTTTAAGCCCCGCTGGCGAGTATACCCGTGGGCCTCCTGGGCTCAATGAGAGCTTTATAAGCCGCGCCTTGAGCCCTGGAGCTCCCTAGCGCCGAACTAGCCCGAAGAAACTGTCGGACGCGGGCAGCTGACCGTGCGGGCTAACCCGCTCGTGCTTCTTTTCCTATTGGCTCGCAAATACTTGAATTGTGCCATCCATTGTCCAATCACCGGCCCTCTTGCAAGCCAAGTCACATCCATAGATCCCATATTTGAATGACTAAAGCAGCAATTTTGGCAGCACGAGTGTGATTCATAATGCGCCTAGACTTTGGCGTCAAGACCTTGGTAAGGTGGTTAGCAACTTTGGGATATATAAACGAAGTAGAAATCCACCAAAGTCTGCGATGAATCAGTCTCATCACAGTCCAGGGAACATCAACAGCATCTCAGTTTAAACCTCCAATCCAAAAAACTACATAGTACATGACCATGTCTTCCTATGTGATCACCGGTGCTAGTCGCGGACTTGGGGTACGTGGCGGATATCCTCACTTACAATTTCCTTGCATTGACCAATAAACCTAGTTCGAGTTTGTCCGACAGCTTGCTCAAAACCCAAACAACACTGTCATCGCACTTGTTCGCAACAAATCCGCTGTCCACGAAAAGGTTGTGACCGAAGGATTCTCCAATGTCCATATCGTCGAGGCCCAGTACACCGATTTCCCTTCGCTCAAGGTGAGTGAAATGCTTCTACGTCGTTGTCTCCGGCTAATTCGTTCCGTTTAGCGGGCTGCTGAGGCCGTAAAGGAAATCACCGGAGGCGGTCTCGACCATCTCATCAACAACGCAGCTGTTGTATCTGACAAGAGCGAGTTCAAAAGCTTCGATAACTTGTGAGTATCGATGCAGAGGGAAGTCTATCAATCGTTTCCAATACTAATGGGTTGTCTCGAAAATCTCCAGCCAAGATGACTTTGAGACCATGGAGAAGGACATCCTAGAATCCTTGGAGATCAATCTTTTGGGTGTGATCAAGACCGTGCAGGCATTCATCCCACTGCTCCGCCAAGGAAATGCCAAAAAGGTCCTTTCCATCTCCACCGGAATGGCTGATCTAGAGTTGATCAACTCGACCGAAATCGAATTCGCGGCACCGTACGCCATCAGCAAGGGCGCGTTGAATGTAGCGATCGCAAAATACAACGCACTGTACAAGAAGGAAGGGATTCTGTTCCTCGCTGTCAGTCCTGGATACGTGGCCACTGAGAGGAACCAAGGTAGGTTCTTCAAACCTGCAATATTGAACATTTCCCAAACTAACTCATCTCAAGTTGAACCGGCTAAGGAGGATGCCGAAAAAGTGGCTGTTCTTGTCAAGAAATTTGTCGAGTATGCACCACACTTCCAGCGCCCTTTGACCCCGGAAGAATCAGTTTCGGCGGTTCTTTCAGTGTTGGAGAAATCCTCTCTTGCGAATGGAGATGGCGGCGCTTTTATCTCACATTTGGGAACCAAACAATGGCTCTAAGCGTTTGATTACCTCTATTCTCATCATGTACCAGTGTCATGAGATGATTTATAAGAATAAGAAATGATTAGGAATGCAACTATCTTGAGGTTCTGTCATCAACTGTCGGCTTCTCCTAACCGGCGGACCTCCCGCAGTCGCGTTTATTAATTACGACGCCACCTCAATCTCACCAGCAAACAGACTCAACTTCCCGCATTTGCGCTTCAAATACCCAAAGGGCCTCTCATCTTTGATCCATTCAGTCCAGCTAATCCTAAGTCACAACTGAGCCCTTTTTTCAGGATGGGAAAACCGCGAGGTCCTTACCGTGTTGGACTTCCATCAAAGCGGGGGTGTGGGACATGTCGCGGTAGGAGAAGCCCCATGCTTTTCAACCATGGTGAAATGGAGTTTGGACCCGATTCTCACTCTTTGGCAGATCGGAAGGTAGCCTGCGATCAGGGCCGGCCCGCTTGCCGAAATTGTGTTGCGTCCGACCGCACCTGCCAGGGCTATGGTCTACGCCTGAGCTGGCCTGCGACCAAGTCCCGTCGTTCCATCAAACATCACATTCAAGAACATTATAACACACAGATCAAGTCGAGCGACTCAAGGCACAAAAACTTTATCAATACGTTAACCGGGCACGTGAAGACATTCTACATACAGGATCCTACTTATACGGGTTAGTCAGTGAAAGACCGGGCTATAACTATCAAAACCATGCCTAGGTGCTGGATACTGATCACTGGAACTGATTGGCGTCAGGAAGATTACCACTATATACAACGTGTATCTTCCCCTTAGCGAATTTGAAAAACGCACAGCCGTCTCTGGGCGACGAACACCACCTAATGACGTTTTGTGAGGAACAATCATGCGAAAGGTGTGAATGATGCTGACTCTCACTCTGTCAGTCATGACTACAGTTGTAGATTCGATTATTCCAATAAAAACGGATGGTTACAAACTTTGGAAAATTCTGTTCCAGCTCTCGTTCTCTGATGATTCACCCTCGTCAATGGCTGTACTCCGGGCAATTCTATCATTGGCCTCCTTGTATCGATACGGGTATGGAGAGGAAGCTCTGCGACTTAAAGTGGCTGCGATTAACTCATTGCGAAATTCAATGAGTGGACGAGTCACAGGGACAACAGAAATTTATCAGCATATAGCCGTTGGAATGCTTCTTTGTGCTTTTGAGGTAGGTTTTGCCACCTGAACCGGGGTCTATTTTCACAGTATTAACACCTACAGACTTTTTGGCCATCGGAGAGCTCCTTCCAATGGCCATTGTATGTGGCTGGCGCGAAAAGCATGCTACATTTCATCTGCCACGGTGGACACCCCAAATTAATGGAGGTCGATCCCCTTGTTCTTTGGGTGCACTATCATGATATCCTGGGGAAGTTCACATCCGTACACTGGAAGCCTGCTTCTGTTGAGGATAAACCGTTATACAACACACCTGGCCTGTCTTCGACGTTGGTGACATCAGTGGCCAAAAATCAGGTAACTGCTACATTGAGTCATTGCTATATATTGAGCTAATCAGATTCACAGGTCCTTGGAATTTTTGGTTGCTCGATAGAAATGATCAATCTCATCTTTAGAATGTCGGATTTGCAAACTCCAGATCAAAGTGGAAACAGTTCCGATGCGGAGGAACCAGATATGCTGAGCTCCATTGAATACGACTTAGTCGAGCTTGAGCAAGAAACTATACAACTGAGCTCGATAAATACTCCAGAAGAGGTTGAGCACAGCGGTCAAATTTCGCAGTTATACCGACTGGCAGGGTTGATCTATCTTGAGCGCGTTCTCAAGGACGCTCCCACAAAGGGTCGACTGGCGCGATGGACTGCAGACGCCTTTCACATCGTGAAACAATTGGATATCTGCGAGCGACCATTTCCTATATTCTTTGTCGCCTGTGAAGCACGCACCGATGAAGAGCGCCAGGTCATCCTAGCTATCTTGGAAAGAACACAACAGCGATCAATTGGGAATGGATCATGTCTGCTACAGCAGATGATAGAATCCATGTGGGTCCAGCAAGACCTAGCATCCGACTCTGAAGAGATGAATTACGTCGATGTGCTCAATGCCACGATATCTTCAAGTGAATTGTTGCCTACATTGGCCTGATCGAAATGACAACTACGATTTTGAGACTGACTTCGATAATATGGAAAGCGCGTCTAGTTCTTCTGGCTATATTGCTCTTCAGTCACAGCATCATGCCATTCCGTCTTTCCAATACCAACAACGAAGTGCGTCAATATGCTGTTGTCATCTGCACCATGCCAATGTGTTGTACCTGGCTGAGCCCAGACGACATCACCGGTTCGCAGACGTTGTGGCACTCCACCTTTATCGCAAACCCATCCGTTTCCTGCGACTACTCGAATGAGTTGACCCTTTTCGTGCGTGTGCCAATGTGTGCGGGCGCAGGGCGTGAATGTAACATTTGCGATGGATGCGTTGGCGTCGAAATGGATGGGATCGAGGAATACATCGCCGGTGAAAGTTTCAGTGGGTTTGATGCAATTTGCGGTCTCGTTGTGACCGCTTCTAATGATGACGGACTCTGGCATAGTGGGCGCTGGCTATGATATTAGTGTCGATGCTACAGAGTACAGCGGCATATAAAGTTTGGAGCGGGGAATCGGAGTTTCGTACTTGGAGAGGAGGCGACGGACTTGATGTTTTGATGTTTTTCGCGTGGGGATGAACGCCTTTATACTTTCCATAAGAGCTACGTAGAATTTGCTACACTCATCCCCTCGAAAAGAATATTCGTGTCGCACGCAACGGCCCCACCCAAGGTCATCACGAGGGGTAGTCTGCTTTTGATAGCAAAGTTCCACCCTAACTCCGAATAGCTTACTCCATATCATCTTGAGAAATCAAATCAAACGTTGCGTTTGGAAAATCCACATGTCTGCAATGGAACTTCAAGTCTGTGGAATGTGTAGTTTTTCCAACGATCCCCCAGGGCTACTTGAGCAAGTTTGGGAGATTGATGACGGGAGTCCGGAGTTATCGGATATACAAATGTCATCAATCGATATCAACTATAAAACAGGCAGATTGTTCCAACTTTGAAACTTTTTTTTTGAGGCGATGACCCATCCCTTTGCCATGGCAAGGCTCATCTCCATGCTTGTTCACATTGAGCTGCAACTTGGGTTGAACATTGGCAATTTTTCACCTGGGGTTTAGAATCAACCACAGAAGCTCCTTCCAAGGCTCGATAAAACTTGTAACTACTGTGCATTGAGATGTGTACTCTAAACCATGATCTTCCTCAGTTTTCATGGGAATATGATGTTTGTGGCCGGGGACCGAGTGACTTGATGGTTAAGCTCACCTACCATTGTCGTTGTTTTTGTATCTTTTCTTTTGCCCTTCGACGACATTCCTTTGACATTTTTCTTTACTTGCCTCTCACTGGATTGATCTCACTTCACTCTTCTTTGGCCTTGTCTCACAGTCTCATACAAGCCCCCGTATTGAGATTTGCCTCACGGAAGTGCCCTTGACTTTGATCTGCTCTCGTCGCGTCGATAGATCTATCAAACTCTGCACCACTTTTGGTATTTGGTCCCAACTATCCTCAAGATGTCTCAACCACCTCTCATCACTTGCTTGCCGGAGGAGATGGTTGAAATAATCATCTCTGAGCTTGTTATCGACGAGGAGGAAGCCGGCGTCAGAGAAACAATGAAATCACTGAGCTTGGTACATCCTCGGTTCGCTTATTCGTCCGCGGTATGCAGTCGTCTTTTCAAGAATATCACCGTGAGAATCACCCCCGAGGAGGTCGAGACAATTCGAAAGGGGGCATCTCTTCAACGCGTCATGCCCTTCGTCCGAACCATCAAATTTCGACCAGTTGACTGCAACTGGGAAATCGCGTATGGGAGGCTGCGCACTTTCATGGCCGCATACACTTTCCACAATGGTGATGACCATATACGCAGGGAATCATTGGATTCATACAGAGAAGCTTTCGGCCATGATCAAACCCGTCGGCTCTATCCTTCCCACGCAGCACTCCAACGGGAGTCCGATGCCCACCACAACAGAGCCAACATCATCAGGCAGCTTTATCAAACAGGCGACCTGCGAGATATCTGCAGCTCCCTTCTGCAGTGTTTTCCGCGAGTGGATAGCATGGAAATCATGCAAGTGGCGTTTGATGGTGTTGGAAAGTACGCCATCAACCTGCCCTCCGACTTGAAATACTTGGGGCATTTGATGGATCATCACTCCGAGGATATGCACTCTGAAACAAACCTTAACTGCCTGCGCCGCGCTTCACCTTTGAATAACGCATTTGTCATGGAGATGTTTGGCTGCCTAAGCATGACTGGACAGAAGATCAAAACCCTGCAGTTCAACTGCAACTTTGGATCTTCGTTTTCATTCAAAGACGACCCAAGATGGACCAACCTGAGCCTAACTGGGGTTGAAAACCTCCACTGGAGCCCTCAAAATGACGATCCACCACATCGCATCTGGGTAAATTCATACTTTCAATCTGCTGGTTTGGATGCAATCCGGCGAAGAATGACAACAGGTAAAGCAGAGGCGGAAGCGCTCACTCTGCTCGCCCAAAAGTGTTCAGAGACGCTTGTGAACTTGTGCGGCAAAACCGAGGGACTTGGGGGACCATGGCCCACACAGGAGAATCTCTGTCTCCCCAAACTCAAGACAATTTCTTTCAGCGGAGAGTTCCGTATTCACGCAAGCCACTTCGCACGAATGATCGACAACGCCAAGGACCTTGAGTGCATCTTTCTGGGTCAAAACTGTAGACCCGGGGGATGCAACAAATGGAATTTGGTTCTCGAGGCAGTTCGGCGACACAGGAACAAAGTGGAGATATCATGCTACCCCCTTTTGATGCCGGCGCCTTAGTGACAAGCTCTTAGGATAGCCATTCATCCGATTTTTAAGGTATCTGATATGATGGCCAGAGTGTAAGACTTCTTTCATCCAAAAGAACATAATGTCTTGATTAATCTTTTAGTTCACAAACCCATGTAGAGCAAACAGACACCAGATTATGCTTCGAAACTGGCGGTGCAGTGCCCAAGGCTGACTGAGTCGCGTTGAGCCAGGCTTTCGGGGGGTCAAACATGGTACTTGCTCGAGAGGATTAGATAGGAGAAGATAGTAGTAGATGGGTTGATAGATATCAGAGATGCCCGAATTTAAAGATATTAAAAAGCGGATGCAAATTGAAAATATATTCGCAATATTGACGTGGGCGAAATCGACGAGGCAAAGAACAAACGCAAAAAGAATGTGCGGGTTTACGCCATGAGAGAGATTCACCAGACGGCGCAATGTCGCCAAGAGCAATGTGAAAACTGCGAGAACCTGGAGACATGGCAACGAACACTGACTGGAAACAGCAGATTATTGTGTTTCGCATGTCAATTAGAGATCCTCTTGGATTTCCGTTCCATTCCGCTCGACTGCTCAATATTCGTCCCCTGAAGAAATTGAACTGTCTTCCGAGTCCTCTTCCGAAGCAGCGCGGAGTGCAGAATTCACCTCCTCGAGATCCTGACGTAGTGAACGTATCTCAGCCAGCAAATCAGCCCGTCTCATCTGAAGCCGGGAGAGGGTGATGGCATTTCGTTCGGCCCGTGTAGCAGCAGATGCTTGGGTAGTACGAGCACGGCGATTGCGCTGAGAGCGTCGGGCACGGCCGATCCTTGTGGACTGTATCCTTGTGGTTCGCTCCCCTGACCTATTGGCTGACTGCCCTTGTAGACGACCGGAGAGGCGAGTGCGTTGGGTGCAGCGGCGTCGGTCTTCAGTGGGACGCGAAAGGACCAGCGAGTTGTGGCCGGATTGAGAAGACGAGACTCGTGTGCGGTGTTGCACAGAAAGACTTGATTCATTATCAGTGAACCGGTGATCTGAGGTTGTACACATGATTGAATCACGCTGTTGGCCGCGGGAATTCGAAGAGAGAGAGTAAGACTCTGAAAGGAAGTCTAGGGAATCGGAAGCTGCTTGTCCACCAGGGGAGCGCGGCTCCAGCTCGTAGGGGTGATCCGAGAAGCGGTCCGAATCATCGTGAAAACCCCATCCATGAGATGCCATCTTTGCCTATTCGGAATCTGTAATGTGCAAATTTTGAGAAGGACATTTCAAGAACAAGAAACGAGCAAGAACTAACCTTGGACTTCAGTTGGGGCGATAATGCAGAGAGGAAAGAAAGTAGAGAAAGCAGAGAAGAGGTAGAAGTGAAGTGGTTTGGTGAAATGCGATTTGATCATTTAGTCTCAACTCCTCCAAGGTTCCTGCTTTGGACTTTGTGAAAAGAGCTCCTTCGTTCTTCGTGGCTGTCAAACTCGCCTGCTGCAAGGGTAGAAGTCTACAGGCGCAAAAGGATCCCAAGTTCACTAATCTCAGGCCTGCATTATCGCCACGGTGAAAGAAGAAGCGGGTCAAGCTGGCTTTATTACATCCGATTTTGCAGGAGCTTCACCAGAGGAATCCAAGTTAAATTGTTTGCACATAGTCTCAATGGGGAATGTTAAATAGAAGAAATCAAAAATAATAGCTAAAGGGCAAAAGAGCAACATAGTAGTGAAAGCAGAAACGCAGCACTTGTCACTTGTGTTGATGTATAGACATTCAAGATCCTAGAAAATTGGCGATATAAATTGAGTCTGAGAAAGAATGTGTATAGACCTTCGGTGGGGCATCTGACCCATCAGTCAATCTTCAATCTAGGCCTTCTGTGCAGCTCCAGTGAAAATGTCCGTACGGAGTAGACTTTAATTCATTGACAGTGTGTCGGTTTCCAAGGTTGACTCCGACACCGGCTCTTTCTGGTTATTGTTATCTCCATGACCACCTAGACTGTCAGTTGGTCTTTACGTTCTGAAATGTTGATTATCAACAAGCGTCGGCACCGGAGTCTGCAAAGGCCGACAGTCTGAAACCTGATCGCGACCCACGAATGTCCGCCGCCGAGTGCCGATCACTGCCTTCTGCATTCCACTGGCCAAGTGCATTGTGCAGAATGCACCCCACGCTCTTCAAAGCTCTTCAATCAAACCGCGTCCAAGGCCGGTCGGCGGTCGGCACCCAAATCCATGTGGAAACATAGGGGCTGATCCGCATGGCACCATGTCGGGATTTATCGAAAGTTGCCCAAAGTTGCCCTGGCTGTCAAAATGATGACCCACCAAACTCAGTCAGAGGGGCTCAAGGTTTATTTTCTCGCTCTTCTCGCTTTTTTCGGAACGAAACCTGCGTTGATCGGCGGAGATATCGGGGAATTCGAGATCTATTTAAGTGGGAGCACGCCATCTGTCCCCAGAATGTAGCCTTATTGTCCACCTCTCATTGCTTCAAATTCACTTAAGCTTAATTTTGACCCAACCTTGGAACCACCGCATTGGTCAGATCTATACATTCGTCTATACATTCGAAAACACACACCATGGCCACGGAAAGCAGTTCAAAGCGTATGATCCTCGTCAGCGTGCCCCGCACTGCGTCGAACCTTCTCTTGAAGATTTTGAACATCCCCAAACAACCAAATGTTCTCACCAGTCCCAAGGGGGTTACTTCTTCTACAGCGCTTTTATGACAGCCGGCAAGAACGGCCGTCTCGGCAAACCCCTCGGCGAGTGGACCACAGAAGAAAAGACCGAAGTGCGCGAGGCCTTCCAGTATGCTGTGGCCGATCTGGAAGAATACACTGCTCGCGCACAAGCCGAGAACAAGAGGATGTTCGCCAAAGAGCACGCCTTTTGGTTCTTGAACCCAAGCTTCTTCTCCGGCATGACCCATGGTACTGTCTCCGACGAAGACATCAAGAGCTTCCAAGTCACCATGCCCGAATCTTACGGATCTTCGCAATCCTTCTCCTCTAACAACAGCACCGTCCTGCCAGACGAATACCTGCGCACGTGGCAGTGGGCCTTCATCATCCGCCACCCAGCTCTGGCATGGCCCTCGCTGTACCGCGCGATGCAAAAGATGTGCAAAGCTGGGTTCATCGAAGATGACGATGCGAAGGGAGTGAGCCTGACGAATATGAGCATGAAATGGACGCGCAAGAGGTTCGACTGGTGTCTCGAGCAGCCAGATGCACCTATCACGCCACTTATTATCGACGCCAATGATGTGATTCACAACCCTGCTGCCGTGATCAAGTTCTGCGAGCGAGCGGGTCTGGACACCGCCTCTATGCAGTTCGAGTGGAAGAGTAACGAGAAGAAGTCTGACACTTGGACCCCTGATCGTGCTAGTGGGGATAATCCTCAAGAGTTGGCCAGGCAGAAGAAGGCGGCTTCTATTATGTTGTCAACTCTTGAAGGATCCACCGGTATCAACAAGGAGAAAGCCCCGACTGAGGTCGACATCGATGCCGAGGTTGCAAAGTGGAAGGTCGAGTTTGGTGACGAGGTTGCTGGTGCGCTTGAAAAAGCTACTCGGGATGCTATGCCTGATTATGAGTACCTCAAGGCGAACAGAGTCACGGCATAAGCAAATGATGCCAAGACAAGCTAATTAGAACGAGTAACCATGACATAGTCAGAACATGTGGTATACTTCATGATTCCTACCTGAGGCAGAAAGTGTATACATTTCATCTCCGTCCGTCACTCTTTTGAGGCTCTGTCATTACATCTCCATGAGACGTAGCCGTTTGCGATCTCACTTTAATCTCGTCTTCACTCTTCACTATTCTCTTTCTCTTCCTCTCTTTGCCAATCTCAAAACAAAGCTTCACCAATATCCTTTGCCCCAAAGAGTTCTCTCTTCCCTATGCATAAGGGCTAAGCTCCGAACCTCTGAAACCATGTCTCGCCCCGGAAACTTTGATCACATGATCGGTATCGATTTCTCCCTTTCTCAAAGCTTTCTCTCACACTGTGGTGTCGTTCGCCTTGACGACCTGCTATCTGAGCACTATCATACCTTTCCTCTAAGTGAACGGGACGACGAAGGAGCTCCCCCTTTGTCGTCCTGAAGTTTGCTTGCCACAATAGCGAGAATCCCACTCAGCAAGGCTTTATCAGGATGTATGTTCAGATCCCATACGAAAACACCCTCCGCAGCAGCCAGGAAGTCCGAGGACTTCAAGCTGAACCCAGCCCTGTACACGACGAGTACGAGGCCTTGACTTCGCTTAGCAAAAGCAAGTCCACAGCAGTGCCAGAGCTTTTAGGCTATGGACAGGGCAAACAAGGACCTGAAGGGTACGTTCCCAACGGCTACATCACTTACATCGCATGGGCACGTGTCCCGGGCGCTCCTGTCGATTATCAAGTGTTCTGGAAGGAGGGAAATCGTCAGTATCGTGATGAAGTCCGCGCTGCTTTCGCTGTGGCCTACAAGTGAGTTTCACATTCTCAAACTGCCAAGTTATTTTCCTTCAGAGTCACTAACATATATAAGGAAATTGAATCAATTTCGGTGGCAACCTGGCGTTCGTAGCCCAAGGAAGCTAATTTATGATCATGTTAGTCAGACGATGTAAGTGAAGGCTCCTTATCTTTTGAAACTGACAATCATTGACTCTATATATTAGACACTTTGCTGGCTTCCGCCCTGCTTTCAAGATGACAGACAGCCCGATGTCTGTGCCCACATATGCGTTGTGGGGATTGCTCAAGTTTGCTGTAACTCGCGACGGGCGTGTCGATAGGACGGCGTGGGCCTGGTGAGGAAGAAATGGGGATCGAGAACCTTGGAAATGACCGTGATAACGTTTTAAACCATGTATTCCCGTCTCACCCTTGTTAGCTTCATAATTGTATCAGTATCGCCAGTGGTCGAATTTCGTTCAAGATTCCCGACGTCCCCTTTCCAAAAAGGTTTGGGGCATCCATCCTACGCATGCTTCGGGAGCATTTTGGAGATATGTACAACCGCTCAATCCCAAGATCTTGCCCAGGGCCACGCAAAATAAGTTTCCGTTTCAAAAGCGACGTACTATTGATTCGTTTTCGGTGTGACAACATTAAATAACACTTCGTAGGTGACTCCACGCAGAATCTTAGAGAAAAGTAGCAATCCCATCCAGGCATGGGACCTTTACTCAGAGTCACTACTCTCCGCCTCCGCCTTGGCCAGCGTCTGCTCCTTGGTGAGAATCGGGTTACGGATCACCATAGAAAAGGCAATCAAAGGCACCGTGAGACAGATACCCGTGATGCACAGAAGCCGCTGGGTGTGTTGGTAAGCAAGAATGACGTTGTCTCGATCGGCAGTGCCAACGGGGTTAACGCCTGCAAATTCGAGTGGCTTGGCGTAGACATATGCAGCCAAGGTCTCGTTGCCGAGTCTGTTCATGAGCTCGCCCGGCAGGACTTGGTTCCAGATTGCGCCGGAAATGGTGTTTCCAAATGCACTACCGATATTATAGGCTGCCAGGAAGAGACCGGTAATGACGGCGAGGTCTTGAGATTGTTAGTCAAGTTCGCATGTTATTTGTGGAAGAGAAAGGCTTACTCTCGTGTCTAGAGGCAACTTGAATACTGGCTTGGGCCGGGTAGGGGAACATTCCACCCGCTGATAGTGTTAGAGCCTGCGTAAGTGTGGATTCCGGGACTTTTTCACTTACCAATACCCAAAAGCACCTGTGCACCAATGACACCAGAGTGGCTTGAACCTGAAGCACCACCACGGAAGTGAATCAATATTCCAAAGGCGACTGTGAACAGGATGGTTCCAGCCACGATGAACGGCTTCAGCTGACGGACTCGGATCACGATAAAGCCGAGGATAACACCGGTGATGACAGAAACAAAGCTATACAGCGATGTGATTCGAGTTGCACTGAGGACGGATTCGTCGAAGCTGACATACAGCACTGTGTATAGGAAGTCTCCCTGCAGGTACCAAGCTAAATGATATTAGAAACAAGGTCAAGAGTAAAGTGAGGTCAGGACATTACATACCAGTGTTGAGCCAGATGGGGATTACAAGCGCACCCCAAACGGCACGGTCTTGAAGAAGCTAAACAATCAATCAGCCAGAATCTCAAGACCAATAGGAAGATACACCTACCTTGAATGGCAACATGGGGTGCTTGCATGTCTTTTCCCAATAGACCCAAACAGGAATAAGGAGGAAGCCAATAACGAGTGGGGCAATCACCTTGGCGGTCTTCCACTGGGCGGTCACACCACCAGCAAGGGTGAACGGAACCAGAATGCATGCCAGCATGGCAATCATCAGAACCAGACCAATAACGTCCAAGTGCCAAAAAAGCTCTATGGCCATTTTCCGTCCGCCCAAAAGCTCAAGCGAACTTTTGTACGACTCCAGGGATCCAGCCTTTTTCGAGCGACGCTGGACAATGTAGAGAACAGCAACAAGGGGAATAGCACAGATGGGGTAGATGATGGCAAACATTCCAATTCCCCATTGCCATGTGGTAACCTTGAGAACAGCCTCGGTCAGGTTGCCACTGATCCAAGTGTTGATCTATATTGCTTAGTAGAGGTCCGGGTTTGCAATGGTGTATTCGGAAAGACTTACGATGAACGGGAGAGCCGGAATGTAAGAGAACAACAGTCGAGAACGAGAGGATGTCACATCGGCAATCAAAACCTCAACCAGAAGCATGATACTAGTGTACCCAATCTAGGACCCATCAGCTGAGGCTCGTCGGAGCATAAGCGGCATTCTCACCTGGTAGATTACAGCACCCGCTGCAAAGGCAGATACATTGGTTGCGCATGTTTCAACAACGGTTCCCACGGTATAAAACACAATCGACACAATGATCAATTCCACTCGGCCGAACACATCGGCAATCTTGGCGGCGGTAGGCTGGGCAGCAGCAGCAATAACCGCTCGGAGCACATTGATCGTTGCAAGTAGACTGTGCTCACTGTAGCTTTGGGTAGCATATGGCTATGTCGAAAAACACAAATCAAAGTTAATTATTTCCCTCATCATGAGCTCATGACCATCCCGATAACGCACCTGGTATGTGTAGCGAACAGTTCCATCCAATCCGTATACATATGCGATCAAGAAGATTGCAAGAAACAGAAAGACCCGATCGACCAAACGGAAGTGCGAAGTGATGACCTCGATGCGACGAACACCGGGACTGCCCTTCCCGAGCAGGTGGATGTCCTGCACCGGAGCGGATTCATTGCGGGGGTTCTTCTCCCCAGAGGGATCGGTAGGGATCTCAGTAACCATCGACATTGTCAGACTTGACAGGATGGAAGCTGAGGAGAGGAAGGATTCTGCTCAAGTAGAAAAAAAAAACCTTCACAGCCAAGGATACCAAGAAGAGAAAAAAAAAGATTGAAAAAGTCAATAAGCAGAGCCAATCTTATCTGATTGCCTCGTGTGACCCTGAGTCCCAATCAGGCAACTGTCTGAGCGCTAGCGGCTTGGTAGATGTAGCATGAGCCAATCAAGTCACGGTATTGCTTCCCGGTCTCGTACACAACCATGGAATCTGACCATTGCTCCGGCTTGCTCTAGACCCGGGATCCACACCCCTCGGAGTCGCCTGTTGCAGCATATAGACGCGATATGACCTGATTCGCGCCGGAGACATTGTGGCGACATGCGCGGCACTGTACGGTCATTCAGTGGAATGTGATCAGGCCTTGGCCTCGAGATCATGGGCACATAACAAGCCAAGGCTTTGCCACACGCTCGTGGAAGGTTTCACTTGGCCTCATTTCAGTGATTGCCTTTCAAGCTGCTGAGTAGTATAACTATACTGACTTGTTATTGTGATTACCAATGTACACAACACGGTTTCATAGGAATTGGCACGTTCCCAAGGTTGGAAACATTCATAAAAACATAAATTCGTTATTGGGCACGCTAATACAAGGGCTGCACAAATTCCAACGTTGATCTCTATTAGAGTCTCGACCTGGCAGATAGCGACCGAGAGGCAACTGCATCTTGGGTAAGGCGGCTCATGTCGGGATCATACAGAGACTCGGCAGCGACAGTCGCCCGAATCTTCTTTCCGAAATACTCCACCTCCACACTCTCGCCATCTCTAACATTACCCGGGAGCCAAGCATATGCAACAGGTTTCCCAACAGAATACCCAAAGGCCGCTGAAGTGACATACCCAGCCGGCTTCCCGTTATAAAACACAGGTTCTTTGCCCAAAACAACCGAGCGACCATCATCAATTGTCAGAGGTCGCAGGCGTCGTGCAGGTGTCTGGGCAGCGAGACGCTGCAGAGCGGCTTTTCCTACGAAATCGGCCGATTTGGTTGGATCCACCGCGTGTGAGACACCCGCCTCGAACGGGTTGTGCTCGGTAGTCATATCCGACCCGTAGATTCGGTAACCCTTCTCAATGCGCATCGAATTGAAAGCGCTGCGACCGGCAGCGATCAGCCCATGCAGCTTTCCGGCTTGCCAGATCGTGTCCCAAAGCCGCTGGCCGTACTCCGCACTGGTTTGGATCTCCCAGCCCAATTCGCCGACATAGGACTTGCGAATCAGGGTTACGGGAATGCCTGATAGAATGGTGTTCTTGAGACTGAAATAGGGCAGACCGGCGTTGGAGAGATCCTCTGTGGTGATTCCGCCGAGGACATCACGAGCGCGAGGGCCCCACAGACCGATACAGCATGTGCTTCCGGTGACATCGCGGACCTGAACCCACTGTCCAGGTGAGTTTTGGCCTTGAACTCTAGCTTCACGCTCGAGGTAAGCTAGATCGGTGGCTGTGTTCGCGCCGATTTGGAAGACATCTTCAGCTAGCCGGTGGGTGAAGATATCAGTGAGAATCTTGCCGTGGTCGTTGAGAAGTAGTGTGTATGTTACTGTGCCCACCTTGGTGGCCATATCACCGGTGGTCAACCGCTGGAGCAAGCCAACTGCGCCTGGACCCGAAACCTCAAAGCGATGGAATGCGGTCATATCAAACATGGCGACAGCGTTGCGCGTCTTCCAGGCCTCGGCGGCAGAGATGGGGGAGTGGAACTGGGCGGACCACGCGTCTCGGTCGACTGGCTTCCAGGAGGGTGGAAGGGCTTTGACCAGGTCTTTGTTCGCCTCGTACCACCAAGGTCGCTCCCATCCTCCAGTTTCCAAGAAGAAAGCGCCGAGTTCTGACTCGCGGGCATGGAACGGACTGACACGGAGGCTGCGAGGGGATGTGCGTGGCTGGAGAGGGTGGAGGATGTCATATATCTCGACGAAGTTCTGCTGTGATGTCTCGCTGACATAGTCGTGGCTGAGTTGGATTTTCTCGAAGCGCGACAACTCGCACTCTGACACGTCAATCTCGGACTGACCAGTTGTAAGGATCTGTGCCAGAGCTCGGGCTACTCCTGCTGAGTGGGTCACCCAGACTGCTTCTGCTACGTAGAAGCCATCGAGATGAGATGGCTGACCCAGGATAGGGCCTCCATCGGGCGTGAAGGAGAAGATGCCATTGAAGCCGTCAGCAATCTCCGTCTGTTGTAGAATGGGCAGGAGCTTCTGAGTTTCCTTCCAAGCTGGATCAAAGTCCTCTGTGGTGAAGTCGAGGCGGGAAGGCATGTGTTTGTCGTCAACATGTTGGGGAGTGAGTCCTAGCGAGGATGCGACCACTGGCATAGGGCGGTGTCCATAGTATCCAATTCCGTACTGGTCGCCATGCTCACGATAATATAGATCCTGATCCTGGTGACGAAGAATCGGGAGCTCGGCATTCATTCCATTGATTGAGGAATTGATCGCGCGCCCAGCGAGCGCCGGCACAGCCGTTGTTTTCGCGTATTGATGCGCGAGCGGAAGCAGAGGGATCTGCACACCGACCATAGCACCCAACTCCACACCCCAGAATCCAGCACAGGAGACCACGATTTCTGCTGGGATAGTACCGCCAGGCGTGGTGACTCCGGTCACGCGACGACCCGCCCGCTCGATGCCGGTCACGGGGGTGTGACCCAGATACCGCACGCCGGCCTTTGTGGTTCGCTCAATGAGCAATTGCGTCGCGCGGGCAGCCAATGCAAGGCCATCGCTGGGGATGTGCAGACCTCCTAGGACCATATCTTTGTTCAGATGGGGGTACCTCTGGAAGCACTCCTCGGCGCCCACCAATCGCGACTCAATGCCCCATGATGTGGCGTAGCCGTGTTTGCGCTTCAGCTCCTCCAATCGCGCCGGTGTTGTCGCTACCTCCAGTCCCCCTACTTGGTTGAAACACTTCTTCCCGTCCTTCTCTATCGACAGAAGCTTCTCCACTGTGTATCTGGCGAGGTGGGTCATTGTCTTCGAGGTATTCGTTTGGAATACGAGGCCGGGGGCATGGGAGGTCGACCCGCCCGGCATGCTCAACGGGCCCTGTTCAACGACTGTGATATCTTTCCATCCCCGCGAGACCAGCTCGTCAGCGAGGTTGGTGCCCACAATGCCGGCTCCGATAACGACAACACGCTGTGATTGGGACATTGTAACAAAAAAATCAAACATGCGACCTTAGAATCGGAACCGGACACCCTCTTCATTATATATTCTCAGGCTCTATCGCTCATACATTTTGTGACCTTATCGTACACATCTCCCCGCACCCCGCAGAGGCGAGAGGTGCGGATAAAGTGAAGTGTGAAGTTGTAGATAAAGTTGTTACGCCCCGCACGGGTTCCGGGTATGTAAAGCCGGGAGTGCCAGTAACTCACACGGGTTCATCATCGCGCTCGTCGGAAAGCATAGCTGTAATAATAGATTGCCCCACGTTCGCAAGGGCAACCCGGCTCGTCGGATGAATCATAGTTGGCTGATCCCTTTCCACGGTCGATGATTCGTTGAAGCTGGATTCGTTTTCCCTTTTCGGAGAGCTTGGTCGGGGTCTGGACGTGTTTTTGATGTGGAAATCAACGTCATGGGAATCTTCTGTTTCTGGCAAGCGAATTGACTTCCCAGGAGCTCACGGGATCTTACTCAGAGACCTCGTGAACCTTGAGCGTTAGTGGGCTCCAGCGCTCTGAAAGAAGTTTGCATCGTTTGCCGTTTTTTTGGATAACGTAATCCACATGCAAGCGGTGTTATTGGTATGCTTTCCGAGGATTCACGGCGAGTGAGCGACCGGGGAAGGTATAACATGTTAACTTAGGGAGAAATCGCGCATATTCGTGTCAGTTCTCCCGGTCTGGTTCTTATATCGAGAGAGGGAAACCTTGGAACAACACTTCCAAGTTCACGTTTTCATGATTCAGGACCTCGAGAGTGTATATATTTTTTACCATCATCTGGACCTGAAGGTCAAATCATTGCCTGACAGGCAGGGATATCCAGGTACAGAGACAAATTTGTCATGTCTGACTCCAAGTAGTGAGTTCTGACGAGCTGAACAACCTACGGAGTACTCCGTATACAAGTATTCCCCTATGTTGCGTGCTTCTAGCTCCTCCACACTCCATACACTCCGTAGGATTCGGGACCCACATGCCACGGCAGTTCCGATTCCCGATGTTGCTGACCGCCCCGATTCTGCCATGGTTCATGCGCGGTCGCTGCCATTTCAGGTTGACGCTCGGGAGCGCTGAAGATGGAATGAGATCTTACTGGGACTTAACAGCGGGTATCAACCTCTAGACTTTACAACATGGAGTTCCTGAAAAGGTCCTAGAAGCAAGGAGCGGTCGAAACGGGAGGCCTTCATCACACTCTATGCAAGGTGTCTTCTTGTCAGGGAGACTAGATCAAGAAAACAAGATCTTGATTCCTATGGAAGCTCTCAGGGACCACTGTGGAAGAGGGCGATGACTCGATATAAAGAAAGAGAGAGAGAGAGGGAAGAAGGGCAGGAGATCACATGATCCCTGCCATACCTTCCAACACTTCTTCTGTCGTCGCTCTAATAAGACGCGATGGGCGCAAACCAACGCAGACGAGGTCGCTTTGTGATCTGGAAAAAAAAACCACCAGATCGTTCCAAGATTGACCAAATGGCTCACCAATCAGCCCAGTGACATCGAATGCCGAGAATTCCAGTACCCGCTTCTGCCGAATTGTAAGCTTTGGTGGAGACTTTGCCGAGTTTTTCATGTGTCATAAACGACGTTGCATTAACCTGGTTCGGGCTGTGGTTCGCTGCTCATCGAGCGAGGCAATCACGCCATCGATTTGGACAAAAGTGAAGACAGAGCGAGTTCTCTTTTCCAAATTCCATCGTTTGTTCTTCAAAAATTCCCCGGAAAACTGCCACGTGCAGATCACGAGACTTAGGGCTTATTGTGGACCTCGACTTGTAAGTGCCGAAATATGACAGCCTGTGTTCCAGGTGTATCATTTCGAGACTCTTGTGTATAGATGCATATACTTACGCCAAAACCAGCCACCATGGCCGATGTCGAAAAATCGCCCGGCCTGAATGGCCTGGGGTCAAACGAGGATTTTTCGCCAAACCCTCTCGTGAATGCCGACAAGCTCGCTCGACGCCTGAGTGGGCGTCAGGTTCAGATGATTGCCATTGGAGGTACTATTGGCACTGGCTTGTTCTTGGGAACAGGCTCTTCTCTTGCCACCGGTGGCCCGGCTTCGATGCTTCTTAGTTATGCGATTGTCGGCGTTATTGTGTTCATCACAATGCTCTCTCTTGGCGAGATGGCTGCCTTTGTGCCCGTTGCTGGCTCTTTCTGTACCTTTGCTGGGTGAGTACTGCATCTTCCGCAGCGGGTGCTGTCAATCTTGACTTCTCCTCAACCCGGACTCCCGCCTCTCCTTGTTCATTGTATAGCTGACGATGGTACAAGGCGATTCGTCGATAGAGCCCTGGGCTTTGCCCTTACCTGGAATTATTGGTTCAATGACGCATGCAGTACTGTGAGATCTACCACTGTCCCATTTCATCCTTTAATTTAGCTCATTTCTTCTGTGAAGGCATCCGACATCATCGCCCTTCAGCTACTTTTACAGTATTGGACCGACAACTTCCCTGGATGGGCAATCAGTCTGATCTTCTTGGTGGTTGTGATTGCTCTTAACCTCATGTCTGTCAGGGTTTATGGCGAGGTATGTTGAAAATTGATTTCTTGGTTGTTCGGATGATCTAACCAAATTTCTAGATTGAGTACTGGTTGAGTCTGCTCAAAGTGGTCACCATTGTCGTAAGTGGTCTTCAAGTACAAGGGATACTTATAAGAATATGGCGAGTCTGACTTACAGCTGAGATCTTTATCATCCTTGGAATTGCCGTCAACTGCGGCGGAAACAAAAATCATGAATACATCGGTGCAAGAAATTGGACAAAAGGCGAAGCGCCCTTTGTCGATGGGATCGGTGGTTTCGCATCTGTTTTCGTTACTGCATCATTCGCATAGTATGTCTATTCTGTCATGCTTCATATGTCCTAGCCCCTAGCTAACTTCAAACCAGCGGTGGAACCGAGTCCATCGCCATCACGGCAGGAGAGACTAAAAGCCCAGCCAAAACAATGCCCAAGGTTGTCCGGAACGTGTTCTGGCGTATCATTCTATTCTATCTACTATCTATCATCATCATTGGTTTCAACGTACCATACGACTACCCAGGTCTTTCCGACGGCGACACCAAAACCAGTCCGTTCACGATCGTTTTCCAACAAGCCGGCTCTGCAGTGGCCGGTAGCTTCATCAACGCCGTCATTATGACCTCGGTGATATCAGCTGCGAATCACGCTCTGTTCGCCGGATCTCGTTTATTATTCACTCTAGCCGTGGATGGATACGCGCCCAAATTCTTCGGTCATCTGAATCGCTTCCAGATCCCGTGGGTGGCTGTCCTTGGTACTTCTGTGATCAGTGGTCTCTGTTTTGGAGCCAGCTACATAGGCGCAGGACAACTTTGGTCCTGGCTCCAAAACATTGTTGGTGTTTCAAACCAACTGTCGTGGATCTGTATCGGCATCGCCTCTTTGAGGTTCCGCTCCGCAGTTCGTGCTCAAGGTATTGAGCATCTTCTCCCTTTCAAGAACTGGACATACCCAGTCGGTCCTATTTTCGCTATCGTGTTGAACTCCTTCCTCGTTCTTGTTCAAGGATGGAAATGTTTCAGTCCACACTTCAAGGATGTTGACTTCGTCTCTTACTATATTGAGATACCAATCATGATTGTCATGTTTTTGGGATGGAAGCTAGTGAAGAGAACCAAGTTTGTGAGGAAGTCCAACATGGATTTGAGGACTGATCGGTATGACCCTTCACAAGAAGAAGATTCTGTGGGCCAGATGACATTAAAGGCTGGCATTTGGGCCAAACTCCAACGCATTGGGCAGTGGGTGTTCTTCTAACCGCTTTTTGTTATTCTTTCGATGATACCTCTTCTATCTTATTACTACTTTCCAGCATAGCATGATCATGCATATCACTCAATTTGATTGCATTGCCCATCGGGAGTCTCTTTATTCAAATCATTCCGAGATTGCCTATATTGGTAGGTGCCCAGGTGTATGTATGGGCATCACTCGCGGATGTCCAGGTGGCACTGAGAAATCTTGCCTTTTTCTTCCACGATTCTCCTTGTGCCCACTTGGGCATAATGTTGATTCTGGAGTCTGCGAGTCTTCAACCGAGACAATACATCCATTGATGTTTGCATAAGAAGCCAAGGAGCCAAGGTTGGGGATCGCGTGTAGATGGAACAACACCATAATTCTTATCATGGTCCCGGAGCAGCACAAGCCAACATATGATTTACTACGTGAAGAGATGTATGCGTGTACATGAAGAGACAAGTGGCACTGGGGCACTGCTTGTAACGAGTCACCCAAATGGTCGAACCAGGTTCGACAATCACATTCAACCGTTCAATGAGCACGTATTTTAAAAAAGAGACCACCCCCATGTTATTCGCGAAAAACGCCACGCTATGTCTTAGCAAAATGTCACGTCAAAAACGGGGGTAATCGCAAGAAGGGGAATCAGACAAACGAGAGAACAAATGAGACACATGACAAAAGAAACCCTCTCCAGCCATCGTCCATGCTCAGCGGAGTCAGGTAGTACCGAGCAGTGGGATGGATATGATAAATGCACAAACTATGGGATATCCCAAACAAATCCCGGGGAATCAGAACATGCACTTTTGATGTCCTGCATGAAAATTGCAAAGAGATTTAGCATGAAACACAAGTCGAAGCATCTCGACGCTCGCGCCGATTCGCCGCGCGCAATTAGCCCCCGGAGGCCCTGCTACCGGGGATATTGGATTATACAATACAAGGAGGAACTCCAGCCTCCGATTGATATATGAATCTGTAGTTGTTGTTTTGTTCTGGGGTTTAACCGTTCACCATGTCGTCGAGTGCCATCTTGCGCCGCTTTATGGGTCTATCGTGGGCCTCGGTTTCGTTCGGGGCCTCGTTTCTTGGAAGCGAAGGCGAGCTTCCTGTTGTCGCCTGGATCGGCGATGGAAGCTCAACAGGTCCAAGATGACGGGGCACAGGATCCATCGTCGCACTTGTTATGGAGGAAGAACGTTGGTGGGGGAAAGTATAATTGAAAGCTGGCCCTGCAGATCGGTGGAATGCAGGTCGAGAATCATGAATTTCTTCTCGATTTGGTAGGTTCCAAGGTGCCGGATATGGGTCGCTCAGGCGATGAACGTGGTGAGGAGGGGGGAGGGCCGGCCGTGGCCTGGTGGATAGGAGGAAGGCGAACGGGGGACTCGACGTTATACGCATCTCGAGGCGACAGTGGTACCCGGGAATCGCCCATGGGTGGACGTATCGTGTTGCTGGCAGTTTCAGTATAACCGAGAAAGGGCATACCCGTGGGAGGAGTCTGATGTTGGGGAGGCGATGTGGGTGGTGGTAATGCCGGCACACCGGTGTATGTTGGGAATCGGCGCTCCCCATTACCTGGGATGATATTGACTTTCAGAGCTGGGCTAAAGACACCTCCCATGGGCATGTAGGCGGGAGGACCATGAGGATGGTTCGGTAACGGGTGTGAGGCTGGTCCAGATGAAGAGAAGGGTCGCCGACTTGAGACTGGCATCGTTGGAGAGGGGTCCATGGGCCGGGTCAGAGGAAATACTGAAGCTGACCACCGATGTGGCGTTCTGACGCCTGAGCTTGCATCCAGTCCCTGCAAATCGGTCATGGGTCGCAGTTCTCGGGAGGACGTCGCCCGATGCATGGCGGTCCGCCGCGGGGGCATGGTTGGCTGGGCTTCAGCTGGGATAGACGGGTTGTCTAGATGGGTGGTGTACGTTCTGAGAGATGAATCTTCTGCTTTCAAAGGAGGTCGTCCACGTTTCTTGTGCGTAACATCCACACAAGTCGACTTCGCCCCCGGTTAGTTTCCATTCGAGCTCTAAGGAGAGGGTTTGTGATTATGGAAGACTTACAGCTTTCCCAGATAGTACACATCTTCGACACGGTCGAGCTGGATCGCATCCTAGATGCTTCTTCTTGCAATTAACACAGGCCGATGCTACATGAGCCTTGGTACGTCGAGTCGATTTCTGTGCCAGTGAACGACCGGCAGTGGGATGAGCCGGGTCCAGCACCGGGAGAGAATATTGAGGTGCTTCTGGTAGGCGAGGAGATCCCGAATATAGCAGTCCGCCGTCGTTATACCCCGGCAGCCGCAGTGGCTCGGAAATCGGCACTTGTGTTGGTCCCGAGGTAGGGACAGACCGCTCTACAGGAGGCCCCAGAGGCTTTGTCTCTGCGGTGTCTGGGGGAGTACCAGACATAGATCGAAGATGAGCCCCGGGGGCTACACCCTCGAGCATTGGGAGACCACGATCGATTCAACGGCAGCCGCTCTGGGGCCGGGTTGAATTGACCAAACTGCGTCGTGAGGCTCGGTTGAAGCACGAGTGATTGCATCGGGCGTCGGGCAGGAAAGCGAAAGGGCCCACGGGGCAAATGCTTCTTTTTGTTTTTTTTCCCTTCCTTTTCCCCTTTTTTTTCCTTTTTCCCCTTGTCCCAATGAAAATTCCCCTTGTTCGTTCAGTGCCCTGATGTTATCCCTCCCCAAGCAGGAACTTCGAATTCACAAACCGCTTTTGTACGTGCTTGGGACCAGCATCTCTGACGAATCAAGGAAAAGAAGCGCGGGGAGAAAGGGAAGAACAATCTCCGGCATCCAAAGGTCACTCCACGACCGTCCAAGGACCCAACCGAGCTTATAATTAATGGAGAGATCCGCTATTGGAGGAGTCAGAAAATAGACTGCATCGATCAGCGGGAGATTTCCAGATCATGACAGCAGGGCACAGGGTTACTCTTAGCGCAAGTCTTCCCACAGGGCGACTTATTGCAGGATAGCGGTCGATCATCGAGCTAGGATCAAGGTGCAGGACAAATGTCAAAGCCCCCCCTCCCCACGCCTTACCTCTTGTCTGGATCACACGTCCCACGTTCTAGGTCCTTCTCTTTTCGAAAAAGGGGAAAAGAAACGGTGAACTATAGTACTCCGTACACCCGTACGGGAGTACCAACTGCTACCAACTGTGACCAACAGCAGCGTTTCCAGCGTGGGACAATGAGGTCCCCAAGGCGTTCAATAGTTCAAAAGTACGGAGTAGACTTTCAGGAACTCCAAGGGCATAGATAGTAAGAAAGAGGGGCGTCAAGAAAAGTAGGTCAATGCAGGCCCGCTAGTTAGTGATAGACTTGGATCTTCGTCATGGTAGATCATCGAATGGAGAATCTGGCCGTTTTGATTCATTTATTTGATTTGCTCCCGATGTCAGTGGTGACACGAAAAGGGAATTGGAGTTCGTTTATTTTGTATTTTATTTTTCGGTTTCCAATAATATGCCAATCAGGGCCAGAAGCAAGGTGGTCAAAGTGGTCAAAGTGGTCAAAGTGGGAAGATTGGCGGATCGACGTCGGCGCCCGCAGCCATTGCCAATAGTCGACCGCGGCGTGGATTAAGTGCATTCTCGCCCTTCTGTCTCTCGCCTGTTCCAAGTCCAATAATCGGATCTAGTTATTTTTCATTACTCCGGTACGGAGTACGGAGTACTCCATAATATCATCAATCTATTAATTTATTGATCTGTGCTCCGTATTAGTTGGGCTATCTTCACATTATTCAGGTTTAAAAAAAAAGAACCAAATACTCCGTAGAATCCACTTTACTCAATACGGAGTGCTCCTACGGAGTACTTGAATACATTAGGACTCGAGGTCCAGGGCTACTCCGTATTGCATATTACTATTACTATGTATGTGTTTCTTCTCTATAGATAAATCCAGGGTCCAGATATCATGCTTAGATTACTGGGTTACAGTCGGGGCCTGTCAATATATTGTCCTTTTGACTTTTGAATCCACGTCGTGTCTCGTCGTGTCGCTCGTGATTTTTATTCTTATTTTATTTTTTTAAAAAAACAGCCGAGTCCAAAGTCCCCAAAGTGGATTAGGTCGGCTGGATTGCCTAATTTTCCATCACAATTACCTGCAATCCTTTGACTCAAGGATCTCCAAGTGCCCTCTTTAAACCCTTTTTTTTCAAGGTTTTACCCGAAAACCCCACGGTCGTTATTCTCCGAGGCCAATCCACCGTATGGTATGACTGAGCTCTTATGCTCCGTCTGGGGGGTTACTGTTGCAGCAGATCACAGATGGGAAGGTCTCACAGGGTCGATACTCGGACAACTGCAGGCATAAAGCATCGAGGCTTCCCTTTTCTTTCCCCTGGGAATGAACAGTGATACCGGATCAACCTTGGTACTCCCTGAGTGGTACGTACCTTGACCATTTTCACCCTCCCTATTTTACTTTCTGTTATTTTTTTTTAAATTCCCAAAACAATATTTGTCTGACCATCACAGACATTGCTGAGACGTCCGGAGTAGAAGAACGAGGGAAAGATGTCTCAAAGGAACCCTTGGGATATCCCAAGCTGAATTCCCTTTATTTTCCGGGGACCCCGACAGAGATGTGGCTGCAGCCTCTTGCGCCTGGGCGATCACATTGCCCTCTACGCGTGCATTGCTGACGATCCCCGTCATCCCTGGCTTTGAGACAGCTGCAGGAATCCAGAGACATCATAGAACGTTAGACTTATGGTTCGGTGGGTACGGAGTGACCATACCTTCATCACAACCGTGTTTATTATCCTCACGGAGTACTCCGTACCGGAGTAAACATGGAGCCATGACGAGTAGGGAATACTCGAAAGTCGTACTTCTCGGCAGCATCCGACTCAGGGAAAAGGGGTGTGGAACATGCGGCACGCGGAGCAGCAAGGGGTCTGTCACCCCGTTCATGCAGGATTAAATAGTCTGTACGCATCTGGTTGGTCGCTTTCTGAATGTTCCACCTGCCAATGAGCGGACTTCATTTTCACTTCTTAATTATTCGTGACACCCCAAAAAGCAGAATACTCCTACCTCTCCCGGTATAGTCTCGCGACCCGTTAATTTGTCAAGTGGAGATAGTATTAGTACTCCGTAGTCCATGGATAATAGGCCCAACCCAGCCGGCTAGCGCTTAATAGTGGGCGGAGATTATTCGGGACTATCTCCAAACAATTCTCCTAGCCTCAACGTTTGAATTTCACATGTTCGGCAGCCTGAAAGGGTTCCTCGTACGGAGTACGGAGTATATTGCAGGTGGGCGACGATATGAGGTATGGCATAGAACATGGGAAGAAATCCGCACTTTTAATGATCGCAAAAAAGGCAGGTAATCTACGGAGTACTCCGTACAGTGGATTGTCTGAGATATCTCGTATCACATCACTCTGTACGGAGGACGGAGGACGGAGTACACGATATCTCAACGGCGGAAACGGAGAGGTCCGAGTTCATCAGGGGCGTAATTGGGCATCACATCGGAGCTTCGCCTCGATCTATGGTTTAAACGTGATGGTCCGATGCATGGCCAAGTTCCAATCTCGAGCGGGTGCGTTCCCAACACGCCTTCGTGTAGGAGAATTGGACGACATCTTCCATGTGGTGAGCAGGCGGTTCCTAAATCCCGGATTCCTACTAAGCCCAGAGAGTCAAGGTGAGTCGCCGACAATGTGGTATCTTTGCAATATAGACATCTATTCTACATTTTTTGTGTTCGTGAATTTCTCTTTTGTTTTTTTCCACCTCCACCCGATTTCGCTGCCGAAACAGATCCCGCTCACCGTCTCTTCTTGGTCGGCCGCGCGTTCTTGTCGCGACGCTGTTGCTGCTGTTTCCGCGCCTTGCGAATATCGTCCGTAGACCGCAGCTCACTCTTGCCACCGTATGCTGCACCTCCTATCTTGTCGTGCTGGCGCTCACGGGCGGCATCATTCTTCTTCTTCATCTTGTCGTAGTCGCCACGCAGAGGATCGGCGCGCTTGGGAGCGCGGTCCTGGTTGTGTCGGAACCGGCCAGTCGCCATGCGGGAGTTGACGTTGTTCATAGCAGGTGTCTCAGTCTCACCAACACGGGGCATGCGCTCAACGCGCTTGCCCTTCTTCCATGCCTGGAAGCGACCGCTGCGGAAACTGGCAGCGATCTTGGCTCCACTCTCACCGCGGACGAGTCGGTCGCCCTTGGATCCATCCTCGTCGTTCTGGCGAGCAACGTACTTCTTGTGGCGCTTGTCCCAACGCATGATGGAACGTGCTTCACCGAAGCCACGCTTGCCTTCGTCGCCGTTCAGATCCATGGTCGCGTTGCGAGAGTCGGACGCAAAGTTCGAGTTTGTACCGGAGTGCACACCGTAAGCCTTATCCTCAGCCGTGTCGTTGTTCTGGGGCTTGTAGCCCATGAAGTAGTCAGGGTTTTGGAATGCTGCAGCCGGCTCTTTCTTCTCTCCGTGGTTGGCCTTGTTGGCGTTGTAGGCAGAGAAGGTGACTTCGAGTTCGTCGTCCGATGCCTCAGACATGTTCTCGCCGGGCTGGTCGGGAATGTCCTCATCATCCGACTTGGGCTGGCCGTTCTCACCGGTGGGCATACCAAGTGCGGAAAGCTCGGCCTCTGCCTTGGCATCTGCCCGCTTTCTCCTGTTCTCAACGCCGGTGCGTAGTCGTCGAATCGTGTCCACGGCCTCGTTGTCGGCGACCTTGCCGCCTCGTCGGTTGTTCGCTTCAAAGATGGTCTCCTGTGGCCGGTAGCCGCCAATGCGCGCAAGCATGCTTTCTCGCTCCACTTCCATCGCACTGGATGCGTCGTTAAAGAGCGGGTGAATCTCAGACCAGTGCTCGGAAGCAACTACATCCTTGGACCGCTTGGCACTCTCGGCGGATGCCGAGTTGCGCGTGCGTAGGTAGAGCTTCTCTCCCTTTTGAGACACTTGCTTCTGACCAAATATGTCCAGATCGTCATCGAGCACCTTTTGTACCCACTCACAAGAGCGAGAGACCGCTTCTCTGGGCAGTGTTCCGATGACTACATCCTCGGCATAGTTGAGCTCGGTTCCATATTGACGGCCGATGACCAGTCTGCGTCCCAAAAACAGCTGAAGGTCCAGAAGGTAAGGGCAATCCTTATCGCGGACCAGACTGTAACTCCAACCCTTTTGACCAGCTCGAGCAGTACGACCAACACGGTGAACAAAAATCTTGGGCTGCGAAGGGAAATCGTAATTGATGACGTTGGCAAGAACCGGAATATCAATACCACGGGCGGCCACATCGGTAACAACCAGAATGTTGGAGATGCCGGATCGGAAGTTCTGGACGTGCTGGTTGCGTGCGGTTTGATCCAAGGAGCCGTAGGCGTAGGAGGTAGCGAATCCCGCCTCAACAAGTAGAGCGTATAAATAGTCGACGTGGTGCTTTGTGGCGGCGAAAACGATAGTGGAATGCTTTGTAGGAGATTCCTTGAAGCCGCTAGGGCGACGGATATCCGATCTCTTGCGCTTCTTTGACGGGTTTTCCGCTTCTTGACGGATTCTCATGCCGATGTCTGTCTCGCCAACGGGCATTTTGATGATATCATGTAAGATGTGCAGCAAGGCACCTTCCTTGTCCGAAGTCTTCACTCCGAAGAAGGCGTTCTGTAGGTCGGGGGAAACCTTGTTCTCGGTGTCCAGACGAATCAGACTTGGCTCCTGCAGACCAGCGCGGGCAAACTCAACAAGGGACTTGGGCAACGTAGCGGAAAAGAGCAGTGTTTGACGAGTAGAGGGCAGGCCGTGCAAAATCTCGGTCAATTGGGCAGCGAAACCCATTTCGAACAGTCTATCAGCCTCGTCGAAGACGACATACTTGATGCTAGACAGATCCATTTCCATCTCAACCTTCAAATGCAAAAATCGACCGGGTGTCGCAATCACGATATCGGGGTTATTGGCCATCATTCCAAACTGGTCTTCCAGGCTATCACCACCGATGATAAGCACTGAGGTCAGATTCGTGCCCTTGCCCATCTCTTTGACGACCTTCATAGTCTGTAAGGCCAATTCACGGGATGGAGACATGATAAGAGCACGTGCACCGAACGCAGTGCTGTGGCTCTTCAGTTTTTCAATCATAGGAATAACGAACGAGGCAGTCTTTCCGGAACCAGTTCGGGCCATGCCGACCACGTCCTTATCATCCATGATCACGGGGATGGTCTTTCGCTGAATTGGTGTGGGCACAGAGAATCCTTTGCGGGCGATGGCCTTCAACAGGAAACCACTGAGACCCATTGCCTGGAAACCACCACCCTTCTTCACCGTGCGACCCTTAAGGTTGGCGCCTTTCCGGTTAGCCGAAGCCTGCTTGTTGGCAATAAACGCCGCATCGCCGTCATCCTCTCCTAGGAAATCGAGATCTTGGGGGACGGGTTTCTGGTTTGGGTTTTTCTTCTGAGGCGGTTGTTGGCCATCGTCGGAGTCACTGTCGTGTTCGAAGAGGGCGCTGGTGATATCAAACTCGTTCTCCGACTCCGCGGGGGATTCTTCACGTCGAGGCATTGCTGGCGTGCGAAGTTTTGATTGATATACCGCCGGTGCGGTGATAAGCGTTTATTAGGTCGGCGCTCCAAGGGCCGATAGTAAGTTTGAGACCACAAGCAACGGTAGTGTCAAAGTAATAATCAAACGCGAACAGTCAACTGACTATTCAAACGGCAGACACCTGAAAAGAAAGTCGAGTTGCTTATCTCGCTGTCACTTCGCATCGCAAAAAAAAAAAAAAGTTCGGGGAATCAAAGGCGGTGAGACCCGGATCAAAGATGTGCCCAGTGCAAACCAGACAAACATCCTATATACACCATGAGGACTGATGGATTTGAAGAGTAGAGATGTATGATATATAAGTGTGAGCCAAAACTTCATTACTCGCTCTATAGTATTCTTGGGCTCCATCAAGCTACTCGTGCGATTCAAACTCCATCCCAAAATTAGAAATTCCCAAGCTCCTAGGTGAAAGTGTCGAACAAATAGGAAAGCGGTCAACGCGGGCAGAACGCGATCCCCGCGACGCGTTGGAAGCTCCCAATTGAGTAAAATGGTGCTCCAGACAAGCTTGACCTTCAAACCCACATACCTTGCTTATTCACACAACACACATAATGGGTGAGTTCAGATCGAATCTTCTACATCAATGTCTAATATGATTTCTTAGACGGCGGATACAACAGTTACGGCGGCGGCGGCGGCGGCTTCATGCCTGGCGAGACGAACAGTCCCTCGGGAGCCAAGGTACGTTGGTGATCTCTGCCCTCCTGTGACACAATTTCTCATGGATTGAAAATTAGACTGGTGACCGCGACAACAAGACTCTCCGTCCTGTGACAGTGAAGCAAATCATGGACGCCCAACAACCCTACCCCGAAGCCGCGTTCCAGATTGACAACGCCGACGTAGCCAATGTCCTCTTCATTGGCCAAGTCCGCAACATCAGTGCGCAAAGCACCAATGTCACATACAGGATCGACGATGGCACGGGTGATATTGAAGTCAAGAAGTGGATCGACTCGACAACCGCCGACAACATGGACACCGATGAGGGGAAGGCGCCCGGTGATGGAAAATCAGAGGTGGAGATCAATGGCTACGCCCGTGTCTTTGGCTCCATCAAGTCTTTTGGAAACAAGCGCTACATCGGTGCTCACAGCGTTCGGCCTTTGGCACAGATCGATGAGCTGCATTGTCATTTGCTCGAGGCTACTGCCGTGCACTTGTTTTTCACCCGTGGCCCGCCTGGCGGCGGCGGCGCATCTGCCGCCGGTGCTGGCGGAGATGCAGTGATGGGCGGCGCGGAAGAATATGGCGCTGGCCAGAACAAGGCCCTGGCCACAATGTCACCGGTCGCCAGGAAGGTTTATACTCTGCTGAAGAGCGAGGCGCAAGGTGAGAGTGGTCTACACTTGCAGGATATCGCGGCGAAGTTGAATATGCCTGCTGGGGATGTTGCCAGGGCTGGTGACGAACTACTCGGTGCTGGTGTGATCTTTTCTACTCTGGATGAACAGACATGGGCTATCCTGGAGTATTAGAGGAGCTCGTCATATCTGTGTTTGGTAAAATTCATCTGCGAAATTCAATGATATCATGAACTGTCTTCCAAGGTTATTCAAACGACGTGGATGCGTACTCCCTCGATTCCTACAATGCAGAAATCATGTAGTTCAAATAGCTGAACATTGAAGTCACGCAGCCACCGTCGAACGCCAAAATTTGAAGGTGTATCATACATGTTCACGGGTATATACGTGAATGTGACCGTGAATGCTGTCCTGGACGGGCGGCTTTTGCTACTTGTGTGATGGTACAGACTCTTACTCCTAGAACCTGGTATCGTGCACATCATGTCAGCTCGTTTCTCCGGACGGCCTCCTGGACCGAACGATTCCAATCAGCCCGGCTGATGAAGATGCCTTCAATGAGAGAAACAAGGCCAAGAGCAAGGGCTACTCCAGTCCATAGACCCATAACGCCCCATCCCAATGCGAATGTCGTGCCCATGCTGAGTGGCATCGCAATCACATAGTACAGGAAAAGCTGGACGTAGCCGCCCACCTCCTGGCGACCGAGGCCACGAAGGATACCATTGCAATTGGCTGCCAATGCATCGAAGAGCTGGAAGGCCGCACAGAGAGGCAGGACCTGTGCCACAATGTCCACAACTTCGGGGTCAGAGCTGAAGAGCCTGGGAATGTACGAGCGCAAGGTCGACAGAAGAACCATGTTGAACAACCCGACAATGACAGCCCCACAAAAGCTCACCTTCGCGGACGTCTTTGCTGCATCTACCAAAGTGGCACCGATCAGGTTTGCTACCCGCGTGCTACCCGCGATGGACAGTGGGAAAGGGATCTGCCATGTGATGCTTGAGATGGTAGCCAGGATGGACTGCGCTGCAAGCTCGGATGTGCCGAGGTAGCTGGATGCGAGTGTCAGGATTTCGAATGCCAGGCACTCCGCCTCTACCATGATCAACCCCGGAAGCGCCAGTCGAATCATTGGGCCCCAATTCTGGAACGCACGTCGACTGAACCCACACCAACACTCGGATCCAACGAAGAAATAAACATAAATGAAGAGGCAGATTGGAAGAAGGGTTTCCGTGATCACAACGGCAATGGGCGCACCGATGAATCCCCACTGAAGTTTCTATTTCATCCATTAGTATGATTATAAGTGAGGTGAATGTATGAACCTAGCTTACCCAAACGAAGAACCAGTTGAGGAACGCGTTCAGCGGCGCGCAGACAATCAAGACATATAAAGATGCCGAAAATACACCCTGCGCTTGAAGATACCGCTTGCCACTCTCGAAGCAAGCAAAGCCGGGTGTGCCCAACAAAGCAACCTTCAGATAAAGACCAGCCATCTTCGCGACCTCGGTCTCAGGCACAATCTTGGCCAAGATATGTTCGGAGAAGTACCAAAGCACCATGATGGGAATAGTGATAATCCAAAGGAAGTACACCATGCGCAGCATCTGCAGTCCGACCAGCTTCCTCTTCCCAGAGCCGTACGCCTGCGAACAGAGGGTATCCAAGCTAGTCGCCAAGCCGGAGTATACTGCGTTTCCAGTGATTGTCACAGTCATGCTCGCCAGGCTGACAGCTCCTAGTTCCTCCTTCCCCAAATGTCCGATGGTGAAAATACTCGCCACTGTCAGGGAATACTGTAAAAGGAAAGTCACCATCAGCGGCAATGAATATTTCCCAATAACCTTGGCTTCCCGCTGCCACGTGGTTTGAATCCGCCCCGCTGCAACAGCTTCGTCCCATTTTCGGTCGATCTCTTCCGAGCCCATCTCACTTCCGGACTCCCCAGAGTCCATCGTTTCCCGCAAAAGTGCAGTGTTTTCGCTTGCGCCATCGAGCTCGCAAGGCCGACTTCTCGATCCCTGGGAGCGACTTGGTCGCCGGGAGGAAGAGCCTTGGCCAATTGCAGCCGAAAGCAATCCGCTCACTTTGTGCTGCAGGCCGTGGGGCTTGCCATGGGCGTGCTCGGGCGGGATGACATGATTATCGCTCAAAAGGTGTCTTTCTTCCTCGATCATTTGCTGGTGCTCGCTCTTAGACAATGTTTGCTGTTCTCCGGTCCAGGGTATGATGGTCGCATGGCTGATCGAGGTGAAATTGGAGGGTCGACGGTATGAGCCGGCTAGCGAGCGCGCGTTGCTAATGTAGCTGCCAACCGGGTATGCGGTGGAGCTGGGAGAAGCTCCATCTCTTGGGGATTGATCGTCTTCACTGTAGCTGGCGAGGTCTCGGGCGATTGCTGAGGCGGCAATTGGCGAGCTGGAGGTGAACGAGCGACCGAATGGAGTTTGATGCTCGGAATCCGAGCGGATGTTTCGAGGACCCATTGCGAGAGCTTGACCGGAGTTTGGTTAGTGGGTAAGCCACATTGTTCTGCAAAGAATATCCGTGAGAACAGAATTCAAGGCCTGGGAACAGATAGTCTTTTAAGAGTCAGGAAAGATCGAAGATAGCCCCAGGTGGAGGTGCCCAGGTGAGCTAAGGGTATTTGTAATACCGCGGGTATCGGCAGATATCGACTCGGCGCAGCTCCAACCTTCCTTTCTCGGCCGTTTAGATGGAAGTAATATACTTGAATTTCTCTTGGATAAGTTTAACTGAAGCTTGGAACAGCCCTGGAGGATGATTCGCTCGGCAAAGTTGATATTCATGGCTCTGTATTTGATTTCTATTCCAGCACCTTGAAGCTAACTGATTATATATGTATATGCTGATTTGGAACTATGAATAAGGTCCTAGCATGTAACGATGTGTACAACCCTGGAAGTGAGCAATAGTTTGAATTCAACCTCAGACTCAACGAATACAACCGAAAGAGAAAGGGATATGCACTTGTCCATACGGTGTGAAAGCTTGGAGAGAACAAGGGATATGAGTCAAGTCGATTGCGCATCTTTCCCCGCACGGTTTGACCCACAGCAGTTCGATGCGGATCCTGTCACAGGGTTCGCTGTAGATCATAACAAAGTAGGAAGTACGGAGTACGGAGTATACAGATGATCTCCAAATACAATCATATACAACCTTGGAAAGTACTCCGTACGGGGAGGATATGACATCTGTGGCCATGCGACTAATACCCGAAAACGGCATAGACCATCACATGATCATCTGGTCACTTTCTCCAGGCTCCTCCTTCACAACTCTCGTCGCACCATGGCTCAATCAACCATTCGGCCTCCATTCAACCCTCTGATTAATCCGGTGCACTCGAAGCCCGTGTTCGTGGAAGAGTAAGTTGCCCGTAGCTGCCACAGTGCGAGCCCGTTGTGTGGCTTGACTCCTTACATGTGGCATTCCTGAATCGGATATCCGTCGTCCCACGCTTCAGATGCCTCAGCTGCTTCGGTGCTTTTCAAAAACCCGAAGGCTGTGCCCCCCGCATGTCTTCTCCGACAGATTCTGACATATCACTGCAGACACATCGAGTCTCAGCGCCACATCCTACTATCACGGCCATATTGCGGAGCTCTACTCTTTGAAAATAGCACGTCGGATGCTCGCGACCACTGTGCCAATGAGCGCACCTTTCTCTCATGGCTTCGTCTTTCTATGTACCTGGCAGTTGTCTCACTAGCCATCATAATTTCCTTTCATTTCCGTGATCAGCCAACCGGCTTAGAGAGGCGCATGGCCTTGCCACTCGGGATCATCTTCTGGGTTCTCAGCTTGACGTGCCTGGCGAACGGTTTTGCAAATTACTCGCGAACGGTCATGAAGTATGCCCGCAAGGCGGCTTTGGTACAGAGCGGGTGGAAGACCCAGGTTGTGTTTACAGTGGTGGGAACAGTGATTCTGGGCAGTTGCATTTTGTTTTTGTCAACCGACCCAGCTCAGTAATGAGTGGGGAAGGTTGTGTTCTCGGTTTCTTAGCGCTGGCGCTGGCATCATTGCCCAGGTGGGCATTATCTCATCACTTTGTATCTACCCCGTACATCACCTGTCAACGCAGACAGGGAGGGCCTGAGACTTGATCAGGTACCTAACCATTCTCCATGGCTCAATACTACACATTTCACAAAACAGCGTGGAATATGGTGCGGGCTGGAAGTAACCTGTCAAGTCCAAAATCAAAACGAAGAAGGGGCAAGCAATAATAGCAATGACGCCTGATAGTTTTAAAAAGACACAAGACCCCGAGCCATGGGTATGTCCTTGTGAGAATCGTCGAGCAGGCAGAGAACAGTACTAAGGTATATATGTCCATGAGTCGCGTGAAGGAAGTAGTTCAACCGAAAATGCATAGACAAGAAAGGCAGAAGACCGAAATGAGGACGAGGGAAATACGCTAAATTTTGCCAACAGATTACATCCGACGAATCTGCTGCTCGTTCTTATATTGTTCCAGGGCTGGAGTGCCAAGGTGGCTCCACCACTCAAACAACATAGAGTTGCAGATCAACTTGAACCATGGGGTGAATTTCAGACCGGGCTGCTCGAACATGGCCTTCAATTCATCAGCCGAAACGTAGGTGGTGTCGCGAACCTCGTTCGGGCTGGGGTTGAGGTCAACATCGGCCTGGATGAAGAGGATGTAGTCGACTAGAGATTGTCAGAATTTTCGCTGTATAACCGCCCAGACGGCTCATCGCGCAAAAAACTGACCTTCGTGCTCACCCCACTTGCCATCGCTAGGGGCCTTGTAGTGGATTCTGGTGAAGAACTCAAATTTGTCCAGGGGCACCTGCTCGGCTTTGATGCCCAGTTCATGGTCCAGCTTGCGCTGCGCGGCGCGCTTCACGCCCATGACAGCAGCGTCCAATTCGGATCCTGTCTCGCCAGGGATGCCGAGAGGGTGTGAGCAGCAGGTGTTGGTCCACATATCGGGGAATGTGATCTTCTCGGTGGCACGCTGTTGAAGTAGCAGACGCTTATTGGAATCGAAGAGGAAGACGGAAAAGGCACGGTGAAGGAGACCCTTATCAATGTTGGTCATCAAATGGCCTGTTCAAATGTGTTTGTCAGTGTCCAATCCTCGAGACAGATTGATCTTCCCCTCCCCCACATTCCAACCCTCGGATAAGATTTGACGTACAGAGCTTCTTGCTGGCACTTCCAATGGGGCGATCATTGTTATCCAACACTATGCACACTTCGTCCATCAGGCGGACTTGCTCCTCGTCATAGCCTTCCAGCTCACCAGCTCCACCCACACTGGTATGGCTGGTGGGAAGAACTTCGCGGGCCAACGAGGTGTCGACCTCAGGAAAGAGAGTGGCGACATTTTCCGCCGTAATCTCAGGGCTGGTCAAAGTAACAGTTTCGGTGATTGTCTCGCTCATTTTGATTGAATATAGATGTTGGGGTGGAGAGATCAACAAGTCAACGAAAAGCTAAGTAAAGGGACCCGCGGGGAATGTTGCTGAGTAAGGACCCAAATGGGCAGTGGGACATTCCCCAGTTTGGAATCTCTGACTCTGTTACTCCGTATAGTCCAGTTTATCGTGGGGTTTCCTGTTCATAAACATTGAAGAGTTCAATTTATCATTCGTTTTCTTCACTCAAAGCCTTCTGGATCGCCTTTTTTCTTTTTCTCCCCTGCTTCATCACTACCGGGTTCGCTTTCCGGAAACTGACCACGTATAACTACTCATTTCACGAGGAGAACCTTGTCATGACCAACACTGAATTGAGAACTAGAGGAAGTATGCGATCTGATATTTTCCCAATCGTTGTCTGCTTTGATGTTGGCACCATCTTATCCAACACCGCCAGCCGGCAATTCACCATCACTGGAGCTTCAGGAGACCAGCCAATTTCTCCAGCTCCTCAGCCTCCTCAGGGCCCAGAAGTCCCAAATGCTCTCGCCGAGTTGGCGCGGTAGGATCAAACACCGGCTTTTCCGCGAGCGAGGTCACCCGTGTACCATGTCTGGGCTGGGAACCTTCGTAGTCCCAGCTGGCGTTGTGGATAGTGACCCTATACAACGATGAGCCCAGGGAGCTTTCAGAAGATCCGCACATCAAACTTACCGGTTATCCCACAACGCGCTCGTGCGTGGAGTCCATTTGAAGCGAACCTGGATATCAGCATTCTTCTCATATACGTCATACAAGTACCCTAGAATCACATCGCTTTCGGCCTTGTCAAGTCCCACGATGCGAACTGTCATTGCCCGGTTGACCCAAAGCGCCTTCCACCCTGTCGCTGGATGCACACGGACGATTGGATGCTCGCGCTCCACGTACTGCGGCCCTGCCTCAGGGTGCTCACGGTCGAGGTACGGATGGGCGGAGCGGTATATGGCAGTTCGACCATCAATCAATTTACGAAAGAGTGGAGACAGCTTCTCGTATGCTGCGTATCCACTGGCCCATAGGGTGTCACCTCCGACCGTAGGAACGGTGTCGTTGTGTAAATGGGTGACTCCAGCAGGTTGCCTTTCATGCACAAGATCGCTGTGCCAGCGGGATGCGCCTCCCGGTCGGCGGAAGCTTGCTGGGCTCTCCGATGCCTGTAATGCTGGCCACATCACGCTTACGCCGGGGACACCGGGCACTTGGGGCACTTGAGGCTAGGCAAACACCGTTTGTATCAGAACATTGTCTTGAAATGTGGAGAGCTTACATGAATCTCGATCTCACCGTACCATTCTCCAAGTTCCTTTTGTTGCTGGGGAGTGATCTCCTGGTCCCGGAAGAAGACCACGCTCCGTTCAGCAATGAGCAACCCCAATTCATCCTTTTGTTGATCTGTCAGGTCCTTTAACTGCAAGCCCACGATTTCGGTTCCAATGTGTCTAGTCAATGAGATCACCTCCGTGGCTGCAGCCAGCAAAGCTCTCTTCTCTGGATCGGCTCGGCTACCGGGATCTATGTGGGGACGATCATAATCCCGCACTTTATACACGTCGTCAAGATAGAGAGGGCGAGATGGGCGGTAAGGATAGCCTTCACTCAGATCTATACCGGCCTTTTCTAACCGTTCGCGAGCGGATTCGGGAAGACCGAGGGTATCCTTCCTCGGCACTGCGACGTCGACGATGCGAGGATCAATAGGGACGGGGGCCATTGTGAGTGAAATCCAGTGATTGAAAAGAGCTTTACTTCTACCGGCACAGACTCGTGTAGCGTGTCGCTGTATATATCCGTTGATGCACTCCAACACTTGGCATGTCGTGACAGCAAGCACCTCATCGCCATGACCCATTGCGTCTTCTGCGGGCGCAATTTATTTTGCGATGAACCCCTCTCTTTCATCCAGTCGCGAATTGAATCGCCGTTATTTGCGACAACGTGCGATGAAATTTCACAATCATCGGTTGAGATCACGATCGCAAAGAATTTCTAAGCATTGCATTGTTTTGCCGTCTCTTCCGGTCGCGGACTTTTGAAGCCCGAAGTAATTGGAATTTGACACATTGATCTTTTCCTGTGGTTCCCAGCTCTGACGAAGGGATTTCCAAGTTGGACTGCAACTCGACATTTGAGGATCAAGTCCTATTTCGCATTCTGATATTCACACCCAACATCATGGACCACAGCCCGATCGATGTCGCAGTCATTGGAGCGGGCATTAGCGGAGTGGTCACTGCTGGCCATCTTCTAGCTGCTGGCATCAATGTGACGGTCTTTGAGAGGAGTCATGCAGCCGGGGGTGTATGGTAAGATATGGCACAATCAGTCCTGACCACAGTGTTTCTGCTGTTTTGTGGTACCTACATGGGTGTGTTACTAACGCATTTTCAGGCTGTATGACAAGCGAACACCCATCGAAGCGCAATATCCATCGCCGAGGCCGACTGCGTCGCAAGAGTATGTTCAAGATGACAGAGACGAAGAAGAAAGAAAAACGTTGCTACATGCACCCCCAGGGTATGTTTGGATTCACTTGATCTGTGAACCTCTCTCATGTTATCCAGACCGTGTTATGAGAGCCTCACCAACAACGTGTCTACCCCATTACTCGAGACAAAGTTGAATGCCTGGCCTGAAGGCACTGGGCCGTTTGTAAAGCATCATGTGCTGAAGACTTATATTCAAGACACTTCTCGAAAGGCTGGTGTTGAAAGTGTGACGAAATTTGGCGCTCGAGTCGATCGAGTGCACAAGAATGGATCAACATGGGACGTCCATTGGAGCACTCTGGGTGGCTCAGACCAAGAGGGCTTGGAAGAACAGGTAGCGGTAGGTACCCGCACGAGGCCATAATTACAGCTCAGAAAAGGGGGAAATGACTGACTCGATGGTAGACATTCGACTCGGTGATTGTGGCATCGGGTCATTATCATACACCTCTTGTTCCGGACATCAAAGGGCTGGCTGAAGCAAAGACTCGTTGGCCTTCAAAGATTTTCCACTCCAAGTCATTCCGTCGCTCAGAGGGATTTGAAGGAAAGGTACGGGCATTGTTATCTGGCATAGAAAATTGACTGACCTATTCGCAGAGCGTGCTCTTAGTTGGAGGGGGTGTCTCTGCCATTGATATAGCCAAGGAATTGAGTGTGACGGCGAAGAAGATATACCAAAGCACCCGAAATGGTGCTTTTGATCTTCCGGAGACTGCATTGCCATCAAACGCCACCAGAATCAGCGAAATAGAAGAGATTGAAGTCTCCACTCCAGAAGCCTCAACTGAACACTTGCCATTGGTCGCCCACTTAAAAGATGGCCACAGCTTGGAAGGGATCGACGCAATCATTCTCTGCACCGGCTACCAATTAGCCTTCCCATTTTTGGGCGAGCTCAATGATCACAGTCTGCTCGCTACCGAAGCCGACGACACAGTACTTGTGACAGACGGCACTCAGGTGCACAATCTACATAAAGATATCTTCTGGATTCCGGATCCTACATTAGCATTCGTCGGCATCCCATTCTACACCGCAACATTCTCGCTGTTCGAGTTCCAAGCCATTGCGGTCACAGCTTTCCTCTCTGGCGTAGCAAAGCTTCCATCCATCGACTGTCTGCGGGAAGAATACAAAATTCGACAAAAGGAGAAGGGCTATGGCCGAAGTTTCCATTCACTCAAGGACCAAGAGCAGCCTTATGTCAAGGAAGTTTTGGAATGGGTGAATGCTGGAAGGGCCGAGAAAGGCTTGCCGTTGATTGAAGGTCACACAAAAGCGTGGATTCAAGAAAGGACCGCTTTGGGCGAAAGACTTAGATTGATTCTTGCAGGGCAGCTCCCAAGGGCAGATGCACTCAAAAGCCCATTAGCGGTGCAAATCGCTGTGTGAGACCCCGCGACATAGGACCTATCTAGCGGTTATCTTGGCGGTCTCTTGATGGAATAGATATCGTACCTGCGCTCAAGAGCTACTTACTATCCGTATATGGCCATTTACTTGAGGTGAGAGGCAATGCATAGAACAGAGCACCAGAATTAGGCCCATTTGACGGACGCAACATTGGAAAGGGTACGGTTGTGGTCACGAGCAATTGGAAATCTGGACGCCATAGAATGTACCAGCCCCCCTTTGTACTCCGTAACATTAGAAAACGCAGGTGTCTGACCTGCAGAGTACGGAGTACTGTAAGCAGGTTAGCTCAAGGTCCGCAGGAAGATCCCGTTGAGTGGCACCATCGGCAAAGCGGATGACGAGCTTCAGTGCTACAGGTGTTTGCAATCAGTTTCTCAGTGAGATATGACACTAAGCATTCAGTCAGCAAAGTATGCATCGTCGGAATATCTCCGCATTTATCAGTCAATCTCCCTGAATGGTGAATTTTCCCGCAGATATTACGCGAACACCTCGTCTTTCTATTCGACCACCAGCTCATTAGCTCCCTTCTTGTAGCCGTGAAGCTTGATTAACATGATTCAAGGCCGATCATATTCCCCTTTCGATTTTAATAAGCTACTTATGAAAGGCATGGGCGTCCACGGGTCGAGTTGTATGTTTTAATTTGATAACATTCTCGAGCCCGAGTTTCTACAGAGGAGTGTCTGGAAAATTCCATAGCATATTTCCGAACACTTTCTCCCAATTATAACCTTGGAAAGGTGCTTTGAGAGCTTGATCCTTGTCTCTGCTCTCCCACACGGCCACTTTCGAAATTCATCATGTCGCCCAAGTCAGATAAGGCTGATGTCGACCCTCAACGAGATTTGATACAGCCAGAACCAAAGCGCAGATGGGTGAGCTATCTTTGGGACACCTTTGACAAGCCCTCAGAAGAGCGCCGACTTCTTTTCAAGCTGGACTTTGCTATTCTGACATTTGCATCTCTGGGTGGGTTTCGCTCCACGTTCCCTGGCAAATAACTCTAATCCATCTGGCAGGATATTTCATTAAGTACTTGGATCAAATCAACATCAACAACGCGTTTGTCTCTGGAATGTATGACCTCATACCTTGCCAACTATCTAACATTGGCCCTTGACTGACAAGTTACAGGAAGGAAGACTTGGGCATGTATGGCAATGAGCTCAACTATATGCAAACATGTTGGACTGTCGGATATGTGATAGGAGAGATTCCAAGTAACATCCTTCTGACTCGGATAAAGCCAAGGTATTGGATACCAGCAATGGAGGTTAGTTGTACTCCTTACTTGCTACGACCTTCTACTTACCGATCAGCTTCTCTGGACTGTTCTCACAATGTCCTTGTCTCGATGCAACACCCCGACTCAATTCTACGTGCTGAGGTTTTTTGTTGGTATGTGAACATTGCCCGATAACCTCGTATTCTGGGTTCTCAATTTTGCCATATGACAGGACTAGCCGAGAGCACCTTTTACCCAGGAATGCAATACATCATCGGATCCTGGTACCGCAAAGATGAGCTTGCAAAACGCTCCTGTATCTTCCATACTAGTAGTGGAATTGCTAGTATGTTCTCCGGATATCTCATGGACGCAGTGTATCGGCTTGGGGGACGGGGAGGTTTCAAAGGTTGGCAGTGGTAAGGCAACGTCCTCAAATCTGCTTTTCTGCTATTAAGTAGACCAAATGCTGATATGGTGAAAGGCTTTTCATCATCGACGGTGTGATATCTTTGCCGGTGGCCATAAGTGGATTTTTTATCCTTCCGGACGTGCCCGAGATCTCCAGTCCGTGGTACTTGAGTGAACAGGTAGTTTCACTTATTCTTAATACTTGAGTCACATACTGATACTGATCCTTGTCTAGGAGGTCAATCTGGCTCAAAAAAGAATGACATTGGAACAGAGAGCCATATACGAAGTCTAAATTGAAGAAAATCTTCACTTCATGGCACATATATCTGCTAACTATCCTCTACATGTGAGTTCAAAGTGTGTGAAATAATGGTGAATATGGCTGACTTGGCCAAGATGCTTTAACAATGGTGCTGCGGGAAGCCAACCTGTTTTCCAACAGTAAGCCGATGCAAACAAATAGACAAGGGGAGGTTGAAAAGGAATGATCTCGCTAATTTCTACCCTAGATTCTTGAAGGACTCAAAAGATCCAGTCTACTCCATCAGCCAGATCAATTCGATACCCACAACCACTCCTGCCGTTCAGGTTGTGACGACCCTGGCTTATGCATGGATTTCTGATACCATACTGAAAGGCAGTCGCTGGCCTCCAATTGTGTTTGGCGCTGTAAGTCTGTATCTTCCGTGAGTGTGGGGACAATGTCTAACAACGTCTTAGTGCGTCAATATCATCAGTTATGTCTCTCTTGCGGTGTGGAATATCCCACCGGGATGGAAATGGACGTGCTACATCATCAGCGGGGCTGGTTATGGACTCAGTGGTCTACTCATGGCGTATGCGTCTCCCGTGTCTCAAACAGAACTTGCGTGTACTAACATAGCTCTAGTTGGGCCCATGAAATTTGCTCTGATGACAACGAGGAACGATCTCTAGTGATTGGGAGTATGAACGAACTCGCTTATGTCTTCCAGGCCTGGCTACCTCTCATCGTATGGCAGCAAGTTGATGCACCAGAGTATCGCAAGGGGTTCATCACCGTTACTGTTCTCTCAATCCTTCTGATTATCTTCACCTTCCTCGTTCGCTTCCTTCACAAAAAAGAGAAATCGAATACAAGGTACGCTGTGAACACATTACTTCTCATTGATATTCTTCTTCTCATGGCTAATGAGCTATAGGAAAAACGAGGCCCATGACGCTGAAGAGACCGACGATGGTTTTACATTTGATGCTGGGGTGGCTCCCATCGGCGTAAAACCAGGGAAAGTTTGAGACCTTCGATATAGTAAGAAGTGAGAAGTTCCTTTGGATCCAAACCAACCCATCATTTACTTTGATTCCGAAGTCCACAAAGTAGTCGGGCATTGCTTGGACTTGGCGACGGCGACGGCGATGAACCTTTCTGGCGAGATCCTGCTCCAAAGTTTCCCATCATGCTTGCTGATAGATAAACTTAGATAACCAGTATTTTGAAGTCACTATCCATGTGACCTCATTTACTTGGGAAAATTTACTTCCAAGTTGCGTTTTCCCATGACTCCTTCCGAAGTTCAGATCCACAACCTAAACTATAGTTACATGATCCAGATGGCGGCTCCGAGACACATCACTCATCTTTCAACACGAATGTTTGAAAGAGAGCCTGACGCTTAGTATGGGTAGGTCGTGACCATATTCCCAGAAGCCCAAGAGAAGCCTCGCTCCAAACGTTTATAGCCCCTCTGGACCTTGTGAAGCTCTTTTGGATAGAGAATTGACACACCTGGGCGACCTAGAAATCTGGCCTGTATAAATCTGCACACTTCCAAGGATTTTGGTTAACATGGTAGGGTGTACTCCGTACTGGGTGACCCCAATGCAACATGTCCAATGCGCAAGAATGCCAGATCACACTACGAAGCAAGGTGATAAATATGGCTGATTGGAAAGGACTAGCTGTATCTGAACAGTCGCAGGTCTACTCCATAATGTAGAAGGAGTCATAGTTCATCTTATGGGAGAAATTGAGTAGCACCTAGGTATGAGACGCGAGATCGTCCTATCAGATGAGAGGCTATGAGAAAATCCGAGCCTACCAAGTCCCAGCATTAGGTCTACGTACAGTACGGAGTACTCCGTGGCCGGCCCTGTCGTGAATGACGTTAAATGATCTGACCAATTGTCAAGTTTGTCTTAGTTTGAATGTCGATCGTTATGTGCCACTGGTACGGAGTACGGAACACGAAGTATAGAGCACCCCGTAGGTGCGTATTTGGAATGCCTAGATGGAAGACTTTGGACCAGATCAGGTCCTTTGTCGGGAGTTAGCTTCCGAACTCAGGGGTGAGTTGACAGAGACATGCCACATGGTCCAGGTTGCAATGTGGGCGTGTGCTTTGCAAAAGCCGATGGGACTAATTTGGACAATCCTTGGTTGCGTTGCTAATTATGGACACACGAGTACAAGCACAAGGTCGGAATCGCCGCAATTAGAAAGAAAAGCGAATCATGGATTGTGATAGCCCATTTAAAATTGGGGATCCCCAATATGGGGATCCGCGTCACGAGACAATGAGACAGTTAGTGGGATAAGGAGTCTTTAATAATTGTGCCTGGCTCCCTAGCTTTGCGCGTGGAGATCGGCATGTATCCATTTAGGCAACATTGTCGAACAAACTCGGAAATTAGGACTTCAGAGTGCTTCGTACTCCGTACATGTATCAGTAAGGTCGGAAAATCCCACGGGGTGATCTGCGCATTGACAGATGTGAGGACGTGGCAAAACGTCAGAGACCAAATGTGCCGTGTGTGGCTGTCATGGCAATCACAAAACAGAACCTAGGACAAATAGTGCACTAAATTCGACGGCTTCAAGTCCGCTCAACTCGGACTGGCCTGATACTATCACATTTTCGGGCCCACTTGTCGAAAATCTCAAATCCGAGGAGCATGTCGGCCATTCCGGTGCATCAACAGAGAAATCCTCGGGTACGTATATGATTATGGAGATCATCGTGGACCCAGTTGAAGATAGGCGAACAGACGCGATGTCTCCAGCGCGGCTGCACCGGAGGTACGATTCCAAATGGCTCTTCGTGAAATGGATCTCCACTTAAGGCGACTAGCTTCAAGTCCGAGAAGTGGATATAGCGGGGTTCTTGTATGGATTCATACGAGTACAAGTACAAGTACTCCGTATGGAGTACGCGTAGGGATCTTTAGACTGTTACTCCGTACTCGGTATGAATATCCACAAAACCAAAACCAAGAGATGAGAAAAAGAAAAGAAACAGGAACAGAATATCCAAAATATGAACAAGATCAAATTCTTTCCAACTTGCCCCCTACGATGATAGGTTCGCCCGTAAGCGAGTACACATCAAAGGAAGTTTCTCGAGATCGCCGATTTTCGCCTAGGAATGGTGAGACATCTGCATGAGCGTTAGACCTTTTCTTTTCATTCTTTCGCTTTCTTCGGACGTGCACCAATGTACGAGTTTGGAGCGAGGAGAGCTTGGTTGGCGCGTCCTCTCACCTCATTCCCCGCCAGACTAAGGGGTTAGAGTTATTTCAAATCAGTTCCTTTTTGTGTACTTTGAAGATCCTTCGCTTGACCCTGGCGTGTGATTCGGCGCTTTAAAGTGGAGCGCGGCAAGAGTCGAGATCCTCTCAACGGGCGTCGGGGAGTTTTGGTCGGAGTCCAGCTACTCCGTATGCATTATTGATCTTCCATCCCTTAGTGCTTAGTTCCGTGGCAATTTCCGAGGCTTTTGCAATCTCCACGCATCGAGAAAATGGCCTCTCTGTCAACTTGGATATTACCCAGTGTTGTCACGATCGGATGGGTGTAAGTGCGTGAAGGGAAAATCCTTGTATTTTGCAATGTCCAAAGTTCAAATCTATTGCCTCCACAAGTGTCGTCGATCTCAATACAGAGTAGAGCCAGGACCGCCAGGCGGTTTATGTCCGAAATCTATCGCACCCGCGCGGGAGTACTGTATGCAAATGACATCACATTCGAGCTTCCTGATTGCAAATTTGCGGGGATGAAGATGGCAAACAAAGGCTATGAAAAAGCTGAAAAAAAGACACACAAAAAATCCTCCAGCAGAACTTCAAAAAACCAGACCCAATGCATCGTAGTACAATGTTGAACGCCAAGGAAAGGAATATCCGTGTAATAGTGATAGAAAGAAGCCCCCGAACAAGTCATGACCTGCCAATTGACCAACACAGGGCTGAGATCGATCTGGCCAGCAGATGTGATCTGATGTGGTGAAGAAACATGGAGACTGATAATCCAAACTCTACCTCCCAATAAAACCAAGGCGACTGTGAAGCCTCTCCAACTCACCACCAAGCCTCCTATGCTCTTGTGTTTAAGATCTTCTCACCGAACGTTGGGTTTTTGGTGTAGAAAGAAGTGGTTTGGGCTTGGTGTGGCCGGGGCTACTAGATTTGCCGTGCGAACGCTTCCTTTTATCGCAATCGTGTCTGCGTCGTCAAACATCGTCAACACACACCTGGACCTGGCTAACGTCGGCCTGGATTTTTCAGTCTTCCTACCTTAATAAAGAGTCCTGTCGGCTAAATCGTCGGTCGCACAAGTCACAGTAAAACTTGCGGAGTCCAAGATGAACCTAAACTTCACATGAGTGACTGACACCAGGAGCTTCGGGCTGATTAGCTCACTGTATCCTTGTGCCTTTTAAGATCAGAGCTCCTGCCGAAGGACTTGGGGCATTCCTCGCATGGGTGATTTTGCCTCCACTCAGGGTTGTGCATTTTTTGGTGTTCTTTGCAGTTGGAGCGTCTGGTGAATGTTTTGCTACATTCAGGGCACTGCAGGCCACTCGCAGATACCACCCGGTCAGAGGAGCCCTGTGCCCTTCTCACAGCCTTTGGGGCGGGTTCCGAGGGAGCTGTATTGGTGCTAGGGATCTGAGATTGAATTTCACTCTGCCAGGCGTTGACGTCGGGTTTGCAGGACTTCCTTGATTCGAATGCCCTCAATCTCGTGGCTGCATCGGCGTAGGGTGCCATTGACGTTGAAGGAATGCTAGCGGGAAAAGAAGCACCCATGCTTCCACTCTGACCCCATTGTCCGTTGCTTGAGGTAGAGAAAACTTCTGATGGTGTTATCGATTCTGAGCAGGATGTATTCGGCCAGGCAGACATATCGGCTGCGAATGCGCCCTGGCATGACCCGACTTCCAGTACAGAATTGTAACTTGGGGTTGCACTCATTGACGTAGGGCTATAGAGACCGAGCGAATCCTCGGAGCGATTTGGAAGTGGATTGCAAGTTGTAGAGAAGCATGGTTCGCTGGCGTATCCGTGAAAAGAATAGTCGAAGGTAGGTGGCTCCGGGACTAGCTGCGATGGTAGCTGGGCTGGGACAGTGAAAACCCTCATTCCATTCAATGCCTGTTCGATATGGCAGCCGGATATTCCCAACCCAAGAATGGGCGACTCTCGTTGGGATCCAGAAGAGCAGGTTGGGGACGAGTATGCCATGGGAGAGTGGGAGTATGCATGGTCGCGTTGTGGAGTGATAACTGTATGATGTTGTCTTTGGGAGTAATCCATGTTGGTAGGAAGGCCCAAACAAAGTAGTTGAAGTAAACTTATTCACTGCGCAGCCCAAAACCAACGGAACGCTAGTCTATACCAGTGTGAGCAAAAGCGATAAGATGGAGTATATATAGTAGAGGCTTGAAACAGCTTTCCTGTTGATGATTGACGGCAGCATACATGGAAGGTGGCTGAGGAGGTCATGTAGAAATTCATTGGAGCAGAGCTTGCGTCGCATCGACACCGACAAATGCTGAAGATTGAAGGAGTTGACGCCGTAGTAGACAAGGCAGATTCAGGAAAGAAAGGGTCTGGAGTTGCGGTGGAAGAACCAAGCAGAGTGGGGGGGGCATAAACGGGGGTAGTCCGGAACAGATCTATGACAGTCCACTATGTACGGAGTATCCGTACACTTGCCTGGCTCCATGGTCAAGATGGATGGACTATGTCATAGTGAGTGGAGGCAATCTTTTTGGCGCTAGTATTATCATTGAAATGGTAAGACCTGTACGAAGTATGGAGTACGAAGTACAGATATGATGTATGTAGATGCATGAAAGCGCCTGGGCTTCACAACCCTGGGAAACGCTAACCATACCCTTCACCACCGTTGGGCTGGTCTGCCCAACCGCGACGTGGACCATGCAACGAGTGACCAAACAGAAAATACAAGAGAGATCCCAATCTTGTGGTTCTCAGCTTGGCAACGTGCATTGGTGTCAAGGATCTGTTGACCACTAAATGAGCACAGCCCTGGCAGAAACGGTTGTTTCCGAGGAACAGTCCAGACTTTGAACAAGATGCAGATCGGCGCTCGTAAAGTCAGAACTATCATCGTGACCTCAACTGTATGCGGGCCTGCCCTTCCGAACCGCTCGATCCCTTTGGCTTCATGTAAACCATACCGCGGAAACTCCACATTGACTCCACAGGTGTTGGTGCCCCCCAATGCCTTGATCTCAATACCTATAATTATGTATCGCTATGTAACAACTGAACAGAACGCCATTTATGCTTGAGGGTAACAAGGAACGAAACGAAAGATAACTTAAGTAAAAGAAAACAAATAAAACCGAATATCCAGAAAACAAGGGGGCAAACGCAAACCGAGATGGAAAAAAAAAAAAAAAGAAAAGGAAAAAAGCACGAAAAGCACGAAAAAGGGAAAAGAAAAAAAAAAGCAAGAAAAAAAGCGAATCCCGAAAAAGACGACCAACCCTGTTTGAGCGTGCCATCGATATGGTTGTTCATAAGCATATTGAACGTTTTCGACTGTCGGAGTGGCTCACTGAATCCGCACCGACGCCGACTAGCGCCAGTCCGGTCCTGCAGGGGCGTGCGTGGCCCTAAGCGCCGTGGAAGTGACCCATCTGCCGCGCATTTTTCATTGGGATTCCGTGGAAGACCAGAGCGCGGAGAATCGGCCATCATTTTTGCCCAGCAAGTGCCTCCACCTGAGCTCGTAGTCGTTCTACTGTGTCGATCAACTCGGCAAGCTGGACATGCCCAACTTCAACATGAGGTTCACGCGCGGCTTGTTGATCCACAATGCGCTCTTTTCCGGAGCTCAGATTCGTTTCAACTACGGAAAGGTGGTGTGGGTCCTGCCACCCAGACGAAGTCTCGTTTGCAGAAGTACGACCGCGCGCTGATGCTGGGGGACGCTGGGTGTTTTGACGTTTCAGATTTCGCCATTTCGCCTCGTAGATCCAGATCAGTGCAACAAATGGGATATGCGTGGCTCGAAGCAAGATAATTCGTACACGCCGTACAGTTCCAGCCGAAAGAAACAGACGCATAGGGCGGATACAAAGAAGAGGAATAAGATTCTGCTGGGCGTTAGCTAAAACATCTTCCAGAACACACAAAGAAACATGGTACGGAGTAGTCCACGATGAGACGCTGGACTAACCAGAGGCGGCATGAAGTATGTCAGTCTTCTAGAATTGCTACTTTCTAGGACATAGATGGCGAGCCTGATTGGGTAAGTAAATAGAAAAAGACTTCCGTGGGGCAGTGCCAGAAAATGGAGGACACAGGGGTCATGTATGCATACTGAAAGAGATATTCCTCTCGAGCATGGCGCATCACCTATAAAAAGTCAACTTCTGCTGCCCTTGTACGGAGTAATGGGGGTTCGACTGACTCCTTCCAGGCTCATGCTCATCAAACTAATTAATGAGGAAATGATCAAGGTGTTCGTCATGAGCGAAAATATCAGCCTGAAATTCATCAAAGTTAGCATACAGAGGACATATACTGTAGATTGTGTTTCTTGGTCCTCGACAGACGACGTGGAAATTCCACGAAAGCTCGTGTGCGGTTTGTAAACCGCGCACCGCTGCGCCCGCGCGTCACTTGCATGTCGAAACGTGATCAATTGCGCATGCGACATCTAATCCAGCCGCAGAACAGAGAGAGAGAAAAACCCCCGCTCAAAAAACAAACAACACCCATGGGAGCCAAGAGAATAGCAGGGAGCTCACATCAAACCGTAGCCGAAGATCGGGGAGATCTAAGGAATTAGCGTGTCAGTCAACTAGACGCGAGAGCCAACCATTTTGCCAATCCATCGGGATATTCCAATCCGAGCTGCAGAACAGCCGCTAGGTGCGCAAGACTCACTTCAGACGCCGTGTCCTGTTGTCCAATCAATTACGCCACAGTCAGTGCTCAGCATCCTAAAATGGTTAATTGGGGACATCTGCATATGGACTCACCAATCCCAAAACGCTCGATCTGGGATGGTTAGTGAACAGCGGTAAGAACAGGGGTCATTTCACCGCACCCAAAGAACACTTTCACCAATAAATGGGCCATTGCACTGATGGACAAGCGGTCACGGGCCAGCATAGTGAATGTCGTCAGGAACCCTACAGTGCTCTAGTCAGACGCGCATTGCCTAGGGCCGCATCGCCACCTTACCAATATACAATACTACCACCACTGGGGAGAATCTGAAGAATGCTTTTGTCTGGACAGCCGTCGCAATCAGCCTTGCGCCTCAAAGACTACCAGGTCGAAACGTACCATCTCTTTCAATACCGGAATCTGTTGAAACCCGATTAGTTAGTTCTTTCCAGAATTAATGCCCCATGCAGGTTCCACTTACTAGACTGCCGAAGTATGAATTCAAGCTCACGAGCGAGCAGATCCTGTTCATCTCGTGTCAGCCCTGTGGCCCACCGACATAAACAAATGCAGGAGGAATCTTGCCTCGGTACAAGGAATAAAGCCTCTAGAGACAGAATGTCAAACGAGAGGTCAATGACTGCTGTGTCGCCCCTTGCAAGCCCAATGACTCCTGTGGCGGTCTCGTTAGTCGCTTTATTCACACACAGTGCCGAGAGACAAGAGCCGCAAGGCAGAATCGGGAAATTCGGGACTCACTAGTTATGACAAATGCGATACCAACCCCGATGATGCCCAAGTTCCAGAGACTCCAGAAATCCATTTGATAAAACACGACCCCAGCATCAACGATGCCACTTAGTTCGTCATATGCAAACGCGACAATCCACACATACATCACCGCCTCGAAGAGTCCGATGGCGTCTTGTCTTCGTTCTATGAGCACGGCATAGTAAAGAGCGAGAAAAGAGATGAAGAATACGGCTTCAAATATTTTGCGGTAAACCGGTACCCTCAGTCGTGAATATGGGTCTGCCGTTCTATCGAATGTATTCTTCGTGTCAGTGAACCCGCAACGCCACCCTACTCCGTGAATAGCCCTTACCTTGTATTGTATGTATGTGGCTTCTTAGTCGAATTGACTGTCAAGGAGTCCCAGAACACGATTTCCCCCTTCCATATACCATCGACTACCCTTTGAACGACCCGTTGGCTTAGAAATCTTTTTGCGTGGGCGATCGTTGCAATTTCCAGGGCATTGAGCCCAAAGAACTGAGAGTATCTTTGGATGGTGTATGGGAGGTCTTGTTGAGTTCGATTGGGCGAGGTCCCAGAATTGTCGGTGTCCGCATGCCCCGCGTTGCCGAAAAAACGATTGAAAGTAGACAAGTTGGGGAGGAGTGGTACGGTCTCACCTTCAGTATGACGTATCCCACTTTGCGGCGACACCAAGCCAGAAAAGCTCGCTTCAGCTTCATTGGTAGAGTTCCGTCGTGGCGACGGGAGCTCTTCTAACAAGAACTCAATTGTCTCGCGCTGATTTAGGTGACACAAAAACTGCCAGGCAACAAATTCACAAGCTGCGCCTCGGCTTTCGTTGAGTCCCCAATCATCTTCGGTGGCAGTCGTGAAGTCCCATTTCAAGATCCTGAGGTGGTTAGTATTTTGAGATTCATGCCTCGGGCGTTTGACTTACATCAAAGCCACGATGATAAAAGGATTGTGGCTGTCTTGGGCCAATACATGCACCAGTTGTCTTAGGCGGTGACCCTGAGGGCCATGCATCATTTGTTCAAATGTGTAGGCCATGTCCCCGACAGCCATTCTGATGAAGCTATACACTGGGTTAAACATATCTTGGCGCCAAGGAGCCAGGCTTACTTGAACAATTTGGGGATCACATCGAAAAGTGGCTCTTCTGTGCCAATGATTGGGATTTCAAAGCCCTCCATCTTCGCCTCTCCCGCTAGGAAAGTTGAGAGGTGATATCGGTGATGTCCTTGATGGAAGGGGCTGACGAGTCCGTCCCGCCACTACCGGGGGTGGAGAACTGTGTAAGTGGGTGATCAAATCAAAGCCAGCAGCTTTTGCAGATTAGTAGTCACCCCTAGGATTGAGGAAAGCAGCACCAGACCCAGATCCAATAATCAATACCTCTGCTTGTGATTGTGTGGCCCAGGTGGACGGGATCAAGACCGAGTTGTCACCAAACAGCTCGTGTTGTGACAGCGGCATGTGCACACAGAGTCTCACTCGAATAGTCGGAAGGGAGATCCAAGCAATCGCCAAGTCTGATGGTGCATTCGGATTCTTCTAATAAAAAAAAAAAAGAGATCAAATAACCGCACGTCAACAAATAGGCCCAACGTTGTCCTGCGGCCTGCTGACCGCCTTTGGCACGTGTCAACGCGTTTGACTTCATCGCAGTCCTCTCTCTTTCTCTCTTTCGCTTCACCTCCCTCTTTTTTTATCTTGCTGCTGCCTTCATACGAAACTAACATCCATGGTATCTCCAGTGGGGACATGAGGGTTAGTCGACATGGGACAAGGTTACTCCCTCACAACCCTGTCGGCGGGGTCGGCGGGGATTGATGCACCGGAGTTATCAGATCTGGTGTATGAAAGGTCCATGGGAGGTGGCAGGTTTATGAAGAGCATCCGAGCCAAGCAGCAAAATGGCTTGGTGTTTGTGAAGGTGATCATGAAGCCATTCCCCACCATGGAGCTTGGAGCATACATAAAGGCAATCACAAGTACGTCTCTCGTCTCATGCAATCTTTGATACCAGACCTCTGATAACATCATAAGAGGAGCGCAAGCTACTGGCAGATGTCCCCAACGCGTTGAGCTATCAAAGGATTCTTGAAACGGGTACAAGTGGGTACTTGGTACGCCAGTATATCCACAGCTCCCTTTATGACCGAATGAGGTATATCCGCGATCACCACCATTCTGCTATGGGAAATCCTGACACATGAACAGTACACGACCTTTTTTGGAGCATATTGAAAAGAAGTGGATTGCATTTCAACTCCTGTGTGCCCTACGTGACTGCCATGCAAAGGAGATATACCACGGGGACATCAAAACAGAGAACGTGCTAGTCACAGCCTGGAATTGGCTGTATCTCACTGATTTTTGCTCATCCTTCAAACCAACATTTCTACCAGAAGATAATCCCGCGGACTTTTCCTTTTTCTTCGATATCTCGGGGAGGCGAACATGTTACTTGGCCCCCGAGCGTTTCTCTGTTGCTGGCGAGGAATCTGGTGGAAGTGGTGTCAATTGGGCAATGGATATATTTGGCGCTGGCTGTGTTATCGCAGAACTCTTTCTTGAATCGCCGATCTTCAACCTGAGCCAAATGTACAAATATCGCAAAGGGGAATACAGCCCCGCGAACAGTCAGTTGGCGAAGATCGAAGACGCAGACATTCGAGATTTGATACTGCACATGATCCAGCTTGAGCCGGAATCCCGATACTCCGCAGTTGAATATCTCAACTTCTGGAAGGGCAAAGCATTTCCGGACTACTTCTACGGCTTTTTACACCAGTACATGTCTCTCATGACTGACCCTTCATCCGGTCGACCAGATGCCCAAGCAGACTCATGCACTAGAGAGGAGGCAGATGAACGGATTGAACGTATCTATCTGGACTTTGACAAGGTGTCATATTTCCTGGCCGCTAACCCCACTGGTGCTGGGGGCCCTCCCATGTACCCATCCCTAGATTGACTGATCACTCACTGCCCATGAGCCTTGATACGGCCAATGGCGAAATTGAAAAGTCGCCGGCACAATCGGACGAAGGTGCATTAATATTCTTGACACTTGTGGTTTCCAACCTGCGGAACACAGCTAAAGCATCGGCTCGAATCAAGGCTTGTGACATTCTTCTTGCATTTGCGGAAAAGCTGTCGGATGAGGCGAAATTGGACCGAGTGCTCCCATACGTCATGTTACTTATGAATGATCGCACTGATACTGTGAAGATCGCAGCTGTCCGCACCCTGACCGAGTTACTCAAAACGGTTGAAGTGGTTTCTCCAGTCAACGCCTATCTGTTCTCCGAGTATATCTTCCCCCGGCTTCAGCCATTCGTGACAACCTCTCACAGCACCCCAAGTGCGATGGTACGTGCAGCGTATGCTTCATGCATCGCTTCTCTGGCTCAATCATCCTTGCGTTTCCTGGATATGATCCAAGCATTGCGCTCTGATTCTCGTTTGGCTGCATTGCTACCGGTCGGCTTTGAGCCCCGATGGTCCGAGGATGCTACCTATCACAATCTCTATGACGTGGCCCGGGTTGACCTTTTGGACTACTTTGAGGTTCACACAAAGGCACTGTTGACCGACACAGACTCATCAGTTCGACGAGCCTTTTTGGGTTCCGTGTCGAGTCTTTGTGTTTTTTTCGGTAACCTGAAGGCAAACGAGGTCGTTCTAAGTCATTTGAACACCTATTTGAACGACCCGGACTGGATTCTGAAGTGTGCGTTTTTCGAGGCCGTGATAGGTGTCGCAACATACGTGGGAACCCTCAACCTGGAACTGTACATATTGCCGCTTATGGTTCAATCAATGACGGAGCCCGAAGAGTTTGTGGTTGAAAGAGTCATTCGCTCTCTAGCTGCCATGGCTGAGTTGGGGCTATTCCAGCGGTCGACTACATGGGATCTGCTCCATACCACCGCGGGGTTTCTAGTGCATCCAAACCTCTGGATTCGAGAGGCTGCGGTGAAGTTCGTGGTGAACTGCTCCAGATTCCTGTCAATGGCGGACCTCCACTCCATCCTAACCCCCATCATCCGCCCTTTTCTCAGGATCAAGATAGTTGATTTCTCAGAGCCGAAGCTTCTTGGTGCACTCAAACGACCGATCTCAAGGAATATTTATGAAATGGCATTCATTTGGGCTTCGAAAAGTGACAGGGGCATTTTCTGGAGATCCCCAGGTCGTGATGGCATGTTCAGCTTATCCGAGCCTGGGACATCCAGTCCTCGTGTCGGACAGCGCAATTCTTCACTGACCATGGCTGTTCAACCAAGAAATGAGGAGGATGAACAATGGTTGAACCGTCTAAAAAACCTGGGAATGACCTCTGAGGACGAGTTAAAGTTGCTCGCGCTTAAAGATTACATTTCGAGGGTCTCCGTACGACAGTCCAGGGACACTGAAGGCCAAGCCTCTCCTCCATTAAACGATATTGTCAGTCTAACCCAGCATGGGATCAAACCCCAGACAGTGTTTTTTGACAAAGAACTTCGGGATCAACCACGGAGAGTCTCGCTGGATGGGCATGATGGCAACCCTACGGACGATACAAGACCAAGAACCATTGCAGATGCTTTGCTCGATGCGTCCGCCACTATCGAGCGAGCCCCCAGTTTTCATCGAAAACACTTGCGTTCGAAGAGCCAGGCGTTCAGAGACCATAGGCGGACTTCGGGCGTCCCGATTTTGGATGGCAATGATTCATCCCCCCTCTCATCATCACCACTAGCGTCATCCCCAGCGACCAGACCGGGATCTCGCGCATTGTCACCTCCAAGTTCAGATAATGCCCCCAGAAAATCCACCCGTGGGAGTAGTCCCGGCCAAGATGGATCATTGACACCAACCAACGCAGAGATAACGAGTCTAGTCGACCGTGTTCACAAAAAGCCTAGTGCCATAAATCTACTCAACGGCAAAGACACTGGCAAAGCTTATGCGGAAACCGGCACAAGCTCCGCCAATGCCTTTGGGAAAGTCGATGCGCCCCTTCAAAGAGGCGGAGTCTCTCAACCTCCTAATTTCACGTTCCCAGAGCGAACCCCTACGACAATCTCGCAGAAGTACAGAGCCCACCATTCATACACAGGAAATGATCCCGCTGTTTTGCGACTGCTGGACAATGTTTTTGAGGAGAACTACCCTACAGACCTATTCGACCTTGGCCCATATGTACGGGAAATTGATACCCGTCAACCGATTCGTGCCCCTACAGACCAAGAGTCGAACAAGGTATGGAGACCTGAAGGGAATCTGGTTGCCACTTATGGTGAGCACAGTGCACCAATCAACCGTGTAGCAGTTGCGCCTGATCACTCCTTCTTTATCACCGCATCCGATGATGGTACCGTGAAGGTTTGGGACACCACTCGCCTGGAAAAGAACCTGAGTCCTCGGTCTCGTCAGACCCATCGTCATGCGTCCGGATCGCGGGTGAAGGCCTTGACCTTTGTGGAGAACACATATACTTTCATCAGTGCGGCTACCGATGGCAGTATTCAGGCTGTTAAGGTGGATTATCAAAAGGTCAGCCAGACAGCTTTCCGGTATGGTAAACTTCAAGTTGTTCGTGAGTACCAACTCCCCGTCGCTCGTGATGGAACCCCGGAGCACGCGGTCTGGCTAGAACACTTCCGCGATGAAGGTCAGTCCACTTTGATCATTGCAACCAACACTTCTCGCATCCTTGCATTGGACATGAAAACCATGCTTCCAATCTACAACTTGGAAAATCCTGTCCACCATGGAGCCATAACTACATTTTGCTGCGATCGAAGACATCATTGGCTACTAGTCGGCACCACACACGGAATTCTCGATCTCTGGGATCTGCGGTTCCGTGTGCGACTGAAAGCATGGGGACTTCCAGGCTGGGGTGCCGTCAATCGCATACAGCTACACCCGGTCAAGGCGCGTGGGCGCTGGGTCTGTGTCTCCAGCAGTGGCAGTCACGGCAATGAGATAACTGTTTGGGACATTGAGAAATTCCGCTGTCGCGAAGTATACCAAGCAACCCCATTGGGCGTCGCCAACAATGCATCCGGCACGGTCCACCCGTCTCGCGCTACGTCCCACCCAGCCCATATTGTTCCCGGTGACTATGAAGCATGCCGCGTCGATGGTGATAAACCGGAAGGTATGCTGAGCCGATTTGCTTCGCGCGGCACCGAGGGCACATCCTCCAATCAGGCTGGTGATCGGCTCGGCATCTGGACTTTTGCCGTTGGTCTCAATGCCCCCGACGAAGACAAGGACTCAAGCACCAAGTTCGGGTACATAATATCCGCGGGATGTGATCGTAAGATCCGGTTCTGGGATCTCGCTCGGCCAGATCTCTCTTCAATAGTGAGTGGCTTGGACGTTGTGTCAGATGGAAGCGTTGGTGTGAAGCCGTACTACGAACAGTCTCAACCCAGCCCCAATCTTTTGGTGACTACCGAGCGCCTCCCTACATCGTCTGGCGGTGGAAACTCGAGAGATGCCAGGAAAGGGGCCAGTCGACCACCACGAAGTACAGTGATCAGTCTGCAGCAGCAGATGCTCCTGAAAAGTCACCTGGACGTTGTTCAGGATGTGGCAGTTTTGCGTGTGCCATATGGTATGATTATCAGCGTGGATCGAGCGGGCATGGTCTACATATTCTCGTAGACTGGAAATCAAATGCATTTCCCGATCCATATCAAATCAACACATCATTTGTTCCCAAAGTCAGACTCCGTCGGGGTGACTTTTAACAGCATTTTTCCCACAAACGTCGCTGTAATATACCTTGATGCCATCAAACTCTGTCTAACTCGAGCTTTCAGCTCCACGCTTCCGCGTCTTTTGGGCTCTTCCCAGAATAATCGTACTCAAATCGCCGACAGGAAGGGCGACCGGGAAATCTACCGCGTCAAGAATCTGGGCAATGAATATATGCCAAATTGGTATGCAGAGGGCGAAGTTGAAGGCACCCGCAGCCTGTTGGATCTAATTTCAGCTGACATCCTTCAGACCCGGTCCACGGGTGGTGTCACGTACCTTTTGAAGCTTGGCAGCCAGAATCAAATTACCTGCTGCCGTCTGGAAGTATGTTCCCGCAAAGAGCCCAAAGGTGATCACAAGGAGAAACAGCGCAAGGAAGAGGCACACGTTCGTCCGAATCGAACATATGAGGTAGATGAAGGTAAGAAGAGCGAGAGACACATAATAAAACCCTGTGGGGCAACGTCAACCATCCCGATAGCAGACAGTGAATTCGAGCGGCTTACCGATCGTCGCACTGTACTCGGGAGTCTGCATGCCTTCCAAGGTGTTGCCGGTGGGCGAGTACATTGTGCCAACGGCAAAGAACGGCATCAGTGACGTGCCCTGGACTAGCCAAAAAGTGCCTGTAGAGATTGCGATCAGAATGAGCCCGCTTTCGGGCGAAGGAACATACCATAAGTGAAGAATAACGCGCAAGAAAATGTGTTCCCCAAGATCCATTCGCCAATGGCGCCCAAGATTTGAACCATGGCACCGAAGAATATATACACTGGGCTAGCAAAAGACTCAGTACCTATCAGGCGGAGATCCGATATTTGTGTACCTACATTATGGCACCACCATTACCTCCCGCTCCTCTCCATCCCATGGTCAGCATCGCAGTGGGGGTCGCCGCCAGTAAAAATCCCATCAGGCATATGGGAGTGGGATTTCCGAAAGTCGAGCGAAGTTTGCTAGCATTTGGTGTCTTTGGGTTGAGGTAGAGCTTTTCGAAGACATCGCGAGGAATGGGAAGGAGTACGCTCTCAGCCGTCTGGTAGCGACGAAGTGTCTCCGGTGCCTGTTTCTCACTGACATTATCGTCTGACATTGTTCAAGTCCGCTCCTCCAGCGTGCCACCCAAGGAAAGATATGGCTTTTTAACTCGAGATTGATTCGGATTCAGCCCCATGCGATATTTTATACTCTTTGGAGACTCCTATACTCCTATCGTGTCATTGTCTTACCGACCTTCTTGTTTCGATCGGTCCTCCGAATCCACACTCACCGATCCCCGGATTTCCCCCACAAAGCTTCAAGTTTCTCAGACCCTCAGACCCCAACGCCAAGGGATACTGTCGCTTCCGACCCACTTGGGGTTACCTGACAGGCGCATTAGGACAAAGATTGCCCAGTTCATTTCCGACGAGGAGTCTGCCGTGCGGGGAGCCATCTCTTCTCCCAGGGCCGAGGGAACTCGGGGTTGCAGATTGGGAGGCCTCGAAGAATAGTGAGGCATTGCTGAAGGCTTGTCTGGCTCAAGGCGCCTTGGCTTCAATGCGATGCCGTCTGCCTCGGTACGCTGGTGGGATGTGCTGAGCACGAATGACGTCACCTGAACATCGGAGTTGGTCCGCGTTGGCCCGGGCAGTGCGCCGAAGTACACGCACTCCGTCCCTGAAGCCCTAGAGGAAGAAGAAGGAAAATTGCAGGGTCGTTTGCTATTTTTTCGCAAAACATTTTCGATGCGACCGAGCTATTTCTTCTACTTTACATGTTGATTTTGGACATGGCATTTGAAACGTTTCAGGAGCTTGAGCTCGAGTCCATCTGATTCGTCTATCAACTGGTGAAGCATCAGAATTGACTGAGCAATTTATAGCGCTCTGATCACAGCAGCAAGATCACGCATATCCTCCAAGAATGCATCAAACTCAGATCTGACCTGCTCCATGTTCTCGTCAACATCATCAGTCCAGCGATGAACATACACCGTTCTCAATCCGCAGTCCCTCGCGCCCCGCAAATCGTACGCATGTGCCGCAACTAACACCACCTCTTCTGGTCGAAGCTTGACTAGCTCCAATCCTTTCTCATAAGCTTCCCGATTGGGTTTATAGGCCCCCAACAGCTGGCTTGAGAACATCATGTTGAACTTTAGACCCGATGAACGCGTCAGGTCTAATTGTAGCCGGGTGGTCCCGTTCGCATGAACAAAGACCTCCAGGCCAAGATTCTCCTGTAGACTTTGAATGGCTTTGGATACTTCTGGCCATGCCCTTTGTTTGTGCCAGGCCTGAATGACCTGCAATTTAGTTCGATCGTCAAAATGGGGCGATACGTCGGGGAGCCGTGCGAGAACAAGACCCAAGCTGCGGGCAAGAGTAATGTCGATGTCCTCCACATTCAGTCTTTGGCTCACACGGTTGCTGTTTTCAATAAAGTACTGCCGGCGCCATTCAAGCGCGAGCTTGGATGCCTCAGGTGGAGGGATGGCAGAAGGCAAGGCCTGGACCACGCTGCTATGCCAATCTAAACACGTCCCCATGAAATCAAAAAAGACAGCTTTGATGGTTGGCTTGGCCATATCTTTTGGTATAGATGAGCCTTGAGCCTTGAACTTGAACATCTGAATACTTCCAAGGATCGAAGGTTGGCTTTCAAACGTCTCGACTTAAATGTAATATGGAATAGGTTGATAGGAGTCGGGTGCGGAGTTCCGAGGCTGTGATTTCAAATCAACATATACAAGCCTCCAAGGCTCAGTGCCGCGCTCATGCGCGGCCAAAAGACGTTAAGAGTTGCTTATAAGCAGGAGTAAGTATGCATTTGCTTAATCTGCAAGGCTCTCCTGGGGCCATCGCGATCTCTTGTATTCAAATCAGAATTAACCAAGTTGCGATACTTTAATTGGTAACGGAAGAGAGGGGCTAGTTATCATCGAGTTGAGGAGTATCCTTAGCTTGACTGTCTTTTTTACTGTCTTTCTAGCTATCCTTCCGACTATTGACTACCTATTGAAACTTGCTTTTTTATTGAGCACCATCGTCGAGTAATTAGGATTGGTTGAGTAAAGAAAGTCTTGGTTAAGCCGTGAGCAGAGTATGTGGGGATAAGTGAACATGGCCAGGCTCAACCTGGGAAACTCGAAAGGTCTTCCAGCCTTCCAATATTGTTTTTTCTTTTGTCGGTTCTAATTTATATTTTAAGCATCTTACTGTGAATTTACTTTATCCTCCCAAGTTGTTTTTTTGAAATCAATAGACTGAACAACTCCCCCAGAATCAAAATCACCTGCGCAATCAATCAAAGAAGCGTATATTTGGGAGCTTGACTGAGAGGGGGACAGTACGGAGTCAGCTAGGTATCAGTGAAGAGAAAAAGTATGCCAAGCAACCTTGGGGATCAAGTGCACCACCTGGGCAATCTTAGATCATGAGAAGAATCTAGAGTATAGGGTATGGGTAACTAGAGGCTGGCTACCCTTTGTGTCCTTCAAAACCTTGGAACTACCTACCATGTAGCTGTTCGCCGTGTCTGAACATCAAGTAATTCAAGACTAGATAGACTAGGAATCTCCATCACCGGTCAATACAAAACCATCTCTGGAACTTTGGGCTGGTAGTACCAACCAGAAATCAGACCACAGATTCCCGGCGAAAGATGAATTGCCGATTGATAAATCTCCTGCCTGCATTGAATTGTTTGACGTACCAATCCATCATCTTGTCCGCGGCGTCAAAGACCATTTCGTCGTCCCTGAGGTCCCCTTCGACACGCAGTGATATACAGTGCGTGTTTTGCTGATGCCTGGGCTCTGGATCGATTGTAGCCTGCCGGTTGTAGATGCGGAATGTCATTAGTCGAAGCAGGGCTGGGGTTGTGAGCTTGGCTTCCTGAGTATCAAACCAAATCGTCACCCAGTAAACATCCCGGCCATTAGGCCGATCTGGAACAGGCCCTACGGGGTCCGTAAAGGCTCCTGGGTGGAATTCCATGGTTTATTAAGTTATTCTGATCAACTGAGTCTGACAAGAGGTTGCTGGCTTGATGTCAATAGTGTGCTGGTCCCAAGAAACCATGCGTATAGGGATGCTTAAGTAGTGTAAGCACTTGATTATGATCTAAAATGAGTGTTCCAAATGTGAAATGAAATCGAAGTTACCAAAGGGAACAAAGCCAATGCTTTGAATGGGCTGTGATCCACAACTTCATAGTCTCCATATCTCGATCAAAGAGTACGCTCCATGCAACTTCCAAGCGTTAACTATCTTACATTAATGTCATTTCCATTGTGTTCGCTCTCAAAGCTCCCCAAATGAGTCGAATGGGGCGGTGTGAACAGACTTGACCAATCTCTTTAGCATGAGTGGCTTGTCTCTTTGTGGCTTTCAAAGGTTGAAGTGCTGTTGTGCTGAAAGTCTGCTGCTATATATAAGCTTAATAAATCCAACTAAAATATCCATCTGTGAATAATTTATTGTAATGGAAAACAAAAGGATGTACCTGTGTCATTTTTGTCTACTGTCTTTTACTGAGGTTTCATTATTTCCAAGGTTCCAAGGTTGTTCCCGAGGTCTCTGCTAACCCTCCTCACCAAGCAAAGACTCCACAAAGGTGATAGGATCAGCGAGAGCGCTTCCAATGTTCAATTGGTGAGAATTTCAATATCGTCATTTCGTCCTCTTCTTCTTCTTGAATTTCTGTCAATTTCACGACGAAATGCCAGTTCCTCTTCAATCTCCCGGGGTCCAAACTTGATGTAAAGTGCCTAAGCGGGAATGAACCCAGGTGCCCTGAAATGCATTGTATATAGCATATGTCACAGTTGTTGAGTGAAGTTTCTTGGGGTGAAGGTAATCCTAGAGCAGGGTATTTAATTCTGGTGCCCAATCAAGGGTCACAAAGGCCAGGGGTCTGAACTGGGCGATCAAGGGTATCAAGTGATTATATTCGCTGAAAACGCTGCAATTTCCAAAAGGGGACAGTTAATCACAACATATCGTGGTCTCTTCCAATTTTCGGTCTGGCACGTCATCGATGCCCACCGTGACGACCATCCAATCGCACAGGAACTTGCCCAGCCCCGCACCGATGAAGATGCAGATAATCACATATACGTTGAAGTACATGGCCAACAACATCGTGATGTAGGCGCCGGCAAAGGTCACCGCATGAATGATGGCGCGCGTCAACTGTTGGAGGGGTGTTGCGCGAAACGTCACGGCGGAGCGTGTTTCGCCCCATTTCTTGGCGAAGGTGCCGTGCGCGGCTTGGCGTTGGAATTGGCGGGTCAGGAAATTGTCGTACTCCCGACCGATGCGCCGACAGAATTCCACCAACACCACCAGCAGCACAGTGCCGATGCAGGTGGCAGCGAACATGCCATTGTTTTTGATCTGCCACCCGGTGGACAGGAAACAGGCGTCGATGGTGTTGAAGTTGAAGAGCATCTGATTTTGGATGAGCATGGCCGTTTTAGGGAGTTCCGTCTTGGCACTTACCGAGATTTGACACTCGCTGTCGCTTCCCATGTCCATGTCCATGCCCTGCATGGTCAAGGGGATTGTCTGCACTGCGGTGCAAAGTGTGGTGAGAGATGGGGCTGTACACTTGTACAGTTGTGATGTCCAACGAGGGGGATGCGATCTTTATAAACGACCAGGTCCATCGCACCTTCCAGAGTGGAGCAGATCCGATGAAACGAGAAAATGTGCTCAAATCGACGCAAATCGACTCGGCCAATTTGGGTCCAAATGCCCTCATTTCTTCTCTCGCCAACTTGGCCAACTTGGTGGTTATAACATCAATTGTCCCCTCTTCTTCTCTCACACACTTTCACCTCTCTCACCATTCACATTGTCGTCACGTCGCATTCCCTTGAACCATATTCAAAAGATGAATATGAGGTGAAAAGCACACGTCAACTTTGCTCGACTGTTGCTATACTCAAAAACCCCCACTCTGGTCACCGGCCAACAACGACATCATGTTTTCCAAACTGGATGCTCGTCACATCCAGAACATGAGTGCGGCCACGGCGATCGAGCCTCACTGGGGATATGCCGATCGCGCCGTCCCGTGTACCAATGATGCCGGCTCATGTGCGTATTTGGACGATGTCTACGCATCGCACGATCGGGGAATGCTCTACTCGGGCATCATGTGGTGTGCGATCGGTGCCATTTTGCTGCTGTGGGCTGTGCTCAACCAATTCCACGCGCCCACGATGTCCCCCACACTGGCCCCCGCAGAATCAGCAGGTCTGGCTAGAGCTCGTCGTGCCGTGGTATCACTCACCCGGAAGTATCTCCTACCGGATGCAGCTCGTCTGATCTTCGGTCGCACGACTCGCCTGCAAGTCTTCACCCTCGCTGTACTGATGGGATACCTCCTGGTCTTCAGCTTCGTCGGTATCGTCTACCATACCTGGGTGACCCCCGTTTCCGACATGCCCGGGGTGTATAACACGCGCGACAGCATTGGTCCCTGGTCGGACCGCGTTGGGACCTTGGCCTACGCCCTCACACCGCTCTCCGTGTTGCTGAGCAGCCGGGAGTCCTTTCTCTCCGTCATCACCGGTTTGCCATACCAGAGTTTCAACTTTCTTCACCGCTGGCTCGGTTATATTATCTTCGTGCAGAGCTCCCTGCACACCATTGGATGGTGCGTGGTGGAGCTGCGACTATACCAGCCACAACCAACTGTTGGAATCGAGTGGGTGACGCAGACCTACATCGTCTGGGGGATCGTCGCGATGATTCTCCTACTGCTTCTGTTCGGATTGAGCACTCCGTGGGGCATTCGCCTCACAGGCTACGAGACCTTCCGTAAACTACACTACGTCCTCGCGATGGTCTACATTGGCGCCTGTTGGGCACATTGGAAAGCTCTCAAGTGCTTCATGTGGCCTTCCTTGATTTTTTGGTTTCTTGATCGCGGCGCGCGGCTGGTCCGCACCGCACTTTTGCACCACCACCCAGACCACGCCGGTGGTGGTCTCAGCTTCAAACCGGCTGAGGCGACTATCACTCGCTTCCCAGATGCCGATCATGGCGATGTCCTTCGCCTCGAGTTGGAGAACAACCAGGACCCTTGGGCGATTGGTCAACATTATTACCTTTGCTTCACCAAATCCAGCGTTTGGCAGTCACATCCATTCACGCCGCTCAACCTGCCAATCGTTTCAAATGGCACCGTGAGACATTCCTACCTACTGCGGGCTAAGGGCGGTGAAACCAAAAAGGTTGCTGCCCTTGCCGCCGACTCCAAATCCACCCCAATCATCATGACCGGCGCATACGGCGAGTCAATCACAACCCATCTCACCCCCTCCACCAACATTTTGTGCATCGCTGGTGGAACCGGAATAACCTATGTTCTGCCTGTTCTTCTTGGGCTCGCTCATCAGCAACCTTCTCCCGATCGCAAGGTCGAGCTGATCTGGGCGATCCGCCATACCGCCAACACGGAGTGGATCGAAGCGGAGCTTGACCTCCTCCAGAAGGCGCGCAACAGACTCAACCTGGAGGTCCGAATTTTCGCTACTCGAGATGCAACAAGCAATGCCCCCTCGGAGGTCTCCCTTGAGAACTGCAATTTGACGGTCCCCAAGATCGAAGAGAAAGTGCAGGTTGCATCTGGAGCTTCGTGCTGTGGCTGTGACAAGCCCACCTCAGTCGAGCGGCTCGGAGGGTCGGAGGATATCTCGCGGCATCCGGATCTGCCCCAACTAGTTGGTTCATTCTTATCAGAGACTGTCCGCGGACCGACAAGTGTCTTCGCCAGTGGACCTGGGGGGATGATCAGCGATCTTAGATCTATCGTCGCATCTTGTAATGACGGCACTAAAGTGTGGAAAGGACAAGACATATTCGACGTAAGACTAGTTTGTGATGATCGATTAGAGTGGTGAGCGTTGCATACTGTATTTTCAGCGACATAGCGTTGGTTTGATGTATATAGTAATGACCATGGAGTGTTGAACACCCCCTTATTCCCTTCAATGTTGCCCAGGTGATAAGTTGTATCTACAACCTTGGAACGTGTGGTACGCGTGGCACCCCATCGTGCACAATGAGTTTCAAGCAGTTGAAACATCGCAACTTTAGACCACCGCTTAAGTGACGGGAAGTTCGAGTTCTGTTGTTTTCGTCGATTTCATTGTGGCGACCTTGCACTCTAGCGTTCGGCGAATACCATCTCTTCAATGAGAAGGCACAGGACATGACAATGCAACCCAGTCAACCCATTTAGGCTCCGATGCCGAGCCGAAACAATCGATCGCGGCGGGGTCTGGCGATCACTTTGAAGATTCCGCGGGTATTCCGAAGATCCCGAAGATTCCGTGAAGATCTCCCTTGATTCTCCAATCAACTCTCTGCGGCACACATTGGCTCACAGTTGTGACCTTTCCGATCCGATTCGCTGCAAAACCCAGAATTCAATTTGTGACCAACACGGGAATCCTTCTCGGGCCGTTTTGATGATAGTTATGGATCTACCGGTGACTTCACAATCTTCCTATGACTGCTGCGACAGAGCAGAGAGCCGATTTATCCGAGATCTATTGGGAGGTCTGCGCACAGAGTAACGATCGTCGAAACATTGAAGACATATAAAGGAGCCCGCTTCACGTTCATTTGGGACAAACCCGTTCCACACAGCAGATATGGTCGCTCCCTGTAGCCGGAAGGTCGCCTTCGTGACGGGGGCAAATGGTATCAGTGGATTCAACATAATCGAACATCTCGTACGCCAACCGAAAGAAGAATGGTGCGTGACTGCTTTGCAATTACCGCGTATCTCCCTTTTCATTGACTGAATTTCTCCAGGAGCAAGATTGTTGTGACCTCTAGACGGCCCCTTCCCAACGCATGGATTGACCCTCGGGTCAGATTCGTGGCCGTTGACTTCCTCGACTCTGTGGACCAGATTAATGCCGCGTTGAAGGATGTTTGCAATGATGTCACACATGCATTTTTCACGTCGTACGTTCACAGTGATGATTTCCTCCTTTTGCGGGAGAAGAATGTCCCCCTATTTCGCAATTTTCTAGACTCGGTCGACACCGTGTGCCCCAAACTTCGCCGCGTGTGTCTTCAGACTGGCGGCAAAGTGCGTCTATCCCCCATTAACCCCGACTCGAATGATGCTAAGTTTCATTCAGCATTATGGTGTTCACCTAGGTCCGGTCAAGGTACCACTCGAAGAATCTTTTCCTCGCTATGATGACAAGGGATTCAACTTCTACTACAACCAGGAGGATTATCTGCGAGAAGTGCAGGCACGCCGAAACACCTGGACTTGGAATGTGATTCGGCCAAATGCGATAAACGGGTTCGCCCCTCACGGTAAGTCCAAGCTTGAGTCAAGCTTCGCCATGTGTAAATTTGGCACTAATGTCGCTGCCAGCGAACGGCATGTCGGAAGTCCTGACCATTGCCATATATATGTTGATTTGCCGTGAAATGGGAGAACCCGCCCACTTCCCTGGAAACGAGTACTTCTGGAATTCCATCGACGATAACTGCTACGCACCCAGTCTCGCAGATCTTTCTGTCTGGGCTGCTTCGCAAGAACACTGCCAGGACGAAGCATTCAACCACGTGAACGGGGATGTCTTTGTGTGGAGATACATTTGGCAAGACTTTGCGGCATACTTCGGTCTTGACGTGCCGGAGCCGAATTTTCAAAAAGCAGCTGGTCAGGCTGACACCCTGGCCAATGAGATCAACATGGTCGAGTGGGTCAAGGACAAACGTGAGATCTGGGAGCAGGTCGTTGCCAAATACGGTGGCAAGATCGATGCCTTTGATTGGGGCACCTGGGGGTTTTTCAATTGGGCTACCGGAAAGTCTTGGTTGACAATCTCCTCGGTGAACAAAGCCCGCGAGTTTGGCTGGACCCGTAACGATAACACGTTACAAACCTGGATTGATACCTACCGATCATTCGAAAATGCCGGTGTTATGCCTTCACTTGCTCTTGTGAACAGTCAGTAGGTAGCTTCCAAGGTTGTTACCAACGTTGTATATACAGAGAGTATGGTGGCCTAGACAATGAATTCAGCTACCAATTGAGAAGATTCCGGGATTTTCAAGGGTTCAAGAACGTGACAGGGTATCTTTTCTTCCAAAAGCCCTCCACACAGCGCAGTTTTATCCATGGGCTGTGACATCGGGAACACCCGTGAAACTAGTTGATGCCCAGGTGTCTTGGTGATGCTTTGCTTTTTTTCATTCCAGGACTGTGACGGTCCAATCGGATGTCAGGGGACAGACTCCACTTGGTCGCGACATTCGGTCTAGTTCACCTTGAACACACTGTTAGAGTCGTTGGTTTATTGGTCCTCGGCTTTGATGGCGTGTCAATTGGCGTGGAGAGTTCTAGAATGATAGTGGGTCTTCCTTATTGTAGCTAGACAGTGACTGTCCGCACAGAATATATATACACCGCTAGTTTCTGCTAGCACAGGGTTCCCCCTTAAGTGTCACTTCATGACCCATTGACGCCAGCTCAATTTATTCCGGAAAAAAGAAACGTCAAAACTGCTTCAGTGTGTACCTAGGTACAGAGAGAAATCTGCGCGAGCATCAAATTCTACGACTTTGGAATATGCAAAAGCAAGACAATCATCCTGACAATCGGTGGTTTCCCTACGTGAATCAATTTCGCTTCAATGTCTCCTGACGATGTCTACAAGATTGAGGAACTTCCCTTTGATGAACGAATCTTGGTTGGAAGTAAACACCGTATCAGCTTCTATCGGGTTACGCGAGCAGCCATTTGGATTGCCTTGCTCTACCTTACTGCTCGGCTTTATTTCTTGCTAACCAGTCCCGAGCCAACATGGAGGATGTGGACGATGTTTGTCATTGAGTGCTTGTTCTCTCGTGGGTGCCTTTTCTTGTGAGCAGTGCGGTCGCTGATAGTTATGCAGATATGTCTTATCAGCATCAAGCTTTGTCACTGTCAGCAACAGCATCCCCTTCGCATCTCCCACGAAAGCGTCTGAGGTTGCGTAACAGCCATGTTCTTCCCACGGTCGATGTTCTGATCACATGCTGCGGAGAATCACCAGACATCATCTTAAGCACGGTTGTTGCGGCTTGTTTGCTAGACTACCCGACTTCGCATTTTCGAGTCCGAGTCCTTGATGATGGCGCGTCGACTGAACTCCGTGACGAAATTTTGAAACTTTCCGTGAAATGGAACCACTTGACTTACCACACTCGCGGAAAACAGTCGAATCAATCTTTTGCCAAAGCAGGGAATTTGAACTATGCCCTTTTCTCATTGCAAACTGAGGATCCACCAGAATTTTGTACAGTGGTAGACGCGGATTCAATTCTGCTACCACATTTCCTACGCGCAACATTACCTCATCTGCTAGAAGACCCCCAAGCTGCATTGCTCACCACTCGTCAGTACTTTGATAACCTGCCCCGAGGCGATCCACTTTCTCAATCCCGCTCCTATTTCTACAATTGTGAAAACACCGAGCTTGATTTGATCGGACATGCAGTTGACGCTGGATCTGGAGCCGTGTTTCGACGCGATGCCATTTTAGAAGCAGGGGGCTATCCAACATTCTCCTTTTCGGAAGACTGGCAACTTTCGCTCATCCTACGAGGTATGAAGAAGCGCACTGTGCAGGTGCAAGAAGTGTTGCAATTTGGCCTGGTTCCTACCTCGTTGGCAGCACATGTCAAACAGCGCAATAGATGGCACATTGGTCATTCTCAACAAATATCTTTGTTGTTTTCCCCATCGGAGAACCCCGTCCCAAAAGATCTGCGCTGGGATATTGCTGCCGGAGGTTTGTCTATAATGACAGGACTAGCGATATACGTCATTGGCTTCTTGGCTGTCCCCGTTCTTTTATCGTTCAACAACGGCGGATTCATTCCGAGTCAATCCTCCTTCGAGGTCAAACTTCAATATGTGTTGGCTAGTCTGCATGTATCATTCACATGGACATATAATTGGTCGAGGAGCAAACATGCTGGTGTTCCTTTCGTTCCTTTCGCACATACAGAGAACAGCTGGCTTGCTGCTGGTAAGTCCTTTCCCTTTCTCTTTCCTACTTTCGGCCCAAAGGAAAGGAGCTCTTACTTACCTCGGCTACTGAACACGTCTCTAGCGCATTTATATGCTGTCATCCAGTTCCACTCATTTGGGAGCAAACCAAAAGGCTCTTTCGTGACGGGAAGTGCGGCCAATCGAAGTGAAGATACACAGCCCGTGAGCTTGGCTGCAAGGTCATACCAAGATGTACTAGCAAATGGGCTTTGGTTGAACTTGTGCTTGTTCATTGCAATATGGGCCCGTATACTTATTGCCATCCAGCTGTTGTCATGTTCTCATGGTGATGTTACTGGCCGACTTCTCGAAACAATGGTTACCACTATTTTTTGGCCACCGTTCTTGATATTGATGTTGTCTGCAATATCCAACAACTGGGTACCAATTCAATATCTTTTAACAACTCCAGTCTACCATGCACGATCTTCTCCTTTGATTGCCGTTGAGGACAGGGTATCGTCCATGAAAGAGACTATTCCACCGTTGGGCTGCGAGCCTTCTATCGTTGGTCGAGCATGTGCCGTCGGGCTTCCCGTGATTATTATTGGACTCGCTGCCGCAATGCTTGCATTGTAATCGACCAAGTTGAGGGTAATGGCAAAAAAAAAAGAAATTGTCGAAATTGATTGCAACAATCTCCGACAAAGTATGGTTCATCATTCATATGCTCAATCTAGCATCGTTCGGTTTTATGAATTATGTGTTTCGAATATTGTTCCGACCTTAGCAGCACTTTTGCATGAAACACCCAAGCCAATGAATGTATCTCTACTTTAGCTCAAGGCGGACAGGTTGATGGATGTGAGTTTGTGTTTAGGTGTCCTCAGCTATTCTGTCAGATCATCGCGAGCGTTGCCTACTTGTTCTTTTATTTTCTCGTGCTGCTTTGGATTTATCCACCAATTAGGTTAAGAGCGGTGCACATATGCGTGTTTTACTAGGTTGTCGAGAAAGCAGCGGAGCCCAAATTTGCCAGCTGAGATTTGGCGCTCGAGCGCTGTTGGATGGGGTTCATCGTTCGTTGTAGACAAGAACTTCTTATTTTTTTCATTCCGTCCTGTTTTTCAAATCGAAATAGATTGAATCATCGTAAAAACTTTGCTACGTGCGATATTTTCCAGCGCTATCGGTATTCTAGGCGCCCACGCGGGGGAACTTGGTAGACCATTACGCCATTTTTAGCCCGCATCCAGCAGGGAGAATAACCCAGTTGAGATATCCAAAAGGCGAGAGGGGTCATACTGTCATTGCGGGGCTTTTCGCCATGCAAGAAGAGATCGAGTCATCACACAAGGCTCGAAAGGAGCAGGAGAGCAACCAACAAGCACAACTTCGATCAACATGAATTTGCTGGTCAATGTGAGAAGGTCGAAAAATCGGACTCTTACCAACGGCGTTTAAACAAACTAAATGAGCAATCAAAGAAGATGCTATCAGGAGCTTAGGTAGGTGGTTCAGCAGCCGCCCATAGCCGCCGTTGGGAACGCATAGCTTGTTGTACATACCCTCGAGGGCTATTGGCTAGGCCTCTCCATTTGATTGGAGTGGACCCGAATCTGCCCAGGGGGAAGCGCGCCCATGTCTGAGGTTGGCATAGTCCTATTCAACAAATATGTACGAAGTACGTATCAAATATTCCAAAATTAGACTCTGTTCTCTTCTTCGCTCGCAATAAAAGAAATCAGGTTTCTGTTCATCCCTGAACACCCGCTTCAACCTTGGAACACAAGAACAATCTGTCCATATTCGTCGAGATCTTCCTCTATCAGGGCCTTCGACAGCTTCTACGGGTATTTTCCCAACACATCGACAAATACATCGTCTGGCTTTAGCCATATACTCCAATGGATGAGTCACTGGCTTGTGCTGTGTGGCTTTCTTTATCCGCGACGCTAATTGGAACTGGCTTAATTGCAAGTCAACTGAAAATCTTTGACGATCTAAAAGATCCTTTCTCTTCGCTACGAGGAAGTCAGCATTTAGGCGCCTGGTCGAGCCGACAGCCTCGGATCCCATGGTACTGTGTTATTAAACCACCGCCTGTAGGGCCTGCCATTAGTGCGAACCTGTCAGGAGGCTTTTGTGGGAGGAACCTGGTTTGCCTTAGCCGGATGCATCTATCATATAAAGTTGGCCAGGCTTCTTGGGCAGTGTTACTTGCAGTCATTCACCCGACCGCCCATATTAGTTGTGACAAGCACATGCCGTCCGCGATTCACTCAACGTACACAACAGTCGACTTTGGCGATTCAGAGTCCATAAACAGCGATTCATTGGAGGAGTTCTCTAGCGATCGCTGGTCCACCTTGCCACTTCGCCCCCTTTCGAAACACAAGTCGGCGGCTGTTACCAAAATTACATACTCGACTTTCATAACATTAATATGTCTGACCGATTCGCGACTAAATTCTGGCTACTCAGATGCTTCTGGGCACCGAGCTTCGTGGTCATCGTACTGCGGAAAATGGCTTCTGGAATGGCGTATTGGACAACCCGGATTTTTACAATTTCATGCGCATGACTCCCGCACGCTATCAGAAATCCCTTACCCGGCGACAGCTGAGCAGCGAGTTGATAAATGTTTGAAAATGATGGGTGGGATTGTTGAAATTGGTACATCGAAAGGATTTAAATGTGGTTTTCCTGAACGTCAACCACCCGGCAAATGGGCGCTTCAGCTCACACCAACTGGGTCTGACATTGCGCGCGGGGATGGTAAAAAGCATTTTTATACCATAGTCGGTGGGAAGACGAGTGAGGTGAATTTCTTGCGCATGAAAGCAGTGAGTCTGGAGGCCAGACCATCGGAAGGGCTGGTGGTTCTCCGCCTGCCTAACAAAAATGACGGGGTGTGTAATGTGATTTTGTATATTGCTTTGCAAGAATCTGCGGTGCTTAACGATGCCTTGGATAATCTTCCGTGGACTTTCCTGCCATGGTCCATTCACCAAGGACTACGTGATATACTGGTTGCTTTCTCAAAGGAAAGGATGGCACGCTACCGAAGCCTTTTGGCCAAGACGCTTCAAATTGCGGTAGCAACATTGCCAGAAAGATTGGAAGCGAGGGGGTGGAATTCGAAGTTTGTGAGAGAAAACATGGCGGATATAGCAACAGGCGCTCTAATGACCGGCCACGGGACTTGCAGGGATACCGTTTTAGTTGTGACTAACATAGCAGCAATTTTGTGGGATGGTGCACCGTCCGACCTTGATCAGACAAGCTTCTGGAGATATGAAAATCCTGTGGCACACTCCTCAACTCTTGACCCAACAACAGTCATTGCTCTTGTGAAATGCTTTGTCTTAGAGTGGAGTGTTGAATTCGAGGACGAGACTCACTGTGATCTTCCAGAGTTATATCTAGGCTGAAGTGGTCTCACCTGGGCAACCGCATCATTTACTTCCAAGGTTCCAAGATTGGATTGGAATCATATGAGAACTCTTGAGCGTTTCGCAATGCGACCGACCACGTCTTTTACCCTTCTTGCGATAAGAGAAAAGTTCATCATAAAAATTTCTGAAGATATGGTTGATTTACTAGGAGAACGAAAGAATAGCTGATGAAAAAGTAGAATTCGACTGTCAATGCAAAGGACCAGCGTAAAAAGTGAGCCACCTTGGAAAGCAGAGGCCACTCTTACAAGAGAGCAGGAATGGGCCCGGGGGCTTTCTTGTGGGTCACAGAATTTGAGAGAGCATGTTATACTCCGTAGGGTAAAGTAGGTAATAGAGGGCTTAGAGCAGAGAGGACCCTCATATAGTGGATATCTCGCTTACCCTCTCTTCAATCTCTGGAGATCCCTGTCGGACTAATAAAGGTGCAACTCATCGACCATTTCCAATTTTGATGGAAGCTAGGGGGAAGGGTGTTGGGGACGCAGGGTGTTGGGAGGTCAGATGACTCCCTTTGCTTAGATGGCTCTCCCCCACCCCCTTTTCTTCTTTCCCCCGGTCAGTTCTTTTGCTTCACAGTCACAATCTACTGTTTTGGAGCGATTCATGCTTCATCTCCGTAGATCAGCTTGTTCTCAAGAAGAAACAGGGAGCCCGCAAACAGGCAATAAGCAACGTTGCACGACAAAGCAGCAATTGCTTCTGCTGCTTCATGCAACAGTGCGCGTTTGCGCGCCCGTTTTGGGGGCATTTAATGCCCCAGAGTACGCAGGCTTACAGCGGCCCGGCTCATTAATTAGTCATCAGGCATGTTCAGGCATCAATACTACCAAATTGAGACTAAATCTTTACCGCCTCATACACCGCCTCATACACCGCCCCATACGACGTATTGTAAAATCAGCTCCTTCTCCCCCGTATAGTATGCCTACTCCCGAGGGGGGGCATACCCACCTCCGGATAGCCCTCGGCGAGCTACACCCCGACATCTTCCCTCTCTCCATTACTACTACCTATTTCTCGAAGGCCTTTAAAATGCTGTTTACCGAGAGTTCCTCTTCATATGCTACTATATAAAACTTCCTCTACTCCATACTCCGTAAGGGAATCTTTAAATACATTATACTCTCAAAGCTGCTATTTTCCGAAAGATAAAGAGGGGATAAGGGGAAGAGAGAGGGAGGCTTGGGGGAGGAGGGGAACAAAGAGAATATAATTGTATTTCAGATATCTCAATTTTCTGCCCGTCGATATTAACACCTTAGGCCAGAATATTGCCTAATGACTAATTAACGAGCCGGGCCGCTGTAAACCTGCGTACCCAGAGACCCTTCTCCAATAAATCATCGTTTCTGACCTCTGCTTCCTCATAGAGAGCTTCCTTGCCTCCTCTCATTCTTAATTAGGGGGATCGATAATATAATGAGAATAAGAAAAATACAATATGTGTTTGGTGAGGCACATGGAGAAGAAGGAAGATCAAGGATTTGAGAAGGCAGGAGGATCGCCTATATTCCAGCAATTAGGCTAACCTTAAGCAATCTGATCTAATAGCAATCTTCAATCTTATTAACCGAGTTAAGTGTCACAAATCTAGTACCTGAAACGGATCTATTTAGCTTGAGTAAATATATCAGCATACTTTGTTTTTCGCACATTCTGGTATCGCCTCTTGAGTATGGGTATCCGAGGCTGTAGTGTAACTTGAGTATTACCGGCTGTGTCTGGTCAGGTCATTAAACGAGTGCATCCACAATTCTCTCGAGATCTCCATTCTTATTTCTGATGATAGCTTACATGTGGCTTCATTCTAGCCCTAGCTTGCACAATCATCTCCAAAGTTATCGTGAATACAGTTCCTAGCGCAATTGAAAAAGTACAGCGGCCATTATTTACTAAACCATCAATATAAGTCAGTCCTTTCTGTCGTCGAGGCCTTTTGTTGGGATAACAGGTGACTGCGCAAGCTAGCTCGCTATCTCTCTCTCTCTTCTTCCTTTTTTCCTGCTCCAGTTTTTACTTTGGCGGTCTCAATATAATATTCTAACAAGGGTTACTAAATTATCCCAGTAGATGAGCCTGTCGCGCCTTTTCTTGATACAGACAAGCGGGGTGTTCCAGGATCTGAAATCCCATGTCGATCAGACTATACGAGGTTACATTAAATAGCCCCTGCATCGTCTGAATCATGTGGCGCTCCGCTGTCGTCATTGGTCGCCTATTCGTTCCCTCTACACCCAATCAATATATCCATGAAGGTTTAAAAGTGTAATGCGGTTCCATCCGTCTTACTTGTCCCACCTTGGCAGTGCACTAAGTACTTTTAACGAAATTCTTTTCTATATATCATTCATAGTATGTTGTTGATCTATGCCCTCTATGTAGAAGTCCACTTGCTTCACAGAGCAAATGAAAATTTCCGCGATTTAATTCCAAGGTTATGTCAGTTGGTTTACCCGGTGCTCACCTCCAGGGCTTAAAGAAGTTTGATAGACACACCGCCAAACTTGGAAGGTGTTGGCGCCGATGAAGAATGACTACGATGTTGATTACTGTGTGTAGTATGTGGTGTCGGGTGACCGATATAAGCTGTCATTCCATAATGACCTTGGGGGATTTGGGAAATACACCAATTGGGCCATTGTCTGAACATTGATTACAACTTTGTTCCCTCGTCTACATTTTGCCCCTCAATTGTGAGGTGTTTTTCCGGGATCCTGCATGATCCTTCGACTATGCTTATGTACTGATAACCTTGTAACTGGATCTTGGCTGGTATGATTGGAAAACCATAAAAAGAAGTATTGAATTCTTGCTGGTGCGTTGTAGTCTAACAAATTTGAAAGAAGAGAACAGGAAGAGAAAGTTGAGTCAACCAGCTATCTGTCCTTTCGCGCATTACTTTCCATCTTCAACTAAGAACCACAACAACGGCGATATGCGAATGACGACTCAGGCAACCAGTCCAGGTAGCAACTCGCATCTTCTATTGGTTTGTTCATGAGGCGCTTCATGTCGCCAAGTTTAGCGTCAGGCCTCCCGGCAAGCTGTCCGCTCTCTAGCCTTGCGTAGCTTCGCCAAGATGATCTTCATTCTCCACAAACAGTGCTAACCAGTTAAAATAATTTGAGCAAACATAACGCCTATTGTTGTACTGAAATGTATAAATATCAGTCGATATACTTCCCAGAATTCCAATTCCTCATCAAAAACCTCACTAAAGACTATCTTCATTTATACCTTTTTCTACCTCAGCCTTGTGGTATATGCTACTTGCCATTCTTCTTCTTTGTTACAATTTCACTAACACACTTCGCCCAGCAAAATGAAGTATATGTTCCTGATCGCCTCCTTCCTCGGCCTGGCCATGGCCGCTGGTAACTGTCCCGACTTTCCTTCCTGTCATTGTCCCGGAGACCTCTGCAGAATTGGTGGAGGAACATCTGGTGATGGTAAGTGCTGCGAAGGCAAGACTTGCGTCAAGCAATCCGGAAGTGAAAATTGGGTATGTCCTCTGTATTCCTCGCGAATCATTTCGAACCATAACGCTGATGCTTTCGATTCTAGTACTGCAGGTAGTGGGCTCTGTTCAGTCACTAGCGGGCATCATGTTGTACCTAGTTGCCGGGAGAGTTTCAGTAGCACAATCTCCACGTCCACTATTGGATAATGAGACTTGCAGTTGTCCCAATGCTACAACAAACACTCTGATTCATATATATCCCTCAATTTTGTGCGCAATATCGATGCGTCCTAAATTTGTCAAATCACCCCCAAAAAGGCTTGAATTCTCCAACCTTATTTGACAAGCTTGGAAATGATGACAGACCTTAATGATTGTGAAAGTAGCTTGTTAATAGCATCAATTTTGTGGTCACACTTATGGAGGCCCGCACTGATTACAGGCCATAGCCTCCGGGGTTTGGAATTGTATTGTCTAGTTAGGAAAAGCCAACCGAGGTAGGGAGAGGGGGTATATATTGGGATGAGTGGTCAGGTGACGGTAGTGTTTCGAAGGTTGACAGGCTTGATGAGCTAGGTCGCAATCTCTCTCTCTCTTCTTCTTCCACTCATCCGTAGGGGGCGCTGTGTCAGGCTCGCAAAGGCATTAAAGAAAAATGGTTTTTGATAGTCCGTAATAACGATTATAATAAATCTAAGGATGGAAGAAGAGAAGAAGAGAGCTGAAACTTGTCTGGATCAAGATGTATATCCCCTAAGTATCCCCTAAGTATAATTATCCCCTAAGTATAATTCTCTGTTCGCGGCTTAGCTCCCTCGACCAATCATGTTTCACGGCTTGGCTTGAATCGAAGGTTCGACCAATCGCATGTAAAGTGTATGTTAAGACTCAATGATGTATTTCTTCCGTCAGTAATAAGGTATCTAATAAGGTATCTTGATAAAATTCATATAATACAGCGTGTGTATACAGCTTCTACAACTAGGGCGTGTTTATGCGATTCCCATAAACAGGGCGTGTGTATATAGCTGTTATAAGTAGGACGTGTGTATACTATTTATTGTGTATATAATTCATACGAGTACGGTGTCTCTATCCAATTGAATTAAATTATAGTGTCTGCTAAATATTATTTCAATTGCCTAACCTTGGAAGTAGCTGTTTCTGTATGCGCGTTAGCGCGGGCTCCAGGCTTGTACTACATATATATATATATATATATGACTCCCGAGGTCCTATCCCTTCGGGGGCTCCCAACCCAGCCTAAGTTGAGTTCTTAACCTTGGAAATATCGCTGGTAAAAAATAGGACTAGCGTCCACGGGTGTTTTTAGGCTAGGTCAAGCTGTTTATGTTCTAGATCATCTTACTTATCAAGAGTCTAATTGTTTTAAAGTTTCGGTAAGTTTTATGTCAGGATCTTTATGCTTTAGCAGAGCAGGCTTTGGCGAGGCAGAAGGAGGTTACGTGATCTACCACATGAGCACAAGGAATAGGAGACAGACCACATAGATCCTGCCAGCTTCTTGCTCGCTCCCGAGGTCTCTTCCTCTTCTTCCAAGGTTTCCTTCTCTGGTTCTATCATTTTCGTTATTAGACTATAATTAGGATTTTATTTTTTTTGTGCTCTGTCGCCGCACATCTTATTTTTTATAGTTATTTAGATGTATGTAGATTTGATCTCAAAGTACTTTTTTCAAAAATTGTAATACCTAGTGTAATGGGGGAAACCGCGCCACATCTCATGCATGCCACTGTGGCTAGTTTTGGCAGTTTTTGCCCGCGATCCCATAGTTTAGCAATGAAAGCATTCTACACCTCTCTGAACAACAGCATATGTTTCCTATTCCGGCGTTCTGGGGGCCTGCTTAGCTCCCATGATCCCCGTCGAAGCACTGAACACCCCCGTCGTCTTGTCTGCGATGTCAGACCGCCAGCGCGTTCTTCCCACTTCACTAGGGAGTAAGAATCATTTAAAAATTTTAATAACTTTATATGATGAATAATTGGGGAGTTGAATCTATATTCCGGGCACCCTTGTACATTTGTTTATACCTCATGTAAGTAGACGTCTGGCCTGTGGACAAGTTATTTTGAAGTAATAATATGATGAATATGTGCTCCAGGAAACCGAAAGGGGGGGTCCGGAGGTTCAGGATAAGTATTCATAGATTGTCAAAATAGTAAACATTAAAGAAACTGCAAGAAATACTACCAAAAATATCAGTTCACATCAAGGGACACGTAGGTAGTCCTGGCGGCAACACAAGGCAATATAATGCCAAAGTCGCCTTATTCATGATTGTCTACATTGAAACCTTGGAGTTTCCCTTTTGGGCTATGAAGAAAACAAACAGAATATTCGACGACAGAGGACTTGCCCATGATCTTCTGGCCGTCTCTTTTAACAGCAAAGATAAACTTAGCGTCAACATTCTGAAGAGAGACATGGGACTCAAAGCCATTTCGTTCTTGAGCCAACAAGAATTCGCCTTCCCACAACGTCGAGGTCTCAGATCGGACTGAGAAAATGGCCCAGTTGTCATAGTCTGTGGCACCATTCCAGCTCATATAAACATCGGTGGTAGACTCAGTGGTATGGTTAACAACCAACACAGGATCCCAGTAGGGAGTAGCGTTCCATGGGAATTTGAATATCCGGTAGGCATTCGCCTCAAATGCGTTGTTGCCAAACTGTCCTCTGAGAACCACATTGCCGTCTTTATCGTATTCCTTGAGTTTCGGTATCGATCCGTAGCCCACTAGCACGTGTTCTGTTCCTGGGTATGGGAGGAACTGGAAACTACCTTGAGTTGCGCTGACCACTTTGTCCGTTGGATCTGTCAATTTGTGGGTTCTCCATGTCTTCTTGTTGACGAGGTCAACGTAGACGACCAGTCCCGTTGACGGGCCTTCGTCCTGATTTTCTAATGCATCATTGTTCATCAGACTGAGCACTAGAGCTTCGTCGGTTTCGTTGTAAACACGAATGTCATGTTGCCATGCGAATTTGATATTTTCACTTTTGAAGTCGCCGCCGCCATCATTGTCACCCTTGAAGAAACACCGAGTGAGCAGATAAATTCCGGCTGCCAGATAAACAACAAAAGCAACATGACCACGATTAGATATACTCACAGACAGTTCCCACCGGACGGAGCCGTTCTTGTTAATATAGAAAGCCGAGGATATGTGCCGAAAGTTGACAAGATATCCATATCTGGTAGGAGTGACTGAGTTTATGTGGTAGGCGTCCCACGCGTCAATTAAATTCCTCCCACCCTTTATGTCAAGTTTAGTCTTCGAGATCGGAATGTGCTCCAGTGCGGCCCATTTAAACACTATGTTGTTTGTTTTGACGTCAACTTCGTAGAACAAGGAGTCAATAACCCACATGTCGGGTCTACCCCGCTCGAAATGGCTGGTATCTGTTTGGGTGAAGTTGACAGCTGAGACTAATAAGGTATTTTCGGACGTAATGTAATGCTCGTGGCCATCGATGTAGGAGTCAAACCGCTTGCCGCTAACGGTTTGGAAGTCGTCGTTCAAGGTGACTGTGTAGATCTCCTTATAGAGTTGTCGAGGATATGGGTTGATCCATAACCTAGCACCCTATCATCTGGCTGCCCATCCCAGTATGTGATCACATTCTGGCCGAAAAGCCTTTGCACTTTAAAGTCCAAATTCTCCCCTTGCGGGCCCTGCCATACCATGTCCCCATTGGTGTCGAAGATTGTTGGCACGTTGCCGGCTTGTTTATACTTTCGCACACCTATAAAGATGTGACCTGAGGCTGTTTCACCGGTTTTTGTGAGGTTCAGACAGGGAGGCTGCCATTTTCCTGTCTGAAATGACTGATGCGGCCAACCCCGTTCGCCAAGAGTTAGCGACAACAGCCCACACAGGAAGAAAAGAGAACGCGACATTCTGAAAACTAGAGGAGAGAGAAAGATCCAATACTCAGATCTGAATCGGCATGCATAAAAGAATATTATACAAAGCACTCCATAAGCTGACAATGTGACAAATTATACATCGGGCCTCACTGATCTGCTGCAGCCGGGGGATCCGGTAGAGGCCTGCCTGTATTCATTTCGCTACATTTAACCAGACGCTTTGTAGTGTTGGCCAGGCGTCGCGAAACCCCGCAAACCCCAAATCAACCACGAAGCCCAACCTCGGTTCCCGGTCAGCAAACCCATGGGCGAGTCAAGGTTCATATCAAGAGTCCAAGACCCAAATTGATACCCGAATTACCTTTTCTCTGCGCTCGATCCATCGGGATGACAGATTCAGGACTCTCAGAGAGCTCTCCCCTTCCAGAATCAACTTGTTTCATTCAGATCTATCCACCTCGAAGGTTCAACACAACCCCACCCGGAATGTCTCTTACAAATTTCAAACAGAGGAGCCCTATTGATTCTGTGTGGGCGTTCAGAGAAATTTCATGAGAACTCCCTCATTTCTTGGTGTTATATTTTAGGAGGCCCGAGGATGTTGTCAATTATTTACTCGCCAGTTGATGGGTGACGTATATCCCAGAGTCCAAGATATTTATTGGGCGAGTCTTCGGGGATATGAACAAGCGGCTGGCCAAGGTTGAATGGAGGTAGAGTCAGGTCGAGCTTTCTGTGGCGCAGGCTTGGCTCGTTCATTCGCTTGAAATTGGAAAATTCCATTTCACTCTCATTGTGGTCACTGGTGTAGCTTGTGGTGAGAAGCAACGATGCCGAGCGGCGGAATCGCTCCAGTGTGGGAAGAATCATGTCGTTCGGCAAATGAATAAAAACATCGCGACAAATAACTAGATCAGCCGGACGTGATTCATTTGCTGCGATGTCAAGAATGTCCAGTCGGTAGCCGCGTTGTCGTAAGTCAGCCCAGCTTGCGCGCTCATATATATCGTAGCCAATATAGTCAATCTGTGCATTTTCCAGTGTTCTTGCTGCTGATGAGTATTTTGGCGACAATGAATCTTTTGATGCTAACGACCTGGACGCAAGGGCAATTCCAGTTTGTTATTGCTGTTCCGGTTTCGTTGTTAGCAAGACTGCTGGCACTCGATGCGGCGCCGGTGAGCCAGCCCAACTGCATAAATATCCAATTTCTTTCGCTAACAAGCCGACTAGTTAGCGATTACTGCGACAGCAGTGATGTACTCTGCTGCAACAAAGGTGCCATTGTCTGGCCTCCAATCGTTAGTACTTCTCTGTGTTTCCTTTCATTCATTATTTTCTACTGCCTGGAAGCTAATGAGCCAAAAACGGCAGAGTTCTCAAAACAGTAGCTCCGTTGTCTGTAAAGGTTGAGTGATAAAAGTCATTAGCCGGGACTGTCTCTGAGGGTCGATGGAGGACGAGAGGATACGGATTGTTGAAACAGGTTCTTCGATTTGAAAGTACATTGAAATGGATTGACTAAAATTAACAATGTAGTGCGATTTTTTACTCATGTATTTTAACCATTGTATGACGTTTTATTTTTTGTCTTCTCAGTTCCCCAATGAGCTAATTTTTTCTCCTTTTACTTCACTCCGTTCATGATTACGTTCTTGTAACGATAGTCCTATAACAACGGCCTACTCCAAATAGAGGTTTCTGTCAAGGTCATGAGAATAGAGCCAACATTCTCAATTAGATGTTTTTTAGGGCAAAGGGCTTTTATGCTCACCAGAACCCACTGTGCTTCAATAAGATTAATATCTTGTTATACATTCAAGTCCAACTCCTCCATATATCTTTACACTGCGAAACAGATCGACTTACCACCATTGGCAAAACCAATTGTTGGATCATTTTGTTGAACTAAAAGCGTCATGGGCGCACTAATCAATGCCAGGATATAGAAAGGAAAGTATAAAGGTTGAAAAAAAAGAGAACATCCATCTCCCCAAAGGATTCAAAGTTTCCGAGATGAATATTAAAGGCCACAATAACCGGCTTAAGATAGAAGCAGAGAGAAAACAGTTGACCACGGCTAGTGGCAGTTTTCTCATTGGTTCCTGTGCTCACAGATCAAACCGATATCTCAGAAAACACAGTAGGAGAGGGGCAAGAGTCTAAGAATTCAGCGGCTCAAGCGAGTAAAGTGCTTGAAGACCATGTTGACAGCCAAACCAGTGGCCAAAATTGAGCCACCGATGGTAATGACCCGCAGGGCAACGTTCATTATTTGATGCCGGTTACGGGTGCTGCAACGCTTGTGGAAATCGGCTATGTCGTTACCGCTGGGAAAGGATGTATCAGGGATTTCCTCCTCGAGGAATTCACATAGGGGACCCCAGCCATCGTCGATGTTATACTCCAGAAGTCGCTCGGGGTGCACAAGGCTACGGACCTCGGACACGTGCTCGTTGTAAACTTCCTTGCCCTTATTGAGGAAGTCACCTTGAAAGAAGGTCTCGAAGAACTTGTTGAGCATAGGATAGTACATACTCGCGGCCCAGCTAAAGTTCGATACGAACTTGTGTTCTGGGTCCCTCACGCGCCAGTAGACGGTCTTCACAACAGAGTTATACCACTGGTCAACGTCGCGCTTAGTTATGATAACCTTGGCGTTCGGGTAGGCCGTAATCAGTTCCTTAGCGAAGGCGCAGGCAGGCCAGTTACACACGGCTTGGCAATCTCCTAGAAGTTGATCCCATTCCTTAAGGCCGAAGCTACTCTCGCCCTTATACTTAGCGTTAAGGGCATCGTGCCACATTAGGCAGTCGGGCGGGTTCTCAACACTAGCACACATCATATGATAGCACTTGCCGTAGCCTAGGCGCTATAGCGCCTTGCGGAGAGCTAGAGAATGTTTGGCTCAGTACCTGAAATGTATCGATTGAACCATCAATCAAGATACTCAAAGGCAGTCCCAGTGCGGCCAACACCGAGTGACAGCACCTTCATGGGGACTGTATGGTCGCACTTGCGACGGTCGATGTTCGTATCATTCGTAAAGATATCAGTGATCGGTTGAGGGGTCAGGTTGTCGGAGTGTGCCAGAGACATTGTGGAAGATGTGGTAGAGTATTGATCTATCTTGAAATTGCAAAGAAGTGGAGGAAGAGAAAAAGCCGATGTATAAAAAGGGAGTATGAATGGAGTCGTATCGACTTTCTTGTAAATACGAACTGTCACCCATTAGAGACAATAGGTTTGCCGGTCTTTTGGTTATATGTCTTTATTACTAATTCATGGGATATATACATGTCCAAGCTACACGCAGTGTTACCTAACATTGTGAGTTCTCTCTAAAATGATGCATTACCATTTGTCGCCACAAAAGAACAGCTCTATTTACCCTTGGTTGATTTAAGATTTAGAGTCTGGAACAAAAGACCACTAATGTTTGCCACATGACGAAAATCAGTCATCCAAGTGTGCGGGTGGAACCCTGTGTTTAAATGGTCCATGGTTTTGCTGTCCGAGGTTTCTCTCCATTTTTCAAGGCTCAGTTAACTAATCCCTATCCATGGATCAGCTGGGTAGTTATAATTCTAGGACTTTAGCCGGGACTCAAGACCACAGGAAGTGTATCGCGTGTAACGTATCATTGGAATGAATGTCTCCATGTATACCAGGGTAATCACTTTGTTCTGTGCGTACCAGCTCTATAGGGATGCCTGGCACTTGGGAATGTGCACAGAATCCGCAGCATCTAATGCAGTGCTGATTATCTGCAAAATATCTGCGGCCTCTTCTAGACCCACAGAGAACCGGATGATAGTCTCGTTGGTGTCATTGGTAGCCCCCTGTCTCTTGCCCGCCTGCCCAGTCATCTGCATGTAAGGCGAGGCAATGCAGACATCTGCACCGAATGATAATCCTTTATAGACATCCAGGTGATCGAAAAAGATAGAAGAGCTTTCGATGTCAATGAACTCCATTGTAAAGACACCTCCATACCCAGGCTCAAATTCTTCGGACTTGGAACACATCTGGCGGTCGTAGTAGGCACGGGAGTGGCACAAAGATTGGTGGTAAATCCGGGTAAGCGGGCTAGACGGATTTGAGACAAGTGGCAATAGCTTTGTCACAAGATACTGGGTAGTTTTATTGATGCGAGAAATGCGGGCTGAGAAGTCTCGGCTGTTGAGTTCCAGCTGAATCGCATCTTCCACAAACAGACCATTTTCATACGTGCTGGCGACTTGTCGTCTCATAGCACCATAGTGCTTTGAACTAGGATTCAAGACAATACTGTACGCAATTGAGCCTCAGTCTTGCTCTGTGTGGGTCAAATTTAGAGTTTGGTTTGAGACTTACCTTCCTGCCATAACGTCAGCATATCCACTGAAGTATTTGGAAAGTGATGAGACGACAATGTCTGCCACGTCCAAGAGATTGACGTTGGCAAAGCTAGCGATACTGTCATCTACCACTAGAGGTATCTCATGCTGGTCTGCCAACCGACGCAGACGTTCCAAATCAACCGTACGTAGCAAGGGATTACTAGGACATTCACACCAAATTGCTTGCACCGTAGGGCAATCATCAGGTTCCGCAGCAAGATGAGCAGCAAGATCATCCAAGTCACCATCGGTTCCGAGCTTATAGGCCCTCAGTCCTGGTCCATAGGTTTGCAACATCCTATAAGTTGGCTCATACAGCAGGCCAGTACTTATGGATTCACCAGACCGCCAATTCAGAAGGGACTGGTGGACGTGGTGGATAGCAGCCATCCCTGAGCCGTACAAGAAGACATCAGAGAGGGATACCTGCCTAGTGATCTGCGAGTTGTCCGTGGACCGCTGGAAATAACCAGAAATCCGTGATCGAATTTGTTGGTAGACAGGATGCAGGTCTGCAGACGATTTTTGCATGGCGCTTTCGGGGCCTGGGGCCCATGCGCAAATTTTAGGGCTAAGCCCGTATTTGAGACACTGCTGCGCCAGTCGAGATGACACTCCCGGTCCTGCGCGTTGCCAGAACTCACTGAAATCTTGACTCAACCCACTCGGGTAGATCACAGCATAGAGGACTGGACCAGATGGGTGATGGTCACGACATGGTGAGGCCATGAACTCTACAGAGTACATCTGAATCGATTTGGCGAAATTCGATCGAACCCTCAAACGCGAAGGGGAAAGTATGTATTGCTTGCAGGATATCGCTGCCCGGGAGCCAGATAATAACATAACGGAGTATTGTGGGTAATCAACATCGGGAATTAAGGCCCGAACAGCGGAACTGAGCTTCAATCGATACCAGTATGAGTCTTAATCTGAAGAGACGTATGTGGAGAAGAAAGGAATAGCTACGGGAGGCTCACCAGACGAATATCAGGGTGCACTACGGACCTTGGATATCCGTTCTCCATCTGTGCTTTTCCCTGCCCAAAATCGACCATATCATCCCATGTTGGGATATGAACTAAAAGGCTGTTGGGACGATCCGGATATGGCTCTCCAAGACCGGGCTTGCGCTGAGCTGTCATCTTGCGCAATGGCACTTTGTAGACCAGATATCTCTGGGTTGTTGCCACAAAAAAGGGGGTGTGTTGATAATCCCTGAGAAGCAGGTTTGCGTAGGAGGTTTCTTTATGAGATGAGGGGGGGGAGGAGAAGTGATCAAGCTAGCAGTCCCTTGCATGACTACTAGGTAATTTTGTCCCTGCTCAGGCAGTCCTGATGTGTGAGATTCCCGATTTGGGGATAATCGGCAAAATCGGCTTGCAGTGCCGGACTCAGACCCGCGGGTATATTAAAACAATGATGGCGGTACCTATCCATCTATCTGGGTGTTACAAGCTCGATATAATATAGCATCAGTCTCGGGGTTAGGATATAATTCTACCCAAGCTGGATGAATGATCGACTTCCAAGGTTATGTCTCAGACAATCACGGGAACGATGGCAAGCACTACGTTATTTAGGTCATAGTACTCCGTACATATACAGAAGTGATTCCAGTGGTATGTCTTGTAGAAGTGACCAAGCACGAGTACAATGGACCCAGGCAGGATGCGCTGGTGGACTATATGTGCCAATTGAGCGGACGTGCACTAGGGGCGAGGAACGAGATTTGCCAAGACTGCCCGCAAGGGGGCCGGCCCAGCGGAGCGGGGCGGGAGTGGGCGGAACGCGATCATATTCTTGCAACAGCTTGGGGGCCACAGGGTTGATCATTTCACTCGTTGGTTTGCACATCAAGTTCGAAACCAATTGAAGAAGTCAAGAAATCTAAAACATCACAGAAAACTCGAATGACGCGCTTTCCCTTGGGGAAATGGTCCCCGTGAGTTGAGTGCGAAGCTCAGGATCGGAAGAAAGCAACAAAAATGACCAAAAAATAAACAAATAATGAAACCAGCACAAGCCTCTCAGCGATCATAGCGTCGTCTCGGGCATACGATCTCAACCTGCAACCACAGCCACTTCCTTCATCATCCCGCCCAGAGGCTTTACACTGGGACTCGCCGACGCTCATTTTGTTTGGGCAAGACCCAAGTTTCTGCTCTCTCTGAATAGGCGCACTTGCATCATTCCGAGGGACATCGGTATTTTCGCCTGATTTCGCCCCGGAGGCTTCATCAGCACAAGGCTGCGAATTTTCTGAGACTGCTTGATCCTCAGTCTGTAGACTCTGCAGGTCCTGCTGGCTGATTAGATTGACCGTATTTGCTGTTTGATCCGGGATCTGAATGATGTCTGCAACAACCCGAATGAAGAGTCCTGCGAGGTTTTGGGTCCCTTTTTCGGACAATGCAGGAGCTGCGCAGTCAAATGAAATCATGGTTTCGACCTCGTCATGAGAGAAGGCAAGGGCAATATCGTACTGTAAAATGTGTCAGCTTTGAGGAAAATTTGAGTTGGACTAAGGCAAAATAGGAGGCACACATACATCTGGCGACCCACGACCTGTCTGATCTGATATTGAAATTTCGTGTTGGTTTCTGTCCTTATCAGTTGGACCAACCTGGGCAAACACCGCAGTGTTGACGATCCCCTGACCGAAGGTTCCTGAAAGTTGCATTGCTTTGCCGAGTGGAATGAACTGAAACCTTAAGGCAGCGAGATAGTCTTCCTGGACCTTCTGCATGGTCGACAGCACCGAAGACTGAGTCTCAAAATCGAGAAAACACAGGAGCATGTTGATGAGAGGACCAACAACCATGTCAACCCCGGGGAAAGGGGCATCACGTCCAGACGTTGCATATCCGAAACAAACCTTGTCAGAGCCAGTAACGGCACGAAGCAGGAGTCCCCAGGCCAGATAGAACACGTTCGAGGATGTAACCCCATGCCGCTGACAGAAAGCAAGCAGAGCATGGTGAGTGGCCGAGTCCAGCGAGATCGAGAAGACTGTGCGATCTTTTGGGTTGTGCGATGTGACTGTTTGCCAGAGCGTTGGGAAGTGACAGGCCTGAGCCTCCTGAAGATAACTTTGCCAAAATTGTTTCCCTTCATCCATGGGCAGTTTATGTAGGTAATCAATGTACATCTTGTATGGCGGTGCTGGTGTAGTGGAAAGGGTACCAGTGTACGCTGCACATATCTCTTGCCTTATGAGGCTCAGGGAATAGCCATCGAACATGGTATGATTGATTTCCAAATCACAAAACAAGTTCCCAGATGCTGTTTGTACCAGAACCAGAGAATGCTGTGGTGTGTCTCTCCTGTTGAAAATATCGGTGTGCCATTTGAAGTTGCTAGTTGGTACCGGGGGAACTGCCTGGTCGGTACACAAGACGCTGACATCCACCGGAGGGTCCTTCAGCACTAACTGGTTTTTGATCTTGCTGGGCTCAAGAGCGTCAATGAAGATTGTCCTCAAGATTGAGTGCCGGCTCGCGACTAATTTCCATGCACGCTTCAACCGATCAAGGTCGACTGGCTGCGTGCCTGTCGACTTCACTGTCCATCGCACTCTAGTCCAGTAGGGCCTTGGACTCTTAGCCTGACTCATCATCATTCCCTGCTGCACGGGAGCGGAGGGATAGATATCTTGGACTTGGTCGGAAGAAAGGCCCAGGTGCGGGAGAACTCTTCTTGAAAGCTCGTCCAGAGTAGTATCAGACAGCGAAAGCAAGGGGAAGTCGCAAATAGTGTAGCATGGTTTCAGTAACGGGAGTTCCTCCGCTGCAGCTTTCAGCGAGCACTCGGATTTGCCAATCCACTGGATTATCCTGTCTTGTCCTTTCATCTCCTTGTTGTACGTGATTTCAATCTTGAGCTGGCCCTGAACAACTGATGCGGCTATGTCAATTAGCGCAAACCGCGCCAAATTAGTCACCGTAACAGGAGACTGCGTGAAAGCAATGTTGCATCGCTGGAACAGGGAATCCGGGTTATTGAACTGTTGACTCAAGTCCGTATAACTGAAAATAATTTCCACAGGGTCTTTGATCTCGAATGCATGTTGATCAGCGAGACTAAGGCTCCGGGGTGTGCAATGCGATAGGCAATTGCGTGGTCTCTGCCTGCGCGAATCTTTAACACAACGGACCATGTCTGTGAGGCTGTTGCTGCGTGTAGCTAAGGCTGAAATGATGGAGATGGTGGTAAAGCAGCCCACGGTTCTCGAAAGGTTGACAGAAGAGTCACAGGCTTCTCGACCCTGCTCCTCGCTGAAGAAAGGCGGTGGGTAGCGGTCGTGGAATGTGTTGGTAAATGCGTGCAAAAGAGCTGCGTGGACAATCTCAACAGGCTCCGTATTGAATGCATGGTTGGCCGTGCTCATAAGAATGTGTGTCATACTTCTATCAAGCGTGAAGCTGGCCTGACTGGAATTTCCCAGGGTGTTTCTACCGTGCGCAAGGGCCATGCCCCAGTAGTCTTGCTGGGGTGGCTTGGTTTGAGAGGGGGTGCAACCTGCGCAGAGGAACGTTCAGGGCCCTGGTTCACCTGTTCACTTATCCAAGATTGGAATGGGAATGGGGGCAACCCATTCATTATCCCCGACATCATGTACTCTTCCAGATCTCCGAGGATGATTTTCCATGACACAAGGTCCACTGCCAACTTGTGCGCGACCAAAAGGACATACTGGCCATCCTGGCTGGTGTCAATCAAATCCACAGCCAATACGGGGCCTTCGACAATGTCTATGGACTCCTGGCTGCGATGGAGCAGAAGTTCTATGTCTTCAAGTTGAGTAGTTTGGTGGGTGCGGACCACATAGCAGCCTGCTGTGCCAGGCAGAATCTTTTGCTGCCAGAGCCCATCAGCTCCTTTCACAAACCGAGCTCGAAGCATAGAATGGCGCATTGCCAAAGCCTCAATTCCCAGTTGGAGATCGCTTAAATCCAAAGCACGTGATATACGGGCGAGAAAAGACTGGCTAAACAGGTTCTTGCCCACATCCTGAGAGGCAAAGAGAAGGCGTTGGAATGGGGACAGCTCAAATAGGCTGTCCGTGGCATCGTTTAGCTGGGTGGAGGCGGCAGAAACATAACTCGTATGCTTTGCCAGCTGCACGACGGTCTTGTACCTGAAGATATCGCCAACCGTGATGTAGACACCACCTGACTTGGACTTGGCGGATAACTGCATTGCGGTGATTGAATCGCCCCCGAGTGAGAAAAAACTTTCGTTCACACCCAAGAGACTTCGGTCGATGTTCAATACTTCGGCAAACAGTATTTGCAACTCTCGCTCTACTGGAGATGCTGCTGCGCATTGTTGAGCCTCAGCACGCTGAAGGCTTGCCCATTCAGCTAGCGTCCGACTGGCAGCTAAGGCTTGGAGTTTTCTGCGGTCGGCCTTGCCACTAGTAGTCGTGGGGACCTCGTCAACGGGAATATAGATGCTTGGTCTCATGTAGATCGGCAAATGCCTTTCCAGCGACTGGTTTATGAGCTTGATATAGGCACTGAGAGCCGCGCGAACTCCATTGACTGGCCCTGATGCCGGTTTCCCGAGGGCGAGGTAGACTGCCAGTGTTGGTTTGCTACTTCCTTTGGGATTGACGATCGCAGCAACCACGGGGGCCATGGGCAATGCAGCTCCGTCTGCCAGCATAGCTTGTTGGACATGCTTTTCAACTTCCTCGAGTTCCACTCGCTGGCCATTTATCTTCACTTGGTTGTCCTTTCTCCCAATGTACATCAGTGAGCCGTCTGACATATATTGAACCAAGTCGCCGGTCCGATAAAGCCGTCCTTCACGACCGGAGCCATGGGGACCTCCTGAACCCTCGACCAACCATCTCGGGTTATTGATGAATGCAGTCGCGGTGCGTTCTGGGTCGCGATAATAACCACGCGCCACAAGTGGACCCTCCAGCCAGAGCTCACCCACACATCCCAGTGGCATCAATTGACTGGGTCGACATGGGTCAACGATCCATGTATTGCAACCCCGGCCTTTTCCGATGGAGGGGGTGGACGTGCTTGACTCAAGGCTTGCAAATGTCACCCATACAGTGGTTTCTGCCGGCCCGTAAGCATTGATGAGATGGACATGCGGGCTCCATTGCTTTATATCTGCATGCGATACAGGTTCTCCGGCTAAGACGAGGGTTTGGAGTAAAGGCGTGTGGGAAGGGTCCAGAAGACGCGCGACAGACGGAGTAAGACTTGCGTAGTTCACCCCCAGACGACGCATTGTTGCACTCACATCTCCACGGCGCTCTGACTCCTCGGGTACGCAGACGCAGCCACCGGATCCGAGGGTAGCAAGAATCGATCCCCAGCAGACATCGAATGCGTACGAAGCATACTCAAACACCCGCGCGGAGGCGGTTAGTCTCAAAAAATGACTTTGTTGAGCAATACCTGTGCTGAAATTTGAATGACTGATAGCCACGCCCTTTGGCAGACCCGAGCTCCCAGAAGTAAACACCAGATACAGGCTACTGGCAGGGTCGACCGTGGGCAAAGCAGTATCATCAGCAGTTTCCTGTCCAGTCTGGCTTGTGCCTTCGACCCGAATCACGTTGCAGTTTGCAAGAGCCGATGCTCTGACGTGAGTGCCCTCTGATGCAAGTATAAGCAGTGGCTGGACCTGTTCAACGATGGTGCGCAGTCTCTCTTCTGGCAGAGCGGGATCCAAGCTTACCATGGTTCCACCAGCCTTCATTACAGCCAAGCTAGCGACGGACATCCAGCGGGACTTTTCAAAGAACAGAGGAACGTTGATGCCGGGCCCAACACCGAAACTTCGGACCTTGTGTGCCAAATTTGTAGACAGGGCATTGAGTTCCATGTAATTGAAACTGCCGTCCCACGCACAGATTGCCTCGGCCTCTGGTTGCCTCTCTGCTTGTTCCATGATGAGCTCATGTACACAGCGGTCTTGAGGCTGGGTAGTGCAGGAGTTCCAATCCCAAATGGTCCGCGAATCGTGGTCGCTGATGAGATGAGCTTCAGCAGCTGACTCAGTCCCGTGTTGCACGATGTATTTGACTGCACATAGGAACACGTCAAGGGCACTCCGTGCATGGCGTTCAGACATCATTGACTCGTTGAAGGAGAAGTCCAACGCGGTTCCTTCATCACCAACCCCGATGTTCATCATGATGTCGTACTGGTTCTGGGTTTAGCGCAATGCCATGGAGGATCGGCAATTTTCTGTCTTACCTCGGTTGGATCATCGCCTCCTTTTTCTACAATCAGCACGCTCGACTTGCTGTCTTTGGTAACTGATCCACTCGCTTGAACTGATATTGCGCTGTTGAAAAGCTCCTTTTCGGGCGTTTCTGCCATGTGAAAGACTCTCGATAGGGGGTAATGCTGAAATTCGAGACCTCGAAGATACTCTTCTTGGTTTCTGTGCACCAATTCCGTAAGGGATTGCCTGCCCGCCAAGTCGACGCGGCTGACAAGCATATTGATGAAGGGCCCAACAGTCTTTTGAGCTTCCTGAAGGGGAATGTTCCGACCTGATGTGAGATATCCAAAGCATACGTTGTCCAAGCCAGTATAGACCCGTAGGGCAAGCGCCCAGGCAACATGGAAAACGTTGGATGTAGTCAGCTCATGTTCCTTGCAGTAGGCACGCAGTTCTAGGTGTAGCTCATGGTCAAATGTTCTTGAGATGCTGTTTTGCGCCCGCTGTCTCTCCGCAACTTGGCTGCCAACCTGAGGGAATATGCAGGGCTCAACCCCTTGAAGATAGTCCTGCCAATATGCCTCGGCGGATGGAGGAGACAAGCACTGCATGAATTGAATATAGTCACTGTAAAGAGGTGCCAGAGAGGAAGGTAGCATGTTATCATATGCGGCGCACAGCTCCTCCTTGAGAATTCCAATGGAATGGGCGTCGATACACGCATGATTGATGGACAGCTCGCACAATATGCCTGGTATTTGGGGCGACAGAGAGAATTTTGAAGTGACTTCCCCCAATGATGCTGGTGTGCCCTCGATTCTGGCCTTTTCGGTGGACTGGTCAAAATGTAGGTTTGCCCGGAGGTCCTTCAACACGAGTTGATCTTTCAACCCCCTGCCCGATATGCTTTCAACGAAAACAGTACGAAGGGCTGCGTGCCGATCGACCAGACGTTGCCACGCAAATCTGAGTCGGTTTGTATCGAGTGTTGAGGATGCTTGTGCAGGTTTCGCCATCCAGCGGATTCGAGTTCTGTAAAGTGATGGGTTCTTGATCTGGCTGAGGATGATTCCTTCTTGCAGCGGTGAGCAAGGGTATATATCCTCCACTTCTCCATATTCAAGCCCCAGCTCCGTCAATCTTTGTCGGAGAATTGGCAGGTCGGGGTCTTTCAAGTGTAGCAGCGGGAAGCTGCACCGGGTGTAGCTTGGCTGAGCTAGGGGAAGCTCTTGTGCTGCCTTCAAGAGGGTGCTTTTGCATACTTCGACCCACATACGGATAGAGGCTTGGTGTTGCATGTGCTTATTATAGAGGAAATCGACGTTCAGACATCCATCCATTACCGATGCCGAGATTTCTACCAGCGCAAAACGATGCAGCTTTCCAGAAATGTCACAAAGTTCATCAAGCTCATCGGGCAGGCTGCGTAGGTTGAACAGAGAGTCTTTTCGCTCTAACTGCTGATACAGGCCGAAGTAGTTGAATATCACTTCAACAGGGCCATTGACTTGGAGTACCTGCTTGCCAGTCGGACTGAGAAACCTACATGCAAAGTATGGCCGGCCATTGCCTGGCGTCTGGCGTCGAGTGTCCTTGACTTGTTGAACGAATCTGGCGATAGTGTCTCCCTGCTTGGCGGTAGCCACTATTGGGAACATAGTGGTGAACCACCCGACCGTGCGTGAGACATCGCTTGCAGAGCTCCAAGGCTCACGGCCATGACCTTCGCTGAATACTGTTGGGGGTGACCTATCATGGAATGTATTCGCAAAGGAATGCAAAATACACGCATGGAGGAGCTCCACTGGCTGTGTGTCGAATGCTGCATTTGCAGGGCCCAACAATGTCTCTGTCACTTGCTGTGGAAGTACAATCTTGCCCGTGGCCACATCTTCGAAAGTGTTTACAGTGTGGGCCTGACCCCAGTAGTCGAGCTCTGTAGGCGGAAGAGGCAAAGTCCCGTCCGGGAGAGCAGCTTCCACCTTACAATCCTTCTGCGCATGATCAGCCTGCAAGCGACACCAAGTCTTGAAAGATAATGAGGGAAAGCCGGAGATTGATCCAGTGGTAAGGTGATCTTCCAGGTCGGCCAGAATAACTCTCCAAGAGACCAAGTCCACGACCATATGGTGAGCCACCAAGAACAGGGATTGGCCCTCGGTGGTATTGATTAAGTCGACGGCCATCACTGGTCCATTCTGAATGTCCAAAGACGTTTGGCTCCGAGAGATTACACCCGAAATACGCTCATTATCTGCAACGTCATGTTCACTGACGCGATGGCTTCCCGGGCTTCCAGGGGGGAGGATTCGTTGGGTCCAAATATTATCTCCAGTGCAGTCGAAGCGAGCACGCAACATGCCGTGATGTATCACTAGGGCATCCACTGCGGTGCTGATTTGAGAAATTGTGACTGGCTGACGGACCTGCACAAAAAAGCTCTGATTGAAATGATTGGGGACCCCATGCTGCGCGTCGGCGAACATCTGCTGGATCGGGGAAAGGGCAAATGGCTCACCCTGGTCGTCCTGCATATCATCTACAGGCAAGTTCGCCGAGGGGGAGACAGCAAGTGCCAGTCGAGCGATAGTCTTGCACCGGAAGATGTCTGGAACCGCAATTTGGAGATTGATGGATCGGCTCTTTGCGGAAAGCTGCATCGCGGATATCGAGTCACCCCCAAGAGCGAAGAAGTTGTCATTTATGCTGATTTTCGAAGGGGCAATATTCAGACACACAGCCCAGAGTCCCAAAATTTGGCTTTCTACGTCGGTCGTGGGTGCTTGGTAGTTGCCTCGAGTTGGTTGCAAGTCCGTCAACTCTTCCAAGGATTTAGATGCCCAGGTCTCAAGCAGCCGTCGTCGATCCCTTTTGCCCATTACCGTCATCGGAATGCTGACCACTGGAAGAAAGAGACTGGGCACCATGTAGCTTGGTACTCGGTCTGCCAGGCGCTCCTTGGCGCCTTGGGTGTAGTGATTTAGCTGCGCTCTGACGGTCTCCAGTGGACTTAGCGCAGCATCTCCGATTGCGAGATAGGCAGCCAACAATGGGTTAGCACTGCCTTGTGGGCTGACCACCTCAGCAGCCACAGAAATATCTACGGCCACCGGAGACAAGGCTTGTTTTAGGTGATACTCGACTTCAGCCAACTCCACACGCTGTCCACGAATCTTGACCTGGGCATCTTTACGGCCGACGTAGACCAGAGTTCTGTCTGGATTATAGCGCACAAGGTCACCAGTGCGGTAGAGACGGCCGGATCGACCCGCTGGCCCACCGAGCTGGCCACGCAGTAGCCAGGGAGGAGATTCGCTAAAATTGGCCGCAGTAAGATCGGAACGGTCAAGATAACCTGATCCTACCAGAGGACCTTCAACCCAAAGCTCACCCACAGCTCCGTAAGGCGACAACTGACAGCTTTCCGTTGGCTCAACCACCCATGTCGCCAATCCTCGGCCTGTTCCAATTGTTCCGGGGTGACATTTAGTGTCGTCAACATCAAACACAGTGGAGACAATGCTACATTCGGCAGGACCATAGATGTTCTTGAGTTTCACATGGCCTCCCCACTGAGTTATCTCCTGCTGTGTCAACGCTTCGCCGCCGAGAACGAGGGTCTTGAGGTCAGGGAGAGATCCTGGATCAACTAGACGTGCGGCGGACGGGGTGAGGAATGCATAGGTCACAGCCATGCGACGCATAGATTCTGCGATATCACCCTTTCTCTCTTCATCGGAGGGAATGCAGAGACAAGCACCGACTGCCAATGTATGGAGGAAGTTCAACCAACAGGCATCGAATGCGTACGATGGAAAATCGAAGACCCTGGCAGACTCGGTGAACCCGAGAGTGGCTTGCTGGTGGTAAACCGCACTAGCCAGGTTACCGTGAGACATGATAGCACCTTTTGGAACCCCTGTGCTACCTGACGTAAAGTTGATATAGAGTCGATCTGTCGAGTGAACGGCAGGCAACTGGCCATTTTCGATGGTCTTGGTCCAGCCGACGTCGAGGGTATGCCGGGAGACGACATGAACAGGTTTATCAGTGAGGAGATGTGCCTTCTTGTTTGCCTGCGCAGAGCTCAGAAGGAGGAGAGGCTGGACTTCCTTCAAAATTGTCCGAAGACGGTCCTCTGGTTGTGTGATATCAAGAGCCACTGATGCACCACCAGCTTTCATGACCCCAAGCATTGCGACGGGCATCCACATAGACTTTTCAAAGCAAAGCGCAACCATGACATTGGGACCGACTTCCAACTTGAGTAGATCATGTGCTAGCTTGTTGGAGAGTTTGTCTAGTTCACTGTATGTCAGATTTCCATCCCATGCGGCAACAGCCTCAGATGCGGGCTTCCGCTGGGCCTGCTCCATGATCAGAGCGTGCATGCACACGTCCACTTTAGACGGGACCGGGGAGTTGAGGGACCAGACTCTCTTGAGATCTTCCTCGCAGATCACTTCGAGGTGGTAAACGGGGCGTCGATGCAGAGATTCATCGCAAAGAAGGCGTAGCATGTGTTCGAATTGAAGGGCTAGTCGTTGCGCTTGTGTTTCAGGGATGACATTTGAGTCGTAACTCATCTGAAGTGACACACCGGTCGCCGCCAGCTGGCATTGCAGCAGGAGGGAATACGAGTTGAAGCTGCCGAGGGGAGGCTGACGATCAGTGACACCCTCTTCATTAAATAGTGAGGCCCATTCATCTGTTTCCGTCGTGTCTGGTGCCGGCTGTACCACTAGTAATGTCTGGAACTGACAGGCTCTTTCGGCGTCTGCACTGAGTCTCTGAATTTGCTGCAACCCAAGCTGCTCGTAGGGTATCATGTCGACGGACTGCTCCTGCATCTGTTCCAACAGGCCAATGACGTTCATCCTTTCGCGGATAGTGGCACGGACCAAAACCGTCGCGATGGTTGGGCCTTCAACTAGTTCCACGCGACGAACTGGAGCCTGTCGTCCGGTTACGGTAGATCCAAAGATAACATCGGCACACTGAGTGTAATGGGCTGTGAGAATTGCCCAGGCCGCGCGAAGAGACGTCGCTGGCGTTATATGATTGTTTGGCCACTGGATGCGGGACATCCGATGCTCCAGCAGGTTTCGTGCACATGGTTGGTACGCCGGAGAGGGCAGGGAAGGAAACGGCACTGCTACCAGACCATCCAGTGTGCTTTGCCAGTATGCGTCGGCCTCAGCGCCGAGATCTTTCACATGCTTGATCACTGAGCTGAGAGGAACAAGACCATCACTCAGGATTCCGTGGTAAGCCTTGCTAACCTCTGTTAGAAGTAGAGACAATGACCAGCCATCATATAGCGCATGATGGATTGTCAGCAAAAAGAAAATTTCCCGGTCATCGCGGTCGCCACAGCCCTCAACCAAGCCACACCTGGCCAAGGCCGTCCCTAGTGTGATGGGGTAGCTGAGGTGCTCTTCAATAAGTGAGTCTAGACTGCGGCCATAGTGCCACTCGGGTGCTTGCGTTGTGACGACTTGTACCAAACCCTGCCCATCGAGGTCGACGATACGAGTTCGTAGGATCGATGTTTCCATGATGACCTTGTTCAAGGCATCTGTGAAGCGTGGGATATCGACCCAATCGTGCAGTCGCATGACCTGAGGGTTGACATAAGCACCTTGTCGTTTGGCTGTCAAAGAAAGCAGGCCTTCCTGTAGCGGTGTGCATGGAAGGACATCTTTCACGGAAGATGGATCTAGATGGCAAGATTCGGCAACTTGCAACCGGATTTGAGACGGGCTCATCTCTCTTTTCAACAGTGAAAAGGGAGCAATATCATCCGGAAGTAAATCTGAGACCCGCTTCGCCTGACGAGCCATGTCGCATAGAATGGGGAATTTGAAGATTGCCGCCACCGTAAGGATGGCGCCCTGCTCCGCAGCTAGTCGGACGAGCCGGATTGCCCCAATTGAATCACCTCCAATGCGTAAGAAGTTGTCAGTTGCGGCAATGGATTTCGCCTCTATATCCAAAATAGCGGCCCACATTCCTTGAAGACGCCATTCCAGTTCTGTTGAGGGCTCGCGGCGCATGTGCTGTGAAGGTTGCAGGGCTGCCAGCTGCTCTAAATTATGTGAACACACTGTCTGTTTGAGCTTGCGCTGGTCTCTTTTCCCGTTTGTCGTGAACGGGATCTCTGCCACGGGGAAATACATGCGAGGGATCATATAGCTTGGCAAGGTCTTATTCAAACGGTCTTCGACTCCATGTGTATACTGGCCCAGTGCCTTACTGCAGGACTTGAGTGACTTGATAGCCTCATGACCTATGGGAACGAAGGCCACTAGCACAGGATTCACACTACCCCGGGGGCAGATTAATTCCACAGGCACCGGCACATCCACCCCGGGTGGGAGCGCTTGGCGGAGGTGGTGCTCTATTTCCACGAGCTCAACACGCTGACCCCGGATCTTCACCTGGCTGTCCTTGCGCCCGGCATAGAGAAGAGATCCATCCGCCAGGAATCGTACGAGATCTCCTGTCTTATAGACCCGGCCCCGACGCCCAGGGCAGCTCGGTGCCCCACGCAAGAGCCAGGCGGGGTCCTCGACATAGGTTGCCGCAGTCTTTTCTGCCTCGTCGAGATACCCTTGTCCGACGAGTGGCCCCTCGAGCCACAGCTCACCCTCCGCGCCCAGCGGTGCGAGACTTTTTCCATGCAGTGGGTCAACCACCCAAGCATTTAACCCCAAGGTGTGACCTAAAATTCTGGCTTTGTCTGATTGGCCCTGGAAGTGGTAAATCGTTGCAACAATTGTGCATTCAGAGGGACCATACGCGCCCAGCAATTTGAGATTGGGCCATCGCGTAATGTCATCTGCAGTTATAGCCTCTCCACCCAAAGTGAGCGTCTCCAGGCTGGGCACCGTTGCAGGGTCAATTGTCCGAGCCACTGATGGAGTCAAAAGGACGTAGTTGGCATTCATTGATCTAATGCAGCCTGGAAGATTGTCCTTCCGCTGTTTCTCAGACGGGATGCACAAAGAGCCACCCGAGGTCAACGCATAGAAGAAGTTGAACCAGGGGACATCGAAAGCATATGACAAACAATCTAGCATTCGTGGAGATTCCGGCAGCCCGAGTTTTGCTTTTTGGTGGTGAATGGCGGAGCACGCGTTCCCATGGGTCATGATGGAGCCTTTTGGGGTTCCAGAGGTGCCCGAGGAAAACACGAGATAGAGCATGTCGGTGGACGAAATCTTCGGCAAAGAGAGAGCGTCAGAATGAGGCATACCCTTCAAGGATTGTTCAGTAAGAACGATGTAATCGGGTTGTAATCGGCGGGCCAAGTCTCGACAGCCTGGAGATGTCAGAATTGGCCCTGTAGACTTCTTTACCACGAGCTGCAATCGCTCTTCTGGTTGCTCTGCATCCATCAATGTTATGGCACAGCCTGCTTTGAGCGCACCCAGAATGGCCACAGGCACCCACTGAGACTTCTCGAAGCATAGCGGCAGAATCGAACGGGGCTTGATACCGCGCGCCAGAAGATGATGAGCCAGTCGAGAGGATGTATCGTCCAGCTCTCGGTAAGACAATTCCCCATCCCAGGCACATACAGCTGGTGCATCAGGCTCTTGCTGAACACACAGGTTGATCATGTCAAGCAAGGAGCCGGATAGCGTCTCTGGTACTTCCGCATTCCACCCCCAAATTGTGGCTAGATCTTGGTGACTGGTCATCATCTCTAGATCTCCCACGCTGCTGTCTGAATGATGCATGATGTTTTCCAGAGCTTGCAAGAATGTGTCAGCTACTGCGCCGACTTGTTGCTTCGATAGCAAATGCTCGGAGTAGTTGATCAAGATTTTGGGACTATCCTCTAGCAATAGCACCGACGCCACAATGTCATATTCATGCGGATCATACACTTTCTCATCCTCAAGTGTAATAGTGGCCATATTTGAGCTCGCGAGATCGGCCCTGGTAGTCTCCACAGAGAGCGCAGTGTTGAACAATGGCTGCCCTTCGGTGCTTTGGGCGTGCAAGACGTTTGCCAGAGGATAGTAATTGTACTTCAGTCCACGCAAGTACGCTTCCTGTATTTCTTGTATCACAGTGAGAAGTGCTCGATTGTTATCAAGATTCACATGAGTCACTACCATGTTGATAAACGTTCCAACCGCCTGGTCGACGTGGCGCACAGGCACGTCCCGGCCGGATACCACATACCCGTAGCATAGGGATTCGCTACCAGTGTAGGTTCGTAAGACCAAAGCCCATGCCAGACTGACTATGTTTGCTGGGGTCAAGTCGTTGACTCTGCAGAACTGGCGCAAGGTCTGGTACGTCTCAACCCTGATAGGGAGGGAGTGAATTGCACCTGAGTCCGTGTTTTGGGCAATCGGAACGTTCAGGGTCGGGAAAATGCACGATTGAGCGTCGGCTAGCTGGCTCTGCCAAAACCTCTTCGCGTCTTCACCGGGCAAGGTCTGGAGGTGCCGAATATAATCACTGTAGAGAGGTCCTGGTTCTTGAGGGAGTAGCCCATCGTATGCGGCACACAGGTCGCGATTCAGAAGTTGGATTGATAGAGCATCGATAACGCTATGACTGATCTCCAGATCACAAAAAAGGCCACCTTGCGATGTTGGGCAAAGAACAAGCGAATGCACTGGTCGCGTTCGCGACACGCTGGCCAATCTGTGTTTCACAACGGCGTCTACCGGGTCCATGGCGTGAATAGTCTGAACATCGGGCAAGATATCTTTCAGAACCACTTGGTAACTCAAACCATCCGAAGAAAAGCTTTCAGTGAATCTGGTTCTGAGCACACTATGACGTTTCACGACCTGCCGCCAGGCAAGCTCGAATCTGGCCGCATCCACTGGGCTTGAGGCTCCACTGCTGGATCGAGCTGTCCACTGCACTCGGGTCCAGTACAAATTCGGACTTTTTGCCTGACTCAACAGAATACCTTGTTGCAAAGGGGAGCACTGGTATATATCCTCAACTTGCCCGTAGGATAATCCAACGTGTAGAAGCCTCTCCAGTTCCTTTTCCATCTCTAGTGTCTGGGGTAGCAACGAAAAGTCAGACAACGTGTAGCTGGGTGGCGTGTTGATGAGCTGAATTGCTGTTTTTTCTAAGGAGTGTTCGAATGCTACAATCCACTCATCAATGGCGCCCTGTTTCTGAATCCGCGTGCTGTATTTGAAGTGAAACTGCATGCGTCCTTCAGTGAGCTCTGTGGAAACATCGAACAAGGAAAGCCGGTCCATGTGTTCTGCAATGTGTGACACTGGATCCAGAAGGTCGGAGCAACGTTGGAAGAGGGCTCCATCTTCATTGAAGCTTTTATTGAGGTCCGAATAGTTGAAAGTGATCTCGTGGCAAGCCTGACTGCCAAGCATCTGTTTTGTAGCGCGGTCCAAACCCCGCGATGCGAAGTAAGACCACTCATGGCCAGGGATCTGTCTCCGATGATCTTTGATGTAGCGAACTAGTTCTAAAATGTCCGTTTGACCGGATTTTGGTGCTGCTGCAATTGGTCTCATGTTGGCAAAGCAACCCACCGTCCTGGATGGGTCGACGTCTTGACTCCATGATTTTCTCCCGTGGCTCTCGCTGAAGATGATTGGGGGTTGTCGGTCGGCGAAGGTACTCATAAAAGATTGCAGCAGTCCAGCTAACAATAGGTCGATGGGTTCACTCCGTAATGCACTGTTCGCTGGTCCAAGTAAACTGCTGGTTGTCTGCTGGCTCAGGGTAAATCCAGCCTCCTTCACATCACCTTGTGTGTTAAGCCCTGACGGGATCCCCCAGTACTCACCAACGAGAACTCCCATATCCGATGACGCATCATCATCATCATCGAATGATTTGTTTTCCGATGCGTATTCCTCTTGGAGTTCGCACCAGGTTTGGAAGGGGAGTGGCAAAGAGCTAGAAATGGTTCCAGTGACAAGGCATTCCTCCAGCTCTTCGAGCAAGATTTGCCAGGACAGAATGTCGACCACCAGGTAATGCGCTGTAAGAAACAGGTACTGATGTCTTGGGGTGTCAATCAGATGGACCGCAAATAGAGGACCAGTATGAATGTTCAAGGACTGTTGAGTATCATTAAGGGCCGGAATGGCGTCATCTAAGCATTGCAAGACATGATGGACGAAGCGATAAGTTCCATCAGTACATGAGATGATTTGCTGCATCCATGTCCCATCGCTGCCACGGTCAAAGCGAGCACGGAGCACTGAGTGTCGCGCGACAAGTAGCCGGATTGCGCGTCGCACACCATCGGGTTGCTGGTGCCGCACAATACGGACGAAAGAACTTCGATTTGAGTGGCCATCTTTATCTTGGTGGAAATTGATGAGAGCCTGTTGGACGGAAGAAAGGGCGAAATGTTTGTTGTTCGACACCCCGGAGCCTTGGCTCTCATTGGTCAGATCACGTGGTCGATTTTCCCGCGGCGCGAGACGCCGGATGGTCTTGTGTAGGAATATATCTTGCACCGTCACAGGAACTCCTCTTGCTAGCGATTTGGCCGCTACCTTCATAGCCAAGATAGAGTCGCCCCCCAAAAGGAAAAAGCTTTCGTCTCGACCGATCTCAGAAGCATCCACGTTCAAAACCTCCGCCCAAAGCTGTTGGAGACGATGCTCCATCGCGGTCTGGGGGGCCTCGTGAACCGCTGCATGTGAGGGCTGCAAGTTTGTCAACTCGCCTATTGTGAGAGAAGATCCGATCTCTCGTAGTCGCAATCGGTCTGTCTTTCCCGTGGTCGTCATGGGAATCTCAGGGACCGCGAGGTACATGCTGGGCACCATGTAGGCGGGCATTTGCTCGGCCAGGTATTCGTCGACCCCATGTAAACATTTAGCAAGACCTTGTCTGGTTCTATTGACATCATCACCAGCTGCTTCCCTCAAGGGTATGAAAGCTATCAGAATCGCTGTGTCGCTACCCCGCGGGGTAATCGCCTCGGCTGCTACAGATGGAACATCGTCGGGCAGTGCAAGTTTAAGATGATATTCCACATCTCCTAGCTCGACGCGTTGTCCACGGATCTTGATTTGCGTATCCCTGCGAGCAGAATAGACCAACGAGCCATCTGGGTTGTATCGCGCCAGATCTCCAGTTTTGTATAGCCGGCCTCGACGTCCTGGAACACCGGGAACACCCTGCGTCAGCCATGCGGGGTCTTCAACAAAGCTTGCCGCGGTCTTCTTTGGATCCCCCAGGTACCCTTGTCCGACCAGAGGTCCCTCCAACCACAGCTCGCCTGTGTGTCCAAAGGGAGCCAGTCGATCCCCGTGGGCCTCGTCGACAATCCAGGTATTGCAACCAACACCTTTGCCCATACTCGAATCCCAAGGTGTGTACCGAGGGACCCTCAGGTATGTAACCGCTACCGTGCATTCGGCTGGGCCGTATGAGTTGATGAGCTCACAGTATGGTGTCCATTGAGCAACATCAGCCTGGGTCATTGCCTCTCCGATCAAGAGTATCAATCTTAATTCTGGTATATCTCGGGGATCAATGAGGCGAGCAACGGTAGGAGTGAGCTGGAGATGATTTACTCCGAGCCTGCGAATTGACTCGGTGATGTTTCCTCGACGGTCACTCTCAGAGGGGATGCAGAGACATCCCCCGGAAGCGAATGTGTGGATGATATTTCCCCAGGCCAGATCGAAGGCATATGACGCAAAGTCAAAGACTCGGGACGTTTCTTTGATCCCCAATGCCTCATGCTGGTAGGCAATAGCACTGCTAAAGTTGGTGTGATTAATCATGACTCCCTTTGGGGGTGCCGGTGCTACCCGAGGTGAAAACTATGTACAGGTTTCTGGACGGATCAACGCACGGAAGCTCTTTGCTTCCCGACTCCGGTAGGTGCTGTAGCTGGATCTCGTCTAGTGGGATGACATCTTTTGTTCCCAGACGAGCGGCCACTTCGATCTGAGCCGGCGATGCAATCATCCAACGTGATTGCAGTTGTTTCACAATTGTTTGCAGGCGGGATTCTGGTTGAGTTGGATCCAGTGCAGCGATTACTGCACCTGATTTCATTACTGCCAGGATAGCTACCATCATCCACTTGGACTTCTCGAAGCAGAGAGGGATGATATCATCTGGCCCAGCACCCAGATGTACGAGGTGATGGGCCAATCGAGTCGAACTCTGGTCCAGTTGCTGGTAGTCTAGGTCACCATCCCAGGCAGACACTGCTGGTGCCAGTGGGCGTCGTCGGGCTTGCTCGGCGATGATATCGTGTACGCATCTCGGTACCATCGCAGGGACCGAGGCATTCCAATTCCATACTGTCCTCAGCTCATTGTATGATGGATCAGAAGTTGAGCTCGTCGACCGGTTTGTGAGAGTGAGGTCGCCAGCGGATTGCCGGACTCGTACGTCTAGGCTCTCTATAAAACCCTGCATTCCTTCTGGAAGAGGGGAGATGATATGCAATTCCAGCCCTTCTGGGTGAGTCTGGCAGTGCATCTTCAGGAAGGGGGCACATTCTGTCTCTTGACGTAATGTCTTCTCCTGGCACAAGCTCTTGGGAGCTTCTTCTGTTTCCTGGGTCTGACCTTTGCCCAGAAACGTCAGAACCAACAGCGTGTCCGGGCGTCCGGTCTCGGGGCTGCCCTGCAACAATAAAGACACTGTACAACCAAATGCAGTCTCGTGATATTTTTTAACCACCTGGCGAAGGACTCCTCGCCATTGTGCCAATTTGGTTTGGGCTGCTCCATCCAAATAAACGTTCACGTCGAGGTCATTCTCGGAAAGGTTATTTGACCTCCCTACTTTCAGGGACCCGTTGTTGGCTTTAAGCTGCTCCACTGCCTGTAAAACCCATGCTTCTAGAGTCACGAGCATTGATTCGACCGCATCATGCCCCTGGAGGCCATCGATCAGGTGCCGAGCCTCAAAGCTCTCAAACAGTATGTCTCCCATCTTCTGAATCTCCAAGCTTGGAAGGGGAATTGGGTGAGGATGTTTGGTGGATTATCGAGCTTGAGCTTCGGAAATGGCACTCAATCCGCTTTAGGAGCTGCTGGCGGTGATTCAGGACTGAAATTTGCCGTTTATTAGCTTGTACTTCCACATAGCTGGGTTGCGGTGTCGGACTGTGCGACTGATCGACAAACCTGGATGATCGTTGAATCTCCTAACCACAATATGCCGTCTATAACACGTAACTAAAGATATTGACGAGGAGGGAACACCAATTTTCCTTTCTCTGGGATTTGACATAAAAAGGGCAGGCAGGCACAGGTTAGGTCGGGCTGATCTCCATATGTCCCTCTTCTTTCCCGACGCATGTCACCAGTCCCACTCACTGGGCATGTTACTCCTCACACAACAGGGGCGCTCTATGCATTGTGTCTCAGGTTCAATATCACTTCTCTATGCCGGGACATTCATCCGACTCCATCCCCTTTTGGCCCGATCCCCCTTAATCCGCTCCGGATGAGGCGACCATCTTTGTTTGCACGTCTGTGAGATAATCGGAAGAAGAAAGAATAAAGACTGAATGCCCCATTTGAAACACCAGGTTCTTCTCATATATTGATATCTTTCGACTGGTTATTCCAGTCTTATAGTGTAACACGCAGAAGCATCGACCATCGAGTGTACAGCTAGTATTTTCATTTATACTGGTCTGAACTTTGTATTTACCTCACATATTTCACTTTGAGTTAACTATGGTCTGCTCAGAGTGGCGCCAATATTGCTGTTCTTTCTTTCCTCTCATCTTGACCGCCATCATCTAGTCCAGTGAAAATTCCATCGACATGTGTATGTATCTGGACAGGTCGCTGACGGCACAGGGGCTGGAAACTAAACTAATCTTGGACCTTCCACTTCATGTTTGACTGAAGCCTTTGGTGGAGACTTTGGAAAATTTACGCCCAAGCGTTCGTCGTAAGGCCTAACTGGAGATCCTTGATAATTCACTCAGAACGCCGATCATGGCGAAATATGCAAGTTAGAGTCATACTTTGTATGATAGTCATGGCTCAACCTGAGCATTCGACCCGGTAGTCCATATCTCACGGTTCGCAGCACATCAAACTCTAATAAGCCACGGAGTCTGTATTGTCTTATTGATGATCATTTTGCAAATAAAACAATCGAGCGGTCTACGCGCTATTGCTTTGCCAGCCAACCACCATCCAGGTCCTTGACTGAGTTTGAAACCCTTCAGTGACCCTTGCATGTACAATATGCAATATCCACATAGTCACCCACGTTGTTCAAGAAGACTGGGACACGAGGATGAGCACGTATGTCTACGTTGAGACTAGGCCCTCGCAATGCTGAGGTCAACCTCCGTACGTAGAGTTTGATTGGTGAATGAGCTAATCATACTTGTGGCATACTTACCACGTACCAGGGATTGAGATCCTTCCTCGCAGCTCAACTACCTATCCGAGGTTGAGGCATGAACGGAGACGCGACTCCGCACTTAGTGTATGCATGACAGTAAGCGCTCCAGGGCTGTTGGTCGCTTAGGCGGTCGCGAACGGGCATATGTACACGATATATCACAAAGGCATTCTACCCTATATTTAGGACACTGCGTGTATGCTGGAGCATACCTGATTTCAAATACCTCGCATGGACGAGAGTCCAGGCGCATGCCATTGTTGAACCTGAGACGCAAGTTTGAGGTAGACATAGTCGTATCATCCATGTAATTTCCAAGATTCCGGAGGGCCGTCAGGTACTGTTGCAGCTTGCAAGCCCGTACTAGTAAGACCTAGGTACTTGATTTCTTTTGCCACTTCTTGGACTTCCCTTTTCGTCTTAGTGCTCAGACCTTGCTACTTTTTGCTGACTGGGTGCAATTGAGCACGCCCCTGAGCGCCTGATCTGCTCACTCAGCATCACTTGTCAGTCCACCTGGGGACCCTGATCCACTCACTGATCATCATCCGAGTGCCTGATTCGCTCACTGAGCATGAGTTGAGCATGCATGAGCGGTCTGAGTAAGTACGCAGGCTTATAGCGGCCCAGGTCGGGAATTACAAACCAGGTAAAATCAGGCAGACATATTACCCAATTTAGTTAAAAGCCTCACCGCCCTATACACCGCCCTATACAACGTATTGTAATATAAGCCCCTTCCTAATTATACACCCCTTCCTGCACCTGCACCACCCCCAGGAGGTTATTTCTACTCCTGGGGGGCCATATCTAGGCCTTGACAAGTACTACAGCACCAGTACTGCGGCACCAGTGCTACAGCAATACTAGACCCCTTGGCCTGGTTTTACAGCACCAAGATACAACTAGACCTGGCAGTGACCCTCCGGGTGGTCTATGACCTTGGACCCTCCACCCGCCCCTCCGAGGTTTAGGGTCGCTTATGAGCGACCCTGACCTGACCCTAGTTCTATAAGGGTCGTATACAGATAACCCTCAATCACCCGTAGCGACCTTCAGATACATAAATTTCTAGTAGACCTCGACACAACCTGCGGGTTACCCAAAACCCGCTAAGAAACGGGTTTACGGGTCACCAACCCAACCCGCGGGTTGGGTCACAGTTCTAGTTTTAAAACCCGCTGGGTTATATGGGTAAAATAGGTTGGTTAAATAAGATAAATAGTAAATATATAAATTATATATAATTTAATTGTATTTTTATATATTTTATTTATATATTAAATAAAAGATGTTAGAATTATTTAATGATTAGAAATTTAGAATTAGATTGAGATTTTAATAAAGTATTACTAATTTTAAATATTAACTAATACTTTATAAAATTATTTTTTCTAATTTATTTATAGGTAGACCTGGCAGTGACCCGCGGGTGATCTTTATAACCCTTGGACCGCCCTGTCACTGGGGTGGTTCAAGGGTCCAACCTTTCAACCCTGAGGGTAGTCCATCTAGGGGTTGGACCCTTGGAGAGTGAATCTCAGGGTCACCTGCGGGTCTACAAACAAGACAAATAGGCAAATCTTATAATATATATAATTTATATAGATTTGCCTTGTATTTTTAAGTATCTCAATTATAGTAACTAATCTTCTTTGGAGAATATTTTATGATTATATAATATTCTAAGATTATAAAAGCTTTTAAAGTATAATTTTAATTCTAGTTTTTATTTATTATATATCTATTAAGCTTTTTTAATATCTTTTAAATTCTTTTAGATAATTGAGGAAAAGGAAGTCTATTATTTTTATTAATATTATTCTCTAGATTAAATTATATCTTATTATCTTTATTTAATAAGTTACTTCTTTATCTTCTTTTAAAAATAGTATTCAAAGATAGTTATAAAATAAATAGTGATTGGGTTTATTTAATCATATCTTCTTTGATATCACTAATTAGTTTAAATAAGATAGTATTTATATTATTTATCTTTATTAAAACAGTGATCTTTTAAGAAGTTAGATATTCCTAGAGAATTAATTACTAGTTCTTTTATAAATTAAATCTTATTATATATATAAATATTATAATATCCTAAATTATCTTTAGCTTTAATAAACCTTGTTAATAATAGTAAATATTATATATAAAGTTGAATAGCTATTTTATATTTATGCTAGTAGCTAGAATAGATATAATATGATAAGCAATATTTATAAGAATAGGCTATTTATATTAGCTATCTTTTCAAAAAGTATAAGATAATAAATACTATAATACTAGATTTATATAAAAATTAATTAGATATAACAAATAGAGATAGATATTAAGATTAACTAGTATCTAGATATTAAATTAGCTTATCTTTATTAGACTTTGACAAGTCTCATGAGACTTAAAAAATTTTAGTCCTAACTCCTGGTCTTATTAGTCCTATTAGACTAAAGAAAATCTTGGTCCTAAAATCCTAGTATTTTTATAGGAGTCTTATAAGAGTAATGGGACTCCTATATAGTCCCATCAGGTGTATAACTTTATTAAGTATTTCTTATCTAGGATATAAGCCTGCTAATTAAGTTAATAAATTATTCTTTTTTATTACTATATTACTTTTATTATATTTAGTATATAGAAAGCATTTAGAAGTTTTTAATTATAAATTTTTATGTTAGGTTATTATTCTTTAAATTAATAAATCTTAAAATAATCTTGATCTTGATTAGCTTATTATATAGTTATTAATTAAAGTTAATATATAATCATCTTCTAAAAGACTATATATTACAACTAAAAAAATCATATAAAAGATTATTATAAGATGATTATAAAAATATATATTTTTATTAGTGACTTATACTCTATATTCCTTTTAATTATCTTATAATTTATTAATAGATTTAATATTAATAATTCTTATTTAATTTTAATATTTTTAGAATTATAATATCCTAGTTTAGCTTTTTTAATTTAAGAATATCAATAATATATTATAGTTAAATAAGAAATTAATATTAAAAATATTAAATAATTTATTTAAGATCTAGAGAAATCTATTTAATCTTAAAAATCCTTTTTTTAAATGGTTAATAAGATTTCTATAAGATTTTTATGAGACTTTTATGGGACTTTTATAGAGGTCTTATTAACTTATAGGATCATTTAACTAATTAATATAAACTATCTAGGTCTATCTATATCTATCTATAATATATTATAAATAAAGATTGAAATCTTTTATCCTTAATAAAAATAATTATATTAAACATAATATAATATTCCTTTTTTTATTTTACTCTTTTAAATCTATTAAGTATTTGAATATTATATTTTATTATAATACTTATATAAAAGTAAATTAAAACTTATAAATTATATCTTTAATAGTTGGAATCAATTAGCTATCTTCTATTTATAGTTTTAATATTAGAGATAACCTTTTTATACTAAACGAATTAATTAGTTAATAATTATTTTATATTTTATCTTTATCTAATATCTTTAATACTAATATAAACCTTATATTATCTATTTTTTATTAAATTGATCTATAAAACTAA